TATTTTATAACTTTAAGAAGATAGTATCTAGAGACTAGTAGCTTTCTTTAGTAAGATAATAAATACTACCTAGATAAACTATAGCATTTATAATAAAGAAATGCTAGTAGTTATTCTTAGTATATAGAAGTAGAGAAGCTAGCTAATTAGCTTATAAGATCTAGAGCCTTTTATAGTATTAACTAACTACTAAGTCTTAGAGTATTTTGCTACTAAGTAGGAACTTACTACTAGGTAGGTTTACTAGGTGAATAATATTACTAACTATAACCTTAAGCTTACCTATTAACTAGGTTTAGCTAATATAGTAGCAGACGCGTTATTATAAAAGTAAGAAGAGCTTAAGACCTAAAAGAAGAAGAATTACGCTGCCTGTACAAGGGCTTTCCTAAATAAGAAGTAAATTAGCCTCTTAGCTGTTAAGTAATTATTAGGTAAGTTATTAGTTCTAGCTACCTAGGGATTAGCTAGTAGTACTACGAAAATCGCCGCCGCTAATACGTTTATAGAGGTACTCTCTACTAAGAATCTATATACTATAATTAATTAGGTTATTATAGCTAACTAATTAGACAACTCTCTATAGCTAGCTTAAGAAAAAGCTACTATGTTAGGTTTTTCCTAGAAAATAGAAGATGGTTTATTAACCTATTAGAATTAATTAATAGTTTCTACTATTAACTACCTATAAACGTATTTAATACGTGCCGTGCATGCTACTTAGGTAACTACCTACCTAGAACAAAGAAAAACTATCTAGTTACTACAAGATTAATATTACTAGCTAGATATATAAGAAGACGTTAATACGTATATAGTAGTATATAAGACTTACTACTAGAGCTATACTTCGTAGAATAAGACGCTAGGTCTTCTAAAGCCTCTACCTATCTCTAAGAGGGTATAGTAGAACGTCTCTATAGATTTTAAGAGCTTTTTCTCTAATAAGAAAGAATTTAACTGCGTGTACGTTATTGTAAATTAGCTAAGTAAGTAGAGCTTCTCTCTACTCTACTATAAGAAAATTATAGCTTAACGTATAGTAGAGCTATATTACTAATATATCTAGCGTATATATAGTTCTTCTAGGTTTATTATATTAGATTATAGCTTATAGTTTATCTCTACCTTTATAGATAAGCTCTATTAGCTTATAGAAATTAAGTAGAAGCTCTCTACTATATACTACCGTAAACTAATAGAAATATAGAGATTATTAATTAATATCTTAATTAGCGTCTACGTCTATTTATTAACTACTACTAGAATAATTAGTTAGACCTTCTACTCTATATAGATTAGGTATAAGCTACGTTACTATATAAAACTATAGAACTAATAGCGTATAAAATTAAATTTAGATACTAGCTAATATACTACTAGAATTAGAAGAAGTATATAATAAAAGTCTCTACTCTACGTAAGCGTTTCTCGCGCTAGAAAGCTTAGAATTTTACTAAGAAGTAATATAATACTATAGAAAAAGCTACTAAAATTATATAAAGTAATATTGTAAAAGCGTAAGCTAGATAGGCGCTCTAAGTAAATAAAAAGCGCTAAGAACCTAATTTTATAATAGGCGACCTTGTCTATATTAAACCTTATAGCTTTTTAATAGATTAGCCTAGTATAAAGCTAAATTAATAGATATATAACTCTTATCTAATTATTACTATAAAAAGTTACTTCTTCTAGCTCTAGCTATTTACGTATATATATATATATAACGTCTTCTACGCTAATTAGTTAAGAAAAGTCTTAAAGCTATTACTAGAGTAGGTAGAGTCTAAGTAGCTACCTATTAAAGTTAATAGTAATCTAGAATAGCCTGTATATAAAATTCTAGATAGCTGTCTTTATTAAAATTATCTTTAATACTACGCTGCGTAGGTTACTTATAATTCTAACTCTATCTAGTATAATACTATAGGCTTTATTAACGCTCTCTATAAGGTAAGAGACTTTTACGTAGTATATGTAAGGGCTAGGTTCGCGGTCTCTACTACTATAAGCGCCTCTAGAACACCTAGCTAGGTAAGTTAGCTGCAGGCAGCACTGTCTCTACGAGCTGTAAGAATAAGAGGTGCTAGCAGGGTAGGATAGGTTAAATTTAGCTATCTAAAGGTGAGAAGCAGAAGGATGCTCTAAGAGCTCTCTATATACACAGGGTGCCTATGCCAAGGCGCTAGGCAGGGTCATGTAACTTGGGCGGAGCCGAGTCGGGCCGAAGCACCGAGTCGGAGCCGAGTCGGACCGTCACAGTTTCGCTTAGTTATTTAAGAAAAATAGGTTAATTTTCGTTAATTTTCTTGCTAAGAAAAAGGTAGTCGGCTTGCTTGTGTAGTCGGTTCGCTTATAAAGTACGTTATCTAAAAATTAGAAGCGTATAAACTTAAGTTAGTTAACTTTAAGTAATAAAGTCTTTTTTAAAAAGCTTATATAGTTAAAGTAGAAGCTAGTATAGTTATAGGTAAAAAAGTTACTTAGATTACTATAAAAACTACGCGCAGAAGTAAAGCTAATAGTAAAGAGAGTATAGAGAAAAGGCGCTTAAATAGCACGTCATACCGGCTAAGGTGGTAGCTTATGAGGTGCGAGTGTCCTGCCTGACCTCAAGATCAGCACTTCGAAGCAGTTGTGAGGCTGTGTACCAAGCCCGACGTGCCCGACTTCCACAAAATCCTTTCGCTTCCCTGCGCCAGATCCGGAACGATCCTGCGTGAAGGATCGTTTGTGAGTAGCGCGCGCCCGTTTCGGAAAAAAAGCAAAGCATTTTGAATTGCTTTCGGCGCTTATAATAATAGCTTGGACAAGTATGCACCAATGCACATTGCATAACAACCTGGCGCTGCTTCGCTCCCATTCCCATTGTTGTCACGTTGACATACGCCCTCTAACTCTCACTGCCTACGATCACCGCTTCGATTCACCTGCCACTCCGCGATGCGAGATTATCTATGGGACGGTCGAAGCTTGGAAAAGGATGTCTACATCCAGCCACCTGACAGGCTGAAGCAGAGTACCGACGATGTACAGACTTATGCATCGTTCGGCGACGACGGCACAACTGTGAGCGTCAACAAATATGGGCATATCATGCAGATTTCTCGATTTCTAGGCTTCGGCTTGTCGGGCTTTCTCTGCGTCGATTCGCGTTATGACAATCCATACTTTGTCCAAAGTCGGATGGAAGATCTCACGGAATCGATGAAGCACCCAGAGAGAGGACTCCGATTGGATCTGGTCGATTTGAACGAGTTACAGGACGAGCCTTCAATGGGCTTCATGTACGACCGATGGCCACGCTATGTCTTCGAAAAAAGGCTGCCGCATACCTCAGACGAACGGCCGAACGTTCGGGTACGCGATAATGTTGACGCCACTAGGGAGTCAGACCTGGCATCAGGCAAACCCAAGGCCTCTCCTCTGACGACACAAGCTACACCAAGCGTCACAGCCGAGCCGGACGAGTCACTGTCTGATGAAATCCAATTTCTTCTGTCTATACAGTATTTCTGCTCCAAGGGTACTGTGTTTCAGAAGTACCTCATCAACATAGGCAAGGGCGGCATTCCTCGCAATGCACGCTTATCTCTGGACCCCTACATCTGCATCCGAAGTCTCGACTTTGTGAACGATCTTTACTTCAATGACGACAGGGCCAAGTTAAAAACCTCTGTGGTGTCAAACAACCTTGTCGTCACTCATGTTATTGAAAAAGATGAGATGGAAGAGCTGGAAGAGTGGCAGCCGGCGGAGCTGAAGGGACAACTCCCTATAGCTGCAGCTTTAGTCATCTCGCCGTTCATTGGCGATCAACCTGCGCAGATCAAGACGGATACGACAGCTGGGACTGATGAGGCATGTCATTACATCGACTTGACAGACAGTCTAGTGATGACTCGGCTCGAGATCACTGTGGCATACACGCTCAAGCTGATACACCGCGACACAATGGAGGCTACGGTGTCTTCTGAAAGCGGCGAAACCACAAGTAACGGGACTGCACCGTTGCAAGATGAACACATATCAGCCTCCGACAAGCAAGCATCTGAACCTGACACAACGGTTCTAGTAGAGGCTGGGCCCACAGGACCATGCGACCCACCTGCACAAGACGCAACTACAACTACCGAAGAAGGAGACCTTGCTGCGGAAGAGGAAGCTCTAGTCAAGCGGTGCATCGTCAAAATCACGGCGGCAAAGGAAGAGATGGAACACGCGTTTCGTGGGGACTCCTCATATCGCAAGATTTTCTTTTCTCCATCCCCCAGCTTGGATTTTGCATTTCGTCGCAATCTCAACCACATCCTCTATGTTTGCTGCATTCCAATCTCCGCGGGGTGTGATGTAGGCAATACCTCGGAAGACCCACCAGCGATCGCAATTACTTGTGGAGACATTGCAGGACACCGAGTTGGACCACGAGCTAGTTTGTGAGTTGACAATAGTCAGTATTGATGATAGTGGTGCTAAATTCGTCAAGGTCTGCTATCCAATTTCTGTGTTCACTGCTCAAATACCTTGCACAAAATGAGGGCGCCCAAGGCACTCGCAACAAGAACAAAAGGATCAATCTCGAATCAGAGAAGGATTCTTCCATCGGACGAGACTTGGCATCGTCGACAAAGGACCGAGATGCGCACGGTCCCCAGGGCTCGGCAAAGGCAGCAGACTCACAACAAGCGGAAGAAAAGTTTGTCGGAGAGCTCTACAAGCATGTGCTTTGGGCCCTCAGAGGCCACGTTCTGTGGATCTGCACTAAAGCCGAGCCATCGGAGAGGGGGATGTTTTCACCCCATTATTGGCCTACAGGGCACAGAATTGACACACTCACATATCTGCCGGCCCCGTCGTTGGTCGACACGCCTCTGCAACTGCTCAAAATGCTCTGCTGCTTTGATGCACTTCCAAAAGCGAATGAGGACACGCAGTGGTTACGCAAGTTTAGTGGAAAGGGCCTTCGACGCAAAGCTTGTAGCTGGATCAGAGGACTGCACATGTCCAATGAACGGGGTGCTTACGCATTCTTTCGGGGTCTTGCGGATCGTGACTCATATGACGGAGGCTACGGACTTGGTGCAGATGCAAAGTACTCACTGACGGATCATGTAATGATCGGTTTGGCCCTCAAATGCCTTGAAGAACTTGGAATATCCACCCCGAAGGAAGACCTCGAGTCAGAGGACGAACACGAATCTGTCACCTCAGAACGAGAGGGTGAATCATCTGCCCGCGAGGACGTTTCAGAGCGACCTAGTCGACAATACAAACCCAGCCCCCAACACCCCTGGTTTTACTACTCGTACGAGGAAGTGAAACGAAAGACCCTAAAGCGGTTCACGACTGTCAACCCCATCTCGAAAAAACGGACGCTGGCCACAAGCAGATGGCCGAACAGGACCAGGTTCTTGCTACATTCCAAAGACACTTTTCTCTTCTTCGCAGTAAATATGGACTATTTTAATGGCTTCAAAAGGAGCACAACATCATCGACCCACGGATCAAAAGCGTCAAAATCGGCCAAGCCAGCAGATGCTTGGAGGTATACTGACGATCGATGGGCAAAACTACTTGAGGCCCAGGCATACCATGATGAGTTCCAATATCTGGAATGGGAAAAGCCTTTGTGGTATGCCCTTGTTTTTGTCCTTGTGTGCACAGGAAGACGGGTCAACAACCAATCGTCTGAGGTCTTGATCAACGAGACTCAGACTACACTACTCGGCTCATCCTGGTACAACGGTATGTTCCCAGGCCTACTTGGCCGAAAGAAGAAACCTGTACCTCACGAGAGGGAGAGCGAACGCGACTCTTACTGGTTCTCGACATTTGAGATATCAAACATCTTGTGGACATTTGGGTCAGACAGTACCAGCGCGATGGCAAGTCAACCTTCCAGCACCCCACCAATCAGAACCACGAACGTGAATCCGGTCAATAACAAAGACGCAACTGGAACTGGGCAGCAAGTCGAAAAACACGCCCCGTTCATCAATCTCAGCCCTCCAAAGGACCTGTTGGGCCGCGATATTTTGTCCGACGATTGGCTCCAGGATTCACCAGCAGTTTTGAAATTCGACCCTGAACCCATGTCAACCTCCGCAGCATCGGATGACACATCTACGCAGATCAGTTCAGGGCCAACCTTTCATGTGACCGGTGTCGTAATCGATGTTCCCAGGTACAGTCTGGGAACTGAGATTTCTAAGCCTCAAGTTACAACACAAATGTTTGACGCTCTACGGAAGCGAAGGACTGTCTGGGATTCGAAAAAAAGGATCATATGGCTTATCAACTGGGACGAGGAGATCCAGAAAGAGGTCTACGATGCATGCTCTGAGGTCGAACTCAAAAACGCACAGTCCTTTTTTGGGCGGCATGTCAGTCGCGAAAAGTATTTTCTTGACAGCGCCACAGCGACGCTGAACGAATGGGAGACCGAGCTACACCTATCGTTCTTTCGGATCTCTAAGGTATTTGATGGCAGTCTCCATCCTCTTGCGAAAGGCAAATTCCTTGCATCGACCGCAATGAGCTTTCGTTTCTCTGGAGACTTTTCCGACCGATACTGGACATGCTATTTCTTGGAACATGGATCGACGAGTTATAAGGCGACAGACCTGGGGTCGCGCTTAATACCGCCCCCGACTTGCGGCATCAGAGGCGATTTAGACCTGCAGAAGAATGATGATGATGGACTTGGGCCAGCGAAGAGGAGGGAAAAGAGATGTGATGTCTTCGCCAAACCCTGGCAACAACGTCGAGTGCTGGAGCTCCTGATCTATGTCAAGATGCTTGAAGAGTTGCATCATAACACGGACGAGGTTTTGAGCACTGTCAAAGAACTTGCTCTTCGCCTTGATAAGAAAGAAGGCGCCGATCCGGAGATGAACCCATTCAAAACAGCAATCGAGGAAGCAGATCGGCTACGGAAGTTGGGAACCACAGAGGATTACACTTCCATTGCAGATGAATGGCAGAGGTTCCAGCAGATCCTTCTGGTCATCGAAGAAAATCTGACAGACAACATTGAGAAAATCAAGCAGTGGGATAGCCGTGAAGGTGACCGCCAGAGTCAACAGCCGCGGTGGACGGACCGAGACAAGCGGCTCCATTTCACAACGATACTCAGACTCAGGATCATGAGTCAGAGACAGGCCAAGGAGATTGAGCGACTGAACGATGACGTCCGAGCTTTCCGTGAGTCCCTGCCACGCCAACTTGAGACGATCCGAGAAGACATCAACTTCCGTGGTTCCCAGAACATCAACTTGTTCACTTATGTAACAGTTGTTTTCCTTCCCCTTGGATTTGCTACTGGCCTCCTTAGCATGAGTGGCGCTCCCGATCACGCTCTGCTAATGAACCTGGTGACTTTGTCTCTTGGCGCTCTCGGCATCACGCTCTTTGCATTGCTCAATGCAGAGGCTGGAAAGGCAATTGTGACACCACCGGTTAAGCGATATCTTTGGGCGACACAGATGCTATGGAAGTTAACGACGTACACCTTCTTTTACACTATCGTTGAGCGGACAGTATACCGCGCCCAGTACAGGGAGCGACAACAGACCTCAACGAATGAGGGTCTGTCAAACAAGAACCCACCGGACCAGAGAACACCGAATCAAAGCACTTCACAGAAAGGCCCAGCCAAACAGCAGCTAGGATCGAAGAAGTCGGCATCTGTCGAACCAGGACCAGAACGACCAGGCCAATTGCAGACAGTCGAACGACAGCCGGCTCATGAGCAGACTAGTAAGGAACAGCAACAGCGACGTGCAGTAATGGAAGATGCAGAATCTACCAATGATTCCATATGGCCCGAGAGATGGCGGCAAAAGTACAACACAGTCAAAATGTTTTCGTACCGCAAAGCTGTGCAGGAAGCCGAGAAACAGAATAAGATTGCAAAAAGAAAACTCCAGCAAAACAACAGGAGCAGTCGACCAAACAAGTTGGACAACCCGTTCTCACCTGACCTGGAGAAGGGAGTGTGTAATGGTCAGAATCTGGAATCGCCGACGGTTTGAACGGAGGAGTGGGGCCAAGAGGGAGGAAGTAGGCGGATGCTTAGGCAACTGGACTCAATTAGCAGACGCCAGAACGCTCATCGCGTGGAGAAAGCTCCCGGTGCTGATGGTCTGACGGTCGTGTTGACGATTTCGATTTTGGTGAATACGGTTGGGCAGACGGAGCCTGTGATTTCCTTACGACTCGTTACTGTTCTGTAGTTATGACTGAATGTGCTCGATCACGCTCCAGCTCCGCGGAAGTGTTTGGGAATTCTGCGAGAAGTGTGTTTCTTAATAATTGTTGTTTTCAATGTCCGATGGAATAGATGTGCATAAGTGAGCCGTGCTTTCGGCCTGAGAAATCCTCGCACTGCTTGTCTTAGAGGTGATGAATGCCCCCGTGAAGGGCCGATATGGTTAGTAATATTAGAATAATATTATAAAAAAAGAGAACTATTATAACGTCTATCTAGCTAAGTATTTCTTAGAAGCTACTTAGTTTATCTATAGTTATATAGTAGCCTAGTATATAGTATAGTCTCTTTTTATTCTTACTTTATAAGAATTTAACTATCTACTAGTACTACCTAATATATTATATTATTACTTCTTAGTATACTATCTACCTACCTTACTACGGCTCTCTTACTCTCTATTTTAGAGTTATCCCTCTAAGCTAGAGTTCTGCAGGCCTCTATACATAAAGAAAGACTCCTATTTTAGGGGGAAGGACTCTAAGTAGGGGGGTATACTGCTCCGTAGAATTAAGATTACGTGAATTACTCTGTATTACAGAAAATTAGTGTTTACTACTAAGCTTCTTCTTCGCTACCTAGCGTATTTAGCTCTAGTATATTCAGGGGTAACTTAGCTATTCCCCCGCGTAGAGAGCCCCTAGAGCTCGCAATTCACCCTCTATCTGCTACACCCCCTTTCCCTCCTCTTCCCTTCCCTTCTACCCCTCTAAGGCTCCCTACCCCAAGGCTCTCCACCCTAAGGCTCCTCTCTAGCTAATTAGGAAATAGAGTTTATACCCCTAATAGGCCCGAAGGAGTTACCTAAATAGAGGCCCCGGCTTTCCCCCTAATATAGGGGGGAGCGTTACTGTAGTGCTCCTAATACTACCTTATAGCTAACTCGTAAGAATAACTACTTTAGCATTAAACGTTATACTTAAGATAATCTCTATGCTTCTTACGCAACTCTCTTGCTAGAATAGATCGGCTCCTCTCCCTGCTAGCGGGTGCGAATTTAAAGTATTTATGTTCTTATCATCTGCTGTAACGCACTCACAGTTACCCTAGGCAGTAGTCTTAGCAATGCGCTTAACTTAGGATAGTCAAAAACGCCAGGTTTAGACAAGCCCCGCTCTGGCCAAAAGTACTAGAATAATTAAAGACAGAACCTATACAGAGAATAGGTATAGTCGCACTTTCTAGCTTGACCATATAAAAGACAGCGCAACACTTTGACTTAAGATAAGCCTAATTTTTAATGTCGGCGAGCAGTTTTCTTGTTCGAGTTCGATGCGTCAACCAAGGCTGTCAATATCAGCCGACGTGCAGTTGTGGCTGCGGCTGTGCTGCATACCAGTCACACCCGGCAGTTTCAACCCCGCAGAGCTGAACTCAGTCGCCGTGGCTCCACCTTTATGGTTCTCATCATCCCTCAAAGCTTATCCTATTTCCTTTGACAGGATCCGAATCCGAATCGTCTACTCCTTGCAAGGCGCGGAGCACTTTTTTCCTTTTGCGCAAGGCCACCAAACCTCACTACGACCAACCACAGCGAATTCGAATCCGTCCTACCGCCGAGTTCGTTTGCCGCCCGAAGCCCTCGGACCCTGACCTCCCCCATCATTCTCCGCCAGTAAAGCATGTCTAATCAGAACGACAACTACACCGTTGGCTGGATCTGCGCGATCGAACCCGAGTACCTTGCCGCAGAGCTGTGTCTCGACGAAACGCACCCTCGCATGACATGTCGCCTGTCGCCGAACGACACCAACATATACGTTCTCGGCAAGATCGGTGACCACAATGTCGTCATTGCCTGCTTGCCAAATGGGTCATATGGCACGATATCTGCAGCAAACGTCGCTACGAATATGCTGCGGAGCTTCCCCAACGTCAGAATCGGCCTGATGGTCGGCCTCGGTGGCGGTGCCCCAACTCCTGATAGTGATATCCGGCTGGGCGATATTGTGGTTAGCTCCCCCGGAGATGGACAAGGGGGCGTGTTCCAGCACGACTTTGGCAGAACAATACAAGATCAGGACTTCTAGAATACAGGGTTCGTAAATCGGCCGCCAACAATCCTGCTGAACGCGGTGATGAAACTCAGGGTCGACTACAGGAGGAGACCCGGCAGCCTCGAAAAGGCCATTGACCACATTCTCGAGAAGGAGGAAGAAGAGCTACGGGAAGACCTCGGCCGGCCAGACCCGAGCACCGACATTCTATACCGAAGTAATTTCGTCCATCCTGAAAATAGCAAAAAGGCTTGCGTGGAAGCATGTGGCATGGATCTCTCAACCTTGGTACCACCACGGCCAGAACGTAAACGACCACGGAGCCCAATGGTTCACTACGGTTTGATTGCTTCGGGAAACCAGTTGATGAAAGATGCTTTTTATCGGGATGAACTTGCGGAGAAATGGCAGATTCTCTGTTTTGAGATGGAGGCAGCAGGACTGATGAATGACTTTCCCTGTTTAGTTGTTCGTGGCATATGTGACTACTCGGACTCGCATAAGAACAAAGAATGGCAAGCATATGCGGCGATGGCAGCCGCCGCATATGCGAAGGATCTTCTGTATACAATCCCTCCAAGCGGAGTTGAGGATGAGAAGAAGATCAGCGAGGTTCTATCTGGTTAGTCTAATGTGGTCTCACTTATCTGATTAATAAATGTTGACCTATGCAATTATAACAGGTCTCCAAAAAGTTGCAGAAGCGCACCGGGACATTGCACAGAAGCAGCTTGAGATCGAGCAAGACGCCGTCAAGCAGAAGCTGTCCGACAGGCAAAAAGAGTGCCTTCAATTGTTCCGTCTCACTAAGAGCACCGAGGATGCCACGTACGAGTGGTACAAAGACCGCGTGGAAGACCGAGTAGAAGGCACATGCATGTGGTTTCTCGAGCACGACTATTTCCAGAAGTAATTAAAAGAGGAGTCAGGGTCATTGCTGGTCTCAGCAGACCCTGGGTGTGGAAAATCGGTCTTGGCTAAGTACCTGATTGACCATGCCTTGCCACGATCAGCGACCATTTGCTACTTCTTCTTCAAAGACCAAGACCAGAACACGGTTCGCCAAGCGCTTTGTGCTCTGCTCCACCAGCTCTTCTCCCAGAAACCGTCCGTGATCGAACATGCCATGAAGCAATTCGAGAAAGATGGGTCAGGCTTGATCAACTCGACAAAGTCGCTCTGGACTATCCTAGGAGATGCCGTGAAGGATCCCCAGGCCGGACCTGTCATCATAGTTCTGGATGCCCTGGACGAATGTGCCGAATCAGAGTTTAAGGACCTGATGCGAGATGTGAAAAGCCAACTCCGCGGCCACCAGTCGGGCCATGGCAAGCTGAAGTATCTCCTAACGAGCCGTCCGCATGAGCAGATCGTGTCCAAGTTCCAGAGCCTGTTGGACGCTTTTCTGCGTATACCAGGGGAGGAAGAGTCGGAAACTATTAGTCGAGAAGTAAACCGCGTCATCCAATTCCGAGTCGAACGGCTGGCAACGGAGAAAATGCTCTCAGACAAAGTCAAGGTTTGCCTGGCACGTCGATTGCTCGAAATTACGCATCGTACCTACCTCTGGGTATATCTTGTGTTCGACTACTTAGAGACTGAAGACTTTAAAAAGACTCCAAAGGGAGTCCAGTCCACTATTGAAACGCTGCCGAAGAGCATTAACCAAGCATATGAACGGATGTTGAACAAGTCGAAGGAACGCCTGATGGTTCGAAAGGCCTTGGGTATTATTTTGGCAGCGGGCCGGCCTCTAACGCTCTCGGAAATGAACGTTGCCGTAAATATAGACGAAACGTCTCAGGCTATCCACGACATCGACCTGGAAGAAGAAGACGACTTCAAGTCACGCCTTAGATCTTTGTGTGGCTTGTTCGTTTCAGTCTATTATGGCAAGATCTACTTCCTTCATCAAACTGCTCGAGAGTTTCTCCTCGCCAACCCGCCATCGTCTACCACTATTTCCACGGAGCTACGATGGCATCACTCCATCACCATCCATCAGGCACACCACGTTCTTGCGGAGCTCTGCGTGCGCTATCTTAACTTCTTCGACTCTGACCCTAGGCTGCTGGCAGATTCAACACCGGAAGCCGGTCACCACGTCGATAGCCACGCCTTCCTAGACTATTCGGCCGAATTTTGGGGTCTTCACTTCCGCGAGGCCCGTATCGGCGACAATAATGCTGCCATAGCACGTCATGCATTGAGGATATCTGATCCGGATTCGAAAGTCTATTCGGTATGGTCCCAAATACACTGGGAGGCTAAATATATGAACAATCCTAGGTTTTCTACAGGTCTAATAGTGGCGTCGTATTTTGGACATGATGCAGTCGTCAAATTGCTGCTCGACAAGGGCGCCGACCTGGAGTTGAAGGACAACAGGTACGGCCAGACGCCGCTGTCGTGGGCTGCAGAGAACGGGCACGAGGCGGTGGTTAAGCTGCTGCTCGACAAGGGCGCCAACCTAGAGTCGAAGGACAAGGAGTCTGGCCAGACGCCGCTGTTGTGGGCTGCAGAGAACGGGCACGAGGCGGTAGTTAAGCTGCTGCTTAACAAGGGCGCTAACCTAGAGTCGAAGAACGACGGGTACGGCCGAACGCCGCTGTCGTGGGCTGCAAAGAACGGGCACGAGGCAGTGGTTAGGCTGCTGCTTAACAAGGGCGCTAACCTGAAGTTAAAGGACGACAGGTACGGCCAGACGCCGCTGTCGTGGGCTGCAGAGAACGGGCACGAGGCGGTGGTTAAGCTGCTACTCGACAAGGGCGCCGACCTAGAGTTAAAGGACAAGGGGCCTGGCCAGACGTCGCTGTTGTGGGCTGCAGAGAACGGGCACAAGGCGGTAGTTAAGCTGCTACTTAACAAGGGCGCTAACCTAGAGTCGAAGGACAAGGAGTCTAGCTAGACGCCGCTGTTGTGGGCTACAGAGAACGGGCACGAGGCGGTGGTTAAGCTGCTACTCGACAAGGGCGCTAACCTAGAGTCGAAGGACGACACGTGCGGCTAGACGCCGCTGTCGTTGGCTGCAGCGAATGGGCACAAGGTAGTAGTTAAGCTGCTGCTTAACAAGGGCGCTAACCTAGAGTCGAAGGACAAGCTGTTTAGCCAGACGCCGCTGTTGTGGGCTGCAAAGAACGGGCACGAGGCGGTGGTTAGGCTGCTGCTTAACAAGGGCGCTAACCTGGAGTCGAAGGACGACGGGTACGGCTAGACGCCGCTGTCGTGGGCTGCAAAGTACGGGCACGAGGCGGTAGTTAAGCTGCTGCTGCTCGACAAGGGCGTCTTCATGGAGTTAAAGGTAGTTGCTGCCACGACTTAGCTGTGGCCCAGTTGTAGTTCCGGCAGTGGGCCACTCTAGATCCAAATAAAAGCTCTCTACAGTTTGCCACCATAAGCAGGGAGGATAGCTGACTCGCACCGGCTATAGGGTTGTAGACGCTTCGAGACCTCCTGTTAAGACGCTTCGAGGAGGAGATCCGCAGAATTGTTAAAAGACGAGGATATTTATCTCGGACATTCTTTATATCGAATCCTAGCGACTCGCTTAACTAGTTCCCGCTGCAAGGCGGCCCGTGCGGTCTTCTAACCACTAGGCCGGCCGATGGCGACCTTAACCCCTAACCGCATCCCATCGACACCACCGCCGGCAGCCCCCAGGGCACGCACGAGGAAGCCGAGCGCGAAAGTGCTAGAGACACAGCAGGCACTGAGGACGCAGACAACAGCGGCTCAGCTTAGGCAGGCTAGGACTAGAGCTACAGCGTCGCAGCCGGTTGGTGAAGAACTCTCGAGCGACCAACGACGAGCAGACGATGAGCTGCCTCCCTTCCCCACCCAGCGGGAGACTATCTCTCCCGAGCGAGGAGGAGGAGGCTCTAAGCTAGATGAGGTGATATAGCTTATTACGAGCCTAAAAGAGACGTTGGCACAGCAGAGCAGCATTATCGCCAGCTAAACCAACACCATCGCGAGCCAGACCAGCACCATTAATAGCATCCGAGCGGACCTCACAGCCCTTAGAGCGGAGCAACAGAACCTTAGAGATCAGAATGCTGAGCTGCAAGGGACCATCCAACAGTTCCGAGCACGGCTCGACACCCCCTCGACCGAACCGCAGTCAACGCCAACATGGGCGGCCGTTGCTGCCAGCGGGCGACCGGCCGGGCCCAACATTGCACCAACGCGATCGACGAACTCGGGAACAACTCGTAGGGAGGACAGTAAACAGATGGTGATTGATGTTAGCAGAGTGAGAGGGGATGTAGTCGATAAAGTAGCTACCACGGAAGTGGCACGGCAGGCTATCCAGCATGGCATGGACGGCGTCGAACGGCTTGCTGGGGCGACTATCAAGGGATTCCGCGTATGGAGAACAGACGAAAGCGCGAGCGTGATCAAGTTCTATGTTGACAAGGACAAGGAGGCAGCATTCTGGCAGACGACGGCCGAGTGGCTGGACCCGCAGATCCCGGGGGCAAGGCTGGTGGGACCCAAGTGGTACCTAGTTAAGGCGGACTTTGTCGAAGCGACGCTGGCAATGGACGCAGAGAGCAAGTCCGCGATGGAGCGCTTTGGAACGGAGAACGGAGTAGAGGTGTACACGATGCGGTGGCTTGGAAAGCCAAGACCTAGCGGACAACATGCGTTAGTAGTGATCAAGGTAGCGACGAAGGAGGAGGCAGAGAAGCTGCTACAGTTAGACAGCGTAACGTTTGGCGGAGGCGGGCTCATAATGTTAAGGTTTGAAGAGCGACGCACGCTAGTGCTGTGCTTTAACTGCTGGAGGATCGGCCACAGAGCGAGGGACTGCAGACGGCCAGTGACGTGCGACATGTGTGGACAGGAAGGACACGCGCGGTGCGAAATGGTCAACCCGCACTGCGTAAACTGTTAAGGCCCACACCAGGCATCTAGCCGCAAATACCCTGAGTACGAGAAAGAGAGAGACAGGATCGTCGCACGCCAACGCCATGAATAAGAAGCTTCGAATCCTCCAGGCGAACATGTGAAGAGGCAGGGAGTCGCAGCACGCGCTCCACAACGATCCGGCGCTAGCCGGCTTTTACTTCATCCTAGGCCAGGAGCCTGGGTGCTTTCTTGCAGACGGAGAGGTAGTGCTGCACGGCACGAATCCGCACTGGACAACATTTGTACCGTTTAGCAGGCGACCAGGCCAGAACCCCGTCCAATCGTGTGTCTGGGTGTTGAGAGACGTGGCAGCGACACAGGTGTACGTGGACTCGGCGGACATTATAGCAGTGGTAGCGCACGTGGGGGGAAGGATGCTAGTAGTAGTATCAGTGTACATTCCCGCCCTCAAATCGATAAGTTAGGAGGCGCTCACCAGTAGGCTAGACATGATTAAGGAAGCAGTGCAGCAGGAGCAGCTGCGCGATCCGCACACGGAGGTGGTAGTCGCGGGCGACTTCAACCGGCACAATTCGCTGTAGGGAGGAAGCAGCGTCGGCAACGAACCAAGGCAGGACGAGAGCGAGCCAATCATTGACTTTATGGCGGAGCTGTCGCTGCAGAGCCTTCTCCCGGCAGGAACGATTACCTACGAATGCGTGATAGGGAAGTCGACGATCGACCTATTACTGGCGACGACGGGCCTGGACGAAGACCTAGTCAGGTGCTCCCTCTGGGAGCATGAGTATGGATCCGACCACCGGGCCATCACGACGCGCTTTAGCATGGACATGGACCGAGAGGAGAGGCAGGAGAGACTGCTGCTCAAGAATGCGCCGTGGGACAAGATCAGGGCAGCGGTGGAGCGAGAGAAGGGGGAGGGCTTCCTAGCCGGAGACGTGGACGAGATGGCAGGCCGGTTGACGGCGTGGGTGAACAAGGCGCTTGAGGCGCACTATGCGCGAGCTCGACCATCACCCTATATAAAGCGGTGGTGGAGTAAAGATTTGACGGCGCTGCAGAAGTCGTACACGTACTAGAGGAACCAGGCGCGCGCGATGCGACGGCAGGGGTGAGAGGATAAGGAGCTGCGGCTGACAGCGATGCGGGCAAAGAGACTCTTCCATCGGACAATCCGACGGCACCGGAAGCAACACTGGGAAGAGTTCCTAGACAACAGCGACAACATATGGAAAGCAGCTAAATATCTAGACACAAAGGCGACAGCATCGTTCGCGCGAGTGCCTCCAATCTAGAAGGCAGGAATAGAAGACGAATACGTTACAGAGAACCAGGACATCGCAGGAGAGCTGCTGCGGGCATTCTTCCCGGCCCTGCCGACGTGCGAGCCGGAAGATGCTCCGAGCGGATACAGCCAGCTGCCGTGGGAGCCGATTGCGAAGGACGAAGTTAAGAATGCGGTGTTCAGGGCGAGCCTAGACAAGGCGCCGGGAAGGGACGGCCTCCTAGCGCGCGTATGGAGGGAGCTCTGGCCGGTCCTGGGAGATGAAATCACGCTACTCTTCGCCAGGTTGCTCGAGACGGGAAAGGTGCCGCAGGAGTGGAAGATTGCGAAGATTATACTGCTGCAGAAGCTGAAGCGAGGGGACTACACGATCGCGAACAACTACTCGCCCATCTCGCTCCTCCCGACGCTGGGCAAGGCCCTCGAGTCGCTAGTGGCCGAGAGGATCGCGTATCTAGTGGAGGAGTACGGGCTGCTGCCAAAGACGTACTTTAGGGCGAGGAAGCAGCGGTCGACAACGCACGCGCTCTCGTACCTCTGCGAGGACGTGTTTAAGGCATGGAGAGGGAAGACGCTGTCTCTAGTGTCGTTTGATGTCAAAGGGGCGTATAACAACGTGGCGACAGGCCCGGAAATAAGAAGACTGCGACAACGGCAGATCCTAGAGGTTATCGTTTAGTGGGTGCAGGACTTCTGCATAGACTGGCGGGCATGCATTCTCGTTAACAACTACACATCTAATGTACAGACGCTCCCGCAGGCTAGCCTTCCGCAAGGGTCGGCGCTTGCCCTAATTCTGTTCCTCTTCTTCTACGCGGACCTGGTGCAGAGCGCGCCTAAGAACAGCAGCTCGATGGCCTTCGTCGACTACTATTCGGCGTAGGTGATGGGCCCGTCGGCAGAGGAGAACACGCGTGTCATCCAGCGCGAGGTAGTGCCGCTACTAGAGAGATAGGAACGCACCAGCGGAGCAGTGTTCGACGCAGAGAAGACGTCCTTTATCTACCTCACGAGATACAAAGGTGCAGCTAGAGAAAGCACGACGGCGCTGCGATTCAAAGAGAAGGAGATCCTGCCGACAAACGAGGTTAAGCTCCTTGGGGTAACGCTTAACAAGGAGCTGCGGTTTAAGATACATCTGGCGCACGGGGCCAGCAAGGCGACAAAGGTAGCGCTGGCACTGCGCAGACTAAAGGGACTCCGACCCAAGACAGTAAAACAGCTAGCGACGAGCGCGGTACTACTAGTAGCGGACTATGCGTCGCCTGTGTGGTACCTAATCGCGACGCACGAGATAAAGCAGCTCCTCATGCAGGCACAAAGGATTACGGCGCAGGTGGTTATTGGGGGATTCTACACGGTCGCGGGCACCATCGCGGAGGTAGAAGCGAGGCTAATCTCTATAGAGCAGAGACTGCGCAACTAGACGATTGTGTTCTAGGTGTCGCTCTACAAGCTTAGCTAGTCGCATCCCCACTAGATGCTTAAGCGGCAGCGGCTGTGTACAAAGCACTAGTCGCCGCTAATGCGGGTCGCAGAGATGTGCGAAGAGGTCCGAATAGACGACGTAATGGAGGTTAAGCCGTACGCATGCCCGCCGTAGGTAGCTAGGCCCAAGGTAGTTCTATGCAAGAGACAAGAGCAGGCGCAAGGCATTATCGACAACTACAGACCAGGACAGGTGGACATGTACGTGGATGCGTCGGTGCGCAAAGGGCGGGCAGGCGTCGGCGTATACGCCACGCTATCTAAGGTGTCCATCTTAAAGACGGTAGCTAGCTCGGACCAGGCGGACGCACACCTGACGGAACTGCTGGCGATCAGCGAGGCAGCCAACTGGCCGTGGAGCCTATCGTGCATGGCCATGGACCAAGCAGGGGCCTCGATACCGGCATCGAAGATACGCATCTTCTCCGACTCGCAGTCGGCGCGCTGTCGGTGCAGAGCTGAAGGGCGAGCGCGTGCTAAGTGGTGGTGGCAGAGATCGTAAAGAAGCTCTGGATGATTAACGTCACGCTGTACTGGATTCCGAGCCACTCGGGGATTAAGGGGAACGAGAAGGCTAACGAGCTTGCTAAAGCCGCAACACGCAAGGAGAGCGAACCACCGCCGCAGCGAGATGGCCACCCGTGGTATCTAACCAAGCAAGCGCTGGAGAAGGCGGAAATTACAACCAGACTGCTTCTGGCAGGGCGAGCAGATGTGGGCAAGTTCACGAGGAAGATCGACGCAGCGCTCTACCTGGGCAAGGCGGCAGCACTGTACCAGCAGCTGAACAGCGCCGAGGCTGCGATCCTCACGCAGCTCCGGACGGGCAAGACGAGTCTCAAAGTGTATCTCTACAAGATTAAGGCTGCGGTAACAGCACTGCGAGTGCAGGCTAATTGAATCCATCCCGCAGTTTCTCTTTTGCTGCAGGAAGTGGGAAGAGCAAAGACGGCAGCTACGGCTGCAGCACGGAGAGCGATTCGGGGACCTTTCGTACGCGCTTAGAGGCTATTTAAGCTAGACAGAAGGGGGTAAGAGCATCAACAGGCTGATAGAGCGATAGAAGCCAGACATTGCGGTAGTGCGAGCCACGATTTAGTTTGCGATAGAGACCGAACGTCTACAGACAGTTAGCTAGGACACAGCAAGCATAGAAGAAGACAACGACGAGCGACAACGACTACGAATTCCTACGCCCACACTTTAATTAATTAACTATACCTAAGTTGGCAGCAAGCCGCGACTTACGAGCCTCCGCCAGCGCGCTGCCGATTAAGATGCGCACGACGCCAGAACTGCCCTGCGGATAGGGGTCCCTAGAAAACTGCTTGGCTTACTACTAACCTCTAACTACACACAGCATACGGTAGCGTATCACCTTTTCTTTCTTTCCTATGTTGAGCATGGCATTAGATATACGATTAGCAGGTCTCATGGTTAGCTTCTAAACTAGAGCAGGTGCTTGATAACAGAATGTACATAGCTGGCGCATCGTAACGGCCTATACCCCCAAGGTGCATGGCTATAATAGAACACACACACACACACACACACACACACACACACACACACACACACACACACACACGCACGCACGTGACGGCTCGCCACTGCAGCAGGTATTCGTGAAGCTTTTAACCAACCGTTCTTTCAAAGTTGAGACCGATGGTGGTCGAAATATCGATTTACACCGTGCCAAGCCTTGTAAGGCGTCCCTGCCACGTGCACCACCGCTAGGGCCACGGATAGATTATTTCGCCGATGGACGAGATACGCTGCACGGGTTCGCTTGTCTGGGGGATTCGCTTATCAAGTACGTTATAATAAAGACAGCATTTTTACTCCCCGGGAAACGCGGTACGGTAGTGATCGGATAACTTTGAACCAGCGGTTGTGCCAGGGCCGCCGAACCCACATTTATCTTCTCTCACGCAAAATATTCTGGATTCTACTCTAAAATTTGAGATCACGACTAAATCTACTTCCATGACTTCGGGGATCATCTACTAGCCGGAATGTCAAACGATGATCAACCCGACCAGCACAATGTACGATACTGGCAGATGTGGCACATTTTGGAACCCCCAGATATGAAAGTCAAAGATGTCCGAACACCTGCGAGTAGGTGTTTAATCACCGCGAATTTCTAGATTGGCAGGAACGGCCAAGGAGAGCTCTTTGGATAAGCGGAAATAGTAAGTCTCTGTACCTGAAGCTCTGTGCTGGTTCATTTAACGAACTACAATAGCCGGCTGCGGAAAAACTACACTGAGGTATGCCATTTCTCGGACCCATTTGAAGTTCGCGCATATGCTGACCATGGAACAGTGCATCAATCGTTCGATGGCTCCAACAGCATAGGGAAGACCCCACCGGCTCCAGGACCGCCGTTGTCTACTTCTTTTGGGGCAGCCACTCTCTACCAAGGACCCGAAGTGATTTCTTGGCGTCTATAATCTGGCAGCTCTGGACTACATACCGTCTTGACGAGGCGAGAATGAGGAGAAACGGAGACGTGGCCAGCGAGACATGGGAACTGGAAGCCCCTAGGATTGGCCGACCATCGGAAAAGGTACTGTACACGCCGTGCCGCGATCTCAGTGAACATTTCCGCCGGATATGCCTCGTCATCGACGGCCTGGACGAGTATGACGAGGATACAGGAGGGGGACCCACACTTTTTGGAATATTGCGTTCTTTTTGTGCTGGCCACCCGATGAGTATTTTATTATGCAGCCGGCCGGTCTCCCATATTCAGAGACTGTTGGAAGCAGAAGGGTGCCAGGAAATCCGCGTTGATGAATTCACCAGTACGGAGGACATCCGACATTATGTTGAGGACAAACTCTACAAGGCCGGCGCGAACATGGCGCGAAGCGAATGTGACAGAGAAGGCCTTCTCGAACGTATAGCTGCTATATCCCAAGGAAAGTACGGCTCGATTCCTCCCTCACTCTCTATGGAAACTGTGACTGATCAGCTGCTAGCTTTTTGATGGCAAGCGCTCTTCTCCGAGAGTACCTTGAGTCAGTCGCAGGGTATCACCATGCCTGCTAAGTCCTCCCAATCTCAGTGAAGCGTATCTCCGAATCCTCAGAAGCATTCCAGAAGACCGGAGAGCCTGCGCTGCGAAGGCTCTGCTGTGGATTATCACTTCCTTCAAACCGTTATCTACCGACGCGCTGGCTGAAGCCTTAGCTCTCGATGGACGGATACAGCTCACCAATTACCCCGAAATTCCCGTTGTTTTAGAAGGCCTCGCAGTTGTGTCACCTTCCACGCACACTCCGAAACCATTGCATGCTCCCCTGGTCGATTTCCTTCACCAGGAGGAAATCTTTCGTGAGCATGGATTGGAGGTCTTTCACGTGAATGACGGCCAAGCCCACGGACGGGTTGGTAGAGCCTGCCTAGGATATCTCCTATCGTACGCATCGCGGAAAGAAAAGTGCACTGCGCATACACTCAACCGTCATCCACTACTAGAGTACGCATGCAAATATTGGCCGAATCACGTTCGAAATCATGTTGCCCTTAGTCGTGATTCTCAGGTTGAAGCAATGGGCTCGGCTCAAACACGCATTGGAACATCATTTACCCACCACGACTTCGACGAAACAGGATGCAGCCGAAAGCACATCAGACGACTATTCACGAATAAAGACTTCATATATACGTGGTTATCCATATTTGATCCAGAGGATCCTTCGAAAGCAGCACTGTCACCTCCTCGAAGTGCAACCCCCCTCCTGTCGTACGCCGTAGCTACGGGCATCCCAGACTATGTCAGTGAATCTTTCAGCGATGGCGCGAACGTCAATGAACCAAACCAGTATGGAAGACGGCCGTTGCATACGGCAGTGAAGTACGGTCTCGTCCAAATATTAGAAGAACTTCTCGATCATGGTGCGATTCCCACTGCCAAGGACGTGAACGGCGCCATACCGTTGGTAGAGGCTGCTGGATCATATAACTACGAATTGTTCCCTTTGCTATACAAGAGAACTACAGAGGGAGAGCTCACTCGTGCCGACACAAGAGAGACTACGGTGTTACATACTATAGCCATGAGAGGGACCAGCGCTGCTGCCGAACACATGATTCGTGGGAGAAGTGGCTCGCTATTGCTAAAAAGGAAGGAGAAGCATCGAAAGCAGATGGCGCTCATCGATATGAAGGACGAGGATGGATGTACACTTCTGCATCGAGCTGTCGCCGTAGGAAACATCTGGACTGCAAGGGTCTTCCTTCAACACGGCGCCGACATCGACTCGGTTGACAACACCGGGAACACTTCATTACACTTCGCGATCAAGATCCATCAGGATGCCTCGAGGGACCTTCTCTTGGACCATGGAGCAATCCCCACGATCAAAAATAAGGACAAGAAAACACCGTTAGAGCTGTCCTGGGCGAGCAAATCTCTCGGTTGGGCCAAGTACTCGGAAGACGTGGAGCGAAGTGGGAAGGTGAGTATCGGAGCGCAGGCAGCTTGCCATGTACTCAGAAAGAAATCAGGCTGCGATGGCCCCGAGGTATGCCTTCCGTCAGCTGTGCTCTTCCTCAGAGAAAACTTATTGCCTTCTAGTTCATATTCCGTAAGACGTACGCCATTTCGCAGAAATCGCTAGAAGGGTATAGTGTGTATAGAGCGCTGCTTCGCGAAAACCGCACCCTTCAGCGCTTCCAACATCCATATATCGTCGCCTATCTCGGATATGAGGAGCTCGTTACTGAGCAGGCTACTGAGGCTAGACTGTATCTGGAGTACTGCGAGGGCGGAGATCTGCAGAAGTCGTATGTTAAGCTTACTCTGCCCTCATCCGATGCCTTGGATGAAGAAGAAGAAGAAGAGGACTACGAGTTGGCTCAACGCTTCTTGGAGCTTAATAAAGTTGAGAACCTGAAGGAGGCGGAGATGTGGGATCTGATCTATCAGTTATTTGCGGCTCTGGCTTATCTCCATTACGGATTGTCCATATCCGAAGAGGGCGCCTGTAGGTTCGAACACAATTGGGATCCAGTGGTCCACCGGGATATAAAGCCACACAATGGTAAGCACTTTCTAACCGCTGGCAGTAGCTTTTAAAGAGCGAACTGTTAACTACCTACTTCCAGTGGTTTTGACCACAGATTCCAAGGGTCGGCGAATAGCTAAGCTGTGCGATCTTGGCATTGCAAGGCCGTTCGTGAATGTGAATCAGTCTAGGGCTTCTGACCGAGGATCCCAGGACTATTCTCCCCCTGTGAGTGTCCTATACAAAAGCTCTATATGCTTGGCTAAGCGCAGGTCTTTAGGAGACGTTTGATCCGAAAATTGAAGAGAAAGACAGAAAGTGGACGAGCAAGGGGGATGTTTATAGCTTGGGCAGTAAGTCAAATCCAGTGCAGAGCAAGATCTAGGCTCTAACCAGCATAACAGAGACCCTGGGTAGACTAAACATGGACTTCTCACCGACTGGCCAGCTGAAAGAGATCCTCGAAAGTTGCCAACATCGAAATCCCGAAGATAGGCCCAACAGCCTCTCCGTCCTTGAAGTTGCGCAACATCACGTGGAAAACCCGTTCCCATCATTGGAAGAAAAGCTAGGCGGCAGACCGGGAGGATATATCATGCAGGCCTTCCTTGAAATCGCAACGGACCTGGATATGTTTAGAGGCGAGGTAACGCGCCGACGAAAAAAGCTCCTAGGACGTCTCAACCTACTTCTTAAGGACGGCGCAAGGACCCCGTTTCGTAAGTATTCCCGGTCTCTGCATCTTGCGGTGCTGTTAGGGGAGGAGGAGCTGCTTCGGCGACTGTTGTCAGAAGGAGTAGATCCAAACGAAAGTTGGCCGAGGTCTGACTGGACGCCTCTTCATTTGGCGGCCCAGAAGGGGGAAGCAAAAGCTGTCCGTGCCCTTTTGGAAGCCAAGGCAGCTATCTTGGAGGACCGCAGAGGGCTTTCGCCGCTAGAATATGCGTCGCAGGAGGATGCGATGGAAATCCAGGAGTATATGCGCAAGTCATCCCCCGACGGCCACCACGGGGACCTCAGATGAGAAATCTATGGACGGTTGCAAGTTTCGGCGGTGGCTGTGGAGGCGAAGCGAAGGAATGCGAGAAACTGTGCAAATGGCTGACAAGCCATCAGCGCTAAGCTGTAAGCGTCTTGGCACGGAATAAAATCTTGCACTCGGCATTTTTGCACTCTTCCACCTTGCCGTTGCATCGATGCTCTCACTCCTTCCAGCGGTGCAAATAAAGCCGTGCTGGGGCCCAAACGATCCTTTACTTCAGCTTTTCTATCGCACCGCATAGAATGGTTGTCCGAGGATGCCATGCTCCCTTTCGTTGATGCCTAGCTCCCAAGTCATATAAGCGGCGCTTCTGCACATCCAACGTTTCGGCACCTTTCCTTCATCTCTTCCTACTGAATCGTGGCGTTTCCAAAGCCAATATCTTGTGCGCAGCAGTCCTCTCAGTTGATGTCACTAGGGAATACTGCTGAGTCAAGCAGCACTGGACACTTAGTTCAAGATGACCAAGGACTGGGAGTCGGTGCAGGCCGAGATCAAAGACCTGTCATGGGTGCAGAATAAGAGGTTGGACGAAGTGAAGAAGATTATGGAGAGTCGGCATAACTTCAAAGCTTCGTAGGTCACGTGGCTAGTCCCCTTCATCGAGCGAGTACGTTAATCGAGAAGCAGTACGAGAGCTTATCGGATGAAGCTGAGTGAATGGGGACTGACGAGACATGCGCCGCGGAAAGCGACTAAGGATAAGAGTGGGAAGAGGAAGGGCAGGCAACAGCAGGACGACGACGAGGACGAGAGCGACAGCGATACGACGGTGGGTGGGTCGCCTAGGAACGCGGATGGCGTGGACGACCTACCTGTTCTTCCGACTGTGGAGCCATTGATGAGCGTTAGTCATACTCCCATCGATCCGACTCTGAACATTCTTGAAGGGAGCCAAGAGTGAGTGGATCCCAGGGACACGCTACCAACTAGTTTACTGATCCCGAGCCAGCCTTCTGCCTCCTGAGGACCGCCCGGCCCTCGACCCATGGGCTCAAGGTAGCACCATGGCTAATAAAACTGTTATGGACATGCTTTCCGCCGTGCTAGACGGTGACTCTCAGAAGCTTGAACAGCTCATCGTTAAGAACCCGAATCACGTCAACTACCCGGTCGGTCTTCCATTTGAGGCGCATAGCGGGCGATTCTTCAATCATCCAGCTATGCAGCAGTGCGTCATTCTACAGCATCCCGATCAGAAACTGCTCGACATTGCCTGCGCACTTCCTTCGGGACCAGTGGTCTGGGTTTTAGCAGCACATGGAGCGAACGGATCACGTCATCCACTGGGTACGGACCTTGCTTTTCATAATGCGATCAAGAACGGTCGCACTTATACAGTGCAGTCCTTATTACACTCTGGAAAGTCAAGCATCCATGGTTTCCCCGGGACCACATGGAAGCCCCTGCTACAGGCCGTCTATGGGAATATACCAGACGTCGTCCGCTTGCTTCTTGACAGAGGCGCCAACGTCAACGATATGTCTCCGTGGGTCGATAGCGTCCTCAAGAGTCCATTGCAATTCTGCCTAGAGGGCCGGGCAAACCGGTACATGAACCCTGTCCAAAGAGATCGCTTCGAAAAGGTTCTAAAAATGTTACTTGATGCTGGTGCCAATATCCATATTCGGCCAGCAGACGATCAAGCCCTGACTTCCTTCGAATCCTTCATCAAACCATGGCAAGGCGACCCGCTTTGGGTGGCCAAGCTTAGTCCCACGGAGATAGAGTGCCTCGAGGCATTTGTCGAAAAGGGCGCTGATCTTCAGGTGCCGTTCAATGGGTTTCCCTGCGGAGCGTTGTCACGCGACACCTTTGAGCATCAGGTTTTATGGCATTCGGCTCCGGCAGCAGCTCGGCTTCTCATCGATCATGCGACACCGACGGTTGGTGGAAACGGGGCCAATCTTCTACATGAGATTCTTGGAAGCTGCCCGGATGCTAAACGACACCCGGCTGAGACGCTTCGAGATGTCGAAGTGCTTCTCAAACGAGGCGCGGACCCGAACAGGGAGGATAGCCAGACTTTCACCCCGCTGAGGAGGTGCATCGAAAAATGTCCGGCTGTTGACATCGTTCCTCGCCTGCGACTACTTCTGGATGCGGGTGCAGATCCGGAGCTCAAGCACGGCAATCGATTGGCGCCTTACGTTCTTGCTGCCCGTAACTTCGACGAGCCTTTACGGTCCCAAGTCATGGACTTCCTCGTCGCCAAGATCAAGGGCCGCCAGCCTCGCGTGGTCTACGACGAGACCTTCAAGTGGAGCGAGGGATACTTTCCTATCCCGGATGAGCCTAACTTCGCGCAAGTACAGCGGTACAACGGACAGAATGGCGACTTCAACGCCAACCTTCAACGTATGGTGCCCGAGGATGTTCAGGCGGCCTTTCAGCGCGCAGCTTTCAGTGTTGCGAGCATGAATTTCCTCAATGCCGCTACGGAAAGGGCGAAGATGACAGCGCCACTTCAGCTCACTGTCAGCGAAAAGGATGAGATCTACCAGATCGTTGCACAACGCCAGAGTGCTGGATTTCCGGAATACAGATTCGACCAAGAGTTCGTAATGGGTTTACTGAAGCCCCAGATGGCGCCCGTTCGCGCACAGCTAGGCAGTGCGCTCGACGTATCTCCACTATCCGACCCCATGCTCCCCCACCAAACGCCCATCTCGTCCACCGCTCCCACCGTACCCGACATCCTCGCGACCTCTTCCTCCCTCGCCACAACAACATCCTCCCGCCGCTCCTCCACCTCGTCTAATGATTCAGCTGGGTCTTTCTTTATTCCCTCCACAACGCAGATTCGATGGCCTGCTCTGGGTCGCGAAACCAGGCCCGCGGACATCAAGAAGGCGAAGTCGGCGGTGCTGAAGCATAAGTGTGCGGATTGCGGAGATGGGAATCTGCTGACGCAGGCTGAGCTGGAGAAGCATGCGGTGGAGCATGAGCATAGTATGGGGTGTATGGATGAGGCGTGTAAGAGGAGGTTTTGCGCTGCTAAGGGGTAAGGCACTTTTTGGGTGTACTGGAACTTCTACGTCATACAGCCCATGGTATCGCACTTAGACCCTCATCGACTGACATCGGAACTCTTTCGCCTCGAGCCTCTTTCGCCTGACCCAGTCTGCGGCCAGCCGTTCTCCTTGCGCCAATCAGACTAAGGGCAAGGCAGCTTGCGGTGCTAGGACCTCCTGCATTTACTGTGAAATATTCATTGGCGGAAATCACGAAATGGTAAGGCTCGCGAGCTGGATCGGCACAATCCCGGACCCCGGCGACGCTGCGTTGCGCATGATATGCATGCGATCCGGGAATTTTCCGACCAGGTATTGGTTCAGGCCCTCGGATCCCCCTTCTTCTTGCGGCCCTTGACGCCACCTCGCTTCCCCGGCCAATGGCTAGCATTGTCGATGCGATAAATGGAGAGGTTGCTTCAACACCATACGCGCCGCTGCGTTGCCGCAGAGTGCCCGACAAGCTCACCGGTCATGGAGGCGGCCCTCTACTGCGCCTCTTATGGCCTTTCCTACGCGTCTCCCCCTGGTCATCACTGAAGGTGGCCAACCAGAGTCTGCTGCTTGGTCAAGCACTCCCACCTCTGTCCTGCGAATTCCGTGCCGCAGAGGCATACAAACTGCCTTCTTCGTCATTGTAATGTAGCTCGCTGCCGTGTGGGCGTGGCCCGAAATGCATATAAAGAGGCCCTGGGCCCGATCAACTCCTCAGACTCGGACGCAGACAACTCCTGGCCGTCCCTCGCAGCGGGCCTCGTAGCTTTCTGTACACTCTTGGTAGGCAGTCCAGCTCTTACTTGTCCATCAATCAGCTATCTGATGGAGCGACGACTGATTTGTTGACCCCAGATCCCTTGTCAATTGATCATCATCATCACTACTATCCGACGCTAGGTGCGCGCCGCTTCGTCAACGTAAGGCGATCTTGTCTTCCTCCAGCTGCCAGCATTCTCACTTCTAGATGTAAGATGTCCGATCAGCCCTCTGCCCCGCCGATTCAAACTCCTGGTAGCGCCAGCGGCGCAGTCAACCACGACTCCAGGTTTGTGGCTATCCGTACCACCACTCTAGGCGGGCCGTCGCAGACAAGCGGCGCTGGTTCCGGCACACCCGCTATACAAGAAACAAGCATCTCCCAGCCAGAGAAACGGCGGTATGATTCCATCACTGCTTGGCTCTCCGGCTCGGACGATCCGTGGTCATCCTGCAATCGGAGAACATCTTGAGGAGAACGAGAAGAGGTCCCTTGGCTTTCCGAAGCGCGAAGATTCTTAATGATGGCGAATGTTTTGGATCACTTTCTTTCGCACTTTCGTATCAGAACTAGTACGAGGGAAATAACGTGGCAATCAAGCGGCACTTTGCTTTGGTGGCATTCCTTGTTTGACCAAAGAGGAATATTCGCCACACTGGCCAAGGGCAAGGGACCCCTTGGCGCGTGGGGCGAGTAGCACTTCAACCACTTGCAGTGTTACCATGCACCCGGCAACGTGAGGACAACCCCCGAGCTGATGATAACTCAACAACCACGTCCACACGTTTCCGCGTCGCGGCGCTGCGGAGGGCCGAATTATGCCCTAGCAATATCACTCTTTATCCTAAGCACGATTGCCAAAGACGCCACGCGGGCGAGAGAAAAGAGGGCGTGAGGAGAGCTTCATTCGTCAATCCGATACGAGGAGACATGGATGTTCAAGGCCATATGATAGCTAATCGACGCACTGACTGACGTTGATACTATATGCACTTGCCTGCTGCAGCGCCTGTTCGCTGTTCGTACATGGGACCGTGTTTCGCAGCGCAGCAGCGATTCCCGCTCGCGCAAATGCAAGCCATAGAGGGGCGCAAATCTAGCCTATCCAGTGGAGTTACGCGGCGAGAACCAGCCCCTACACCTGCGCTAGCGCTCCCGAAGCGAGCTGACGCGCCCGCGGGCATATCCAATAGCAACGTAGGATAGGAACGTTAGGCAGCCGACCGTGGGAGTCGGCTGTCCCTTCAGAATGACTACGCCCCAACGAAATTAGATAATACTTCCTTTCTATGCCTACTCGACATCTATCCTGAGCCCCACCATTATGGTACTTCACCTGGCTTCTCAAATCGATCGTGCCGTTGACTGGTCTTCAGGTTTTTTTTTCTATTAGGAGAGGTCCACGACAGGAAGGCAGCACGTTCGCTGCTTACGTCTCGGTGCTTCTAACCTTTACTCCCCTGGCGTGAAGCCTATCCTGGAGGCTTTTAAATGCCGGCGAAGTGCTTCACGGCGCACTGATTGGGCTCATACGATGCGACTACCAAATGCCCCGAACGATTGATAGTAACGCGTGGTAGTATCGCTAAGCATACGTACTATTGTATGCACCTGCGAGGCGTTTAGGTGGTTGTTGCGTGCGTCACGTCCAGAGAATCCAATGCGCGCAAAGAGGATATATACCGCAAAGATGACCATGACTGCTATATCAGTCTCTATTTATGGTGACTGATGGAATACCTTCCGTTGACACATGAATCTCGCAGGATGAACCACTCGTTTTAAGTCACCAACCTATAGAGGTTATGCTGACTAACACATGACGATGTCTGGCCGTAGCAAGCTCTTTCCATGGATGAGAGTAAGAGTACTAGATACCTATATAAAGAGTATCTATATCTAGTAAAAGTTATAGCAGAGTATACCTCTGCTCTAGTGCATATAAAATAGAACGTTATACTATATCTACCTCCTCTATCTTTATAGATCCTTGTTTTACCCGCAGAGCTGCCTCACCATCCATTAACCCCAGAACAAAACAAGTCCCTAGGTGTAAAAAATGTGACCCTTCTCTCCGAAGGAGTACCGGGCAAGGACAACCTTGGATTATACATACTATATCACCAGCTCGAATACCATGAAGAGAAGATCCTATGTATCCTGCAGATGTATAGAATAACTGCTGTTTTTCTCTCAAACAACGCCACAGGTGGGGTCTAAGGAAAATCCCTTGGCCGAGAATGCGCAAACACAATTCTTTTTCGGACTGCCAGCAGTCATTCGTTGTCGTGCTCGGGAATATTTCTTGGAGAAGCGACGTGATATGGTTTTCAGAGGCTATTCCAAGCTCCTCTACCGTTGCCTGCAGCGTCTCAAAGATGGGTGGACTTGAAGATAGGCCATCCAAAAAGTAGACTACTGCCAGCAACAAGCTCTGCACCGACAGATGTTCTAATTCTGAAATGTGATCTTCGTGTTCAGACCCGCTATCTGCCAATATTGTCCGCAGGATTGCCTGAAGGTAGGGAACTTTGGTGAGACATTCGATGTCTGTCGACATCTTCATGAAGTTCCTGTAGAGACGAGCTAGATTGGTCGACTCTCCATCATAGATCGGCTCGATTTCCGAAATTGTGTCGCAGATACAGGCATTGACCCGTAAACGAAGCTCGTCGAGCACTCGCGGCTGTGTTACACAGAGAATATCGAGCCCAATATTGGAATTGCTTGCTAAAGCCGGGAAAGCTTGCCAGCTATCCGCAAAAGAAATCCCTTGCCAGTCGGGGACCCAGGATGGCAGACTTAGTCCCGGTGTCTCAGGTAGTTGAAGAGTGGTGCCTGCGAAACGCAAATGATAGAGGTCTCCTGTCGTTTCGATCCATCTAGACGTAAGTTCACAAAATACCTCCGATGGACTTTTTCCGTAATCTGGGGTGATAAAGTTCCCGAGTAGACCTTGTAGGGCGAAAACCTTGTCTACAGGATTCGTAGCCTGGAAATCCCGGGTAGAGAAGATTGCTTCGAGTTTATCCACATCGTCCAACGGTTCGAGACCTTTGGCGCGATTTCGGAATTCCTCAACGGTGATATGGACTTGGGTAGGGATTTGCTCATTCCACCACAAGAAGTAGCCTAATTTATAAGGCAAAACACTTTTCCCTGGTCTAGACCCTGAGCTGAGGTGCCGAATCAGTTCTATGGAACTTTTTACGTCCTCATAATCAAGAATATGTTGGCCGACCATGACCCAAAGACTCCGCGCAAGCGCCATCTCTTGAAGAATCCATACTCGACCCCAATATGACGACGAGAAGAATGTTTGTAACGACCTCCAAGTGTGATTAGGGATACCGTCAAGATTGTTGTCCACTTCCAGGAGCGAGGGATAATCGCGCATCCAATACAGATCTTCTAGCCACCCTGGCACGGACCCCGCCACATGCTGAAATGACTTCATCGCCGTAACAGCGGAATCCATCTCGCCGTTGTTATCGGTGCCTAGCCACGAAACGACTGTCGACGCTCTCGAGTAGATGGCTCCCATGAGCTGGACCTGGCAGGTCTTCTCTTCCTCATTATTCTGGTTGATACAGAGTGCGTCAGCCCAGATTAGTGGCGACAGTGGGCTGGATGCTCGAAAAGCTGCGGCGCGTATATGCTGAAGCGCCAAAGCTAGCGTTCTTCCGACACTGGTAGCTGTGCCATTGATTGATATAATAGCTGAATCGGAGTCGGGTCCCCATCTGTAGGATAAGGCTGTGTACATCTTGTCAGTGCCCAGCGCATCGACTATGAGATGGCATGATACAGTGTCATTCTCATCCGCCGACGGGAGAAGTCTGAGCAGTCGAATTGAGGGAATATTCGCAGGCAAGCTCTCGTACAACATTGTGCAGCGTAAGAAGTAATATTTTCCGGGTGAGTGGATAGTGGTCGTATTGTCCGGCCATAAAACCTTGATGAAGACAACGGAAATGACAAGAAGATGAGGTCAAGGACGAAGACTGGGACTCTAGGCAGCAACTCTAGGCCGCAATGCGCGACGGATCTAATTCCGGCGCTTAAAATTTGTGGGCCCAAGCTTGCTGCAGCTGCGCCACTATACCTCTCGACGTTGGGCAGGTCAAGCCGCTCTTGCACCATCGGCCCTTAAGCAGTATCAACGTATCCTAAGCCAATGATGAAAGATAAGTGACTATTATTTTGATGTTGTTGCTGGAGCTTGTCATGGTTGGCTAGTTTGTTAAGGTTTGGCGCAATGGCCTGCAGCCTTGAACATACCAAGGTCGGTTAAGGCGGCGTCTGACCAAAGTCACAACCTTAGAATCGCAGTCTCATTGCTTCTCAACCATTATCTTCCGATTTCTCGCTTGGAGACTATCGCTTCCTCTACTATCCTTTTTCCTCATTACTAGCTTATTGCCCTAGACCTGCAAACACCTCATCAGCGACCCATCGATCCACCAAAGATGTCTCTCGTCCGTGTCGACACCACACTGCTATATATCGAGCGCACCGTCTCATGTTTCAAGGATTAAGTTTTCGTGGGTACAACGCCCACGCTTTCATTCTTAGGAGCGTCTAAAGCTACTTTCTTCGGTGTCAGCGTTTGGGCGGTGCTGGAAGTGCATTTTTGAAGCTAGGTATGGTTATGCTAGAGATACATTGGCGTCGCACTAATAACAAGCCTTTATAAGGGCTTTCCGTTCTTTACACATTGCTTGAAAGCCGGGTGGTCTGCAAGCTTCCGAAATGCCTGCTTCATCGCCTCTCGACTTCCCGCATTCCCGGCCTGTCCTTTCGGTGCTAACTTGAACAGATTCTTGGGAGTCTTTTCCAACAGTCTAGCCAGACGGGGCGAAAACGTTGCGAGCCGGGGAATCACGCGAGACAGAAGCGACGTTCCCATTCGGACAGCAAACAGCGCAATCTCCACGAAAATCGCGAACGGGTTCCTTTTCTTCACCGTTTCCTCTCCGCGAGCCTCCCGCTTCGCCAGGTTGCTCATATCACAGAAGTCTTCTGCGTTCAACGTTTCGTCTCTTTTCTCGAGGTCGTTCTTCAGAATGTCTCTCTTCAGGGCCCTCTCCGCTCTCCTACGTTTCTCTTCGTACTCATGTTCCTTCTCCGTGATATCCTCTCTCTTCTTTTGGCAACGGGCCTCGAGTGTCCCATTCCCGTTCCGTTTGCAGAAGTCGTGGCTATTCCAGAAGTCAAAGTCCGCTTGCTCCATCCTCTGGATGAATGCCTCCATATAAGCTTTCTCGTCCTATTCAATTAGAATATCAGCAATTACATCGACATTCTACAGCTTACTCAGCTTATAGTGAAGAAACTTACGACGCCGGTTCCAATATCGTCAACATTCACGTCTGACGGGAAGTATTCGAGGAACTGGTCATCCTCGACGAAGTCGGCATCGAAGTAACAGGCAGTCATATCCATATAACTCTCAATCTCCGCATTTCCTTCCCTCCTCAAAAGCGCCCTCTTCGTCGGGATGAGTCCCGCAATCTGCTGTCCGGCTACCATGGCAGTGGCCATTCCACACTTGAAAGACTTGATCTTCTTTTTCTTCTTGTCGTTAGTCTCTTTCTCCTTCCGCTTTCTCCCTTCTTCGATCTTATCCTTTCTCGCTTTTCTCTCTTCGTCCTGCTTGGCTCGCTCCTCTTTCTTGTCCTCCCATCTCTTCTTGAACTTGTTCTTCATTTTCGACCACCTGCTCTTCTTCTTGTTCTGATATTGGCGAGTCGGCTTGCATGTTTTCTTTGCCTTTCCATTTGGACCGACGGTAACTGCTGCATACTGCTGCTTCCTGTCACACTTTGTCTCGTCGTTCTCGTCCCAGTCTAAACATTTGGGTTTAAAGCTAGCGTCATTCTCCCCCCCCCATCGGGCCGAATCTCTGGCAGTTTGGGCGGTTTGCAAACTTTCTCGTCGTCGATGGCGCACTTGAGATCTGCGGGGTTAGTGTCGAGCTTCTGTGGGCCTTCCTTGGGATCGAGGACTGTATCGCCTGGACATTTTCCCTTCCGCTTCGCGTCCCGCTCTTCATTGGTATCGCTGTCGGTGACGCAGATAACGTGAAGAAGATCTGGTTTCGACCCGAGAGGACACGGGATGCAGCGACGACAGTTGGTGGGGTCTTTGATTCTTCTTCCTTTGCAGCGTTTGCGGCATCGGTCTTCGCAAGATTCGCCGTTGGCGCGATGTTCTAGGAGGTTGTGACCAGCGTAACTGGGGATGATAGCGGTATTTCCTGGGGGATTAGGGGCAGCGCGAATTGGTAGCGTATTAAGATTCCAAAGGAGAGCAAGGTAAGTCACAAGAAGCTTCATAGTGGGGAACAGCCCTTCCACCAAGGCTTGAAAATAGGCAGATTTGGCAGGGGATTGGGATAAAGAGAGCTTAGGATGTAGTTTGAGAAATATTTGACGGAGGTGTGCGTTAGACGTCCTCAATATTATATGTACTTCTATTCCTTCGATTACCTAGGTGTGTAAGCGTCGAAGGTGTCGTTGCCCATGGATGAAGCCACTCTGGCGCCGAGCCAGGTGACGCAGGTCATTCACGGTCATAAAACAGATCTTGCGGCGTGGGGTCACATTTTCCGGCGGCATAGTTAGGTCGCCCAGTTTGCCCATCCTTCTCTCCTACATCGGGAGCAAATTTCTACGTGGACGGCGGAGGTACGGCCACGTGAAGTCCAGAGGACCGCAATTTCAATCCTTTGCGTCCTCTCTAATGGAGTTGAAAGCAAGCTGGCCTTTTTCTTTGAGTCAAATGCTGTATACTTCGAGAAGCGGCGCAACGGCGTGTAATGAGGAAGGAAGAGTTTGACTCGTCGCATGCTTCAGGAAGCGCCGTTACGGGACACCGTGTAAAGAGAGAAGGAAGGGTAGGTGTGCTACATCCTTTAGGAAGTGGCTTAATAGGACACCCTGTGTGAGTCAAGGAAGGGTTGTGACGCCGCATCCTCGAAGAAGTGGCACAAACGCAGGGGTAATGCAGCAAAGAAGTGTTTGGCCCCGGCGTCGCTTGTAAGACGGGCAACCTTCGATTTCTACTCCTCAAAGTCGAAACAATAACTGACGGATTGAGGACGTTCTTAGATTGCAGTTACCTGTTTCAGGATGTGATGCCTGCAAACGACAAACCACCGTCAGACAATTCCTCCTCAGTGTCCCTGACCTTGCCGTACAGCGCAGCGCCTCCATTGTTATTGAACACGTGTGTTATGATGACTTTATAACTGTAGGCTACAAGCCAAGAATTGGTTGTGATTTTTCATCAGTTCCATACTCGCTCACTCTGATCTTTTCATTGAACACTACCTATCAATTCGTTACCTTATTCAAAAATGCATCTCCTGAAGACGTTACTTGCCACGGCAGTTGTCCAGCAAACTGTTGCTATTCCTATCAATCCAGAACCCTCTCTCCTACTTCGCTCATTCTCCCTCATCGAGCGCGGCGATCCTCCTCCCCAATGCGCTGACGACGCTGCCACTGAAGAGCAAGGCTGCTTCACCCTTCAAGACGCCTCGAACAAGGACGTGCGATTCGCACTCGCCCCCGGGCAAAGCTTCGACCAAGGCATCGGGCAAGGTCACTTTTCGAAAGTCGCACACTGCGTACTCAAAGACGGACAGGACATTGCCGTCAAGCGATTCCTCCGTGCGCCTGAAAATTACCGTGAGGTGAATGAAAAAAGTTTCCAATTCCTCAAAGAGCTGGAAGGAAATGAGCACATCGTGAAAGCGTTTGCTCGTGGGATTGTCCAGGGTAAAGTGGCCCTCGCTATGGAGCTTGCTCCAGATGGCGATGCCGAGTCGCGAAAGATGCAGGGGGAGTTCAAGGGAAAGGAGAATGAGAAAAAGATGAAGGACGTTGGGAATCAGATTTTGGATGCGCTAGCGCACATGCATTCGAAGGGTATCGCACATCTAGATATTCAAGAAGGAAATGTTGTGTTTATTAAGGATACGGCGAAGGTGATTGATTTCGACTATGCATTAAAAGACACCAAGTATAGAAACTCGGTCCCGGGAGGTGATGGAGGAGATGCTGCACCTGGTAAGTCGCTGAGTTATTCCTTTTCTTGGGCGATCCGTTAACACATCTCTAGAGGCCTTCCGCGGGGATGATTCGTCCGATTCGGAGGAGCTTGAACTGACTTGGGAGTGGGCTCTGAATAGACAGATCGACGTCTACGCGAACGACGTGTGGACAACGGCTATGATGTTCATTCGGATGACAACGGGACAGGGCTTTCCAGAACCGGGGCACTTTCCGAATTCCGGTAGCGAAAGAATGGTCGAAATAGTTGTGACTGATGATGCAAACAAACGAGTGGAAGAAATCAAAAAGGAATGGCCCGACTTTTCGCAAGAGTTCGCGGAACTACTAGGGGACATACTTTGCGAACAAGACAGACGAATGAGTATGAGGGAATTCAAGGAGGGCTTTCAAGACGTTACGATTTATAAATGTTCGGAGGAGTAATTATTCTATCTTCTTGGGCCAGCGGAGACAATAAGATTTAGTGCAGATAATTATCGTCTCCTGTGATACATGTTCCCGCAATAGAAAATTCTCGCGAGTGGGTTGATATGTGGACAAAGACGAGAACACGAGGAGGCAGGCTGATACATTATGTGTGTGCGAGAGCGCGCTCTCTACATAGGCACCAAGTTAGAGCGTAAGGATCCCAGTGTTGAGGTGGGCGTTGAAAGCCGTCACTTGTTACCGCAATTGATCCAAATGGATCCGGCATTAATCGCGAAAAACTTCGTCATCGATGCGGCATAGTGAGGGAAACAGGAACTGGCAGTTTATAACTTCGCTTTCTTACAACACAACGGAGATCCTCCCTCGGTATATATGTCTACCCTACAGGAACTCACTGGCAGTGACCTTGATGAATCTTATCTATTCTGGCGATACAGTGACCCTACTTCCCCGGATTCAGCGGTTCTCCGCAGCCAGGCCAGCCCGGCAACAGTGGTCTCTCGCAATTAACTTCATCCCCGTCTGTCGGCTCCTCATCAAGATCGCAACCGGCGAAACCCCCAAAGCACGCGTCTCGCATCTCATAACTCTTCCACTTATCCTCCTTCAGCTTCTCAAACACATTCGAGCAGCTGTTATCGACATATGCATCCTCGATCTCAGTACTCGGATCGCAGTTTTCTGAAGTGAAGAAGACGAGGGCTTGGGACTGGGCTGCCATGCTTCCATCCTGGGAGACCGAGATGGCTTTTTCTTCGCGTTGTTTTCCTTCGAGCAGTTCGACTTCGAGTTGTTCCGTAACATCGCCTCGCTTGATGCAGCCCACGTGCAGTCGAAGGTCAAGTTGGGGTCTGAGGGTATGATCGCCGGTGCAGTCTTCGCTTTCCCACACCGAAATCTGGATGTTACCACAGGATACGCTTGCAGCTAGGGCGAGGATGGCGAAGAGGTGTCTGCGTAACATAGCGGGGTTTACGGAGTCCCTGTCAAGATCAGTTTTATCTAAGGCTATTGCGGTGTGAGTATCTACCTTGAGAGAGACTATAGCTATGGAGAGGCGGTTGTTCTCGGATTATCTGAACCGAAGGGCAGGAGCAGTGCGAGGCGAATAACGGGAGAGAAAGAGAATGTAATACGGGCACGTTGGAAGTCGACGAATACGATACGCCTGACCGGAATGATGCCAGATACTCAGCATGCTCGATCGCATACGTGTAATCAAAGCGATGTTACCCCCCTGGTTAGTGAACACGTAGTGATGATCCATTCATAGCCAGGAAATGGCGTAGCGAGAAGGTCTATGCGGCATGGGCATGCAGGCTGCGGCGTCGACGACGGACGTTGTTTGAGGTGTGTACAAAACCAATAGAAAGGATTTCTAACTCTGCTCTCTATTTATAGTGACTGATAAAATACCTTCCGTTGATATGAATCTCGCAGGATGAACCAATTCCTACGCAAACCTCATTCCTGGGCGTCCTCTGCCCTCTAGGCGTTGACGTTGGCACCGTTGTCGAGTAGCAACTTCACAACCTGCTCGTGACCTCCTACTGAAGCTGCCTGGAGCGCGTTGCCGTGGTATCCCCCCATGGCGTTGACTTTGGCACCATTGTCAAGCAACAACTTCACAATCCGCTCATTGCCTTCTGCTGAAGCTGCGTAGAGGGCGTTTCCCCATTGTCCACCAGGAGTGTTGGGATTGGCGCCGTTGTTGATTAGCAGCTGCACAATATGCTCGTGGCCTGATGCTAAAGCCTCTTCGAGAGCGCTGCCGTGGTTTCGACTGGGTGCGTTGATTTTGGCGCCGTTATCAAGCAGCAGCTGCACAATCCGCTCGTAGCCGTTCCACGAAGCCGCGTGGAGCGCGTTGCCGTAACCTAGACCCCAGGCGTTGACATTAACGCGTTTGTCGAGCAGCAGCTTTACTATCCCTTCATGCCCCTTCTCTGCTGCTACGCAGAGCGGTCCCGAATAATAGCGGTGGCGTGTGGCTTGCTGATCGGCTCTTTCTCCAAGCAACAACTTTTGGACTGTCGCCTCTTGACCATGTTTGGCAGCCCATAATAGCGCTGAGCCTTCGGTCCGTTGTATGGCATGACGGTAGAGAGAGGAATTCAGCAGGTGGTAAAGGCGGCGGTTGCATCGTGCGAAGGCGTTCAAATCCCTGTTTGATTCTATGTTGTCTGCTATGCAGTAGAGGAGATCGTTCGCGAAATTGAGTAGCGGCATTGTGAAAGTGGTATCTGGGTTGTAGGCGTTGTTGATGGGTTGATTGATTCTGTCCTGCTCCCACTCAGTTTTTAACCGCGTCTCAGCCTCGTGTTGATCCGCTACGCCGCACCTCCACCCTGCCAGCTGTCTCCAGAGGTCAGCCTTCTCGTCCTCAGCCATGTCTGTGGTCAACTTTTGTCTAGCATACTCCACTGCAGAAGATACCGTGACAAAAAGGCTTTGGGATGGGAGAAGACCCTTGGGAATGGAGCGGCGTTAGCGCAACTCTTAGGCTACATAACGTTACCCTAGTACGTCGTGCTAGGCATCCAAAGACTCTAGCTTTCCTCAACCTTCGGCGAATTCAAGCAAAGACTCTTCTAACTGTTCCCTCTTGTCGCTTTTATCGGAGCAAAAGAGAAGCAAACTCGGATTACTTAAGTTCGTTTTCTGAAAGGACAAGCCGACAAGGTCTCCTAGTCGATGCAACAACGTTCATCTTCTACCAAGTCGAGGGATAAGTTGCAGACGTAGTTTTGTGTATACTGTTGAAGCAACTCGCTCTCCTTTTCTCGAGTTGTGCTATGCTGACCATTGGCAAGGTGGCCTCGTGGGCAGCACCAGAATTCCGCTTTCACAAAGTATATTGTATATAAACGTCATATTTAAGCATAACAGATACATACGACTAGGTGGGTGACCACTTGCGAATACCCGCTGTTGTATGTTTTTGAATTTTTTTGCTCGTTCAAGGTGCATTAGTGGGTGACATGCCGTGCTTTCGTGAAACCCGCCTCTTTTTTTTGGGTAAGAGGGAGGGAAGCATCAGGATGGGAGCAGCAACCAAAGAAGAACAGAAGGCGGTGGCATAGTAGTGAGAGGGTCTCCCCATGTCTAAGGCGGGGTTTAACCTACAGGAAATACACGATGTGGGCGGAACAAATGCTACCAATACTCTACCTGTAACACTATCATAATGCCCGCTCGGCCTCTCTGCAGCTTTCTGGAAGCGCAGAGCTGGGTATCGTACAGTACCCTATCCTAATTCTCTAGTGCTATGTCAAACTCCCAAACGCCAATGAATATGCCCAAATATGCTACCGCACAATGACCCACGTCTAGTCTACATACCCTTTACATTTGACCTCCACGAACTTGTGCTTCCCGTCCGCATCGATCACCATGGCGGTTAGATGCCCGCCGGACACGCAGCCGGAATCGAGGCCCATGCTGTACTTCTGGATGTTCTTCCCCCTCTTCCTGTCGTGCCCGTATATGACCGTTGTGCGCTCGTGCGCCGGCTTCTTCTTCTGCTGGTGGTTCCAGAATTTCTCCCAGGGCGTGCCGTCGCGGTTCTCGGACGGCAGGCGCGTTTTCAGATCGATGGTTCGCATGTTCATCACATGGAACGGGTCCTGGTTCTCGAGGGATATGTCCGGGACGAGCCCCGCGTGCACGACTACCACTTCGCCCAGGTCGCCGAGTTTGCCGACGCGCAGGATGACGGGGCATTTTTGCAGCCACGAGATTTGGTCGTGCGAGAAGGATTTTGCGAGCTTGCGCACTTCGTAGTCGCCGTGCGAGAAGGATTCTTCGTCGAGGAAGTCGGGCGTGCGGCTGGGGGACTCGTTGGGGCCGGGGATGGCGGGGTTGGGGTGCGAGGCGGTCTCGGCGAGGGAGAGGAGGAGTTTGTCTTCGTGGTTGCCGCGGACGCAGGAGGCGTGGAGGCGGTGCGCGAGGGAGACGACGCCGGGCGAGTCGGGGCCTGTCTATGTTAGCCACGGTGTACCGGGTGAGTCGAACGGATGGTAATACCTTTCGCGATGATGTCCCCGGTCAGGATCAAGTGGTCTTTGCCTTCCCTGAAATCCACCTTCTTCAGCAGCTGCTCCAACTCTTCCTTACATCCATGCACATCCCCCACAACCACCAATCGCCCGTTCCCTGTCGGCAACAGCTTCTGTGATAGCTGCTCCACCTGCGTCATCCCCTTAAACTCCGGGCGCACATTCTTTCCAAACGCCTCCTTGGGCTCGCTATCCATTTGCGCGAGTTCCTTCCTGTAAACAGCGTACTGCGGGCCTAAGTATATCCGCCAGCTGACGAGTAGGACGACGGCAAAAAGCAGGTAGATGACGAAATAGCGCTGTATTCTCCGCGGGATGCGATTCGTGGTGCGGTTGATCATCGCCCGCCACTTGGGGTGCAGCAGGTAGTCGCCCTCGTCGTGCGCGTAGAAGGCGTCTTCTTCGTCCGAGGCGTCGAGGCTGTGGTCGGGGATGAGGTCGATGAGCGGCCGGTGGGAGTGCGCGTCGCGGTAGGGCATTGCTCCTGCGGTTGGAGCGTGCGATGGGTGGTCTGGCGGAACGATGTGGTTGCGGTGGTCTAAATCTGTCCCGCTGAGGCTGTCCAAGAATGTGTTGTACGTCCGACTGGCGGTTCTTGTGGAAGGTCGCAAGCGTGTGGAGCTTGAACCGGGCGCTGCGCTGGTATACGTCGAGCTGGGATCTGCGGCCTGGCTCAATTGGTGTCGCGGCCAGGGGAAGCGACCATCGCGGGGAGTGTCTGAGCGAGAGGAAGAGCCGTCCGCATCTGGGGCTTGAGAGAAGGAACTTGAAGACGCCGGCGGGATACCTCGAAGCCCCTGGGCCTCCCGCTGCGACAAGTTGTCGTATGCCATCTAGCCGTCTCTGACCTAGGCTGTGGCGTCATCGGCTATCGGATACGAGCCGGGTTTCGACTGGGCGGACGTGTGGGGTGCTATTCTTAGAATTCTTAGAACAGTTCTCCTCTGCAACTAAAATCGTGGATGAGAACGAGAAGGGATGGTGTTTCGGTTTTACAGTTGCACAAAGAGTGATGTTTTCCAAGATTGCTCGAGAGTGCAGCCCCAGGGATACTCGCAGCACGTGCTCGCAACTATTTTAGGCTTAGTGCCATCCCACAAGGCAGTCGTCGAGAAAGCTCAGACCGTCACCCGTTCACCAACAACCTAGATCGAACCTCAATAAATAATCTATATCCTTCATGTCCGCGAAAGGAATTCGCCGTAGAGAGGTGGTCGTTCTAGGGGAGCCAGGAGTGGGCAAAACATGCGTCGTCGACAAGGTACTCATGAAGCCCCGGCGAGAGCATTGAATCCACCACTGAACCACAAAACAGTTCCTGCGGAACACACATTTCGCGTGCTATGAAGTGATCGACCCCATTGGCGACATGTACCCCTATTACTTCCGCACGCTAGAAGTCGACGGAGAAAGCGAACGCATTGAACCCCTGGACGTCAACTCCGCGCTGTTTCGCGAACAGGATCCGAACCTCAACTTGGGGACGTTTGAAGCCATGCTCTCGCGCGCGGCTGGCGTTGTGCTGCTTTACGATATTACTTGTAAGAAGAGTTATGAGAATATCACGAGCGAGGGCTATTTGACTGTGTGGTGTAATCGGAAAGCTGAGCGCGCGGATGGAGAGAAGTATCCGGCTGGGAGGCAGAGGGTTGGTTGTGTGCTTGTGGGGAACAAGCTTGATTTAGCGGGTGAGAAGAGGGAGGTGAGGAGCGAAGTTGCGGCTGAATGGGCGAGCATGCAGGGCATGAGGTTTTATGAGCTGGACGCGTATAATAGGGAGGCGATCGAGGAAGTTATGAGAGACCTGGTGAGGAGCATTAAGAAGGCTGAGAGAAGAGACGAGGAGGATATCCAGATGAGCAAGCACACGGTGGAGAGGACCGGAGAAGGAACTTCTCAGGACGCAGAAGGTCGAGCAGGAAATCAGCAAGCCAGTCAAGACGCAGGGGATCAGCAACCAGCCTCGTCGAGTAAAAGCAAAGAAAAAGGAGGATGGAGGAAGTCCATGTCCCTACTCTGGGATGCCTTACCCCGGCTTACTCCAAAAGCGAAGCACTCGACATGAGCCCCACTATGTTCCGCCATCTTTCAAGACATCTCAGAATATTACCGTAGTACGGAATTTTCGCGGCAATCAGGAAGACCGTCGCGGCGCGCCGTCCAAAACGCGGGGCCATAGTTTGTGTCTAGTGTCTGAGCGTTGACATCATGTAGCTGATCGAGACGTTTCTCACAACATCCAACACAGTTGCATCCCCTAGTAGAAAGCCTGAGCCTGAGCATGTTTGGATACATTAGCCAGGAGCCCTTCGAGTTGTTATTATTACACAAAGTTACTTTTGAGGCGCTTTAAGCGCGAGGCATTACGACACCAGAGTCCCAGATCCCACTAACAGCCGAGTCACCAGGTACAAACTCTCCACGGCTACCAACCCAGAACGATCAGATGCCACCGGATCCGCGGCGTAAGCTTGAAAAGCTGTGTCGCAAGCTTTCGTTCTCGGTACGCAGCGCTTCGTTCTCCTTCCGAAGCCTACTATGGTCGATAGTGAGGCGCTGAATCAAGGCCATATGCTTGCTTTGTTGGTCTTCTATGCCCTGGCTCGGTAGGCCATCCGCCAGACCCGTAGCCTCCCGACTAAACATCGAATGTCTTTGTCATCCGCAGGGCGCACGTCCGTCTCATGAACTAGAAGTCTTCATCAGCCTTCTCACAAGCATGAATAGCCGAGTGCGCTATTCATATGGGCGTCTCTTTAAAGCCCGGGAGGAACTCGAGCGCGGATGAGGGCGTGTCGACGAAGGTCGTCACGCCGCATGACCCAGCCCGGGAAGTTGCTGGACGTGCGGAAGGGCCAGACTCCACACATGATTGGCGATCTCGTTGCTATGAAGTCGGCTCTGTCATAACGCTGTTCGTAGCTAGTGGTAAGAAGAAGGTTGGATAATGAGGTTGAAGCATGATCCGTTTCCGGCTTAGCTCGATGACGTCTAACCCACATTCGGGGAAGCTATCCCCTGAACCCCAGACAACTGCAGCTCTTCTCCCATCTCCACCACGTTCTCCTACCGACTTTATCAATCGCATCAATACACTCCACCGGTACGATACGCTTGGACGCGGTCTCCCCATTGAAGGCAAAATGGACAGGGTTCATCGCCTTTTTCCCGACGCTGCCCACCTCCTCTACCGGTCTGGCAGTCCTCACCCTCACTCACGAGACCCTGGCAGCGATAACCGACCTCTTATCTCCCGTTTGCAACTTCATAGAGGCCGAGCGTTCAGGCATCCGCTTTTCTACAGTCTTCCCTTGGTATGACGTTGAGGCCTTGTCCTGTTCCGAGTTCCCGACTGAGGTTCCTGCGACAAGCCCTTGGCTTGCCGTGTCCGGCGAATGGCAGGATATGAGCCTCCAACAGAACCGGATATCAACACTAGCACCATGTGAATCCCTCTTGGAATGCCTTGTCTCTCGGGAGCAAGTGCGTCATTGGCTGCTTTTGTGTGGCGCAGCGGGGAGAAGGAGTTGCGCCTTACTTGGCGTGTGCATCTATCGTATTCCGATCCAACATCACGCCGGGCTTGTGCGATCTGAGGCCTCACAGTGTGACAGCGGCCCAGAAATCTCCTGTCTTGGCGAGGCAACGCGCACGCTCGCGCGTACAAAAGCTTGGAGTGCCCAGGCTTGAGACGCTGCACATTTGCGATCGGCAAACCGCGCGCCTGGAACGACATCTTCACCCACCCCCAACGTCACCGCTCCATGCCCTAACTTCCTCCGTTGCCTCTCCTCGCGCGAAGACTCTAACCTTCCTCTGGCTCCAACGTACAGCCCACCATGAACGTTATTCGGCGCATTGGCAGGTCCTTCTCCCCTATCGAAAAGTCGGACGAGGGTCGCGATCAATGGCCTTCTCGCGCAGGCTTTCTCCTCGCCGCGGTAGGAGGGGCCATTGGCATGGGCAACCTGCTGCGCTATCCCAGCGTTGTCTTTAACAATCATGGGCTCCAGTGGTTTATTCCATACCTCATGGCCATCTTCATCATTGCCATTCCAGGTCTCATCCTCGAAGTGGCCATTGGACAGGCATACCAAGGCGGCACCGTCGTCGCGTACAACCACATGAACAAGCGACTCAAGGGCACAGGCATGGGCCTCCTCTTCATCGGCTTCGTCGTCAGCACCTACTTCAACACCATAGTTGCCTGGATCATGACCTTTTTCCGCCATTCGTTCCAAAGCCCGCTACCTTGGCAAGGCCGTTCACAAGAATTCTACGTCCAAAATGTTCTTCGAAGGGTCGAGCCAATAGAAGGCAGCTTAAGCGCCGACGGAAGCAGCGTGCTGTCCTATACCCAGTACCCTGGCACTGGCATCGTTGGCGAAGTCGCTGGGTGGTCAGCATTTGTCTGGTTCCTCACCTGGCTATGCATCTTCCAAGGGGTTGCCGTGACCGGGCGCGTCGTCTATTTCACCATGGGCTTACCGGTTGTAATGACTATTATCCTCATTGGACGCTCCGTCTCCTTGCCCAATGCGGGAGAGGGCGTGAAGCTTTACTTCGCGACTTGGAATGGCGGTAAACTGGCATCGTCGGGCATCTGGCAGGCAGCGTGCGGCCAGGTTTTCTTCTCCACAGGGGTCGGCTTTGGATACTATACCGCCTATGCGTCGTACAACAGGAAGTTCGCCAACGCCGTTCAGGACGCCATCATCATCGTATGCAGCAATGCCTCCTTCGAAGCTATCGCCGCGTTCGCAGTGTTTGGCGTTGTCGGCTACCTCGGTCTCGACCCCGACAGCGGCGAGACGCTCGCGGGCTCTTTCGATGTCGGCTTCGTCACCTATCCGGAAGCGCTTGCAGAGATGCCGGCCGCGCCCTTTTGGGCCGTGATCTTCTTCCTCACGCTGCTGTTTCTCGGGGTAAGCTCGGCTTTCGCCATGATCGATGCCATTGTGACGCTCGTTATGGATATGAGCCCCAAGCTTTCGCGGCCACTTGTCGTCACCAGCCTCATAACCATGATGTACCTACTATCCCTCCCTTACTGCACGGAGTTCGGATACTATCACCTCAACGGGATCGATGCTTGGACGAGCAACATGGCGCTCATTTTCGTAGTATGGTCCGAATGCGTCACCTCCACGACCGTCTATCGCTGGAAGGATGTCGTCAGCCAAGTTGGGGTGCCGGCCTTTGTAACGTATAATGTTGGATATTTTGGTGGCCAGATCTTTGGTGTCGCAGTAGGGCACGCTGTAAGCCCTTCCGCTGGGGCCGGGCTTGGTTTCGGTCTCTTCATCGCGGGAACAGCGATCGCGCTCTTAATAGCGAAGAGTCCAGACTCTCGAGCGCCGCGTTTCTGGGGGAGAAATCTATACACGAGCCGGCTATGGTATATGGCATTCTATTCGGTAAGATCACGTCGAGATCGATTGTGTTTACAGCATCGAAGCTAATATATTCAGGGCAATCAACTTAAGCGCGACTTGAACGTCATTGTCGCAACCGGCAAAAACTGGAGTATTCCTGTCTTCTGGTCGCCCCTCTTGCGCTACGCCTCGGCACCCATTCTAGCCATCATCTTCAGCTTCGCCTATCCCAGCTTCTACCAAGTGCGATACGATCCGCTGAATATAGTAGGCTTCGCGGCCGCACACTGCTGTCTGCTCATCATCGTGCTCGGCTTTATCGTCCCAAAGTGGTTCGACGTATTCATTCCTCCGGAGCGGCGCGAAGAGGGCGATGTCATTACAGCTCCGCATGTGGTGAGCGGCGTCATCGAGGCACACAGGGACCATGAGATTGAGAGTGGGTCGGCGGAGATCGAGCACAAGGGAGCTTCTGAGCCGAAGACGCCCTAAAGGGTCGGGCTGGGAGCACTTATTGCCTAGCGGAAGGGTTTTTCATGTTTCCTGTCACTTCCGGGTCAGCCAGCGTCACTTGACTTATGCAGAGCACGGATACCAGGGATTGCCTTCGATAGAATTTCTTCTTTGCCTATATGGGCCTGACTGCCATGGCTGGTAAGCCCGAGCGGTTATCTCCCATTTTCGCATACGCATACACGTCATTCCCAGCTCACTGAGGTGCCACTCGTCTCTGTATTTGTTTCGAAGCAATCCCTCAATCATTATGCAATTGACAGGAGACCTCCGGAGACCAGGAGATTGCATACGAGTATGGCGTTGAATACCAACAAGGTCGTTCTGGAGATATGTCTCAGATTTCTGCTTGAATCCCTCTTGTCTACTGGCTTCCACGATGACGGATTACGAATCTCCGTTTCCCTCCTCAGGCGGAACACTCCGGAGAAGACAATCATGAGATGAAAATAGTGACCTGCCACGGTTTGGGCACCTCTCGACACCTACTGAGTCCAATGCATAAACTCTACTCCGTCGGCACCGTGGCGCCGCTTCAGAGGTAGTACTGTTGTACGACAGTAAGCGGGGGCGGTTCTTGTCGCCATGCCACACTTCCCCTCCCCCGTACCACCTTAGAAACCCTTCCAACGGTTCCAAACCTTCACTTTCATCCATCCTACCCGTCTCCATCGAGTCATGTCGTCACGCTTTCCACTCCCCCTTCAACCTGTTCACATCTATCTCTCCCTCTCCCTGTCCCTCCTATTCCTCATCTCCCACACTCCCAACACCCTCGCCGCCGAGCTCTGCTACTATCCCAACGGAGAGTACTCGGAAGAAACACCCTGCAATCTCACCGCCGAAGTAAGCCACTGCTGCGATTCGCTCGACAAGTGTCTCTCCAACGGACTCTGCATCTGGAACGCAACCGAGCACACAGGCATATCATACGTGCGCGGCACTTGCACGGACCATTCATGGACGGATCCGCTGTGTCCGCGGCAATGCCTCCTCAGTACGCAACCAACCAACCCCATCTTTCCTTCCTCCATCCTGCAAAGTAGCCCATCTGACTGACTGACCTTCCCACCCTCAGACCAGGACACCCCGACCAACCCATCCGCGTATGACTTCCGCGCCAGCGGCGTCCTGGTCCTCGAGTGCGGCGCGCAGGGCTACGCGACAGAGGCGGAATATTGCTGCGAGTCGCGCGGGGAGGGGACGCGCTGCTGTGCCACGTCGACGGCGGTTTTTCGCTTGCATGCTGCTACTAAGGGCGCTTTTACCGGGTATTCGAGTACGTCTTTTACGTCGCCTACGACGTCTCTGCCTGCGACTTCTGCGTCTTTAGAATCGTCGTCGAGGCTGTCTTTTACAACCACGTCTCCAACGTCCACGGCGGACCCACGAGGTTCAAACAGCGATAGCTCGGGTGTGAAGATAGGCGCAGGCATAGGGGGCGCAGTTGCGGGCTGCTTAGCGCTAGTCGCTCTGATATTAATCTTTCGTTGGAGGAGAAAGAAGCCGCGGGATGAAGACGTGCACGCGCAGCTGGTCGGCGAGGCTTCGAAGCACGGTGGGGAGAACGATGCACTGGGGAAAGCCGAGATGGATGCTCAAGGAGAGGTTATCGAGCTGCCTGCAAGGGAGAGGCTTCATGAGCTTCCGGCTGGAGCGGGGGCGTAGTAAGGAAGAGGGCGGGGAGGGTGGATGTTCCGACGCACTGCTGACGTTGAGAAGGAAAGGATGGGAGCATTAGGGAGATGAGGGGAACGAGGTTCTTCACTAAAGTCTAGCACCAGCGAAGGTCAAGCGCATAGCTAACTTCCACTGAGTTTTCGACGGCGTTCGGGGGTACCCCAGCTTCATTCATTGCATCTCAGCCATGCGCCCGAACACCTCATTTTCAATCCTCGGCATCAACGGCCGGGGGATCCTCCCTCGGCGAATACATCTCCTCGCCTCCCCTTGTTACCGTGCAGATCCTAACGCTACCCTTTCTACCCGCGCCCCGCTCTGCAGCATCTCCACCATAGTATGTTATAAATTTCTCGAGCGCACCGGGGTACACCATAGGAGGGAACCCCTTGGTATCAGGTCAAACTTGAAAGTACTATTATTGACATTATACTGACTTAGATCCTCATACTCATAAACCCAGACCGTCCAAGTAGCCAACCAGGTCAGATGCGCAGCCGCACACCTCGACACGGATTCCTTCAAAACCCCCCGGCGGCACCCTTAGCCGACAATCGCCCTAATACCCTTGGAATCCAACTTCGGCAGTGGAATAATAAGATCGTGAACGCGCTTCACATCGCTCTCATCCGTCTCGAACAACTCTAGCTTCGGGCCGTCGGGGCGGTACAGGACGGCTAGCGCTAAATGCATCTCTGCCTGGGCGAGACTAGAAAACTATTAGCCATCATCCGAGGACCAGGGAAGTGGATAATGGTAAGTAAGGGAGGGAAAAGAAGTATCTTACTTCATTCCCAGACAGTTTCTGGATCCGCGTGCGAAAGGCACTAGATTTCGATGCAATGCCGGATCGACTTTGCCCATCCAGCGCTCGGGGATGAACTTGTCGGGCTCCGGGTAGACGGTGGCATCGGTGTGCATGAGGTATGCAGACATGCCTACTGGGACCTGTAGCAAGGTTAGACCGTCCTGTGCAGTGAGTGACTGAGAAGATGCGATGCATGACTTACGCCGACGGGGATGGTCCACTGCTTGTACTGGATGGGGACGTCGGGCGAGATACGCGGAAGCCGGTGCATGACGCCGTAGCTCAGTCTACCGAAGGATTAGCGTTGACGCAGCGGCGAAATGGAAGGAGGCATACCGGAGCGATTCCTGGATAATCCCGTGCAGCAACGGTAACTTCTCTAGCTCGGCCCACGTCGACACGCGCCTTGGCCAATCCAGCATTGGCTCTCGCAGCTCCTCTTGCAGCTGCTTACGCATTTCCGGCCTCGCAAGTATATAATACGACGCGAAGCCAATCGTGTGCGCGGTGGTGGTCGTCCCGCCCGCAAGCAGCACCTGCGCCTCCTTCGCGAGACGTTCCTCCGATCGCTCGGAGGCCGGCATGTCGCTGTTGGCTAGGTGGAGGAACACGGAGCTCTTGGCGTCGGTCTTGATGCCTTTGCGATCGTTTTCTTCTTTGATGCGCGTGGTTTCGCGGATTACGTGCTTCGCCACATTCTTGAAGTCGTTGAAGACTTGGCCTTGGGGGAAGGCCCAGAGGAGGACGGACATGGGGATGCGGCTCACAAGTTGTACGATCCATGGGAAGCCGGTGAAGAGAGGGATTGAGATGACCATTTTGAAGATGACATTGAACCTAGACATGGTCAGCGAGAGTCGTGGCAGAAACGGCGGGGGAAGCATACCACTCTGGTGCAAAGTCCGGGTCGTCCATGAACTCTTCTCTATCGGGATCGTCTTGGCCGGTTGAGAGACAGATGCGCCCGATGATGTCGCCACTGAAGGCACTGAAGACATGGTCGAGCCTGACGATTTTCCCTTTGGGAAGCTGCTTCAGTCGGTTCTCCATTTTCAGCGCAATGTCTGCGATGAGACTCTGTAAGCGCTGGACGCCCATTCGTGAGAAGAATGGATCAAGGGGCTTCCGTCGTTGCTTATGGAGACTGTGGTCTTTGGTGAGGAGATGCGAGGCTACGATCGTTAGATGCGATCAGGCATGTTTACGTGGAATACTGACCATCGAAGTCGATTCCCTTGATGAAGACATCGTAATGCTCTGTACGACGTTTGCTCTCCGTAACATAGAGCTCATTGTAAAAGCTCGGGTCGTGGATGGATAATTCGTTAGGGTTGATCCGGATTATCGGACCTGATATGGTTAGTGTTGCTTATTCCACATATCGCTGCCGTTCTCATGGGAAACCCACCGTATTTCTTGTGCATGCGCTCGATCTCAAAGACATATTTGCCATTGTACCTGTAGTCGAAGTAGAACTCGTACCACCCGGTCGCAGCGGCGAGTTTGGACCCTGGGAACTTCGCAAGTGGGGAGAAGTACAGCCGGTAGATAACGAGGCATACGAAGCGGATGACGGAAACGGCCGCGAAGGCGCCGATGGCGACTGCGTAGTTAGGCACGCCCGCCATTCCGGATGTGAATTGCAACTGTTCGAAGCCCCGAAGCCAAGGGAGTATATTAATATGTGCTTCTGATGGGCTTCGAATTCGTCCGGATCGACGGTTGAAAGAGATGGAGACGATTTCGAAGCGGCAGTCTAGGCGCGGGATATCAAGCGCAGACCGCCTGTCTGGCGAGCCGAGTACGAGTCGCTAGTATTACGCTACTGCGAAGAGCGCATAGCCGCCGTATGGCCGCCGCCCGCTACTGTGTAACCAGCTGCTTCGAGCATAGTCGGCGCTCATTCGAAACGGAGCCAGATGCACGAACGATTGGAGGGCCGAGCGCGGTGATAGTAGTTGGACGGTGAAGCGAGGTTGGCGACGGAAGTGGGGTGGCGGGATTCGCCAGGAACAGCCGGAAGGCGTAACAGGGGGTGTCGTAAACCATGCTCGTGCTTGTTGTTTGCTCTTACGTGAAAGGTACAACTTGTCGACACCAGGGACTAGCCATGCTGTTGCCCGAGGCCATCGATAACGCGCGGATGGATGCGGTTAGAATCGACCCACTATTCACAATCACCTTCGCTGATCCAACGCTTGTCGCGCCTGGGGAAGCGGTACTATCGGCTATAATGGGGACATAACGGCCCCGCGGTAGGGTCATATACTTTGCCAATCTACCGCTCCGGCCATCTGTTCTTGTCACACTGTAACCCAAGTCGATGGAGTTCAACTTTTCCGAGGAATTGGATCCGGTCACGTACCGCGACGATGGCCTGGCGCACGGAATCCCTCTGAGGATCCACAAGGACCCGTTCAAGGAGATTGCGGGTGCGATTCGCGCGCAGAAGGACTGGAGCTACCACGTCAGTCCCGTGAGCGATTATCTGGGTGGACTGGGACAGCCGTTCAGTTTCATTCGAGTGACGATCCCCGAATGCCTTCCCGAGCGTCTGGAAGTCATGTCGTACGCTAACGAGTATGCTTTTCTCTACGATGGTATGCACCCCATGTCATTGAGGTTGCCAGACGCTAACACTTCTAGACCAAATGGAGAATCTGGATCTGAAGAATGTTAGTAACATGCAGACTGCGTGAAAATGGGCGCGTACTAAGCCAGTGCAGTTCCAGGAAGGCCGAGACGACATGCTCCATGTATTCGGCGCCGACGCGTTGAACCACGCCGTAACAGCCGACGTGCGCCCCGAAAAGAAGCTTCAAGCTCATATGCTGGAAGAGATGATGGCCATCGACCATACTCGCGCCGTCGTCACGATGCAGGCTTGGGCGAAATTCGTCCAGCTCGCGTCGCGCACCAGGGCTGCGCCCTTCGAGACACTGGACGAGTACGTTCCGAGCAGGACTATTGATGCCGGAGAACTGTATGCGATGTTTACTTCAGCGTCGCGAGCGAACTTGCACTGACAAGCAATAGCTTCTGGTTTGGCATGCTCACCTTCGGCATGGCGCTCACAATCCCCGACTCCGAACTCGACCTCTGCATGCAATTAGCACGTCCCGGATATGCAGCTATTAGCCTGTCGAACGACCTCTACTCGTGGCGGAAAGAGCGCAAAGACGCCGAAGCCGCTGGCCAGGACTACGTGTTCAACGCCATCTGGGTCATCATGCGGGAGCGAAAGTGCAGCGAGGCGGAAGCCATGCTGGTCTGCAAAGACGAGATCAAGAAATACATCGCCGAGTATGACAAGGTCGTGAAGAGGGCGAAGGATATGAGTCTGTCAAAGGATACGCTAGCCTACCTGGAAGCAGTCAGGTTGAGCCATGTCGGGAATTTGGTGTGGAGTATTTACTGTCCGAGGTATCATCAGGGGTCGGAGATCGGCGAAGTGCCGAGACTCTGAATAGGAGGAATGATCGTGCAGGAGGGGAGGTTCACCGATGACGGATATTTTCTTCATGACGACCCTTGTGATTGGCTGGGCGCCGGCGCAACGGTTCGGGATCAACTGGGGCGTGTCCGAGGTGCATGTTCCCCAAGAGAATGGATAGCCAGAGATACGCGCACACCTGATGCCCAATCCAGACATGTTTGCAGGGCTGCACCGGATCATTCAGTGCCGGAGATAGAATAGGCCTAGCGTCTTGGCAGACTCCTGTAGCTCTTCTCTGATCGCTCACGGCTCAACGCCTTCCTATACTACCCTCCACCTCACGTCTTCGAACAAAACCAGTACACGTCTCTTTACAGTAACTTCTTCTAGATTTGTGTCTTCTTTAGCACCCGAAATGGCAACACCACCTGCTCGGCCAGATGCGCTGCACCCACCGCGCCCACCCATATGCAGATGAACCAAGGGAGTTGCATTTTGGATTGCATTTCATGGTTCCACAGCGTTGAGATTGTATATTCGCGGAAGCCAGAGTCCCGGGACTGCCGATCGATGCAGAGGACCCCGAGCCGCCCTCGAAGAAATTCAACTTTGATCGGAATATTGACTCTATCGGAGAACGCAGCACAACCGACCATGAGAGAGCTGCATTCCAGCGGCTTCTGGACGGCATTGAACCACGACGACGCGGTAGAGTCCCAATGGTTTTCCCAAGCGGGGACGAGGAAGCCGAGCAAGAAGAGGGGCGATCTGTAGATGTGGCTGACCATGATTTGATTACGTAGGTAGGAAATCCCGAGACAGTCCTTGATGGATATGAAGGGATTCCCTTGTTCCCTTATTCCGCTTGATAGGGCCTATTGTCCGAAAAGTTTAAGCTCAATCCTTGGAGCGTGTGCAAAGTTTTAAGGGTCGTTCTAGTCAAATAGTATATGAATAAGTCAACTCGTCTGTGAGTCTACCCTGATCCGAAGTTCCCCAATATCATTTGATCCTGTATAGGCAAGCCGAGGTCGTCTTTTGAAAGCCAATGGTGAACTCAGGGATTCAATATCACCTGCCTAATCCAGCAAGCGGCTTAGCAAACCCAGCCCCGTAAGCGGTCCACTTCACATTCAATCCCATCTCATTACCAGCACAAACTTCTTGGAATCACACCAAGAACGGCAGAACATCCTTCCGCCTCAAATTGCCATTATGGACGCCATTGAGTTGCAAGACCGCCGGCCTCCCTTGGAGAACACAACGTCCAACCACGATGACTCAACACCAGCAGCGCCCCCAACGCCAAAGCACCCACACGGCATACGCCTTCTTCTCATAACCATCGGCCTGATCCTCAGCATTCTGCTCGCCGCACTTGACCAATCCATCATCGCAACAGCCATTCCCAGCATCACCGACTCTTTCGGCAGCATTTCCAACATCGCCTGGTACGGCTCTGCGTACTCCATCACGAACACAGCCTTCCAGTCCTCCTGGGGAAAAGCATATCGCTACTTCGACCTCAAGCGCACCTTCTTCCTAGCAATTGCTGTGTTTGAGATCGGCAATGTGATCTGCGCAACCGCGCCGAGTAGTACCGTGTTGATTCTGGGACGGGTGGTGAGTGGGCTGGGCGGTGGTGGCGTCATGACAGGCGCTTTCATTATTATTGCATTTACGGTGGAGGAGAGGCTGCGCGCGGCATATATGGGTGTGCTGGGCGTGACGTTTGGGAGTGCGAGTGTCGTGGGGCCGTTGATGGGCGGCGCATTGACGGACGGGCCTGGCTGGAGGTGGTGTTTTTGGTAAGCTTTTATTCTTGTATCATGTTGGTGCCCATGACTGAGACTTCAAAGGGTGTTCTTGCCTATCGGCTTCGCGGCGACCGCGATTATGTTCCTGGCGTTTAAATCTCCCATGGCTCCCAAGGAAGCGACACTTCCGGAGCGTTTCATCCAGATGGATCTCGGAGGGGGCACGCTCGCGACCGGCGCACTATCCTGCTTCGTGCTCACCATGCACTGGGCCGGAGTCTATTCTTGGGGCCATCGCCGCGTCATCCTCAGTCTCGTCGGGTTTATCTTGCTCTTCATCTGCTTCGTCGCGAACGAGTGGTGGATGGGCAGCAAGGCCATGGTGCAAGCGCACTTACTCAAGAACAAGCTCATCCTGGCGAATCTGGGGTACATCTTCTTCCTCGCAGGGGCGTTCTTCCCTCTGCTGTACACACTTCCGGTGCAGTTCCAGTCCGTCAACGATACGTCCGCATCGCAGAGTGGCGTCCGCCTTATCCCGCTCATCCTAGGCGTGTCAGTGTTCACTATGGTATCCAATGGCCTGCTGACCTTTTGGCGGCATTACAAGCCGTTCCTCTTAGTTGGTGCCTTGCTCGCTACAGCTGGGGTCTCGAATATCTACACTCTGAATGCCACCGCAACGACCGCGACATGGATTGGATACGAAGTCCTGACCGCAACAGGCGTTGGGCTCGCCTTGCAGATCCCCATGATCGCCAATCAAGCCGCAGTAGGCGCAGACGACATGGCCGCCGTGACCTCGCTCACCCTGTTTATCGAGAACTGCGGCACAGCTCTGTTCGTCGCAAGTGGTGAAGCAGCTTTTACGCAGGCTCTTGTAGACAGCTTGGGGCGCAACCTTCCGAGTGTGGATCCTCATACCATCCTAAATGCTGGGGCGACGCAGGTCCGAAACCTCTTCAGTGACGGCGAACTGGACCAGATTCTGTCGAGCTACTTGTACGGCTGCAAGGTCAGCCATATTATTTCGGTGTCATGCGGTGCGGCCGCCAGTCTGATATCGATGTCGAATGCTGGGCCAGCTGCTGTGAGGGAAGTCAAGCTGAGGTTGAAGAAGAGTCACGCTGGTTGATCAAGGTTGGTTCACAAATTCTCCGATCGCAAGGAAAATAAATTCTAATGCGCTCCGTTTACAGCACCCAGCCTCCATTACATCCATTCTCTAATCCTACACCGAACCCCACAATCCTCTCTGACCTCACTCACAAAATCTTTACACCAACCCACACCCGAAACCCCACCACGTAACAACCCCTTCTCCGTCGGCGCCGTCGCCAAGAACATAAGATTTCACTGCGTCTCCTTCCTCGCAACCCCCTCCTCCTCCCGCAATGTCCTGATCCGCCAAATCGCCACTCCGTCCCGCGTCCGCCTTGTCATCCCCGGCCCGTGCTCCATCAACATCAGGCCGAGACCCCGAATCTTTATCGCCAATTCCTGCACAGTCTATGACCAGATATAGTCGAGTGCATGGAGATAAACATGGACCGCGCGTATGATCCATTCCCGATCGACAGACCGTCCTTTCGCGAGGTAAAAGCGCTTCGCAGTTCGCTTAGGCAGCACATCGAAGGCCCATCAGCGTATGCGAATCGCTGCGCCCAGAGGACTTTTTTTTTGTCGGCGGTGAGTGGCTGGCAGAGCGGGGTGCGGTAGTAGGAGCACGAAGTGCCGTGTGTGCGTTGAGCGGTTGTGGATGTGTTGATCCATATGAAGAGGCAACTCCACGCTCCGCGGCAGCAGCACGATTTTTGATCGACTCCCATATTTTCCGCGCGGTTTGCTTGGTGTTTTGGGCATTTCGAAGGAGCTTTGGAGGAGCGCTGTTGTGGAGGCGATAGCTGAGTTCCTGGTATCGACCGTTTTGATGGAGGGCGTGGGACTTTGAGTGGACGTTGTGGAGGATAGAGGTTGGTATTGGAGCTTTTAGAGCTCCCCGGCACGAGGAGGATATTGTATGAGTAACGCAGCACAGAAGAACGAAGAGCGGGAGGTCTAATAACGTATTCAGAATCTTCAAATGAGGTATAGGTGTTAGGTGTAGACGCAACCTAATCTTGCAAGTCACCATATCCGTCCGCGCTTCAAAGCAAACTTCTCCTTCCCCCGCAATTACTACACAGACAGAGCGCTTGAAACACGAATCTACAGCATCTTCACAGTGCAAAACAAAACAAAACCTCTACTTCTCCCTTCTCCTCTCAACACCCACTCCCCCACATCCACTCCATCATCCATACCCATCAACACCCTCCCACCTACCTCCCCTTCCCCTTCCCCTTCCTCTCCCTATCCCACTTCTCAATCTCCCTCACCACCTTCTTCACCCCCGCCTTCCTAACCTGCTTCACCAACCCCGGTCCCCCATACGCCGCCACATACGCATCATCGACCTCCCGCACATGCCGTTTAACCGACTGCCACGCTTTCTTCACTTTACTTTCCTTATGCTCTTCCTGTGGATCCGTATCTTCCGGCTCCGCGAGGGTAGGCGAAGTAGTGTCGATACCGGGCGCGGAGTCTGTTTGCGCGCAAGCAACTGAGTAAGAGGGAGGTGCGGAGACGGCGGAGGGGAGAGTGATTCCGGGATTAGCCTGGGCTGAGCTTGGTACAGAGGTTTGAGATGCAGTAGGTGAGGATGCAAAGGAGAGTGCGCCTGTAGAAGGATAATGGGTATTGGAGCCTAGCAAGGCAGTTGTAGAGGAGAAGGATGAAGAGAGGCTAGGAGACCTGGGCTTGCAGTCCAGCTGCGGGGTCTTCAACGCGTTAGGGGAAGAGCGCTTCAACATCGTAGGCCATTCAGGTATCATCGTGCTAGTACTACAAGAAAAACTCCAGCAACGCAAAATAAGAAAAGAAAAAAAAGAGGAAGACCCGAAGACCTTAGAGCGAGTATATATTATTGAGCATTGAAGCAAAGCGCACTTCATCTACTACGCCTTTCATTCATTAAAGCATCGCCATTCAAACAAAGGCGATGAAAGACACCTGGGCACAAAGCGACACTCCGTGCTGAACAATGTCAGCATGGGGGATGAAAGGAGCAAAAATATAGCAAAAAGAAACTGCCCGCTATCAGAATCGAACTGATGACCTTATCATTACTAGTGATACGCTGTTACGAGGTTAGTGAGTGTGGAATATTTTGTATGGGAGCTGAACTGACCTCTACCACTGAGCCAAGCGGGCGATTTTTACGTTTTTGAGAAAATTTATATAAATATACCAACAAACAACGGAAATGCGGCCACACAACTGAGAGATGCGAAAGATGAAGAATATTCAACAAAAATTGGGAGTGCGACCGTTGGAGCTATCAGGGGCTAATTAGCCGAGGCCGTTAGCCGGCTTGCCCCTCATCGCTCGCTGCCATCTGCATCCTCACAACGGAATCACCCATCGCACGTTGCAACAGCCTAACACGACCTTTTAGCATATTGCCCCAGTTCTACCGACCCTAAGCTTTCTTTTAGAAAGTCAGCCAAGCCTCAGGGCAGCTGCTCGCGATGCCGTTCGCGTACTAGAGCGCGGAGGTCCATCCCTACTTCCTCAAGCAAGGCACCCTTAATCTAGTTCACTGAACCCCATAGGCCTACCCGCCGTTCAAAACTCTCACTACCTCATGTATCCGGACGCCCCAGCATCCCGCCGAATCCATCTCCTACGCCGAATCGCACTCACGCGTCACATCTCAGCGCGCGCCGCCCCGCCGTGAATACCCCTCGCTACCTCTCTGCATCGGCAGCCTCGCGGTTCCCCTTTTCGACCGCCGGGATACAAAAGCGTGTAGACAGCTACGAGGACATAGGTGGGTAGCGTGACGTATAGGCTGTACTATGTTACTTGCGCACACGTTGGACCGCTGGCCCATCTCTAGCCCGCCATTCGTACTGATGCACAGATAGGGTGGCTGGGTGTATAGAAGGAGAAGCCGTGGCTCGTGTGATTTATGTCGCAGGGAAGCTTGTCGGTAATCCGATACTCGCATTCATGCTGGAGGACTGGACGCTGGCTGAGCGGATTTAGTACAATGTGGGAGGGCATGCCGAATGGCCTGGGTTGTAGAAGTGTTTGTTTGACAGAGGCTGTGTGGACATCTGAGAGCGGGAAGTGGAGCATAGCGGGGGTTTGGCTCGACGTTGATTGCGGCCTTGCTCCAGGCATGTGTATTGGACTACTGGACTACTGGGCATAGGGTTGACTACGCGGTTTGTGAACGAGACCTATACATCCGTGTCAAAATGGCGGAAGGGATATCCTCACGGAGATTGGATAAACCCATGAATGCGCGTAGGGCGATTTCAAACGCTTCTCCTCCCATGCACCAGCACACCTCCTCGCGCCTCCCTCGACATCCCCCCACCGGTTTAGTGCTCACACCTGTTCAAGCACCGCACCTGTTAGGAGATCTCTGATGCCTCTCCACCCACTCCCGTTCGCATGGTGTATCAGCATACACTGTATGTCTCGAACTGTGGTTCACGCAGACACATTCCCTATCTTAGAAGGGTCTTTGATGATCTAGAGTAGCCAGTTTTCCGCCTAAGTGGCTTGGAGGCTCTTGAATATGCTTCCATGTATTCCTCACAAGTCGTAGCGCAAGTAATATCGCCGCCCTTTTTACCAAAGAGAGGGAGCACAGTTGGCTCCCTAGGACGACGTATGATGGTATTAGAACATCGAAGGCGCGGAGTAAGTGATTGCATCAACCGCTCGTCAACCCGCTCAAAGTCATACACATAGCACCGTCGACATGAAAGATCCCCCTCCTAAGCCCATCGGCTGCCAATCCTTCTTCCATAAGCCAGAAACCTCCACCCGACATAACCCGCCCAGAGAGCCTCACGTCATCATCCATTCCCTTCCCACGCACACGAGACCGCCCTTCCCGCGAAGCGCCAAACCACGCAATCCCGTCCCCGTTCACAATCCGGCAGTCTGGTTGGGTCTGTGACATGGCTTGCATGCTCATATACGTAGCGCCGAACGGGAAGGTGATAGCATGCAAAGAATGACTCGCGGAATGCATCGCGGGACGCAACTGTCTCCCGACAGCTTGTGTGACAGCTCGTATTTAGCCGGTGACATGTTTCTGGAGTTCTGGAATGAAGGTTAGTCTTGCAACTGGGGTCAGGAATAGCTGCTACTGCACATCGCCAAGTTGGGAAGAATGGAAATCGGCCCGGATTGCTTGCGAAGGCGTAGAAGGAAAGGTCTGCCGTCTGACTCGAGTGGCACCTAGTGCATGAACCGGATAACTGAGACTAGTGACGCGCATTACGCCTGGCTACCTTTGGTTAGGGCGAGACGGTTCGATATCAGAGAAGAAGTAGATAGTCGGATTGATGTCGTTAAGCAGACGCTGGATGTGAGGTAGATACGACGAGGCGTGGAAGAAGCCGTGAACCCGCTTTTTAAGCCTCCATCGCCAGAAAGGCCGAGATTCTCTCCAAAGCCGAATTCATGACCTGCGTAGGAACTGAGAACCGTATCCGCGCCCAACCAAAATCCGTCTCGACGCCTTTGTAGAATCGTCCAGGGCCGACACGTACCCCATGCTCAGCTAATCTGTCGTAAAAGTCCGCCTCGTCGTCCACACTTCTGGCGTGTTTCGCTAGCTTCGCGAAGAGAAATATGCCATCGGTGGGTGTGATGAAGGGGATGTCCCACTCTTGCAGGGCGCTGGCAAGTAGACGGAACGATTCAGTCAGTCTTTCCGAATTAAGAGCCAAGAGAATCGGGAGTTGCGACCAAGCCAGCAGTGACGACAGGTAGAGTGATGCGATGTTGTTGGTATGATGAGCGGTCAAGAGAGCCAACGCGCTGATGAGCTGGGGATTTTGTTGCGAGACGACACAGCCCTACACGAGTCAGAAAAGCTGGCAAAGTTTTGGGGCACTTGGCTGACCACTCTCAAACCACTTGAGCCGAATAGCTTACTCGCGCTCCACACTACGTGTACACGGCTAGGGTCGATCTTGACCGCGCCCTCTGGCACTAGGGGCTCCGTCAATGCCAGCGCAGAAACGAACGACGGACTATCATCCGGAGCGTCTGTGAGAGTCGAAAGGGCGTAGATTTCGTCTGATATCAGGTGAAGTCCACGCTCCTGGCAGAACTCCATGCATTCGATCAGTGACCTCCTCGGGTAGCACCTCGATAGAGGGTTGTGCGGATTGCATATCAGAACGGCTTTGATCCTTGACTTCTCGGCGGAGAAATCATACGCTGCCTGGAGGGAAGGTAGAAGGTAGTTGTCGTAGTTTTGGTAGGTGGGCGGCCGAGCAACGATGATGTTGACGTTCGCTCGGGACTTCAATATTGGCTCAAAGCCATCTGTTGTGGAGTGAGCTGTGTAAGATAACCGGAAAGAGAGGCACAACTCACACCAGTATGGCCCAGGTACAATGACGCTGTCACCGTCGTCACACACAGCGTGTATCACGTTCTCGATTGCATCGGTCGCTCTTGCCGTAAGAACTAGGTGGTCCGGCTTCACCGCGTGGATCGGGCTGAAGTATGAGTTGAAGAATGAGGACAATGCCCGGCGGAGGCTGAGATCCCCACCGTTTGGATCTGGTAACGCAAAAGCCTAGTGCTGTTAAAATCAATCGCGGTGCAAGAAACGCACTCCTACTTCTTCTGTGAGCTCATCTTCTACGGTGGTCTTGAAGAACTCGAGGAGTTCGGGGCGCAGCACGTCGTTCTGGGCACTCGAAAGATCAACGGCAGTGGCGGGGTCGTAGTTCTTCGGTGGAGCAACGGCTGCGGCCTTGGGAAGAAGTTGGTTCAAGGTTTCCGTTGCGCGTGTAGAGAGACCCGAGTCCATGTCGAGGGATTCTGTTAAGTCGATAGGGCTGAACGTGCGATGAGAGACAAAGGATAGAAGGCAGAAAGTTGTAAAGGGATACAAAGACAAATCCGCTTGAACAGGGAAGCAACGGTATCCAGGCTCTTGCAGTGGCGTAGTCGAGGAGAAATGGGGCTCTTGGACCTGGAGTAGGCTGAAGGGCTGATATACGCGGCGAGGCCGTAGCGGCAGAAATAGTGGAAGAGCTCGCTTATCAGGAGCTATTTGGCCCCGTCATTCGTCTACTTGACGCGCTAAGTCGGCGCTTCAGGTCCGCGATGGCATGCGTGGCGTTCCTAAGGCAGGCTCAAGTGCTGCATGTCGACATTTCGAGACACTTCCTCCGTGAGCCTTGGTGACTCCAGAAGTGCGGCCGGAGCTCCATACAAGGCCCTCGGGAGGCTGCCGTGTCACCGTCATCCAGTCGCGTGTCTGAGATTTAGCGACCGGGTCAGGTACCGTTCGGTCGGGCCTGATGCCGCAGGGTTTGGTATGGTGCCATGCGACTTTTGCATGCATTCAGCGGAGGTCAGCTGTTCGCGCCAAACTGTTGCTCGTCGCACATGCAGCTGCTGTCGCAATCACGGCATGCTTAAGCGCCCGGAGCTGGCCCGAAGTGTGTGATTCCGCGAATAGGGCTTCGGGTCAATGTTGGATTGTGTTCTTCAGGCTCTGCCACCTCAACCTTGAGGAGGCAGGGCACGCCTTAAGGGATTGTTCGGGCGGAGAGGAAACCAGAGTTTTCGCTAGTTTGGGCCGGCTTCACGCAGTAACGGCGTCTTTAGGTACACGTCTTCGTGGTTCCCAACTCTTTTCGTAGCTAGGGGCCGATCCAGCGATACCGCAAGGCGTTTGAAGACATAGCCTGGCAAGGGTGCTCCCGAAGCCATGCGGCTGGCTGATGCGATGCATCTACCGAGATAGAGACTTCGGTACCATGGATTGGATGGTGATGGTCGAAGGGAGAACGCGGACGCATCAATGCGGCACGGATGGCGCACGGGTCAGACCGGTCCGTGCCTTCCGGCTTTTCGTAAGGCCCTCCATCCTCTCCAACATCAGCCCGCGAATGATGTGGGCGAATATTGCTCCCAAAAATGATTGTGGTTAGCAGCGGGTCGGTCTCAAAGTGTTGTGAGGAACATGTTCCTGTGTGGCCCGTCGCCGTTTCGGGATTAGCTGATCTTCAGACGCGCTTAACCCATCTCGTCGCCACCTCCATCTTCGCGTTCAACCTCCGGAACTCAACCTTCTTGAGCTCCAACTCATCGTCGCATCTTAGAACTCGGCAGTGCCTCTTTACCATCCTTTTCTGACACCCCCATATTCCCGTCGGCCCGTATCCCCCTCTTACACCTCCCTTCGTCAGCGTATCTAGTCATCTCACCGGCTCTTTTCATCTCAGCATCGCGAACAGCATCGATCCTCCAAGGTCCTCGACGTCTACATGGATAAATTATTTCCAAAAGCCACGGAATCAAGTCGCCTGGCCCAGTATGGCTTTGGGGTGCGTAAGATCAAGCCCTCCGTACGGACGGATGTAGGCCTGGACATGACAGGCTCCTCGCCATTCGCAGACAGGCGCTCAGATCGCTGGGCCCTTATTGAGAATATTTTTCTTTTCGATTCACCACGGACAAGCGGTAAAAGAATTTGACATCGCTGACGTCATTAGTCGTCCGGTCAACACCCCTGGAAATACCGGCGCCATCAAATGTGTCGATGCTAAGAAGGCCGCCGTGCTGGAGGAGATATTTGCGCAGAACCCATATACACCTAGTATTATACCACTAACACCATTTTCCACTTCACACAAAATTTGTTCAACGCTTCAGAGGTTCTATGGGATGCTTCTTATGAAAAAAGTTCCCAGGGTCGTACTTCGCCTTAACCTCCTGAAGACGGGGATACCTATCCCCGAAAACGTAGGACGCCTCAGTGCCGGGAAGGAGAGCTCCATTCGGATATACCGATCCCCACCTGTGATCCCGAAGGCCAAGGATTTGTTCCTGCTTCCCATGGATTTCACTGATAATATCTTTGCAGAGCCGTATCGCCTCATCCTCGTCCTCGGCCTTGTCCGTACTGCAGCATTCGTAGGCCATTAGCGGTCGTTCAGCACCATATAGCACCCGTGGGACTTCTCACCCAATGTAGATAGCGAAGTCTTGCCACGACTTTACACCCCCTGGCGGCGGGCAGTGCGCGGAGGAAAAGCACATTCGTAGCGCGGGTCTCCGTGTCTGGCATAGGTCGTCCCCCAGTTGTAAAAACCGAGGTAGAACTCGATTCCGCGCCGCCTGGTGCCATCGACTGCCACCCAGGCGCGCATTTTCTCAAAGCCGGCTTTAACGCATCAAATGACATGTCGGCCATGGCCGTGGAGTCGGCATAGCGGCGCGTATATGGTATCGTGGACTCAACCAAGTCGCACGCAGCGGTCAACCACTCCATGCCACAGCGGAGAGGCATATGCGGTATGTCCATAACGGGCTTGAATCGGCGTCGCGCCTCGGCCTCGTCATGCCCATGGTAATACAAGATCAGCAGCATGGACTCCCCAGGCCCCCCGAAGGCGTCTTGCGTCCCATAGATAATTCCCAGGGAGTCTTCGCCTCCTTGAGTCTTGGCGTACTCCGCTGATGCGGCAATCAATGCCTCGAACTCAGAGGTTTGGTAGGCGAGCAAGGCGAAAAAGATCCTATGTGGGCAAGCCTCGACGCGCAGCTTGAGGCTCGTGACGACGCCAAAGTTGTAGCCTGCACCCCGGAGCGCCCAGAAGAGGTTGGGATTCTCGTCCAGCGATGCCGTCACGACCTCGCCAGACGCTAGCGCTACACGCGCCGACAGCGCCGAGTCGACAGCATAGCCGTACTTGCCCATCGCCCATCCGGCCCCTCCGCCCAGCAGCCACCCAAAGAAGCCTATCTATTTAGCGGCAGGAATCGACGTGGCTACGCCGCGCATTACGCAGGCATTAGCCACCTTCGCCCACCGATGCACCGCCTTGGACACTCAGGATCCCGTCGGCGCCGAACCGCTCGTTCTCGACGTAGACCTGCTTCACGCACCGAAGGTCGATTTGCATGCCCCCATTCGAGCTTGACGCGCCCATGAAAGAATGCCCGCCGGCGACAACAGCGACTTCGACGTTGTTCAAGTTGGCATAACGTATAGCCCACGAGACGTCTTTTTCAAGAAGTGGCTCTACCACGAGCAAGGGCTTGCCTTCCTCATTTGGCGACCAGCGATGGACCAGACGCGCATAATCGTGGCCCTGGGGAGTGGTAATGTCTGCCGGAATTTTAGCGATGTCTTGTGGGCCGATGGGTGTTGATGTTCTCACTTCTTTGGAATGCGGTGCGGAACTCTTCAAAGGTGATCGCCATACTGCTTGATCCTAGGCGTACTCAGATGTGCCTCACCGACTGGCAGCACTTATAAACAACAAGATAAGGCATCCGTTCGCGTCCGATCGATAATTGACCCCTACACCAACGAACTCGTAGTCTTCGGCTACGAGGCCAAAGGCCTAGGAACCCTCGACATCGTCATCTATGCGCTGGACGAGCACGGTAACAACCACGACGTGCAATGGATCAAGGCGCCCCGCAACGCATTCATCCACGACTGCGTCATCACGCGGAACTTCATCCTCCTCGTCGTATACCCCTTCGACGGCGACGGCGAGGGCATGAAACAGGGTAAGCAGCACTGGACGTATCGGCGCGACCGGCCAGCGACCTTCATCCTCGCGCTGCGGCGCCCGTCGCAGCCGGTCGCGCCAGGGTGGCAGCCCGGCGAGTACCGGGTCTACGAGTGGGACCATGCCATCTTGCTGCACACGGCCGGCGCATGGGAAGCAGAGAACAATAAGCTGTACTTCGAGTCGAGCCGCATCATGTACAACATGCTGCCGTGCTTTGAGCCGGAGGGCTCGCAATGGGCGCCGGGAGACTTCAAGGCGGACTTCGTGCGGTGGGAGGTCGACGTCACAGCGGCGACGGGCGCGAGGCTACGCGACCCGCACGTTGTGCTGGATCGGCCGTCAGAGTTTCCGCGGTTCGATGAGCGGTTCATGCCCAATGGGTACGACTGGGTGGTGCTGGTCGTCATCTTGCCAAACTCGAAGGGTTGCCTCGTCCCGGTGCATCTGAACGGACTGGCATTGGTGAACACCAGGAGCGAGGAGACGACGTACTTTGATCCCGAGGAGGACTGCGCTGTGAAGGAGCCGGTGTTCATACCGAGGTCGAAGGAGGCGCCGGAAGGGGACGACTGGGTCATGGCGATGGTGGAGAGGATGAAGGAGTAGGTCAACGAGCTTGTGCTGCTAGACACTCAGGACTTTAAGACGCCGGTGGCGGTTATTCGCATGCCGTTCCGGATGATGAAGCAGATTCATGGCAATTGGGTGGAAAGTGCACAGCTAGGTGAATGGAAGAGCCTCGTGCGGGAACCTAGAAAGTACGGGCCATGGCTAACCGCGGCGTAGCTGTGTGAGTTACTTACTAAGATTGCGCGGGCAGAAATTGAGTTAAGGAGACAAGGTACTTACTTACTACAGTGTCCAGGTGCGTAAATAGGGCCACGTGATTGAGATACCTTTTGCCCCGTTACACTAGTCGTAAAGGAGTCTTAATCTCACTCCTGTCTTCTCTTTCTTTCGTCACTTTGGGGTGGGGATACGTGCTGTCCCAATCGCTTCGGAGCGCTCCTAGTCGTACCGCTGAGAACGTCACTGTAGATTCTTTTCTCTCGACAGACCCTAAACTCTATTTCAATTCCTCTTCCCTACGCTTGTGGACCAGCCGCACATTCGTCATCTTCGGCTCTCGGATTCTCATGGATCCGCAGTCCTCTATCGATAAGAAACGCAATCTCGCTTCGCCCAAAAAGCCACGACTAGTAGTCTAACCCCTGAAATCCAATTGGACACTCATCAACCTGAGAACGATCTGCGCTATTTCCTCTCGCACCGCCACGATTGCATCCAGTACCGCTTGCGAACCGCCCTAAGTACGCGCTTCAAAAAATAATACACACCATAAACCTCCAAACGCAAAGAGCAGCGAAATCACCCCCTCACATCCAGCACGAAAACCCCACATATCTAACCGTCTTACATACAATGCCCGACCCCTCGACGCTAGAAAAACTGCGACCCTGCGGTATGCCACCCCTCGCAGGATTTAACACGAACGATACCAACGCACTACAGGGCGATTAGAGACCTTCTCCACTGCCCGGCACCATCTAGGCTTCTACCGAAACGTCGCCTGCACTGCAACTTACACCAACCACTCCTCAACAACGACAACAGCAACAACAGCAGCGACGACAACAATCCAGGACTTGATCTTCCGCGCCCTCCGCCACCTAATCGCCACCCACGCCATCCTATCCGCAATCCCGCTGCGGGAAGAAAAATCCTACCCAGACGTGTACTTCGCGCGCCTCCCGTCTATCGACCTGCGTACTTGCGTTGAATTCATCTCGCGCAAAGACGAGGAAGAGAAAGAGGTCAGCGAGGGTGGTGAGGGCGAAAGAGATGAAGAACTAGACGCCCTTCTAACCGAGCAGCACAACCGCGATTTCAAGCAGGATGAGGGGACGAAACCTTTCTGGCGGCTTGTGATCCTGCATTCGCCCGAGAAGAACGCTGGAGATTTCACGGCGTCGTGGGTCTTTCATCATGCGCTTGCAGATGGGACGTCTGCGCTTGTGTTTCATCGGCATTTTCTTTCTGCGCTGCAACAAGTAGCAGGCTCGACCTCCTCGTCTGAAACCACAGACGCAGACGTAAATCCCATCGTCCCCTCCCCCAACACACCCCTCCTACCCCCCCTAGAAGCCCTCCACCCGCTCCCCATATCCGCCCTATTCCTCGCCAAAGCGCTCCTCGGCTCGCTCTTCCCGTCCTGGTTCGCGCCCCGTGCAGCAAAACTCTGGACCGGCGCTCCCATCTCCAATTCCGCCTCGCAAACACGCGCTTGTTTCCAGTCCGTCGTGCTCTCCGCGGCGACTACAAAAGCGCTGCGCGAAGCCAGCCGATGCGAGCGCACCACCGTAACAGCAGCTCTGCAATGTATAGTCGCCTCCTCGCTGCTGTGCACGCTCGACGCGCAGCAGTACGAGAGCGTGAAGGTCGACGGTCCGATTAGCCTAAGGCGGTTTCTGCGCTGGGAAGGGGAAGGAGGTTTGGAGGAGCAGTTTGTGAACGCGATGGGGCAGTATGGATATGTTCACTCGCGCAGCATTCCCACTCCTCCTTCTTCCGCGCTGGCTGGTTCAACTTTCTCCTGGGCCTCGGCCCGCGCCGTCCGCGCAGCCATCTCGCGCGAGCTCGATAAAAACGGACGGGACAGCGTCGTGGGACTGCTGCGGCACGTGCCGGATATGCACAAATTCTTCCTTGGGAAAGTGGGCAGGGAGCGGGAGAGCAGCTTCGAGCTGTCTAACCTTGGCGTTTATAAAGCCGATAGCGGGGAAGGGGAAAGGGAAGGGGAGGGCTGGAAGATACGCAGGATGGTGTTTAGCCAGTGTCCGAATGTGGCCGGGGCGGCGTTTGCAACGAGCGTGGTGACGGGCGGGGATGGGTGTGCGGTGCTGGGGTTTAGTTGGTGCGAGGGGGTTGTGGAAGGGGAAGTTGTGGAGAGGGTGATGCGGAGGGTGGAGCGGGAGGTGGAAGGCGTGTTGGCGGCGGCAGAAGCATGAGCAACGCGTGCGAATTTGTGCAGGAGTGGCGAATCGAATTATTATTATAACGAAAATGAAATAGCGTATTAATAACAATAAAACCGAAGGGGGTAAGAAGGTAACTTTTGTCAGACGTACAAACACCGCGATGCCGCATAGAAAGGAGGCATAATCGTTGCAAACACTACCCCTGCACCGTCTGTCCCGCATTTCCATGAGCTTCAGGCACCGCCGGTGATGAGGACGAACTTGAGTTGTCGATGACGCTGTTGAAGTCGACGGCTAGCGTCCTGCGCAACGTCTTCTCTAGCATGGAGTAATATTTGGATTACGCCATTTCGGTGGCTCGGGGTTGGAAAGAAGTAAAAGAATCAGGTCAATGGTCTTGGAAGCGTCGAAGGGCGGAGCATCGCGGTATATTCGTTGCTGCGCCGCATGAGCCGGATGGCGGCGCCGTGAGGCACGAGAGCTTCAGAACACCAAAACTCCAGTTGCTGGTGCGAAAGGAGATCTCTCGCTCATGCCCCCGAGTATGGGTGAGAAATTCCTCTGAATAGTTGACGCCTAGCAGTCCAATCGGCCTTGCTCGGCGAGTCGAGGGCGTTGAACCAACCATGTCCCAGGCCGCCGCTGCCCAACAACGGTGCTTTGTCAATCGCTAATGAAACCGCGATAATGTTCTCGTGCTATAATTCGCTGGCTAGCAATGAGATCCGCATACTCCGCGCTATATTTTATGGCAAGCAGACATCTCCATATCATCCACAGACTTCCGAGATATTCTTGGACGGTAGGCGGCGAATACTTCCGGTAGCAAAGCCATGCTTTTGTTCCGTATAAGGAAGGCCGAGGTACTTATGAGTCGGACGGAGTTTAGCAAGGAAATGCGAGATAAGTGGGTCGTGAATACAGTACGTTGGGTGGTTTATTCGAGCTACTCTGGGGAGAGTCCGGGGTCCACAAGGTCCATTTTAATAGTGCCCCAAGGTAGTCAGCCCAGGGTGAACGACCATCCCCACTCTTGTAGCACATCCTCCCAGTCCCGCTTCTGCGCGCCATTCAGCACAGGTCTCCACACCTCTTCCAATACCTTCTGGACGTTGATGATATTCTCATAGCGATTCCGCGCTTGGATTTCGGCCAGTCGCTTGAAGCACTTGGAGATTTCGGGCTCATCGTTGAGCTCTGCGCCAGCCAGGAAAATCGGGTAGAGCATGCTTGACTCTGCGGGACTACCCGGTGGGATCCGCGACATGAACTCCATAGCCCGCGACGCGCAGGACGGAATGAGAGACTTGTGCGTTTCGGAGGTGCGGTACAGTTGAATAAGTGCGGCGAGGCGATAAGATTCCGCAAGCGCGACGAGATCAAGAGCGATTGGGAGATCAACGCCGGGTAGGTCGAAGGGGCTTCCATATCTCCACTCCTGGAGGTCGCGCTCAATTGAGTTGAATGCGGCTTCGGAGATGGCCGGGAAAGCCGGACTCGCAGAAGTGACGTACTGGATTCGCGAGATCAGCCCGCACAAGTAGTACGATATGCCCATCAGTGGGTCGACGGTAAGGGGCCCTTCTGGCGGACATGCAACGGACATGTCGCAGCTCTCCGCAGAGCTTTGAGCATCGCGTTTCGACACCTTAGCCATGAGGGATGCCATTGCGTTGTGGTAAGTGAAGTGCCTGCGGAGTGAGTCGACTTCCCAAGAGTTGAAGGTGTTCTGGTCGCGCGAGAGCAGGCCAAGGATCCCTCTTACGCATTTCATCTGAGAAAGCCACCTTGTGCTCTTCTCTCCATTGAGGGCTTCCAGTCCAACAAGAAGCAGGATGATGCCAATCACTTGGTAGGCGTCCCGGGGCGGTCCGCCGTTCCGAGGTACGCGGTCGGCCAAGAAGGCATGGCACTTGCGCTGATGCTTTGCCGACAGACTCCGAAGATGCAGCGCCCTATCGGTATTTGAGGTACGTCTGGCAAGCTGAGCGGACGACAGAGCCATGATGGCGTCCAGCATTCCTGTTGACTCAAAGGCCCAAGGGATGTAGAGCGATGTGTAGAAGCTCGACGGCGTAGTCGCGACGGAAACGCTCGGGACAAAAGCTTCGACATAGTAGCGAAGGAGGTGCTTTCTCTCAGCGGCTTCATCTTTGGGAAGATCGTCCCACAGGTCCATTGACGACCGTAGCGGACCGATCAAGCTGTCCGATGGGAGCGGGCTAGGCTGAGGTGATGAGGACGAGGATTCGTGGACAATCTGGCGCTGACTCTGCCATTCGCACACCAGGTTGAGGCGCGTGCAGTTCTGGCAGTCCGGACGCTTCCCATCGCACCGCTTCCTCCGCGCCCTGCACGTCAAGCAGCCTTGCCGGGAGCGCGGAGCAAACTTCCGCTGCCTGGGCTTTTGCTCGCCCATGATGGGGAGGCGAGACCTGGAACCATGTGCGTGGAGATGCGTGGGCAGTTCATGTATGGAGAGCGCTGTAGGTACCAGCGAACGTCGTCGGTCAGTTGCTGAGTCGTGAGTCGCAGTCGAAATATGGAGGGAAGGGTGAGGGCGCTGGTGCCAAAGCGATCGATAAGGCGGAGGTGCACGGACGCTACTGCTGGACGGCAGGCGCAGGCGGGTCCAGACGCGCACTTTCCTTTTGCTGCCTCAGCCCATCAAACACACCCTCCCTGCCTCCATGCTCCTCCCGCTCCTCGCGACACCAAAATTCTCGCCGCGTCGCCTTGGCCCGCCAGTCAGCCCGGGTTTTCCCTCTGTGGTGTCTCCGTCTTCTCTGCACGTGGACGGCTCCTCTCCGCCTTTCCACCACGGGCGACCACCCGAGCGGCTCGACTCCGCCCTCGTCGCTCGTCTCCGGGGCCTTGTCACACCTTGGCAGCCCTCCCAAAGCAGCCCTCCACAGGCATATGAGCTGATCCGGACGCGGCTATCTGGATTTCCTGCTGAGGCAGTGCCGCTGGAAGCCGTGCCTCAATGTCTGGATAGCCGAATGTAGGGTCGAATTGCTGGCGACATGGAGCCAAAGGCGCAGCTGCCGCATGTAAGCCGAAGTGGAACTGAGCCATTATTCCCCGTCATTATTACCGTTGGGGATAGTCCTGTTCGTCCATAGGCCAGCTCTCCGCGTCGGCTCCAGTGTTTCAAGGCCTCGGACCTGGGTTGTTCGGCACCCTCCGACGACGTCCGACGAACAGGAACGGCGCGCTGTACTCAGCTCGAGTTCCAAGGTTGACGAGAACCATCACGTTTCTGTGATTGCGGAGAAGACGCATACGATACTTATGAGAAACGAGCCTGCAGCCTCTCAGCGTACAGGTCGGACGTTGATCGAACGTCCCTGAAGCTTCACGCCATCACGCCATGTGACTTCACCCGCCGTTCTGGAAACGAGAAGGCGGAGCCGTCGGTGTACTTCAGATGGAACGCCTCAGCCATTCCATCAGCTCGTAATATACCGTTATACAACGAGAGCCTCCAGGAATCTGTATCTTTTCACGGTTCCGATTCTCTCCGCAAGCACTGATTGGGTTCGACCCTCTATCTCAACCCTCGACCTTCCTCATCCAGCGTCACAATCAGTATCCCCATACCACAGCAACAGCTCTAATCAGCATTGTCACCCAGAACACCGCAGTCATTGACGTCATTTTCACAGGGCGCGCTCGTTCCCCATGACTGTGCTTTCTAAGCCTGGCGCTGAATAATGCCCTCCCTCCACATGGCCTGTGCGCAGGGCGCGAAAACGAGAAGACGACCACGTTTGCTCGCTTTCTCGGAAAATTCGCATCAACAATACAGGGCGCGCACCGTTATGTCCTCCAATTCACCAATCACAGCCTTTGCTTCCCCCAAGCGCAAGCCACAATATGCAGGCGACGCTTCGTGTTCCCGACGGGCAACGCTGGCCGACGGAAAGAGACGCGGCGTGGCTGTCGTTTAGTAATGGCTTGCTGCGATGTGATTGGGCGGCTGACCGAGTGATTCTTACGCGAGCGAGCAGTTTGACATGAAAGGCGTGGATGGCGTTAGAGAATGTGGAGGGCGCGATGACAAACGTATGGGATGACTGTGAGAGTACGGCGCCGATGTAGGAGGGGGGATGACTGTGATGGTTTGGGATGGGGATATAAGATGGTTTGTGTTGCCGTCGACTGGGTTGTTCTTCATCAGACTCACTTGACGACTACTTCACAAGCAAGCAAGCAAGCATCAGAGCAATCGTCCATTCGAAAGCACACCGGCAATCAAATCAATCGAACACCATCCATCGACCACTCCATCACTCCATTCCATTCCATTCCAATCCAAGCCATCCCACCCGCCCCTCAACCGCAACCCCACCGACCAGTCACTATGTCCTCCCAGTCCCTGACCCCCCGCTCCTCCCTCGAAACCACCAAAACCAGCTTCACAACCTCCACCACAAGCACCTCCACCTCTACGGCCTCGCTCCTGCCCAAGCCGTCCAGCAAAGCCGCGCAGCTCTGGTCCGCCATCAAGAAGCATGCCAAAGAGCACCACGAGAGCGTCAACAACGCATACGCGTTGTACTACGGCCAGGGGCAGATGAGGACGTATCCGCAGCAGCCGCAGTCGCAGGCGCAGGCGCCGGATCGGAGGGGCTAGAGCAGAGCGGGGAGCGAGGAGAAGAGGGGAGATTGGCTAGGAGGCGTGGAGGAAGAAAGCGGGTGAGAAGGAGTGAGAGAGAGGATGACAGATGGGGGCCTAAGGGAGGAGTGGTGGAGAGGATGTGCGCCTGAGAGGGGAAGGACGGGCAATGATAGGGTGTCGGGGATTGCAGATTGAGCATCGAGGAGAGACATCATACCATACCATTACGTGGGCATTTTCCGGGCGTTGGGTTGGGTTAGGCGGCACATTTCGTTTCATTTCATTTACCAGCGTAGGGGATCTAGTAATCCTTCCTTATACATACTTAATTCATAATCACACATAGTTTCCCTCAAGCTCCTCCCCTGATGTATTCTGCGTTCTGCATTCTTACTGCAGAGCATGCAAGTCCTCTCTTCACCGCATGCGCTCCGCTCCGCTCCGCCGTTGCGAGCGAACTACTATTAGCCGAGCCTCTTGGGACTAACTGTACGACAATCAAGCAAGTTGAAGCGAAGGAATGCGCTTGGGAATCCTTCACTCCAATCCAAAGCAACAGGCAGCATGAGTTTACCCACGAGCAAACCAGCTACAGGCACAGACTTTCACAAAACGCATTACAATTACACTCGCTTTTCTACTCCTCTAGCCCTCCTGTACGAGCCGTGCCTTTTAGCCGTAGGTGTGCCCATACATGTCCATGCCAGACGCCGTAGCATGTTGCCCCGCCGAGATAATACACCTGTATTATACTCTACACATAGTATACCGTGGGAAGGGGAGCCCAGAAAAGGAACGCAGCAAACGCAGAAGGAAAGGAAAGGTGTTTTGGGCGCTTTTGTATTGTACATTTTGCCCTCTATCAAATGGAATGAAGTAATGAGAAGATAGTAATGGATGCCGTAAGGCGAGCGGAAATAGTTTCGGACGCTAGATGTTGGAATATGAGGATTGGGAGTGGAAGCCGGGTCGCCAGCGGCAGGGTTCGAGTGACTCGGGTCGAGCAGGAGTGGCATCTGCATCGACAGACGGATCCGCTGGCGTTGCGGCGTCGTTATCCGAACCCCGCGAAGGGCGTCGCGCTTCGCGGTAAGACGTAGTGGGTAGTCCATTCGATGCATCTGAGTTCGCCCGGGACAGCTCTTCAAAGCGAGCGACGAGGTCGGGTACAGCGCGGGATGCGGAGCCGCCGCCGTTGGGATTTGGTGGGCTACGCTGCGTACCCTGTGGCGCTTCCTCGGTGGATCCGACACTAGCTAAACCGGCATCGTCAACTGAGGTCGGATGCTCGGTGACGGCCTCATAGTAGGTTGAGCTCGAGCGACCTGAGCTTTCACCGGAGGATAACTTGCGGTCTCCTAAGCTATTGGCGGACGCACTGCTGGTTCGGCCTTCAAGCTCAAGCTTGTACTCGATCTCGGGATTGCTCGGCGATGCCTCTTTGAGCAAGCCTTTCGACATGCGCCGCGAGGGTATGGGCGGCGCACTGCGCGGATTCTCGCACCATCCGACGTCAGCGTTACTCGTACCTGCTGTCTCAGTGCGCAATATGTCTACTTCTAGCTTCGGTTGGATGAGGTCGATCGCTGAGGCGCCGGGTGTTGTCTCTTTAGAGTACATCCCGTCGACGAGAGTGACATTCGTCGATGAGAAAGGCATCGGTGCGGTCTGCTCCTGCTTAGTGCTGCTTGTTGCTAGCTTCACTAGTTGGTTTCTCTGCTCGACATCCGCATCGTCGGTCACCGGCGTAATCGCCAGATCGGACAGGCTTTGTGGTTGGAGCGTTAAGATGCTGTCGCCAGCCTGCTGCGGAAGGCAACGCTCCAGATCATGCGCACTCTCCACGCGTCCGTCCGTTTCTTCATAGTCCAATGGATGATCCTTGTCGTACTTGCGGAACAAGAACCAGAAGATAATGGTCGTGGCAGTCATTGCGCCAGTAAGGGACGCATAGAAGACGACCAGATACGGGTCTCGAGCTATAGGTGTTAGCCCCATAGCGCATGCAGACCCGATGCCGGCGACAAGCAGGCTAATCGCTTGGACTATTGCCTTCATATCCTTTGGCGCATGATTGTACGCGTACTCTAGCGCCGTCACGTATGCGAAGATCTCACCAGCCGCAATGAAGAAGTAGAGAGGAGCCTGGATCCAGACATTGACATCATTGGGGCCACGAAAAGAATCGGTAGGTCCGCACTTGTTTGGGGACGCGTAGCAGGGCCCGGTCGTGTAGACGATTTGCTGTACGATGGTAGCATACAGCATCGACAGCGCGATGAAACCGAATCCGATAGCGATCCTCGTGATGGGCTTCAGGTAGATTCCGCGCTTGTGTAGAAGAGGGTACAGCGCGCTCTGGACAAGCGGGCCGAGAACGATGCATCCGACCTGATTCAATGCGGGCATCATGTCGTTTGGCATGCCGAGCGTCTCCATCTGGGCAGCTTGGGAAATCAGATTATTCTGCATCTGGTCGAAGCAGATGTAGAAAACGACGAAAGCCAACCTATTTCGCAGATTAGTGAGTGGATGCGGTGCGTGGATTGGGTAATGGTCTTACAATACCCGGCAAGCGCGTACTCCACGATACAGCTCCTCTACCAGCTGTCCGCTCCAAGGCACCGTCTTGCGGTGATGCTCGAGCTGATAGAAAGGATCCGCATGTGCCAAGCTGAAACCGTTTCGGCAAGCACAGATCAATATTTTCGTGGCTTGCGGTAGAATGTTGGCTTCGTGCGGCACCTTCACTTTATCCTTAATCAGCTGTGGAGGGTCACGGTAGAACACCGTCTAACTTACCATACCACTTCCTTCCGATAACCAGCATGAGCAGTGCGACCACCATGAAAGTGAAGGTCAGGCCGTATGCGCATGTGAAGCTAGCTTTCTTTTCGAGAGTAACAGTTGCGAACCAGGATAGCGAGCCGACATTGCCGAGCCTGGGTTTCGTCAGCCAATGCCACCCTTCCTAATGAGGCGAAATGGCTTACCAATAGTAGAGGTTGTAGATGTACTGAATGGTGAGCTCATGATCCGTCACGACGCGCTCTCCGGACTTGAGCGTTTTTATTTGTGGCCGTTGCTCGGGGCATTGATCGGCTGGAGCGCGTCAGTGCATGCTGAGAAGGAATGGCCAAGATGCAGGGTACCGATGAAGGCGACCATGATGGCGCGGAAGCCACCTCCCCCTAGACCTATTACCACCATAGCGAAGATGAGGCCTAGCAAGCCCCATCCTTTCTCAAGAATGGTGGATAGAGAGCTGACCGTCATGGCGGCGCACCCGATGTTGTACAGCCTGGAATGGGTTAGCGTATCGCTAGTGGCCCGCGCTTGTTTCCCAAACGGGAATAAAGACTAACACAACGCTGATCAGAAGGGTCTTGTAGCGGCCTAGATAGCTGTCGGACACAGCGGCGAAGGCAAGCGGAGTGACATAGTAGAAGACGTAGAAGGCGCAGTATATCCGGGTGGCGCGAGCCTGTCCCAGTCCGAGTGCTCCGGGCGTGTCTTCGTGGTCGAGCGGCTCTGGATGCTGCATGTAATTTTCTAGAGGACGAGACCGTTAGCGACATATGAAGTCTGTATAGGGAAGTGGTGAGATAGACGCACGCCATGGTGCAGTGAGGCCCCAAAAGGCAGCACGTTCCCAGAAGCCAATCAGGGCTACCGCCCATAGGCGCTTTGGAATGTCGTCTCTCACGCGTCGCAGAGTCTTAATCTCTAGTTGCGAGAACGACGAGGAATTGGCGGAATTGGCGGATACGCTACGCTCGGTCAGTCCGATTCGTGTCCTGGTTGCAATTCACCGTACGTTCTATCGATTGCCGTCGGAGTCTCCTTGGCGCCTTCCATGACAGCGGTGGCGCGGAGCAGATGATACGATAGATAGGCGATATTGAGTTCCAACTTAAAATGAGCGAGTGTAGAGAGGCAGTAGGGATGTGCGTAGGATGCGCAACTTGGATTGCATGAGGAGACCCGTGGGCGGGGTGAGGTACTTGCCCACGGAGGGAACAGCCACGGGGATGCGCCTTCCTCGACGATGGTGTTGCAAACCTTGGAATATCGCAGCCAACAGGGCATCCGACGCACGTGGCGGGCCGATGGAGGTGAGAGAAAAATGTGGTGAAGGTCGACCGACGACTATAGAGAGAGGTTTGACGTGCTTTGGAGCTCGGGCCGGGCAAGCAAGAAACAGTCACCAACGCAAGCCCAAGTGACACAATCCCGCCCGTGGGGCAAACACGGTCCGCGCAGGTCAGCCATCTGAGGCGTAGCTGTATGCGCTCCAGCGTGCGAAAAGCAGATAGAGATGATCAGCGTCGGATAGATGCTGATGGCGGCCCACTCCTCAATGTATGTAGCCGCGCCACAGTGTCCAACTTCCACGTATCGCTGTGCACTGAACAAGATCCTCCATGGTGCTGGAGAGAGCTGTGTTGCCATGGGTTGATCGAATTGCACGGGAGGAGAATTGCAGGACCCATCTCGTCATGGCGCAGGAACGCGGCCGTCTCTTATCCGCGCATCCGCATATGGGGATATGTACTTGTCACCGAAGACGACGTCGCAACCGGAAAAACAAGCTGCTTGCGCGTTGAGCGGGAGAACTTTCTTCACTTCGGCCATTAATGATGGGATCGTGATAGAGGATGGAGATATCCAATTATAAGGAAGCAGGACATTTCCAGGAACACGCGCGGATTTGAGCTTGTTGAATTGCGAAAGCGAGGAGAGCGATCCACTGCGCGGGCTGTTCAAGCCCCAACCCCATCGCCCGCGCCCCATGTTGTCATAGAAGCGAAGGTAAAGGCTCTCCAGAGCATGGCGATGGTAGCGCAGAGCCGTATCCAGAACGCCAAAATCGAAAGTGGCACGACCGGGGTCGATGGCGTGCATGTCCAGGTAGAAATGCTTCAACGCACTGCAGCGACTCATCAGGAGATGTAGTGCTTCATGACTCACGTCGCTTTCACGAAAGACCAGCGTCTGGAGCCGCGCCTTCTCAACGAGGTGCCAGTCGCCGTCAACTTTGAATGGCCCATCCACGTCCCATCTCAACCCAAGTCCCATTTCCTGATCAACGCATCCGCGCAGTTGGAGGTAGAGGAGACTGGGAATCTTCAAGAGAAAGGCGAGAGGATACAGCGGAAAGGACGTGTTCGAGCCTGGCCGTGCGATGACGACGGATCGTATGCTGTGGAATCTCCCGAGCTTGTTGGTGTGCGACAGCAGCGTATCCCTCATGATCCGAAGGAGAAAGCTCTCTTTATTCCACCGACTCCCTTCTCTCCACAATTCTGTCGTAGTCTTTTGATGATATCGTACACTGAGCACTTCCAGCTTCTCCGACGCGAGAAGAAGCCCCAAAGCAGCACAAGCTCGTCCCCGCGGTCGTCCAAGGCGAGCTAGAGCATCGGTCCAGTCTCCTATGAGCTCTGAACAAAACCCAGATTGCTGAATCGAACGTCTGAGTCGGCGGTACAAATCCTCAGGCATTGGATTGATGTCCCATTGGTCCCCTACGCCACCACCGAGATACAAATCGAGGTTGCGGACGTGCTTGGCAAGGTGCGGTCGCTCCAGGATAGCTAAGGGAAAGGAATGCGGCAGATCCCTGCTCCTGAGGTTGCCGTAAGACTCGTACAGGAGTGGCTCCGCAAGCTCTCGAAAGCGTCTCGACGTCAGGCATAGTGCCGCGAACGTGCCTGTGCGATGCTCAATGGAGTGAGAAAGCTGGTCAAAGATCTCTAGCCAGATTTCGTTCGGAACGTCGTCGACGGAAGGCATTGTTGATTGCGGAAAGGTGATGAAAATGATGGCGGCGAGACGGAATGTGCGTGTCGTTCATGCCCAGCCTTGGAGCCCGATGAAGCACGGGACGCTAGTTAGGTAAGCGTGCCGTGCCAGCTAACCAATCAATACCTCGGCTCCTATCGTCGATGTCTCACAGCCAATCTCGCCAGATCGACCATACAACGTTAATTCAGTCAGCCCCTTTCTTACACACTCAATTCCAAAGATGCGGCCTGCACATCGCGAACCCCAAGCTCGCTTGTTCGGAATGGCACGCAGCGTCCCACCCTAGCAATGACGTCAGACATCGTAGCCCGGACTCAACTTCTTCAGCGTGTATAAACGACCGGCTAATCGCCACGGGGACCCTATTGCGCCGGACCGCTCCAGCTATAGCCGTAAGTCGCCGCAGCAGAGGAAGGCAATGCCAGTGAGTCTATTTGCTCCTGGGAGAGTACGCAGGTGCCGATTTGATGATCTCAGCTATCTGGACGCAGCTTGTACTCGCGTTCACGATACACGTCTTTTATCTTCCTCCGGGTACCGTTGACAGCAACCATAACCCCCAAAGTGGTGAAGACGCTTCGTGGCTTGGGATGGGACTCAGGCAAGAGGAGGCCCAAAACGAAGTAGAGAGACTAACAGCTCCCTTCGATGCTCGTCATCAGGACTAGTTGTTTTTAGGAGATCCTTCTATCCTCCAAATCACAAAAAATGAACAGGAGATCGCGTGGTCGGATATCTTAACCTTCATTGCAAGGTTCCCGCCACATTCCGGTCCATCCTTCGGTCAAATGCCTTGAACTCCTGCACGACATTCTTTCTCCCTTTCAAAAATGCGGCGCACCTCCTCTCAACTCGAATACGAGCTCGAAAATCAGCGATAGCATTCGGACCTCCAACCGACATACCTAGAACCTAACCGCTCATTGGCACGCCGTACGAGAACACAAGAACACCTTCTTCGTGTGCCCTCATCTCACAAATCCCCGTCTCCATCTATCCTTTATAGATACACAGAATCATACTCAAGGCGGAATGTAGTGGCGGTGCAGCTGAGTCGGCCTTGGCGCGCAAAGCGAGGGAGGCTCAAATGGGAAATCACGAGGAGCTATTCTTAACTTCTTTCACCCCACAATGTCACCCCACTAACTGAATATGGAAAATATCGAAAGACAAAGGGCATCGCAAGTCGTGAGCTTTGACGCGCGTCGAGCTTACAATAAGACCCGCGGATTACGACTGTGGCTTACGATGGCACACTCATCTCACTCTCCCGAAAACTTCCATTCTTGTTGTTCTCTCATGATCCTCCGGACATACGCCTCAACGCCCTGTAGTAATGGGTAGATGACATTCCCCGAGCTATCGCGAGTTTCCTCTTCTACAGTCCTTTCTTGACTGTATTCTTGCCGCGCAATGATATCCACCCAACGCGTTTCCGTCTTTATCGTCGCTATTTTTCTCTGCTTCATTCTCTTGTTTCAAATCCTTCAAAATGACGGCCCGTCAATCAATGATATCAAGAACATATCATACAGGTCCGTCACCTTACACTGTTCATATCTACCAGAGAGTCTAACTTCACTCGAGGCCTTTTAGACCAAGCATTCACGACTCGATACTAGCCCTGTTCGATTCGATACGACACCCAATAACGGAAAACTATACCGACGTGTCCGGAACAAGGTTCCTGCTGGAACAGCCACCTATATGGACAAAACCTCTGAAAAAGAAGGTACTCATTGTCGATATCGATACGCGGGAGCCATCTGGCGACAATCAGATTCTCAACTCCGCAAAGATGGACTGGGAGAAACTTGATGTGAGTGGAGGGGAGCTGGTCTCCAATGGCATAATGAACCATTATCTCTACGGTAAGCCCTGCATTCGCCAGTAGCCGCGACAACGTTTGCTCATATGAAAATTCAGCACAAATTCACGGATACGACTACAAGTTTTTCCAAGCGCAACATATCAAAGGGCATCACGACACCTGGATATTACCACACGTTCTCTACGACCTCCTTCCCGACTACCAGTTCGTCGTTACGATGGATGCCGACGTCACAATCACTCATCTGGAGGTGCCTCTAGAATGGCTTTTCAATCGTTGGGGCCTCACAAAACATACCTCGATCAGCATGCCCTGGGACCAGGAAGAAATCTTAGGTGGCGAGACCGTCAGCATCGACAGCAAGGGTCTGCAAGTGCTCAACACGGGCGTAGTGGCTGTGCAAAACCTCGAGTACACCTTCGAGATGCTGGAAGCGTGGAAGGACTGCACGACCGAGAAGAGATACAGCGGATGCGGGCGATGGAAAGAGGAGTGGAGCCATGAGCAACGCGCCTTTTCTGAGTACATCCGGTACGATTTCAACCCCGCGGGCGACAATATTGTGGAGATCCCGTGCGACGATGCTATGGGTTGGCCGGGCATGATGCACGAGTATGAAGGCCAGATCATGTCGGATTGCAATGGGACGTTCTTTCGCCATCATACGCTCAGGAAGGACAAGACGAAGGAGAGTGCGAGCAGTGCTGTTATGCAAGTTTTGTCGGAGATATTACAGCACGAGCTGTTGGAGCATAAGGATAAGGTCTGGGTTAAAGAAGCAGAGCGGATCGAAGTCGATGAGGCGCCGTCTCATGTAGAGAACGTGGATCTGAGTGGTTGAAAGTAGAATTTTCTTATGGCCTGGATTGGAGATACCCTTTAGTAAGTTCCCATATCTCTAAGCCTAACGTATTCTTCGCTCACGTGATTGCCACTTACAGGAAGAGTTCGAGTCAGTGTTTAGACCATTAGCGTACCGGCTCCATCCGGGTATTTCTGGGCCGAAATAGAAAGTTATCGCTCCACAGTGGGGTCTCCACATCTATGCGAGCACTAGGATCCACTTCCGCGCCAATATGCACTACTCGGCTTCGCATTCCGGACCAGCACATTGGTAAAGCACCGAATTTCGACTTCATCTTGACCATCCCGGCGGGAATAGCATGCAAAGTAGAAGATTTTTGAACAAAGTCTAGTAACTGCTAACACCATACGCCAGGAGCGGAGAACAACCTCCCAATTTTCAGGACTTCACGTAGCCACCGGCTGAGGCTCCTGATTCGTACTCCCCAGACTAAACCCAGGCCTCTTCGCCCCCGTCGGATCATTCAGCCCCCACGCCGTACTACTCGCATCATGCACCGTCGTCCGCCGCAAATCCCTCCTATACTTACCCGCAAACGTGCCCCCGCCCGCCCTATGCATCACGCACGTATTATCCCAGATAATCATGTCCCCCACGTTCTCCCACGGCACGCTAATCCTGTACTTCTCCTGTGTCGCATGCTCCATCAGCCGCTGCAGCAGCTCGTCCGACTTCTCCCGCGGCAGGCCCTCGATGTGGTGCGCGTGCGCGGCGATGTAGAGGTTCATCCGGCCGGAGGCCTCGTGCTTCTGCACCATTTTGTGCAGGTGCATGGGCTGGCTTTCGACGTCGATGTCGGCGAAGAATACGGGCGCGCCGCGCTTGCGCGAGTGCGCCATGCAGTGGGCGGCTGCGTAGTCTTTTTCGAGCAGCTCTTCTTTGAGGGGTGCGGGGAGCTCGTCGAAGGCGGTGCGCGAGTCGGCGAAGTCGGTGTTGCCGCCGTGGCCTGGGGGTGGCAGCTCGTAGGCGCGCAGGAGGGAGTAGGAGGCCCGGCGCGGGTTGAAGGAGCTGTCAACGTGGAAGAGTGCGTTGCCCTGATTCCCCCCCGGCTTAGAATTCATCTTGTCGAAGACTAGGGGCGGAAGGTGCACTTACCTTCTGGTACTGTGCTTTGGGCGAGTTTGGATCAATCACGTTGCCGTCTTCGTCTACGTTCCCGGCGTCGAAGAGCTCATAGTACTGATACCGCATCTTCCGGCCGTTTGTCATGTATGGCCGGATATCGTCCAGCTCGCCGAGCTTCCTCGAAAACTCGACGTGCGCGGTGTCATCCATGCCGGTATTTCGGAACACGCATACCCCGTACTGTATCTTTTATCAGCATACAGCCGCTAATTAGAGCACCTATCTCAATACACGCAGACCCTCCCAAATAGGCATGATCCTGCGAATCAAAAAAAATTGAGAACGCATTCATACCTTCGCCATTGCAGCCAGCACCTCCCTGAACTGCTCCTCCTCCGGATTCGGAAACTCTACTCCTTCGATCTCGGCACCGAATGTTGGGTGGAGCTCCTTGACACGGAGGGTCTTGAACCCGCTTGCTGCAGCGCCTCCATTCTTTTCAACCACGCCCGGCATTTCGACGTCGTGGTCTTGACGAGCTCGCTAAAAAGCGTGTTGGTGTGTTCGGGCCCCGTTGGGTTGCCTTCAAGATGGTACATCTACAACAGCTCTCCTCTCTTCCTTTCCTATTCTTGCTGCAATGAAGAGCGGAATGGGTTGGGATGGAGCGGTGTCGAGGGTAGCGGTATATATCGCGCAGCCATTTATTTATCCCGGCAATTATGCGGGCATATTTGCCGACTTGCTAGTAGGGCTACACAAGTCATGCGTTCGTGTAGGAAGCGAAGGATGCCGTTGCTGTGTGACCCCGCAACTTGGCAACCCCACGGTTCACTAATGATTCACGCCGGAGCCAATGGAGGCTTGTGTGAGCTTCAAGCGAGCCGCAGCTTGGCTGGAAGTCTCAGGATAGCGACGGAGTCACTGGAAGAGAATTACAAAGATGGGGAGATGGGTGTAACTGCCGTGCAGCTGGGCACGGTTGGTGCAGAGACGACGTTGGGGAAGATGGGGGAGGGGAGGGGATCTGCAGCGTTATCCCCGCACGGCAGTGCCATGCTGGCGGGATGTGCTGGATATTGGAGCAACCGAGTTGTCGGTGATGGGAAGTGTTGAAAAGAGGATCGGATCCGCTCCGTGGGCCTTTCGTTAGGCTACGCGGTACTGAGAGCTCACCCACAATGGCGACGGATATCAAACATGACGCCGTGCAGACAGAGAGGGTCCCGGAGAAGGAGCACATCGTCGACGAATCGCGCCTAGATACCAACATCCACCTCAACGACGCGATACAGGCCGAGATCGATAAGGATGAGAAGCGTGTCAAGCGAATTATCCGGAAGGTCGACTTCCGAATGATTCCCATTCTCGGATTGCTCTATATGTGGGCACTGATCGATCGAGTGAACCTTCCCAATGTGAGGAGTTACCAGTCAGCCTAGTGTCGTTGAGCATGAGTAACTGACCTCGAGAAGATCCAAATTGCAGGAATGGGGAAGGAGCTCGGAACGACTCAGGGCAATCGATATACGTTGGTCACTATGATTGTGAGTCGCGGCACCTTTGTGCAAGTGACGGATATTAACAGAGCAAGTTCTTCATTACTTATATTCTCTTCGACTTTCCGTCAAATATAGCGCTGCGGAAATTCGGGCCCGCAAAATGGCTTGGTTTCATCGGAACGTTTGTGCCTCCTCCCCATTGTGCATGCCATTGCTGATGGACGGGTAGAGCGTGGGGATGTCTGACAATTGCGATGGGTTTCGTTCAGTCGTGGAAGACCCTGCTTGGTAAGATACCCAACAAAGTCCGTCGCCGTGCGTGAGCTAACGACGTTTCACAGTTTGCCGAGTTATATTCGGAGCACTGGAGGCCGGGATGGCACCTGGGTCCATATATCGTGCGTTGGTGCCTGTTCGCCGCCCGCATCCCATTGACTGACCGCTCCAGTGCTCTCCTGCTGGTATACAAGATATGAGGTCCAGAAGCGGTATGTTTCACGGGCGAGGACTGGGGATCTCCGCTAAACGTTGCAGTTTCGCGGCTTGGGCCTGCATCGGCGTCTTTGGCTCGGGACTTTCCAGTGCTCTCGCATACGGCATCACCACGATAGGGACCACTGCTGGATATAGTGCATGGCGCTGGATATTCATCATTGTCCGTAGATACCCAGAAAACTCATAGCATGCTCTGACCGTATGCAGGAGGGTATCGTCAGCGCCGCAGTCGGAATTGTGGCCGCCATAGTTCTTGTCGACTTTCCTGATCGAGGTATGTACGTCGTAGAAGCCCAAGGTAAAGGCTAATCCGCGCAGCGTCTAGACCGGGGCTCTTCTTCAAGCACGGCTTCCTAACCCCAGAGGAGGCGGCGATAATCCTTGCGCGTGTCGAGCGCGATCGCGCAGACGCCGTCCCGGAGCCCTTTACTACCAAGAATGTATTGCGGGCTTTGAGCGACTGGAAGATGTGGCAGTTCCCCTTCCTTCTCTTCCTCAATGTCAGTCATCCATTCATTTATTCCATGACCGAAGAGATGCTTATGATACCAGAACCTTACAGTGTACTCTTTCTCCTACTTCCTGCCGATTATCGTGCACGAATCGATGGGGTTCTCAACGGAGATGACGTACTACCTAAATGTCGCACCATACTGTTTTGCGGCCATTGTGAGCGGTCCAACTCTTCGTATAGAAGTGCAGTTGCTAATCTTGTTTCATAGTGGATGTTCGCCATTGGATGGTTCAACGACCGGATTAGGATGAGGGGTCCCACGATCATAACACAGGCATTGATCATAACCATCGGCGCATGCGTAATGGCTTTTGCGAAACCTGCTGGCGTGCGATGTAAGATTAATCACCGCTATGATTATCGACATAACTGACGCAGGGGCAGTCTTTGGCGTGTTCCTCGCAGTTGGCGGCACGAACTCGAATATTCCAACAATCTACGGTTATCAGCATAATAATATTAGTAAGTGTGATGTTATGTGTGGACAGACTATGGACTTACGTCTCCGTAGCTGGCCAAACCAAGCGCGCCCTCGCAACAGCGATGCTCCTTATGGGTGGTGGATGCGGAGGCATCGTAGCGTCATTCGCGTTTCAGTCAAAGGATGCGCCGCACTACACCCCTGGAATGATCACTGTGATAGTGTCGCAGGCGTTGACTGTGCTGATCGTCTCATGTAACTTCCTTTACTTCTTGCATCGGAACCGCAAGGCAGAACGAGGCGAAGTTGTACTTGAGGACACACCTGGGTTCCGGTACACATATTAAGGATCAATGACATCAGTGAGAAGATGGAGAGCCTGGGGTGGCTTCGCTGCATTGGTGAAGCTAAGTTGTTGGCTCGCCAATTACAAGGGGCGTTTCGAACGTAGGTAAGCCTGAGACATAATTGAGTATATATAGTCAAGAAAGCAGCACCCTACATCTCCCTTTCATATCGACTCCTTCCTCGAAGCTTTGGTCCCCATGTCCAGAACACCCACGGAATGGGTGCCATCGCCACAGTGCAAAAGGCCAACAGACTTGCGGCCCACTGGGTGCCCAAGCTTTTGTACATATGCAATGTGAACAGCGGGAAGCATGCTGTCAAGATATACCGAGCCAGGCTATTAGCTCCCGCAGCAGAAGCTCCATAAAGCGGACCGTAGGTGTCGACCATGTACATGTTCGCTCCAACATACGCGAGAATGGAACCGAGCATAGTGATCCCTTGAGCGACGATAGGTACGATCCAAGGTATGCTCGGACGTGCCGTCCATGCGAAGTAAAACAGACCGACGGGTAGAATGACTGAGCCAAGCATCGAGGGATAAAGACGGTGCTCTGGTGGAAACTCGCTATTCGGAAAGGTACGGCAGAAGTCGCGATGCTTTGCTTGGTATATACACCAGTCCATGGTAATAAGAGTCCCTGCGGCGCAGATGGCGCCTACCATAAGGCCCAGGAACGATAAAGCTTGCTGTCGAATGTCGAAACCGTATGTGACCTGGTAGATGTAGGGAGATCCGACGATGAAGGTATACAGGAGCGCAAACTGGAAAGAGCAGTACAAGCAGACAAAACCGACGATAGGTTCGGTGAACAGCATGTGCACCGGCCGTGTGATGGTCGACGTGAAAAACTGCATGAAGATCTTAGAAGGATCTCTTTGAGGTTCCAAAAGTTCCACTTGCTCCTGTCGCGCGATGCGCCGAATGACCACTTTGCGATAGGATTCATGAACGAAACCCAGCAGCGGAAAGATAGCAGCGGCGAAGAACAGTGTCGTCCATTGCGTCCATCTCCATCCTTTCGCGGCAACAACAAAGCCCCCCACCAGCGGGCCGACGAGTGACCCAATGAAAGGAATCGAGTAATAGATGGCCAGCGGTATGCCTCGCTTGTCGGGTGGCGTAGTGTCTGCGATTGTTGCGCTTGCGATGCTGACACAGGGTGCGCCAAAGAGACCGGCGAAGAACCTGCACACGCAGAGCGCAGCATTGCTCTGGCACCAGCCCGACCCTAAGATGAAAAGAGCGAAGAGGGGCGTAGTAACCAGATAGACTATCTTTCTACCATACGTCTCGCTCATGGGAGAAGCAATAATGGGCCCAAAACCCATGCCCAGGGCGTAGAAGGAAAGCGGTAGGAGCGCAAGTGTGTGCGAAATTCCGAACTCGCGGGCGACGTCATCGCTTCCTGAGGCGTAGATAGAGGTCGCAAGGGTGGAGACGAAACCAATGGCGGAGACTATGAGCGTAGTGTAGGCTTTCTTGACCAGCGGCCAGTTTCGTGCATTCTTGGGATGATGGTTCCAGCCAAGGATCGGAGGAGGTGCGGCTGTCTGCTCGATGTCAAGCCTTGATGTAGTGCTCGCCATTGACAATGTTTGACCTTGGAGCCGTCGTCGTGGGCCATGTTAAATGAGTGATGAGTCGAGCTGGCTCTTTTCTTTTCCGGTTTATTTCCGTGCTTCTCCGCAATGGAGCGGAAAAGCTTTTGCCGAGGTACGCCAGCGTGCATTTCAGGCAGCGTGGAAGAAAACCCTCCGGGCGCGGATTGGCGACGGAACGATGTTCGTCGTCAAGTGCGTGTGTCGAAAGGAGTCTCGAGAGCGGATGGTAAGTGCGCACTGGCGGTCGTGATAGATGACGTCATATCTCCCTGGTTATCCGTCCACCTCTGATTCTTCGGCTCACCTCTTCTCCCTCACGGCTTGTGACCTCACAGATGTCCGAAGAGGGCCCTGATCTGAGCGATGGATAAGATCGCATCGCCATGATCACATGAAGCGGAACTCTTGAGCCTGGACCTTCCCTGCCTGCATGTCTCGCACGAGCCTCCCATCCATCAGCTCATCCACATATGCTTCCCCCAGTAGCAGAAACACGGGACCCATTGGCCGCACCACGTACGGCATATCCCCCCCGAAGAGGACTACCACCATGTCGCCCTCGCGCATGCACCGAGGGCCTAGGCCCAGCGCCCCATTCGAAGTGCGGAAGACTCTCCGGCCAGAGCAAACCATTCTAGCGACCATGGCGTACTCTGTGAAGTTTTCGCCCGTGTCTATGTGGAGTACCTCCTCGGTGTTCTGGTTCCGTACGAGGGAAGCACCGAACCCTCCAAAGTAAGTCTGAAAGTTGGCAATATATCGGTCTCTCTGCTCTTGGTTTGCATCCACCCATACTCTACCGCCTTTCTCACTATAACCGCTAACTCTGCCCGCCGTCAAAGTCCGAGCAACAACTTGAAGTGCAGCAGCATACTCGGGTGACTCTGGGCCCTTCCCGTGGACGATTTCGTTCCAAAACTGCGGAATTGGATGCGCATCTGCCGCCGCCCGAGCGTCTGGGGGTATCGGAGCGCTCCGTGGTTTCTCAATTGAACTCAAGACGTCAAAGGGCAGCCCACGGACCTTCAAGTGACGAATCGAAGACAAAGGATCATATTCCATATGTAGCGCTATGTCGCCGCAGGCGGATTGGGCACTGGAGTAGAATCGGTTCGGGCTCAGCCGCAACTGAACAAAACGCGGGACATCCCAACGCGGAGCCCAAGAACTGAACGTCGGATCTCCATCGTATTCCAGGGGATGTTCGGCGTCTTCCAGTGCCGCAAGGCCCATTGTGCTCCGGATGGCTGCCACGGTCATATCTTCGTATACCTCCGCTACCGACTTCGAGTAGTCGACCGATATATCAATGGGACTTCCATGGGTAAATTCCAGCAAATTGAGGATGCCGTAAACTTTATCCCTAGGATCCGTCGCTTTGAAGTCTCGATGATTGTCCAATAAGTCAATGAGGGTGTTTTTCATCGGCCCGTAGTTGCAGCACATGGCCATGGCATTCCAGTAACGGATCGGCGTGGGTAGCGCGTGTCCCCCGAACTCGTTCCGCACGAGGATTCCAAATATCCAGAATACCGTCTGGCCGATATCGTACCAATCGAGTTCAGCGTCGCCCCAGAGAATAGCGGAATGGCTGGCAAGGCGGATCTCTTGGACACACCAGATCCGCCTGAACCAAGGCAAGCCGTAGAAGTTCTTGAGCGCTGCCCATGGTATGCTGTCATACAAGTCTTTTGGTAATTGGACGTTCGAGAAGGACTCGGCGCTACGCCCACCCCCTCCTTTGCCTTGGCCAAGGTCTTCGCAAGCCTGCGTGATCAGTCGCATTGCAGCTTTGACGATGCAGGCCTCACTGAAGTCCGAAGGTCCAAGCCAGACGATGACTTGCCGTGCACGAAAGAAAATCATGCTCAGCAAAGGAATCTGGTGATTCTTCTCGGTGCTGTCGGCTTGATTGATGCAAAGGGCGTCCACCCATATATCGCGCTTTTCGTCCCGAAGTCGAAGCCTGACCAGGGCGTCTTGGAGGTTCTGGGTAACCTCACGGGTCTGTCCATTGCATATTATCTCCTCGGCTGCTCCTGGATCCCCCCAGACGTAGGATAGTGCTTCGTATTCGGGGATGACATCGATTTCGAACAGCCTCAGCTCACATTCGATGGGTTGATCCGCGTGTTGGGCCGGCAGGAGGCTTATGAGACGAATTTGGCTCGACGACAGCGACTCTTCGTAGATGTCCATCATTCCATGGGATGAAAGGGCTTCGCATGGTGTAAAGGAAATAACAGCAGCTGATGCGACTGGAGATAGCGCTTGCCTTGAGGCTGAGACTGTGGCGCAGTGACGATGGCGGGCCTGACGCTAGGCCTGAAGTAGTAAGTAAGCGCTACCCCAAACCGAGCACACTAAAGCCCTTCCGCCTCGAGAAGAATCATGGAGAGGGAATTTTTAGGAGCAGAGTGAAGAATTTTAAAAATGCTTGAATAAGATTTTTGAACCGATATATGGGTATACACTCACAGTTATAGCAGTGCTGGTCAACGAGACGCTCTAGTAATACTTCTATCAACCAACAGAAGGGAAATGCAGGGGGTTTCAAGGAACCTGTACCCGAGAGATCTACACAGGAGCACGGAAGGAGATAAACCAAGATTTCCGCACTGAACGCTTCATCAAATCGCCTTCCGACCGTTACAAACATGCAAAACCAACTTCTCATTTTCTACACCCAAGACCTCCTAGAGTCAGCCGACTCTCCACGGATAACAATGCCGCCTTTCGCCGAATACCCTGCGCCATCGTAGGGAGGCGTCTTTTGCTTCGACAACTGACTATCGGAGTCGGTGCCCGAACCGGATCGGAGAGAGAACATGCTTCGCACACCACGGATGACGCTGTCGACCGACGCTGTGGTGAAGAGAGATCGAAGAGTCGGGAGGCACGATGCTAGGAGTGCGACCATGGCTTCGAGGTTGAGGTAATATACCTCGTTCGAGAGGAGTACTGCGAGGAGCGCTAGGTTAGCAAGGCGAGAATAGATGAGACGGTTTGTGGGTATGACGCTCACATTCTTCGTCGAAAGAGGGGTCGTATCCGATTTGCCTTATCCAAACCATAACGATGAGTCGGACCAGCGAAGCCCATGTGGCCCTTCCAGCAAGAGTCAGTGGATCGCTCTAATTATCCAAAACCTTTGAGACAGCTCATGGCTTACAGGATACCGAGGAGGAAGACTCCAGTGACCGCCAACTTCCGTCCCCAAGACAGATGCAGCTTCCAAACCTACCGCACCTCTGGTCAGCAAATACCACGCAATCTTGTCTCACTCGACGAACTTACAGAAGGGATGGGAATCAAGATGATAATCGCGTCAGTCATGAAATCCGATATCGCAAACGAGTAACCAATATCCAGACCATTAAGACACATTCCTTCGGTAGACTCATCGCCGACACTGGCGTATATTGCTCTCCAGTGAGTACCACATGTGAACATAAACAACAAGCCCGATGCGGTGGCCCATAGAGCAATAACCGTAATCATGAAGATCAGGATGAGATTGCGCGCGTTCTTGTAGTGGTTGTCGATAACGAAGAGTCTTCGGTAGAAAAACAAGACGCTTAGTTTGATCGTTCCGAGCAGTGGTGTGACGATGCAGAGAGTGGAGTACTCCAACTACGAGGTGTTAACCATGGTGCGTATACCTGCGAGGGAATTCGGGCCATAACTACCTTTCGAGCTGTTTCGATGGTCCAATTGCTCGCAGTCAGGGAAGAGCGCTCTTGGAGTTCACTCGGATCGACAGGCGTAGGATAGCCGAGAGACTTCGTGGAAAGACCTGAGGCCGATTAGCGGTTGTGGTTGAGCCTTTCAGTGCTAGGAATACTTACCATAGAACCATATCGAAGCGCAACCGAAAACGAGGACGAGGCTAACGGCACAGAGCCAGTCGTCTATCTGAAGTTTCTGCTTGAGTCGCCTTCGCGCCGAGAATCGTAAAACAACGGCGATGATATCAAGAACTACCAAGATGATGATGGTGGACCATATACCCGTCGGGCTTGGAGGTGTTGTCAACATGGTGGAAAGAGACACTTCGGAAAGACGATGCAACGAATGAATGAGGATTTCGGAAGGAAACGCCCGAAGAAAGGATCTTCTTCCAGTAGTTTGAGATGTTCACAAACCCGCGGGTCCCATCACCCGTCCGAGTGGTTATATCGACCTTCTAAGCGCCCCGCCCCCAAAAGGTAGACCACCTTGGAGGCCAGTTTCACGAGGCGGATTCTCTTTCGGTGGTTCAGTTTCTGCAAGGCTGATATCGCGCTTACGACTGTAGAGTGGAAGGATCGAGGGTGCAGAAAGCACTTTATCTGGCTTGGCGTAGGTGCAGCTTCACAAGTGCATCCAGAGCCGCAGGTCGCAAGGTTTTCCAAGTTTCCCAACATAGCAGCATGGCGAATTGTACAGTACGTTACATTCCGTTGTTGTGTGGGTGTGATACTGAGAGAGATCCAGCGGGTGGCCATGTTCCAGGAAGTTTCGCTACCGAAAACGGCCTTCATATATTTCTCGTATTCCCATGCAACACCTCGGTGCTTTCAGAAACAAAAATGTTTAGTACCGATTCTCCTGAGCGAAATCTTTGGACCTGAGTTCGAAACATGGCCACTTGCGACATGCCGGCAAATATTCAGAATGCGCATCTTCCTCCCATCGCAACCACATCGACAACATCGCTCCGCGTGACTGCCGCATTGTTACTCAAAGCTCCACCAAAAATATGTTCCGAACCGACCTTTCTTGACAGCTTCGCACTCTTCCGCCGTGTGAATTTCGTACTCCCCCCGAACTATCTGCATCAGAAAGGAGGATCCATCACAAGGAGTAGTCTGCTCACCTCGCACCGGCGCTGCTACGACCTGGGCAGCCAGTGCCATAACACCAACCAGCAAACAAATCGACCGCATCTCTCGCCGGAGTCCGAAACGCTACGTCGCCGAGGGAGAGAAAGTACCGCAGGTATCTTGGAGAAAAGGGGAGTAAAAGCAGGAGCCGATGCATGGCACGGCCGCCCTCGAGTGGATATATGTCGCATGTAGAACAGAACACCATCTCGGAATGAATGCGGGGATATGACAAGCACTGCGCCCGTTTCTTGGCTACTCGGCTCCGAACCCAATACGCTTAGGGGATCTTCTTGCGTCGCGTGGTGGCGGAGTATCGTCTAGCGAAGTGTGTGTGAGAGTGCCGGGTGGGGCGCAATATATGCATGGTATATATCTCCTAGGTCTCGGCCTGAGGACCCCGGTTCTCTTCTACGCAGCCCCAAATCGCGAGACGTTCGTTGAGGGCTGAAGTTTGTCGAATGCGATTTCCTGTGCTAGATCTTGTGCGTGTGGATAGCATCAGGAGCATACAATGAAGCAGGAAGGGGAACACCTGTTGGACGAAGAATCTGACGCTGCGCATCATTTCATCAAGGCCAACAACGGCGGGCGGTTTTGTACCTGGCGTAATGCGTACTTCGTCACCATCCATATCCTCCTCCTATGTTGCCTTGTTGTGATCCTCCCATCGACAACGCGGAACCTGCGCATTCATCAGTACGACAGCATCTGTAAGCAATCCCAACCTTCCGAGCATACCAGAAGCTAACGAATCCCCCTACAGTCCCCGAGCTTCGATCACTCCGACACATCGTCAAAACCGAACATGCCACAAACCACACTCAGTACAGCACATACTCAGGGCCTCCAAGCGACGTGAACGCTGCGGCATGGGAAGCTTTGATTCAACGTAACCTTGCCGCGAACCAGGATTGCTGCCAATGCTGACGAGGTCATGAAGCGTTGTACTTCAATGCCACGGCCGAAGAGCTCCAGCGCGCTGGCATCCGACCCGAGGCCGCGGTCAAGGTAAAGGATGGTGGGTATATCGCGGCGCTGGGAGTGTACCACGAACTTCATTGCTTGGTGAGGAAGTTTCTTACTCCGCAGTTCCAGTCATCACTGACTCCGCGCCAGAATAAGTTGCGGTACTTTCTTTACGAGCACTCACCCGCAGCGAACCTGACGCAGTCCTCACTGGACTATTGGATTGATCACTTAGGTCAGAGAGCCTTATCTCTACAAAGGCGTGAACTAAAGAGCTAACGGTGCGACATCAGATCACTGCATCGAGGTCCTCCGTATCTCACTCATGTGTACGGCAGATACGAGTCTTTATACCTTCACCTGGCCAGACGACCCAGACGCCGTGTTCTTGGACGCGCAATCTAAATCACCGCGGAAATGCGTGGGCTGGGCACAGGTGGAGATATGGGGCATGAAGAGGAAAATCTCGCTATCGCCAGTGCTCCTTAAGACAGTGCCGGATGATGATGGCGGTGGTATTTAGTTTTATTCATTCCAAATGCGATCCCCATTTCAAGGCTAGACCCAATCTCCTTGTGCATGACGGACGCCTAACTACGACCCGGCCTTGCTCCGTAATGAGCACCAAATGCCCGTCAACGAAACCCAGTTTCAGCAATCTCAAGCATCGCACCCCCTTCCTCCAGCGGTTCCGTCGATCCCGTCCAAGCAAGACCCGTGACATTGCAGTTCGGAAGCCACCTGCGCGCTTCACACACTCAGCAATCAACAAGCCAACCCCAGAACGCAGAACTTACATCTCAGCCTCGTCTGCCCTTTCTGCGTGCACAACTGCACCAGCTCCCTGAGCATCGCACCAACGAATTTACTACCACCACCATGCATTAGCCCCCGTCCATCTCCACCAAAGCGCCGCTCACTCACCATTTAAACGTCACGCGATACGCCTGCGGATCCCGCTCCGTGAAATAAATATTCACCTCCGTGCGCTCATTCCCGCCGATCATCGCGACGACGAAGTCCGTGGTCCCCGCGCGCCGCTCGAGCGTGCAGTCCTGGTTTCCGCCGCCGAGGCCCTCGAGCCAGGTTGCGATGCCGTAGCCGTCGTCGCGGTAGCCGCCGACGGTGTCGGTGCCGTCTGCGGCGCGCTCGCAGATTATTTGCTCGTAGGTGTCTTGGCCTGGTGGAGGGTTAGGGATGAAAGGAAAGGGGAGGGAAGTGGGGCGAACGTTTGTCGAGCGGATGTTCTTCGATTGTGGCTCGCGGGTCATGTGTGGTTGATACAGCGGAGTTAGCTGGTAGAGCGGCAGTGGATGAGAAGCAGGAAATCGAAGCGAGGAGAATGAAGAGCTCTGTCCGCATTGTGAGGCGCTATGTAGTCAAGCTTCAGTGTTAGAAATGAATAATTGCTACACTTGACGTTGCGAAACCGGACTCAAATGTTGAACCTAAGGCCTTGAGCTTGTCATAGCTTAAAGAACGAGGGGTCCCGGTCCGCGGGAGGCTGTGGGCTGCGGGGTCACTAGTGTTCTGCGTTGTTTGTGGATTCAATATATGCAGTTAATATCCCAGTACGCGGTGTCAGCCTCGCCAGATTGCGAGGATTTGGCTTGCGTGGTAGGTGCGTCGCAATAAGCTATTTAGGGTTGACTGCTAGATGAGATGCAAGACTCAGCCACATCCAGGCCATCGCGTGCTGAACGTACTGTACAAGGTGGTAAGGGCAGCGTATGCTGCCAAGACGAAATAAGAACTAGACAAGTGCGGAGTGCAGAAGAATGCGACTCGGCGCCGTATGTCGGCTCACAGTCTTTGTCTCCTCTGCGTCCCAGGCGTCCGAAGCTGCGCATAGCAAATACTACAGCGGAGCCACGATCTCTTTCTCCTCAGTCTGCGTTTTTGTCGTGGCTAGGCAGTCTCGCAAAGAACGGTGAATGCTGCACCGGGAAAGGAAATGACAAAGACATCTTTGATCCCGAACACAGAAGCATGCAGAACAGTGACCAGGTAGCTGCTACGGGATACATGCTGGATCTCAGATGCTCCAGTAGCAAGGACCTGAATGGGGTCGATGTCGGAAGCAGTACCTAGTCGCAGTAGGCTGTTGGCGAAGACGGATTGGGTTGCGGTAACAAAGTAGGCGCCAGCAAGGCCATGGCACACTAGTATCCCGGTTAACAAAGTCTATAGGTCCAAAATATCTAGCGTCCAGGTACTTACTAAGCATGATACCAGTCGTGAAATGACACGACTATTGTGCTAGCACCTAGCACCTACACGCTCTCCAAGAAGTAAACATATACAACGAGAAAGAATCCGCACATCGTCATCAGCTGTCCTCAAAATATCAAAATCGATGCGTCCTACACTCAAGCGGCCCCAACACCGCGCACAACCCTCGACCTTCCCCAGCCAGGCACATCCACACCCCTCTTCCCCATCGCCTCCACGCTCTCCTTATAACCACTCGTCCCATGCCCCGGATCCGCATCTTTTGGCTAAGTGGTAGATCGTTCGATCTAAACGAGCGAAAGGGTCAATGTCGGCGACGGGGCGTTGCGAAACAGTAGTGGGTCTCGCACTTACATCTTGTTTTGAACGCTGGCGGCTCTGGGCTGCGTTTTGTGTAGTCTAGTGGATGGACATCTACCTAAGAGCGGGCAAAGGTGCTTACTCCGAGTCTGTTATAGCTCTTGCTCTCAAGCAAGCCCTGTGTCTTGTGGATGCGCATTCATGGTCCTGCAAGAAACTCCCGGTACAGCGATAAGTCAATCTGCGGGCATGAGCGCACATTCTCATCGCAGCTCGAACGAGCGAGCACATGTACATTCTCCTTCCTCTGCCATCAATCTAGCAGCCATTCGCTGTCGGTGCATTCGGTTCCCGCCCTTCTAGCATAAGACGCGAACATCAGCCCCGCCGCTGTTCGCCCATGCGTCTCGCACAACGCTCAACATGCCTCTCGAAATTATCCTTTCTCAGAAACAATTTCTCGGGGATAGTACATCCCTCATTCAAGCAACGGAAGCCCTTAGTCTCCACGTTGAACTGGTCTTTATGGACCGTCCGCTGATGCCGCTTGAGATCGCTGCGCAGGTGCCAGGTCGTATCGCAGAAGGGGCATGTGTACCGCCGGCGGTGTTTGCGATTTATGTGCTGGCTGGGTGGTAGGTGAGCATCTGATCGGGTTGTGTTGGTGGTGAAGCTTACTTTGCTTGGCCGGAGCTGCGGAAGGAAAGGTTGCAGGGTACACAAATGAGAGCGTTACCCAGATCTGGAGGCTGTGCTGTCATAGTCCTTTCGGTCGCTGAGCCTCCTACTGAGGGAGTAGAGGGATTTGAGGCTGTAGCACTGGAGTCCTGCGCGGGAGTGTCTGATAGGAACCATGAAGCCTGAGCCCTGGGCAATGCTTGCCAGGTGCAACTCGTCGATGCCGATGTTTCTGTGGTTGATGGCGAAGAGGCAGCCGAGGAACTTGACGGGCTATGCACCCTCAGCTGAGGTGGAACGTCCGTCGCCTTCTGCTTCTCTCGCAAATGAGAGAAAATCACGGGATTAGGACCGTATTCAAGGTCCTGTGGGTCAACAAACTGCGGCTCAATTTCGCCATTGTCGATAGAGGGCGACGCTTCGTGTTCGCGGACCCGGGATAGCGCAACTGGCGCCGCAATCGTATCCAGACGCGAAGAGTCCGCTTAGCATGGTAAGCAATTGATAAAGCGTTTTGGAAAGCAGAGCGGCTTACCTTCTCGCGGTGGGTCATCCTTTAAAGTGGACGCTTTGTCTATCCCTAGCACGCGCTCTGTAGTGATGGGTTTCGTAATAGGCTGTGATCCATGTTTTCTGGGTCGCCTGGCTGTTCTTCCTCTGCTTGCGGTGGTGGGGCAGTCAAGAACGGATTGCGCAAGAGTCGTATCATCAGTAAGGAAAGGATCCTGCTGAGTTGGAGAAGGCCGGGAACGACTATCCGTCACCGCTGTTGTACCTTCAATCTCCCGTCTCTTCCGCCTCGCTAACCTTCGTTGTTTCCGGCGGGCAGAAAACCAAAAGAGAAAGAGCGGAATCAGGAAGAGGAGTATAGCCGCGAGTACGATTCCTAGAATGACAAGCCCCTCCGATAAGTCCATGTATGAACCATTATCGTCTGAGGCCTGCGGAGACGCTGCCGCGGGTGCCATCGCGCAATGATCGAGAATAGTTGCATGCGCATCTGTTTTGGCTGTATTGGCGCTTTTTTGAATAGTGGATGTTTGAGGTATCCTGTTCGGCGGCGCAAGGCTGAGGTCGGAGGCATACTGACATATAGCCGTTGAAGGTGATTGGCGCCCGCTTCCTGGCCTATGCAAGATAGATGAAAGCATGATCTACTGTGCGGCGTGCGCAGCTCACGGGCATGACTAAGTCTCCTCAAGTACCCACCTCCTCGCGTTCCTCTTGTACATCTTCATTCCTCCCTGCGCACCTTCTCACGTGCCGCAGAAAGTTGTCCTTCCGGAGGGACTCCTTGTTCCGCACGCTGCACCGAGGATTAGTGCAGACATACACTTCGGGAGGCGGACATCGACCCGGTGCACGGTTTGCTTGTGGCATTTAAGATCCGCTTTCAGGGCGTATTTGGCTCGACATATATCGCAAGTAAAGCGTCTGCACCGTCTCCTTCGTTGATGTTGCCTGCCACTAAGCATTAGTTGAACGGCGAACAGGATAACCGCTGTGACACGGCATGAGTGGAGAGCATCATACCGCAGCTCGCCCGCGGTCGGGCAACTAGCACCGCACTCCATACATAGGAAGGTATTGGCGAACTCTGACGGATTGTTGGACGGTAACTCGTATGGACTGGAAGGGGAAGGGACTGCTTCCACTTCGTTGGCTATAGTTGCTCCGTCTGAGCTCTCTAGTAGACCTACTCCGTTCGTTCCGTTCACAGACGTCGACGTCAGAATATCCGGCATGCTGTTGAGGGGTAAAGATGCCCTATTCTCGGTGTCCGGCACGAGCGTCTCACTCGATGGGATCTGGAGGTGAGGGAATATTACCGGATTAGGTAGATGCTCAAAAGCCCAAGGACTGATGCCGAAGTCGTCTCCTTGAACGCCAGACGCGACAGTGCGTAGCGACACATCGGGAGAAGGCAGAGTTGCTCTGTTCGCCACAAACAAAGAGCTGAGACGTGGCCTGCGAGGCGTTGGCGCGCTTTCATCAACGGCCGTATCTGCCTCGGACGTCCTTGTGGTACTGGTATGTAAGGAACCGGAATAGGGGGATACAACTTGATAGGCCTCCGTATGGAGAGTAGATAGGAATTTGAATCGACCAGGCAGCTCGTTGAAGTCGTTGAGATGGCTACGCACGCCCGTGAGGTCGGTTGAGTAGCGTCGAAGAGATCCCCTATCTTCGGCAGATGTCGGTATACTCATTGCGTACTCATCTTGCGCAGCATCCTTCTTGGGATCGTCTAGGTAGTCATATCCTTTAAAACCCGGCGGAATACTGCGTTCGTACGATGCAGGATTTGTACTCGTCATTGCTGGAGGGGGGATGGGTGTTTGATCTTCGCGAATCGGAGCTGGCGTAGCCGATGTGGTCGAGGAAGCTTGGCCAACTCTTTCAACGTCGCGTCCCAATTCTCCATCTCGGTCCTCAACACCCTGATCTTCGGCTCTTCTGTGAAGTATCTGTCGGTTCTTCTGTCTCCGCCATACGACGAAAGCGACAAGTAGCCCAATCAACAGCACCATCCCTACTAAGGTACCCACACCAACACCGACCGCGATCCTGGTGTATTGCTTCATGTTGCGCGTAAAAGGTGATGCTAACTGACGCTCCGTCGAAAAGATTAGATTGGAAGACTCGAAGAGCCACAAGGCTAATGGTCAAAGATATATAGACTGAGAAGTGTGGCATAAGGCTGAAATCTCGCTTAGAGAGGCATATTCCAAGCCCTAGTCAGATTTAATTGGCCCACCTGTCCCTGCTCCGCGTTAGCACTGCACTGAGAAACAACACTAGGAGCAGATGAGCAGGATAAACCTCCTGTATTTTGGGAGCTTGCGCTGTACCTGCTGCACTCATCTGGCGGTCAATCTAGCCCCACATTAGTCTTGCCATGATATGCTTCCTCTTCTCTAAAAAGATATTCTTCCCATGACAAAAGGAAATACGCCCAGGTAATGCCCAGAAACTCCATCGTGCATCATGCTGTTCGACGCTGCAAAGGGATATCAATACAAAGACTCGACGGCAAACGGTGGTATTTGAAAATTGGAATAAAGAGAAGGAGAAAGTTCCGTGAGGACAAGACAGAGAAGGGAAACACAAGGATGAAGACGTCTAGTAGCCGACGAGCTCATTTCTCGTTCTCCTCCAGCTCTTTGATGTATTTGACGAAGGCTTTCTTGTGCATCTAGCAACAGGTTAGCAGCACGCTTCTAGTGATGCAACTAGCAGGAATGTCTTACCAGACCCGCAAATTTCCCGTCCCTGAGCACGCAGACGTAGCGCAAACCAAGCTTGACGAAGCACTCATAGACAAGGTCCATGGGCGAATGCACATCCAGTGACACCGGCGCTGGGTCAATGTAAGGTGTGAAATCACTCTTCTCTTCGTCCTCGTTCTGCTCGCCCATATGCTCTCTCCCAGCAGCCCAATCGACGTGCGGAGACATGAGACAGAGCGTGTTATCCTCGTTCTCAAGTTTATCAAGGGCGAACTCGAGATCAGGAGCTGGAATGAGACCGACGAGGACGCCATGCTTAATGATGGGAAGGCCACCATCGATTTCGCCGGCCATCTGGAGATACTGCTGCTTTTGACGAAGCACGCTAGCCGGAACGAGTGCCGACTCAGAGACGTCGATTATACGCTCACCTCGGCTTCTCGGTATAATATCGCCTAGTTCTGAGGTAAAGATGGGTCGGACCTTGTTGTCGAGGAAAGGGTACGAGTTCATATCGGTTAGGAGGTCGTAGATGCTAAGGGGCTCAATGGCATCGGCAACCCATTTCGCAACCAAGATGCCGAGGGAAAAAGGGAGGACGTGATCTAAACTGCCTGTAAGCTCGAAAAGGATGACAGCGAGTGTCACAGTTAAGCGAGTAACGCCGGTCATGGTGGCTCCGGCGGCAACCATTGCGTACACTCCTGGAACGACACATGAGCCAGGTGGCCCTGCGGGATCGCAATGCCCAAATAAGCCTGCATCCGCGAAGCGCAGAGCAAACAACTGCACGAGGTGACCGACCATTCGTCCTGCTAAGCCACCAACGACCATGGACGGCACGTAGATGCCGGCCGGCACCTTGATACCAAAGGTAATGACTGTGAGGCCTGCCTTGATGACGAATGCAATGAGCAATAGCTTGAGAACATCGGGAATGTGTTCCCTTGTGGGACAGAGGCCGTCACCAGAATCGGTGAATGTGTCACAAGGGCTGGCTAGCTCGAAGAGCAGCTCTGCGACGGGAAGCTTCGTGTATCTATTCCAGAAGCTGAGCAGTCCGGTGACAAGTGCAACGAGGAAAACCTCGAGTATCGGATATTTCTTGATGACGGGAATGCGCCGGAAAGTGCGAGCCCAGATGCGGGACGCTTTGATGAAGAGCGCTCCCAAAACGCCGCCCAATGCACCAGTGAAGATGAAAGCGATCATTTCAAAGGACTTCCAGTCGACCAGATAGCGGACCTCGAAAAGAACGATTTTGTTGGTACCGTAGGGATTCAAGAATTTCAGCGAAAGCGCGGCTGCAATGCAGCAGAAGAAGGTGCGGAAGAGGGTCTTGGACGGGAAGTAGTAGCTGACCTCTTCTAAGCTGAAGAGAACGCCGCCAATGGGAGCACCAAATGCAACAGCCACTCCTCCAGCAGCACTCGCACTGAGGATCTCCCTGCGCTTCCCGTCGTTGCTGCTGTATTTGGAGAAGATACGACACGCGATGTTGCCGATGCACGTAGCGATGTGGACGTAGGGGCCTTCTTTGCCAAGACTGAGACCGGATGCCACGCTGAGAATCAAGCCTAGGGTTTTGATGACTAGAGTGCGCACTCCGAGGTAGCCGTGAAGGACGAATCCGCTGAGGATGACCTTGACCTCGGCCACTCCGCTGCCGGCGGCGGAATAGTAGACCATGGGAGGACGCATCTGCGATTCATTAAAGCTGATCTCAGGGTCTGAGCTTCGCTTGCGGCCCTCCTCGTCGCGATCGGAGTCGCGGACGTCGGCCCCGAGATTCTCGTCGAGCGTCGCCAGGGAGATTGCGGAAGGAATGACGGTCTTGGTCGCCAGGGTCAGCACGCATGACGCCATAGAAAGCACTACGACGGAGAGCACAAAGGCGGCAAACTGCGTGTTGGCCTTGTCCAGGCAGTCGCTGCGGAGCACGCGGGACCAGTGTACCCAGGCTTCACAGAGAGAGGCCCCGTCACAGCAGCTCTTTTTGTTCTTGTACCATCCCTGTGTGCAGTATCCCTGCTTCCAGTCGAACAGGGTGGTCTCGGTGATGTTGACGAGGTAGGCGACGCAGGCGGTGAGGATGCCGATAAGAGCCACGAGGATCCAGCCTTGGGCACCGTCGAACCATGCCGCCAGCCGCCCTCTGAGGTCTTTCCGGCTGCGCAGGGCTTTCACCCGGTATGCGTCGGCGATGCTGTCGTGCACCCAGTCGGTCGACGTGAACTGGTCGTACCACACGCGATCGTCGTGGAACAGAGACGGCCTCGACGCGTGCATGCTGTTCTCCAGCGAGCCGGGCGCACCCCGCTCGCCCAGCGCGTCCACCAGCCGCTGGCTGAAGGTGCGACTGATGGAGCCTGCCCGACTATGGCGCATCCGCTGGCCGGTATGGAGCTGGCTGTTGTGCCGTACGGTGTGGGGCCGCGGGGTGCCCGGCACCGTGGCCGGTATGCTTGCGTACGATCGTGAGTTCTGTGCATTGCCTAGCAAGCTCGACCGCTCTGTGGCGTTGTGTCTGGCGAGATCGTTCTCGGACGCCCGGTTCTGTCTCAGCGAGCGGAATGTGAGCATGGGCGAGGTGGGAGTGGTGCTGCTGATGGTGTCGCTCCGCTCCTGCTGCTCCAGCCAGGAGGACTGGTCGTAGCCGCCGCCGTCATCGTCGTTGCTCTGCTGGTCGACGCTGTGATAGGAAATTACGGACTTGGGCATGGTGGACGTGGGGACGGGCGAGCTCTGGGAGACTGGGAAAGCGCGACTGTCAGCGGAGGAGCAAGGAGGCGTGCTGCGCCGGCCCGGGCAGCTGCAGCGGTCACCTGGAGGGCGGAGGCAGTCAGGGCATTTGTGATGGAGGTGTCATGTTTGGGAGGCTGTGGCTCATTCATCCCGCCATGGGATCCGCTCGCACGGCCCTTGGCGGGCCTGGAGTCGGTTGGGCTACCGCACAAACATACCAGGAGGAGCATCGCAGATCGGGCCGGGATGAAACACGCGGACGGGGTCACGGGGGGCACGTCCAACTCGCAGGCGCAGCGAGAGCCTCAAACAAAGAAGAGAGAACGGCGCAGCGATAAAGACAGTCGGCGCGGCAGAGTGTGCGCGCGAGTATTTGTGGTCGCAGCCAAGGCGGTGGAGCCCACGATGGAGGGCGTGTGATCGTGTGTCGGCTGCCTCGGTGTACTTCGTAATACTTCTAGCGGCTTTTCGTCATCGTGCTGCAGGGTCCAGGTGTCACCAGCCTCTAGCCTCTAGCCTCTCGGAAGCCGCCCCCCAATCAGCGCCCGCCCTCGTCGACCACCACTCCTCCACCGTGGGCGATTGTGGGCAAACAAATCCGGGCGTCCCCCCAGTGTGTTTGCGTCAGCGGCCGTTGTCTATAAGACGCTTCCGGAATCCTCTACGGTGGACTGAGACTCCATCTTGGAGACCACCCAGAGCGGTATCAGCAGGTTCCTACTCGGTGCAACTTGTCGCGGGGCTTCTGCGATCGTCGTTCCGGACGCACCTTGGATCGCGATGGTGAGCGTTCCGAGAGTGCACCGCAGACCGCATCTCTGACACAGAGCCAACCATAGCCGTCGCCGTACCATCAATTCCTCCTCTTCGGGGACTCGATAACGCAGGACTCGTTCAACCAGGAGCGCGGCTTTGGCTTCTCGGCAGCATTGCAGCATGGTACGTACCATTATATACCTTGCTTCGGATTGCTTGTCTTTTCAGCTTTGATGATTGGTCCGCATGTCAGTTTATCTTTAGTTCCACATGTTTTCTATTTAAAGCTCTTCTCCTACAACGACACCGCGTTCTCCATTCTCTAATCCCTCCAAGCGTACATTCGGCGTCTCGATGTTGTCAATCGTGGATTCAGGTAACCGTGTGGAGGAGCTATCTCGGTCTCGTACGGACACTAAAGCTGTGCAGCGGGTACAACACCAGGCAGGCGCTGAGGGTGCTACCCAGCATCATTCCCTCTCCCGATAACGCTCGCATTAGATTCTTGGTACGGCATACCTGCTTGGTGTCCTCGGGTCCCAGCAGTACTAATCCCTCCAGATGGTCTTCTTCGGCGCCAACGATGCCTCGCTAGCGGAAGCAGAGAACAACCAACACGTCCCTCTGGAGGAATACAAGGACAACCTGGAGAAGATCATCACTCACCCGCTCATCCTAGCCCATGGCGCTCGAACTATTCTTGTTGCGCCGCCGCCGATCAACGAGCATCTCCAACTCCTCAGCGATAGGGAGAAGGGGATGAAGTCCTTGTCCCGAATGGCCCCTAGCACCAAAAGCTATGCTGATGCGGCTTGCGAGGTCGGCGAGAGGATTGGTGTGCCTGTGGTGAATCTGTGGAAAGCCTTCATGTCGAAGGCCGACTTTGATGCGAGTACATGGAAGTCTGGCGATGTTATTCCTGGCTCTATGGACGCCCCGCAGAACGATGCTCTGGTCGAGCTCATGTACGATGGTGCGCGTCCCCTATACCTGCCGGGGCTGCAGAATGTTTCTAACATGCTGTAGGTCTTCACTTCAACCCCGCCGGATACGACGTGCTCTTCCAGGGAGTGATGAAGGCGATTGCTGGCAAGTGGCCGGAGCACCTACCTGCAAAGACCGATATGGTCTTTCCGGCTTGGAATGACGCAGCCGCCTGGGAAGCATGGGCAGCATGGGCAGCATCGGAGAATGCGACATCATGAAGCAACAGGCTTCGCCACCCTGACGGCCAGTCATAGGCCGGGCTGCCTACAGAACGTGCGAAGGTTTCTTGAACAGTGTTGAGAGGGAGTAGATGGCGGCTCTCTGCATTCAAATAGAGACATCCCCGAATATCCGCCCGATTAAGCTCTTGAGCCGGGGTTGCGGTTCAATCGGACCCTTCCCCAATCATATGCACGGACGGGGTGCAGGAGCGCTAGGCGGTCTTGCCTAGTGGCGTAGTCCATGCCGACCTCAAAACCACGACTTTGACCCCACGCTTCTGCTGTTGATTCACCTCACAACTTCCCTGCAAAATTCGTTTCTTTGCGGTGTAGATGATTTGCTGATCATTTCGCCCCTCCCTCTGCAGCCTCCGATATCCATCTCAGCCGTCAGCCTGCGGCATTAAACTATCCCGACCGACCAACCCTCGCGAACCCAGCAGCGACCGGCCTCAAGAGTCCGCCTTCGCCATCGTAGCGTCGCTCCCGTGCGATCGGCCTCCATCCTACTAGAGCGACACTTCAGCGCGCAAATATCGCTTCCTTGCTGTCCCCGCTTCCCCACGTCCGCTAGAGCAACCTACCTCGATCCTCCCCGAGCGGATACCAATAAACACAAATTGTCAAGACAGTAGGATCGCGCTGTGGACACTTGAGGCATTTGTGGCAGTTGACGGCAGTGCCGTGCATTCGGGCCTCGGTGCCGTGGAGGAGGGCAGGTGTCGCCGCTGAGCACGCCGGCTGAGGGATGCGTGGGCCCCGGGGATGGATCCAGAGAGCGGTGCCTTCCAGCCCCGAGACGACTTCTGGCGCTTCCAAAACGAGATGCTCCGGGTGCAGCAAAGCCAAACTGACCTGGCCGACCGCGTTTCTCGTCTGGAACGCAGGCACGAGGAGGACTCACGCCTGAAGAACGTCTGGGGGACCTCTTCGCCTTTCCCCTCGGTCTTGAGTGGGACCCCGCAGCAAGGTGCGGCATATTCTCATATCCCCTAAAGCTTCTGTTAATCTTCTTCTAGTTCCTCTCCAGCAGCCGACGGCGGAGCACTTTTCCAACTTCGACGACCACTCGAACAACCTCATCGGCAACCTGCAGCTCGATGCCGACGATGAGCCCCGCCGTATTGGAACTACATCGCGCGCGAACAGCGTCCGCTTCGACGAGACTGCCAACCACGGCCACTGGGCACATGCATCCCGGTCATCGCTGGACTTGATACCCCGCACTGGCAGCGGCATGGGCGGCCACGTCATGAGCGAGCGGAGCTATTCACATAAGTCGGACGGGAGGCAAAGCTCCGCAGGCCATTCAGTGCATTCGATGGCGTCTGGCCGCGCGAATAGCCTGACTGGATATGGCCTCAACGATCCCCCTGGGTTGGCTCCTGGCCTTTTCATTCTGGGGTCGGTTCCTGCTATCATACGCTGTTGGCTCAATACCAACTTCAAGCACGATGCTTTGCTCTATGCAGCCGTGTGCAGTGCCTCGTATACCTCCTATCTTGACCTCCGTCTGATTGACCGGCTTGGCTTTCAGCAGCAGATCACGGCCAGCAACGACGGTACCCGCAAGATCAAACTGCCGGTTTACCTTCCAGAAGCCATTCCTGTGTCAGCATCGTCTCTCTCGAGCAGTCCAGCTCCGCAGCTTCCCTCCTTGACCGTGGAATTCACAGTAGCGGAGAGAGAGGACGATGACGGCGACAGCAAAGCCATCCAGATCTTCCTGGGAAGCGATATGTTGCGAGCACATAATGCAGATATCCTCTTCTCCTCCAATAACTTGACCGTCTATGACGACGACCGATGCAAGCTTCGAATACCACTGGTTCGACCAGAGGATGAGCGTACCTTCAAATCTCTATACATCACCAGTGGTCCTCAGGTGGGTACGGCGCCAGCGACAGCACCGAAATCTGCCTCTGCAGCATCGATGGTGAGCACCTCGACTGGAGGTTCTGCTGACGACCGTCTTCCGGCTGCTGCCTCAAAGATGAATGGCGCTGTGACTACAGAGGGTTCTGATGATGGGTCAACAAGTCGGAGAAGCCTCGAACAGCGTCCCAGCCTCGGCATCTCAACAAATCGATCCGAATCCAAGGAAGGGCAAGAGCAGGCCCCGACTAGCGCGGCTCCGCGGTCCGGTCCCTCACCGGCTATTTGGAGCAACTGGCGACGTGACACAGAGAAAGCCAGCTCCGGCTCCGTGGATTGGGCCAACGTGGGTAAAACCCCAAGCTCGACCTACCAGCGCCGCGACACCGGAATCAAGGTGCTGAAGCCCTCGAAACCGGGTGCTCGCACCCTGTCCACGTCTCTGTCGCAAAGCCCGTCTCCGGCCGCTACAGGGCAGTCGCGCTTCTTCGATGACGGCAAGCGGAGAGAAAGCAACACAACGGAGGGTGAGGGCAGTGTGCCGCAACTGAAGAGGTCGATCTCAGGGGAGAAGTCGAAAGAGAATCCGCCCACTCTTGCGAAGACGAGGTCTACCAACCCGGTTGGGGGTGCGTCGGCATTCGCATGGTTGAACACTGGCGGTTCGAAGTGAGACTTCAGCGGCCCTCGTGATTGGACTCTGCCCTACTATACGCTGAGGTTTCGGACGCCTGGCTTCAGCTTGACCATGGCAGGAGACACTTGGGCACGAAGGGATCTGGCGCGGATTGGTGATAGGCAGAGAGATAGCTGTGGGAGACATTCTCTCACGCCGTGATACCTATAATGCAAAGAATTCTCACATGCTGCTGTTCCACTCGGGCAAATAACATCATTACTCAGTTTACAGTGCTTCGTAACATTAGCGGGCTCACTTATAGCGGATAGATGGTGCGAGAATCAACAAGAAGCGTTGGACGCAAGGACCGTCATGCACGCGTAAGATGCATGTGCCCAACTGGGGGTGGCGATGAAGGTGGCGATGAAGGTGGCGGTGTACTCAAGTTTCACCCTTGGAACACCCTTGCCTGAGTCCCTTTACTGTATTACACGCAGTTTAGCATCATAATTGCGGCGATGCTTATTCACCGTCGACGATAGATCTTTGATACGGATTCCCTGTTCGAGTATTCACCGAGCTAGCGCACGCGGCTGCACCTGCCAGGCGCAGTATACGTATTCCACAACCCGGTTGGCGGTTCCACTGGCGCGTTGGACGTAGAGCAACGTATTGTGTTGCTCACCTCTGGGGGGTTGACTACTAGGTACTGCCAGATCGCCGTGTTGCACCTGTCTTGTGAAAGCCTGGTGAGCCTGGTGCCGCCAAGCCGCGATCGTCGCCAAACGTCCACGGGTGGTATTTGCAGGGCTGGGGCCCAAACTGCAAACCAACGACAGGCCTTCGACCGCCGTCATTTTCTTCACCCACACCGCCTGCGTGCTCCCACGCCCATTGCAGCTGCCGCACAGACGCGTTGTCCGCCTGCTTCACAGTCCGAGCACGCAGTCCGCAGTCCGGCGGTGCAGTCACGCGTTTCCGCCCAGACGCTGCCCTTCTGCCTGGCCCTGGAGCTGCATCGGCTCCAACGGCAGGCCCCCCAGCTTCAAGACGGCCTCTACAAAGAAGCGGAAGATTGCGCTCTCCGAACCTCCCCACGAGCCCGACCGCGACGTGAGCACCGTTCCGCATTCACCGGATGACGGTGCGGCCATAAGATCCCCACGCTCCTCCCCGCTCCCGCCGTCCGCAGCCATTCGCACCTCTGCGTCCCCGCCGCGCTACCTCCCCCCACACATGCACGACGAAGTTTTCGAAGCAACGCAAGAGTCTGGTACTTCTTCTCGCGACTCCGCAACCGCCGCGAGCTCCCCGAGCGAGGCCTACGCCAACCTGACGCTCGACAGCGCCGACATGGCAGACGCCGAGCGCCCACGCACCGCCGAACACCGCCCTCACCCGCGCGCCTCCTCACCCGCAAAGCGCCCACACTCTGACATGGACGACACAGGCAACATGGACCTCGACACGCCCACGTCCGCCCGTCGTGGCAGCGGCCAGTCGAGTCCCCGAGCTACGAAGCTGCTCCCCGCCGCGTCCACCCTACGCGCCACCTCCGTCGAAATGGCCGATGCTTCGTCGAACGGTGCCAGTGCGGCCAGCTCCGAGTCGGCCTCGGTCTCCAACGCAGAGTCGACCGCCACGAGCGTGTCGATAACTCAGCTTGCGGACAAGCCCAGCCTGGAAGAGCAGGTGACCAAAGTGTTGGCTCTGTCCCGGAATCCGCTGCAGGACCGCCAGGTGGGCTATATTGTCTCGCAAAAGTGGCTAGAACGCGTATGGGCCCGGACGCCCCAGTACGCCAGCAAGCAGCGCGAGTTCAGCAAGTCAGCCACCGAGGGTGAGATTGGCCCCGTGGACAACTCAGATCTCGTCGACACAGGTGTGTATTCAGATGCAAGCAATCCAAGGTGGAACCTGACCCCGCTATCAGCCGCTCTCTCCGACGACCTGGCCGACCAGCATGGCGAAGACTTTGTACCGCTACGGCCTTCTCTCCAGATGGAGTACGATTTCGAAATCCTCCCATCTGAGGCCTGGGACTTGATTGTGAGTTGGTACGGCGTCAAGCAGGGCACTCCCGTCATCCGGCGCTATGTCCACAACACCGCCTTGGACAAGGAGTCGCAGAATCTCCAATACGAGTTGTTTCCCCCCATATTTACCGTTCGCAAGGTTCGCAAGACTACCCCAGCTACTCAGGAGGCGGCAAAGAAAATGGTTGCGAGCAGGAGCGACAGTTTTGTGGAGTTCATCAAAGCCGCAAAGCGGTCCACCGGCATCGATGTCAGCAACAAGGTCCGCGTATGGCGAATCCTCACCACACAGAATGCCTCGGACCAAGCTTCTCAACAGCAGCAGCCTTCCGGAATGTTGACTCCGGAAGCGTCGCCTCCTCCCGGCGCATCTCTTCCCCTGGTAATCGACGTCCCCAGCTTTACGCGTCTCGACATCGGCAACGAGCGCGAGGAGGTCACCGGCAAGGACGAGAAGGCCAACGAGACCTTTAACGAGGACTTGACCCTGGCCGGGGCTGGCCTTGGCGACAACCAGGTGCTCGTTCTAGAGGAACACGACGAGAACGGGGAGTACATTACCGGGGCTGCGTCAAAGGCTACTTCAAGGAACGGTGGCCTAAAGCCTGGTGTCAAGGGCACCAAGAGTACTCCTAACAGTGGCAGAAGCACTCCAGCGCCCAGCGGACCCATGACCCGAGGGCGGACAAGAAGCGGTAGAACTCGTGGAACTGTCGGGTTGACGAATTTGGGTAACACATGTTATATGAACTCCGCGCTCCAGTGCATACGCAGCGTGGAAGAGCTGGCTATCTATTTTCTCCAGGGACGCTACAGGGAAGAGATCAACTCGGACAATCCCCTTGGCCATAAGGGACAAATCGCAAAAGCTTATGCAGGTCTGCTAGCCTCGATCTACGACGAGCACGCCGTTTCTGCCTTTGCCCCGAAGAACTTCAAATATACACTCGGCCGTGAACAACCCATCTTCTCGGGCTACGGACAGCAAGATTCGCAGGAATTCCTCAGCTTCCTCGTCGACGGCCTGCACGAGGATCTGAACCGGATTCGCAAGAAGCCGTATACAGAGAATCCCGAATCGGACGATAATACCATCAACGATCCTGAAGCAATCAAAGCCCTGGGCCAGAAGATCCGCGACATTCATAAATCGCGCAACGACTCTGTTGCCATGGACCTGTTCAATGGTTTCTACAAGAATACCATGGTCTGTCCTGAGTGCGACAAAGTCAGCATTACTTTCGATCCTTACAGCCTGCTTACGCTACAGCTCCCCATTGAGCAAACCTGGCAACATACTGTGAGGGTTGTCCCTCTTCGTGGAAAGATCTGGGATGTTGAAGTAGATATCGACAAGCACGCCACGATTAAGAGTCTGAAGGAGTATGTGGGCAAGCGCTTCGGCGTCAAGTGGAACCGCCTTATGGCCTCCGAGGTTTATAGCCACAAGTTCTACCGGCATCTGGAAGATAAGAACACTATTGCGGAGAGCAACATTGGTCAGCGCGATGAAATCTATTTCTACGAGCTCGACGAGGTTCCGAGCAATTGGCCTCCGCCAAAGAAGAAGAAGCGGTATACCATGCTGCTCAATGCTTCTTCCGACGAAGATATCCCAGATTCCACGTCACCACGGCATGACAGGGTCGTAATACCCATCTTTCACCGCAGCCCAAACACATCCTCGTACCGGGCCCAACAGTGGACACTACAGCTGTGGCCGTCATACATTGTGCTCAATCGGGAGGAGGCGAAGGACTACGACACTATCTTCAGAAAAGTGCTGGGCAAAGTCGGGCAAATGACAACCCGCGACATCTTCTCCGAAAGCAACGGCACTTCCCTGTCGCAGTCTCGCTCTGGCTCTGATGTTGTGCTTACCACGGAAGAGGATGCATCGCCTAATGGCGATCCGCTCGTCCAGGACGGTTCTGTGGAAGGCGAGGATAACATGGTGGAGGTCACAATGACGGAGCCTGCAGAGACTCCCGCTAATGCTTCTTCTGATGACGACGACGTCCCAGACTTACTTCGACCTGGTAGTTTCATTCCACCCGAGTTTAAGCAGCTCTTCGAGATGAAGCATACCCGCGTAAGCAAAGAGTACGTCACTACCGGATGGAGTACGATCGATGCCAACAAGACATACGAACCCATTGCAAAACGCATTCGCGTCCCATCCTCTCGAGAGTCATCGGAGCAGTCGTTTGGGGCATCCAGCAATCCGTCGTCTAGTGACGAGGATGAAGCACCTCAGTTTTCCGCCGACCCCCAAAGCTCAATCGAAGTTGCGAATCAGAGCAGCGACGAGGAGATGCAGTCTATTGAGACACCTGCAGTTTCCCGGGGCGGCCGACAAAAGAACAAGCCCAAGAAAATGAACAAGCAGGAGAGGAAGCATCGACGGAACAAGAACCTCAAGACGTACTCCAAGAAGGGGAAGGATCGGTACCTGGAGCAACCTTCTCAGTCTTATTCAGACCCCGAATCGGATGAGGATGAGAGGTTGATCAAGATGGGTGAAGCTATTGTGCTTGAGTGGAACCAAGACGCTTACGATGCCCTCTTCGAAGGTAGAGACGTCGACGACCAACGCGGCATGGACATCCTGAAGTTCACAGAAACCCTTGAGGACGAAGAACTGCAAGCGAGAAAAGCCAAGCGAGCTGCTCGACGGAAGCATGGCATCACGCTAGAAGAGTGCTTTGCCGAAACATCAAAGAGCGAAGTTCTTTCCGAGGATAATGCCTGGTACTGCAACCGATGCAAGGAGCTCCGTCGCGCCACCAAGACTCTAGAGATCTGGACTGCGCCTGATATCCTCGTCGTTCATCTAAAGCGTTTCTCCTCTCATCGCGCGTTCCGAGACAAGGTCGACGCTCTTGTCGATTTCCCTGTTGAGGGCTTGGATCTGGCTGGTAAGGTCGGCTTGCCTGAAGACAAGGAGTTGGTCTACGATCTCTTCGCTGTAGACAATCACTACGGCGGCCTCGGAGGAGGCCACTACACTGCCTTTGCCCGAAACTTCTTTGACGGGCAGTGGTATGAGTACAATGGTACGCTCTCCTTGCTCATCACCCTCCGACTGGTTACTGACACTAGACAGATTCCAGCGTCCACAAGAAATCCAACCCCGACAGCGTCGTTACGTCAGCCGCCTATCTTCTCTTCTACCGCCGCCGCTCGTCTGTCCCTTTAGGCCCACCGGCGCTCCAGGAAATCGTCAACGCATGGCGCAATCCCGACTATGACGGCGCTGAAGACTCAGAAGAAGTCAACTCCCGTAACCCGTCACCGGCGGGAAACGGCTCGCGCCTCGGCGACTCGTCCCATGGGTCGTCGAGCGCTTTCGCAGTCGGAGCGGGAGCCGGAGTCCTGCGCGGGGGTGGTTCGGGCGCAGCCGGGAGCCTAGCGCTGAAAGGAGCCGTAGCCGAGACTCAGGACGATGACATGGACGACCCGCCGCCGTACGATGAGGGCTATGCCGACGATGATGAGGATCCGATGAGACAGGGGCCTGTGGATATTGCGTCCATGTATGCGCCACTGCATAACCCCGTTTGGGATTTCTCAGCCGTGGGTGTAGGGAGAAACGATACTACCGATGTTTTTGACGATGATGCCGCGAGCGACGCGCCGAATATGGGGTCGAGGGTTGGCGAGGACCTAGACAATCGGATGCTTGAGGACTTTGGCGATGACGACCTTCCAGCACCCGGGATGAGCACGCCGCTTGAAGAAGAGGTGCCGGCGCTTTTGGGAGGTGAGGATGGAGATGAAGAAGTTGCTGAGATCCATGTAAAGGCGGACTAGTGGAGCAGCAAGAGCGTCGCGCACGGTTGAGCATTGCGGGGAGCAGTTGGAGCGGCGATGAAGCATTTGGTATGGCTACCATTCATTCTTCTTTCCACAAACGAAAAAGTATCTTTTGGAAAACCCCGCGGCTGATTGGCTGGCTGCTTTTTCTCTTTCGTCAGGCATGCATGCATGCATGCATTTGCACGGGCCGGCGGCGGCTTCCGTAGAAGGCGCGCATGATCGATTGTTTAGATGGGTGCGTGGGACGAATGAGTATATATGATGACGATGATTGGGGTGGTGGAGGTTGCGTTGGCTGCTTGGTTGGGAGCAATAGGGAGGGCGTTGTATGCATTAGTAGGCGCATCTTTTAACGACAAGTAGCTGTTTCTGAATAGAGTGGTATATCAAGTGCATTTGGGTTGTTGGATCGTGAGCTTTTCGAATACCTACCTCGTCGGAGTCCTGAGGGTAGGTAATCGTTGAGCCGGCTGGGGTTTTTATCGCTTGGGCACGGTGTGGTACGATAAGGTAAGGCGCTGGGGTACACACATCTCCATACGACCAGCTAAGAGGCGGGGGGCTGGGGGCTGAGGGCTGGGGGTAGAGTGAGAAAAGAGGAAGCTACTACTTTCTATCTTTCTACGAGGCAGACGGCGTACTATTATCGTGGAAAGACTGGCGGGTTTTCCTGCGCTAACTTCTTCGTGAGACTGAGACGCTGGTTTTGGGGCTGTTTGTTGCGGCCAGGCGGGGATTTTGGGAAATATGGCGCCGTGCGATGCGATGCGATGCAATTCGATGCGATTTGATGCGATGTGATGCGATGTGATGCGATGTACATTACAGTTCCCCCCACTAGCTGTGAGGGCTGGGTCCGCGGTCTCCACTGCTGTGAGCGCCCCTGGAACACCTAGCTGGGTAAGTCGGCTGCAGGCAGCACTGTCTCCACGAGCTGTAAGGATAAGGGGTGCTAGCAGGGTAGGTTGGGTCAAATTCAGCTATCCAAAGGTAAGGAGCAGAAGGATGCTCCGAGAGCTCTCTATATACACAGGGTGCCTATGCTAAGGCGCTAGGCAGGGTCATGTGACTTGGGCGGAGCCGAGTCGGGCCGAAGCACCGAGTCGGAGCCGAGTCGGACCGTCACACTAGCTCAGATTGTTAGCGCGCCTTTTCCGTACACCCTAGCCATCCTAACAAAACACCTCTGGCAAAGCCGTGCATACTATGACACGCTAGCAATCCGAGCCAGGGAAGATTGTAATGCGTCCACGAGAACGCACGGACAGGCAGCTGGGGTGTGGGAGGGATTAGATGCATAATACTTGATTGCTAGGAGGCATGTTAACTCTACTGCAGGCCCGCGTACGTGCGGTGCGGAGTTTAAAGGCGTTTTCTGGCGAATCTGAGTTGCTGGACCAACGTGCTTTTTTTTTTTTTTTGGTTTCGTCGCTAGGGTGTTAGGAGAGAAAGGGGAGGACGGCTTGGGGTTTAGCAGCCTTGTTCAGCTGCCTGGGTGGGAAGGCGGATTTGTTGTTTGAGAGGGTGAAGAGCGGAGTTTGGAGTTGGTTTGGATAACGAAAACAAGAAGGATACGTTCACTGAAATGTATGAAGAAAAACTTCTCTGCAAATAGCATGGTTTAATAGCGACGCTACCATAATTATTGCTTATATGTCTTCGATGAGAAGGAATTCCATTGAATAAACAGACGGACAGCGACTCCTGTATCAAAAGTGCGCACCTATGCTGAAGTATACGCGTGGAGTTCTCGACATGATACCGCTAGCGCACCTGTGCCCAGATATTAGAATGGGCAACATGCATGGTTGAGAGAGTAAGTCGAACAAGCGGGAACGCTAATCGAAATTGGAACTAGAGCAGGGCATTGTGTTTCCATGAGGATAGAAGCTACCCATCTGTGGGCCACGCGCATTGCTTAGAAAGCGGTAGCAAAAACAGAACAGGGGTGGAGTATTAGCGCGGAATTTGCTACGACTGTGTGACAAGTATTCGACAAGCACCGGAGTGCTGGAGCGGCAAAAGGAAAAGCGACTACTCATCGCCAAGCGAGGGCTGGAAGAACAAGTCAGCCATAGCGGCGCAGTGGTGACGAAATTTCACAAGTGGGCTAAAGGGTGTGGGGTAAGCAGAGATTAACGGCTTACGACCCGACCTGCCTGCACCTGCAGGATTGCAGCAGGCGTTCTCGGCATCCAACCAGGCTGGCTTGGCGTGCAGGACCTACTCAAAGCCGAGCATTCGGATATGTGACTCTGGGCCGCTCCACGCTGCCACACCACCGCCGGCTCGTACCCAAGCCCATCCTGGAGCCATGGCGAAGTCGCTGGCGCGCACAGAAGTACTACTGTCCTCACTACATGTCGCGCTACTTTTCATAAGCGTAGGTTAGGCGCTGATAAGGTAAACGCAGTCGCTGCTTTTCACACTCAATCAGTGATCCGCTTTGATACTAAGGCTAGATTATAAGCCCAAGTCCAGGAGAGCATTGCCATCATAGGGCAAGATTAAGTAGACAGATCGGACGAGAGATCATACTCAGCGAAGAAGATTCCATTTGGAGAGCCCGCTAAAGATCATGATCCTGTGGAGCTCAAATACCCATTTCATCCAGTTGCCTTTGTCAATAGGGAATCACCAAACTAGACACTCAGTCCTCTTTGCCCCCTTTTGGATTCCCTACAAGTCGGCCATACAAGGCGCCCTGAGCATCGATCCACCTCTCTATGTCAATCTTATCGACGTCCGAACAGTCGCGAGGAAGCTCAAACTCCGGCTCCTGAGCATCCTTTTGTACTGCGTCAACCCGCGCCTTCCCCTCGACCCCTTCAGCAGCGATAGGCAAGTGACAACCGGTGTGCTTAGCGAGCGCGACTTCATCTAGAGGTTGTGGAGATGGCGGGTGGGGCGAAGACTCTTGGGTGCGACTCGTCTCGGCATCGTGAGCATGGGCAGAGGCTGTCAGCGGCGAAGTCTAGAATGAGCATCATATGAGTGTCATCCAACGCAACTTTAGAAGACGGATGCGTACCTGTGAAGGTATGTTTTCGCAGGTCGAGTAGCCATTGACCGCGCTTGGGGAAGACCCCTTCTTCGGCCTGCGACCTAAGTCAGCGCGCTGGAGGGTATGACTGAGAAGGTATGGCAGCATTAACAATCCAGTAGGCGTATATGCTTGCGACTTAATACAACGACGAGCATGTGTGATAAGCGAAAGCATGTATGATGAGCGAAAGCTAATGAATGAATAACATGGGCATGATAACGATCGGTAGAGGGTGAGAGTATGAAAGATAATGGTAGAGGTCAGAGAGGGTAGATAGGTAACGGCGCATTGTGGTGACGACAGAAGCAAGGAAGAAGCCAACTTACAAGATCGGCCCAGGGTGATTGCTTTCACGGGAGGCCATTGAGGGTATCGGAACGGAATGCAACTGATGAGAGTCAGAACTGGTGAGCCGTTGGGAAAGATGCGGGTGCGAAGTTAGGGGACGTCCTCTATATATCCCATTCCATAGATTCTTGGGATAGGGGTGTGGCTTCGGTGCTTTGCATATTGCCAGTAAGATAGAGCTAGCAGCCGTGCTCTGAGAGGCCATAGAGCGGTATTGGGAATGCTAGCATTGAGGAGCGCTCTTGAGTACATCACAGTGGCGACGCGCCGTTAAGCGAACGGAATCGTGCATCCTAAGCCCGCCTGGGGCGTGATGGCGTTGGCGCGCGGGATGATTCGAGAGAGCAGATATTTCAAGTCGCGGGACGGGTGAGCCTAAGGTGGTGCAAGGGATCGATGGGACAGTCGACGACGCGGAGTCGACGACAGGGATGCCACGGACCAATGAGGTGATGCCAAATTCTGAAGCGGACGCGTGCGCATGTGCCCGGCATAGGTTGTATGCAGAGACTGACGAGATGCGGCTCTTCGTGGCCGTATCAGAGAGGATCTCCGTATCGGCCGCCTGGTTGCCAGCTGAACCGGTGCACCCAAGCCCCCGGATCCCTGAGTGCTGGCAGGAGGTGCAACGCGGAGGTAGCACGAGTAGTGCTAGCGGCGAATGAGGTAGCGCCGCGGGCAGCCAGCGGAAGCGCGGCCGAAGTAACTTGAAGTGGGTGGCGTGCGGTGCCCTACCGCAGGGGATGAGCGGTTGGGGACCGCATGGCCTGAGCGGGCCCGCGCAATGGTGTGCGTGCTGTCCCAAGTGCCTGCATCCACACGCAGGCGAACAATCGCAATCAGGCTCTAGTTGGCTGCAACAGCTCGTCCCCGGCTAGCGCCTAGCTAATTAGCGAGATGGCCACGCTACCTAACAGTAAGCGGACGAGAGCAGCAGCAAGTTGCCGCACGGGCCATTTGCCTTTTCGTTGCCTGCTGTCTGCGAACCTATCCGCCTTGAAGGCGCGAAGGCTGTTTCAACGGCTGAGCAGTCCGCGCTGCCAGTAAGAGGTACTGCCGATGACGTGTCCCCCACTTCGCAGCATTACTCGGTCAGCGTGAGGCGTGGGGAGGCCAGCCGTGCCGCCGTCGTCACTGACAACCGAAGGCAGCTTGTCGGGATATAGGGAGGAAAAGGCGGGGGTAGGCGGTGAGAGTGTCTCATCGACTAGACGCACAGCTCATGGTCGTGAGGCGTGTCTATCTCTTCAGCAGGTCTCATGTACGGTCATGTGTGGACGAGGAGAGATGAGGAGGAGGGGCGTCCGAATATCGGGTGCGTTCGGTGACGATTAAGCACATTTCATCACGCTAGGCCCCGCGCCTCGGCAACCGTCGGCTACCAGGTATCCATCGTCGGACGCAAACCACTGCAACCATACTTCCGCACGGTTCCCCGTCTCTACCGTATTTCCAGATATCACATTATCGCAATTTCTTAATGTATCGGCGTCAGTTCCAACCATTCGATTCTGTGTCCTACATCTGGAAGACTCTTAAGCTTCCGGAAGAAGCACTCAACTCACTCCAGTTGATTAATGATGCGGAATGCCTCCCATCCTTCTTCAAGGTAGACCACATCGCGCAAGCCTTCATCGCTCTCTCCGCTCTTTCGGCCGCCTTGTTTCACTCAATTCGTCACCAAACAGCAGTTCCGAAGGTCACTGTTCCACGCGAGCACGCTTGCGTAGAGTTCAAATCCGAGCGACTATACGTCTTAAACGGAACACCAGCACCGTCGTCTTGGGGCACTATCGGCGGGCTTCATCGGACTGCAGACGGTTACGTGAGGATGCATGATTCCTTTCCGAACCATCGAGCAAATGCTTTGATGATTCTGGGCTTGGAGGAAGGCGCATCAAGAGAAGACGTAGCGAGGAAGATGCTAGAATGGCGGTCTATCGATCTGGAGACCGCGGCCTTCCGAAACGGAGCTGTAATTGCCATGCTACGGTCGTTCGAGGAGTGGGATGCACTACCCCAGGCGAAAGCGATTGCAGACTTTCCAATACTACTACGGAAGATTGCAGACTCAAGAGAGTATGTACCTTCAATTCCACCGACCGTGACCGACGATAAATGCCTACGCGGCATCCGCGTCGTCGAAATGAGCCGTGTTCTTGCTGCTCCAGTTGCGGGAAGGACGTTGGCTGCCCATGGAGCAGAAGTTCTTTGGATCACTTCGCCGACGCTTCCTGATCTTCCAGATTTGGATCGAGATACTGCTAGAGGAAAGCGCACCGTGCAGCTCGATATCAAGCAGCCAGCCGACAAGGCTAAACTTCTTGATCTCTTACGCTCAGCAGATGTCTTCATCCAAAGCTACCGGCCGGGCAGTCTGGCTGCACAAGGACTGTCACCAGAGGAGCTGACGAAGGCAAATCCACACCTAGTCATAGCGAATCTTTCAGCGTACGGACCAGATGGTCCATGGTCCATGAACCGGGGCTTTGACTCCCTGGTGCAAACTTGCTCCGGCATCAACGTTGCAGACGCTCAGCGCTACGGCGCTGGCGAAGCAGCTCGCGTTCTGCCCTGCCAGGCTTTCGACCATGGCGCGGGGTATCTGCTCGCAACTGGTGTTATGGCGGCACTCTACAAACGTGCTACAGAAGGTGGTGCGTACGAGGTCCAGGTGTCATTAGCCGGCGTCATGAAGTACATGCGTTCGCTCGGCCAATCCCCTGGAAAGACTGGGTTCGAGCGGAAGGACTTCAAGAAGATTGAAGAGGTGGAGCAGTATCTCGAAGCGCGACAGACAGCGTTTGGAGAGCTGAAGGTTATAAGGCATGCAGCTACCATTGAGGGGCTGGAGACCGGGTGGGATACTATGCCGAAACCCCTTGGTAGCGATGAAGCGGCCTGGCTGTGAGACTTTAAATTTCAAAGTGCGAAAAGACGGGTCAAAAATTGGTGTTATGGGTGCGGCGAAGACTGATTGCTGGGTCTCATTGAAGCAGTTAGCTCATTGCACGGCGACACCGGGCTTCCACCTAGACGATTCTAATTCTAGCGCAAACTGCACGGGTTACAAGGAGCCCTAGTGGATAAGCCTGACTCCTTGGACATGAAGTAAAATTTCACGATGAGCCCGTGAGTTCAGGATCTACAGCTCTCCATTCAGCGCTGACACTGATTTGGTTAGAATGGATCTAATAGACGGACCATGACCGTACGTCAACGACGAGGCATGAACCTAGACCAATAGGAAAGAAAGGAGACTTCAAGATGGTTGGTTCGATCGCCACCGATGCCCTTGTGCAGAAATGGTACCTGCATTAGCGACATAGTACCTGCCGTCGCCGTCCCTTACTCATGCAGCAAGAGACTCACTCACTTGAAAGCCGCGGAACAAACCTTCACACATCCAGACTCGCCGTCACAGAAACACTTCTGCTGCGTTCGTGTTGCGAGACGCAGCAAAGGTGCACCGAGTGGCCCGGGTTTCTAAACATCTGACGTCATTGACTCGCACCTACCCCCGTTCCCGTCACCATACGTACGCCTCTCCATGCTTGCATCTAACAACTTCTTACATTCTCACTTCTACTTATCGTAGTGCACCACTACTACGGATACAAGCCCTTTTACATTCCACGAGTAAGCATATTAAGAATGGCAGAAGTCGCAGCCGGCGCAGGTGCCGCCCTCGCCGCCGAAGAAGTCATATCAACAAGCGTCCAAGCCGGCGTCGCAGGCTACATGATCGCAAAGCCCACTATGCCTCTCAAAGCCTCATACAACCGTGTCGCTGTCGCCGACGATGAAGAGCTCAAACGGTATCTTCCCCATCGCGTCGCCATATAGAAAGTCTGACTGACTGCTGTGCCCAGGCGCTCGCTCGAGCGTTCCCATCATAGTGTTACAGTCCTCGGAAACCACGCCTACATAATCGGTGGCACTACTAACGGCAATACGCTCGCAAGCAACGATATGCATGCCGTTACGCTCACCCCCTCCACGGAGCCGGACATGGAGTATCGGTTGATCCCCGCACTACCTGGCGTGGAAGGCGGCAAAGTGCCAAAGGCGAGGACTAGACATGCCGCGTGCAAGTTCAAAGACTGCGTCGCTGTGTATGGTGGCTGCGACAAGAGCGGCAATCCCATCGATGAGAGGTCCTCGATCTGGCTTTTCGACCCGCAATCCCGAACATGGGGTGAACTAGCGCCGGCCGCAGCCTCAGCGACGACAGAATTCCAGCCCGGTCCGCTGCAGGACCCCAAACTCTTCGCCCACGATGCCACCACCCTGATCCTCTACGGCGGCCAAACACCAGCCACAGTCGCATCCTCCGATCTATGGAAATTCGATACTAAGTCCCGGACATGGTCGCCCCTTCCCACGCCCCCCGCAGCTGCCGAACCGAGCAATGCCGCAGTGGCAAACGGCCGCTTCTACTTCATCTCGTCCGACGACTCCATGAGCAGCCAACTGCACATATTACCCCTGAGCTCAGCATCCAGGGGAAGCAAAGAAGAAGAGCAGAAATGGACAACCCTGACCTTCCCCACAAACCCCCTCGCACCGGGCCCGCGAGCCCGCCATGGCGGTGCCTTACTCCCCATAACCACAGGCTACGGCCGCAACTACCTCGTCTACTTCCTGGGCGCACGCTCGCAACCCACCTCGTCTTCTGCCACCACCAGGCTGGGTATGACGGGCGACGAGAAGTTCACCATCGGCGAAGCCGAAGAAGCACAGTCTCCTCCGTCAGAACCGAGAGCACAGCATGAGGAGCATGAGGAGAAAGACGTCACTCAATGGAGCGACATGTGGACCCTGCAGCTTCCATCCAGCGACCTCGAAGCAAAGCCCAAACTGAGCATCAAGGAAGCCATCAAGCCTGCAAAGATCAAGGACGCTATTAGATCAGGGCTGGGCGCGGAGACGGGGAAATGGGGTTGGGCCGAGGTGGAGATGACGGTGCCGGAGGAGTTGGGCGCTGCGGAGGGGAAACTGCATCCCGGGCCGCGGGCGTGGTTTGGCAGCGATGTGATGGAGGATGGGAAGAGCGTGGTGTTTTGGGGCGGGGAGAATGCCGAGGGCGAGAAGGTCGGGGATGGCTGGACTGTGAGGCTGGAGTAGCTGCTGGGGTCTAAAGTGAGCGCCGTTCGGGGGATGATGATGCAGCCTGTATGGATCATGCTATTGAAAAAGACCGTAGCTCACCCTACTCAGAAATTAAATAGCTGAAGAACTGCATAAGCGCAAACAGATTGCCCAAGCAGTGTCAAGGATGAATTCGTAATGGACCAGTATGCGCCAGCGAAACGTTTAGCGCTTAGCCTACTCGATCTTGAGATGTAGTCTACCCACCGAACTAGGCTTAGCCCACGATCTACCCGCAAACTAGCCCTCGAGCCCTACAGCTCGGGTCCGTAAAATAGTCCGCAACACACTTCGGGCCCGTAAGTCCAGAAGGCAGAATCATCCACCTTTCCCTGACGGGCGACTTTTTGCGAGATGCAATTCAAGACTATGTTTTACGACAGAGCAAGGAAGGCTTCACGCGCAACGCAACGTCAACACAACTCGACTCGACGGAGGCCTATTTAACAAAGCCAGCGCACGCCTCTGTTTCCGAGCCCCTATAGCGATGACCACTTCTCCTCGGTAGTCGAACCCCTTAACCACCTCTTCACCCTCCAAGACTCAGCATCTTTCTCCCATACACTCGCGCCTCTATCCCCGCCGCACCCACAATGCGCGTCCTCATCAGCGGCGCCGGCATCGCGGGCCCCACGCTCGCCTACTTCCTCGCCAAAGCCGGCGGCGCCCGCATCACGCTCGTCGAGAAGGCGCCCACGCAGCTCCCTTACGGCCAGAATATCGACATCCAAGGCAGCGCTCGCAAAGTGATCGCCAAGATGGGTCTCCTAGATGAAGTGCGCCGCAACCACACGACGGAGAAGGGGACGCAGTTCATCGATCCGCAGGGCCGGCCGTTCGCGGGCCTGGGCCTCGAGGAGGGCAAGCCGCCGGTGAGCCTGACGTCGGAGTTTGAGATCCTGCGGGGCGACCTGGCGGCGGTGCTGTGGCGGGCGACGGAGGGCATGGTGGGCGTGACGTACATGTTCGGGACCACTGTTAAGGCGGTGCTGTCCAGCGACGAGGCGGGCGTGAGAGTCGAACTCAGCGATGGCGCCGTGCACGCGTTCGACCTGCTCGTCCTCGCAGACGGCCAGTGGTCCAAGCTGCGCAAGCACTGCTTCCCCGCGGAACGCATCAGCGTCCTCGACAAGAACATGTACGTCGCGTACTTCACCGTCCCGCGACGCCCTGAAGACACCGCCTGGTGGAACGTCTACCACGCGCTCGGCGCGCGCATCGTCACCACGCGGCCCGACCCGCACGGCACCATGCGCGCCATGTTCAGCTGCATGCCGCGCACGCCCGCGCAGAAGACGGCGTGGCAGGACGCGTGCAGGGCCGAGAGGGCGACGCAGCAGGCGCTCGTGAGAGCCGAGTTCGCGGATGCAGGGTGGCAGGCGCAGCGGCTGCTGGACGCCATGCCACAGGCGCCCGACTTCTACTTCCACCCCATGCAGCAGATCAGGATGGACAAGTGGTTCCAAGGGCGCGTCGTGTGTCTCGGCGACACGGCGTGGGCGCCCACGCCGCTCACGGGCATGGGGACGAGTCTGGCTATCACGGGCGCATACGTGCTTGCAGGCGAGCTGAGCAAGCTCGGTGCGGGCGAGCATCCTGCGAGGGCGCTCGAGGCTTTCGACACCGCGTTCCGCCCGTTTGTCGAGCAGAGTCAGCAGATTCCGCCGTTTGTGCCGGGCATTGCGCATCCCGAGACGGCGGTCGGGAGGTGGGTGTTCCAGGCGTTTGTGGCGACGCTGGCGAGGATCGTGGCGATTCCGTGGGTGGCGAGGAAGTTCGACGGCGGTGGGCCGGCGAACGAGGATGATTTTCTGTTGCCAGAGTATGCGAGCTTCGAGGATGAGAAGGCCGGGTGAGGTAGGGATGTGTGGTTAGATATGTCGGAAGAATCCGTGTGTACACAGAGGCGCTCGAGGTCAGCGGGGTCGGCGAGATCGAGGAGTCCCACTTCTACCTCGCCGTTCGGTAGATTAATGCTTATGGTAGGGACAAACGCTCTTCTCTTACGCTCATAACGAAATATTCCATTACTGCTCCTGCGGTTTCATGCCATATGTGATATGGAACAGAACGTAGGTATGCACGCTCGGATCCTTAATCTCTCTCCTGGCGAGCGCCAAAATGACTTGCAGATCCTCTACCCTCCCGCCCAGGATCTGCGTGTATCCTCTCAGCATGTACGCCTCAAATCCGCCATCCAGTATCATGATCTGCTCAAGCTTGCCAACGGTCCTTAGCCTCTTTGACCGCGGCCACGGGCCCATGGGCAGCTTGTATACTTCGTCCTGCACATTCGTGAAGCCGGCGGCGCGCATTTGGTCTGCCCAGCTGCGCGGGGCGTCGAGCGGAGCGCCCATCTTCTCGGCCATTTCGAAGTACAGACGGCCTGCTTCTACGTAGCCGCTGTTGGGAGGGATGGTGTTGTCGTCGGAGAGGGCGCCCGGGATGGTGCTGGCGAGCTGTATCCAGCCGCCGGGCTTGAGGTGGGTGTACGCTTGCTGTATCAGACGAGGCCAATCTCTCACGGCCGTCATCAAGTCGCGGCCGTGGACGAAGTCGAAGTGGTTGGGTCGGTACGGCCAGTCCTCTTCTACATCGTCGATTTCGAATATGCAATTGGGCGGCACGAAGTTCGGCTGGGTAGGCGCAATGTCCACGCCGATGACTTCGGTGTTGGGGAACTTGTCCGCCATATCTATGGCCCATATGCCTGTTCCTGTTCCCAGATCTAGGATCCTGCTGCTCTGCTCGCCAAGCTGGCTGTCCGGAATGGGCGCCACGTACAGCCTGTCGTTTAGCAGGAGCGTGTATTTGTGATGCTGGAGGTCATTGCGATCGAGCTCCTTCTCGTCCATCGGCATGCCATATTCGTGTTTGCCATGCGCGGGGTATATGCGGCCCTCGATTTCGACGCCGCGGCGCACTTCGGACAGGATGGAGGAGAGGAATGAGGAAGCGTCGGATTCATCGTAGCTGTGCCGGTTGTGAGCAAGGCTGAGAGATGGTGGCCATGGCGGGGCAGGTACCCTTCATCTGTGAACGACGAGTCGTCGTCGTGGGCGTGGAGGAAGTGATCTTCGGTGTTCTCCTGGTCGTACTCGCTTGACGAGCCAATGCCTGAGTCTACCGGGTCGGTATCATGCTGCGGTGCGACGCTTCTGGGACTGATGGACGGTCTCGCGTCGCGTTCCTCGGCCGGGGTGGTGTGGGCCATGGTGCCCGTTGGGTGCGCGGCTGGCGCATCGGTCGAGGGCGAGGACTGGGGGTTATGCTGCTCCATATTGCGCCTCGACCGCCTGTGGGGTAGACTCGTTTGGAATCGACGCAGCGGAGGGTGCGACGGCGCGATTTTTACAACCCAGCTCGAGGTCCCCGCAGCAGCGGTCGGTGCGCCACTGGTGCTGGAAGTCGTTCCTTTGTGGCGGGCGGCCAAATCACATCTGAGGGGTGACGTGACATGGCCGGTCGCTTGCAGACCTGCTCCCGCGCCCTCCTGCGTGCTATCGTTGTTTCTGGCTTGGTGTCCAAGATGCCACGGTGAGCGGGCGTCGGGTCCCGGAGCCGGGGGAGGCCGGATCCGCGCCACTGGGCGAGCGAACGTGCCTGATAAGCGGGCGGCAGGCGCGCCAATTGGTGCGCTAACCACGAACCGCTAACCTCCACGCCTCGGCATGTCGTGAGAGCATGCATCTCCCGCCCGTGGTGGGGCTAGACTCTTACGCCCGGCTTCATGGACAGCGTGTCCTGCCCTTTCAGCGTGATGCATACCGTGCCGGATCCGCCCTCTTTTGCTGCACCGCTTTCTCCCGCCACTTCTCGTGTGAAATGGCCGCATATCCGCCGACGCTGGAGGCCCTGACCCTCCTCGACAGCATCGCCAAACTCAGCGATGGATTGAAGAATGGAGAGCAGGGCGCGAGAGAGGGCCTTTTGGGCGCCTGCTCCAAGCTCATCTCGGAGCTCAGTCACCCCACTGAGACTATGCTGATGCTGCTCTGGGCACAGCCCTCGCACCACACCATTCTCCGCATGGCCGTGGAGATCCGGCTCTTCCAGGCAATGTCTGGTATCGGCGCGGAGGGACAAAGGACAGCGGACATTGCGGCAAAATGTGCACACCAGGCGGATCCTATACTCGTCGGTAATGATATGCAAGCCTCCATCCCTGGCGACAATGTCTAACACCGACCGTAGGCCGCATGCTTCGGCACCTCGCCGCCATGGACACCGTCCGCGAAACTGGTCCCGACACCTTCGCTCCCACCGCGCTCTCGAACGCCTTCGCCGAGCCGGCATATCAAGACAGCATTCTGTATATCTTCGAAGACTTCCAGCCAGTCCACCAAGCGACACCATCCTTCTTCCACAAGCATGGCTTCAAATCGCCCGATTCCGGCGTCGACGGGCCATTCCAGCACACATTTAACTGCAAGGGTGACCACTACTTCGAATACTTCCCGAAGCACAACCCGGAAATGGGACGGCGCTTTGCGAGCATGATGGAGGCGTGGAGTAAGGGGCGGCCGCGATGGTTCCAGGAAGAATACTACCCAGTGAGACAACGGCTGATAGACGGCGCGGATAAGGGCAGCGAGGCGTTTCTCGTCGACGTTGGGGGAGGCACCGGTCACGACATTGAGGGCTTATTGCAAGCGTTCGGGGCGGAGATACCGGGCAAGCTAGTGCTCCAGGAGAGGCCAGAAATCATCGAGATTGCGCAGGTTAGCCCGGAGGTTCAGACCATGGCGCATGATTTCTTAACAGAACAGCCGGTCAAGGGTAAGTCGCTCGTTCGTCGAGATTCCTCCACCGCTAACCCAACGCTCTTCCAGGCGCTCGCGCGTACTATTTCCACTCCATCATCCAAGACTGGACCGACCCGGTCAACACGCAGATCCTCAAGTCGATAGTCCCCGCAATGAAGAAGGGCTACTCGAAGATCCTCGTCAACGACTTCGTAGTCCCGAATCAAGGAGCGCACTGGGCGCAAAGTGAGTCAATCAGCACATGAAAACCAGAAGTCCGCTGACTCTCAACAGCCTGCATGGACTGGGAGCTCATGGAAAGTCTCGGCGCCCGCCACCGCACAGTAGCGGAGCACACGGCGTTGTACGAGGGCGCCGGGCTAAAGGTGGTGGGCATCTGGCGCCATCCGCAGAGCGTCGATTCCCTGATCGAGCTCGAGCTGACCTGAAGACGCATCGTGTGCCACGGCACATCTTTAGCGCAATGTCCTCCTTTCTGCATACATGGCGTATATACCCCTAGGTCTGCACGATTCTCCACTTTCGACTGAATTTCTTGCTTGGTTGCCTTCTAGGGAGTTAGTATAATGATGCAGCGTCACGCTTTTGTAAATCCTGCGTTGCGTTGACCCGATCGCGCGGTTCTTGCGATGCCTTGCTTTGAGGGGTTCTCGTGACTTTTGTTGTGGAGTCCGACTGCGCAAGCTGAGCATATATACTCTCAGCTCCCCAGTACTCTTTCTGCATTCTCTCCACTCCACACCGCATTGCTCAGCGCTGCGGCAGCTAAAACCAACGCTGAAAATGAGCATGGAGACTAAAAGCCGTTCTTCACCGGCTCATGCTTTGGCTGCTGCTCTTGCGCCACTGTTTGTAAAAGTTTTCTGGACGGTAATGTATTGGGAACCCGCTAAAGTGGAGAGAGCGTGAAATCGACAACCGAGAGTCCCACTAGAGAAGTATCATGGATGAGGAACGTCGACACGAAGAGGTGATGGCTGAGCATGAAGGAAAGCAGCGTGATTTCGGAGACACTATGGACAAGCGTCGCCCTTGAGCTCGATGCAGACAAGCAGCGTTGACTCTAGGGTATAAAGCCCCTCTTCTCCCTCTCCCTTCCTCTCACGCGCCACGCTTCGAGAGTTGGTGCTACTAAAAGGAGTAACCGAGCAAGTGATGGCAGTCTAAAATCCGATGACATCAAAGTGTATGACGCGGAGCGGTCCTGCGCTGCGCTGTGCCGAACACAAAAAAAGCACATCACCTCACCGCATGAGGAGCAGAGCAAGCCAGCACGTCATTGAAAGAAGCGTGGATCAAATGCCATGGGCGAGCAGAAAGTTTGAATTAACGGCATGGAGAGGGTGCTCCTCGCAAAGGGCCAAGTTGCGAAGGAACTTCATTTTCGCGAATCCTGCTAAGAAAGCACGATAGTTTAAGCGTTTTTGAAGGCAATGCTTGAAACGAAGACTTTCCCTGCAAAGTCACCATATCTTCTTCAAAACCTGTTAGATTTTCTTCAAAGTTCGAGAAAGTCTCATATATATAAAGATAAATGGGTTGTACTGACAATTTGAAGAGAGAACAACTTCTGCTGAAGACATTCCTTTGGGTGAAAAAAAAAAGGGGGGGCAGGGTAGTTGAGGGAGCTGCCAAAACTTGCCAAGTTTTTACGGAATTTTGAATATGATAGATACGAACGTACGCTGTGTGCCGCCTTTGGGAGTTGGGAGACGAGAATGTAGTTAGACTATTACAAAAGGAAGCTGTGCTTAGCCAAGTATAATTCTCTTGTCTTCGGCCACAACCTTCTCCCAACCATCCTTTTCCAGCCTTCCTATGCCTCGCCGATATGCAACATCCTCAATCCATTCTATTAGCATTACATTTCGACTCTGAATGTGGCTACACCCCTTCACGTGTTGAATACAGCCAATGTCAAGGGACTCCTCTCGTATTCTACAAGTCTCATCGGACTCCCCTTGCGCGTTTGACGAAAGTAGAACGAGCTCGCCAGAGCACTCCGACCTGTCGATGAAAAAATGGGGCGGAGCGAAGACAGCACCGATTCTGTCTCCATCAGGAGCGTGGACTGCGCCTAAAACCCATTCAACTTCTGAAGAGTGCGCCTTCTCTTGTTGTTTTTCTTTCTTTTCCTGCTCCGCCGCTCCGTAGTCTCCTTCCAGGTTATCCTGTTCGTTCGAATCTTTTTCCCCGTTCGTTCGGTCTCCTTCAGTTGCCTTGCCTTCCTCATCCGTGGTTTCTTTCATACGCTTGAGGGTCAATTTCGATGTTTGGGCCGTGAAGTGTAGCAGACCGTATTGCATGACACCTGTATCTGAGGCAGATTCAGAAAAGAGATTGCTTCTCTGATCACCCCCAGGCTTTCCAGTTCGGCCGGTCGAGCGGATCGAGTTCAAGTATTTCGCTGTAGTGGCATCTTCCAATCCAATAGGCTCGTGCCATGTAACTTCGGAGATGACAGAGCTTCCGCAAGGGTCCAGGAATGCCACTTGCCCGCAGCAGGAGAGCCATGACCAGGATGGGTATGGGAGACTGCGACTGGCAATTTCCATGCCTGCGGGATGGCGTGCAGTCCGCAAGTGGACTAAATTGCACCCCACTTGTCCCCATAGCAGCGCGGCGTCTAATCGTTCGTGTGGTAGGCCCCAGATGAAGCCTCTCTGGAAACGGGACGCCATGAGCTTGAGGATCCCTGCGAATGCCCACAGTGCGTCGCTTTCATCGGTGAAGTGCCTGCTTGAAAACGCCTCAACGAGTCGGCAATAGAGCACAGTACGGCATTTGTTTGGCTCGAGTAGATACTCGTTCAGCGAGTTTGTCTCCGTCAGTTCAAGCCTATGGGTAGGAGACTCGCCGCTGGTATCCTCGCACCATGTGGTGGTCTGACAAACCCAGTAAACCTGACGCTCCGTGAACACGAGGAGACGTTTGCAGAGGGTAGCCTCTTGAAATGTCCATCCGCGCGAATCCCATACACTCCGGCGCAGAACTTGCCGGAAGGGGGGCTGAGTCGTAATGAACCGGGTCCCGTTAATAGTTTCCGTTCGTTGCGATACCCTTCTTTCGGTGCTTCCCACACCCGGAAGTCCAGCGCGAGCATCTTGACCAGCAGCGGCCACAATGACGAGTTCAGCGCAGCTATAAATCCTGTCCATGATAGGGAGTTGCTGCTGTTTGTCGCTGTCGTCATCTTGTACGATGCAGAGTGTATCAACCCACAGGTAACGTTTTCCAATCAGCCTTACTACTTCAATGGCATCGGAGATAGTCGGAGGAATATCCACGTCCTTTAAACCATTAAACGATGAGCACTGTGCGATGTTATGTCGGTTCAACAGTCCCGTCGCCGTTCGACCCCAGACGTATGACAGCGCAACATACGGTAAGCTCTTGCCTTCTGAGAAGGCCGGAACGATCTTGTAGTCGCGGACATCAATCAAACGAATCTGTTGCGCATTCTCGGGGACATGGGATGGAATGTGGCAATTTTCATGGTGTGTATCGCAAAGTTGCATCCAGTATTTGATCGACCCGATGTTGGCTTTTGATGGCACTTGTCGACCTCGGTGGCGGAATTCGTCCCCAGGGTGAATCGGGGTAGTTGCTGGTACGATCGAATTCGTAGTCTCCTGCTCGTCTGACCTGATGATTGTTCCCGCCACCATCTCGTGCTCGGAGAGTTCAATAACCACGTGAATGAATGTCTCCATGTTCAGATACGTGATCCGGAAAGTTTGCGGGTCGTGTTTGATTTCTTCTTCGGAGGCGTCGCTCGTTGACTCCAATAAGGTCACTATTGGAAACCGCAGATGGAGAGCAATATTGGCGTCATAAACTGTGTCGAGAGGACTGTGTTCTCCTAGGTCGATTGACTCAGCGGCAGAAAGGATCATGCGGCAGCCGGGACAGAATGCCTTGCTTGCAATGTGACGCAAAGGGCCAATGTGGATGTGATAACAGTGTCCGTGTCGCTTGTCTCCGCAAACTTCATTAGTTGAAGAGACAAAGTCGATTTGCCTGCACACAGAGCATAACTCGCCCTGCGGATCCCGCGTCGGTTCTGAGTCTTTGGAGAGGTCTAGGCAACCCATGATACTCGATCGAACATACGAGGCGGCGATAGGTTCGGGGAATTTACTTTCGCGTCGGTTTGTGCTGCTAGCTGGTCTCGATTTGAATAAACGTATCCGGAAAAGAATGAATATAGAGAGTTCCCTAGATCTCAAACACTATCCGCACGGGCATTTACAAGAATGCGTGCATGACTTCTGTTAGGCAGCAATGCTAAGAGCCTGGCTGACAGCCACGACCGGACGATTGCGGAGGTGAGCCCCGCTACTGCTGCTTGGCATTGGCGACGATAATATAGCCATTTCACCTGGCGATGGCGCAAAATTGAGGTTCTTTTCAACGGTGGTAACATTCGACCGGTGCGTAGTCCGCTAGAGAAGCCTTGTTGATTGATTGAATTTTCTCGATTTGAGTCACCAAATCTATAGAGGTTATGCTAACTAACAGCAAATCAGAGCTTCTGCCTACGCACAAAAGGACTCAAGACACGAAAACGGGGTATCACATATCTACGGGGAGGTGGCGTGGGTTGACAGAAAAGAACGACTCGGGTGCGGATGACGAGGGCGTAGAAGCCTGGTGAAACCAGTGCCACACTGCCCCCCCGAGTCTTTAGAAGCTGCGTACACAAGCGTATATAGTCCGTCCTTTGAAAGAAAGCGATTTATGGTTGCATGGTTGGTGCAAAAACGAGATGAAGAGCAATGATGAGTAGCATCAAAGCTCGCCGACCCATGGTTCACCCGGACCCTGACAAAGCAGGGAGCGTAAGTCCATCCGAGCTCAGTTCGAGCATCGTCCTTGCGTATATAAATACCCTCTCCTCCTACTTCTCCTCCTCCTTCTCCTCCTTTTTCTCTTCCGCACTACATTCCTCGCAACGTCGAGCGGTACTGAAAACGGTCAGCAGGAGGCCCAAATGGCGTCTCTAAAAGGATTGAAACACGTACAAATGTGCCTTCTAATAATTCCATCGTCTAAAATCGCAATTATGGAGATGAAATGACTGCATGAGAAGCAGAAGCAATAGCCTGATCGCTCGTCTCTATGGAGACGTCGGGAGAAGGGCAGCACGCAATGCATCCCGGAAACCGCGTCCAAAGTTGGCATTTGGAACGGTCATGGAGCGCTTTGGAATCAGGAATCTGCTTCTACTCTCATGAGGCTTGAATCGTTCGCTCGCGAGAATTCCTCACGCCAAAGCGCGGGTATTTAAACCTTTACCTCTCCACTCTTTTCCTTCACTCTCGCACTTCGCTCCCCGCAACACTAGGAATACTTAAAACGGCAGAACCACTCGAAACGGCTTCCTTAAAAAGACCGAAGCGTTCTACAAAATGTCTTGTCAGAATCCGGTCGCCTAGAAAACAGTCCGCAACGGGAATATGGCGATGTTCGGGTCTAAAAAAACAACCGAGACACCTTGTATGGGCAGATTTAGGAAGCAGTAGCCCTTGCACATGTTGTAGATCCGCCTAATAGAAGAATTCCTTCTCTTTCACAATGTGCGAAGATTTCTGACGCGGATCGCGAAACCGAAAGCTCAGATAACTCCTTGAACGGGACTCCCTCGACAAGCCGCGATGGAGACTGAAAATTTGTTAACTTCATTCGCATGCGAGTCGGCACCTTTCCTCCACCCAGCTCCTTCTTCCGCCAGAGGATATAAACCCCGCTTCTCGAGCGCTCCCCTGAGACCAAAAGCTCGCCCTATGCCGGTACGTGAACCCCTAAAACATTGACGCTCACGAAACGATAGAGTCCTCCTCGTGGTGCGGCGGAGACTATAAATATCCGCCTCTGCTCTTTCTCTTGAAATATTTTCACAATCTCCCGGTTCGAAGGGTTGCACTAAAATCGGATCTACAGGCTCCCTATGGATTCGAGAAATCCTATGACTTCAGTACAATGGCGTTGCCTCGTGCGGTCTAGAAATCCTTACAAGCAGAATCCACGGCTTCCGCCAAATGTATGACAACAACCCTCGATGGAATCTTTTGGCCGGGCTTCCAAAGGTTAAGCGATGCTGGGAGTGACGAAAACTATTGCATACTAAAACGGCATTATCTTCCCGCTACGTTGAGCCTAGCTCCGCGGCGTGGAACTTCTTCGCGCGCTTCGGCAGTCAATTAAAACAATAGTCATGCCGTTTTAGGAGCGCACGTTGCTCCAGCCTCGAGTATATAAACCCGCTCTTTCCTGCTCTTAAGATCCCTACAACAGTCCATATGCAGGCTTGGATTACTAAAAGCGAATTGCCAATGTCGCATGGTGCTCTAAAAAGACAGGGCAAATGACGGCATAGTGTGCCTGGGAGTACGCTTGCCGGACCAAAAGGCGATGACTACGACATATATGAGCGTGCGGCGCGTCCAGCATGGAGGCCATAGGGGGACCCGTTTTCCTGGCTGAGATTCGCCCCGAGTAGGCACGTGGTTGGAACACTGGAGCCGAGAATTGTGGGGAGGATTTTAGTTAGTACTTTGTGATGATCATGATCAAAAGGCCAAATCAACCACGGATGAAGGGTGCCAGAAATGATGATAGTATGATGCCAGCTTATCAAGTGGGAAAATAGGTTGCGTTCACTGCTACAGATCGTTCTCAGGTACCGCGATAACCATCCGCAAACTTAACAGTGTCGACAGGCTGATAGACACGCTAGATAGAAGTGGATGTCAGCAAAGGCAGATAGAGCGTTCCCAAGTGCAGGACCTCCCGAGGTAACCAACCTTCGTTGTCACTTATCTCGCCTCCGTGATAAGATGTAAGAGATTTGTGTGTCCTAGACGCAACGCAGGTTTAATCTAACCAAGCTCGCATCCCTCCAAATTCTCTAGAAACCACGCACCCTCCCAACCGACTCATCACACAACAGCATCGCCACAACCCACTGCTCTCAAATCCCACCATACCCTCCTCCCCACTCCTATCTACCCCAATGCTTGATAACACATCGCACTCCCGCCCACCAGCATCCGTTACCCCGGCTACGAGCCCACTCCGCTCGAGAAACCCCAACATTTTCCTGTCCTCGAAAAGCCCAGTAGCTCACCCACTTCTTCTAGCGACCATCAGGTCTCCGGCGTGCCCTTGTATCCCATTTCATCGCCCAATAGTGAAGAGTGTCTGGATTGCTGCGGTAGAAGTCGAAGAAAGCAATGCGCTGGTCGGCGGCCAAGGGCGAGCAGGCGAGCTAACGTGAAGGTGAGGTTTTCTGTTCCGTTTAGTCTTCTTGGGAGGAGGCGGTCGCATCGGCGAAAGTGACGAATGTGCGGTAGCATGGCGCGTATCTGGGAGCTGTGGGACGTTGGGTCTCTTAGAAAGTAGATGATTCGGATGAAGAAAAGTGAGTGAAGAACTGTGAGAAGCTGGAATTTTGAATTTTTCATTTTTGGCGTGGCCGTAGAAGGGACAAGCGCCTAATTTGATATGGGCGGCGCCATGTGTAAGGTATAGACGACTAATGTGTACTGTACATTACCTGAACCGCGCGAACCTCTCCTCTTCCTCCATCTTCAGTCGCACAGTGTTCAACACTTTCTCATCGTACAAATCCTCAGGCTTCTTATCCCCCTTCAGCACCTCCTTTTCATGCTTAGCCGCCTCCTCTTTCGTCATGACCACCAAATCCTTCATCTGCAGCAAAGAGTTCTTTTGCCCCGGAGTGCGCTTGTCGATGAAGTCCTCGCTAGGTTTATTCCATCTCATCAGGCACAGCCGCGTAGCTAGGTCGCTGATGACGCTTCTCCCGTGGTACACCTCTTCAACAAGGTACCCGACGTCGTCCTGAGTAATTGGGATCTTCAAGCCTTGTGAGTCGAAGCCGTATGATCTCGCGAGGCGTTCTTCGGCGCCTTGCAGCGACCCTAATATGCTGTCGTACATCTTTTCTCTTCCCTTGGCGGGGAGGTAGTCGTGAGGATATCCGGCGATCTCTAGGATGACGTGGTTTGCAACGGCCAATCCAAAGATGGCTGGCATCGTTCCGAGCACAGGCAGGATCCTAACTCGGAAGTCTGGGAGCACACCTAGTTCGCCAACGGTGCCTTTTGCGAATTCTTCGTCTGGTAATGGCAGCAGCTGTGCCTTTCCGGGGCCAGGCTTCTCCGTAGAGAACACTACCGGGATACCATCCTTGACACCAAGCGCTCGGAGTTTTCGTCTCGTCGATTTTGAAAGCGGATCATCTGTGCTGGCAGAGATGTCGCCGATGAAGATCTTCGTGGGATCTGACTTACATCCAGCGCCCATGGAAGATATGACCCGAATCTTGTTCTTGTAGCAGTAGTTCAGAAGCGCCACTTTGCTATCGATGTTGTCGATCGCGTCAATCACGAAGTCTGGCTCCTGGCCGTTCATCGCTGCTAGCTGCGCGGGTGCGTTGACTTCGCTGAATAGCTCGTTTCGGCACTCGAAGTGCGTCCAGGGGGTGATTTGTTCAAGCCTCCGCCGGATGCAATGCACTTTCGGGGTTCCAACGTCGGCTAGGGTAGCTACCGCATGTCGGTTCAAAGAAGACAACGTAACCTGGTCGAAATCGATGAGACGTAGTTTGGAACATCCGGAGCGGGCGAGAGCTGCTGTGGCGTGCGATCCGACGCCGCCGCAGCCGACGACGATGACGAAAGCGGAGCGCAGCTTCTGGAGGCCTTCATCTGTAAGAAACACCCGGTTTCTGGCGAGCTGCTCCAAGATAAGATCTGAGGGCATCAGCATTACCGCGGCGCAAAGGCCGGAAGCGTGGGATCTCTAACCATCGTCATAGTCTCCTTTTCGTGCTCTAGCTGCAAGGGCCATGCTTCGCTTGTCTTCGTTGCTCGGAGCAAACGCATTGGAAGCGGCGCCATATTCTGTCAACTGCGAAGATTAGCCAAATGCCCGTCGATTGAAGCTACAAAGGGTCGGGAAGCGGCGCGGGAGTCAGAAAATAATTCTCCACGTACTCTGGTCGCATGGTGCTCTTCATCGATGTCGGGTATTGCTGCTTTCATTTCGGCCACTCTGTACATGCGCCTCGCCTTCTGGAAACCGAGGACAGCTCCTCCAACCACAATCCCGGACACAATGGCAGTGGTGATTAACTGCGCATGATGGGACGCTGTAGCCCGAGATACCCAGGAGGACATCTTGATTCCAATCCCTAACTAAGGCTGAGAACCCCGGTGCTATGGGAGATCCATCGATTTAAAGAGAATGTGTAGGTCCAGTCTCAATTGTCAAGGAACGAAGTGTGATAGCGATGGCGATGACTTCATGGTGTTGAACTTTCAAACTTCGGGTGGCCGTTCGGGCTAGACCGTAAAGAGCTAAGCGCCGAGGCCAAAGTTCTCTGAGCAGAATGCAGATGACCTGGACTCCGTAGCCGCCAGCGAACCACACCGCTCACCTTCGACGCGTTCGAAACATCACCCACGCGCAGTCTGCGCATCTGATCTTGGGGCGGTGCCTGGCAGCTCTTAAAGCGCCCTTCCCACCGCGATCATCCATTCTTTAACCTTCCTCCGCCCCCTTGCTCTCACAACTCTACTGCCGCCATGTCGAAGGTCACATTCGCGATTATAGCCGCGGCAGCTGGTGCTGCAAGTGGTGCAGCTGCGACAGCAGCGTTCTACTCTTCAAAGAAAGAGACTCCACCGTCCGTCTCTACAACCACAACGACCACCGTCACAGGCCCTCCACGACCAGCACCTCCGTCTTCAGTCCCTGCTGTACCTTCACCCGCAGCCGCCGCTCGAAAGCAACCACCTCCAGTCGACCCGAGCGGCCTCTTCCAATATGGCTTTCCCGGCCCCGTCGCAGACCTCCGCCCGGCGGCATCCCTTACCTCTTCCTTCGACCGCCGAACAAGAAACCCAGCATGGGTCGCGGAGCACATCACGCCCGAGTCGCTCGCGAATAACAACGCCGATCGCAAACACAGCGTCTTTGTGGAAGACATCTCAATACCCGAAATGTTCCGCGCAAAGCTGAAGGATTACTTCCGCTCAGGGTACGACCGAGGGCACCAAGTACCCGCAGCGGACGCGAAGTGGAGTCAAGAAGCCATGGACGATACATTCCTGTTGAGCAATATGTGCCCACAGGTCGGCGATGGATTCAACCGAGACTACTGGGCGCATTTCGAGGACTTTTGCCGCCGATTGACGAAGCATTACCCCTCCGTGCGCATCGTGACTGGCCCTCTTTACCTGCCGAAGCGCGAGCCGGATGGGAAATGGAGGGTGAGCTACGAGGTCATCGGGCAGCCGCCAAACGTTGCAGTACCGACGCATTTCTACAAGGTCATCTTCGCGGAGGACGGACAACATGGTGGGAAGGTTGCGCTGGGAGCGTTCGTCCTCCCAAATGCCGTCATCGCGAACAACAAGCCGCTACAGGACTTCGAGGTCCCTGTGGAGATTGTTGAGAGAGCAAGCGGATTGGAGTTCGCCACGAAGCTGGATCCTGTAAGGCGCAAGCGATTGTGCCAGGAGGTCAGCTGCTCTCTCATCGTGAGGGAGTATGCCAAGAGACAGGAGGCCTTTGGGAAGAAATGAGCGGACTATGGGGTCGATGGGGGAATGTATTCCATGTGTATACCAGCGTGTTAGCATAGCATGAGCGGAGTTCGTCACCTCTGTCATTTCGGCGAATACCATATCTTGCACCTTGACTACCAAATGAACTTTTGCGTTCCACTTCCGCTGTTTGTACAGTATGATACAAGTCCGTGATCCCAAGTCCCTAGATGAGGGTATCCGATCCTTTGCCGTCTATGTGTACCCCGATGCATCCCTAATCGTACATTTCAAAAATCTGATCCTTCGGTAGAGCCGCATTTCTTGGTCGGACGCCGTTGCGACATTGCCACCTCCAATGTCCAAAGTTGAGTCGGTGATCGCTCAATCCAAGCCCATCCCATCTGATCCACCACCCGAGCTTCGGCCTAGAAAGTGTTCTGAAGACCGCTGGCCTGCTGCGACTCCTTCTGTATCCGGGCGACGTACGTTTTCGAGACGGTATTCCAGGCGGACATGTACTTCTCCATGCAGGCCGTGAAGCAGGACTCTTCGCCTTTCGAGAGTGAGGTGCCGGGCTTGGGTACGCAGCGCTCGAAGCAGTGTTCGTTAAGTTTCTGCATACACACAGTCAGAGAGGATGGTTTTGGGTGGGAGTTGGAGATGTGAATGTACCTCGACCAGCATGCGCGCATTCTGCATGGCGGCTTCCTGCTGCACCTGGCGCATAACCTGCGTCTTCGGATCGTTGGGGAAGGCACTCATGCCCGTGGCGCCTAATGAGTCCATCTTGTCTTTTATATCTGGCTCCGAAAATCTCCGTGGTCGTTTTGAGGGAATGCGCGGTTGTGGTGGATGGATTGGTGTTTCCCAGAAAAAGACCCCCGACACGCCGGGCGGCGCTTTCTCGGCAACCACGGGCGCACGAGCATCCCAGCAGCGGAAAGGCCACGACGAGAGTTCACCACCACCCATCGGCCAGCAACTTTAATGTCGCCCACCCGTGCCATTCTTCTCTTCTCGTAGCCTCAGCCCCGCCGCGGCGCGCCTCTCTTCTTATCAATTGCAGAAGCTTAGCCTTCTTCCATTCTTTGTGCCGCATTCACCTTGGACCGCAGTGCTATTGGAGCTGGAATAGCGGGTCTCAGACAGCGGTTGTGCAACCATGCTGTTCGCAAGGCCGTGGACGAGCTTGTGCCTGCTGGCGGGGAGCTTGGTGGGCGTGAGGGCGCTGGGGTTGAGCGAGCACCCTGATATTAAGGCTATTTCTGTGAGTTTAGGAGGGCTTGGGGATTTTGGGGATATCTTGCTGATGAGAAGTAGCTACGGACGCACAGCCTCGAGCCCGTAAGTGCGGCCTGAACCCTACAACTTTCCTTGGACATAGTTGGCGGAGAGTGGTTCTAACCTGGCATAGCCATACCTCGACTCAGACATGCAAAGCCGCTGGTGGGACTTTGGCGGGGACACCATCATTCGCACCGACAAGTACATCCGACTCGCCTCCGACAAGCCCTCGCGCGACGGCTGGATATTCTCTCGCGTACCGCTAACCGCCACAAACTGGGAGGTACATACGCTATCCCTTCTCCGAACCACACACCATTCCATATGCTCACGCGACACTAGATTCTGGTCGAGTTCAAGATCCACGGCCAAGGCAACCTCTACGGCGACGGCATGGCCATGTGGCTCACCAAGCAGCGCGCTACCCCCGGACCTGTCTTCGGTGCCACAGACAACTTCGAGGGTCTCGGCGTCTTCTTCGATACGTACAAGAACAACCGGCCCGGCACCGTCTTTCCCTATATCATGGCTATGAGCGGCGATGGGAAGACGCCGTATGACAAGGACAATGACGGCAAGGCGAATGAGGTTGCCGGGTGTAGTGTGCGTTCTACGTTTCCCCTCCTCCACGGTTGACCTAGGATTGACATCACACAGGCCCGCGGTATCCGCAACGCCCAAATCCCCACCAAAGCCCGCTTCACCTACTTCCAAGACCAATCGCTCAAGCTCGACCTGCAGTACAAATCCGAAGACGAATGGACCAACTGCTTCGAAATCGTGAACTTCAAAGTCCCGCCCGTCGCATACCTAGGCTTCTCCGCCGAGACCGGCGAGCTCTCCGACAACCACGACATCGTCTCCGTCAAGACGCAGAACCTGTACATGAGGAGCGGAGGTGGGTCCTCCGCGGGCAGCACGGGGAAGGCTGGGAGCACGACGTACAAGCCTCAGGCGCCGAAGAGCAGCAGCAGCTGGACCTGGTTCTTTATGAAGTTTGTGCTGTTTGGACTGGCGGTTACGGGTGCGTATGTGGGGTTCACGATTTATCGGGCGAGGCAGAGGGACCGGTTCTAAGTTGTGCTCGGGGACCGGAAAAGAAGCAGCGGTTGGGGAGGATAAATGGGATGGTTGGCTCGTCATGTACAGGGTTGGATGCATGGGGTAAAATCACCGGCCTTTGGACGGGGCCTATTGATAGCGTTTTCTTTCTCCTAGCATTTCTCTACACTGCACATACTCTCCTAGCAACTTACTTCAATCGAATCACACGATACCACTCATGCCTGTCAATGCCGTCAGTCAAGTCATTAAAGCAATCCAAATATGAAAAATAAAAGATTGCATTATGGTCCTCAGATCAGCTCTCCTGCTGTTCTCATGAGCCCCCACAGCCCTCACCAGCCTTTCGACCAGCGACGACCAGGTTGCCCGTCAACTTTGGCTTTTGTATGCCCCAGTCCGTAGACCAGAGACATCATCACCGGACCCTTGACCCGCCTGTTCAGCAGACCGAAGTTTCTCAAACACTCTCACACCCACCCCACACGACACTTCCTGCACCGCCCAACAACAACGACCAGACACCCCCACACTCACATCACCGCACGCCCCAAGCAGGACATGCGGCAACGGCGCTCGGATTGAAAACTACGCCAGTCGTCACTAGCAGACTGTAGCTATACCTTCCGGAGAAGAGAGTAGCAAGTGCGCTTCGACCCTTTTACTTCTTCCTCTTTGCGCAGCGGGGGTGGTTGGGCGGGCGGCTGCGTGTGCGGGTTACCCAGAAACTTGCGCGACTTGTAGGTATGCTTGACTTGGGGAGACAAGACACTCCCTCTGATATCCGTTCTTGTGGGCTCAGCGCCCCAGCCACCGGAGACCGCCGGCGGGGAAGATGGGCCCCGCTGGGGCTTCCTGACTGTGAGGAGGGGTTTCGGTCATAGGGATCTGCGGAGGTTTTGTTAGCGGGCGCTTTGAGCGAAGGGGAGGGAGTGAGGAGGAGGAGGAGAGGGAAGGGCGGATGGCGAGGTTGGGGTACATACACGCAGCTCGGATTGTGGGTGTGGAGAGAGAAACTCGGAGCTCGACGCGAAGATAAGTTTAGGCGGGTCGCGACGTCACGGGCGGCGCTAGCGCTAGCGGCTGTTAAGCGACTCGGGGTGACCAATGAGAAACGAGTCTTTGACACAGTCATGTGATCGTGAATCAATGTACAGACGATCGACGGTTTTCAAAACTGCCCTGTTAGGCAGTTTCGCTTCTGCAAGCCATGTTCCTTCACCCCAAATTTGGAGAAGAGAAGGAAGCACGACAGGTTACACGCGCAGCACCAAACACAAAAAAATTTCGAGGGACTAGGTCAAGCGCATAAAGAATGTGCATTCAATCATCAGCGCGATGCGTCAGCACCACAACAGAAACGAACAACCCCCTAACCGTCCCTTCCCTTCCCCACCACGGTCTCGGTCTACTCGTAAACATAGCAAAGCGGGCCCGCAACCGTGCTAACTAGCTCCTTGATCTTGTAGCTCTTTCCATCCACATTCAACACCTCGAGATCAATCACGTCCTCCAGACTCTGCTGTCGCGAGCCGAAACCCATCATGCTGGTCCCGCCCGCAATGACCTGCTGGCGGTTCGCAAAGTCTTGGGTTTGCCAGATGTACCATGTGCGGTCGATCATGCTATGGTGCAGCCAGAAGGCCGGGTCGCCGGGCGAGACGTAGAAGTCTGTTGTCGAGAGTCAGCGGTGGAGGAAGGGTTGAGAGGAGGGAGTAGGGGATGGGATGAAAGAAAAAGATGGTACGTACCGGACCCGGGATCGCCGCTGATGGTGAAGTGACCAGCGGGGTGCACGCCAGTCCCCGCTTGCATCTGGTTCTGGAAGGTCGCGATATCCTTCGACGCCGTAATGAGCGAAGCAATCTTGGCAGTCGTAGCATCGCGCTGCGTCAGATAGTTGGACAGATCGCGCTTGATGCAGCGAGGGTTGTAGCCGTAGCCATCGCTCCTCGGGTTCTTGGGTGGCGTGGTGTCGGGCATGGCAGCCATGGGTCTGTGACATTGTCAGATATAGACGGAAAAGAATGCGGGCAAAGGTGGACGTACCCCAGGTTGACAGTCATATTTTTGAAAGGTCCACTGATGCAGCCACCTCCGTTACCGGCGGGCTTCATTCCGCTGCTTTGGTGCGCGACTTTCTCGCCCTGCCCGCTGATGCTGGTATCGCTGCCGTCGAAGATGGGGGATGTCTCGGGGCTAGCCGCCCATCTGCCCCAGTCCCAGTACTACGCATGAGGTTTAGTAAATGACTGGTGTGTAGAATGGACTTGCACCAACCGGCTGAGTCCCTGTATACCCGCACTCCGTTCGTAGGGCTTGCTCGTACGCCCAGGTGAAGTATCGGTGCCATGACAAGAAATTACCCTGGTTGCCGTTAGTCACCTGCGCGATGGATGAGGCTAGTGTTTATCGCTTACCGTTCCGTGAATGGTGAGGGTGTTCTTCATGTGAATAGCGACGAAGTCATCGTAACGAGTCTTCGCTCCAGGGTATTGGGCTGCTGGTAGCTTGGATGGCTTCTGAATGATGCCTAATAGTAGGTCAGACTGTTTATCTGGGGACGCGCCTTGAAGATTTACGTACAAAGGACGGCAGCGATGTATGCCTTCTTCTCAGCAGCGGTAATATCACCCCTAAACCGTTCTGTCAGTGATAGTTTGACACTCATACATGGGGTTCACCAACCATTCCTTCCGCACCTGGAGCTTGTCCTTGGTGCAAGTCGTCGACTTTGCTATCACAGCATCAACGGCAGCGCGTCCCTTGGTCTGCAGATCGGAAACGGCGTCGGCTGCGCAAAGCACAGAGAGAAACGAGGCAGCCACCAAAAGGGCGTAAAGCCCTCGGAGAGAGATACCCCTCGCCATCACGAAACGAATGATGGTCTCCAAGTTCACCTCGCTGAACCAGACACCACAATGTTGGAGAAGTCACCCTCAGACTTATACCATACTAGCCCTGAGTAAGCCTTCCCTACCTGAGCGGCAGGCGGTCGGAAGCCATAGCCGCTCAGAACCGGCACTGTGCGTAGCAGTGAAGGGCGTTTAGATGAGACTGTAATCAAAAGGGTGGTAGACGCCACAAACGAGCACCAGCCAGTGCTATGTGAAGCGTCCGGCAGATGGCGCGCAATTTACGCAGATCTGGTAGCTGCGGGGGAGAAGCATTGGAGAAAGTGAGCGCAGGGCCGGCACCTGGCCGTCAATAATATCCTCGGTACTGAGCTGCCACGTTTGGGTTGGAGAAACAGGTAAACTGCGAGAGGCGCGGTTGGGCGTGCATCTCAACGGGTACGGTAGGGCATCGTGAGATGGACCAGGACTGTCACTCTGACCAGCTGCATCGGGAGAGAGACACCTTCAGCGGCCACCTTCCCCTAAGCATCAAATTGCCAAGTCGGCTTCCTCCAGTCTTGTCCATGGAAGCAGAGATTTCCTTGACCCCAAAATTAAGCTTAATTTTGGCGGTTGCGATGAATGGCTATTGTCGAGCACCAAGCTCAGCGTCACGGACCTCGTGGCGCTGAACCTTGCCGTAGGCGCTATGAAGCCGATCACGAATCGTAGCCCATCAACACGGATGCGTTTGGGCCGTTACTGTAACATCTGTGATGTGCAAGCTTCATGATACCAAATGTGTGACGCCTTCACAGACTAGTCCCATGCGTTGCGAGCAGGGGGGGTTCGACGGGGAATATGGCTCGTCGGTGAAGGCGAACAAGCAAGAATCGCCAGACTCGAGGTATAAAACACGGAAAGTCGGGTGGTCGGTATACCACGTTTTGATGCTGATGGCAACGAATCAGAGAAGCCGCAATATGCGCAGAGGTAATGTAGAACTCACGCGCTGCATTCTGCCGGCAGCTGCGCTCATCTATGCGCCTTGGCAACCGACGTAAAAAGCCAAGGACAACTTTGCGAACACGAGCGAAGCTTTGTCTGACGTTGAGTGTGTATAGATTTCGCATCTGACAAGTGGCAAAGCCATTAGAGCCCGCGCGGATGGTGTAAGCAACCAAATTGCGAGTCGGGCATCCGGCCTGGTGCCTTTTACCGCAGCTCGCCCTCTGACCGAATGCCGATCCCACAACATGGGAACTACAATCTATCCCCGCGTTCCACCCAAGATTGCCGATGCAAGATGTTTGCGGGGAGAGATTGCCTGGCAGCGAGAAGAACTGGTAGGAGGGTTCCAACGCGAAATCAAATGTTGCGCAGCCAAGCTCGACCAAGAGATCTCAACAGCCCCAATACGCGCCGCATGCTCGGGAACTGGGTGCCGGTCTCAGATGCAATTCTCGGTATGCACGGCTGACTGGTGGCGTTCTACTGCTGGTGAGACGTGTAGTCGAGGCTGTCGCTGATCGTTAATCGAGATCTACAATCTGGTCCCTGAGGCTAATAGACGAGTTTCGCAATCACGTGGAGCGTATGCTGCCCATCTCATTTCGAAACTGTATTTCGCAGCGGTGTGTGCCTGGAATAGTCTCGTGCAGCGTGCAATCTTACGCTACTCAGAGACAAGAGCCATCTTGGCTCGCCTCGAGGATGTCGGAATTATCGTTCCATAGCCCTCACAAACCCAGGTCTGTCCAGTAATCTGTGGTAATGAAGCATCCTAGTCGTCCAGAGCGCGTCTACCTGGTCTCGAAGCTGACGCTCGTGGCAATAATCTGGAAGCTTGTGAGGGCGTCGTTATCCTTTACACGTGCACCCGCCCGGTTGCAAAACGATGGGGAGCCTTTAAGCCGATGCTAGATTCCAGAGAGTAGCTCAGGGGGTACAGGCCCGGGGATCGAATCTCTCAAAGTCTGCGTCGAACGTTTCCATCCGTCATCGTGGGCTATAGCCATCACCTGGCAGCTCCACCGGACGCTCGTGTTGTGGTAGCTCTGCGTACTGCGTTGTCGGCAGTTCACTAACCGCGCCATCGTGATGGGTGTCGAGCGTGCCAGTATCCCTTCCATACACCACTTTATCAGGCGCTTCCGCGGGCATTTTTGAGGCTGGCACCGAGCTTTGCCTTCGTCTTCGTCTGCGCCATAGAAACAGACCGAGTACCACGAGCGCAATCACAGCGGCTCCGCCAATAGACGCACCGATCGCAGCTTGTGCCCCCGTGGACAATCCGCCCGAGCCCGAGCCAGAATCTGAGGACGAAGACGAGGCTTCGGAGGGGTCCGCCGTGATGGTCGCAGGCGAGTTCACAGTTGCCGTTGGTAGCTAGGCCGTGTTAGCTCTGCAATCTCAGAAGGCAAATGGCTTTGAGAACCCTACGTTTACGGTGGAGAACCTTTCGTTGTTTATCGTTGCAATAGTATCGAACAGCCATCTCTGCCCGTCTTGCGGCTGGGTAATATTCGAGTCCATGGCCAATAACGCATTAGGCTTCCTCTCCAAATGCCACGCCGTCCCGTTCTCCTTGTTGGTCAAGAAGAATGTCCCGTCTCCCCAGGGCGACACTCTCCAATAGACGGAGTCGTCAGACACATTTCCTCTTATCATTTGAGGTTGCGTTTGGCCGGGGGTGCTCTCATCCTCTTCGAACTTCGTCGATAAGAAGGCATCCGGCCCTCCCTTCGAGGTCCTGAGGACGTAAAAGGTTGAGTTGACAGCGTAGAACTGCCATCTTTGATTCGGTTGGGTCAGATTGGCAGCTTGGAAAAAAGCCGATCCTCTGGTGCCGTTCGATTGCGCTGAAAGGCTTGCTCCAACGAGTGCTTGATTCTTGTTCTCGTTCACGTAGAGATGGTACCACTGGTTGGAGTCAAAGTTCGCCATTCCGTCGGTATTGATGATGCGATGTGCCAGGAACCGACCGCAAAAGATATCGGAAAGGAAAGGTCAAGACCGCAGCAGTGGCGCGGCTCAGGCCGTCCATTGCTTTTGTAGTGAACGTAGACATTCAGGCCCACCTCTAGCGCGTTTCATCATGGGTCAAGGGAGGCGGATGGCGATAGGCGCCCAGCCTAGGAGAAAAGTGGTATGGTCGACTTCAGCCTTGTGCAACAGAGGAATCGACATGATTGGTTGAAAGGACATATGACACATTCGCCTGCGTCTCATACTCGAAATGTCGCTGAGATGCGCGAACACAGATGCACGTCTCGTACCTGGGTAAGAGTGTGCGCTCCCCGGGAGCGTTGTCGAGTTCGCTGCTCGCATATCTGGAACCTAGAATAGCTCAAGTGTCGCCAGGCTTCCGTGACACTGAACATAAACCCGGGGTGCCTTGCATAACACATCCTGGAAAAGAGGCCGTGTTCGGCTTTGCAGTGCCGAAGTCGAACGTGAATTGTGGAAATACGAGTAGGAATCCTCCATTTCGCAGACTGAATTCGAATATTGTGCTACCGCAACTCATCTGGCCGCCATGACGTTCTTCTCTATGCCCGCCACAGCCTCTCGAATTGTAGGACAATAATGCCTCCGCAGAATCTCGCCTTCCCATACCGTCCCCGCCAATGGATTGCTACCCTCGATTTCTGGTTTTAGCGCGTCGAAAATTCCGTCGCCTCTTCGCTCTTCGGTATTCCAAAGGGCAGAAACTTTGCGGCCATGAGTATTCGTCACCCTGTTAAGCAGGCCGAGCATTGCAATGCAAGACTTCTCTGGTAGCTGCAGCGAGATTATCATTAGTTGTTTGCAGAATGCGGCGATCCTGAGTGGAGGTACGGCACGAAGTGCTGTGGGAGGTAGAAGGATGGAAGACAGGGACCGGATGAGCAATACGATGGTTGTCTGCACATTGATCTTGTTGGTCGCTTCCGGCTGTGTTTGCGCTTGAGATGCATGAGGATCGGGAAGGTGCAAAGATTTAGCGCTGCGCTCGATGTCCGGGTTGAGCGAAACAGCGTGAAGTGTCCGGTAAAGATGCGTGATGAAGAAACTCAGGTCCAGCTTGAGCGTCGACGCCGCGGTAGCGCCGTCCTGGCCTTGAAGCAGGGCAAACGCAGTGATAACACAAAGTAATGACTCCCGGGTGAGGTTTCTCTCCGGCAACTCGTTGTCTTCATATCTGTCCGATTCGGCGTCTCCATCGGCTTCGGCATCTCCCGACGTTTCAGCCGTGCTGATGATATCTCTGAGTGCTTCCAGGATATCACCAAAGAAGTCCTGATTGATGAGATGGGCATATTTGGCCAATCCTTCCAGGACAGCTCCCATGAGCTTCGGCGAGCGCGCTTTCAGGATCCGAAAGTAGGCAACGAAGACCATCTTGAGCGTTTCTGCTTGCATTCTGTCACGCTCTTCATGGCTGACAGCCGCATCTGCCTCCTTCATTTCCTTCTCGATTTCCTTGCTCTGCTTTAGTAATTTGCGCTGTCTCTTCGTCCGGAATTCGCGCTTTTGCTTGATCTTCTTGCCCTGGTGCTCGTCCGACTTGTCCACGGAGTTGTATGAAGCCCTGGATGAGAACCCGGCAAGTAGCCTAAGATGGAGGAATATATTCAGGACGCTTTCATCAAGGTTGTAGTTCTTGGCCTTCATCATCTTCGTCAACATGGTGACTGTTTCAAGCGAAGCATTGCCGTCTTCGTCGTCGTGAAATAGCTTTTCCATCGTCTCTCTGCACTTCACAAAATCCACATCCACGCGCGTCGTACTCAGCTTGCCGACCAAGATTTTTAGCAATTCGCTGCGAAAGTTGAAGTGCGGTACCGCAAGCAGCATATTGCATGCACAGGCAATTGCGACCGACGCCAGACTGGCTGACTGCTCGGGTGCTCCAGACCCACTCAACTTTGCCAATGTGCCCAGCTCTTGTACGTATTTCTGATAGCCTGACACAAGCTTCTGCTCAAAATCGCGCAGTTTCCGTACCTCCTTCGACACCTTCTCACCCATGGCCTCTTCGGAGAGTGGCCGTATGCGATAGCCGGGTATCAGATCTTTGAAGACGGCCGCCTGCGTTGCTATGGCTAGTTTCCGGACCGTGGTGTTCTCCGAAGCGGCGAGGCCTGCCAGCGTCTTCAACGCCCCGATATGCTCTTCCGGGTCCTCATTGACTAGGCTCGCTATCCGTGCAAGCTCTTCTTTTGCCTCAAGTATCTGTTGCCGTGGTGGGACCTTCGGCTTCTCCTCCACGGCTTCTTCCTGGTCTTCTATTTCCCCCTCACTCTCCGTCCCCAGAAAGCTGTCCGATCCATCCTCCTCCCTCTCCTCTGGCACTGTCGGCGGTGCCACCCATCCCTCTGATGTCCGAACTAGTAATTTGCTATTCTCTTTCCGCTTTTTTATCTTCCTAGGTCGCTGTTCGTAGTCCTGCTCGAGATCCCACTTTGCAGCATTGGCAAGAAAACTCGACTTGTATTTATGGGATGGAGGCGGCGGCGACGAGTCCGAGGGGGCGGATTCCGGAGGAGAGAGACGTCGCTTCTTCGCGGCCGGTACGCGCGACATTGTGCTTGAATAAGTTGTGCTTGAATGAGGCGTGTTTGCGGTGGTGCGGAGGAGCTGGGATAGCTTTTCCCACCCGAACAATTTTTGTCTTGGCGTCGGGGAAAGAGGTCAATTTTACCCGACCTCCCATAATTTTTCCTGCCGCAGCTGGCATCAAACGAAACCACAAACTTCCTATCAGAAGCGCAACATCTCAAGAGCTACATTCACTATGCGGCAGCTTACGGAACAGGTACGTAGATTGGCCGTCGCATATCGGAGCATGTCTTTAGAATACTGGCTCCTGCCATCAAGCATATGGCTCTGATCTCAATGCCAGCCCGCGTGGCGCTCTCGGTACCTCTAATGGGCTATACGACTGAGATAGGCTCTATGCTATCGGCTTCCTCTTTCGTTGTATATGTCTCTGTACCGTGTGCCTGTGCTAATGATGACCCCAGGAAACGAAAACTCTATGTAAGAACACGGCTACCCTAAGCCCGCCTCCTCATGAATGAACATGACATGCTGATACAGAGCACAGTCGAAAAGCTGGCAACATACTGCGGCAAAGGCATCCAAGGCCTGATTACCGCTGGCGGATCCGAGCGTCACGTGTTTCGTGTCCAGGTAAATAGAACACCTCTGCTTTCCGCGACCCAAGTCTAACACGCATGTAGGGCAGCCGAGTCTACTATGTCAGAGAATCATTGGCCAACCTCGCCACATCAGTCAAACGAGATGCCTTGCGTAAGTGAAGCGTGGGCGGATATGCCAGACCTATCTCCTTTCCCGCGAAGTCCGGAGTCTGCTACTGGGAGGGCTCTCAGACGCACTCCCAGCGGCGATGGCTCGCTGATGAAGCCTCAGATGAGACAGCTTGGGTGCTACTCCCTGTTGGCTCTGTTTAGTCTTATAACCCTAGAACGCTGCTAACCTGTTCCCTTACTTTCAGTCTCCCTGGGCACCTGCTTAGGGAAGTTCACGAAGACCGGGAAGTTTCGCGTTCACATAACCGCCTTGCCCATAATCGCACCACATGCGCGGTACAAAGTTTGGGTGAAAAGCAATGGGTAAGTCGTCGGCTGACGATTTCCTTTCCCCAGCTCAAAATGGTTGCTCTTGGAATCTGGAATCACATCTGGATACCTTCATGATGCATCAAGCGTTGTGGTGGGACATCGGGGTATCGAATTCCAACTCTGAAAGACTGTGCTGACACTGGACCTCTCAGAGAGATGCCATTTCTGTACGGGGGCAATGTGCTTAAGGCGCATGTGGGTACGTACTTGAGTCATTTATCCACCCCTAACGTATGCTAATCCTACCTTTGCAGGCCGCTGGAGTGAGGATTGCCCCGAGCATCAAGGCGTGGTCGTCTTGAGTATGAACGACACGCCACTAGTGAGTAGTCATCGATTTTTGGATATAGCAATAGATGTGCTGACGTGCCGGCTCAGGGCTTCGGTGTCAGCGCACGATCAACAGCTGAGGCGAGGAAGCTGGATCCGACGGGCATCGTCACGTTCAGACAAGCAGATATCGGGGAGTATCTGAGAGAAGAAGATACGCTGTTCACTACATAAGGACTACAACTGCGCTACCGGACGAGGGATGTGGACTAGGTTTCCACGTTCGAAATATAAATCCTTCAAGCAGCTTTATTCCGCGCGGTAAGGCTTGTTTGCGACCAGGGACCATGATGGCGCCCCGGACGTGGGTAAAGCCTCTAAGCATTACGGCGTTGAGAGAAGGATGACCATGACTGGGAGGTGTTCTCAAGCGGCTACCCAGAGATATGAACGGTAGATATAAAGAATTCCGATCTCATGATCAAAGTTTCGATATATCTGACCATCTCACATCCAAGCTCCCACTGCAAATCCAACTCCCGCACCGACAATCACAACTGTTCCATAACATCATCCTTTCAGCCCACTCCTCGACCCCTCAAAACCCCTCATACAAAACACCGTCCCGGCCGCATGCGCCATCAGCTCTTTGATCGATTTTTTTACCGCGTCAATGGCCTCGTCTTCCGCTGCGGACATACGTTCATTCGACACATCAGGTAAATGAGGTATTCGCGAAAACATTAGGAATACGATCTAAGCGGCGTTGATGGCGCAGGCGGCAGCGCCAATCAGAGCAGATTGATATATGAGTGCTACAACGTTGTCAATCTCCGTCTCATCACTTTGAAAAGGCTTCCAAGCCGGGAGAAACCTTGGGCCGCAGACCTCACTCATCCCGAAGGCCTTCGCAGGGTAGAACATTGCCGGAGAACGGCTTAGATATTGCTGACATTTCCTGTTTCCGCATCCGTCAGAGTCCGAAACATCACATCAGTTACGTTGCACCCTAGGCCTTGATGCGTGTCTGGAAACTAAATGGCATTCTATGATCCCTCATCCCCTGATGCCTCGTCATCTGTCTCCTCGGCTTCGAAGCCTTCCTCTTCCTCATATATACCCGTCATCGTTATATCCATCATCGCCATATTCCTCCTCCTCAGGCCTCTCCTCCTCCGCTTCCTCGTCATCGTCGTCCGGTACAAATGCCCCGCCCAGCTCATCTAACGTACGAACCGAAGGTAAAATTTGCGAAACTTTTATCGGTCTATACCAAGAATCCTTGGGAAAAACAAAATCATCGAGATTCACTTCGCCTACCAGGCCCGTTACTGAAGGGTCGAATGCGTGTTGCGTGATGCCAAGCAGCCTGCGGCCATGGTTGTGCTCTTCTTTGTCCATCTCTGCCTGCTCTTGCAGTTCACGTAACATCCTCTCACTCCAGAACCCCATAACGAAATCGACGATGTCTTGGCCTTGCGTGTCGTATGCTGTATCGAACTTGTTCACTAGAGCCTCCAGTCGTTTGAGAAGATATTCATCCTCCTCACGGATTTCTTTGAGACAAACCGAGTCATGACACGGACCTAGACATATCCGGGTGAGGAGCCCAGTTGAATCGTGCTTCCAAAGGAATAATAAACCACTACGATCTCGAGCAATGGGGGCTATATGGCAGCATGTGTGCCTTAGGCCCAGTTGCAAGAATGTCAAGGACCGAAGCAGAGCAGTGACGAGATGACGGTGGCTTCGTGCAGCGGGTGCGATCCATGAGGTTAGAAGGAAAATCAATAGCCGCTTCTCGACCCGAGTGTCCTCGCTTTCCGTGGCGCCCCTGAAGAATGAGGATAGGGGTGAACAGCCTCCATCACTGCAGGCGCAGCTACATTCATCCACATAGGTAGATCCGAGTAGTGCTAGAACCAGGGATTTCCAGTCCTTGGCCGAAGTAGACAGAGGGGAACTCATCCACCTGCCAGCCTGATACCCCAACAGCTTCCAAGCGGCCATATCCAAATATGGCCATGTTTCTGTCAATCTTGCTCCTTTCGATATGAGCCACTTGCAGACGCTAAGAGTATCGCGGATGCGGTCGCGGTTGTATACGCTTGCAGCATTCCAAATCAGCGGTGAGACAAGATTACTAGCCCGGCCAAAATCCGATGCTTTGACGTCGCGAAACCCAACACTATAGAGTTCCTCTGCCATCGTTATGTTGAGTGGTAATCGGCTGTGATAGACGCTAGCCTGGACAGGGCGTAAAGAAGCAGGAACTTCCACCCCTCGTCGCGCTAGCGCATCGAAAACCCTCCGAGCACCAGCATCGAGCAGTCTGTCGTCTCTTTGAACGAATTTATTGTTTCCCAAGTGGGTTTTGCCCAAGATTTTAAGCCGCTCACGTTGTTTCACCAACTCTTTCACGAGGGCAGCTCGAATGCCGTTTCTGGATTCGCGCTTGGAGCACAGGACAAGTGCCGTTTCAATGTGGCCGATACAGCGTAGCTGCTCGCCGTTTGCAGTTCGTCTCTGTCGCAACCAGAACTGTACGGTACTCAATTCGTTGCACTTAATAGCTTGCGTCATCATGCTGGAGCGAAGGGGTCCTGGGGCGGTTAGGGCGCTATGCTGTATGAGAATTTCGCAACCTTCTGTCCATCCGCCGACCGTCGACATTCTCAGGGATTGAGAAAGCCAGACGCGGTTAGAATCGATAGAATGGATATTCGGATGACGACGGATCGCATCTTGTAATCCTCTTCGTGATTTGGTCAACACTGAAAGCAAAATCTCAGTGCTAGCGTCCATCTCCTCTAAAATTCCCTTTTGATTCAAGCTCGTTACCACAGTTTTGTAGTCTGAAACCTTGGCGTCGCGGCTTTGGCCAAGGTCAAAATGGCCGATACCTGAATTCCAGCCTTCCCAAAGCGCAGCGAAGTGATCAAGGGCAGACCTTACAACCATTAGCCGAACGCTCGAAAGCTGAGGTGAAGCTACGCACCGGCCACTGTCATCTGCCTCGAGAATTGTATTTCCCATTGCATTGACGAGAAAGAATATCAAAGCTGCAAACGGGGACTCATCTGAGGCTACACCAACATTCCAATCAACAAGATATTTGGAGATTACTGAGCATAGCGCCTAGGTATATTAGCAGATTCCAATCTTGCTGGGGTTTATAGCATGCCCTACATGTAGCAAAGTTTTCCCATCAGCGAGCCGATCATGAGGTGTTGCTTCCCTATTACCGAAGAGCTCCCGTAGCCTCCTTATGTATTGCTGGGCTGCGCCTAGTTCTCCGATGTGATTCTGGAACTCGTCCATCAGTGTAAAAGCCGCCGATGATTCGGGCACGATCCGATAGGTCTGCAACGAGTGGTTGACGACGAAAGGTCCAGCTCCGCGTTGCACTTGAAGCGCCAGCTGCACTTTTCTTTTGAAAAGGAAGGTGCAAAATGAGAGGCGTAGTTGCAAGCTAGTTCGAGCTTCTGAATACGCTGAGTATGGACAATCCTCTTCATGCGCCAAAAACGTCTCTTGCAAAATAGAAAAGGGTGCTGAGGCCCAACTCGACCAACTATACAAAGTCCTTGCTCTGGTTGTTCCTCGGCATTGACAGAGTATAGAAGTGTTGACCGCGTGCCCTATCGAGGTCGAATCCGTTTTCCGTAGACGATTATGCAGGTGACGCAGTTGACGTGCGTCTTTATGAATCTTAGAAGGCGAGTAGGCGTCAGGGAAAACATTCGTAACTCTTGATTCCTGTCCGATGTCAGCTACGAAGGTCAACGTCTGAACAAGCACATCACACCAGACGCATAACAGAGCTAGTGAGTGAAATCACTTGCTCCGTCAGAACCCGGACTTCGTCTTGGACAGGGTGCACCGCATTTCCAACATGCTTGACGTCCGATCGTAAGCTTGTAAGCTCACGCTGTATTGTTTGCGTATCGGATATCGTCAACTGAGCGAAGTTGGCAAGCTCGCCACTCAAACAATTGTGACTGGCCTGTTGTTGGGCTCTGAAACACGGTCAGATATTGTACAGTGCGACAGGGTAGGTGAAGTAGTCAAGAACTTACAGCTGAAGCGCTTGTAAAGCCACAATCAAATTTTGCTGGACGCTTTCAACCATGTCTTTCAGGGCGAATAGCTCAGCTCTTCGGAATGGATACCCTAGACGCGTCTTCCACTCTCCCAGGAGGCGAGAGAAGTGCCCCTTGCCACTGGGCTGGTTTGATTGAGGCAGCTTCTCCTGTATTCTCCCGAGCGCCGTCGCGCAGGCACTGATCCCCGCATCGGCTTCCTGTGCTACACCCTCAGCTAAGGGCTTCACTGCGTTAACGCTAGATTGAAGTCGTTCGAGGCAGTCGGCCAGATTGTCCATCCGGCTCGATATCTGAGACATTTCGCTCTTCCCATCCTTCACATGGCCAATGAAGGTGACGAGGTCTTCGCAGACCTTGATGCCGAGTGAGACGACGCCGACAGCGCTCCCCGCGATGGAGAACGGGTCGGCCATTGCGTAGGGGGCATGTTGAGACGTTCAGCCCTGTGGAATCTACATGTAGAAGAAAGCCGAGTATTTAAGCTGGATCTTTCAGCCGCCCAGAATAAGGCAAGGCTGACAAGTGAGCGATTTGACTGCGGCTTCGATTGGCCGCTTACCCCGCTTTCGTCGCACAAGACTTTCTGTTCTGCCTTGCCATGTCAGGCTGCGGTCACCGGCCGGAAGAAAACCTTGGAGACTTTAACAGCCAATTATGATCACACCTCTAAACGCTACACATTAGGAGCGACTCCGGTGAGAGCTCAGATGACGTTGCGAAAGGCAGCCTTTAAAATAACGTACTTCACAAACGAACCCCCCACACAAACGAACCCTCAAAAATGCCAAGCAAGGAAAATCAACCAGTGTTTCTTAAATAACTAACGTTACATAAATAAGTTATAACTAGATAGTAATAAATAAAAGGCTCGCAGGAGATTAGAAGAAAAACATAGTTATGTAATTTAATTATGGCTAGTACCCTTTAAGCTTAGCGGGCCTAAAATTGGAATTTCTTCTTCGCCCGGGCGTCGCTCTTGCGACTTCGTCTTTATTTCCAACACTATGACTTTCCCGACTCTGCTCAAAGACACAAAAGGAAACCGGGTTGAAGGACGAGTCGAGCATATTGCCATCAACTGGAAGGGCACATTCCTCGCTGGCGGAGTTTCCAGCATTGTAGAGCGCCTGCCGTCCGGCGCCGTCGTCAAATCCCCCTGGCCGGGCCTCCGAGAGGCTCAGTGTCGTCGAGATCTTACCATCGAAGCCGCCGTCTACAACAAGCTCCCTCCTCACCCGCGTCTCGTGAAATTAATCAACTGGGATCCCGACAGCTGCGTTCTAACGCTAGAGTATATGCCTAATGGCAATCTTAGCGCATATCTGAGCGCACACAATTATACGCTATCTCTCCCGCAGCGGCTACGTTGGATACAAGAGGCGGCGGAAGGGCTACAATTGCTTCATTTAGCTGAGGTTATGCACTGCGATGTAGAGCCGAAAAACTTCTTGCTGGATGCATCCCTTGGCCTTCGAATTACGGACTTTGGTGGCTCTTCTTTGGGAGGCTCGCGAGCAACGGCTTGCCCTGGGACACGCTTTGAACCTCCCAATTTCGACTGGAATTCTCCACAAACCATGAAAGACGACTTATTCAGCCTTGGAAGTACAATGTACTATATCCTCACTGGAGCACCACCTTATCAAGAAGTGTCAAGCGAAGAAGTGCGGAGACGGTATCAGGCGCACGAATTTCCGGACGTCTCGAAGTTATCCTGCGGCGAGATGATCGAGCGGTGTTGGCGCGGTGAGATTCGTTCTGCTCAAGAAATAGTCGACTACATGAGCAAAATAATCCAACATTCGTGAGAGTAACGTAGTGACACTTGCGACACGATTGTCAAGATCAGGAAGAGACTCTTCCGCATCGGTTATTGATCTGATATTGGACGTTTAAAGGCCAGCAACTGAGTGTTTTTAGAGTTTGAGAACAGGGCAGTAATGAGTGCACAAAATTGCATTTGCGCCTTCTGCAACTTGACATGGTTTTCTTTACTAAGTATTCCTACCATCAATCCGGTGTTGAAAGTCTGAAAAACGAGCGCGAGCACGAGCACATCGCCCTCTAGTCATTTCCAGCTATGTATTCTAGCGCTGAGAATATCCCTCATCTTTATGGTTGGGACACTCGGCACGGCTTCGCGTGTTACCAAGATGGACATCCTTAGGGTCGGTGCATTGAGTCCCGGTGTTTCTGGCATTCTCACACGGGTTGATAGACGTTGACGTTATGTTGCACTCCTTGCTACAACCGCGGTAGCTCGTGGTAGCGATGAGTCGTTCACACATTCTGATATTGATCTTAGCAGTCTTGATCCCAAAGACCCTGCCAGTTGTCATAGTTACCTTGACTGGTAAGCTGAGACCGGCTCATTGAAGGGATCGGTCGCGAGGGAGTTGGAAGATGAGATGTGAACATTTTGGGGCTATAGAGTTGAGATTATTTTAAAGCTCGCCCTCATGCCCCAATTGGTTGATCCCATGCTTCAGCACGGCGGCGCAGTGCGGGGTTGAGGATATTACGGCACCTGCCGCTCTATTTCATCGTCATACTCGCCTGGATTGTAGGTGGCTGGGCCTATTCATCCAGCAGGACTTCGGCGTTCTGGAACAATCTTATCGTTGCTCTTTCATCCTCCGCATGCGACATAATGCTGGCGTAAAGTTTGTTCAAGCAGCGCCAAGCTGGAAGATATGGATTGGCAATTAGGAACCCATGTTAGAAAGGGTGAGCGCTCGTATAGGCGTGTCAAACACCGCGTTGATGACCGTCGCCGGCGCGTGAAAGAAGCTCAAAGCTCTGACGCGACCCACATTCTTGAGCCCATCCTTAGCTCAAGATAGAGACAGCAAAGAGCGATAGATATGGAGGTGGTGGTAGTTGTTCAGAGCCTTGAAAGTTTGCCGTCTCACTATGAGGGGCCTGAGGTCACATATGAATAGTGACGGTTCGATTGCGTCCAGCGGGGAGCTGTAGAAAGCAACGCCAAGCCTGTTATGTCAGCAGTTCGGACAAGCCCCAACCTTTGCACCAATTCACACTTCTATCTTCGCTTCTTATTCCACCTGCCTCAACACTCAGCTCCCCTCTCTTAGTATGTCCGAGGTTGAGGGCCCTAAACCAGGCTCTGCAGAAACGCAACCGGATGATCCGTCGTTGATCTCCGCCACCAAAGCCCAGGCGAAACGCGTAATTCTTCGACTACGAGTGAATGAATTCTCTGATGGCGACCCCTCAGAGTACGACGACGCCATCAAGACGTACCTCGCTTTCGCTGGCCGTCCAATTACAGAATGGGAAGAGGATAGGCACTACGCACACATCGAGCCTTTTCAAGATCCCGAGCTGCGGCAGACTAGATTCCACATCACACTTGATATGGAGCAAGGTTCAATAGAAAACCCGGATTTTGGAAAGCTACCACATGAGGTCTATCGCATTCGCCGCGATGGGCACGGAGAACTGTAGGCGCATTGTAACTCTATTGCCTAGAACGCTATCTAACACCGTAGAAAGCCAAGTCGCCCTAATTCAGAGTCCCCTTGAGAGGGAAAACCTCATAAAGAAAATTCGACAGTACAGCGATATTCTCTATCCTTGGGGTAGAACTAGGCGGGCGGGGAAGTCGTAGGCATTGATCTTGGCATATGGATAGGGGAACAGTTCGCCACAGTCAATATGATTGTAATGCTAGCTCGTCATTAGCTGCAAATCTCGTATTGAATTTCGCCGGACTTACAACTACTGAGAATGTTCAGAGCTTGGAGGTGATACTCCTTGACAGGCTGGGCACAATCCAGGTAGATTTTGATCTCTTGCATCAAGCGCTCGAGGAAGATCTCGAGTTCGTCCGGTCGCAGGAACACAAAGAGAATTGCCAGGGCGGCTTCGACCAGTGGCGCATCGAGAGTAGTCGAAGGCGTACAAGTGCCCGCACTGCTGGTAATGATGACAGTTTTGTTCGCACATATTCCACGTCAATAGTGATATTGCAATGTTGAACGGAGAGCGATTGGGAGTGAAAGCAGAGGCAAGAAATGTGCTTTAATCTAGAGAGACCCTTCGACGACAATGCAGCGCGGTGGATCCATTTACAGACTAGGTATGCATGCGACTAGAGAGCGACAGAAGACAATGCAAGGCAGGGATCGTTGCAGCTCCACAGGAGCAGGCAACAAACGACCGACCGATCACGTCCGAAACGGAACCTGCCTTTACAGAATCGACTCTCACTGCAACGGAGAATGCCTCAATCTAAGCAGCAACTAGCAAGAGTACTTCGCTGCACGCTCTTTCGCTAGCGTGGTCAGAAGGCGTACAGGAACACAAGGTCAACGTCTCTAATAGTATTAACAGTGCCAGCGAGTTGTTAGAGCTAGATTGCTTAAGCGATTTGAAGCTTGAGAAAGGGCTCGCATGCTGCGGCCGTTTGGGATAGGCAGTGCCTCTTTGTGATACCCTCCCGGAGAGTATCAGTTGATTGCGTTGTAGGCGGTGCTAAGACCGGTTTGGCCATGTAACCTCTTGTAGTGTCCTGCAGATTGTGGCTAACAAATAGGAACTCGCCACGATTATAGCAACGAAGCTTTAATCACGAGACATTGCTTGATATTACTACCAGCGAACGAAAGAGAGGGCAATAGGTCTCGGGTCATGTGCTATTTTGGACGCCTTACCTGTTTGCACTGCCCTCACGAGCATGTCATTTTCACGTGCAAGGTCCCATGCTAATGGTGTACCTGAAATTCTGCGGATCACCGGCTTTTCACCGTTAGCTTCAAGGCAGCGGGAGCCTGATAGGTCACCGTGATTATGATGGTGATATGCATACACCTTTAGCCCAAACGACAGTAAAAAGTTAAACAGTTATAAGTAAGATAGGTTTTTAGTAAGTAGCTTATACGTGTTTAGTAGCTTAGCGTGCGTCTAGAATGTTACTTTTAGAGAGGAAGTTACCGTGGAAAGAAAAAGCACTGCTAGCATTCGAGGTGATTCGGCTCGGAAAATCTAAATGCCGATCGGACTTGGCGCGCTGCTCCAGCTTCAACCGCGGCGGCTTTCCTATCCCTCAACAAGACACACCAACTCGCACCACTTCCTCACGTCGTCCTCTCACCCCTTCGACGACTCATATCTAGGCTCGCAATTTCGACAAACGACTGGGCAAGATGCCGCAAACAGGTACGTGGCTCTTTCCCGCAACGCTGGCGGATGCGCCTCTCGAACTCTCTCCCGGATCTCTTCGATATACGGCACGACCTTTGGATCTCTGGACGGCAATTTCAGACTGGGAGATACGCGGCCGGAAACACCGCTTGGAAAGCAATGAGCCCGTTAAATAGCCACAGGCCTCCCACAGTGGCCATCGACGACTTCGCTCGTCATACAGAGCATCGAACGTCGCCATGTTCCGCCGGGCGGATGGGTCCATATCGCCTATTAAGGAAAAGAATCTGTTCCTAGAGGAGTTTACGCAATTACGCCCTCCCGCCGAAGCGCCGCCGGCTGCATCTGTGGACCTTTCCCTACCTCCTTGCGGCGACTGCAATCCTTGCGAATGTTGAAGAACATGGCCCCGAATCCTGCCTCGTGGCTCGTCTTTCCCCTCGCTACTAGTATGGCTGCCCATGCGCGAAGTTCTGCGGACCCGCTCAAGCGCATTGAATTGAATTTGCCAAATCTCGGAGAGGATGAATTCCAGACATATCCTCCCCTCGATCGAGTCGTCGCCGTCAGTCTCAACTTCAGAGCCTACTATCCACCGAACATCATTTAGAGCCCTGCTATTCAGATCCAGCGCATTAAACCGAGCCTGGAAGAGATCGGAGCCGATAAGGCTGAGTTTTACACTCTTCCCGATCCAGCCACCACCCCTAGCCATCCGGCCTGCCGTATCCCAGACAGCACCTAGAGATTCGAGGATTGGATCGAGCGTATTGATTTTTAGCCCCCAGCGTTGTTCTGCACTGTTGTATCGAGGTTATTGGGCTAACAGACCCTATAGCAGCCCGGGCTTTCTCTCAGAAAGACCTACCGCCTTCCGTCGAGACCGCATACTACAGGAAATGCATCGAGCTCAAACGCCGCATAAATGACATCGAGGAAAACAATGACGGTACACGCCTACGAATCAAGCGCCTGAACCGCGGTGTCCAGAAGATGCGCCTTGAGCGAGCCTTCCTTCTCGAACAACTACACAAGCACATGGAATACAACGTCGACGATTCAGACCGGAGCAGCAGTCCACCGCCAACGCCCACGGACAAGCCGCTAAGGAGCAAGCGGAGCCACCGTAAGGGGACGCCGCCCGCCGGAGGACAAGTAGGCAGCGGCAGCGGAATGTCAGGCGCGCAGCATGCGAGCCCCGGAAGCACACATCATCAGCAGATTCTGCACCCCATGAATCCTATGTCTTCCGCCCAGAGCACCCCAGATCCGAGCCGCTCGAACCCTTTCTTCAGCACAATCGGAGGCAGCGCCACCTCTCCACACGCGGTCAACGGCGCGAGCCAGCCCGTCCTTCCACCTCTCCACTCCCTCCCGCCCCTTCAACCACAACGTGCGCCTGAGCCCTCACGTGGCGCTTACTTCGACCCGGCATACGACGAGCGGCGCGCACCCGCAGCGGAGAGCGAGTTAGAATATGCGGGTAGAGCGCGGTCTCATTCGGGTGCTAATCCACCGCCTGAGGTCCGCGAGGCGCAGAATGGCGATACCGAGATGACAGACGCTTCGGGTGCTGGTTTCACCGCGGTGAATAGGTAGTATGCATTACACCGCATGTTGGAACATGGCAGAAGAGCGTGGCGTTAGGAGTCGGTATTGGACACGGCCCACAGGAACTGGGGTGGGCTGGCATGCTACACTTGGGAACAGATTTATTGCTTGCATTACTATGGGGCGTCACTTCTGAGAGGGATGGTGACCGAAACTCTCCAGGCAATTGTTTTACCGATGGTGTCTTTCGGTTTTAGACACAAGTCAACGGGAATTGTGGGTGCTTAAACCCATCATATTGATGTATAAAAAGCCGCTTGTCTTATATCCTTTACTCATCCATCTCCAAAATTATCGCCGCAGCCCGCTCCGCAGCCGTAATAAACACACCCTGCGGATTCGCCGTCGACACGCCATTCACAATCCCCGCATCCACAACATGCAAATTCGCCATCCCACAAACCCTCGTCCCCGCATCCACAACAGCATCCCCCTCCTCCTCACAACTCGCCCCCATCCGCGTACTCCCCACCCAATGATTCGACGTCAGCAGCGGCTGCGTCGCAATCGCCGCCCGGAGATAGTCTTCCAGCCCCGTCCCTGGCGGCGGATAGAAAAGCGTCGCGTTGGGTATGCTGCGCAGGATGGTGAGGAGGGCGGTGGAGGAGGAGAGGAGGGCGGCGAAGTCGTGGGCGCCGGCGTCGTTGAAGTAGGGCGGTGTGGAGATGTTGATGGAGAGCGTGGGGGGTCAGGGTTAGGGCACCGCGGGAGGTGTGGCCACGGTTGAGGTTGGCGGCGAAGGCGAGGATGCCTGGGGGGTGCATAGTGTGTTAGCTGAGGATTCGTGTGTTTACATGGGCAGATTGCGTAGGTAGACGGGGGCTGCGTGAGGAGAAGGAAAGGGGGGAAGGAGGAGAATGTACCTTGACCATTCAGCACGCCCGAGTTAGTAGTCCATTGCACAACGCGCGTTCTACTATCCTCTCCTCTGATTTCATCCCAGAACACCGGGCCGAGAGAAGGTTGGATCTCCGCGAGCGGGCCGGAGCGGTTATGCAGATATCTTTGCACGTCTGCGGCGGGCGGCTTATCCCAGAGACTCTCCCAGTCGTACGTGTCCAGCGCGAACCCACTAACTGCTAGATACACGGACGGCGCGTCATCGAGGTTCCTACCCACCGGCCGCTCGATCCAGTGCTTTTCGTCCAGCATCAAGGGGCCATCCGTGCTATTTTGAACGATGTGGAGTTGCTCGCGCGGGCCGATGGCGGAGCGGAAGAGGATCTTTGCGGTGTTGAAGACGCCTGCGGAGAGGATGACGCGGCCCATCTTGGGAGTCAGTTTGATAGTTCCGTTCAGACCGCCCGGGTACGTAGGCCCGACTTGCACGCCGTTTGCGTGGTCCCCGGTGCGCAGGACCCGGGCCACAGTGGTGTTGAGCTGCAGATGGAAGTTTCTCCTCTTGCTTGCGCTGACGAGATACGTAGCCATGGGCCCGCCTCTTTCGCCGCTTTGGAAAAAGTACTCTGCGAGTGAGAGGACGTGGTCCCGGGTTTCTGGGTGGTCGTTTGCGCGGATGAGCTTGTAGGCGTGCGGGAGGGAGGAATTCGTGAGCAGAGAGATGGTGATTCGCGAGCCGTTTGTCAGGTAGGATTCGCCGTCCATGCTAGGTGTGTCTGTCCAGGGGAGGCGAGATAGGGCGCGGGCGGTGGCGGAGCGCATGTGTTGGGAGTGCCAGGCGGGAGGCATGTCAGTGAGATCCCAGTCCATGGGCGTTGGCTAGAGGGGTGTTAGTGGGAGCTCTTTGATATTATGGGGCATGAGGCAAGGGCAAGAAGAATGGCACACCAGGTAGAATTGCCCGGCGTTGATAGCCGTTCCACCACCGAGGACACATGACGCTGGCGTGCTGACATCAGGGCAGATTATTCCAGAGTTGTCAGTAAGATTCGTCCAAATAAATTGATATAAGGCAGGAACGTCGAAGCGAGTCAGGTTCGTGTCTTGGAGCCAGGAAGGTTTCCATGCTAGATGGCATCGTCAATAAACCATCCTTATCGGAGAGGCTAGAATGCGATGCCTGGGAGACATACTACCGCCCCATCTTCCAGACGAAGCGAATCCGCGTTCGATCAGCAAAACGGATTTCCCAGACTCAGAAAGTCGGTCTGCGAGAGGAATCCCGGACGCTCCCCCGCCGACGATGATGTAGTCCCATGTTTGGTTTAGTGGGGAGGCGGAGGCGGAGGCGGTTACTGTTCTGATTAGCCGTGAGGACGGGCCGCGGAGGGTATGTCTAACATAAAGCTGGAAGAAGGAGCTGTGGCTTCATAGTAAGGAAAGGTGCTGCTGGGAGACCTCGCGAGACCACAAAGAGAGGTTAAGTAGGATCACAGTCGCTATATAGCGTCTTTTGAAGGCGCTAAAAGCGTACCCTAGACTTTATAAGAGCGGCTGGATGTAGAGGTACTCTATATCCAACCCAGGCTGAGGTATAAGGACCATGCATGGATGCCTTGTCCGCTAGTTCCTCATATCGTGGGCTGCATGCGGCTTTATGTTATACATGCACCTCCAGGGCTCCTGTTATTTTCATTGGCGGGAACTAAGGGAGGTGATCCCGCCCTTCCGTTTAGTTCTTGATATTTTGGGGCGGTTGTGGTGTTCGCAGATCGACCTTTCCCATACGGTCGGGGCAAACGCGGTCCATTTAGCCGTCTGTTCGTAAGCGAAGGAACTCCCTCCCGGTACCTGGGCCCATCGACTGATGATTGGAACCGCTTTCTAGGTTGAAGTGAGCCTTGGGGGCGCCTTGATATATCATGCAGCATGCTGTCTCGGCGTTGCACGCCTGAAACACGGGAGCTGCTCGCGATGCACTTTGAGGTGTGCTATGCTGCGCCTGTTGCTGCTCATAGTCATCAGAAGGCCGTAGAACATCATGTTGGAGCGTGTCCTAAGTTTGGATCTTTCATTAGTGAATATCTTACAAAAGAACCAAGTCGCTCAAAATGCTAATGGATCTCCTGCTTCCTGCCATAACCGTCTTTTCCGCCGGTGCCAATCTCGGCTCGGTCGTAGAGTCATTGATTGCCGTCTACCACGCAGTCGCTCTGGTGCGGGTGCTAGCGCTTCGCGCGGAGGGTTCGCGGGAATGTGGGGTGGCGCCGGCGCTGGTTTGCTGCTTCCTTTTCGGCTCAACTTGAGCGACAGCAAAATAAATACCCCGGCGATCAGAATGGCGAGGAGTAGCATAATCTTCCTCTTGATACTTCTCTTTTGGTAGCCCGAAGCAACCTTCAGCTCCTTGTCTGCCTCCTTTACGTCAGTTGCCATTCGTTCAACATTGTAGTCTATCCGGTCGAGCATGCTTCCTTGGTCAATGACCATTGTCTGCAGTTCCTGGAAGATGTTGGCGAGCTCGATGATGCCCTGGGCGATGTCCTCGATCTCGCGCTCGCGCTGGGCTATGAGGGCTTCGTTGGGGTCATGGCGGAGGCGCTGCTGCTTCGTTTGGAGCAGAGTAGATTGCGAAAATGAGCGATCGGCGTCAGACTCCATGAGCGCAGGGTCATTGTAGGGGTTCTGGATAGGGGTAGCAGAGCGGAAGGGCGAGGCAAAGCCGCCGAGGTCGCGGAGCTCTGGAAACGACGTCAGCAATAGATAGCGCATAGACAAAGGACAACCGACTTTTCAGATAGGCAGATTGCTTCTTGCGGAACATGGCGCTCACCTCGCCGACTCTCGAAGCCAGCGAGATCTTCAGGTTCTTGGCCATCATCTCCTCGCCGTTGCTGATATTGCCCTGTTGTTTGGCTTCGCGCACCATCATCTCTATCCGCTTGATCGCCTTCTGGCATCTCTGGAATCCCCGCGTGATGTTCTGCGTGAGCTGTTCAATTTCCCGCTCCTCCCGCTTCTTTACGTCCTCGTCGTCAAAGCCGGGGAGCACATGCTTCTGGTGCAGCTGGTCGAGCTTGCGCGTCTGCTTCGCGATCTCTGCGAGCTGTTCGGTGATCTCGTCCTGGATATCGAGCCACCGCGGAGGCAGGAGGTCCATCTCGATCACGGCATCGCCGTCATCCTCGTAGGCTCCGCTAGACATGAGCCCCTGGCGCTCCTCGGACATGCGCCGGCTGTCGCCGAAGCCATTCGAAGCTGGGCCGCCATATCGCGTCTTCTTGGGCGGGTGGTGCGAATACGACTGGCGATAGGAAATGAAGCTGTTCAGGCTCCGTCAGCGGAGGCATAGCTAGGCGCACTGAAGATGGCATACAGATTCGTTCGGTCCCGCCACATGGTCGGCAGGCGAGACGCAAAGGCGCTATGTCATGATAGACAGGGGAGATGTGTTGCCTGGGCGTTTTGACAGCGAGACAGTGGGTGATAGCTGGACGTTTTCGCAGAGCCGCATCGCAGGAGCAGCTGGGGGTCCCGGCTTGGCGGGCTGACTGTGCACGGCCAGGGCTGTTTCGTGACGCATTTAGCGGCACTTCCCGCCAGGAAGGGGCTAATTAGTGCGTAATCGCGCGCCCCAACAGGGAAAGCGGCAACACCCACTCATTTCAGCCCTTAATCATTTCACCTGCCAACTCTTCCAGCCGCATCAACACCTACGCTTCTCTCCCCGAACTACCACTCCTCCTTCTCCACAGACGCGAACCGCTAGCAGACACCGTCGAACACCCACTCGAGCAACCCACTAGATACCTTGCGCAAGCACCCTCTACAGCAGCCATGGTGCGTGTGCCCCACCCTCCCCCTCGCATACCCCGCCCTGGGAAAACATCATCATAGCCCAGCCCTCGCCTGGCGGCGTATACTGACCAGCTGTCGCAGGCTGACTCTCTTACCGAGGAGCAGGTCTCCGAGTTCAAGGAGGCATTCTCTCTGTTTGTAAGTTCCCCCTCTGCTCGCTCTGCAGCTGCTGTTGTTGCTGCCTAGCCGCCTGCAGAGCGCCCACCTGAAAGTAGAATGTGAGCTGATATGGACCTCGTATAGGACAAGGACGGCGATGGTTAGTACAATTTCCCCTTCCGAGATCGCATATCCGCCGCGACGCGCTACGGGCAGCCCTCGCACGGTATTCGCACGGTATTCGCACCAGACGTCGCGCGGCGTTGGGCTGGCCCCCACCGAGCCCTCCGCGTCATCGCTCGCTGCGTCGCACAACCAGTCACGAAGAACAACACACTGACCATGCTGCATGGCAGGCCAAATCACCACCAAGGAGCTGGGCACCGTGATGCGCTCGCTCGGCCAGAACCCCAGCGAGTCCGAGCTCCAGGACATGATCAACGAGGTTGACGCTGACAACAACGGCACCATCGACTTCCCAGGTACCATCCTCGCGCCGCTCCCAATCCAGGCCAAGTGCTGACTGCAACAAGAATTCCTCACTATGATGGCCCGCAAAATGAAGGACACCGACTCAGAGGAGGAGATCCGAGAAGCGTTCAAGGTGTTCGACCGCGATAACAACGGCTTCATCTCCGCCGCCGAATTGCGCCATGTCATGACCTCCATCGGCGAGAAACTAACCGACGACGAGGTCGATGAGATGATCCGGGAGGCTGACCAGGACGGCGACGGTCGGATCGACTGTAGGCCTCCTCTATCCTGATGGCACACTTTCGCGCTGACCTTGGCTCCAGATAACGAGTTCGTCCAGCTCATGATGCAGAAGTAGATGTGACGATGTTGTTTTTGGATGGGTGTTAGGCATTTCAGGTGAAACGGCCGATGAATTCTTGCAACGGGTGACGGATCGGTTTCCCTTTGGTGCCCCTATTCGATTGCTTGGGGTCGCCTTTGCAGGTTCTCCGCCAACAGTCAATTTGGAACACGGCGAGCTCGATATCCTCAATCCATTCTTCTATGCCTTCGCCTCGTGCCTCAGTTAGTGAAGTCTATAGTATTGCATATTAATACTTCGTCATGCAGGGACCAGCCGGCCCGGATAAGCTTGACGACTTGGCATCAGCCGTGGAGCAGTTAGTTCCGATCACATGATCAGGCTGCAGCTGAGAACAGACCTGGAGGTTGCGATATTGCACATTCTGGAAACAGAACATAACGACTTTCGGTACGTCTGGGAATGTCTGCTACTTTAAATTCTATCGCTAACTCGTGGCGGCCGCATTGGAATGTGCCTTCTCGCAAACTGACGTGTTCCCCAGTCCAGTTCTCACGATATTCTGAGGTTCCAAAGATATTTTCTTTTAGATTTTGATCAACTGTCAAGATGGTAATCACTTCTGGCCTAGCCGTCCCTCTTATGACTGCGAAACGCTTCGGTGTGTTCGGCGGTGGGTGCGTCGATGACTAACCCGTCGGCATGCGGCCGGCGCAGAGGAATGCCATACCGATGAAGACATCCAGGAATGACGATACTTGGGTACATGGAGCCGCATACCGTACAAAATGAGGATGCCAAGTTTGCAGCGAATGGCGACTTCTTTCGCTTGTCCCTTTCCGGCACATGGGTTCTTTGTGCCCGTAAACGGATGGAGTCGCGGCGTCGCGAACAAAGAATAGAGCGCAAGGTTTTGTTTGCCGTGAGGTGAGCAACGTGTCGATTCAGACGAGGTGGGGAATTCTCAGACATCTACATCATTCTACGGTTCTCTGAGCCCATATCCGCGCGCCTACCCGAAGCGAAATCTACCGCACCACTATATCGACTCGAAGCGGCAGTCTGACACGTACTTAGTACGGAGTGTGCTAGCCGCCACTATGTGGGACCAGTTACGTCGCCTACGGAAGGAAACTAAGCTCAGGATCCTCATTTTCGCTGGACGAGAAGCGAGCGCCGCGTTCCAGATCGCCTGCCCGAAGAATAGCGTAGAAAGGGGCATCGCTGAAGAGGCATTGCTCTATGAGCCTTTCACGTACTGGGATTGGCAAGAGGGCGATGCGAATATCCGCACTCTCCACAATGACGGAGGATATGGCCAAGCCGACCTCGAGGTGGACGACGGAAAACGCAAGAGGCGGCTCTTGTGGGAGCGCGAACGGGGGTTTGCGGCAAACGGCGAGTGGATCGAATATCCAGGGCCGAAGAGACGCTGGCTGCTCTTCCAGAAGAGGATTAAAAATGGCAACCGCGGGTTCGTGAAACGCATTGCGGTCGCTTGGTGGATGACGGTGAAGGACTTAGAATGGTAGGTATACTCTTCTTCAAGCAGACCTAAGCTGACTCTACTACGTGGGCAGGATTGCCGAAAACCTCCCAGGCCTGGTCGCCCTCGATTTGAGCAATCTTCCGGAATTCGGGCAGACGGAGGCTATCAGGCAAGATAGAGAAGCTACGCTCTGGCTTGATTACCTGGAGAGAAAACTCTCAAAGTCCCGCCTCCTGAAGAACCTCCTGTGGCTCGGGGTTCCCGACTGGCGAGTTCGAGATCGCAACAACCCTTCGCAAGCCTCGCGCCTAATACGGGACCGCATTGTCGAACATATTGTGCCGAAATGCACGAAGTTGAAGCGTCTGTCCATTAGGGGTGCCTATAGTCGGGACAACAGCGCTCAGGAACTCCAATCCGTCCACGACGAAGTCTGCGGACTCATCTTGGTCATAGCCAAGTATGTATCGGACAGCGTCAGCACTGTTGAGCTCCGGCTCTCCATATCATTCCTCAGATATTTCCTGGAGAAGTTGGCCGAGTTAAAACCGAGCATACGGCAAGTCGGCATTGACCTCGGTGCTTGGGTCCAGATCTACCCGCTGAAGAAACAGGAGGCGAGCCTGGATGATGAGGAGATCCGCCAAGCGGCCATCTGTGCAGCGCACCAAAACCGCATAGATACTTATGAAGAGGAACATAATAAGATGTTACCTGAGGAATCTGGCTGGTATCTCCCAGCAACGAAAAGGGCCTTGGGTGGTGGCGACCGCAACGACTATCGAGATGGCCATGTCTACAGGAGGAAACAATGGAACTTCTATCGCGACAATAGTGGAACAATTGTCAACCCAAGCTCCGCTCACACGTCTAGCCACGCAGACGATATGTCAAGCCCCAGTACCCACAGTACAGCCGACGCTCGCGACGAATCTGGTGATGATTCCCACGACTCCTTCGATGAAGGTGACCCCGATGCGAACCGAGATTCCTTCAAGTGCAGCCTGGATGGAAAAGGGCACAAGCATACGGCCCGAGTACTCAACAAGACGAAGGCAGTCACTCTGCCAGAGTTGCTCAAGAAGCTTCAGCTTGCACACCACAAGAACAATGCCGAAGCTAGGCAATCGGGTGGTAGGGCGGCAAATGGAATCAATGGGAACGTTGCCCGAGGTGGTGCAAAGCTGTTCGCGCTTGCACCCGAACTACAGGAAAGAAGCACTGATCCCTTACACCCTTTCGCACTTGTACAGGATCGGCCGGAAACTGGAGACTTCGAGAAGGCTTCTGACTACAGAGGATTTACCTCCAAAGGCCTTGGGGACGTACTACCGTGGGTGGAGAAGACATTCAAGTGGCGACCTGTTTTTGACTGGGATTCGCTCATGGTTCCGGTTCAGAGGGAAGACGCTTCTCTGGCGCCAAGAACGTTCCAAGATGAATGGCTTCTCAGCAGCGAGACCGATTATCCTGTCTCACATCTGGAAGCCCAGTTCAAATCCCTGAAAGCCGCTGGAATAACCGTACACATCCTCATCGGGAGACGTGATCCCGATCTCCCCAGCTGTTACTGGGGGTGGCCATACGACGAAAGTAAATGGGACGAATGGAAGAAGCAGCCATTCGACGCTAACTTGGAGGCCATTGCGCCCCTCATCGATTCGCTCAGCATATTCTATGACCTGCGGAACCCCTTAGACCAGGAGCGGTTGGAGGAGATCCAAGCACAACAGCCTCATGCGGGACCCCACGCCCGATGCCCACAAAAAGGGTGTCCTTGGAAAGACTCCAAGAACTGCCCGTTTGCTGAGCTACTAGGTCCTCAAGCACACGCGCATTCGCAGACAACAGAAAATGGTCGCAAGCAAAAGATGGCAAACAGGCGCTCCCTGAAACCTAAATCCCGAACTCCAACAGGCTGCGAGCGTCTTGCCAGTGTGCGCGCGGGTGGCCCACCCACAGGCGAGAATGCAAATGACCACCCATCGGATGATTCCGACTCGGAAGACGAGCCTAGTTCGAACCGGCAGGCGCGACTGCTACACCTTGCCCGAAGAGCCGCCTACAACCGTGAGGCACTTGGCTGGCAGCGCTTCTGGAAGGAGTATGCGCTGAAGTTCACAAGTCTGACGTCCCTTCGTGTTCGCATGCCGCGTTGCTTCGACAAGATTGGATCCTGGCGTCTCGCAAAGCTCCTGAATCAGAATATCGGCTGGACAATGCTCACTTACACGGATGAGCGGCAACACGTACAGACGAGCGAAGATCTGGTTCAGACGCTCCCCGGCATCCAACAAGAGACATACGCGCACCTGAAAGAGGCGAAGGTCTGGCCCGCGGGTAAGTTTGTCCGGAGGGCTTGGGTCTGGGACGACCTCAAGCTGGACTTCAAAGAAAGCGGACCTTATGAGAGGGCCGTGAGATACAAAGAGGGCTCGAGAGTGGAAATGGCGGAAAAGCATTTGGAGCTTCAGATCCAAAAGGAAGCTAGCTGGGCAGATCGGAAATTCACGCAGCACGATGAGGACGACACGCAAGCTGGTGAGGCAGAAGAGTACGCCAAAGCCGACGAGAGGGCAAATGCTGCAGCCCGACGGGAACGGGCCTTCGAAAACGAGCATGGGTCCGCAACGGTTCGTGCCGCCTCTGGTGGCCAGCCAGACATTGCCTTCCGCGGTGTCTACGGGCACCATATCCGGAACACAGCCACGGGCCAATGGCGGGACGAAATCCGCAATCTCGCTGAAGAGCTCGAGCATCGGGAGAATGAGTGCGCGCTCGAAGCCGGAAATGCTCAAGACATGATCCTCAACGCTACAAACGCGGAAGACTTAACACTAAACCAAGAAACGCTGAGGGTCACTCAAGCCGAAGGCCAGCTTCTGCGGAATACACGGTTGGCACTGCAGCGCCGTCTGCCCTACGGTCCTCGTCTAGACGTCATCTTCGTGGAAGCTGCTCCGGGTTTGAAACACGGAATCGGCCTGCAGCAGAGCTGTCCATCGTTGATAACGGCACATGAGAATGCGAAGCGTGATCGTCCTGTGTTGCCATTTAAGGGCCAGACAGGAACTACCCCTCGGAGCGCAACAGTGCCTGCATCTGTACAGGCTATTCCAACTCATCCAGATACCCCTGCGACTCCAGTCGTATCTTCAGATGGATTGGCATCATCCCCGGAAATCAGCGGGGACGAAGCGCATTCTCCAAAGGAGCCTAAGGGCACTAAAGGCGCCAAGCCGCCGCCTGAAAAGCGCAAACGCGATGAGTCCTCTTCTTCATCTGACGAAGAAAACGACCAGCGACCGAAGAAGAAGATTCGGGAGAAAGCGCCAAAGGGGCAGGCCACTAGCGGAGAAGACAAGGGAACCGAGCCCGAGCCCAGGAACGAACCCGAACCTGAATCTGCTGCGGGAGACGAGGAAGTCGAGGCACCGAAGGAGAGTACTAGTAAGGCCACTCCGGAGGAGCCAGGCACGACTGAAGAGCCTAAGGAAGCTGAGCCCGTGGCGGAGGCTGCACCCACACCAGCTGCAGAAGTCGAAGACGTCGTCGTCTCATCCCCTCCCAAAAAGACACCCAGCAAGAAGCCCTCCACCAAAACCAAAACAACCAAAAAGCGCAAGACACGCTCGCCCGAATCCGACGCTTTGGACGCCGAAGAGCCACCGCCAAAGCGGCCGACCCGCTCGACAAGGTCAAAGACCCCAACGTACGTTGTGCCGCCTTCTCTTGAGCTCGATGTCGAGGAAGAACCGGAAGAGGAAGAAGAGTCCGACGAGGACGAGAAGAGTAAGAAGAAGAAGGGAAAGAAGAGAGGCAGTAAAGCGTTGTATGTGCCGCATAAGGACTCTGACGACGACAACGATGATGATAAGCCCTCAGGCGCCGGCACTGGTCGTGGGCGCGGCCGCGGTCGAGCAAGGGGCGCGCGTGGTGGGCGGGGGGGCCGAGGCGGTAGGGGCGCTGGTGCGGCGGGAACTACTGGCACAGCTGCTGGACGCGGACGTGGTGGGAGAGGTAGAGGTGGGAAGAAGAAGGCGGCAGAGAAGGACGAGAAGGAGCAGCCCAGGAGTCCGGCTGCTAGACGTACGAGGCAGAAGACGAAGGCTAAGGATGGCAGTTGATGAGGACGTTGAGTGGAATGCTTGGGTAAGGTAAGGGAGGGTTTTTGTTTATTTTTCGGTTTCGGAGTGCGCTGCCTTGCCGGATTGGATTTTCCAGATAGTGTGGATTTAATTTGTTTATTAGCTCGTTTGTCTATCTATCTATGTAGTTCTGGCAAGCAAGTCGTAAGCGTTCAGTATACTATTCGCAGTGTCGGTGTGCCAATTTGCAGAGTGCATTTGAATGTGAATCTGGATGCGAAACCAGGCGTTTTTTCCTTCTTCCTGCCAGCACGGAAGATGCAGTCTGCAGGCTGCCCGCAAAGAATGTGCGTGTATTTCTTGAATAAGCGAAGCTGACCTCCTCCCTCTTAGCTTGGGCGGACTAGTAAAGGTGCTTGAGAGCCTTCAGGCTGGGTAATGTGAAGGAGAACAGCGCGACTGCAGGGGACCGTATTTCTTATTCCGGGAGGGGACTAGGGAGGTGAATGGCAAAGTCCATCCCTACGAGAAGGAACGCACGCCGTGACGGGACAAACGATAGGTGCTTCAACATTGAGGTAATAGAAATTCCAACCGCGTCTTTATATTTGCTTAGTTCCGCTTCAAAATCGTGCCCGGTGACCATTTCCGAACATCCTGACACTGGCCACTCCGGAAGTTACCTTCGCATCATCGCCGCTCCCTTGATTTGCGGAGAGCCTCTTCTTTCATTGCTTAACAGCACTCCACCACAGCACCACCATCGAGTTCTTTTCGCCTTCCAAACTTATGAAATGGTCTGATCCGGGTTTCCGAGCCGTTCCCCCGCGCTAAGCAGTTATTGTCAGCCCTGTGGCGGCCGTGTCATGCGACGTCGCCAGAACGGTTGGTATCTCGGATTCAATTACGCTGTAATTTTATCTCATATAATATCTAGGTATCAGATGACGGCCTGTCAGGCTTGTGGCTAGAAATGGGACATACAAGTCGATACGGCGAAGGCCCTGGATGGGCCCTAAGGAGCTCTGATTGGCCGTTAAGCCAGCACGAGGCAGCCAAGGATTACATAAAATCGATCAACGTCATCTCCATGTCGCTTGACCCTTTGTAGGCCCTTGAGCGAGGCTCGACCAGCGCCAACTCGTTCGGATAATGCTTGTAACAGCAATTGGACGACATATCCAGTATCGCTCGATCCTCTAAATGTAATGTCTGCCATCCACAAAACAGCGAGGAAGCTTTGACTAAGACTCCCAGCAAAATCCCAGGACTTACTCATTCGCGCCACCACAACGACGGCCACAACAGTTGATGCAGAGAGTTCTCAACGACGCGCGCTATCCGATCGGCATCCTCCTCCAAGTCCCGAAGGCTTACAGCGCCTGACTGCAGCCACTCTGTCCCGAATTCGCCGCTGTCCTCCTCTACGCGAGCGCCACCCCTCCGTGCTGTGGGGCAAGGTTATCCGTCACCTCGTACACTGAGCTCCTTTACGGTCCACCGCACCTCGAAGCGGGCTCGCTACTTTGCGTCCAGATAGACGTCTCATTGCGTTTCTGCTTCATCCTCGCCACCGAGCTCTTCGACGCCTAGCCTCCATCTCATTACCTCTCTTCATCTTCGGTCCGGCGCAGGAGCCAACTTCGGATGGCAACTTATACGAGAAAGAATAGACGTGGAATGCAAGGAAAACTCTATAGGGTCAAAACACAATCAACATGTAAAGAGGAAGGTATCGCTTACACTCCGCTCCCAAAGGGCGTCGCTCGCCACATGATCGTAGTTCTCAGTCAGCCGGACAGTCAACGCAAAGTTAAGTTTGCAACGGTAAGATATGTTTAAGCATCACTTTAGCAATGGTAAATTAACGATGATGTTAGATAACTTCGAATCCCTGCGGCGAGATCCAATACTACCCAATTGCCCCTACTCCTAGAGAGCCATATGCTTTCCAGCTTCATCTTCGTGACTACAACAACCAATACGTCGGCCCTCCAACGGCCCTCCCACTATATTCATATCTTAGGGCAGAGGTGCATATGGTTTCGTCAGAGATGCTAGTGGAAGTTGAAGGTGACTTCGGTGATCATCTCATGTTGAAAAACGAGTCAGTCAATAAACTAGCATCCGCGATGTAGGGCAAACGAATCGACATTACGATAGCGTGCCAGATAGATTCAAAGATAGCGATCATTGTTTATTCTAGCTGTTACGATCTATTTGTTACCTTTAACTACGGTGTTTTCTATCTTTTCCTCTTGTTACCTGCAAGCTTCGTCCGAAGCACATTACGCTAAGACTCTAAGACTTGCCATTTCTGCTAAAATTAGCCTATTAAACTATTTAATACCTAAGGAGACTATCCAGTCCGCCTGAACCCGACTCGCTTGGCGCATCCCGACTCGTCAACGTATACCACCTACTTAGGATCTAGCGCCGACAAATTGTACAAGATATTGGTCCCGTAAATCAGGATCTTGCTCCTTTGCTACTCAGCGAATGACCTTCTTTGACCACCACATGCGAGCCAAAGCCTTGCTAATAGTACTAGGCGCGAAAACAACCCCAAGCTCATCCCGTAGTATGTCCCTCATCTCACTCAAATGTAAGCTCGGTTTCTCTGTTAGACATTCTCGTAGGGCGTCTAGCATTGGAGGAGTGGTAGATCGACGCCGTCCGACGCCGGTGGAAGAAGGTATGGTGCTGCCGAAGTCGCGGAGGGTAGAGCGTATCGTCGTGATCGACCGAGTACTACAACCTACAATTCTAGCTATTTCGTGATTCTTAAACTTATGGCAAATCATCGCGTGGATCGCTTTGTGCTGCCAGTCTTCCAGGTTCGGCGCCATGCTCTGCAATACCACACCATTTCTTTAGCCCGAAGACAGCGCGCCACCCAACGATGGTGTTGAACTGACCGTCCAAGTATCGCCGCAACCCCCACGAGAGAACATCGAAAACACGCTCCGCAACTCGCGCCTATATAGCCAATTCCTAAACCCACGGTCCACTAAGACATGCCATCGCTTGAGACATGCAGCAATACCACCAGATCCTCCACCGCCGTCACCTTCGACACCACCTTCAGCGCACCTCATTCGCGAGCGCTTCCGTCCTTCCCGCCGTCATGCTCCGCCGTATAAAACAATATATCGTAGGGAAAACCCATCTGGTGCGCAACACGCCCCCGCAAGTGCTTAGTCACAAAGACACCCTCCACTATCGCACATGGGGCGCTCTACGGGCTCAGGGCCAGCTTAGGCTGACCAGCGATGGGCTGCTCCTCTACGTTAGCGAGTATCGCTAACATGCGCTATTCGCGGTATCCAAGGCCCATATGCCCTAGTAAATTGAGAAGCTCAAGCAGATAAATAATCCAATTTTGTTGTAGTTGAGCAATTATCCAAAAACCTGTGACGATTTTAGTGAGGCGAGCCGAGTGGGTGGGCGGGGAATGGTTAAAACACGCTGGCCAAAAAGCCACGTCATTGAAATCAATGCACAGCACATAGCCCGCTCCGATCTTTACCTTTCTTAGAGGCTAGTGCAGATGGCTTCAGCCCTTCATGTGCTTGCCTCAAACTGTCACCTCCAAACAAGAAGACGTCGAGGTCAAGGCAACAGCGGGTGGCTGATGCTGTGTAACTCAAGAGTGTCTCACGAGGCATTGACGATAACTAAGAAAATGAAAAGGAGCGGAGACTTTCTGTATAAGTATGGGACGTGGCCAGATCTAACCATACCATATCGAGTTCTTCTATTCAGGCACTCAACTTCCGGCATTCAGCAATTTTACGCAGCATCATCACATATACCGTTGGCCAGGCTCGCAGCTACTAGCTCCAACCAAGGGTTGAGTGAAAGCCCATTCACTAATGGCAACATCCAAGCCTCCAAATGAGCTTGTTTCCTCCAGACTGTCAGCAATGACAGGAGACGAAGAGTTTTTAGTTCAAGTTTCCGACTCCACTGTCGCCGATGACGAGAAATCTGCTCAGATCAAATGCGAAGATTGCGACGAAAAAGACGGTGAAAAATATTGCGGGAAGTGCCGGCAGGTTCTCTGCGAAGATTGCTGGTTGCGTTGGGCCAAGCATCGCCGGAATGACCCAAGTCACCCGGTTGTGTCGTATCAGGAACAGTGAGCTTTCCTGCTTTTACCCGCATGCACGGTTGAAAACTAAACCCGAAAAGCAAATTATTCAAAGAGATTGTAAATCCTGAATTGACGGACGAACAGCGACAACAGCAGCACGATCAGGATATACTCAACCTCTGGTTTTCTGTTGATCGGAGGGACAACGGAGACCTGTGTCTCGAGGAGTTTCCCCGATTCGGCCGCTTGGTAGAAGATCACCAGCAGAAGCACGGACGGAAGTCTCCATGTTACGCTCAGCTTGTTTCTTTCATCGGAAACACCGGGGCGGGCAAGAGCACCTTGATCCGCGTACTCATGCAACAGCCTTGGAATGTTGGGCACATGGGAGCAACGGAGAAGCCTTCGGTTTGTCTCCCCATCGCCGGACGTCAAGAGAGCACAGTGCCCACTTCTGGAGATGTGCATCTCTATGCGGCCCCCTATACAGACGCTGCGCCAAAATGGCTCCTCTTACTGTATGCTGACTGCGAGGGCTTCCATGGGGGGAGCCAGCCACCTGTCGCGCTCAAGGCGAAACGGCATATCTTCGCGTATCTTCAAGAAGCGATTAGGGTCAAGACAGCCAATTCCGTTGAATGGGTGAGAGAGGCGATCTCGTTCCTCAAGAGGCCACGCATGTGGACCTTGAATCTCAACGGCGACCGGGGAGACGCAGTCAAGGAGCTCTTCCCGCGCTTACTGTACAACTTCTCTGACGTTATCGTCCATGTCATACCTTGCGCAGCATCTAGGATGTTGGAGAACGACTTAACCAAACTTCTGGAATGGGCCCAGAACTCACAGGAAACGGCCGTCAACCGAGTCATTCTTCCGCACCTGATCGTGGTGCTGAACACTTCCCCAACTGAGCTATCGGACTGGGATCCTGCCAAGACCACTCCTGAAATTCTTCATGAGCATCTGCCGGCTCTGGAAAGCAACACCGTTATTAAAAAATATCGGCGAATGCTCAACCAACTGCGAAACACAGCCATTACGACTCTGGGCGACTTGCTGGAGCGCTGCTACTCCTCTGTGAGATTCATTCGAGTTCCAAACGCGGAGAATCAATATCTATACTCTAAGCAGCTCCGGTCACTCGACTCGCTCATCCGCGAGGCAGCAGGCAAGGCCGCGCGCACGAAGACGGAAGCGGGATGTCTTCTCACATCGGAGATTGAGAGACAGATGTTCACAATGGCCTTTGAGCACTACAAGGACAACCTGGAGAAACCATTCGACTTCCTCGAAAGCCTATTCTCCGTGCGCCCCCTAGAAGACAGTCTCTCAGCCGCGTTCTTCGCTTTACTAAAATTGGCGGCGGTAGCGTACCGCTCTGCGTCCACGGAAGCATCGGCAAGCGAATTCTGCTCGGCTGTTACCCCGGTCCTATGCTCGACTATCGCTCTCGATTACTACCGGTCCAATAAGAAGTACCCCGGAAGGTTGAGGGACATCTACAAAGGCAAGACCATGAATTCGCAATGCATCGGCGAGGGGAAATCCGTCACGGCGGCATACCAATCTCAAGTGGGGAAGGCAATCGAAGATTTTTTCGACCAGGCGTGCCCGTGCGACTTTGTTCACCAGGATGGGAGGCAATGTGTCAACTTTCGCCTAGCTCACGATACGGTATACGAACACCAAGACAGCACCGGGGAGCTCATAGGCTTTGGAACATTCCAATCAGCGTTTGTGGACGAATTAATGATCTGCTGGAATGACGAGATCGACAAGTCTCTCCGGGAGCTAGATGACCTTCAAGGGAATTCTGATGCTGTCGTTCATCCCGGTAAGCAGTCGAATGCAGAACTGATGATGACGTGGTCTGCCCACTGCGTGAATCTTCAGGAACTCTACTCTGCAATACCGGAAATTGACGTAGAAAAGATTGAGGCCTGCTCCTGGTGCTTGCGCGATAAGCAGCCGGAGTTGCTGGGGTGCGGACATCGGATCTGCTGGGGATGCACAGAGCTGGTGGGTGATTCCCTGACTGATTCCAACGAGGAGATTGGTTTCGCCATTCGGCGCTGTGATCTCCATCAAAATGGACTTAACTTTGAGAGACCGAACTACATCACCAAGGTTCACGATACTGGACCCATTGTGGTACGCCAAGGATGCCTGGAGAGGTGAGAGGATATCAGTGCTGTGGCAAGATGCTCGATCAATATGACCTTTCCTTGAATTCAGGTTAAAGTACTGTCATAATCTTAAATAGCCATTCCGCTGCGGAATTAGATCAAGAGCAAGCTGCAGAGGACGTGGCTGCCATGATGGCGATGTTCATGCTTTGGGTGCTACGACGCTAATCGCGTGTGGCTCACCTCGGCGGCATTTCAGGCAGATATATGAGACGCAGTTGACCTGCACCAAAACTCCAAATTCTTGAGAGCCTCCGTGGACTCGTCTATAAGCCACCAATGGATTCCTTCCAGCGAAATAGCCCTTTACTAGGAGGCGAACGATTTCAGAACGACGAGGGCATAGTTGCAGCGCGAGGGAGACTTCTGTCTAGGCTACCTTGGGACTTGAAAAGAGACATCAGTAAGTGCTTACTAACTGCCGACTACTCGTCCTAAGTAAAGCAATTCCCTAGGCGTGCCTGTAGAGCCGTTTATCGAAAGCCTTGTACAGGCCGCTGGAATCGTTAATGTTAAAGGCATCGCGGCTAGTTTAAATACTTCTTTAAGCGAGCACTAGCCAGGGACACGGGGACAGAACGCGAAACTAGGGATGATCGCTCCAGCCCTAAAAGCCCATTCTCCGCTACGCCGCTGTATCGAAACGTCCTACTCAACTGCGCGACTCGCCAAATTCGTCTTTTAGAGCTATTGCTTGAGAGTTTCGCGGAGCAAATACGCTGCAGACTTTTCATATTAGCATCGACCGCCAAACGTTCATATAAGAGAAAGCCTTCTCGTATCCTGATTCCACGCAGAAATTGATAAAGAACCCAGCAACGGCCACCTGGGCGCTAACATAGCAAAACTGCGACCACACCCTTAGGAAGAGGTGGTACTGCTCGCTAAATGACCCGACATCCTTACTACCAGTATCCGCCTCCTGCAAATTTATATCCGCATCCGTGATCTTGGGCATCGGCGCAAAGAAAAAGAGGATAATAAGCAGCGCGACGAAGCAGGCAACGCTGAGGTAGACCCACTGCACGTTCTTCAACCCAGCCTTGCCGTCGACTGTTTTGGCGAAGAAGACGCGGGAGGTGAGAAGAGGAGCGGTCGGGGTATTAATATGGCGAGGGTCCGGGGTAAAGGATCCCATGGGGCACCGCCGGGCGTAGACCCACGTCCACAGCGTTATTGATAGAGATACCTGGTCTGAGCACGCAGATGGATTGGGAGGTGGACCGATTGGCGGGTGATTGTGGATTTTTCGGCAGGTGCGGATCCTGGTTACGGGTTGTTGGTGCACGTAGCTGTCTCGAGAGATCGCTGGGTTGTGCGTTAGCAAGCTTCAGACCTTCTTACCTGGAAATAAAGCGGCGGAGGTCCGCGAGAGAAAAGCCGGGTGGGATTTTTGAGAGGCGCTTTCGTGCGCGACTGTGGATAATGAAGGTGGCTGGCTAATTGACGTGCAGATGATTAATATACGGGCTAGCATGCCGGGGTATACTTCTTTCGCGCAGAATCTGTCATCTTTTATATAGAAAATTGCTAAAGAGACTGTGAGAGAAGTCGATGAGGAATCCATCGGAGTAGCCGAATTTTTTTAAATGTGTCATCGATTCTCCCTCCCAATACTTCGTTCGCCAAACCGGCCTCCCCCGATGGAAGATCGAAAAGAATAATCATGGTAGGAAAGAAAATGGGTCGTAGGTAATTCTGTATAATGCTTTAGATATTAGATAATCAAGGAATGACCTGGAAGATGCAATCATGTGCGCTAAGCGACTCGCTTCGCAAAATAGACATTACCCATGCTTTCTTTCGTCAACCATCTTTTTTCCACACCCAGTCGTGACCTTGGTCTAAATCTTGCACTTGCTGTTGTCAACCTGCACGTACTGCGCGTCGACGCGTCCGAGCATTTCGGCTTGATTGTTGGTCAAAGCATCCATGGCCTGCTTGGCGAGATTGAAGCCGGTCGCGGTATGGTCAATGGCGAGCACGTAGATGGTATTTGCGTTGTATGTCACGCTATAGCAGGTACCACACTGCAAGGCATAATTAGCGCGGGAAAATAATAGAAGAGCAAGGGAGCATGCCTGAGGGCTGTTCCAGCCAGCGATGCCTTGGTATCCGCCGATGTAAGGGTAGTTTGGAATGGCGCCCTGCGTCTGCCACCCGTACTTCGTGATCAAGCCATTGGCACCATCAGAGCAGGAAACGGCGGTCATCGAGCGACTCTTGTCATCGTAGCCGGTATCATAGGAGACTGTAGTCCGGTTAGATGAGGTTCGAATGTGGCGCCTTCGCAGAGTATTCACCTGAGATCGCGGATGAGAGGGAGACGAAGCCAATGGCGGCAGCGGAGACGGCGCTGGTGAACTTCATCTTGTAGGCTTTGTGTGCGGGATTTGGGGAAAGTAATGAAGATATTCCGGCGGCTTTATAAGCGTGCGGGTTGATTAAATGGTCGGTTGAGGCGGGGTCGAATGGAGCTTGGTTTTGTATTGATGAGACCTCTGCTCGACCATACAGCCTCTTTATACTCATTCTTAGGAAGCCCGTCCTTGCTTGTACCGCAAAGCTCGTGGCTATCCATCGTCGCGGTATCGCTGCAAATTGGCCAAAGACGTAACGACCGAATGCTACTGTCTCTGAACCAAACTGCATGAGGTGGCGCAGTGGACAATAGCAAGTGGCATCCGGATGCCAGAAGGTATGAATGAGCTCATAGCTTTCGACAAACACGAGAGATCGACCTAACGGTTGAGGATATTTTTGGAAAAGCGTTGCGGATGCGGCTGACTTGTGACCGCTTTGGGCTGAGCAAGCGAAAATAATTGTCCGAGGCGCCCGGCTGGTTACATCGCGTGAGCCGCAATGGGCATCCTGCAAGAGCGATCAATAAAACGGCGCAGTACTCGGTGAAATTCCATCGTATCGTGTAGAGCGAATTCGATGGAATAGATGAAGGCCAACGTGAAGAAAGCAGGGGAGGCGGGTCTCGGAATGGGCGGAAAGCGACTAGAGCTCGGCTACGTCAGGTGGTATCAACTGCGCTCTCCCCCGAGCTCCCTAGCTGTGTTCCAAGGTTGTACATCGTGTGCGTGTGAGACGGGCAGCCGTAGGCTGCCACGCTCCTACAAGCTCGTGGACATGACGCCGTCTCACAGCATTGGGTATCTCGCGAGCAGCCGTGAGCCTCACCGCTCAGATTGTCCCCGTTCTCGCCCGCTCCACTTGCTCTCTGCGCTCTGCGTCGTCAGTCTCTCTTCGGAATGCCGCGGGCTCCGGGCGCATTGGATCTGTGGCATAGACCGCTATGCAAAAGTCTTACAGCACAGCCCCAAATAGAGCTCCGACTCCATATGATCCGGTGCTGTTGGAAATGCGAGCCTCGAGTGGTAGCACTCTTTCGGACATTGTCTTGAAGTCATTGGCACGCCTGGAAATCTGAGTATCCGTGAGAGGGGGAGCTGTGGGAGGAGCGTACTGTACCATAGCCGCGGTTGCTGTCCACGCAGGCCGGCTCAGCGGCAAAAGGAGCCAAACGTCGCGAAACATGTTCCATCTGAAACTCGAACAAGCCTGGCCATCTGGAGTGCAGATGTCACGAACGGCTTCGCGGCGACGGGCCAGTCAGAGCGAAGTGACCTCCAGCGAAGCTCAACGCTAGCTGCAGGGGCGCTGCGCAGCGATCCCGAAGTGGGCCGTGCCCTCACCAACCGTCCGGGGGCTCTCTCATACACGTCTCATCTCCCTCGCGAGCGCCTTCATCGCGTTTCATCCCCTTCACGGAAACGCCACGACCCTGAAAGTTACTCTTCGGCGTCCTGGACCGCTTGGCTCTCAAACAGCCACGCACGGCACCTCAGGCAAAACAGATTGCTCCCCGAATTGCCAGTGGCTGAACACGGGCGCCTGCGACAGCACCCTCCAATCGCAGCCCTCGACATCAGCATCTCGTTCCCCCGCATACAGAACTGAGGCGTCTTCTTCGCATGCCTTCGCGACACCTTAGGTCTCGAAGGTGTTCCGCCATGGCCAGCTCAGGCCGACTTTTCCGCCTTCGAGATGCTCTGTCCAGCGGCTATGTTTCAATTACTTGCTCTATATAATGCTCTCAAATGCCCTCAGTTGCAGATTTTCCTCCCCAGGCAGGCCCAAGACTTCATTCTCACACCAATCCGACACCAAGTATCTCGATCTTTTTCGTCCAACCCGTTAATTCCTTCCTTCACTATACCAAATCGAGCTAGTCTCTCACTCCCTACAACCAATCATAATGCGTTTCTCCGTCGCTGCTGCTGCTACCGCCCTTGTCGGCTCCGCTATTGCGGCCGACCATCTCGTCGTTGTCGGTAACGGATCGCTCACTTTCGAACCCAACAATGTCCAGGCCGCCGAGGGTGACACTGTCACGTTCAAGTTCTGGCCCAAAAACCACTCCGTCGCCCAGTCCACGTTCGCCAATCCCTGCGAGCCCATGTCAAATGGCTTCTGGTCCGGCTACGTTCCATCAACGAGTGGAGCAGCCACGGAGACCTTCATGGTCGAGGTCACGAATGCCTCCGCGCCCATCTGGTTCTACTGCACCCAGGGCCAGCATTGCACGAGCGGTATGGCCGGCGCCATCAACGCTCCGTAAGCTCTAACCAACTTCCCACCGCCTTGTGCTCTTCTAACAAGCGCGTAGTTCCAGCGGCAACACCGCCGACGCCTTCATTGAGGCGGCCAAGCAGGCCGACAACATCGCTGAGCCCGCCTCCACGGCCGGTACCGGCGGTATGCTCATGAACGGCACCATGTCGTCGACCGCGTCCGGCTCCGCATCGACCGCTTCAAGCACCGGCGCGGCGTCTTCGGTCAACGTGAACGGCGGCGTCGTTTTCACCGGCATGATGGGCATGTTCGCCTACCTCCTGATGTAAGCGACCGGCGCGGCGCACACAAGACACAGAGATACCCTGGTGAGGCAGACGGGCGGGACAGAAGCGTCAGGAGCCGTAATGAAGGAAGCGGCAAACTAAACCGGATCCGGAATCCACGACGAACGACGGGTTGGATGATGCCTTGCATCGATGGTGGAAGATGCATCGAGATATTCTTTTGGTTGTGGATTGTATAAATTATTTGAATGAAGCATGTTAGAACTCCAGATAATTTCCTGTCCCTTTCCCTTTTTCGTGCCTTTCGTTGCTCATTTCTCTCGACACCACGGTCGGGAATATCCAGTCAAGCTTTCCGCCTCAGTGCGCTGCCAGTGTGGTGCCCTGTTTGGTGCATCCCGGGTCTTGAAACCAATCGCCGACGGCGACACGAACTCGGCAGCGGCACAGGGTGACTGAGTTCGCTGCACTATAGGTCCTGAAATGAAAGGACAGTGGTCTCCCCGTAAGTCTCGTAACGGCTTCCGGAAGCGTAGATCGCGGGTTCTCGTCGCGATATGCGAGCCTTGAGAGGATGGTTGCCACTTCCCCCCAAAAAGTGCTGATGACGTAAACCCGCTATAAGAAGGACATCTCGCCATGGCTTGTCAATCCCACACCAACTTTTCATCGATACAACTACCAGTTCTCATCAAGCAAATACCCGTCCATCACCTTGCAACCACCCGAATCTCATCGTCGGACGAGCCCGCTTGCAGTTCCCTCACGATATGGGCACCAGGCAGCTCGGGTGGGATACTGGGAAGCTCCGAGACGACGTTGCCATGGGTTATCCTCACGAACGCCGGAGGCTCTGGTCTGGGCATTCCCGGGACGCTGATATGAGCACGAATGAGGTTGCCGTGCCCATCAACCGCGAGAACGTTCAATGATCCATCCTCCTCTGTTACGGAAAGCGATATTCCAGAGACGTTCCTGGCCACGACCTTCAATTCCGAAGACCATTTCATCTCGGGCTCAAGACACGTAAGACCCCCTTCGTAAGCTGGTCGCAGTGTTATGAGTCTTATGAGGCCGTCTTCTATGGTAACGAGGAAGCGTCCATTCGACGTCGCTGTTCCTTGGAGCGCATTCCTACCAGCCACACTATCCGGAAGAGCCCGCCATTGTAGCGTGCATGGCCCATTATCATTTGTTGAGTGCTCGAGCGGGGCAATAAAGCTGCGGAGTAATTGTGAACCATGTCGCTGGTCCACAGTACAGAATATGTACGCTCTGCCGGATGGTGAGTTGAAAATGGCAGCCGATGTTATCTCCCCTCTATGCGGCTTGTTGTCATCAGCTGAGGCCCACACAGTTCATGAATGGTTGCTTACGGGCTCATTCTGCCTGGAAGTGTAATCCAGCTCCCAGCTGGAGATGATTCTCGGACTACTCGACTCCTGGACACGTACATCCCAGCAATGCATTCGATCGTCTGATGCCACCCCACAGACAACGAAACTGTTCATCGGGCTGAAGTGCGAGAAAGCAACGATTCGAATCTTGCTACTGGTTTGCAAGCAATTCAACGTTGATCGATATCGATGGGGACTCCAGCAGCTGAGGTACGCATATTCGAAGAGTTTTACCCTTCCCTCTCCACCAACGGCAATCCACGCGAAGCCTGTTATTCGTGCACTCACGGATCCAACTTGCAGGATAGACACTGACTTCGGTGTCCCGATTCCAGTCTTGTCAATATATACAGTCTCCAATGCACCTTCTCCGGGTTCCCTGTATTCGTACACTATCAGGCGCCGATGAGTCAGCACCGCAAGTAGGTCAAGTGAGATGGCGATTGATCGGATCTTCTCATTTTCCGTCTCAGGTTCTATGCGAAATTCCCTGTCCTTGCTAATCTTCTCAGTGGGAGCCCGGTTCTTTGCGTAGTATAGTCGAATCTTCCATGAACTCGCAGTGGCCACCCATCCAGATGCTGAGATGGCTGTCGATATGATTGTTGCATCGTCAAGACTCCACGGCATGTAGCGCTTTCGGTGCAGTTGCGTCTTCGAATCTGAAACTGATGTTGGCAAGACGAGCTCGAAACGCTCGTTCATGGCCGACAGGCGGCTCGCCGACGAGCCCGACGACGCGTATGAGTTGACCCGGGACATTTTCCGTGGATTATTCGCCGTCGTGCGCTAGTCTTGGGGAACGCTTGCAGTCAGAGTAAGACTAAGACCACCGAAGAAGATCTGGGTAAGGCTACCGCAGAAGCAAGAGAGGAAGCTTCGCTGGAAGAGGGGCCTTCGCTGAGACAGCATCGGCGATGTTACCTCTCACTTTATCTGGAATTGGTCAACAAGGCACGTACACAATTGCTGAGCCACCACTTACCTTGCGTCTCGATTAGCGATCCTCTTGTTCCCCAACAGTTTTTAATGAGGCAAACGACTCAGGTTCGAGGCAGCCATCGACGAACCACCAATCATGCGCCGGTTGGAAAAGTTGGCTGAACCCCGCCTTATCGGCACCCAATAGTCCGCGAATTCCATCCTCGTCGTCACCAGATGCTTCAAGCCCAGCCTATCATGCCGGGAAAGCCCTCGCTAACTGGAACCAATGGGTAACTAACATGATAGCGGGCTGGATCAGGCTGCGAAAATCCGTCCGCGAGGCAGAATCGCTCCCCGCAGGACTCACCATAGCCCCCGCCCCTCCTGCGGGTATCGCCAATTTGGGTGTCTCAGCCTGCTAGGGAACCTTGCTGTAGGGGAAATGCCGAGCATGCCTGCGTGTCTGTCGGGACGTTCTTCTTCCTGTCAATCGAAATATAAAAGAAGCCCAGTGTTCGATATTCGATTCCTGCCAGCGCTCTAGCTCTTGCTTATTCTGAATAGACCTGAGTTTTCTGCAACAAAATGGCTGCCGAGAATCACTTCGAGCATCTAGATCCAGCACTCGACCGTCCCGAGCTCGCAGGTAAGTTTACCACCCTTCATGGCTAGATGACGCTCATCCGGGCTACGTCAGGGATTGGCATCTCAGGGAACGTAGGCGTCGGTCTATTTGTAATGTCTGGCGCCCTGATCACTACTGCTGGATCCATAGGAGGACCATTGAGCTATGTCGTTGCCGGTGGCACAGCTGCATGCGTTCTTTATACGCTTACGGAGATGGTGGCATGCCGCCCGTGTACTGGATCATTGATTGATCTGCCGCATCATTTTCTTGATCCGGCCTGCGGATTTGCAGTAGCCGCTTCATACTCGTAAGAAAGCTCCAGCTTGTTCTCTAGAAAGCTCCTATGAAGCTAATATACCCCAGCCTTGCGAACGTGTTTTCAATGGCGACGTTAACTGCGTACTCTGCGGAGTTGACAGCACTTTTAAAGGACAAACCAGAACGACATTCGACTAAGGTGGAAGTCGGAATCAACGTTGCTTTGGTAGCCCTGACGGCATTTTCTCATTGCCTCGGAGTCCAAGTATGTTTCCCCACTAACCGAGCTTCTCGCTGGATGACAAGAACTTACGCGACAACAGCTGTACGGCAAGATCGAGAGGGTAGGTTCGTCCTACTGCGCATTTGTCTACAATGGCTCAAACTTCCTTAGGTAATCATGGTGTACAAGCTGAGCCTCTTTGTGCTCGTCTGTATCTTGATGGTCATCATCAATGTTGGAGGTATTGAAGGCAGCCCATGACCGAAGCCAGAGTTGAACTGACCGCTTTTCTCTAGGTGGCGGTCCTCGCCAGGGATCATTTCACGGAAGTGAGTAATTCCTCCTTTCAATTCCTAATTACCCATCTAAGCGCTGCAGACTATACCTCCTATGCCTTGACACCGGGCTTTAAACCCGCCGGGTTTCAAATCATGCCTGAAGCCTACCTGCAATCCAGCAGCGTCCCAGATACGCAATTTGGTATTCCGGGGCCTGGAGGACGCCTTTTCGCTTTCTTGTCAGTTATACCTCACACAAATACTTTTCAGGGAACAGGACTAACTGCGTCGAGTAGGACGGCTTCCACATTTGCCATGTTCTCTTGCATGGGTGGGGAAATGGTTGCTATGACAGCAGGTACGCGCGCATCTTCTTCATGATGGGACTCGGCCGAGCTGAACATGTGCACTGACTATGACTGAAGGCGAGGCAAGAAATCCCTGGAAAGACGTTCCAGTAGTGATGTCTTTCGTCTACCTCGTTCCACTTACGCTCTACCCGTTCATTCTCATGTCTGGTGCAGCCAACGTCAATTACGCTGATCCAAATCTGCCGAAGATTTGGGCGGCAGGTAGTGGAACCATGTCGCTATCGCCTTTCGTCGCTGCACTCCAATCGTCATCCTTGCATGCTATCTCGAAAGCACTTGACCTATTTTTTATCATATCCGCCTACACAGCTGCGTACGTCCTTCCGCGACTTCAACGCCGCCAGACTGCTGCTGATGCGATTAGTAACACCGGACTATATGTCTCGTCGCGAAGTGTCTTTGTGCTTTCGCAAAAGTATATGCCGAGAAAAATAGCCAATGTTTTCGGCAAAACCAACAACGGACACACCCCTCTCGCGGCTATCGCTCTCTGCTCGGTCTTCGGATTCATTTCCCTCGCAGGTCTTAGCAAGTACGCTTACTCTCAGGTTAGTTAAGTACATCTGTCAGCCTGAGGGACTGATAGTGACACGTGCCCATACAGCCTCGTCAGACGCTCTCATTATTCTTTACCGGCTCTGTAGCTTGTGTCTACATCTGTGAATGTGCTACATTCCTAAGATTTAAAGCAGGGTAAAAGTCTGCCGGCCTTGAATTTGCATCCTCTCGCTAAGATTCTGCCAGGCTCGAGAGACTTGAGAAACGAGGGATCCTTAGCCGTAACGATCCTCTCTATATTTCGAGGATGTTTAAGTCGCGTTGGCAACCGATACCGGCTTATATTGGTAAGCTAAGGCCCCTGTACGAAGCCTATGTCTTTGCCCAAGTGTGTACAATCGTTGTTTGAAATGCCATACGAGGGGCGTTTTGCGACATCGTATTGGGCATTTGTTCACGGCATAGACTTAAGAGCGGATACTTCGAGAGCTACGTTGACTTCGTTCTAGGGATCGTGGGATGTTCCTTCGTGGCTGTATGGTCCGGCATTCCGCCTCTGTATATCCTGTGGGCGAAAGGCGGATTGACTTCTACGAGCAACCTGAAGTCAAACGTGGCTCTAGCCTGCGACGTCCTTGGGGCGTACTCTGGAGTTAGTAACCCATTCCCTTGCTGAATCACCATATCGGAGACTGACAGTGTGCAGCCCCTCCTCTTCGCGACCTTCTACCTATCCTACAAATACATATCTCCACGCTCCTTCAGGGTAGAGCTATGCGACCTTACCCCTAGCGACTATATTCCCGAAAACTTGGCATCTGCCTCAGGCTACGTAACCACCGCTCCTTCGCCACCCGGTGCTCCGGATCCGGCCGCGCTCCCGAGGGCAGTCGAGCTCGAAGTAAAGCACTGCAGTTTCGCCAGCCCAGATGTCGAGGCAGGGCAGGAGCGGCATGCGGGCGTGGAAGTGATGGAGTTGACCCCGGACCAGCTCGACGAAATCGAAGAGAAAGAAGCGATAGCGGAGCAGAGGATAAGGATCGTTAACGTGCTAAAGAAGCGGCCAAAGAGGATGGAAAGACCGCTCTGGAGGGAGCTCTGGAGCTGCCTTGTAAAGGACAATGTTCCCTCGCAGGAGGCGGAGGAGCGGACTTGAACTCACGAGCAGCCCACAGTCGGTATATTGCTCCAATAAAACACCATACTGTATACCAACATCTCACCCGGTGACAAAACAAAAGCATGTCGTCGAAACAAGCAGCACGCAGCAATTAACGCAGATCACTAAGCCGACAGCTAACCACGAATCAGATTAACCCGCCGCACAGCCGTCAGCCATAAAGCAATTGCGGAGAGTTTCGGAGTTCCGCGCCCGCCCCGGGGATAACGGCGTGGTAGATTACTGAATCGGGACGGATCCCTTTCGCGTGCGTGGTGGCGGTGAGTGTCGTACTCCGACGCACGCCGGCTCGCGCCTTGCTCCGCCGAGTTGGAAGTCTCGGGTGGAGATCCCATGCACGCGCTCCTAGGCAGGGTAGGGTAGGGTAATGCAATCACGTAGGTGATGGGAGTTGTTATTGGGCGGGAGATAGAGGGGAGGATTACGGGAGGCGTACTGGGAGGGGTGGGAGTATAGGAGAGTGTGTCATGGGAAGAGGGGGAGAGAAAGGTATGTAGAGGTGGAGCCTCCGAATTTTTTAAATATCATGCTAGAAACAAACACGATGGCAGGAGGAGAAGAGTTTGCGAGTCTTGCATCAGAGCAGCGGCGCTAGACTGCGCTTTCAATCCCAATCAAAACCATCTCGACCTCAACCCCAGCGCCATCCCATCCCCGTCTCCTCAGACATCCGCTCCCCCTTCCACACTAACCCCACCCAACCTCCCCGCCTTAAACTCATCCACAATCTGCTCCATAGTCACCCACTCGACGCCCTCATGCCCATTGACCCACTCGATAAAGCGCTCATGCAGCAGGATGACCTGCGGCTTCCCGCTGACCTGGGGATGGATAGAGATGGGAAACACGAAGCTGCCGCCGTCCTCGGGGCACTCACGGTACAGGTACTCGAACTGCTCTTTCCAGAGGCGCTCGATGGTCGCCGTGTCGACGTAGCCGTGCGTCGAGGCCTGCGTGAGCGAGAGCTGGAACGGCGGCCAGTCGTCCAGGTGCCAGTTTGCGGGGACTTCGACAACGCTGCTGGCGCGCAGCGTGCTCATGGGCGTCATCCAGTGCGCGGCGGGCTTGCTGGTGTCGGTTTCGGTGTGCGTGGAGAGGTGTGGCGCGGGGGCGTAGTAGGGCTGCGAGTCGTGGTGCATGAAGGAGTGATCGTATTCCTGGCTTTCTATATCAGCGCTGCGTGGCTTTTGTGTCTGTTGAATTTGTGTGTTTTGCGGGTGGGGCAGGGGGTGTGCGTACGATGCCGAACTCTTCGAGCAGCTTGATGGTCTCTTTGGATGTGGACCAAGCCGGTGCCGTCCAGCCCCGTGGCCGCTTCCCCGTGATCTCGGTCAGCACCTTGATGCTCTTGTCCAGCACATCGCGCTGCTGCTGCTCGCTCAGCGTCGACACAAACTCGTGCGTGTAGCCGTGCAGGCCGATCTCGTGCCCCTTTGATGCGATCTTCTTGATCTGGCTGGGGAAGGACTCGGCGCTGTGCGCGGGCGTGAACCAGGTGGCTTTGATGTTATACTTGTCCCAGAGCTTCAGGAGACGGTCAATGCCGACGGTTGCGCCGAAGACGCCGCGCGAGACGTCGGTGGGATTGGCGGGCGAGCCGTCGCGCGTGTTGATCCTGGGTTTAGGGGGTTAGACGGGGATGCCCTTCGAGGGAGCAGACGGAGGGGGCTAGGGAGGGTGGAAGCCCACCAGCCAGAGACGGCATCGATATCAATGCCGTAGGAGCAGAGAACGCGCTTGGGCATATTGAGGCGTGTTCGAGCGTTCCAATCGCAGCTAAAGCGTCCAACAAGAGAAATAGAAGCCACGCGACTCGCACAGGCTGCCTCAAAGCCAGGGAGTGCGGACCCATCATCTTATCAAGGAAGCCCAGGAGCTCCACTCCACGGCGACAGGAACGCGCCGTCACGATCCCACAGCTTGGTGCCTGCATCCGACACCAGCGAGCGCGCAACACCGTCCCCCTCAGCGGGATTACATCCGGAACCGGCCTATAACGTCGCAGGGAAATGCTCAATGTGGCAATGCCGTCTGTCTGAAATCACTTGCGTGCATGCAAGCGACGTTCTCCGGGGCGAAAGTAAATCAAAGTGCAAGGGGGGGAGGGCGTGATGTTGATCGAATGCGGAGTTGGGCGCGATGAGGGGCAGCCGACGTCGTGCATGGGTGGGGTTCGTTCGGGGATGCGCTGGAGATAAACGGGCGGCGGCACGGCAAGCTGTATATTATTCAGGGAGCTGGGGGCACGGGCGTCTGTCTGAATAATCCCTTTGGAGAAATTCGGAAAAGAAAGAAAATGCTGTTCGTTGAGTGCAAAGGGACGCCTTACGAGGTATGTATGTTAGTGACGTCATACACAGTTCTCCCCAACAGCTCTACTCTCTCTCCATACCAAAGCCTTCAATGCGCAATGCAACACCACGGCCCGGCTCACATGCCTCCAGATCGGGCACCAGCACGGCACCGCCGCGCGCGCCGAAATCGACCGCTGCATCGCCTTCTACGCCAGCCTCTTCCAGAAGAACTGCAAGCAAGAATGGCCACAGGTGCTTTCCAACGCTGAAAAGTTCGAGCAAGCTGCGAGGGAGAAATGGCCTGCGTACCATGAGGAAATGCGCGGCATCGCCGATGGTTCAGGGCGAGACTTGCTCGACATCGTCGCCATCAATGTGCGGACGGAGATAAACTTCGGCCTGTTCAGCGACGGGTGTACGGCGCTGGCGTGGCATACAGAGAAGAGGGCATACCTGGGGCAGAACTGGGATGTGCGTTCCTTTCTTCCATCCGCAGTCCTCCCCCTCCCTCCAAAAAGAACCATCCGCTAACTCAAACCCCAGTGGATGACCGCGCAGTCCCCCAACCTGATCCTCACCCACATCTCGCAACCCTCCAAACCCACCATCCTCCAAATCACAGAAGCCGGCATCCTCGGCAAAATCGGCTTCAACAGCCACGGCGTCGGCACGCTGCTCAACGCGATAAAAGCGCCCGGCGTCGACGCCTCGCGGCTGCCCGTGCACTTCGGCCTGCGCATGGCGCTCGAGAGCCGCAGCGCGGCGGAAGCCGTGCAAAAGCTAGAGAGCCACGGCATGGCTGCGAGCGCGCACATCCTCGTCGCGGACGCGCACACCGCCGTGGGCCTGGAGTTCACCAAGAGCACGTTTGCGCAGTGTCGGCCGGACGCCGGGGGCCGCGTTGTGCACGCGAACCACCTGCTGGAAGAGCATCCGGGGGAGGTGGACACCGTGTGGCTCAAGGACTCGCCGGTGCGAGTGCGCACTATGATGCAGAACTGCGCGAAGCTGGGCAGCGAGCCCGGCTGGGAGGAGGTGAGCCGGCTGTTTGAAGACGAGCAGCATCTGCCCGGCGCGATTTGCCGGGTCGAGACGCCGGAGAGTGGCAGTGGGACGCTGTTTAATATATTGATGGATTTGAAGAGTAGGACGGGAGTGCTGAGGATGGGCAGGCCGACGCAGGTTGAAGAGACGGTCACGCTGTCGTTGTGAGGAGAGGAGGATAGGTGTATGCGGGCACAGATGTTGCTTTGTCTGATAATTTAGGAAAGGGAGACTTCAGTATCGTGGGCTTTAGGTGTCTAGTTACCTAGAAGTGGATAGCGTAACCTTTAGGCGCCAAACACGAGTCTCTAGAATGCGCTGTGTTGTTACACGGATTGCACGGGGCCCCGTCAGACGAAGCGATATCAGAGCGTAGCCAGGAGCCTGCGCCGCGGTCTGCGTCACATGCGCTCAACTAGGAACCTTGGAATACTTCGAAAGGCATAACAGTATCACGTGCAGAGTCAAACATGTGCGCCAAATGGCGGCAGACTGTTCCTATATAAGGCTTCTATATACACCAGTCGTTACTCATCTCGCATTATCCGTGGCTTCCATGTCGTAATCCCCCCTCCCCACAGTGCCTGCACGACGCCGTCCGAACCAGGCCACGTACCCATCTCCAACAGCCGCGTCCGAACTATCCAAGCCACCTTCGAGAACATCCGAGAGCTCATCTGCCAATGCACAGTCAACAACGGCGCCGCCGATGGGCTGGGGTATTCCTCCGTAGACGACGTGCTGAACCGAGTCTTCCACAAGATTCGGGATGCGAACATGGGAGGGGTGGAGGACGAGGAGGAAGAGGTGAACATCAGGTCAGCGATGAACGCTGTACACGACAAGTTTCGGCCGAATGGCGGAATAGGCGGAGTTGAGGCTGAGATAGAGGAAGAGACGAAAGATGACGTCCTAGCCGATGTCGAAACAGTGGGAGAAGAGAAAGTCGATGAGTGCAGAACAGCCCTAGTGAACAATGGAGCGGTGAGTCTCGAGAAGATGGCTCCAATACAGGCGACGACTGTGTAGGCAATGCAGCGGAGGAGGAGCATGGCGATGCCGACGACGAACAAGATACGACTGGAAGCCAAGCGGATATCGGTCACGGCGATGCCTTTATCGATGACGAAAGTACTCTGGAAATCCACGAGGTTCAAGACCCACAGAAGGAAATTAGTCAAGAGAGCCAGACTGATCGCGATGGAGCTGTCCAACCCGCAGTGGGCGAGCGTGAAGGATGTGAAGAACCAATGGGCGATGGAGGCGCGAAGGGACGCAAAAACAGGAGCGAAGAAGATCAGAACGAGGGCAAAGGACCAGTCTCCGACCTTGGAGCTGACGAAGAGCTCAAGCACTCCCACAACCGCGCTGAAGCGCAGTCAGAGAATGCGACTTCCCACGCCACAGTTGAGTACATGGAGGTTGCCGCAAAGCTAGAGAGGCTACTCAAAGAGTTCACCGCAAGAGCGCATGCAAGCACCGAATACTTCTAGACCAGCGCAGCGACCTACGAACGCAGCCTCATCGAGTGCATGTATTCCAGATGGCGAACAGCGGCGGACATTATGGCGGAGGTCGAAGCGAGGATCGGTCGGATGGATGAACTCTGGAACACCTTCACAGGTGAGGACATTCCTAGCATCGGATCTGAATAGGAGATTAATACTTTTGTCGGTAGATGGAAGCCGTGGCTCGCTCCAGAGTTCATATCCTTACGTCGTAATGAGTCAAAGTGCCCTCCCATTCGGGCCGGTATTTCATCTTCATGTGCTGCATGAGGTCGGCGAGAGAGGCTGAGAGGGACGCTGAGCTGGGCCATTTCCAGGAAGAGAGTTCAAGAACAAGGAGGGCGTTTGAGTATAATTGAATGAGATTGCCGCCAAGGATGGCTGACATGTTCTGGATGAGGACTGTGCCTGCGCGATACACCCAGTGCGGCGTCAAGAAGATGTGAACGCTGTCGGGGCTGACGACAGCTTCAAGAACATACCACGCGCTGCCCCAGCACGGATTCAAAAGCAGATGGGTCTGATGGAGGGCGGTGCGTAAGCCCGGGAGCAGCTCACTCTTTTCGTCGAGAAGCGGCAGGAGCTTCTTGACGGCTTGCTTGGCGGCGTGGTCGCCCTTGCGGAAACGATGCTGGAGACGGAAGAGCGAACAGAGATAGTCAGCAGGCCTCGCTTTGTCGAAGCAAAGTTCCCATTCCTATGATTCGTGAGTACGATACAGAAAGATGTACGCGGCGGATGCTTACAGGCTCAGGGAACGTCGCAGGGCGGTCTAGCGTGGATGCAAGCTCGTTCTCCAAGCTGAAAATAGTCGAGTGCATGTATCGAAGTATTTCCGTGTCTTTGGGCCCTAGCTCTGCACGCTCCAAGGCCAATGCGAGTCTCGTTGCCAGAGCTACTTGCTGGCCGATATTTCCCGATTTGGGATCGAACAGGCTGTTGATGGCGAGCAGCAGCACGGCCCTCAGCGTGTCTATTGTGGGCTCCATGGTGGAAGCCTCAAGGCGGTCCATAGCTTGCGCAAAATACGTTATCGCGATGTTCCGATACTTGAGAGAGTTGCCCTGATGGTACGATAGCCGACCAGTAGCATTCCACAGATGGTGCGGATGTCTTCGCCGATGCGTGCTCGGCATGACATGGCAAGCAATGGAGCAGGCCATGTTGAGGTTGAAGAGCTCCGTGTCGGTGAGATCTGGCGGTGGCTCTGGCGCGAGATAGCGAGCGGATAGGTCCAGAATGGGATACAGTGGCTGGATGATATTGAGATAGACATCCACCAGCTCATAGTTCTTCGCTGGAGTTTGCTTCCAAGACAGCTGCCAGTCGTCGTCGTCTTCACCAAGAGGGGGCTGAATTGTGGCAGTTTGGAGCCTGGGGGATTTGACTAGGCAAGACTCGGCGCCTAGGTAGCGGTAGCTGTCGCCTGCATACGCGAAGTGGTGCTCATAGTGATGCTGGACATCGGAGATGACGGATTCCGTCTTGATAGTCGCGGCGGCGTTCGACTCCTGGGGCGTCCCGCCCGAATCGGCGGGCGAGGGGTTGTTGCGCGCAGAGATTCTGCGCACGTGATCGACTAGCTCCGCGATGTAACTGCGCAGCTCAGCGGCCTGTAGTGCAACGACAGCGGGACAACTACGCACCTTCGAGGAAGAAACTCATTGCGGCCGTGGTCGTAGAACATGCACTCGACGCCGGCCTTGGTGCATTGCCTGTTGCTGTGAGCACACTGGCGCCGACAGAAGTCACCGCGCGCAGGCTACATACCTGCACTTGGGGAGCAGCGTGTCGCAGCCGCGGCGGCAATCGCGACAGCGCTTGCACGCCGGCAGGCTCTGGATAAGCGCGTCAAGGTCGATGTCGGCGGGCGGATTGGGCGAGGCGGTCGACATGGCTCCCCATCGTGCGCATGCGGCGCTGTCGTTCGAGAGAGGGCAGGGCAGAGGCGTTCGCCGGAGGACGTGAGGCATGAGGCGCCTAGGCATCTGAGGGGCGGGACTGGCGCAATTCTTATCGGACCGGTCCTTGCCGCTTCGGGCTAGGCGCGCCGGCCGCAGCGCCAAGGATGAACCTCGCCTGCGCGCCTGCCCATGACTGGGGAGCGCATCCCGCACGCCTCAAGCCGACCCTCACACCTCCACACCTCCACACCCTTCCGCCGGCACCGCCATGACCGCTGCGCCCTCGACGCCTGCTTCGACGCGCACCACCGTCCTCTTCCACGATGCAGAACCGCACCAAAGTCCGCCGGCGAGTGCTCGCCTGCGCCCGCTGCCGCAAACGCAAGCTCTCGGTATCCCAATTCGGCCTCGCTAATTGGCCGTTCCAAATCACTAACCGGTGCACAGTGTGATGGCAAGGTGCCCGCCTGCACGCGCTGTGTTGACGCAGGCGTCGCCTGTGTGGGCTTCGACTCATCGACGCAGAGGGAAGCGCCCCGCAGCATCGCGGATTATCTCGAAATGCACATTGCCAGCCTCGAGGACCCCAGGAGTCCGACAGCGCTCCGGCGCGCAGGCCCCCCAGGCGTTGCCTTCCCTTCTCCGGCCGCCTCTCATGAGTCTGAAGGCCACTCAGGCCAGTGGGGCGCGGAAAAGTGCACCTACGCCGACAGCCTCGTCAACCAGGTCATGGAGGACATCACTCCTTCCTTCCTTGGCATCTCCAAAACGAGGCCCATTCTGAGCTGCGTCGTTAAAGGGACCCAGCTTCCCTCTAAGAAGGGCCCTGTGGGAGCTACCGATCTGGATGCGAGCCACCCGAGGTCCATCATCAATCCGCAGCCCGCCACGAATTATTTAGACAGCATCGATCACAAAACCGCGAACGGCCTCTTCCACAACTACCTGGACCGCGTCATTACGCAATATCCCATCTACCATAGGAATCACGTCACTGCTGCTTTCAACTCGATATACCACCCTGCCATCAATCCCGGTCAGGATTCTCCGCGAAATCGCTACATTGTGAGCATTATCATGGCCATCTCGCTCTCCACAGCCGCAAGGACTAAGCAAAAGAAGGCGAACAACGCCGCCCACAATCTCGTTCGACAAGCGATGCAGTGGATTCCAGATGTTGCGACGAACGATATTAGCGGACTCCAGGCAATTCTACTGCTAACCCAGTACATATTCCTTAATCCGACCATGGCCGATCTCTGGCTCTTGACTGGCCTTATAAGCCAGGCTGTCATTGACCTTGGCCTCCATCAGGAGCTACCCAACGACGCGAGGATTTCAGCATACGAGCGCGACATGAGGCGGAGACTGTTCTGGTGCGCCTGGGAAATGGAGGTTGGAGTCTGTTGTATTTTTACACGGCCCATCAACCTGGCGATTCGGAACATCGAAGTCGCCTTCCCGGTAGAGGTCGACGATACAGCCATCACACAAACCGGCATAGATCTTAACGGGCGCGTTTCGAAATTTACATCGAGACGGATATGTCAGTTTCGGCTAATCGAAGCGGAGATCTTTTCGGTGCTCTTTCACGGCGAGCCTATCCCCAAAGAATGCGCTTCGATGGAGCAGTGGATGCAGCGGTGTGAAGCCGCTATCCTTGCATGGCGCGCCGAACTATATGGATCTGCGCACGCCAACAAAGACCCCGGTTTTGACGCACGATGGAAAGAAATGACGCTGTACTCTGATATTGCGGTGCCATACATCTTCGTCAACCTTTACCGCCCCTCGCGGCGTAATCCTTCGCCAACCACCAATCAGCTGCTGACAGTTTTCAGCAATGCTGTCAAGGTGGCAGATGGGTACTGGCAGCAGTCCAACGCCGACTTTGGGAGGATCAAATACGTGTTTCACCCTTGTCACCACGTGTTCAACTGTGCCGTCAACTTCCTTCAGGCCCTGCAACGCTGCAAGCAAGAGATATCGGAGAGGCACACATGGTGCGACGTCGAGGAGTGGATGAGCACCTTCTCCAAGTGCTTCTTGACCATTGCCGAGCGATGGACAGCTGCGACGCGCTGTTTGGAAGAATATGAGCGTCTGCTGGCGCCTATCAAGAAAGAGTACGCGGATTTCCTGGCGCAAAAAGCAAGCAACTTCGTACCACATCCACAACCCCCTGCGCCTATGGGAGACGTAGTGGGCGGCCTCTACGGCTGCGCAGCCGCCGACTTCGACGCATTGAATTTCTTGACCGCTCTCAACCCAACCACGACCGCCGACGCAACCGAATCGCTCGGGGCATATGCATACAACCCACCACATGATTGGAACACAGAGTTCAGCTTGAACTTCATGGAACCCATCTCCGAGATGGATCAGAAGTTTGTTCCGACGGCACAGCTTTGAAGCGCGTCGCCTCTTTCGTATCTCATTTATCATGTCTTCCCAATAACACAATATGGGCGTCAGCTGGGCGGCTCCACCTTGGGCTCTTGGGCGGTATATCGGTGTTCTGCGGATGCAAGGCTTTGGCGGGGTTGCATTCCCAAGTTGGCATGCCCAGCACAGCTTTCTGGTTCGATTGCAGGTAAATGACGACACACGATACCAATTATTAGGCGACGCGGTCAGTCCGTTTTCCACCCCAACATTCTTCACATCTGCTTGTGGAACCACCCCTGCAACTAGGCGTAGGGTCAGGCGTCAACGCGTTCATCACCTGAACTTTGCCACAGTCGCAGTAGCAGCTCAGGCCTTCCGATGGTCATTGTCCTTTAATTGACAAAAGAAGGCATCATGGCAAACGCAAATGCCGATGTCGTCTCCCCTTGTTTCGGTGCGCTGTGTTCCGAAGTCGCTCATTCCCGCACAGGGCCTGGTGCGGCCCGAAATCCGCCAACGATAGGCGAGCGGAGACCAGTCAACCATCCGCCGCGATGCGATTGGTACAACTCATGTACCTAACAGCTTGGCATTCACACTTCGCAGTTTATTTCCGAGGCTATGGATGCGAGGTCGCGGGGAAGGCGGATGCCTGGCGAAAAAAGGAATTAGCAGCGACACTCGCAACTGATTTTCGACGTGCGCTTGTATGCAGCCGAGGTGGGATGGGCGAGAGCGCGGCAAGAGACGCAAGAGACGTCCAGCGAACCCAACGTGACGTTTCAAGAATAGGAAGGAGCATGAAGGTCTGAGGGACTTTATCAGGGATTGCGCCCCGCGCGGGGCGTTACCCGCTGTGACCCACAATTGATATGTTGATAGCGACAGCCAACAGCGTGCAACTCCGCAGAGGACCCGTCACGATGGATGACCGTTGTTCCCCGCAGACCGCATGGCCAGCGTGGCACAGCAGTTAAGCATGAATGGTCCGCGGAAGGATCGATCGAATGAGAGCCTTATCTCAACTTCAAGTGAAAACCTGATATCAATCGAGGAGCCTCCCAGCAGCTTCTCGTTGGACAGTCCACCGTAACACGGCACCCGCCATGGGCAGTATCGAAGATTCCACCTCGGAAGTCGCCATCCCCGTCATCGACATCTCAGGCTATCTTGCCGGCGACCCAACAGCAACGGCTGCCTGTGCCGCAGAACTGCGCGCTGCATGTGAGAACCAGGGCTTCCTGCAGGTCATCGGCCATTCGGTTCCTGAATCGACCCAGAAGAAGTTCCTAGATGCGATTGCCAAGTTCTTCGCCCTGCCGCTTGAAGAGAAGGAGAAGCTGAGTCAGACCAATAGTCCCTGTTACAGAGGGTATGAAAGGGTAGGAGGGCAGAAGCTGGATGAGTTGGATGATAATGCGACGACGGATCAGAAGGAGGGGTTTAGCGTGAGGCCGGAGCGACCATTGGGGAGGTTTCTGGCTGGTCCGAATCAGTGGCCTGAGGATAGTGTTTTGCCGGGTTTTCAGGAGGCATATATGGAGTATTTCTGGCGAGTGTACGAGGCCCATGTGATGGAGACGTCACTGATTGATTGCTGCTCAGGGCAGTACATTCTCTCAGCAAAGCCATGTTCCAGCTCATGGCTCTGAGCTTGGGACTGGACCGGACATATTTTGATTACTTTGCTTCGGACCCCAATGGTACGCCCTCCACTCATCTACTTCCATATTCGATCCCAAACTAACACCCTACACCCAGGCATCTGCCTCTGCCGCGCGCACCACTACCCCCCAACCCCGCCCGACGCCGCAGGCCGCACCCGCGGCGTCGGCGCACACACCGACTTCGGCGCCCTCACCCTCCTTCTCCAAGACACCGTCGGCGGTCTCGAAGTCCTACACAAGCGCACCGGCACATGGCACCCAGTACCACCCATCGCCGGCGCCTACGTTTGCAACATTGGCGATCTTATGGAACGATGGACGAACAACCGGTACCGGAGCACCATGCATAGAGTGATCAGCTTATTGAGTCGCACGGACCGGTACAGCTGTGCGTTCTTCAACGATGGCGCTTTGGACATGATAGTTGAGGCGTTGCCGGGGTGTGTGCCTGAAGGAGAGAGTCCGGCGTATGAGCCGTTGAGGGTGGAGGAGCATATTGTGAAGAGATACGTGCAGAGCTATGGGGCCGGCGGGACATATATTGAGCAGAAGGCTTGAATGATCGAACCGCATCCGGGAGCCGCATCAATGCAGCATTTACAAGCCATACATACATCGAGCAAAGGCCTGGATCAGATCGGGAATGTTGGCGCATTTAAGATACTCACACAGGAACCAGGTGGAAGCCACCGACCAAGACCATAGTCGCAAATTCATGCTTCGTAAGAACATTACAGCGCCCTTATCCAAATTAACCCCCAGAACCACAATCCTGAATCTATCAATCAATCCTGCTGATATCTCGACTCGCCAAACAACACTAGGAACATGCACGCTAAGCCACAAAACAACATAGACCTGCAGAACACCAAGCTACTCACACGCCTGCCACCACTCCATATGATGCCGCCGCATCAAAAGAAGCTCCTCCACTCCCTCAAACCCGCCGCACCGCAACACCCGACGCCCCCGCATGCCCCTTTCCAAACTAACCATACTCGAAACACCATGCCTTTTCTGCAGCTCTATAGAGCTCGCAGGCGGAATCCCCTTCTCCAGACTTATCAGCTCGAAGGACCACCTGGCGCAGCTACCGACGGGGCTAAAGTAAAACCTGCCAGCGGCGTCGACGGTGCAGCTGGTGCGAGTGCCGAACCACCCGTTTGCGACGCCGGACACGCTTTCGTAGGCGACGCGGCCGCGGCCGGCGCGGATGGCGAGGCTAGGGAGGTCTGGCTCGAGGGGAGGATAACGGGCACATTCGATGTCATGCCGATGGGTTGCGGCGTGGGTGCCGCGGGAGTAGATGCAGGCGCATGCGCCGTGGCGTTCGCCCTCGTCGTCGCCGTGCAGTCTGTGTACGCTGGCGGACTCGCGCACTTGCCGTCTGGGCCGGCGGGGTTCGTGGCGACGGGGACGTAGTGCCCGTTGCAGGAGATGTCGGCAACGGTGACGCAGGCTGCGGAGGCGGCGGTGGTGGTGTTGGGTGCGGGGAGGTTCGCTATTACAGGCGTTGGTGGGACGGTGACGTGTACGGTGGTTGTGATGTGGACTGTTGCTCCGTTGGGTGGGAGAGAAGAAGGCGCTGCTGGTATTGGGGTGGTGGTGATGTGGAGTGTTGAGGCGTTTTTAGGGGTGGAGGGTGAGGTGGGGACGGAGGTGCCGAGTGCGGGAGCGGAGGATGATAGAGAGGAAGAGGGATGTAGCAGTACGAAAGAGGGAAGTGACGAGATGGGGTTGGTGGATGGTGCTGGACTCGGGAGGGTGGTGAAGGTACTTGGGAGGGTGTTTCCCGGTGCCGGGGCAGGCGATAGGGCCTGAGAGCTTGGAGGCGTACTATTTCCGGGGTTCGAGAAGCCCGGGCAGCTCAGGTCCTTGATCTTTGGCGTCTGCGAGGGGATATCTATGATACCCCAGTCGAGGCCGTCGTCTGTATCCCTCTCCAGTTCAAACCACCACACGTTATACTTCCCGAAGAGCGAGCAGCCAACCTTAGTCCAGTACTCCTGCATGCTTTCAAGACTGGGGGGCGATATATCAGCCCCAGAGCCCGAGGAGGGCCATCCCGTCTCAGTAATCCACACAGGCGTGTTGCCAGACCTTTCCTGAACACCTGCGAGGCTGTTGAAGAAGCTTTCGTTCGCGTTCTCGATCGAGTCTTTGTTCCACACCGGGTATGCAGTCATCCCGATGAAGTCACTCCCTTCGAGGGGAGCGTATTGCGCGATATCGGTGTGTCCGATAGGCGGCGGTTCTTTGAAGAGCTTGATCCAAGGCTTTTGCGCAATCGTTGAGCGGACACTTGAGATATTGGCTTTGATTTCGTCCGCGGAGTATGCCATATCGCATGGCTTCCCCCCGTTCTTCTGCGTGCACATGTCTGAGGTGCGGTAGATATCCTCATTGCCCACAGAGATGCCGACGACCAGGTCCGCGAGCTTCTGACCGTGCTTTTCGAAAGCATGGTCCAGAGCAATGAGTTCGTTGTCTGATGCGGAAACCCAGATGCCGAGGAGGAGGGTGGTGTTGGTTTCGATGGCGGCTTCGAATGCTTCGCTTGGGTCGTTCTGCGTCTGCCACTGGGCGGTTTGGAAGAGGCGGGCGCTGTTGAAGGAGACTGGGACGTCGGGGAGGTTCTTGGCGAGGTTGAACTGGCGGACGAAGTCTTCTTTGGTCTTCGCCTGCGACTGGCTCCAGAATGCGCCGCAGGCAAAGCCGGTGTGCACTGTAGCCGCGGCTGGGGTGAGCCACTGGGCTAGGATAAGGAGTGCGCAGGACAGGAACATCGTCAGTTAAGTTAAGGTGTGCTGTGTTTAAGAGAGAGTCTAAGTGCCTGAGAAGTGTCCAGGAGGGTTGTGGAAGGATAATGAAATGAAGGAGAAGAAGTAGTCATGAGAAGGAGAACTTGACTCGACGAAAGGTTGATAGTCATTGTAGAAGAACGTGAATGACGACTTCAATGAGGCATTCAAGGCGGCACAATTAGTGTCAATAGAGTTCATCGATCAGTCGAGCTCGCAGGCCTATTCATCGTCCATGAGGAATGAAGGACCGGACTTGTAAAGGCTTCTATGCGCCAACCCCATGCCCGTGCGGCTGCAGCAGAGCGCGTCTTCGATTGTGAGCCTTGACATATCTATATTGGGTTAAAGTGAGGAACTTGGCTATGACAATACTTATTGAGTCCGCCATCATGGAAATGGTCATATTGATGACGCCACCAGGGGATGATGGAGCTCGCGGCGTAGACGACCCCAGGGGGTGAACAGGCCCTAGCGGTTGAATACTGGAACAGCCCTTCACGGCAGCAAGAAAGCCACTCACCCAGCTCGGGGAAGCGTGGTATGATTCACGACCGTGTTGTCATGCTGGCTGTGATGGAGATGTGAGTCGACGTGGTGGTGGCCACATCGGCAAAATGCAAATGTGCGGGCGCTGATTGGCCAGCCGGTTTTCTCTCCACCGGCGAAATGCCCGCAGAGCTCCGACGTGAAGCTTAAAAAGTGCGACGAGGACTCACAGCAGCCCGCAGCCCGCAAGATGCCTCTCGCACGCTCCGGAGTGGCGCTTTTGCGCTCACGATGCTCGCCGCGCCTGCAATGGCACCAGGCGTAAGCAAAATGCCCACAATTGCCCCCAAAGTCGAGCTGCCGCTAACAGCCCTCAGGCGAGCCCTCTCGAGCTCCGCAATCCGCTGGACGAGATCAGACAATGAGCTCAACTGGGTCAGCAAGAACATCACCCAGCCGAAGTCGCAAGGCGCCTCGCAGGCCATGCTGTACGCCACCGGAATGAGCGAGGAAGACATGAACAAGGCCCAGGTCGGCATCTCGTCGGTGTGGTACACGGGCAACCCATGCAACATGCACCTGCTGGACCTGAACAACAAAGTGAAGGAGGGCGTGCAAAGAGCAGGTCTGCTGGGCATGCAGTTCAATACTATTGGTGTAAGCGACGGCATCTCCATGGGTACCAAGGGCATGCGCTACTCGCTGCAATCGCGCGACCTTATCGCAGACTCGATCGAGACCGTCATGGGCGGCCAGTGGTACGATGCGAACATCTCCATCCCTGGATGCGACAAGAACATGCCGGGTGTCATCATGGCCATGGGTCGTGTCAACCGCCCCTCGCTCATGGTTTACGGCGGCACCATCCAGCCCGGCTGCGCGACCACGCTCAATAACCAAACCATCGATATCGTTTCCGCCTTCCAAGCCTACGGCCAGTTTATAACAGGAGATATTAGTGAGGAGCAGAGGTTCGATGTCATCAGGCATGCCTGCAACGGACAGGGTGCTTGCGGAGGCATGTACACAGCGAACACCATGGCTACCGCACTCGAGGTTATGGGCATGACGCTGCCCGGATCATCTTCGAATCCCGCGAATTCGAAGGCGAAGGTGCTGGAATGTCTTGCAGCTGGAGGCGCTATCAAGAACCTTCTCAAGGAGGACATCCGACCGAAAGATATCATCACTCGGAAAGCCCTAGAGAACGCCATGGTCCTTGTCAGCGTCACTGGTGGTTCTACAAACGCTGTTCTCCACCTCATTGCTATCGCAGATTCCGTCGGCATCAAGCTTACCATCGATGACTTCCAAAGCGTCAGCAACCGCATTCCACTCCTTGCCGACCTGAAGCCCTCGGGTAAATATGTCATGGCCGACGTAAACGACATCGGTGGTACCCCTGCGCTCTGCAAGTTCCTCCTGAAAGAGGGTCTCCTCGAGGGCGACTGCATCACAGTGACCGGCAAGACACTTAAGGAGAATCTGAAGGATGCAGCGGATTTCCCGGTGGAGCAGCAGATCTTCCGACCTTTGAGCAACCCTATCAAGAAGACTGGCCATCTCCAGATCTTGAGGGGCAATCTTGCTCCTGGTGGCTGCGTGGGTAAGATCACTGGCAAGGAGGGTACCAAATTCACCGGGAAGGCCAAGTGCTATGACGATGAAGACAATTTCATTGCTGCCCTCGAACGCGGTGAGCTGAAGAAGGGCGAGAAGACGGTCGTCGTCATCCGATACGAAGGCCCCAAAGGTGGTCCCGGCATGCCCGAGATGTTGAAGCCCAGTTCAGCCATCATGGGCGCTGGTCTGGGTCAAGATGTCGCTCTTATTACCGATGGTCGCTTCAGCGGTGGTTCTCACGGCTTCCTGATCGGCCACATTGTGCCCGAGGCGCAAGAAGGTGGGCCTATCGGGCTCGTGCGCGATGGGGATGAGATCACTATCGACGCGGAATCGAATGAGCTGAACGTCAGCGTCAGTGAAGAGGAGCTGGGACGGAGGGAGCAGGAGTTCAACGCACCGCCGCTGAAGTACCAGAAGGGGACTTTGTTCAAGTATGCGAGGTTTGTGAAGGACGCGAGCCACGGCTGCGTCACCGACGCTGAGTAAATGTCTTTTCTTCCCGCTTGAAGCCTCGCGTCTAGCTCTTCCGGCTTTCATTCTCATGTCTCACTCATATATCCTGCGTTTTTGGGGCGGGAAGGAAAAGTCGGTTGGAGTTTGGAATGTTGTTCGTATATCATACGCACTTACTGAGCGAATGTCTATCCAACAGGTCACTAGCAACTTCAAAGCAACTGGCGAAACCTCGAGGGCTCTTACTCTGTGAAAGCTGCTGGAATCTCGCAGCGGATACGTCCAGAAGTCGTCCCCGATGGCGAGTACAGAAAATGATCTCCCTTACTCACATTATTTGGGTCTCTTTTTCGCCACGATATCCGGCACCTCTTTATAAGTCTTATATGTACTTATACTATCTTCCAAATCAAGTCACTTCGTTTCCTCTCGTCGGTCTCCAACAGCACAACACCCATGTCCAGCATGCCTGTAACCGGGCAAGATCTTGCTAAGTCAATAACCGATGAAGCGCTCCCGGAGATCTCTACCCACGGAGATGCTCCAATTAACTGTTGACAGGTTACCTAAAACAGAACCCGACCAACCACAATGTCCTCTAGAAGCCACTCAACCCCTCACAAAGCCTCCTCCAGCAAAGCGCCAGTCACGATGCGCGCACCTCTTCAAGAGCAAGCTCCACCCAGACCAAAAGCCACGCACGCCAACTCCACCCTCCCAGGCACAATCCCCACCTCCCTCCCTCGCTCCTCCACCCCACCAACTTCCCCAACACCCCTTCTGCGAAACCTGAAGGTGTTCCGGCAGCTCTGTGGTACAGAACCATTGAAGGACGTCATCCTGGTTACAACGTTCTGGTCCGAGGTATCAAAGCAAGATGCATTGAGAAGAGAGGAGCGGCTCAGTTCTACTTCAGAGTTTTGGGGAGATATGCTCGAGAGGGGGTCTACTATGAAGAGGCTAGTGGACCGACAAAGCGCACTTGACATTGTCGGGTTGCTAGTGAAGAAAACTCAAGTCACGTTGCGAATACAACATGAACTCGTTGAGGACAAGAAGTCGCTAATGGACACAGCAGCAGGGCAGACAGTCAACGAAGAGCTGATGCGATTGGAATTGAAACACAAGGAAGACTTAAAGCGTGTCCAACGAGAGTTGGAGGAGGCGTTACAAGAACGCGATCATGAGATGCAGCAGATCCTTGAACAGCAACAACAGCGATTGGACACGGCCATCGACAAAGTACGGCAACAGCAAGAGCGGTTACAGTATGACCGCAGAGCCGAGCGAAGGAAGTTCGAGAGCCAGTGTGAACTTCAGCTGCAAGAAATGCGGGGCGAGTTTGAGCGGCGTGCAATCGCGGACAGACAAGAAATGATGCGAACTCTGAATTTTGACCAGGCGGTGGCGATTGTACGAGCAAATGAGGGTAAGATCTCGGTCTCTGAGAGAGAGCAGTTGGAAGGAAAGATAGCTGAGCTATCGAAGCAGCTCACCGAGCTTTCCAAAAGGGGTCGTCCGGAAGAAAAGGCTCCTAGGAAAAAGAAAGGAAGCAGTAGCCTCCTCTTCAAGGCGCTTCAGGTCATCTTCCCTGTGACAACGGTCGCCCTGCTTGGAGTCCCAACTCCTTCTCCTTTTGGCAGCGGAGCCACAGCTGGAGCGCTCATGGGGTCTTTGTTTGGAGGTGGCGGTTCGAATTAGATCCATGTTATCGGTGACTGGCATAGCATTCTAATTTTATTCGCTCATCAGCGATCACAAATTTCATCCATGCATCGTCCCCAAGAAGCTGCAAGTGTATACCAACCCATCTAAAGTAACCAAGGTCCGCACCTCACAGTTCGCAATTCCTCTCTACTCCCAATCACCTCACTCCACACCTAACGTCAACCCCTCCAAGATGCCAAGCGCCCTCTCCAACTCCCTCATAAACTCCTGTTCCTTCTTCCGCTCCTCCCTCCCCTCATCCGCCAGACTAAGCAATCGCCGATAACACCCAACGACATTAATCCCCTTATGCAGCATCTGCTCGCGCACCATCCTCCTCAGCACGCCAAACGGATCCGCATTCCGGTCCTGAAACGGCAGCGTCTGCTCCACATGCTCGAGCTGCGAGCGCATTTTCTCTAGGAAAGAGGTTTGCGAGGAGAGCGCTGGCGCGGCGAGCTGCTCGAGCGTACTGCGGAAGTCGTGGAGTGCAGATAGGGTGGTTTGTGCGCCGTGGCTGGGACTTGGAGTTTGGGTTGCGAGGCTAGGACGACTCGTAGGTCGAACTTTGTCTACAGCTGCTGGTTGCGAAATGTGTTCTAGGAACCGCTTCTCCGTGCTATCAACGACTTCTTCGATATAGAGCTCGCTTGCTTCGCTACCTGCTCCAAAAACTGCTTTCCCGTACAAGTTGTTTTCTCCAAGTCGGGAAAGACGGTCTTGACAGTGTCGGACGTTCTAGCGAATAGCCTAGTGGGGTAGCTGGCGTCGTCATGTCTGCAGTGGAGACTGACTGTGAAAACTACGGCCTTATAGAGCACGCTATTGATTTCGGTTTGGGCTACTGAGGAAGTTGAGGCTGGAGAGGAGGAAGCAGGGTGCTCCAGGGCACTGTGGAGGATCGAGGCTCGGAATGTGGCGCGGAGTATATTGATGGCGTCGGTGGTGCTTGGAGAGGGCGGGGGCAGCGTTGGAGTGGACATGACTGCTGATCGGTTGGCCCAGTTGAGAGAAAGGGTTAGCCGCTTTGAAGTCTAAGGGTACTATTTTGTACCTAGGTAGTCAAATTTGGATATGCTAGTTCGCTTAGATGGTGTGTGCCTGGATCTGATTGCCCGAAGAAGGTACTAGGAGTTCACTCCACGATCATGGTCGTCCCCTCAGCCATTCTCACGATTCCCCCAGCCATACCATCCACACACAAACCCTGATACCCTATACCAGCCAAGATTGATGCGCCTAAAGCCCGGTCCCCTCGTAGCTAGAACCGACCACCTCAATCCTCATACTACCCATTCAAATCAAGCATTCTTCGAAAATCTCAAGGATGCCGTCCCACAATCCCCAAGAAGAACGCCCTTTCTGACTCTGCACGCGCTCAAAAAACCTCGTCAGCACTATCTCATTGAACGCCCGCTTGCAGTCGTCATGCGACTTCATGCGCTTCCCCACCATCAGCACCACCTCCTTGAAGAGCTCGTAATTGTGCTCTGTAAACAGCGTCGGCGCCTCGGCCATTTTCCACAGAAGAGAGTGCAGATACTCGTGCGGGAAGAAGTTCGGGCAGTCGACGAGGTACAAGCGGGCGATGAAGAGCGGGACCGTGCTGTCCCAAGTGCTGCTAGAGAGCGAGACCGGGCGGCAAAAGAATCCCAGGCAGATGGTGAGGAGATCCTTTAGGAAGACTTCGTTGGCGGCAGTGAAGTGCGGGCGGGTGTCGCCGGGGTGTGCGTGCGACCACTCCACGAAGACGCAGACGTTGGCGAGCGCGTGGTGCAGTCGGTGCGTCACCGCGGCGGCGGCGGCAGCGGACCAGGCGTCGGGGTCAGAGAGCTTAGCGTGCAGGACTTCAACGAGGGCTCTGAGCTTAGTGATCTCGACGAAGTCGAACGCAGGTCCTGTGCCTTTGCCGAGACCCTCCATGGTGAGCTTGATTTGCGGGTCGTCGCGCTTGGTGAGGTTGAGAAGGTCCACGATGGTCATGATTTCGGCATTGTCGGGGTCGCTGTCGTTGAAGTCGGAGGGGATCTTGGAGAGGGCGGTGTCGACGCTTCGCTTGAAGACCGTGAGAGGGCTGGTGTCGTCGGCTGCGGAAGCTGTGTTGGAGTCTGGAGTCGCCATGTTTGCTGAGCGGATGTTATTGGATTCCGAATTTGTGAGGGGAGTGGATGCGGAGGCGTGGATGGTGTGGAAAGCTTTTTTTAGAGAGGGTGCGCGACGGCCCGTAGCGAGGAGGGTGAAAGAAGCGGCGAATTGTTGACCTTGCCCGGGTGGCACGGGCACGGATACGGATGACTTACCACGAATGAACATCCTTCTCGAAGGCAGCAATAAAAGAAGAGTGCAGGCTCGCCCTCATCTCCCAGTAACGTACGTCATCCTGACTTCTTTCAACCACCGACTCCAATACCCTTCCTCCTCACCGTACACCTTACATCTACATCTACGCCCACCCGCCTCCCCATTCCCCTCCAAACCTGCAGTTCCCCATCCACATCCCCACACTCACCTTTCCACCCCAGCACTAGCACCTTCCTCAACCGCCGGAACCTCTCCTCCTTCTCCTCCAGCACTCTTTCCAACCAACCAAGATAGTACAAGAGCCGATTCTCCACGCTAGGACAACGGTCATCCACCATTACCAGCTCCTCTACATTCACTGGTAGTATACCCGCTACATCAGCAGTTTCCGAGGAGCCTCTAAGTAGGGCGCGATGCGGAAGCGTGATAATACGCAGTTTGGGGAAGTGTGCGAGGGGAGAGATTGGCAGGAGGGCCTGTGTTAGAGGGTGAAGAGTGTGGATAGCCTGGTAATGCCACCATATCTGGCTCGCATCCAGCTCGAGAATCTCCAGACTCTGCTTAACCGGCTCCAAAGCTTCAGTAAGTCCGTCCCAGGGCGCCATGGCGTGTGTCTGCGCGTACTGGTTAGCGTAGTGGTGTGGGATAGAGAGCTTCAAGCTCTTTAAGCCAGTACAGAATGTAAGAAGAGCGTGGAGAGCTGCGGGGCTGAATACGCAGTCTTTGAGCTCGAGAGAGGTTAGCGGGGATGGCGGCATGGGAAGGGGGTTATGAGCGGGTTGGAAGGAGGGTGTTCGTATGGCTTCGATCTTGTCGATACTGAGAGATTGAAGAGCTGGGAGTTTGATGAGGGAGAGCAGCATGTTCCAGAAGGATTGTCCGGCCTCATTTGTCTTGTCTGCGAATAGCATCTTGTCGTGTCGGAGTGTGAGATGCTTCAGCGCGTTTAGTCCGACTATGGATAACTCTGTATGAGAAAGAAGAGGACGGAGTAGGTGATCCCAGCTCGGGCCATGGCAACTCACCTCCAATTTGCGCAGGCTGGGGCATAGCTTGAATATCAAACCGCAGAGCGTGGTATCGCAAGTTGCTTCTTGGAATCTCCGCTCGATATCCCAATCTTTATGCGCCTCATGGTAGATGGAGTTTAGGCGCTTAGGAAAGGACTTCTGAACCCGTTTCAACAGCAACGTACAACGCGCCTCGTTCACAGCACATCTTCTAAGCACACACTTCTCGACATCAACCTCTATGCTCTTCACTAACCCCGCAAGATCAGGTCTCCTCAGCAACGTCCGCAGTAGCTTCATCGCACCCCTATTCCAAGGTGTAGAGAATGTGAGATGCTGGTACAGCGCATCTTCGGCGTGTACATGAAGCTGGCGACAAACCGATAAATTTCGCAATGCGGAACGTGGAAGGAAGGAAGTGATGATCTGCATGATATCATTGGGAAGCGCTTCGAGGCCTGTGGGCTGGGTGTAACTTCTTGTTCTCCGCCCTTTAGAAGAATGTAGAGAGGCGCAGTCAGCGCGATTAAGGCTGCGCTTTCGTGGCAGCATGGTTAGGAAAGAGTGGGACGATACTAGCGTAGGGTGTGGATGTATAAGCGAAATCGATGTGAGTGGTTATTGAAATGAGAAAGGAAACGATTGCGAACATACGCTGTTGGGATGCTTGACCGGAAACCTGAGGAGGGAAGTACGCCCATAGGCGTTGTGAGAACCGCGAAATAGAGAAAAACAGACCATAGGCCAAAGACATTGTTCCATATTTGGACGTTCTTTGTCTAAGAAAGAATATCAAACAAAGGATGAGTTGCGACTCTGGAATATGACTAGAGAATGACGACGGCATTCTGGTCGCCTATAATGCGGTTGAGGGAAATTAGACTGGGGTTTCTTGAGGGGTGGGACACATGCATGCCATGCACCCGATCCAGAGAACAGCCCCATAACTAGCACCTGTCTGTTGAACTCCAATCGCCTACCGTGCTTGAAAATCAGTGACTCCTCGAAATGCCGGAGGGTCCAAGCCTTAGATGAAGGGTATCCAAACTCTAGTGCGCGCCTTGTACGCCTTGTAATCATTGCCGAAAAATTCAATGAGATGCTTCTCTTCATCTGTAAGTATTGTCAGCCCCTGGTTCAGCAAGTCCTCAAAGCTCGGAAACATACGAGAGATTCTCGTCTTGAAGAAGTACCAAAGAACACCAGCGTATCCAATCAAGCTGACAGTATTGCCCAACACAACCTGGGTGCCGAGGCCCCACCAGAAGAAGCCGAAGTAAGAAGGGTGGCGGAAGTAAGCGTACAAGCCGGTAGTGACCAACTCATGCCCTTCGTTCTTCTTCGACTGCACCTGGTGGTTGAAGTTTGTGCCTGCTTGGACCATAGCACAACTTCGAACTGTTTGTCCAACCGCTATCATTATTATCCCGAGGGCTACTATGGGCGGCGGATTGACGCGCGCTTGCCAGCTAGGCAAGAAGTATGAGGTGAGGCAGGCTTCGATGAAAGCGATGGTGTGGGCCTGGCGGTAGCGGGTGCCGTTGGTGAGGAGAAAGGAGGAGATGAAGGCACTCGGGGTGTTGTATTCGGCGGTGATCCAAAACTCGAGGAAGTGGAAGACGCAGAGCGTCCCCACAAAGAAGAGCGGTCTCCAGAGACGGCTCTCGTAGTACGCGAGTACTATGCTCGACACGAAACCAAGCGCACCGCAGCCTCCCAGGAGGAAGGCGCGTATGGCAATACCGGCAAGGGAGCGGTCTCCGCCGGGCCAGAAAGCGCGTGAGATGACATTGTGCGCTCTGAACTGTATGGACGAGGCCTCTTGAGCGCGGACTTTTGCATCTAGCTCAGGTGTCCATGCACCTTTGTCGGCCGGGCGGTGGATAGGGAAGGATATCTCGGGGCGGGGAGGCGTGGGCGTGCCGTTCTGGTTAGCCATGGCGTTGAACAGGAGGGGGACGCTGCAGACGGTACGGGGGTGGGTATCAGGAATACATAGCAGAAAAGAAAAGAAAAGCACCTAGAGCCGGTGTGGAATGTGCCGACCAGAACAATCAAACAATACTAAGGGCCGCTCGCTCGCGTTTGTCTTTGAGGTCGCGTTGTTCGTTGTTCCTCGCTTGCGGCCGATGAAGTCACAGCCGAATTGTTTCCGGCGCTATTCCCCTCCTGGCCTAGTTGCAGAGCCTCAGACATCCCACCTGCACTTCAACCGCTGCCTCAGGTTTCGAAGACGTATGCCTTCAATTGCACGCCCTATCTCCGATTCTTATCCTAATTCTGTTGGCTTCCTATTACTCTCTTCAGACAGTACCCCTACCCGCCCCTCCCAGCATGGAGCTGTCCGAGAACAAGCAGAGAATGCTTCGCGGGGAGCTCTATTATGCATTCACCCCCGAGCTGGTCGCAGATAGAGCTCGCTGCAAACACACCTGCGCTCGGTACAACAACGCTGGAGACGCTCCGCGCCGAAACCTGACCGAGCTGTTCCGAGAGTATGTACGTCTCTCCAGCATCCGAGAGCCCTTCGGCCCTTTCTGACCATGTCACTCCAGCATTCTCTGCGACAAGACGCCCCTTCCGCCCGTAGCTGCTACCCCCGAAGAGGACGACAAGCTGTTCGATGACGATCCTTGGATCGAGCCTCCAGTCGCCATGGACTATGGCTTCAACGTCCGCCTCGGCAAGAACGTCTTCATCAACTTCCACGCTGTCTTCCTAGATACATGCCTCATAAGCATCGGCAGCCGCACCCTCGTGGGGCCCAATGTTTCCTTCTTCTCCGGGACGCATCCTCTCGACCCCACAATCCGCCAAGGCACGCGCGGGCCAGAGCTGGGGAAGGAGATACACATAGGAGAGGATTGCTGGATCGGAGGCAACGTTGTCATCCTCCCCGGAGTTACTATCGGCAGAGGCAGCGTAGTTGGTGCCGGGAGCGTCGTAACGAAGAGTGTGCCCGAGTTCCATGTCGTCGCAGGTAATCCTGCCAAGATCATAAGGAAAGTCGAGACTGCCATGGATCCGGCAAGCGCCGCTGAATGGACAGGCTGGCCGGACGAAAATGTCGGCGGAGCTGAATTGCCTATGGCGGAGATGGGTGAGCGCGATGAAGCTGTTCAAACACTGCCCGAGCCCAAATGAGGCCGCGCAATGAGCCCAACGTCCGGTCACAGCGCCTCGGTCCCCGCACGAACTCACGCGGTATGCATCGGTTTCCTTGCTTACTGACTGTCGCCGCTAGAAGCTGGACGTGATATTCCTTTGTATATCTCAAGCGATGCGTTATTACATCCAACCTAATGCTGGCCTACAGTCTGTCCAGCAACTCAACCTCTCTCTCCGATAATCTCATCATTTACATGGGATTGTCCCCTCCGTCTTTTCATTGGATCAACTCTGCCCCGAATAGTTTGATCTGCAGAGATCAAACACTTTTCGCTATTTTTGTCGACAAACCATCTCATCCACATTGCGCCGGGTCACGGTACGTTTTTGGTGACCTGTGTTATGCGTTGCCTTTCAACGGTAGCCGTTTTTTCTCCTCATTGTTCCAGACGTCAGAAGGACACACAGCTTACCTAAAGCGAACTCGGTTATGCGGCAGCACCCATTCGTCGACTGTCGCAGAAACACGCTGCCTTCGCGTCCGTTACCCGAAGCGGCGGCGACCACCTCGTCGAGCTAGGCAATTCGCAGCGTTCCGAGGTCTATAGTAAAGGCTACTACTTTAACATGATCTACTGCGTCGTCAAGATCTATCGGAGAACTGTCGGAAGGTCATAGTCCGTATGTACAGTGGTTCCTTCGTGGCGGATACTCGAATGGCATGGCACATTGGACAATAGGGTCGTATCACCGCGGTCCGACTTGCGCGGAGCCTCAAACTACAATGTTTTGACACCTACTTTCTCTTCCCGCGCTCAGACTCTTAACGGTCGCCAAGCTTTGTCCAAGATTCTGGGGATCACGGGCAAGCTTCGAACGCCAAGACCAGCGAAACTCCTCCCATACGCCAACAAAACATCGCCCTCCGATCCCAAAACACCCAAGATATGTTTAGCTTTGTTTGCCCCCATGGGATCCCTGATCAGATCGCGTTTCCGTGTCTGGAGAATCCCTTCCCTTCTCACCAGATACAGAGTTCGTGTTGGGTGAGAATCTCAAATTATCCTTGGAGCACCGCTATAGTCATGAGAAACCAAGAGCCATCTCTTACACAAGAGCAGCTGCCAAGCAGTCGCAGGCTCTTGCGTTCCAAAAACACATCCACGATGTTGGACCACCAATGTCTTTAATGCGTCCGTAGCAACACCGGCAAAGAAGCCGATGTCAACTACAAATACGAGCTCCCGCAGCCCCCCAAATTCAGTTTCGACGGGCAGGTTCCACATTCCTTGACTGGCTACTTAACTTCTATTCCACTTCTTCCATTCCACTTCGTTCAGAAAGTATATTTGTTCATCGCGTACATATTTGTTCTGTCCTTATTATTACCGGTCCGGACCGCTAGTCACCATCACCATGAAGTACATAATCCTCGCTTCTCTCCTCTCCTCCGCCGCCCTCGCTGCGCCTTTCGCTCAGGTGCAGGGCCAGGCCGCCACTAATGCTAATGCGGGAGCCACCCAGGCTGGTGCAGGCACCGCGGGCACACAGGCGGGCGCTGGCCAAGCCGCCGCCGGACAGGCAACTCAACAGCAAGGCGCCGCTCAAGGACAAACGGGCACGCAGGGCGCGACGGGCCAGACCGGTGCTCAGAATGCCCCGCAACAGGGTGCAGGTGTCGCCAACGGCCAGACTCCCAGTGCTGCCGACCTCGCCACCGCGGTCTCCAACTGGCAGGCCGATACCTCGATGGTGTCCAACTTCCTTGACACGGGCGCCGGCATCCAGAACAACGTCGCATTCAAGCAGGCGGCGACTGTCGCGTTCAACGCCGAGGTCGACGAGCTGAACCACAAGGCCATCATCGATGCGGCGAACAGCGCCGATCCCAATGTCCAGGCCGCGAACAGCACGCTCGCGACCGCCGGTGCCTTCCAGGATGTCGTCGACAAGCTCCAGCAGATGAGCGTCCAGGGCCGTGCGGCGGTTGCGAATATTGATCTGATCAACCAGAACCGATGTGTCAATGGTATGTACTTGCCTTACCAATTCCCATGAGGAAGAGATGCTAATATGTATATGTTTAGTCCTACCCAACATCGACGCGTACATGGCATCTACCGGCTCTTCCAGCCAGGCTATCCGTCCGCAGGTCTGCGACCAGACGGGCGTTGCGGGCGGCGTCCAGGGCACGGGTGCTACGCAGCCCGGTCAGGCTCCGGGAACGCCCCAGGCCGCTTTTGATGCTGCTGCGGCGCTTGCTCAGGGCACTGGAAACGGACTTATTCAGACCGGAGGTACGCTTTCTCCATTTCGGCTCTACTTGCGCATATATTGATGTCGATTAGGTGCTCAAGCCGGAACTGCTGGCACTGCTACTCCCGCTCAAGGCCAGGCCGGTACTGCCGCTCAGGGACAACAAGCCGGTCAGGCGCAAGGCCAAGCTGGTACCGCTCAACAGGCCGGTGCTCAGGGACAGGCTGGCACAGCTGGTTAGTCGATTCTCACGACACTCCTTTTGACATGTCGCTAACATCGTTGAAGGAACTGCCGCTCAGGGTCAGCAAGGCCAGGCTGGTACCGCTGCTCAGGGACAACAAGCTGGCACCGCCGCTCAGGCTCAGGGCCAACAGGCCGGTGCTGCTTCCGCTCAGGGCGCTACCGCTGGAGCTACGCAGTAATCGCGAGGAGAGCGAGATGATGGGCTGGGCTACAGCTACATTCGTTGCTCGGAGGAGCTTTCGGGGGTTATTCCTTCTCTGTTGATGATTTTAGCTAGCTGCGATATGTGTACAAAAGAAAATTGTGGATAGTTTGTGGAATAGAAGGATTTGTAGCCTATGCGGTCTTTCCCTGGAACCTCCTGGATATTGAATTTTCGGGCATAATGTGATGTTTCTGGCCAAGTGGAGCCTGGCAGCTCAGGCGGAAAGCTTGTTTGCAACCTTATTTTTGAGGTTTCGAAACTTGGGCATCGGAGACTGGGGCGTCCGTTTGTTCGGCTGGGGACAGATCCGAACTGTTTCGAACAATTGTGTAACGCATTGATCAGGAGGTGACGGGCGGGCGCAAAACGGTGGTACGGCGGCAGGTGTTTTGGAACAGAGCAGTCACGCTCGAAGAGGTGGTGGCTCCTCGGTTTGTTGGCCGTGTCCTCGGTGTCCTAAGGATAGATGTCGTGAGAGGGACTGGGATGCGAGACGGTGGGCATCCTTTACTGTGGTCCCCAGGCAGCCCGGCGTGCCCGGGTAAGTAGTACGCCTTGGAATTCTGGGTTCTCTGTTTGATCTCACGCATGGGAGTCAATCTATTGAGGAAACAGACAGTCAGCAATCACAGCGAAGTCGCAAGGTAGGCGGAAAAGCGATCTTGAAAGCGCGCGCGAGGCTGTCGGTCAAGTGACACGCGACCTCGCGTCATCTCCAGATGCGTCTTTACGTGCTTCAACGTCCCACGGCACGAACTGCACGAACTGCACCACAGCATACACTCGCTCTCCCTTGCGGCGCGCAAGTTGCTTCACGGAACGTCCACTCGCTTACGTCAACGGCTGTGAGAGGGGGCGTTTTGGCGTCTTGATGAGTGAGCTGGCAATGGTTGGCCTGTTGCGCAGCGCCTCCGCCAAGCGCGATTCCGAGTTCCGTTGACCGCATCGCTGGCGCACCTGAACGACTTGACTTCCGCTCGTTTTCTGCCATCAGGTCGGCCTGAACGGGATCATTGCAAGATATGGCTGAGGGCGTCGATTTGGAGAAGGAGTTGACGTGTTCGGTAAGTTGAGCTTGCGTTTTCGTGGTGCGGGGAGCGGTGGGGGAGGGGAGGAGAGGGGCGGTCAGTGAGAGGACTGGTGAAGAGATGGCATTTCTGAGTTTGGAAGCGCGATGGGAAGCTATAGCGACCTCTTGGGCCCGTATTGGGCTCTTTGGGCGAGAGATACCGGGTCTTGGGGATGTGCTGTCCCTCCGGCCCGCTCCTACATTCAAGGGTCAGCCTGCTAACTCTCCACCTCCCTTCCAGATATGCACCGACCTGCTCTACCAACCGCTCACGCTGCTCGACTGCCTGCACACCTTCTGCGGCGCCTGCCTCAAAGAATGGTTCGCCTTCCAGGCCTCCACCGCGACATCCATCCACCCCTACACCTGCCCGGCATGTCGCGCATCCGTGCGCAGCACGCAGCCCAACGCCATCGTGAACACGCTCCTCGACAGCTTCATACAGAAGAATCCGCAGAGGGGGAAGAGCGATGCGGACAAGAAGGTGGATAGGGAGAAGTACAAGCCGGGGGATAATGTGATGCCGAAGCTGAGGCGGAGGGCGGAGCCGGGCGAGGACGAGGAGAGGAGAGTGCTAGAGGAGGTGCAGCAGCTGAGTTTGAGGGAGGTAGGGATTGCGGGTGAGGCTGGGAATAATAATCACCTTGAGCCGCCGAGGGAGCGCAGGAGGAGGGAGCGAAGCCGCGATCCGAGTAGAGACTCGAGGAGGAGCAGGGATGATAGGTCACGGAGTCGGAATCCGCCTGAGGCTTCGTCGTCTAGGGATGTTATTCCCCCGAGGGAACGGCAAAGGGTGGTGGAACATCAGTCGAGTCTGAGGTCGCTGCTTAGCGCTTCGGAGCTGGATTCGCAAGAGATGGAAGAGGAGATTATGCGCCAGATCATGGAGGAGGGGCTGCTGGATGGGATTGATCTGAACAACATCGACGTCGCGCAAGAGGACGCAATCAGCGAGAGGATAGCGCAGGCGTACAGGAGGCGAGAGGCAGAACGGCAACGGGAGAGAAGAGAAAGGAGAGAGAGGAGAGAACGACTGGCAAGAGAAGGCCAGATCAGCCCGTCTGGTCACTCTACGCCTCCAGAAATCCGCAGTCCTCCCGCCCGCGACGACGAACAACCACACAGGAGACCTCAGGGCCGGTCGCCAGCCGAAAACGGAACATCAACTCCCCGAGAAGAGCGAGCAAGGCCACCGGTTTCTCGGCCTGGCCTCCTTGAAGTCGCGAATCAGAGCGGTCGGACACGGCATGCTCGATCGTCAAGCCAGGGCAGCTCACGATCAGCAAGGAGTGAGCGGGACCATCGTCCTGCTCCTCTGGCAATCACTTCCTCTAGGAGTGCCAATGTGTCGCGAACTGAACTTGCCGAGAGACCAGCAACGTTGGAAAGCGCTTCTTCAGCACGACGCCGCCAATCTGAAAATCAGCGGCCGACTTCACTAGAGGAACGACAGCGGTTTAGGAATAGCTTGCAAGCGCACTCTGCATCTAACCCTAACACTCCCCGAATCGGAGCTTTCAACGCTCCTACGGTGGACAGCCCAACGAGCTCTGCGGCTGTAGTCGCCGCTCCACTGGTCTCTCCTCTCACCACTGCTCCTTCTACATCACCTCCCACTTCCCGCCGGACCACGGATCCTACTGGAGTTAGGCAAGCCCGACCTTCAAATAATGGCACGCCTCCTATGACTTCTCCCACATTCCCTCGTTCTACTACGGAACCCTCTGGAAGCGAACCTCAGTCAAGACCAACATCAATAGCCACTGCACCTGCTCCAGTCCAGTACCCAGAGCCTCAAATTTCATGTAACGGGTGCGGCAAAGAGCACATCGAACATGACCTGCACTACAACTGCTCCCGCTGCGACAATGGCGATTACAACCTCTGCCTGCCCTGCTACCGCCGCGGCAAAGGCTGCAAGCATTGGTACGGCTTTGGCTGGGCAGCATGGCCCGCATATCAGCAAAAAGCACCAGCAGGCGGCTATCCCCCAAACCACGAGTACCCCCACATCCTCCGCGGCCACCGCTACAAAAGACCCCGAACACGTCTCTCGGAATCGACAACACCACCACATATCCTCATGAGCGAAGACGATCCCGCGAAGCGACTCGAAATCGGCGTTTTCTGCGATATCTGCAAAGCTTATGCGAATAGCTGCTACTGGAAATGCGACTACTGCAACGAAGGCGAATGGGGCTACTGCAACGACTGCGTCAACCAAGGCCGACACTGCACGCACGCCCTGCTTCCCATAAGCCACGTTAACAAAGACGCCGCACCCTCTTCCTCCCGGGCGCCAATCGAGGCCATCACTTCAACCGTAACAGGGCACCTCTCCCCACCCTACCCCCTCGATGCCTCACCTCCCACAACACCACCCTTGACGCCTAAATCCGCCTCTCTAATCCGCGGCCCCGGCCTCGTCGTCATCGCGAATACCACGTTCCGCCCGCTAACCTTCACCACGCGTTGCAATATCTGCACATATCCCATCCCGCCCTCTCACACGCGCTATCACTGTCCGAAGTGCAACGGAGGCGACTACGACATCTGCACCGGTTGCTACCAGAAACTCGTCGTGAGCGGCCGGATAAGCAAAGAGGACGGCATGCACGGCTGGCGCCGCTGCCTGCGCGGCCACCGCATGATAGTCGTCGGCTTCGAAGACCGCGACGGCGGCCAACGCCGCATCGTCGTTCGCGACCTCGTCGGCGGCCTCTCCCTGCGCGACGAGCCTCCCACCACCGCAGAGCACCAGCACCAGCAGCCCGGCTCCCCTGTCACCCACCACCGCGAGGACAAATGGACATGGCGCGACACCGACGGCTCGCGCCACCACTTCCGCTCCCCGCACTCCTCCAGCGCCGCGCTGGCCCCGTCCGCCTCCGCCCAGCGCTTCCCGCCCGACGGCGGCGTCGGCCTGCGCGTCCAGGCGCGCTGGAGCTACGTCCCCGCCGAGGGCGTCACGGACGAGCTGTCTTTCCCTAAATTCGCGGACATCACCGAGGCCGAGGATATTAATGGCGATTGGTTCTGGGGTGTGTATGCGGGCGCGAAGGGCCTGTTTCCAGGGAATTATGGCAGGGTTGTCGGCGGGAATGTGGAGAGGGTGGGTGTTATTTAGGAGCTATTTTGGTGGAGGTCGGGGTTTGAGAAGACGGTGTGTTGTGGGGAAGGGGGGGGAGGGGGGTAGGTCCGCGGTCTGCGGTCTGCGGTCTGCGGTCTGCGGTCTGCGGTCTGCGGGCTAAGGTAGAGGGGGCCGCGGTGAGGAGGTTGTCGTTCTCGTTATCAATACTGTCTATCAACGGCGACAACGTGTAGTACGAAGACCCCTGAGCAGCGAACCGCTGCGTGGTGATCGGTACCCTGACGAGTCGAGCGACGGGGGAGGGACGAAGCGCCGAGGGAACGGTACTGGGATGGGATGATTCATCTGGCGCGTTTTGACTTTAGGCGCAACGGTCCATGGTTCTGGAGGAATAGCGTGCATGCCTGGAATTCGGTTAGCGGTCTTGCATTTGAGACACGACGTTATGAGCTACGGTTGGAACATAATGACTGCATGTAGGGTTACGGCTACGGTCACGGTCGTGGGCATATTTAGAATGAGAGATCAAAGTAATCCATCCGGACTCGAAAGAAGATTACGCTGAGATTCACTTCATACCTAGGAGGTATCCTACGCTCAAGGCCCCTATTGCACTAGCTACCACGCGCGCGCCTCGCTATCTCTCCAAAAATACCTATGTAAATCCGCATAGATGAACCCCTCCGTACGAAGACAAATGTCACATCGATGACAAGGCGCCGACCTCGCTTTACACACACATCCTATATACAGAGAGAAAGGTATCATGCGAAAGGAAGACATGCAACTAACTAAACCCCATCATCGCATACACATCATAGCTATCGTGGGGTTGAATATGAAAAACTCCGCTCTCCACACGAAAACGAAATGTAACTTTCAAGATAACTAACCACTTTTGCGCGCATGCATCAAAGTCGAATTCGAAAAGGCAGAGTGAAAGAAAGCAGCGAACCGCTAGGTAAGAACATATACTACTATACTAAAGGTGATGGAAGTGTGTCGCTCAGCTCCGAGTGCGGCCGCTGCGTCGGACGGAACCTGTGCCGTTCGCAACCGGGCTGGAGGATCCTGCGTCGGACGTGCCGTTGGCTTTAGCCTTGCCCTTTGCTGAACCCCGGGTTGCTTTCGGTCCTCTGGCCGATGTAGGCTCTTCGATAGGCTCGGCGGCTTTACGCTTCGACGCTTTGGCCGAAGAGGGTTCTTCGACGAGTTCGGCAGCTTTGCGCTTCTGCGCCACGGGCGATGATGCCACACCGTTTGTCTTCTTCGTGCCTCGCTTCCTGGCTCCTTTCGGCGGCTCTGGTTCCGGTTCGGGCTCTGCCTCGGCCTCAGACAGTGCGGATTCTTCTGCCGGCTCGTTCTCTGCTGCCTTCTCTGGCTCGGCCATTTCCATGTCTTTCTCGGGCGCCGGAGATTCGGCATCAGACATCTCCTCATCTTCTTCAGCGCCGGCTTCGGTATCCGCCTCATCTTCATCGCTCGAGACCTCGACATAGCTCTTGTGCGCAGTGCTCTTCCTGCCGCTCTTGCGCCTCGGCTCACTCGACGGGGCAGCGACGTCTTCCATATCCTCATCCTCACTCTCGCCACTCTTCCTCTTCTTCCGGGGCGTCTTTGTCGGCCTCTCCACCTTAATCTTCTCTTTCTTAACGGCTTTCTCGCTCTTCACTTTCTTGCGTGACTTCTCGCCGCCTTCGGTCGCTTTCCGCTTCTTGCTCCGTATCGACTTGCGCACAAGCGGCTCGAGCTCTTCACCGAAATCTTTGTCGATGTACTGCTTGTTCGCGATCTCTTGACCTCGCTCATGGCTCTCCATCGGCTTGAAGATGCCACCGGGCAGCTTCTGTTTGCCGGGGAATGTCTGCATGCTCCAGCCATTGTTATCCTCCCATAGAAGGATCAGTGCCTGAGCCAGGTCGGAGAGTATGTACAGGTTCTTGTCGGTCTGGCCCGAGGGATCGATGCCATCTTTGACAGTCTTTACTCGTCCAGCCATGTGATAGATGAGCGCAAGATTGTCCTCGGTGGCAACACACTTTAAGTAGTAGAGAATGAATCCAGCCATGTCCTTTAGCGTGTCGGGGTCGTTGTTGAAGTCCGGATGATGAGCGAGCAAGCTGAGGAGCCGGGCGAAAACTGACGTCTCGAGGAGGGTCTCTTTACGAGATGTAAAGGCTGCCCGACGAGAGCGGATCCACGTCGCTAGAGTCTCCCTCAGATGCGAGTCGGGATCGTATGCGAAGAGGAAGAGGATGCTGTAGTAGCGAGACGATAGCCGGTTCTGTCCGAGATACTTCATCAACTTCAACGCAAAGCTCTTGCGGACATGGAGACAACTATCATGAGTCACAAGCGCAAGCTGGATGAAATCTGCAGACGTGATTTTGCTATCCAGGCGACGCTGGCAAGCAAGCTTGAGGAGGAAGTTGGCCGCAAGAAGCCGCTGACGGTTCTTGTGAGCCAACGGCGTATTGTTCTTCTTGGAAGCTTCACCGCCTTTCTTGACCATCCGGTTGAGCAGTGTGTAGACTGGAGCCACGACTTTGTCGAAGTTCGCTTCCCCAGGGAATGAGCGCAATCGGTTAACGAGGATCCTCAGAGCCCACGATCTGGCAATGATGTCGTCATCCGGGGGCTCCATCCATTCCTCTTCGGCCTCTGGGGATGTGGAATGAGTTTTGAGCAGGACGCCCTCCACCGCGATTTCGACGAGGGCATCGGTATCGTCTCCGCACTCTTGGGGGGCGAGGAGCACGAGCTGGCTGAGAGCGGCGAGCTTGGTTAGCCAATGGTCGCATCCATACTCAAAATTCTTCATGCTTTTCTTCAAGACTTCTTTAGCATGCATCTCCTTCTTATTATCGCTGCTCATGATGATGGTGATTGCGTGCTTCGCGGCCTTCGGTGGCGATCCATACAGCGCAAAGTTCAGGAAGCTTTGTATCAACTTCCGGCTGTCCTTCGCATTCAAAGGAACTTCCTTGGGGAATTTCTTCGCGAAGCTGGCGCAAGCTTTCAGGTCATCTACCGCGCCTGGCGGATTCGTAGCCTTGTCCGTGGGTGCTTCGCTTTCCAGCGTCTTGCAGAGGTCCTTGACGTGGGTGGAGAAGACTTTTGGATGCTTTGTGGATATCTCTTTGAGGATCTCGTGTGCAGTAGCTCCCAGACCCTTGTCGTCGGTCCGAGTGTACTCGATGATGGCAGGAACATGGCTCTTGTTGTAGCAGAGTAGGCCGACACGGTATAGCAGCGGAGTGAGAGTTTCGAGCAAAGTGGGGCTGGCTGGGTTCTCCTCGATCCTCTTGCGGAGCTCTTTCTACGCATGATGTTAGCTGCTGTATGCACTCGTAGTGTGCTACTTACGATGGATTTGAAGATTTTCCGATAGTCGCTCTCCGGGGTCATGCAAAACCGGATGAGCTGATAACTCCGGCGGTCATGCGCTTTTGCAAACTTCCATAGATCCTCGACTACGCGTGAGGAGTCAGGGAGAGTTTTGCTGTAGTAGTTGATGAGCCCCTCTAGCTTAGCCTTGATCTCCTTTTCACCTTTGTCCATGACGCCACCGTTGTACTCTTCGCACATCTTCAGGAAGTGCTCCATGTACGTAGCGTGCGCTGCTTGATTCCCCTGGTTGGCAAAAAAGACCTTCTTCGCTTTCTCTTCTAGTCCATGGACGAGCACAAGCTGCCTCTCTACGCGGATCTTGTCAAGCTCGGCCTCTGTATACCCTTGATCGCCACTTGGTTGGCTGTCTTTGACGACCTGAGAGCCGCCGTTGACGGCTGCTTTTGGCTTCATCGGTGGGTAGCTGAGCGGAATTAGAGCCTCGTATGTGGCAAGGTCCACCTGAGCTGTAATTCCTGGATCTTTCACATAACAGGCGTCAAAGATCTTAGAGGGTATCGGTTCGAGCAACTCGGTGATCCGCTCGTTGCCCTCAGCAATGGCGCCCGCAGCTACGCCCCACAGTCTAGCAAGCAGCCTGATAGCTTCCGTGTGGATGACAATCTTTCTGTCTTTCACGCGGTCCGCAAGATTATAGAGTATGGATCCTGGCTCTGACATGCTGCCGTTACTGCCAAGCTTCTGGACGACGTCGTTGAACTCAAAATGCTCAATCGCCCTGATCGCAGCAAGTCGAACTCGCTCATCACTGTCAAGGAGGCATTCAGCGAACGACTTTAGCAGCCTCTGCTCTTCGTCAGGGTCGAGACCCACGCCACCTGCTGAGGTCATCAATATCCGGCCAATGCCGGTCGTCCATGCAGCGCGGATGATAGGAGACTTATCGTTTCGGCGCTGGAGGAGAGCATGGTATGCGCCAGGGTATTGTGCGGGGAAAGAGTTGAGTGATGCAGGCGTGGTAAGGTAGTTGTAGGGGCGAACAGTAGAGGAAGGGTTCAGGCTCTGCGATGGGTATGCCGCAGGATCTAGTTCCGGTTGCGGCGGCGGACCAGCAGCGCCGATGCCAGAGACCATATCTCCGAAAGTCTCGGTAGCAAGCTGGCGAAGCTGCACGTTCTCAGTGCCTAGTTCTTCCTGCAGATGGGGAATAATTTCTTGCAGCGCGCCCGGAGCGCATCTCCATAATTCTCGGAGTAGTCGATGGGCTTTGCTAGCATCGTTGATATCTTCTTCCGACGGGCCTTTGGCTTCCTCATCCTCGCTGTCGCCAGCACTACCCGCCCGATGTTGCTGGTGCTTAGCGGGCCCAGAGGCAAAGTCCACAATGATAGATCCAAAGTAGGTCCCGAAAAGACGGGCCATCTTGTCCGGGAAGGCGTTGCAGAGGTTCTTGGCCATGTTGTACGCCGGTGGCGCTTCCTTGCGTAGCAGCGTCGACTGCTTCGTGTCCACCGCCGCATGCTTCTTTGCTTTCGCGGAGCTCCCCAGGGTGATAGGATCGGCCCACAGAAACTGGGCCACAATTACATCGACCACATCAGGTGAGATGGTCGGTGCCTCATCTATTAAGATAGACAAGACAGCCGTCATGTGGTGTTCCACGTTCTTGCTCAGCTCTTCGCCATTCGCCGCCCTCGAGGGCCCGGACAGTACATCGAAACAAGTGGTAAACAGGGAGTTGGTGAGGTGTGCGGACCCGGGTATATCGGTGATGATGACCACGCTCTTGAATTCAGCCAGCGACTTCAGCATGTACAGATGCTGGCTGTTGTAGGGATGTGAGGGGTCGGCGAGGAGAGGGAGGATCTTGACGACGATGAGAGTGAAGATGTCCTAGTCGCACGTGTTAGCAGCGTCCTAAGCGGGCATGATATCCGATTCGTACCTTGAGCTGGGATCCCGAGTAGGGCGCATTGGGCGCGAACAGGCGGAACATTTCCACGAGACAGCATGCTGTCCATGCCCGCACTCCAGCATCCTTGTGTTGTATTAGGCTGTGATGGGCCAATTCCTTCGCCGACGGGGTGAGGGATTCCGTGTCGGCCTCCTCCTGGGCAATGTCCCGCAGCTCGTCGCAGAGCGCCTTCAATCGCGTCAATAGCTCGGTGACGCCAATCTGCTTGCCCGGCTTCCCCACCAGCGACTGCTTGAACTTGAGCTTCTGGAGGCCCTCTTGCTCCTCCTCTTCCTCGGCAACTGCAGTCGCGGCGCTACGCCGGCTGCGTGTCGCCATCTCGCGTGGCTCGCGTGCGGGTTTCCGCGGCGCAGTGAGCGTGGTGGTGCGGATTGCGTCGCCTCGGGTGCGCGTAGGTGAGTCAATTACTCGGCGGATGTCTATATTGCGGTCGTGCGATTGCGCCGTGGTGGTGATGGTAATAGCAACGTCAGACGAGGGCGTGGGAGGAGCTATGAAGCACAACGCGCTAAGGCCAACGCGCTGCCCAGGTGTGCTGGCGGGTCTCGACGCGGGCCGACTGCCTTAGTCATCCCGACTCTTTCACCTTTTTGATCTACTGCTGTGCCCTTGCAACGCATACCATCGATGAAATAAGAGCCTACAACAAAACACCGTTGAAAAAGGGACCCACCGACGAGAGCTCAAGATATAACTACTATAGGTACGTGAGCTAACAGCACTTCCTCTTTCGTCTCACCTATCTTCCGGGCCTCACCCGATCCTATCTCTCCCTGGCAACAAAGCTGCCTCGGTCGAGGCAACGCTTCCGCCATTTATACTTTGGCTTAGTTTGACGGCCATAAATGCTTTCTATATGGCGCCGCAACCTTCTTAAATGGGACCAATAGCCTGCTGATCCATCGACATGGAAAGGCAGCAAGCGTTTTCACGGGTACGCCATCATTCCCATGCTTTATATGATTCAGCTGATAGACCATGTAGTTGAAACCAGCATGCGTCAAACTGCTTCAGGTCACGGCCAGTTTTGCTCAAAAGCCTACCGCCCGGACAGAGTTGGTGGACTCTCTGGCTCAACTTCTGAGCACCCTTCAAAGCGTGTCCGCTAATCCCGTCGCTCTGGATGCACGGCTTGCCGAGTATGTCTTTGTGCCTATATCACAGGTCCTTCGGATGTCTCGAACGGTACCTGTTCGAGCTCTGGAACTCTGCCTCGAATGCATTTCCATTCTTCTAAGAGCAGGCTGGGGAGGCGGCCTTGCCCCTGAACTCTCCGGCCAGCTCCTCATCCTCCTCACCTTCATGGCCAAGCCCTCTTCCGCTGAGAACGGAATACCCGGTACTTCTGAAGAGCTCCAAACAACGGCTCTCAAATGCCTGGCGGAGCTTCTGCTCCACATCTCTCGCATTCCTCAAGGAAGACAAGCCCTTACTGCAACAGCAAATATTCCCGCGCTCGGAGAGGCAGTGCTTGTAACTCTCGACAGCCTCACCGACAGCAACTCGAACGGGGTCAAGCTTCAAGCTCTTGCTGCCATAACGGCGCTCATCACAGCTATCGATGACAAAGATGCACTTGCCAGCTTTCTCCCACGGATGGTATCATCCCTGACCAAGGTGTTAACCCCGAGCAGCAGCAACCGCGCAAGCTTTCGGGTTCTCGAACACGGCTTGAAGTCAATGACTTCGTTATTTCTTCGTCTGTTAAGCGATCGCGAGACGAAGAGCCTATCTCAAACAACTCAAGAAGACCCACAGGATAAGAACAAAGTCATACGTTCTGCGTCTTGGTTACACGCCACAGCCTCCCAAATCAAGATCGCACTAGCAAACGTCCTCAAGCTGCGAAACCATGACAAGCCAGAAGTTCGGCAAGCGCTGCTGAACCTATGCCTCACCGTCGTCCAAGATTGCCGAATCTCCCTCAGCGAGTGTGTGAGCATGGTCATCGAGACCATGGTGACCCTCGCGGGGCGCGCGGGGCCTGAGGATGCAGTAGAGACGCACTTGAAGATCCTGCTCGCCACTAATCAAAAGCTCTCCGGACTCCTGCGGGAAAGCCTCCATGGTTGGGTTATCTCGTTGCCCAGGCTGATGCAATCAAAGGACGACACAGGCCGACGCCAAATCATTCATCAGATCTCAGTTACGCTTCGATTGCTCAAGGAAGACCAAGTTATGGTAGACGATCTTCTGGCGGAGAATCTCCGCGATGGTGTTTCGGCAATTTTCAACGACTCCAAAGGGGCAGAGTCTCTTGTCGAAGTAACGTCGGCCGCGGCTCTCGGAAAGGAGCTTGTGCTCGGCCAGGCGACGTCTACATCTTTCGAACCCTTACGGCTTCGTTTCAAAGGCCAGGAAGATATGATGGCTGAGTTCAGACTCCTCATCGGAGAACTTGCCAAGTCAGATACCGCAATTACGGTTGCACAAGAGTTGGTCAATGGTGTGGACATAGGAAGTCAAGAGAAGCGGTTAGCGAGCTTTTGGATCGCGGTCAATCTCGTCAGGGATATCATGACCAGCAATCCCGCCATCGATGATTTTATCGACCTGGGAGGCTCCAATCCACAAGAAGAAGTGCTCGACAACCTATACTCTCACTCGCTTGATACACTCGGTCTGCAAGGCGCCGATACTGTCCCGCATTGGCACTTCCAAGCATTAGCCTTGGAAGTCATAGCCTTGCAGGCCATGAGGCACAAAGCCGACTTCCGGGCCGAGCTAGGCGAGACTCTGTATCCAGTCCTCCATCATCTCGGGAGCCCTAACCCTGGGCTGCGAAACCATGCAATCACTTGCCTCAACATCATGGCTGAGTCCTGCGCATATGAAAGCGCAAGCGAGATGGTCATAGCAAATGTCGATTACATCGTCAACACCGTCGGTCTGAAGCTCAGCTACGGCGACGTCTCGCCCCAAGCGCCCCAGGTCCTTCTTATGATGATGAGGCTATGCGGTCCCTCACTATTACCCTACCTGGACGATCTGGTGGGCAGTATATTCGGCGCTTTGGAAAGATACCACGGTTATCCGAGGCTGGTCGAGCTTCTATTTGCAGTGCTGAAAGGGATGACGGAAGAAGGAGTCAAGGCGCCACAACTTGCCATCACTGCCGCCGAAGACCAGAGTACAAAGGAACAGAAGCGAGACGAAATCGCCTATATGCTCGAGATCCTCGAAACAGTCAAGAAGCAAGAAGCAAAAGCGCTAAAACGAGATGAAGAACTCCCCAAAGGCTCATTCCCTCGCCAGCCATGGGGCGACCCAAAAAAGAGTGAAAACGAGGAACTAACCCAAGATGAAGACCAACCCGCCGACGACACCCCATCTAAAGAACCTCCCCCACCCGCCCCCCACATCTTTACCATCCTCCTCAAAATCTCCGAACTAACCCAACACTACCTAACCTCCTCCTCGCCGTCCCTCCGCACATCCCTCCTCTCCCTCCTGCACACCACCATCCCCGCCCTCGCCAAACACGAGAACTCCTTCCTCCCGCTCATCAACACGCTCTGGCCGGTCCTAGTTCCGCGTCTAGAAGACCCTGAAGCGTACGTCGTAGCGAATGCGCTGGATATCGTAGCGCTGATGTGCGAGCATGCGGGGAACTTCATGAAGAGTCGTATCGAGGCAGCATGGAGTCTACTCAAGGCGATACACCGACGGACAGTGAAACGGACCGATAACCGTTTCGTGAAAAGCAGGGGGAAACCCACCAGCCTCCTCATCTCCCCCACCTCAACAAGCCTAACGAAAGCACACCCCATCGACGACGATCTCACACTCTCACGCCCGGAGCTCTACGTCGACGCGCCTACACGCATGATCTGGGACGCGCTCGTGCGCCTGCTCTGCGCCGTCTCGCAACACGTCGGCGTCCAGGAAAAGTACTTCGACGAGATTCTCGATATGCTGGATCCTGTTCTCGGGGACGCCAATGTGAGAAAAGCTTTGGAGAGAAGGAGTCCGGAGGCGGTGTGGTTGCGGCTGTATAAGAAGAGCCAGCTGGAGGAGGAGAGGAAAGGGAACGGCGGCGAGTGGGCTGTCCTGGCGGGGATTGAAGAGTTGAGGGCGAGAAGGCGGAGGATGGAAGTACGGCCGGAGTGGGAATTTGTGGAAGTGTAGGTGGGGGGTAGGGAGAGCTGGCTGGTTTTGCTGTGATACTTCGACGGACACGTCTGAGGTGCAGTTTACGTGGCGTCAAGCCGGGGCGTCGAGCGGTAGAGATCGCTATGGCGTAGATAGCGAACGGATCTCTTCCTCTTGAATGAAGCGAGAACTTTTAGACCGTCGTCTATGTTCTCTTTCACGAAGTACACTTCAGTTCCGGGGAAAGCTTTACTTCGGCCGCTTCTCGTCCGCATCTACCCCTTTGGAAGGGAGTGGGGACGGATCCCTATCATATCAAGCGCACAGACAGCATATGGATTGTACTTTCCACAGCCGGGAAGAACGTAAAGAGAAGGTTAGCGTCAGGATTGCGGCGAGTCTGTGAGGCATTCACCAATAGAGCCAGCTGCGCCAGGCCACGAAACCACGAAGATTATAACAACATTTAAGTCCAGAAGAGTGGCTTAGAATAGTAACGGATCTACGGCGTCATTCCATTGAACCTCAACACTATATTACACTCATGCTCGCGGCGCTTCATATATACAACACTCACACAGCATCTCCCCATTCCAGCAATTCCCGCCCTGCCTCCTTATCTGCCCAAGCGTACACATATCCTACACCCACCTCACATACATAACCCACCTCACATACATAACCCACCTCACATACATAACCCACCTCCACCCCATCTCCTCACGCAGCCTTCGTCCTCAACTGCACCCCATGCCACCCCTTAATCTCCTCCTTCAACACCTCATTCACCAACTTATGCTGCCTAATAACGCTCAACCCCCTAAACTTCTCGCTCTCAATCTCAATCCCATACATGCTCCCGCACCCGCCACTGATATCCTGGACCTGTAGCGCACACGCAAAAAGTCAGCCTTCTCGCTTCTAACGCACGCCTTCCTACGCAGCACCCTGCAAGCACGCGCATCGTATCTGCGCAAGCCCCCTCTGCGGTGGTGTTGCTGATTGGCCCGGGACGCCTCCCGAAAGTGTTATCGCAGTCCCAGTCTACCAAAAGCAAGAAATTGCATAGCATGGCGTACCTCCAGCTTCACCGGCTCCAGCTCCGCCCTTATCTTGTTGAAGATGTGTAATTCGCGCTCGTTGAGGTAGTCCGGGGGTTCGGGCGCGGAGGCCGGGGCCGCCGAGTACGAGCGAGAAGCGGGCTCTGATGCGGGGAAAACATGGCGTGAGGGCGGGCGTGGATATAGGGCTGTTTGGCGGCGGCCTGATCGGCGAGGAGGACGTGCTGCGTAAGCTGCTGTGGAGAGGGCGCGGTGAGGAGGAGGGGGGAGGTGCGCGGAGGCGTTGGTTGCTATGCGGTGCAGGAGGAGGGCCCGTGAGGGTGCCATTGTAAGGAAGGATTATGCTGCGTCGGGTTTGTTAGAGTTCACATATTGCGGGGTGCATGGTGGCTGGGTTGAGGGGAGGGATTGGGCTTACGAGGAAGGTGTGAGGGGTTCGTTTATTGGATTGAGGTGAGGTTTGAACGAGGGTCGCAGAGCTCTCGGAGCTCTGACGCAGCGAAGCTTTCGTCATGGGCCCGAGCTCCCGAGGTCCGCCGCCCAATCACATGACGTGCTTACTCACCCCATCCCCTCCCACCGATCTTCGGACGTCTCTCGCTCTTCCTGCCCAAGCTGCTTTCTCCTACTCCCCCCCAAGCTGCCCACCCTCCTTCATCGGCTGGCTATCATTAACCCTCTCCACACTCTCAACAAAAAGGTCGAGGCTGATCAGAGCGTGCTAACGCGCCGCTAGCACGACCTACAACTGCTCTCCGCCTACGGACCAAGTTTGCGGAGCGCAAATCCGGAGGGGTAGTCTAACTCATCCACGGAGGAGGCGAAAGCCAAAGCCGCCATGTCCCCCCAAGTACCTCCTCGTACCTCGCCCTCGCACACCGCCCCCTTCTTATCAGCACCCCTCAACTTCCGCCTCCCTCCCTCATGCAAGACCCGTTCTCGGCCTTCAACGGCACTCTCCATTCTCCACAATACCGGTTCGCTGTCTGACGTAGCCTGCACCTACCCACGCGTTCCGGCACAACCGCATTATCAGCACACCAACATCCGCCTCACCTGATATCATAATTCGCTGGGTCTGCTCGCCGGGAAAGAAAACCCCCCTTATTTCCACCTTTTCAGCGCCCCGCCCCGGGTGGCAGACCCTGCAAAGCGAGGACCCTGATTTCCCAAGACGATGACAAGGACGCGCCAAACGTTGCAGCCCCGTCCGTACCGTAGGCGCCGTGCCGTGATCAACGGATCTTCACATGTTGGGAGCAAGCCATGGGATTGGAGGCCAAGCATCGGCGACCGTGCTATGCGAAATGCTAATCCTGCGCCACAGCGGGCGCTTCTCCTTAGGGTCCTAATGAGCGCTTTTGCGGGCGTAATGTTACGGGTTACTACGCATGTGGGATGTTGGGGCAGGGAGTAATATCGGAGTTATGACATACAGACTGACGACGCACACTGCGCAATCAACTGGGCAGCATCTTGCAGTGTCGCGCCACGCAGCTGGGATTCTCGGCATTTCGATACGATGCATGACGATAAGCCCTCGCTTTCGCTTCGCGGAACCGGTTGGTGGTTGCCGCAGCAATCGAATGATCAACAAAGGAGACTCCGACCTTTGTTGCCTTTTATCCATTCTGAGGAAGGCAATAATTTTAGAGGAGAGGGGGCTGCTATACCGGCGCTCGCTTCAGCAATTTGGTTCCCCATACGAGCCCCAGATTGAGCAATTCACAGCCCCGCCAATCAGCTACCCCAACACCACCAGCCCTTAATCACGATATAGCATCACCACCACGGCTTCATGCGTTTCCTCAATTGCTGATATTCAGGAACGCCTATGAATAGCTCCCCGCCGTTTGGAATTGATCATCACTACCTCTTTCGAGTAATCGCGATAGCATCACGCACCTGTTTCCTGCCTACCGTCCGCGTGAGAAGCTGGGTCCGCGGCGCTCCGACGCGTTGTGAATGGAGGAAAAGAGTATGCTAGCATGGGAAGCATACGAAATGCCGCGGCAGTTCCACGCGGAAAGGCAGCAAGGTGACTGAGAAAGCACTGGCTAGACTGCAATGAACAACGAGCTCAATCTCGGTATTTGGGGCTGCTGTCAAAAGCGCTTGTCCCCTCTGTACCTCGCGCTTGTGCCTCTCTTTCGCCGTCTTGAGCTGTTCTTGACCTTTCTTGGTCTCCACAGACGAAACGATGCGTGTCTCCATATCGCTGTCCCTCTTCGCCTTGGCCGCGTTGGCGGTAGCAGTGCCGTACCCGCAGGAAGAGGATCCTGATGTCGAAACCTCTGTGGCGGAGCCGTCACCGACATTCGCCATCACGATCGCGGATCCGACTCTGCCGATCCCCTTGTCCACTTCTCTCAATATTCCAGTAACGGTTCCCTCGGCACTCCCGACGGGCGAGGTGGCATTGAATTCTACGAGCACGCGGCGGAGGAAGAGCCATTGGGAGCCTATTCCCATCTTCTCGAAGAGCTGTGATTGCCCAGCACTTGCGACGGTTGCGTATCCGTGCTGGGCTACCGATGCGCTGCAGGTGAGTCTCCAACGGGAATCTCCAGTCTTGGAAGTGAACGGGAGACGGAGCAAGAACTTGGAGCGATGAAGAAGCGGAGATAGAATGACGGAATGAGAAGGACGTGAAGAAGCGAAAAAGCTAACGAGAAACCCCAGCGATGCAACTTCGAAGAACTGCACTCGTACGTTTGTTGGACTTCAGCGAATTTCGGTTGCCCGTCTCCTACGCGCTCGGTATGTGTGCTCTTCTCTCCAAGCTTGAAGGGAACTTCTGATCAACTAACTCTTCTAGTGCGATTCGCTCTTCCAGCCGACGCCCGTCACCGGCAAGAATCCGTGCGAACTGGGTCCAAACACTGGCGGAAACCCGACGATTACAGACGCCCCCGTGCGACGATGGCAGGATCTAGTATAGGCGAAACGATTGACGGGAAGCTTTTCTTAAAGAAAGAAGGATATCGAAAAGTCGGCGACAATGAGAGCGGAGAAACGCAGCTGGAGAGGGGGTGCACAAAGAGAGTGGTGATGATCTCGGGAGGGTGGAGAGAAGGATTGGCAAGCAGGGCTGAATGGAACAGTAGCACCTCCGTTAAGTGAAGCTCGCCTCTGCAATACCACCTCACAACTCCCCTTATCATTTACCCATCAACATCTTACCTGCGTATGCTCCTACGGCAATCTGTCTTCATATATCTCTTACCGTTATCAGCAATGTGGCGTACCGTCAGCACACCTTAAGCCCGTATACACTCTCGACGAGAGCTTGTTCTATCATGCCGTCGTACCGCTATCAAGAACTGAGGTGGTCAACCTCGAGCTCCCACACCAACACGTCTTCGCATATCTCTTCCCCGTCTGCAGGATTGTACCTTACCGTCAGCATCTCACATTCTCTGAAGGGGGGCTTGGCCCAATTCCGCCGTCATTACACCATGTCACCGCTACGCTACCTCAGTAGAGCTTCCACATGCGGCGCGGTCGACCTCGAGCAGCGATGCCCCTGTGCCTTCATATGCCTGCGCCTTCGTAAACCTGCTGCTGGTGTTAGTGATACGGCTGATCATTAGTTTACTAGGCGCGTAACTAGTGGTCCTCGGCCAGTGAACAGAGCTTAACCTGGCCAATACGGACCCATCACCGCTTCCCAATGGAGACCTCCAGCAGCTGTAAGGTTCGAAATCGAAGTCCCCCACCCGTCTGTCTTCTAGCACGTATCTATCACCACAACCAGTAAAGCAACTCACCACTACCTCTTCTGACCGGAAAACGGTCTCCAGCACCGCTCGTCTCATCCCAAAGGGGCAAGACTATCTTGCCGGGCGCTGGATGTTCGACATGTGAAGAAGACGACAGCCCCAGCACCTGCTCTCGTAAAGATCCGCATCTCTCGTCGCGGCCCACAGTTTCCCCGCAACAGCTGCTGCCACCTACTGCACCTACTCTGCCGGCCCAGTCCATCGCTCGCCACAGCACAGCACATCACATCGCAGCAACGCCTCCTCAACCTCGTCCTCTTACGCGATGCTAGTAGGTCACCGCTCTGGACGCTCTCAACACCGCGGCAGCACGCGCTGCAATTCCGCATTCAGCACTGCATTCCCGTCCTCGGGGACTGTTCGGGAGGGGCTCGCCGGTGCAGGGACTTGATTCTAGACAGGCGTGCTACTGCAGTATTGCCCCGCGGACAGACTCGTTCGAGCCGCCTCATCAAGCGCTCTGTTCTGCTCTGCCAACCAAGCACTGTGGAGAAACTGCTCGCCTGGCATGCGTTCGTTCGCGCCGCAGGGATAGCGTTTGCGGGAAGTCAGACCCTTCATCTTGGCCAGTGAGTTTCCGCGTGCGGATTGGCCTCGCCAAGCTGAGGCCGCGGATGGAGTGGAGCCGCGGTTTTTCTGCTGTGGCAGGCGAGGCGAGGCGAGGCGAGAGCGGGCTTTTGCGTAGGAGAATGGCGGGTGGAAGGGTGGGCGACAGCTGCTCTGCATCCTGCATCCGTAACGGATGTCTTACCTACGCGCGGGCAAGGCTCCACTGTTCTCCCCACCCCCGGGGTGCTGAAAGCCGTGTACTGTACAGTATCTCCGTACGCTGCTCTGTGGAGCGGGAGGCAAGATCCAATTTTTCTCCAGACCCACATTTCAATGGGCGGTTGGAGTTTGTTGACATGTGGGACGCGGCTCCGGGTTTGGTTTGCAGTGACGCGCATTGGAGGGGCGAGCGAGACGCCGTGGAGTGGATAGATGCTTCGAACTCAACCACTGCCTTTTCGAGTTTGACATGTGGCGATATGGCTGGGAGAAGTAACCTTATGAGCCGCGAGGGCGCTATCGGCCGCCTGAGACCCTGATCATCATATCCCGCGTCGGAAGCCGCACCTTGAACAGGCTGGTCAGTCTCAGACCCTGATAGACAGACCTGCTTCTGCTTGTCCCCGCTGTGCATCTCAGGGTCCAACCTTCGAGCCTCGTCGTTTCAAAGTTAGACTTGAAGCCGCAGAACCCCTTCGTCACGAATCTGGCAGTGTCAGCAACGCTCGCTAATCTCACTCCACCGACATGAATCCTTCACTCCACCATCATCACCATCTCTCACCCTGCAGTAGTTACTCTCCCATATCAATCAGGCGTCCCCATGCAGATGCATCAGAACGCATACGCACAGACGCCTCCCTGCAGCTACGCAATCAGCCAACAAAACTCCCTCGCATCGTATAATGCTTATCCCTCCAGCTTCCGCCCCATCTGCAGACTCTCAAACGCTTACCCCTCATAGCCAATAATGCGTCACTCCACTATTACAAATCTAAACTCTACGCCGTCTGCCTATCAATCCCTCCATGCATCTCAACTCGAGGCAGCCTGGCCCTAGTCCGTGATAGATATGGTCCCAAAACGGCCCGCAGATAGACTAGGCAGGGCCTACCCTTCCATTTCATGGGCGGGCTGGGGTGCGTCGACGAATCGAGGTGGTGGAGCCACCTCCATCTCGTGCTGTCTCGAGACGGTTGAGGAGGGCCCTGGACTGGGATCGTGTGGCTACGCGGCATTACAAAGAGTATCGCTTTGCTGTTGACGGATTCGCAGCTAGGGCATTGATATTCGGATGGTGTATTATTGTAGAGGCAAGCCACACCCAAGAAAGTCTTTGTAAGAATTTGCATCTCTCCGACGGGGCTTGCTCAACGGAATTGAGTTGAATGAAGAGAGGGGTCCGGGCGCTTACCTCCTTCCCGATACACCATCCTTCTCCTGAACCGTACGATCTCATTCCACGCAAATGAGGATGGGACCCAGAAAATAGACTCAAGCCGCCGCATGCGGGGACCCTTTGCGCATCGCAGCCACAGGACCGTTCATTCACTCGACGCGTCGCATCTGCACTCCTCAATCCTCAGCAGCCCAGGGCACGCGTCGGAAGCTGTGTGCGTTGCTAAAAGCAGCATGTGGCCGTGCAGATAACGCAACGCGCTACACTAGAGCGGCGTTAGAGCCGAGCCTAAGCGCCACTGGTTCTCCACACTGACAAGCGAGAGCCAGGCACCCCCCGGACGCCGGTCTTGGCGTCTCCGAATGTTGCGCTTGACGAGCACTGTAGTAGATCTTGCCCAGATGGAATGTGTAACGGAAATGGATACATTCCTAGGTACAGAGCGTGAAAGAGAAGGGCGGAATGTGCACCGTCAGTCCACGTGTGGAGCTGGAGTTGTGCTGGCGGAGAAAAAGTTTTCTTAGAAGCGAGCGAATGTAACATCGGATAAGCTGTCGCGCAGAGTCGTTGTTGAGCAGCTCGCCACCGTGCCAGACCGTTTCGATATATCGAACTCCCCCAGGAAGCCCGCGACGAAATGGTGGCGCATATTGCACCTGGCGTTCGGCACACAAACGCCGGGTTTGACACCTCAAATTTGCTCTTGTCAATTCTTCGCAAATAGCAATGACAATGTCACTGTGCTCGTATCGCAGCCGCTCTCGTGGTGTATGACCTGATGTTTGGACGTTGAGTGCAGCAGTGACAAGAAGTGACAAGAGGTTCCAGAACCTCTGCGACTCCCCGCAGCTTCTCGTAACAGTGGAGCCTCAGCACAACATCGCACGTGCAGCGAACTGACTCAAAAAGAGGCCACTCGAGTCTTCCATCATCTCCGCACCCGAGACACGGAGCTGCAAAGCCTCGTACTGAGTCGCATTTGTCGCAAGTCCGCTTTCAAGTACTTCAAGATGCATCCGGTGGCCTTACACTCGGCCTTCAAGAGAAGCCACGTCGGACTGGACGGAATCCCTGTGCCGATTATTGCATACCCTGAGAACAAGCGAGAGCGCAGCATCAGCTTGAATTAGCCCGTTTTCGGATTATTTTCCGCGTGTGATGGTCGTGTATGTATGGAGGGATACCGAGTGGAAATTTTTGTTGAGGACGAGTGCATTTGCTCGTGCAGGTTGCGTGCATGCATGGCGATTCGCTTGGGCACGTTGTTGGCGGACGACTGCGTCTGGGCGCCTCATTGGATGCGAGGCGTGCAGGCTGCGTCGCGGGTTGCACCGCAGGTGAGATGATGGCAAACTGGAGGTTGGGGATTCGCGAGGATTCTCTGATGAAAATCATATTGCGCTTCTGGAGAGTCGGGAATGCGAAAAGATAGGATCAACGAATTAGATATGAGATCATCGAAAAGGTGCGGTGGCTGTTATCGCGGTCGATGGGTGAGGATATCGAAATTCGTATTGAGCGCCTTGTCGACGCCTTCCTCCGCCTTTGCAGACTCCTCAAGGGTTCTGGAAGGCCGGGTAGGGTCGCTCTGCGATACTAATTGGTCTGTGGTGTTGTGCAGATGACCTGCCCTGCCCCGCCATTGCACCCAGGACCCTATACCTCGCCTTGAGGTTGGCAAAATTATCAAAGCAGCCTTATCGCCGGTTCTCGTGGACTCTGCCGTGGATGGTGGCACCGCATGAACTACCCAAAATTGCTGACGAATATCAACAAGATCGGCAGCCACGTCGCCGACCGTCGACATTACTCTGCTTGCTTCTCTATAGAAGCGGTGAACGCTGAATTGAATGGATTCGGCGTCACTACTGGTGCTATGGTCGATGGATGCAGGGCATTTACTAGGCGTGTTGATTAGGACTTTGGGTATATTCGATGAGGGTCGGCCTGGGTCGGGCAGTAAAACCGGGTCTGCATTCGTGAACCCAATGCGAGGCTGTGCGTCATTACGTGATGTAGAGCACGCCTTTCTGAAATGCGGAGATGTGGGGTTGCGGCTACGGTTCTGAAGATACCCGTTAGTGCTAACACGTGCCATATGCTAAGAGAGTTGAGTGAAGGCCGTAACCTCGAATTAGCAAAGCGCGGCAGCATGATATGTAGAAGTAAAGCAGAAGCAGTGAGCGAGAGCCGTAACATTGGAGTACATAGTACGGGACGGCAAGGGTGAAACGTTCCATGGGTTGGTGCTGGAGGTCATGCGGCGGCTAGACTGCCAGTTGGCATTCGCGGAAACATGATTGTGGCCTCGAACGGCGGTAAACCACGTCCTCGGTTTCGACGCTATCGAATCCCTTGGGCTGAGAGACATGGCGTGGCACTGACATCTACCGTGGCAGAGTGGGAAGGTGAACCTGTGGTCTTGTTGTTCTAATGTCCAGTGCTGGTAGATCTGACGTGCGTGTTCCGGTGTTGTCGCTTGTAGGCCTAAGCTGCCGTGGTACTTGGGAGGTACAGCTGTCATTCAAGCCGGATCCATAGTGATTGGTACAATAGGCATAGCCGACAGATGGCGGCCCCCTTTCAAACTCATCTACAGGAACTCTGAGGATACCTATTGCGGGGTTGATAGTGCCAAACGATACGATGAAGCCCCTCTCGGATCGAGGCGCATATGTTTACTTGGCCATTTAGCTCTTGGACAGGCGATTCCAAAGTTAGTATCGGTAGGTGGGGAGTGGAATCGCGCTTGACCACAAAGCGTAAAGGGATTTGCGTCGCTAGTAACGAGCTGTCCAGCGGTAGGTGTTTCGCTGTGGTTTTTCAAGCTGGCCGAATTCGCAGGTATCCTGGTATCCCGGCTTTAGCTCTGACGATTAATGGCGGTGTGAGTAGATAAACCCGGATTCTCTGCCTTCGTAACCTCGTCGCGCTTATGCCTGTCAGCTTCCTCAACAAACCTCTCGAGATTTCCTGGGCAGGTAGCCGCGCAGTTATATTCCTTCTGCTGCATTTCATGATCAGACTTCATGCGTGGGATAACAAAGCCTCTCTGAGCCTCACGGGCGCATTGCTTGTGAATGGGTGGGGAAATCGCCATAGGTGTGGAGATGCGAAAGTCCCCATGACCATCGCACGAATCAAATGTCGTGCTTACGCCTGTGGCTGCTGTCGGGATATTAGTTCGGGTCAAGCTGCCCTGACCACGATTACCGCTTGTCGGTACTGCCTGGCCTGGAAGACTTGATCAATGGAACGCGACGCGCTCTTGGCGCTCTGAACGTTGCTAAAGATCGCATGAAGCCAAAAGTCCGCGTCGTGAAGTAATGTTCCCGTGGTGGGCCAACTGGTGCCAGCCAACCAAGAGTCTAGATTGCCTTCCCCGCGATGTCGATGTCGGGAGAACCATGGCCTCTGCGCTGGCCAGCCTCGCTTCGCTTGACAACGGTGCGACAAGACGGGATTCGGCGAGGACGCGAGACATCAAAAAATGATCCGCGGGTCGAACCGACTTCGAGCATCCGCGTGCAATGTTCGTAGCCCTTTTGTATTTTTCTTTTGTCGGTAAAGACTGCGTGACCATACATCGTGTTAAAGGGGCGTTTAGTCAGAATTTCGACGGTTGAAGCAGGAATAGCCTGATGCTAGACGCTAAATCCTGCTTGCAGTGAGCGGGCTCTTCAGATGTCCTCGTAATAATGCCATCACTGTGGTAGAATTTGATCACACGTGAGCAGGCCGCTCACCGTAACTCGAAAAATGGTCCACGGAGAAATCAAACCGGCTTTAAAGCCCTTTTGTCGCATTTAGTCGGAGGAGTTGCATAATTCCGGGCCGCAATCATGGAATCCAGACAGGCGTTGCGAAGCGCGGAAGTTGAAAACTTCGGGCCCGTTGCCCGACTTTGTTGAGGCAGTGCTTTTATGAAAGCGTGGGAGTGATACTGGCACGGTCTCATCCGAGCGCTTTCTCCTCGGCCGTGTTGTTTTCGCGGCGCAACAGCCTCGCGGAGTGGAACGCGATGCGGATTAGCCTCATGCACGCCTTGGCGCCAGCCGTTCAGATGCGTTCGAAGCGATCGACTTCTGGAGGCAGATCGATGGCGGTGGGCCTCGCGGGTTGCCAGGAGTGGCGGGCGGTGTATTGCGGCCCCTGTCTGTTGAATGTCAGTGGCCGAAGGTCAGATTCTGCCAGCCCTAAAAGCGTCTGACGGCAGCGCGAAGTGGGGAGCCAAAGACGCTTGGACCACCCGGGCCAGCTTCGTCGGGGGGCATCGCGAAGGTAAACTTGGCAGCACAATTCGATCTTGCTTTGCGTGCCTTGGAAGTGGAATTCGCTCGCTTGCGAATGCGATTCGAGTTGCCTCGCGGTTGGTGGCTGCCCCTGGAGGCATGGCAATTTCGAGTTTTCGCTGGCCCAGAAAAGGCCGCCGCATATCCGTTCTATGAAAGAGGGGCTTCCCGGACTCCGTGTTTTGCGAAAGGCGGTTGTTTGAACCTTACGAGGTCTCCCAACAAATGATGTCGATAATGGTGTATTTGAGTCTTGGGGGGCCTCGCGGGTGAGCTCACCTTGAGCGTGATGAGGGTAATTTTAGGTTCAGCCACCGAACGCGTCGAACTCGAAACATGCCCCATCAGGCCACGGCCAGAGATACGATCGTCTAGCCGCGCGCAATACGGGCCCCAGCGGTGCCGTGACCGGAGCAGCATTCACAGCCCGCAACTTGGAAGACGCATCAAGGTCCACCGCCATACCGCTGGCCTGTATCTATACGCGTCTCGAGAGTCATTAGCTGCATGTATGAAATCAACCAGGTCTGGAATTGACAATGCGGGGAAATCTGATGAAGCCCCTCACTGCGTGCGCCGCAAGACGACACCTGTCGCGTCAGTTGGGCCGGCCACATAGGTGTCTGAGCTTGCGCAGCATAAACATACCATAGCGGACATGGGTGCTGCAGTCAGCGTTAGCATGCAGCACAGGCGGAGACGGGGTTTCACCTCGCCCAGGAGCCTCGTCTCGCGACGCGATGCAAGGAGACGGGCGGAGATGCCAGCTGCTCTCCGCGCTCCACGGCGTGGCGGCCGGGGTGCGTACGTGGGTAGAGCGGTGCTAAGAAAACGCTGAGGTGGAGCGGAGTCGTGATCGGAGGTTAGTCGAGAGGAGCTGTCGAACCACAGGCGACGGCTCGCTTGGGGCACCCACAGCGTGCAGGGGGCACCTCGAACCACGGCAGGGATGTGGCTTAGCGCGAGTGGCTTGCGCGGCCTGATTGGCCGGATGCCCGACCGCCTTTTCGAGCGGCATCGATCTTCGCCCGTTTCGAGCCGTCGAGGAAGGAGGGGAAATTTTCTGAGGGCGGCGGCGGCAGCGTCAACGAGCACCGCCGCACCCTTATCGCGGGCGCCATCCAGGTACCGCGCCGCCAGCGCACATCTCCCGCACGGCGACAGTGCAATTGAATGAAGAGTTTTCAGTCCTCGCCGCGCACCGTGGATGGGAGCGCGCTGCTCGCGTTCGGCCTCCCGCGGCTTGCTGTTCGCCATGATGTCATTTCTCGCTACCACTTGGCACGGGCGTGCCGCATCGTCACCAGCGCCGCAGCGCGTGGGTGGCTTCACAGCTGGGTGGCGGACAGGCCACCACTCGCCAGCCCGTGCAACGGCCTGCAAAAGCAACGCGACGCGCTCGCAGCAGGCTCGCAATCTGCGGAGCCAGCCTGAATCGGCGTGGATAGAGTGGCCTTATCGGTGGGCGGGTTATTTTCCATGTCAGCCCATGGCGCGTTGATAATCGAGATGCCGCCGTTGACGGCGTGCTTAGTTCTCCGAGCAAGCTGCGATGCGTACCGTACTGTAACAATACAACCGCAGTACCCTAGGTACAGAAGAATGGGGGCGCTGCCGGCCTTTGTTCCACTGTTTCGAGTTGCGTCGCCCAGCGGCATCGCTGCGGCGGGACTTTTGGCCAGTTTGCGGTTTGGCTCATCAGACGGTGGAATCATGGCTCGATAACCCAGAGGAGCCGGTCGCCGGAGGCAAAGTAGCGTGCAGTCCTTTGTTGTTCCTCCGGCCGCCATCGGCATCGACGCCCGACCTAGGCAGTCTCGTCACCGCGCTGTTGCTCGCCGTACCGCCGCGTCCTCCGCCCTCACGGTCCCAAGAATCCGCGAGCCGGTCGATGCCGCTTGGCCCGCCTGCTGGTGCTATCCTTGGTCGCAATCCCTGTTCTGTTGAGTGGAGCAGTCGCTGCAAGCGGGTCAAGCCATTAACTCGCTTCTGCTGCAGCGGGCCCGTGCGCAGCCCAGGCTCCTTCGATTCTATCGCCATCCCGGCTCAGCACGATTCCAAAAGCGCTGCTCGGCCGTCCCCAATAGTCGCGGCCCTGCGCATCTGCACCACCGGCCCTCAACACTCTCTCTCCTCCTCCTCCCAACCCTTCTCTAGGCCATTGCCAGCCTTTGACCTATTTACCAGGCCTGCCAGCGCCCATTGACCTGGCCTTGACCCCCAACGGCCCTCACCGGTGTTATCTCCCCACGGCAGCCTCGACCCGCGCGCCTTTCCCCCCAGGTGTGCACCCCCAGCGAGCCTTCTGTCTCCACGGAAGCCGCCGGCATCGCCTTCTCGCACGCTCTCTTTCACAAGGAGCCTGCTGAGCCCGTCTCGAGCACCCTCACGGCCTCGAGCACGTCGCAGACCCTCGACGTCACAGCTTTGGCTAGCTGTGAAGCCCGCCAGCGTCGCGACCCTCCACCTACGACCGCCCTCAAAGAGCGTTGCTTCTGCGAGCCGCTCTTTCACTTCTATTCTGTGAGTTTGACTTCCTCGTCAGGCGGGTGAATCAGCGGGCTTGATAAATCGCCGCATGTCGCCATCGCCTGCTCTTCTCAACACAATTTTTCGCCGCCTGCACCCCATCAGACACACTTCTGACGACGCACGCAGGCATTAAACCCCTCTTAATACTCTCTTTTGTAATGCACGTTGCGCCCTAATCCTCAACTCGTTCGCTCAACTTCCTCGACCCTGCGAAGTTCGACCGAATGCCTTACACGCCGCCCACCCAGCGGTCGCCTGCAACCTCCAAGCCCAACAGTCCCATCCTCAGCCGCAACCATTCCTACAGCGAGCAGTATCCGCTCTCGCCCGCCAATGCCTCGAGACCGGCGCTGCCTCGCTCCGTGTCGTCCACGTCGTACCTGAACAAGCACCGACGCTCGCCCTCGATCGCCTCCTCCAACACCACTGCAAATGGTCAGGCAAACGGCAGCGTAGTTCCTCCCTCGGAAGCCCACCGCAGCCATGGGCCGTCTTCACATGGTAGCCTCCGTCAGTCTCCACCGCCTGTAAACAATCTTCTGATTCCGTCAGGTGCCGTCACCACGCCTCCTGATTCTTCCGACGACGACGAGGAGCGAGGACGGAACATCGGCAACCTGAAGGAGCTTCAAGAAGCCCTGCAGCACATCGACGTCAAGCGAGGAGCCTCACCCACCCGCGATGGCGCTGCAGACACGCCCAACAACACCACCGCCTCATCAGTCTCGACCACTACCCCCGCTCGGTCCCTCTCCGCTGAGGCCCGCAGGATCTCCCACTCCCGCTCCTCCAGCGAGATAACCCTTTCCCAGCATGCAGTCCCGCCTCTAAATACGGAGCCTATCCTCAGTTCTTCCGAAGATAGCGACGTCGAGGATGACGAGCTGCGGATAAAACCGCCGCTCCTTCGCAAGAAGTCTGGTGAGCTGGTGAAGCCAGCCCTGCGGCCTTCCTCCCGCCGAAGGCCGTCCAGCATGCCTGGGACACCGACCTATTCGAAGGCCGTGCATTTCAACGAGGACATCGAGCAAGTGAGGCACTTCCTACAGGTCGACCGCCCTATTGCCGTCAGTGCCGGCTCCTCACCCGTTGATACCTACGATAGCGAGGGCGAGTATCCTTTCCATGATGACAACCGCACCAAGGAGCCAGACTGGGAGATCAAGCTCGCCAACTTCCCCACAGCAGACACCTACGAGCGGCGGACTGCACCAGTCCGCGTCGAACGCATCTTCTTGGCTTCCGACAACAAGACTCTCGTTGGCAATGTGGCTGTTGCGAACATTGCCTTCCACAAATTTGTTGTTGCTCGATTCACACTCGACTATTGGAAGACGACCTCGGAGGTCGTCGCCGAGTACAATCACGATGTTCGCAAGAAGCAGAAGGATGATGGTTACGACCGATTCAATTTCAACATCAAGTTGGCTGACCAAGCGAACCTGGAGTCGAAGACCCTGCTACTGTGTGTTCGTTATCAGGTGAACGGGCAGGAGTTCTGGGATAACAATGCCTCTATCAACTACCAGGTCGACTTCGTCAAGAAGACCAAGCAGAAGGCAGCGAAGAGCAACACCAGCACTCTGCGTGCCATCCCTCGTAGTCGACACTCGCCTCCTGCTCCTCGACCTCGCTCCATGCCGGTTGGGTCATTCGACGATGACTTTGGGCATGGTTTCGACTCGAAGTTTGAGTTCGGCACCGGTCGAGGCATCTTCGGTGATTCACCCAACTCCTCCATCCGCCTCAAGCCGAAGAACAAGCGCGGGACCATCTTCCCCGACCAGGCACCTCGCCGACAGGGTGCAGGCCAAGCCTTCTCTACCCGCTATGACTTCGGTGCGTCGCTTTCGGCAGCATTGTCGAACGCGCAGACTGCTTTGGGTGACCGCAGCGGCATCAAACCTAACGGTGCTGACAAGGCACGGAAGGGTTACTTCGACCGAGCCTCTGCTCTAGGAAACGTGAATGCCTCGGCCCCAGTTCCTGGTACCCGACCCGATAAGCTGTCTTCCGAGAAGCCCGACCTGCAATCGGCGGAGTACAATGAGTTGATTCAGAAGTTTTGTTTCGTACGTGCTCCACGCCCCGGCGGAAATGGCCTAGACGGACACTAATGCTCCTCCAGTATGGCACCCCTTCCAAGGGCTCCCCGCAGGCTACTACTCCAGCCACCAAGAACTCGCATATTGATGGGGCAACGGACTATATCATCAACAACAGCTCTGGAAGCAATCAATCGTCCGCGTCGAACAGCCCTCCGTCTCCTGCCATACCGGTCTTGGTCGATGGTGCCAACGATTCTAGGTCTACATCTCGTAGCCCTTTTTTATCCCGCTCGACGTCTCCCGGCCCAGTCACAGGATCGGGTCCTGAGGATCATATAACCTCTTCCTTCCAGTATGGATACACCATGCACGGCGGCATCTTTCCTGAGCCGAGCCACACCCCTCAAGCTTGTGTCTAGGAGTTGATAGCCAACAGCAGAACCGACGTGGGGGAAGACCTATGAGGTACGAATTTCCTTGGCCACGATGACACGGTTACGACCCGACTTGATTATCGATGAGTGGAGCGGACGTCTCTGGGATGCTGGTCACCGACGCTCACGAGTCTTCTTCAATCCGGTACGGAACGATGTTGAGAGGCCCTGCGATTAGTTTTCATTGATGTCTCTCATCCGGCGGTGATGGGTGTCGCGTTTCTCTCCAGCATTTTCCAGGACGGCCACTTGCTGCATTTTCCGGAAGGTCTTTTCTTGCATGTCTTTTTCTATCCGGCGTCTTGGGCGGCCTTTTTCGGAGTTGCTCGGATATCTTCATGTCCTACCTGATTTTCGACGAACCATGGATTGGTTGTAATCTTTTGCGACCGAGCGACTCCTCTCTAGGTTTCAGGCGTTCTGTCGGCTCCTTCCTCGTTCTGTGTTGCGATCGGGAGAGGGGAAAAGCTTATTGGTTTAGTCTGCATTTCTAAGCGGTTCGAGTCTTTTATCTTTAGAGAGCCGTCGTTTCCTCGTACATAGGTGATAGGTGATAGGAGAGGCCGAGAATGCGAGCGAGTACATGGTGAAGTGTCTTTTCGTGGTGGTCCAGAATGTTGTTTCGTTCGATTTTGTTAGACGCGGTGTTCTGGATGTTTCAAATTCGAGTGTCGTGCGGTTGAGCAGGGCGATATGGTCGGGCCACCAATACCTAGCAAATGCAAAAACATTGGATAACATGCCCAGGTGGTAAATGTTAGACCCCTCAATACCTGATCTCTGGTAGAATAGGCATCGTTGAGACCGAGCCGATGATGTGTGTGTCCGTAGGAGTGTCCGGGGAGGAGAGGAGAAAAGAAGGCTTCAAGAAGTGGCCACGTGCGGTATTTGTGCAAATTGAAGCCGCCGAGTGGATCGTGAACTTTTGTGCATGTGACCCCAAGCCAACGCCGCCGGAGTTCTGCCGTCCAGGGTCCAGCGCACACCGCCTACCTATTCCAGTAGCTTAGCTACACCGCACACGACAATTGGACTCACGATCTTTCCTCTTCGCGCCCACGCTTTACCACCTTACCCAAACCCGCGTCGTCCACGACTCGTGCCTTTCCGTGTGACACTGGGCTCGGTGTAACCTCGCCCGAGGAAGCTCACATCCCGTGCGACAATGGCACGCAGTTCCTCGTCCTCTGGCTTCTGGGGCAGCTCTTCCTCGACGAAGCCCGCAGCCCAACACCCCGCAGGCCCGCCCATCCCACGCTCCGGCCCCGAAATAGACGCCACAACCATCCTCTCGCTCGTCTTCTTCGTGTCCCTCCTCGCCGCCGCGTACGCCGTCTCGATCCGCCTCCTCCCCCGCTCCGCGACGCTCAAAACGCGCATCCTGTTCATCTGGCACGCGTTCGACGCGCTCATCCACTTCTTCTTCGAGGGGAGCTATCTTTTCAACTGCTTCTTTGTGAGCTATGGGCTGCCGACGAGTTTTAATGTCGCTGCGAGACGGCATCCGTCAATTAGGCTGCTAACGCCGCCGGATGTGTATTGGATGGGGCGAGAGGATAGGTTGTACGGGGCGAATTATGGGGAGAGCGTGCTGAGTAGGTTGTGGCAGGAGTATGCGAAGGCGGATCGGAGGTGGGGTGGGGTGGATTTGACAGTGGTGAGCTTGGAGATTTTGACGGTGGGCGTGGGTGCGCCGCTGGCGCTGTGGATTTGTGAGTTGCTGAGACGGGAGGAGAGGAAGGGTGTGTTGAAGAGGTGGTTCTGGATGGTGCTCCTCGCAACAGGCGAGCTTTATGGAGGTATGTTGCTCACTTTATTATGTGTTCAGCTTTATTTGTTTGGGGACGAATAGGATAAGGCGCATGTGGGTCCGAGACGTGGTTGTCGGGGATGCGGGCGGGTTCGTGGTGGTGGCAGATGCGCTGACACGTGGTTCACCGCCTCAGGCTGGATGACTTTCGCCCCTGAGTGGCTCACTGGGAGCCCGAATCTGGACACGTCGAATTGGATGTATCTGTAAGTGGACTACTTTTTCGCTTGTTGTTCGTCGCTTCTCATATCATCGTATTGGGTCGGGTACCAGCGGAAGCAGAAGTGCGCTGTCCATCCATGATTCGCTATCTCTTCCGGCATACACTCCTCCATCTCCATGCACACACCCTATAGACCCTGTGCTTTTGGCCTGCATAAAAGTTATGCAGGCTCGCGTCCGCTCAGAGATCCCAGTACCGCGCGATTCCGCATACACTTCTAAGCTCCTGCTAACGTTAAATAGCTGGCTATACCTCTTCTTCTTCAACATGCTCTGGGTCGTCTTCCCCCTATGGATCCTGTACGAAGCATATAAGGCTATGAGCTCAGCTATGTCGCAGGCTGAGATGGTTGACCTGGTCAATTACTTGAAGAAGGATGACTAATTCCACCGGGGCTAAGCACGTCATTTGTTCGATGGCGCTTCTGGTGGTAACGGAAGGCAGGGCGTCTCTGCCTTTGGATTTCTTTTGATAGATTCATAGCGTGGTTGTTCTGGGCTTCGGCGTTATTCATTCCAGCAGTGTTTCTATGTTCGCTACCCGGGTTGCACGTCATCATTTCTATGTCCTTGCTTCGAAGTCGCTCGCAATCAGGAGAGACTTTGTTACCCTAGACGTACTGGTCGCGCCTTCCATTGGGCATAGGAAGTTGCGCTAAGACTGGGCGCCAAGAGAATTGATGGCCCGGTTTTCCGTCTTCTGCTCTTCTACGCCTCACCGACACTGACTCTGACGCCCCGTCTAAGCAACATGAGGACTCACACTTGCGAATACTGTCAACGACTCGTGCTGAAAATACCGGAAGCCCCTACAGATTTTGATGAGCTTGATGCGAGGAATACTACCGCTTCCGTGTGGGATCTGAACGACATCGAATGTGCAGCGCAGGCTGGTTGCCCGCTCTTTCTTGCGCTGGTAAACAAGTATACAGAAGGGGGACGGACACTGCAAAGCCTTCTTCCCACTCCAATACTGTACAAGCACTGGCTTTATCGCGAAGAGAACAAGTGGGATTTGTGGATGCAGTTGCATCCTCAGGCTGAACCGATGACTAAATCTTATGCGCCCATTGGATCTTCCTATGTGTTTTATGAGCCTTTCCTTTTGGAAGCCGATGGGTACAAGCACGTTGGTGAGTTCAACACAGCCATTCTTTTTAGGCTGCGTCTTACGCTTAGGCTAGGAAATTGTAACTCCCATGTACCGGGGAGGCGCCGCATCAACCTTCGACCCGGCGCCCCGGAAAGTTTCCTACTTGCCCGTTCATGGATTGAGGAGTGCATCGCCCAGCATAATCACGAACCCGGTGGGGAACCGACTACAGCACCTTTGCGGCTCGTTTGGCTCCGCAAACGACCCGGGACTTACGATCTCCAGCTTGTTGAGCCTCCTGGGAACGCCAATGGATCCAGTTGTTTCGTAGCTCTTAGCTATTGCTGGGGCGGTGACCAAAGGCATAAGACAACCAAAGCTAGGCTTCGGGCTTCCGGGGGTCGGCTGCTCTTCCACGAGCTACCTAGGACTATACAAGATGCGATTAAGATCACGGCGGGGCTTGGCTACGAATTCATTTGGATCGACTCGCTCTGCATCGTACAAGACGATGCCCTGGAGGCTCAGCGAGAGATTGCGAAAATGCCACATATCTACAGTCGTGCAATAGTTACGATTGCTGCAGCAACAGCAGCGTCCGCTTCTGAAGGGTTTTTACATGAGCGTTGCGCTGACGATACGGTGATTACCGGCATACGACTGCAACATTCGGACGGTAGCACCCGTATGGTCGGGTTAGTCAATCGCGCGGAAGATGACCCCGCAGAGCTTAAACTAATGCCCTTAGAAGCCCGCGGCTGGGCATTGCAAGAACGTATACTCTCTACCCGGATCCTTCAGTATCACCCTCGCCAACTGCGTTTCATCTGTCAAACCACCTCCAGCGGAGGCTCCCCGTACTACACTGATGGCTGGGATTGGTTGCCAGACGAGGGCTTGCTTAACATTCCCAGATTCCCTCTACCCTCCGCGCCTCGAGACGAGATCGAACGGTATTGGGAGCGAATTGTCGAACTCTACTCAAACCGTAAATTGACAGTAGATGCGGACAGAGTCCTTGCAATATCTGGAATAGCGGCAAGATTGGGACAGCTCCTAGGCCGGCATATGAAGTACGTAGCTGGGCATTGGCTATATATGCTTCCAAGAGATCTGCTTTGGTCAACGCAGGATCCCGAACCGACCATACCAGACGTCTGGCTCGGCCCCTCATGGTCATGGACCAGTGTCAAGTGCCGTGTAGACTACGAATGGGTACCCGAGGAGGAAGAAGTAAATTGCGGCCAGTATAGATTGACCTGGGAAGTCCTGGGTGTCGACGCTGAGTTGGTCGATGAGCAAGCTCCATTCGGAGCCTTGAAGAAAGGCATCCTGCGCATGAAGGCACCCATATTACGCGTTCACTTGCGAGGAGACACTGTATTGAGCTGGGCTGACGGACTTAGCCTACTGCGGAATTCGGAGTTACGGACTCCCGACGGACTCGACGTCCAACGATACATAGATACCTATCAGCTCGAGATCAGGATGGACACCGAGCTCTATTACAAAGAGCCTGCAGAGACCGTATATTTTAATAGTTGGCTCCAAGTGCATGCAAACATCCAGCACATGGCTTTTCCAACTCAGGGGCCTTATGCTCAAACGGGTAGAGCAAGAAAGAGCAGAGAATGTGAAGCGGTATAGAAGATACGGTGCGTTCTCCTGGGAGCCTATGAGAATATGGGGCAACGAAGAAGCCGACTCGGGGCTCGTAGCGTGGCTCGATAAATTCGAAAACGAAGTCGGAGCACAGGTCTTCGACATTATATAGTGTCATCGCCCTATGAAGACGCATACACGGTAGCTAAAACGCACCTCTAGCACTGCATCATGCCTTCCACCAAGGCGCTCGCGCTTTCGCTAGAAGTACGAGGCCTCGCGTAGCCTTGCGTGGGACGTACGAATCGTCGTCCAATTCATCGCTCAGGTAGTACGCCACAGCAGCCACATTCAATACCCAAGCGTACCGTTTTTGGAGGGATGTCTATTCCCTGGTCAGGCCAGGATATCTTATTCTAACCTCAAGGTGTGAGCTGTAGTCGTCGCGTGGATGATGTCGAGACTTCAATCGCGGTCTCGAGTTTACCCTAACCTTTGAGGAAGATGAGAAACTGGAATGGGCAGGTTGAGGGGATTTCTCTTAGCTCTTGCCGCCCTGGCGTTTATCCTTCGCGGTTTCAGAGCGTCACCATGAAAGACCTCTGCGGTGGCTGCCGCTCGGCATCTGTGTGCAACGTCGGCGACCCGCCCATGACCGAACACCTCATCATCACAGGCTTTTCTATGTCGACGATGGTGACTATGGCGCAGGAGACCGATGGGGGGTAAGGCTATTCCTACACTGGATAGGAGTGTGTTTGCTGGAGGGGTTTTCGGAGCTGGAATTGGAAGAACAATGTCCTAGGCTCCAAATGCGACCATTCAAGGCGGAAGTGCGAAGTCCAGGGCGAGAAGGCAACTTCGCCTACACAAAGCTCCAGACACGAACTTCAATCCAACTCCTGAAGATCGAGCAGGCAACAGACGAGGAAATTATTGTCAGCTTGGCAGAGGAAGATATAAGCGCCGACGAATACTATCCGGCATATCACGCCCTGAGCTACTGCTGGGGCGAACCTACCCGCGACATTGCCATCAAGTGCACGAACTCGATCTTCGGATTACCCGAACTTTAGCAAACGCTCTGCGAGCCCTTCAGTCGCTGGAAGCACATACCTGCAACTATTTCTAGATCGACCAGATTTGCATAAACCAGGAAGACGACACGAAGAAGTCCGTCCAAGTACAGCTGATGAACCGAGTGTTGTAAGCAGGACTGTTCGTTCGGTTGTTCTTCCGGCAATTATCGTCGTCAAGCGGTGTCCCAATGGACGTTTTCTGCGAGATTCCAAGCCGTAGCCACAGGAGGTGCCCTAGGGGGCGATGACACAGCACCTTGCTACAATTACTTTTCCCTGTGCTGGATGCACCTTGTGGGGACAGGACGCTTGGATTGGCATCTCAATAACGTTCAGGCAATGTTTGGAGTCTCAGAGACGATGACGCCCGATCGAGACAAGGCGGAGCGATTCAATCGCTACCTGGTCCTTCATCTCACAGGCCGCTGCTTATTCCTGACTAGCACGGGCATGCTCGGTCTCAGGCCTGCCAAAGCGAAGATAGACGATGTGGTTTGCGTCATGTTTGGATGCGAGCTGCCTCTGATCCTGAGAAAGAACTGGACCACTTCTTGCTTGTAGGGTCCAGCTACGTGGACGGGTTGATGGAGGGGCAGACGCTAAAGAAATGGAAAGATGATGAGGTTGGGGATGAATGGCTCGAATTATAGTGACAGACATGGTGTCGACCCCAGGATGTCGATATCGCGAAGGACCGACCGTCGTGATTAATGGCGAGTACTGAATTCGAAACGAGAAGGTGCATCCCGAGAGTCTTGGACCGTGAAGCGGAAGAGCTATGGGAAGAGGCGCATAGAATGCTTGCGAGTCGTCAGTACAATCTGAGTCTAACCCCCTTTTTTGGTTAGCGCTATTTTGAGTCATGGAACCCCAGCCATCTCACACCACACGATTCGTGCCCACTACCCCTCTCCTCTCTACATCATCACGAAAACGCCGTGATGCGCATCTTTCGATTCGCTCGCGACTTGTCAGCGATGGAGCTCCAAGCGGGCCACGAACTGCTATTGGTACCTTAAACTGTGGACTCGTATGTGGACCAATGGCGTCATCGGAATGGTGCCAGTGGTGCCAGGAGCGCGCTGTGCCGAGGAACTTTGCTCAACTTCACTCCTTCCACACCGCTAGCATCTTATGTCTGGATATACGGACGAACACCGGAGCAACTCAAATCCCCTCTTGCAATCCTATTGTACCTATAGATTGCGGTCCTTGAACAAAGACTAAGCGCCCGGCCTACCCCTCCTGCTCGCAAGGGACGACCCGACATCGAACGTTGTGCCTCACATGCGTAGGAATTGCTTTATAATCAAGTGCTTTGAAATCTACCCCTGAATTCTTAACATCAAGAGGTCCCCTTCCCTCTCCTCCTTCATCGTCAGGCCATACGCTGAACATATCGCTGTAGACTTCCCCTTGATCTCCCCGCTCCTATCACGATGTCAGGCCAACAGACCCGCCAATGGATCCTCGCAAACCCCCCAACAAAGGACCCCATCCTCAGCGGCCCCAACGCAACCTTCAACCTCGAAACCACCACCCTGCCCTCCCCAGGAGCCAACCAAGTCCTCGTCAAGACGCTCTACCTCTCCAACGACCCGGCCCAACGCGCCTGGATCCAGCTCAACACCGACCCGGCGCGCCTCTACACCACGCCCGTCACGAAAGGCGAGGTCATGCGCGCCTTCGGCGTGTGCGAGGTCGTGGAGTCCAACGCGCCGAACCTCAAGCCGGGGCAGCTGGTGTCCTGCGTGCCCGGCTGGAGCGAGTACGCCGTCCTCGACGCGAAGGATTGCCGGCCTATTCAGCCCGACGAGAAAGCAGGCATCAGACCTACGCACTTCATCGGCGCGCTCGGCGGGCCTGGGCTCACCGCGTATTACGGCCTCGTCGACGTCGTGCGCGCGCAGCCCGAGGATGCCGTCGTAGTTTCTGGCGCTGCGGGCGCGACTGGGAACATGGTGGTCCAGATCGCAAAGCACATCGTGGGCTGCCGCAGAGTGATTGGGATCGCGGGCGGGGAGGCGAAGTGCCGCTGGGTAGAATCGCTGGGCGCGGACATCTGCGTCGACTACAAAGCGCCCGATTTCAAAGAGCAGTTGTGGAAAGCGACGGAGGGCTTCGTAGAGATTTACTTCGACAACGTCGGCGGCGACATTCTGGACCTGATGCTGAAGCGCGTCAAGCGCTTCGGACGGATCGCGGCGTGCGGCGCTATCGCAAGGTACAATGACCCTGAGGCGGGCGGGCTGAAGAACTGGATGGAGATTATTGTCAACAGGATAGAGGTCAGGGGATTCATTGTAACGGACGCGATCACGGCGGGCAAGTCTGGGCCCATGGTGCAGAAGATTGTGGAGAAGATTAAGGAGGGGAAGATCAAGATTGGCGAGGATAGCGAGACGGTGGTGCCGACGAGGTTTGAGGATGTGCCGAAGACGTGGAGGATGCTTTTCGAGGGGGGCAATCAGGGGAAGTTGGTTACGGAGATCAAGGGGTGAAAGGGGATGCTGACTGATGTTTCGCGGGAAGTATGGAACTGGATGTCTGGGGGGTGAGTTGAAGTGGACCGTGAAGATAGTACAGAGGCTTTTTCCTGTGCTATAGAAAATTGGTAGTTAGGCGATGCCCTTTCCATGCAGATGTTCGCACGCCATCGTACCTGACCATCATCCACATCCACGCAAGCTCTTCTCCCCCCAATCAATCCCACAGCCCGGTAAACAAACACTTACCCCAAACCAACCAACCCCACCTCCCCCTTCCTCCAATATCCCTCCGTCACGGGGTCACCACTCCCCACGTTCCCCCTCATCTTCATACTCGCATACAGCGGTACTAAGAGCATGCTTCCCCGCTGCATGCGCTCAGCGCCGAGCCATCATCCACCACCCACGCAATATGCATAGAAAGCAGCGATATGACAGAGGAGACGCCTTATCAGGATCTACTATACCCACACCTTGCGCTCGAGTGCCCACGTGCATGCTGCCAGAGAAGGTGCGTGACCTCTGCTCAATAACTCCTCATAGTAGGTACAATCAAGCGCGCGATAGGGTAAGATCAGATGAGATGAGATGGAATGGAAGAGGAAAGCGAAAGCGAAAACGTCGGTCGGTTCTCTTAACTTTCTTCCAGAGAAAGAGCTTCTAAGAAAGAAGCCTTTGCTGTCCTTCTACGCGTCGTTCGTTCCACCGCGGACCTTACCCCTCCCCCACCTACCCTTTCCAGCACGGCCGAACGAAAACCTCCCGCCTTCTGCAGCTTGCGTTCCAGAGCGCCGTCACGGTACTCCCGCCACTCTCACCAAAAAAAACCGCCTCAAGAGAACACTCGGTACCACCGGGCGCAATATCAGCACAATTTATCCGGTGCTTCAACTCGTACTTTACCCGCTTGGCACATCGCAGTAGCAGCCCCTCCAGGTGGGGTGTCCTAGCCCCTCCAAGGGCTGGCGTAACCCACAGCTACCGTAACAAGCGCTGTAATGAAGGAACATCCCACGCGGAAATCAGCGCGCGCGCGTGTGATCGGAGGTGGGAGAAGAACTGCAAAGCGTTTTCTGCATGGGCGCTCCGGCTTCTGGAAAAAAGCCGCGTCTGTTTTATCCAGGAAACGGCGGCGGGATGCGCGCAGCTTGTATGAGGTGTGGTCTGAAGGAGGACGGACGAAGGTCGTGCAGATGGGAAGTACATACTGTATGGACGGGGATACGGTGCGCTCGCAGCGGATAGCAGAAGCCGCAAACCAGCTCTCCGGGCCCAGCACCAGCAGCAAAGGCTGGCAAATTGCAACGAGGAAGGGCAACGCAGCGAGTGTTCAGGAACCGGAACCTCTTCCTAATTCGTAGCTGTGCGGGCCCCGATCCTCCGGTTGTATGTAGCAGAAGGCGGCGGACGCGGATGCAGGGTCGTTTATCTCGTGTCTACTCGAACCGTCGTCTATTTGGAAACATGATATGCCGCCGGATTTTCTTAGATCTGAGGAACCTGGTTTTAGCAGCGCGTGTATATTTATTAGTCTGGTGTGCTCCCGCTGTTTTCGGGAGCTCACTTCCTTCCCTTTCCCTCTTCTGAATCCTGTTGCACTTGCAGTGAGCAGTTAGTGTACACCTCTGATTCAATCGTCCTCAAACAATACCACAGCTATGCCTATCAGCGTCCCCTACGTCGAGCTCAACGATGGCAACAAGATGCCTCAAGTCGGTCTGGGGCTGTGGAAGATGGACAATCCAACATGCGCGGATTCGGTCTACGAGGCCATCAGGGTCGGATACAGGCTGTTCGATGGAGCTTGCGGTACGTAATAGCTTCTTCCACCTCTCTCGATTCAATTGCAGGACGAGGAGCCCGAATTGCCCTTTGCTTCGACCACTGGCGGTAGGTCTGCAGTTGCGCTGTTACCCGCTGTACCTGGATACAGTCAGCCACCATGCCGGGCGTACGTCGCCAGCCGCAATCGAAGGACACCATGGCTTCTGCCTAATCTGCTGCGTCCGCCCGGCATCGCGTGCTGCAGAAGGCAGTGGTGTGAGGTCTCGAGGTTCGGATGGTATTCCCGGAATATCCGGTGGTCGATCATATCCCTGCATTTCGGAATGTCCAGGCACAAATGTCGGAACGATCCCCCGCGGGCTGACCATGACAACCAAACAGATTACGGCAACGAAGTCGAGTCCGGCGAAGGCGTAGCCCGCGCCATCAAGGATGGCCTTGTCAAGCGCGAAGACCTCTTCATCATCAGCAAACTCTGGAACTCGTTCCACGACCCTGAGCAGGTCGAGCCCATTTGCAAAAAGCAGCTTAAGGACTGGGGCGTCGACTACTTCGACCTGTACCTCGTTCATTTCCCGGTCGCGCTCAAGTATGTGGCGCCAGAGGAGCGATACCCGCCGGGGTGGTTCGTCGATGGTGACAGCAAGGTGGAGATGGGCACCGCGTCGTTAGAAAGCACGTGGAAGGCGATGGAGGAGCTGAAGAAGAAGGGTTTGGCGAAGAGCATTGGGGTGTCGAATTACACCGGTGCGCTGCTGCTGGATCTGCTCACATATGCGACCGTGAAGCCGGCGCTCCTCCAGATTGAACACCACCCGTACTTCGTTTCGCAAAATCTGCTCAAGCTCGCTGAGCAGTACAACATCAAGGTTACCGGATACTCGTCGTTCGGTCCGATGTCGTTTATCGAGTGCGATATGAAGCTCGCGGAGGACACTCAGCTTCTCTTCACCCACCCGTTGATCAAGAAGATCGCCGAGGCACATGGAAAGACCACCGCGCAAGTTCTGCTAAGATGGGCGACGCAGCGAGGCATTTCCGTCATTCCGAAGAGCAATACGCATGAGCGTCTGGAGGAGAACCTTGACTCGACCAACTTCGACCTCACGGCCGACGAGATCAAGGAGATTTCGAGCCTGGACAGGCATCTCAAGTTCAATGTTCCCACCAACGTGCGTTTTCCTTCTCATATCCTTCTCCTTGACTATCAGCGCGTGCTAATCGATCTAACAGTACGGCATTCCTTGCTACGTTTTTGCTTAAACGTGGACTTCTTCCTCTTTACCGAAAGACAAGACAGGTACGGAGCATGCGGCGTTACGTATATACGAGGGGTGTGATGGGTAATAGCAAGCATCGGTAGCGATAATAGCATTTGGCTTCTGTTTGCGTACCTGTGCGGCACACATTCTGTTGATGGCAGGGTTGGTGTTGTCGGTGTGTAACCGTGATCGATGCTCAGTGAAGGATGTCGGCATGTCTGCCAGCTCTCCATTGCCTCGGCAACCGCCCATGGACCCCATGTTTCGCTTGAACGTCTTTGCGAAACTGCGTTTCTAAAGGCAGGGTACGTACCTATTAATAGTGCTGCCGAAGCTCTCCAAGGTTGCAATTCCCCAGCGCGACGAGCTTTCTTGCCAACCGGTTCCCGTGAATTATGGTAGACGTCTCTGCCGCAACATGTACGAAACATTCACCCTCGCCTCCAGCCTTCCTCTTCAATTACATATGCCATGTATCGCGTTAACTCCGGTCCGATTGAGGACGGTTCGGCTGCTTCGAATCTCGCGCTGAGCATCTTCACATCCGTCGAGACCGCAAGATGCATCGACCGCCCTGCTCATGTCGACCCGGAAGCACCGCGTCAATTGCCTCTCACTCCTTCGTGCCTTTACATCCACAAGCTAGATGGCAAGGCGATGCGATGCAGCAAGCGCCCACGTGCAGACTCGGGACGATCGCTAGGCTATTCCGCTTGTAGGCAGCGGGAGCGCATTCGTCGAAAAAAAATCAGCCCACGCGTGCTTCCTCTTTAATCCTCATTGCCAACCGCGCGCATATCCTCTTCAAATCCTACACCCCTCTCGCATTGTTTCGCGTTGAGTTCGGAGCTCCGAAACATTGGGTTGCTGATCCTGGGTGTTGATTGGTGAGGGCTTGAATAGGAAGCTCCCGGAACGAAGAAACGGCAAGGCTGGGATTGCTAATAATCCTTGACGGCGGACCTATGATGTGAGGAGGGTGAGCTGTTCGGTTCATGCACGGACTAAGCTGCTTTGGTAGAATGATATGTAGATGGCCAACCCCGCCGATTGAACACATCCCATGCTCTCGCAGGCTTCCGTCTGTCCACTCTCGAGCTTCAACCCACGAGCTCTTCGTGCTGCTACTGCGCTTGTCTTTGGGGGGGTGTTCGCGCAGCCCGGTTTCGTTTTGATGCAATTGTGTATGGGATTTACGCTTTCGCGATCCATGACGTAGCGAGTCGCGCCGCGGATATATCGGACGGAAAGCGAACGGACCGACTGGGAGCCGGAACTGCGCGAGGAATAAAACTCACGCATCGCACCCACCCTCCCTTACACCAGGTCTTCCCTAAGCGTCAAGGCTTTTCTTTGGACTCTCGATGATATCTTCTGGCGCGTCGCAGGGCCGGTAAGTCCCATTTCTGTCGATCCCGCGGACTTCCGAGGGGTAGCTTTCCATAGCCCAGGATGTCGCGAAAGCTTGTTGTAGCCTTTGGGTGAGCTTAATGGACATTGACACTGGTGCTGATCTTACTCGGATAGAGCCCTCGCCGTCATCCTCCCGTCGTTGACGCTTGCAACGCATGCCTTGTCCTTGCTCGCCCTCGAATTTGACCTCCTGCCCATCGCTGCCGTATCGCATAATTTCTGTGGCTGGTTGTTTGACCTTGCGGGCATCGCCGTAAGTGCGATGGGGTTGATAGGCGCTGTAGATGTAAGTCCGTCCTGTGCTGTGTAGATCGGTCTGCACCCACGCCATATCCTTCTTTTCCACCTAGCTTCAATATGAGGGAGGACTAATGCTAACACACCCAAACAGAGAAGGCCCGCCCTGGTATCAGCATTTACCCTCGTGTACGCGTCCGCCTTGAGCGTCATGACACTCATACTGCTCTACAACCTTTTGCCGTCCGAAATAGTATCTGCGGTCCCGATATCGCTACGCTGGAGGTACGATGAGAATTTTGAGAAGAGATTCTGTCGCGAGATAGACGACTTCGGGTGGGACGCGCAGTGGCTCGAACAGTGTAGATCAAGCTTCAGAATAATACGGATCGTTCTGGTGTGGTCCGGGTTACTGTTGGTCGCGGCACAGTGGTGGGCTGTTTTTGGTGTTTGGAAGTGGGCGAGAGTGTTGAAAATGGAACAGCGAGATAGATGGCATGGAGAAACCGATGTAGAAAGAGCCGAGCACGGAGAGGAGAAACGGGAATTAAAAATAAATTAAAAGTTGAAATACAAAGAAGTCAAAACTTTCAAGAGAGAATACATTTTCCGAGCATCTCCAATAGACCTGGGCTTATCAAGGCATGGAGCAAAGGAGAGTAAGTTCCTAACAGACCTTGGGTAGTCCAGCATCACACTCCGCTAGACATACGTAATGCACGGGAAGGTCGATTGTACTCTCCTCTGTGGCGTCTGCCTTATATCAGCTTTTGGTTCACAACAGCACGCAAGCACGCCACATCAACTGTATCTTGACCTGCTGGAGCGGAAAGAGTGATGACTTACCCGGTTCTCGACACGTCTCCTTCACATATAACCGCCCATAGGCTTTCTCTCGTGGATCCGCGCTCTCTCCAGCGGCGGGGTTCCTCCAGAAATGGTACCCCTGGCACTCCGTTTCGTTGTTTAGGTGTCGCGTGTATGTCCGCACCATCCTAGATCCACAGCTTTGACAAGGGCAGGCGCACTTTTCGCCCCACCCCTCGATCGCCCTGCAATGCAGACATATCTTGCGAATGCAACTCTCCCACTTGTTCTTCCCGTTGGGCCCGGTGCGCACTTTTCTCACCAAACTACTAATATGCCAGGAGCAGACGCCGGTCGGAAGCTCAACGATTTCCGGACGCGGGACATCCTTTTCAAAGGACTGTGGTACGCATGCCGTGCTGCTCGAGGAGACGAAGAGGTTGGCCGGGTAAATTTTCTTGCAGAGAATGCATCTTGATTCCGAGGGAGTGCAGTACGGCGGCGTGCGGTATCTTTCGATGGCGTATCGAGCACAGTTGGTCAGTGTTCTGTTCTTTAGTTGCGGTAAAGTGGGAAGCGTATCGTTCAGGATCGAGTGAGTGAACTTGAGCGATAGGATGCCGTCAGGTGGAAGTCGCTCTCCGATTTCTAATATCAGCTCCGGGGGAAGATTCAAAAGTGATAGAGTTGATGTCGGCATTTGGTTTTGCTGCTGAGTATTGTGGCCTTTGGAGATCGCTGGAAGATAAGAGAAGCGTCTGCTGCGCGTTGTTTGAGGAGCATAGGAGTGTGCGTGGATCGCGTGAAGTGAATCAAGCAGTGTTTGTCGCTGTCCAGCGTGTAGTTAGGCTGTAGGACTGTTCTGAGAATGAATGTGTGATTCAGGCATTGAATGTCACAGGTCACATACCCATACCCGTGGGCAAACATCGCCCAACAACAATAATCAGCCACAAGGAACCTTGGAAGGATGCTGAGGTGAGTGAGAAACCCATAATGCGCGACAACGTCGACGGTAAAGTTTCAGGTTTTGCATGGACCGCGCCGCTGGGCTTGTAGAGGGCCAACCTGTTGCTGTGCCTCACATATTGGCAGAATGGAAGGAAGTACCGGGTACCTCATGAGCGGTTTGCGAGTGCAGAGCTGTTTGTGAATGCTTGAGACACTGCGCGCGTGATGGATGAAGATGACAGAAAGGAGAGACGCTCGAGCGCAAGGTCAGATTACAAGCGATGACGGAATGTGGAAAAGGAACGGAGTCAGGCGGCATATGACGTAAAAATTAACTCTGAAGGAAGATGTATACTTATTCTTGCGTCCAAAGCTTGCCATGGAGTCGAACTGTGGTTATGTATACTGCAAAGGCGTTCGAAAGAGACGGGACCAGGGGTCGGCTCGACAGGGAAGCCAGAACCGATGATCGATCCAAAGGGAAGGCGCCCCCTGCGCCTCCCACGACGCTGACCTCCCTCTCCAACTGCCCAACATATTAATCCAACGCCCAGCGCCTGCGCCTGTTGCATTGCGCCTTGCATCCGCCGGTACACAGTAAGCCGGTGCTTTGGGCTGTGGAATGTTGGAGACGTCGAGGCTGATATGTGTAGCACTCCGGAAGCGCGTGCCGACAGCGGTTGAGACTCGCTAATGAAAGGAAAGCAGTTGGAGGGCTCTCGGCGTGGCCAAGGAGGCGCTGCTGCAGTGCGTCGGATGGGTGAACGTCTGTCAGCATGCAGAGTTGCGTTCGCAGCAGCGGGTCAATCTCGTCGCAAGCGCTGCACCCGCAGCGCACGGCAGAGGTAGCTGCATGTCCCCCAACTTCGGTCAAGCCCCATCTGGCAACAAACCCGGCGCCGTCGCTCTCCGTCTCTGGACATCTCGGTCCTCCTGTCTGCCAGATAACTCTGCAGGAGTCAAGATCACGATTGCGAATCGTCTCGTCCATGATCTGTCGCTTTCCTCTGGTGCAGCTGTGCGATGATGGAAGATGGACGCCACAAGCTCGACGTTCTCACCGCAGACTTGCGATACTCGGTCTGCGGGGTCCGCTCATTGGGGCTTCTTCGCAAGGCAGAGCAGCCCCGCACCACCAGGCTGGGAGAGCGGCGATGGTCAGAAATAGTGGAGGGCAGACGTGATCACATTGGCAGCCATGACTGCATCCGCCTGCCGAACCAGGACGGCGCAGGCGGAGAGGGGCGATGCGGGTTGGCTGGCGATGGCGGGAGCAGCGAGGTGGGGTGTGCATGCCAATACATGCATTCTTTTTCTGAAGTTTTCTGCAGCTAGGTGCATAGCGGGCCTGGCAGGGCGGAGGGCAGAGCGCGTGCTGCTGCCGGCGAACGCAGCGTTTGCAGCTGCTGCGAAGGAGACAGGAGAGCGTTTAGAGTGGTGACGGGCTTGGGCGGGACATATAGATCGCGGCCATGGGGTCTCAGGGTCCACGTGCAGACGCAGGCGGAAAAGGAGGCAGCGGGATTTTACCATGGCCTACGGCGAACGAGTCCCGAGAGACGGACCGTCACATCGCTAGCCTCCCAGGCTCAGCACGCTGCAGGTCGCGCAAGCTGGAGGAAACGGGTTGGAGGCGCTGCCGCAACGTCATCCGCAGACTCTCCTCCCGCTTGGCCGGCACTGCGAGCGGCTCCACGAAGGGAGGAACGTGAACGGGGAGGGTTGCAGTCCGCAGGACAGGCGGAGGCTCCGAGGGCGAGGCTGCGGCGGGAGACGGCCGTTGCTGAGCGGACGGCTAGCAGGTGTAATTGCGTGCATGTCCATGGCCCGTGATGGCCGAAATTTGACGTCTGTGAGCTGCGCTCGGCTTGGTTAGCGAGTATTTGACCCCTTCGAGCGCTCCTCGAATCTCACCATCCCGGCGTCTGTCCTCAATCCACTTCTTCTTCACCCGCTCCGTTTGCTGCACTCAGTTCATTCACTCTGCGCGCCTGCAGTGTGAATAGCTGTCGCTCCTTGTGCCTGTGCATCCCGGCCCAAAGAGCGTCGTTTCTCGGTAAGCACCGCGACCCTCTCCGCCCTCTCTCAGGCGCGCCAAAAAAATCTCTTCGGCACCTTCTGCCTCCGCGCCTCGTGTAGACTTTCCCGCCCGCCGCCCGCTCTCCAGCTGCCTCAGTGCCTGACCTTCTGCTGACACGTTCAAAAGGTGCGGCTTCCTTGCCCCGGGAATTACTCCTTCCGGCTACCCTTCCCGTTGCAAGACCTGATCCTCTCACCACCGCTCCGCCGCCCGCAACGAGCTCTCTGTCCTCGCCGCCATGTCCTACTACAACGATCCGTCCTGGCCAGCGCCGGCTCCCGGGCGCCAGCCGTCGTGGGAGCAGCCTCAGCCGCCGTCGCGCTCAGGTACGAGCACCAGTGGCCGTGCAGGCGCGGGAGCCGTCGTGGATAACACTTGGGCAGGCGCAAGTTCGACTGTCAACAGAGACGAGATCAGTGCCTTCGCCTCCCAATTCGACGGTACGTTACCCTTCAATGGCCGTTGGCACGCCTGTCAGGGCCCGGATTTCAAACGCTTGACGAGGCCCGCCGTCATGGCTCAAGGTTATTTGCACCCGACCGCCACATACGCTAACGGGCAACTGCAGAAGTCGATCGTGCGGCCGACAACCTCACGAAGAGCGGAGCTGGCAAGGCCTTTGGCTTCACCCCGTCGACGTACAGCAGTCGCCGCGACTCGATGCCCGTGATGGCCCCCGGCCCGCGCCAATACCCCGAATACGGTACGAACCCTCCCCACCCACGCCCGCATAGAGAAGGCTGACGCAATCAGATCCGCGCATGGGCGGCGGACCGCAGCGCCACCACTCCGTGAGCGAGTACGATGGGATGCGATCCCATTCGGCGTCCAACGTCCAGGGCTACTACCAGAGCCAGCGATATGCCCCGCGACCCAACGATGCGGATCAGGTTGCGCAGGCAAAACGCCGCATGGCAGCCCAGCGCGAGCGGGAGCTGCGCAACTACCACCAGGAGCAGCAATACCACAGAAGTAAGGACTCGGAATCTGGGCAACAATAGAGGAAGGACAGCTGGTTAACTAGGGTAATGCAGACGTTTCTGGGTCCAAGTCCGACCGCTCGATGAGTCCCAATGCGATGAGTGAAGACGAGCGCCGCGAGCTCATCGCTCGCCAGCACCGCGCCCTCTATGGCGAGTCATCCTCCTTGTACAGTAACAACAATCCCACTTCGAGCCAGGACGTGCGAGTTTCTGGCGCCGGCCGTGGTCCGTCTCCGCTGGCCTTTGATCCGTTTGGCATGCAGGCCCCGAACGCCTCGGGTGAAGGCGCGGTTCAGATGCCCCCGAGAGGAGACAAGGATGTCACGGGTGGTGCCCAGGAAGCCCGTGCCAACAGCAACTCGTCTCCCTCTTCGAACCAGAACCCAACCTTTAGCCTGTTCGACAACGCACAACAGGCTAGCCGCACATCCAACTCTTCCCCTGGCGGATCTCCTCCCCGTCAGGGACCCAAGGCCAACGGGTCGGGCGTCGCACCGATCGGCACTCGCCCGTCTGCCAATCAGGGCCAGCCTGCGGGAGCACCCCTAGGCAAGCGCGCGACTACGCCTCTCCCGTCGCCGCTCAGCTACAACTCTTACAATGCCAGCGAACAGAATGGCAACGGCAATGCCACCACGTCCGCTTCCTTGAACCCGTCTTCTACTGTCACGGATAATAAGGGCGTTGGTATTTGGAACAAGGGGCCCTGGGGTAACACGCCTACCCAAGGTGTCCAGGCCTCGGTTTGGGGTTAGACGTCTACATTTTTAGTCGGGAGTTCGATGCTCATCACAATCCGGAGTTTCTGCATTTCAGGTGTCCCGGGCATATATCGCGTATCGGTCTTCCAAATTGGGCGGAGCCAGGTCTGGGTGGTCGGTGAAAAATTACCCTTGGGGTCATATCTTATGGGCGTGTTTTGCATCTGACTGCGCGGACGATAATATACCTTTCTCAGATCGGCGGTTATACGGGTGTTTTGTTAAGTGGGAATTTGGCTCTAGTTCTTTCGCTCTGCTGTACTGGGGGTTGGTGGGAGTTTTTCAGGGGTGGCTTTGGGTCAAAGGAGACGGGGCTCGCCTCAGTCTCCGGTCAAATCGTGATTCTACCTAGCAAAGGACTCGGGGCACATCCGGTGTTAATGGGAAAATGATTCTTGGGGAAAGGGTCTCTCGATCTGCGTGATTGTATCTCGATCGCCTCCGTTGGATGTGACTCCAGTTCGTTGATGATAGCGAAGGGCGCGATGGTGTCCTCTGAGAGGTTATCCGATGGAGAAGTTGACAGATTCTGTAAAGTGAAAAGAGTGAAATAGGATCTTGCAGCTCAAGCGCTTTTCTTCTGTAAGATATGACTTTGTGGGGAAAACCCTTACCCTCCACATGCGGCTAGAGTTGCCAGGGGCTCGGGAGTGAATAGATCTGGTGTCACGTGCTCGTGAAATAGCTGTCCGTGCGGCTCCACAAGCGAGATGGGCGGAGTTAGCCGTCTCGCGCTAGCCTTACCTCAACCCCAGCTCCAACTTTCTAGAAGCGTGGCCTCTACAACCCCATACTCATTACACCAACGCCAATTCCGCCCAAGATACCTATTGCGACTTCTCTTCCACTTCTTCTACAGCCGGTACAAGACGCTCGGATCGATCATGGTAAGTCGGCTATTTTTCGACTGCACACAATGGCGTTGGAGACGTGGAACGGAGTGTCTCGATTGCGACTTGCGGCGACGGAGACGGCGACGAGGGATTGCGAAGTACACTTTCAGAGCGCAGTTATCGGTCTTGTCGCTCCGACCTGTTTGCTGCTCCGTTGCTGGAGGTTCTCCGTCCTCGCCTCAATCGCCGAGGCTCTCCAAATCCACTGCCCCCTGCTCAACGTCCGCTAATCGTTACCGCAGTCTTCTCCACGCCCTACATCTCCCGTCAACAATGCCGCGGGCTCCACGACCGCGCGACCAGCGTCTCCTAAGCCCCCGGGCGGCCCTGCGACGGTGATGCGAAGGAAGGCGGCTGCTGACCGCGCGGAGAAGTCGGCGAACCAGAGGCCAAGCAGCACGAGGGCGGCTGGTGCGGGCGGCAGCTCAAGCACGATGTTGAGTAAGTGGATACCCTGATTTTGGGGATACGGAAGAGATGGGTAAATGGGGAAGCCCCGACGCTTTTGGAGAGAAGGTCTGGCGAGTGGAAAGGCTACAAAGTGGAAATGAGAGGAGCGACTTGAACAATGGGTTGCTGACTATGTCAAATAGAGCTCTACACGGATGAGTCGCCAGGATTGAAGGTCGATCCTGTCGTGGTGATGACTCTGTCCGTCGTCTTTATATTCAGCGTCGTTGCTCTTCACGGTATGCCAAATTCTCATTTCTCACCCTTTTTCGAGAGTCTAACAGGCCGCAGTCATCGCCAAGGTCATGCGCCGGTTCTCCTCGTAAACCAGCGACCGCCACAACCGAATCTACCACTCTTCATTGTCGGTTGGCGCTCTGCAGCAGCGACACCGGCATCCTCCCGAATCTTTTCCAGTTCGACCTCTTTCTGTTTGTTATCCGGCTTAGGGGGTAGATTAAGAGACTGGAAAAGTACCTGACTCCAAATACCTTGATTTCTCGTTTGCACAGGGGGCCGAACGGGCATTGGCGGTCGGAATATCGCATGGTGTATTATAGGCTTGCTATGGAATGGAGAGTTGGCTAATATTCTGAGCCCTCTCACTATTATGAGCACTGTGCTCAGGAGACTGAAGTGCTAAATCTCTTTTGTCCAGGTTACGGATTGCTTCCAAGAACGCTCAGCTGAGGATATCCTTCACAATCCCTAACACCTTCCTTGCACTCCCAATGGCGTTCTGATACCCAGCCCCCGCATGCCCATACTGATGCACAACCTTCACCTTCCTCCCCTCTCCAACCTCTACTTCTTCAATCTCCACCCTCACGCCCCCTTTCCGCCCAGGTCTCAGTCCCACCTGCTCGCTCAGAACTTCGATCTTTGCTTCTTCCCCTGCCCACGGCCTCATCATCTCCTCACACCTCCTCACAATACTCTCGCTAATCTCAGGCGTGGGTTCGCCCGACCAGTTATCTGCATCCTTCGTCCCGCCCAGGAGGAACAGATCTGTCCCCATGCGCGGGACTATATATGTGATGTGCGGCGGAGACTCATGGAGCAGGATCTGCGGAGCGGGCGTGGGATGGATCCGCGCGAGCAGGGCTTGTCCGCGGATCGGATACATGCTGGCATCTTTGCAGAGCGAGTGCGCGCCTAGGCCTGTGCAATTCACCACCACTACCTCCTTTTCCTCTTCCCCTTCCTTTTCAATACCTCCCGCAGTGTTGAGGCATCGCATCGCTTCGCCCACCGCATGTGCAAACCCGCTGGAAGTCGGTAGCTCGGTGGATATCGTTTTTGCGCCGAGACCTTTGGCCTGCGAGAGCAGGGAGCGCAGGTACGTGACGGGGTGGATGGCGAGGGAGGTGAAGCTGTGGCCGCTTTTTGCGCCGTTGGCGGGGAGGGAGGAGGGAGGGAGGGAAGAGAAGGAGTGCACGTGGGGGGTGTACCAGAGGGAGGGGGAGGTGGGGTCGAGGCTGGGGGCGTCGCTGGGTTGGGTGAGAGGAGATGGATAGAGGAGGGAAGGGGAGGGGGTCTTACGAGAATATTGTCAGGGGGACGCGCTGGTTGGGTGGTGGATGCGTTAGAGATGTGGACATTGGAAGGAATATGCGATTTTGTCTTGTCGAGTTGGGAGTTTGTCATACATACCTGGATACCCATTTCCCGCGCTTTCTCTGCCTCCTCTTCAGCAATCTTCATCCAGTGCTTGTAGTTTTGAATATTCCAGTCACACTGCTCCACGTCGTCAGGCAGTGCGTGCGTGCGCCATATTGCGCCTGCCCTACCAGTCAATGTCTCAGTGTCTGCTCCGTCGGTCGAAAAGAGGGATTTTGCCTACCAAGGAGAAGTATACTCTATAGACTCATCGCCAGGCCAGTGCTTCGCGAGTATGGTAACGCTGTAGCCGGCTTCGAGGAGTGTGACGGCGGTTTGCAGACCGATTACGCCGGCGCTGCGAGTGTGTTAATGAGGGTATCCGGGAGGGCTATGTATGGGGGGGACTAGCCCTATGATGAGGATGTGAGACATTTTGGAAGAGTTGGCGGGCATTGCATTCAGCGAACTTCGTTCAGGAAACTGAGAAGGGCGCTGTTCTTGTACCTTCTCATCACTATGCTCGTATTTCGCATTGGCTAGCTGCATCAGGTTAGAGCTGGATGCAAAATGCAGATCGGAACAGTGTCTGCAAGTCTGCAGACCTGCGTCTTTAAGTCCATGGTTCCACCGGAGTGGATTCCATTTCAAAGTCTTGCTGTTGTCATATTTTACATTCCGACTCGTCGTGGGGTCGCCGTCTGAGAATGCCAAAACTACAGTCGGAGTTGAGGCATTCCGAAAACCCAAATCGCAAAAAGCCGCTCTATCCAGTGTTTTCCGTGCCCAAGATCATCATGATATGTCTTTCGGTGGCCGATAGACATTTTCGATAGCTTACATCCTGCCAACATTGCTGGCCCGATCCGTCTCCACCTTCAACTCAGTCTTCTTCTTGATGATCCATTGTGTGCTTTCTTGGCTCATCCTGCTCACGGTTTCCTCTTCGTCTCCCGCGCTCGGTGCCCTATGCCCTCCTGTGACTGCTGTGTTCTGCTTGAACACGTCGGAGTCAGGCCGTAGAGTAAGGGTGGTGTTTTGCGAGGAGCTCTGGGGTGTCGAGGAAGGGCTATTCCGATTGCCGCTCGAGGATATGTTGACCTGATGTGCTTTTAGAGGCTGCATCTGGTAGCTCATGGCGTGTGGGTGGTTTCGCGATTTGGTCTGTGAGTCCCCCAGCGAGGAGCTGGGGACGCTCGGATGGTGCGAGTAGGAGGAGCGGCGGTAGGACGTGCTGAAGGATTTGCTGAATGGGCGGAGGAAGGGGCCAAGCCCGGTTATTGTGGTCGACATAATGGCATAGCCAATGTGCCACTGTGTTGCCACCACGTATTTTGCGCCCTCCAGCGTGCGGTCGTCGGCAACGAGTGTCGTGTGCACATAGTGTAGGCGGAAGGCGGCTGCGATTATGACGGGGAGGCGGGCGGAGAATGCGGCGACCACCATGGCTTTGCTCTTCATCTTCATGTTGAGCTGGGCCACGAGGTAGACGGAGATGAGGAAGATGATCGCTTCGGTGACGATGTCGATTGCGCCAACGGCCTGCCATCGCGGCCACTGCGGCTGTCAGCCTGAGCATTGGGAGGGGATTTGGCGTGACATACTACATTTGAACACTTCCCAGGCCCATCACTCCAGAACTCGGAGGGCTGGCACGGCACTGCGATCAGGATGATGGCTGCGACGGCCCATACGAACGACGCTGCTACGGTCCCCCATGACGCAAAGACGTGGCCTCTCTCGGGTGAAAGACGGAGGTATAGAAACAGCATTGCGCATTTTGAGAGCAGAAGCGTGATGATGTAGAGGAGCTGCGATCCGAAGTCGAACTGCGTGCCGTTGTCAGGCTTCCAACTTTCCAAACACCTTGCGGGAAGGGGTCCAAGCTCCACGATCCGCGGCGGTGTTACGCTCTACGGCAGGAGTTCGACACTAGAGGGCGATCCCGACGTACCTTGCCGATCTGATTCAGATCGGCCTGAGACAAACTTTCCAGCGTCTTCCCGAGTCCCTCGTTCACCACGTGGAATGTCAATCCAGACTGGACTGTGTCCAAAAACTGTGCACGCTGTCAGCAACAACGAACGGCGCAGTGGCACCCAGGCGCTTCCTACCGTCGCAGCAGCGAGAAAGTAGTCGTCGGACCTCCACTCTCTCGTCCTAACCCGCAGGTATATTCGAATCAACAGACAGGTCCACACGAAAGACAGCGTTGTTGCCGTTATCACCACGATCAGGCCCCGCTGGTCGTCTTCTGCGATAACGTACGGCGGAGGGATCACCTCCGGCGCCATCCCCACGGGTGTATGGCGGTTTTCAAGCAACAGGACAAGTGAGAATTCCCATCAAAAGGGCACAAAGTTCAGTGACGGTCGCTTCTTCATTTTTAGGTCGTACGGTTCCTGACCTCAGCTTCGGTTCCTGCCTCGTCTCCCGCGTGCTGCAAGTGGTGGCTTCGCTTCTTAGTATCTCTATCTCAGGAGGCACAGCGTCGCTGACGCAGAATGCCCTTTCCAATCGGATGCCGCTCGAGCGGCTGGCCTTGGACTCGAGAGCATGACTGGTGATTGGATAGCGGCTCAATGCGCAGCGCCATATGTTAGCAAGTGGCCCCGAGTTTGCTTTTGGATACAGTATCAACGTGCCGCTTCCGTGTCGGGCCTTTCCCGGTGGCTTCTTGGATGCCTCGAACATTTCTTCTACATCCTTAGGGACTTAATGGCTGCCTTGGCACGCTTCTTGAAGCCTTCCCGGGGTTAGGACGTCCCAGGACACGATACACGAAACCACCATCGCTAGTACATCTCTCCACCATCGGCCGGTCGATTTGCTAGCGATTGGAGGACCACTCTGTCGGGACATGCAATATCGTCCCGCCTATTCCAGACGGTCGTGATACGAGCTCGAGCATGTGTGTATCTCGCCATGCCGAATTAACGGTGCTTGGAACCTCGGCGCTTTTCTTTTTGGCTTGCCTTTCCGGAGCGGTATTCCTGTTTGCGATAGGAGAGAAAAACTACGAGAACGAGCAGGCGAGGATCCCTCCACTCATTCGTCAGATAGATGGAGCACGGCACGGCGCGCCTTGCCCCACTCCCCGAACTATTGGTCTCGACTCAAATCAACCGCGCGCGGCGTCAGCAATTTGTTCCGCGTCAACACGTTGCCGTTTGTCCACCATTCCCACAGGCGATTCCTACAGGGTCCACGCTGGCGAGCCCTCCGGCATCAGGCCTTAGGGATCCCGGTACGTTTTGTGCCACCTCGCTTCACGAATCGGCAGAACACGAGCTTCGCCGGCATGCATCCTTGGCCCCTTCCCAGCTATCTTTTTCTCTGTCTGGACGACACCTTGTTGTCTCCTACTTCTAACACGCTTCCGACGCCTGCTTAACCAGTCCTTCGGTGCCCTCTGCACGTGGTTGTTGGTTCCTTGCATTTCGTTTGGCATGTCTTCGTATCAGAACATGGAGGCTGGAGGCGTGGAGAAGGGTCCGCATACAGAGCTGCAGACAGCTCTTCCGCGACCGCAGAGCTACGACGACGAAGATGCGGGTGATACCTATCATGATTCTATCAAAGGACATACGAAGAATGATCAACTGAACATGTCGCGCATGGGCAAGGTCCAGGAGCTACGAGTATGTCTATCACATACGCGCCTTCCATCTCAAGTACTGACGGATACGCGTGCAGAGAAACTATCGGCCGTTGTCTGCTCTAGCCTTTACGGTCATTATCCAAGGCACATGGGAGGTTCTAATGACTGCGACTTACCAAGGTCTCGTCGATGGAGGTCCTGCAGGTCTCATCTGGTCATACATCTGGACCTTCTTTGGATTCTTCTTCGTCATGGCCTCGTTGGCTGAGATGGCTTCGATGGCACCGTAAGGAACTCTTAACCCAATCTCCATCTAGTCTCTAATAAATGGACCAGTACCGCGGGTGGGCAGTACCACTGGGTTTCCGAATTCTCGCCTCCGAGCATTCAGAAGCCTGTGAGCTATTTCATCGGTATGTCCTCAGCCCAGCTCATATATAACTGCTAATCGGATTCAGGCTGGATGTCCACGCTATCTTGGCAAGCCGGCACCGCCTCGGGCCCCTTCCTCGTAGGGACGCTTATCCAAGCCTGTGCCATCGTCATGTATCCCACCTACGAACCCACAAACTGGCAAGGCACTCTGATGGTCATTGCGGTCACGATCCTTGTCTGGGTCTTGAACATTTGGGGTTCCAAGGCAATGCCGGTATTCCAAAACATCATGCTGATGGTACACGTCTTCGGGTTCTTGGTCATCATCATTGTGCTTTGGGTGCTCTCGCCTAGGGCTACGGCTAAGGTTACATTCACTCAATTCACGAATGGTGGTGGCTGGAACTCTATGGGTCTGGCTTTGATGGTTGGGCAGATTTCAGCGATCTATGCTTGCATCTGTAAGTACAGGTACGGCGCGTATACCGACTGAAGCTTATATGTATGAAGGCTCTGACGCTACCGCCCACATGGCTGAAGAAGTCAAAGACGCGGGCAAGACCGTGCCTCGCGCTATGCTTGGAAGCTACCTTCTCAACGGCGCTCTCGGCCTCGTCTTCCTCGTCTCGTACATGTTCATGATGACAGATGTGGAGACGGCTCTCGAGGATGCCACGGGCTATCCGCACATCTGGGTCTTCAACCAGCTGCGCAACGTATCCCCCGGTGGCGTCGTCGCGCTCAACGTCATTCCTACAGTCCTCATCTTCGCGGGTACGCTAAGCTTCAACCTGTCTACTTCGCGACAGACGTGGGCTTTGGCGCGAGACAAGGGGTTGCCGTTTAGCGGATGGATCGGCAAGGTCGACCCGAAGCTGCATGTTCCGGCCAATGCTGTTACGGTGACTTGCATCATTACCGTCGCGCTGTCGCTCATCAACATCGGATCAGACGTCGCTTTCAACGCAAGTACGTTTAAGATCCCCTCACCTCTCCTCACCGAATCCTCTCTCGCTAACACCTCTCCAAGTTATCTCCCTCAACGTCGTCTCGCTCATGATCACCTACGTATTCAGCATCGGCGCTGTCCTGTACCGGCGCATCTACCACCCCGAGCTGCTCCCGCGCTGCCGCTGGTCGCTCGGCCGCTGGGGCGTACCCATCAACACATTTGGCCTGCTCTATGCTCTGCACGCTTTCTTCTGGAGCTTCTGGCCTAATGCGACGCCGGTGACGAAGGAGGACTTTAACTGGGCGGTTGTTATGTTTGTGGGCGTAGGTGTGTTGTGTATGATGGATTATGTGGTCAGGGGGAGGAAGCAGTATAAGGGTCCGGTTGTGTTGGTGGAGGGATGGAAAGGGGAGTAAAGGAGTGGAATGAGTGAGAGGAGATAGGCTGGAGTAGTGTATGTAGTGTTGTTAGAAGTACGGGGGTGGTTTCAAGAAAGGAATCATCCTACTGTACAGACCTCAAACAGCCTAGAGTTAAGACTCACCATAAGCAAATCTGCTTGAAAGAAAGATGCTTCCAACGCTATAATTATACCTATCTTGATTTTGTAAGGAAAATTAAGTAGAGGGCAACCTTGAAACTTTCGCAACACGTGATATAGTCTTGGCACAACTTCGAAATTTGCTTAGGATTCCAAGGGTACGTTTCCACCCCCAACCGTCCCATCCCACCTGGAGCTAACGGACGTGCCCCATGATCCAAGCAACAAATCTGCAGCATCATACAACTATCCCGACCCCTGCAAAGAATACCATTGAAAATGTCGGAGGAGGGTCCCGCCGCACGGCCACACCGACTGAGACGAGCTGGAGCCGCCGCTTCGCCAGCTCACAATCCGATTTCGGTCCAAGAATTAATTTACTTGACCTCCCTCCGTTCACTGACGGCTGGGGCGAATGGACGCTCGCCGTCAGCCTTGCCATGAGCGAGGATGAGGCTGAGCGCCAAGACGTGTGAAGGCGGGGCGTGTTCTTCAGCCTGCCCGGGTGCCAGTTTATTTCTGCCTTCTACCTTCAACGTTCACCTATCCATCTCCGACGCCTGCGGATACCTTAATCATGCCGCCGCATACCTGTGAACATTGCCGAAAAGTCGTTCTTCGAGTCCCTCCTCTTCATGCGGGAGGTCGCAGGAAGGTCACAACCACTGAGTGCGACCTGGAAGAGATAGAAAGGGCAGTCAACGATAGGTGTGTTCTCTTCGTCGCTATGGTGAGCGCCTTCACGCTAGATTGGCCTCCATTGGAGAGACTAGAGCCTAAGCCATTGATAATACAAACTTGGCTGCATGATACTCAATACCTCGGAGACCGCGTATATCTAGGGCTGGGGGGGGGAGGGGGGCGCAAGAAGACGTTCACTGCAGACCCTTATGGGCGGACGTGATGTATCAGCTCCTTTTTCCAGAGGATGGCCAAGGAAATGGTATAGGTCAACTTTCTTACGAGTCTGGCTTCTGTATCCTATACTCACCGGTATGCCTAGGGAGTAAGGTCTTTGGGCCATCGCCCACGCGTCCGATCAATGCGCATCCGAATACCCCTGCAACTCATCGCCTCGCTCGCTCATGGATCGACAAGTGTCGCCTGTCACAAGCACGGAATCAGGATGGTAACAGGTTTTCGTCCCACTCGTCTTATTCAGATACGCAAATACCCCAATGGCTACAACATCCGCCTTACGAAGTCATCAGCTCTTAGCGATGAAGAGACCCCTTATACGGCACTGAGTTATTGTTGGGGCGGCGATCAGCCACATAAGTTGACCTCAGAGACACTCACCCACGGGGTAAAGCAGTTTGACGACATGCCGCAGACGATTCGAGATGCGATTATCTTGACAGCTGAGCTCGGATTTCAATACCTCTTCGTGGATTCTCTATGTATCGTGCAAGACGACGACATAGAGAAGCGCCGTGAGATCGCACAAATGCCTCTGATCTACAGTAATGCTGTGGTTACCATCGCTGCTTCGACTGCCAGCTCTGTCTTTGACGGTTTTCTGAACGATCGAGATGTGGAAGACGTAATCATCAACATGTCTTTCGAAGATCTGGATGGTGAAAAACATGCAATTGCGTGCGCTACCGAACGTTTCTCGATTATGCCTCTGGACCTTCGTGGTTGGGCTCTCCAAGAGCATCTCCTCGCATCCCGTATCCTACAATTCCGTCCCCGGCAGCTGCGCTTTCTATGTCCAACCAGCTGCGAGAGCCCTTCCGCAAGCTATACCGATGGCTACGTACCAGGTTCACGTGTCGAGGAAGTTCTACATTTTCCACAGAGCTTCAGCGACCTTGAAGACTTCGAGAGGTACTGGCACAAGGTTGTGAGGTTGTATTCATCGCGCGACCTCACCGTACCCACGGACAGGATCCTCGCAATCTCCGGCGTAGCGCGCAGACTTACGCCGCGGGTCATTGGGTATCTATACTTCCTCGAGATTTGCTTTGGTACGTGAGCGGATCACACGCACCAGCAACTAAGCGGAGGCCCTCATGGTCATGGACAAACGTCTCCGCTCCCATACTATATAAGAGACTCATGTCGAAAAGTCAACTTCCACAGGAGGAGTATACTTTAAGGTGGAAGACCCACGGCGTAAAGTCCACACTAGTGGACGATCGGGCTCCGTTCGGTGCAGTGCGAGAGGCCGTGCTGAGGCTAGAAGCCCCAATTCAACGCCTTTATCCATGCGAGCTAGAGATATCCGCACCCTGGGGCACAGAATGGCGCCTACGCACCGGTCAGGCTTCTTCCAATGGGGCGGACCTTGGGGAACACATTTGTCTCAAATCTGACATATCGGAACTTCAAATCCCAAAAGAAGTCCCTATCTACTTGGCGGTGGGCTACAGGGCACCAGGGGACATGTTTGCGGGCCTTGTCGTCAGAGAGTTGGAAGAATGTAGCGAGTCGGGTGTGACAAGGCACGAAAGGATTGGGATGTTTTACGCCAGAACGTGGTTATTTAAAGACGATGATCACACTCGGATGGACGCATGGTTCAACGGATCCGAGAAACGCATAATAGAAATTGTGTAGGGCCAAGAAACGAGGAGGAGAAAACGTACGATGTCCTCGCATAGCGGCTTCCGCGGCGCGGGTCTTGAATCGTACCTGGAGCCTTATGAAAACGAAGACAGCAACCGAATCCTCACCCGACCAGAATTAACACGAAGTCCTAAACCTCTCAGCTAGTGCTCTTCGCTTCAAAGCATTTGAGTTTTCACTTCAGAGTATGCCAGCTTTCCGTTGCAATCGGCAGAAAGCTCAGGTTTTCATTCCATCCCATCCCATCCCAAACCCACCCCACTCAACGAGCGAAAAGACATGCAGACGTTGGCAAGCCGTCTATCCCACTGCAAAAAGAGAGCGGGATCGGCGACACAAGAACTGGGAAACCCGTCTGTCCGGTGCACCTGCCTGGACGTGCGAAGCTTCTTGAGCGATCGAAGGCATTAGAGCTGCGTTGGTAGTTCTGGAAAATGAGGAGCCGGCTCGCGTCCGCTTCTCCGCCCGTCCACCGATGGCTCAGTAAATTCCGGACTTGTGTTCGTTATTTAGAGAGAAAAGACATCATGGATGCGTAGAAGTGGCATCCTTCCTTATGCACGTAGAGGGGCTTCAGTTTCCGTACTGGGTATTGTATGCGGGTGGAGGATGAGTGGGTACGGAAGAAGGGGATGCAAGATCCAAAGTCAGATTAGCTTGACGAGACATATTCAAGAGAGGAACGTTATACTGTGGAAGGGCAGACGTAGAGGTGAAAGGCAATCATTTTCTTTTGATCTCCGCTAAGGAAACAAAAGGCCTAATGGAACACGCTTTCACTCTAAACCGAAACTACCTATCTATACTAATCCACGCCTAACAGAAACACCCTCGCCAATCCCCAAACGAATGTCCAGATGGGATATCCTGAATACAACACCGGCCCAAAAAAAAAACGCCTAACCCACAACCCCACACAATCCTAGACCAACATTATCCATCCACCCCACCACTACCTAATCCAGAAACTTAGCTGGCGTTCCATCAATCGAAATCTCCTCCCTAATCTCCGCCTCATAGTCCTGAATCGCCTTGAGCACTACCGCGAAAAACTCATATCAGCACAAACACGCACCTCGCGTTACTATCGCCCTAAAAATACTCACAGCCCTTGGTAACCCAATACCGGTCCTCGCAATTCGGACCTCCATCGCTGGCCTTCTGCGCCGCAAATTTGTCGTTGTTGTCGTTCCCTGGACCGTACACGGAATATTCCGGTCCCAGGGTATGCTGGAGAACCCATGCCTTCTGCGCGACGCTGAGGCTGTTGCTGTAGCCTGTTCCCCTGGGGTACTTGATTACGTAGTATTGGCCCATTGTGATGTTTTGCGGGGAAGGGAACGTGGAGGCTGGTTGTTGAATGGGAAATTTGCTGGGTTAACGCTGGTGTTGACGACCGATGGCTTGAGGCTGGCTGTGAGGTTGACTTGGTTGGATAGGTGGGTTGCTGTCCTCGATGTACTGTGTGACTAGTTCGCTCGCAGGATACGGAGAGGTGTGCTGATTGCCGGATCTAGCTGCAAAGATGTGGCATTGTATAGTGTGAGAAAAGCTGCTCTTGTGGATGTGTTGGTGAAGAATAGAGAAGGGCTTTGAAGAAGAAGTTTATATATACCCCTGATATCTTGACTCCCCTGTCTGCAATGACTACACGAAGCGTGGCGAATGTGCGAATTGTTAAGGTGTCTATGAGTCCCCTCTAGGGATTTGGGAGGTTTTTCATCACTTCGCGTGGTTTTCCTTCATCTGCCCTGCAGGAAATATTGTAGATACTTGCATAGCTTCGCAGAAAGCTAGGTCAATTCAATGATTTCAAGCCAAGCCAAGCCTCTAGGGGTTTGAGGCATTATAAACGGTGAGTAGTAGAGGTAGACTCAGCAAGGTTGACGTTGTAGAGTAAAATGCTCGAGGCAAAGGTCCTTAAGAAGCACGCACTCCAAGGTTTGGATGCGAATGGGATTGAAAATTGCGTTAAGGGAGGTTGAGCATGCTCGAAGTTAGACGAGAAACCCAACCCTGATGCGTATCCGCGGCCTGCTTCGCAGTAACTGTACGCTCACGGGTAGCAAATCAGCGCGCGGGACGTTGCGGGTGCTGTAGCTTGCTTATCAGTCGAGCAGGACAATACGGGTGATAGCAGTATAAATATAACCTTAAAAAAAGCCATCTAAGAGCAAACTCGCCAACCCCTAAACGAATGTAAAAGTGGGCAGGGTATCGCAACCAAAACACATCTACCAGAGGAAAAAAAAACCCGTCCGTCGAGAAATCCCCCCACCCATTCCACTACTTCAAATCGTCCTCCGTCATGTCGGTAAGATAGATTTCACTCTTAGCCTCATACTCCGCGATAGCCTTGTGTACTGCGCAATCGTTCATCAGCACCCTATCCCCACAGCCTTCCAGCAGGAAAACCGCAAAGCGGCAAACTAACAAGCGCAGTGAACTTACAGCCCTTAGTTACCCAACCCTCAGTAACACTCTCGTCGAGTCCGCCGTCCGCTTTCTTATGCTCCTCGACCTTTCCGCTGCTCTTATCACCGATCCGGGCAGTCCAATCCGGTTCGCCGGACCTTTCCAGCGACTTGGCTTTTAGAGCCTCCTCCACGATGTTCGTGTAGCCGGTTTGGCCGCTGCCAGAGTAGGAGTAGGAGACGATGTAGTACGATGCCATGTCGGAAGCTTTCGAGGGGCTTAGCGTAGGTGTCGATAGTGCTGCGGTTGTGGGTGGATAGTATGATGGCGCTTCGTCGATATGTGAAAGATGGTCTCGGTGCCCGTCGTGCCGTGGGTTTTGTCAGTACGTTGAGAGGCTCTGCTGGATTGCGGTAGAAGTAGTAGCGTCGTGGAAGGAAGAGCTTGGTGGAGGGGAGGGAATTTATCCCCCCAATCGCTTGACTCCTCCATCCGCAGTTGCGCTCGAGGCGTGACAGAAGCGTAGGATGACACAGCCTCTATAAGTATCCGCCGGGGTTTCGACACATAATAAATGGCGAGCGGTACTTAGGAGAAAGACTTAGCAAGGCTGGGATTTCGCTAGAGTAAAATGGTCAAGGCGAAGCTAAGGTCCTTGAGAAGCGTGTACTCCAAGTTTTAGATGTGAATAAGGATTGGAAAGTGCTTTGAGAGAGAGCTTGAGCATGCTCACGGCGTAAAAAGTCGTGGAATCACCCTGGTGCGTGTTCTAAGCCTCTGCTTCAAAGTGACTGTTCGTGGACGATGACTCCTTGCGCGGGAAGCTCCGGGTGTTGGGTAGGCCAGTGCAAATGATGAGTACGCTCTCTGAGTCCGAATGACGCAGACGTAGTTAGTAATGCACGAGCCACGGAGAGGTCTTGGAAAATGCGTGCCGTTGAGCGCTCGACCACCGAGATGTGAGTATTTTCCTGCAAACGCGGTCATTGTGGCGGAAGAGTGGGATGACTCTTCTGTAATATTCATATTATTACCATCTCAGGGCAACATTCTGTCATGCAGAAGTGTCGGAAAGCCTGAAAGCGGAAAAGCTTGAAAGATGAAGCCGTGCCTCGCTCGATTCGCAACACGGCTCGGAACTCGGCACCCATGACGAAGGTATAGCTGCTGCGTAACTTCGACATCCTCCTCTTCATCGATATATTAATCCGGCAGCCCAACGCCCTTCGTCGATATCTGGATCTCTCCATACTTCTTCTCGTACTCCCAAATCGCCCTGGACACTACGCGCATCCTATTTAGCGCCACCTTTCCCACCCTAAATCCAATCGAAGAACTCACCCCCGTTGGTCACCCATCCTCCCGAAAGCTGCGTAGCGCCACCGTCGCTCGCCTTGTTCTGCGCGTACGCGGTATGGTTGGTCGTGCTGCCTTTCTGGACGTTCCATGATTGTAGGCTGAGGACGTGGCAGAGCTCGTAGGCTTTCTTGGCCGTGGTTTCACAGGTGGTGAAGCCGCGTTGGAGGGTCCCGTGAGAGGTAGGATAGTAGATGAGGTAGTAAGTGCCCGTCATTTTTGTTGCGATAGCGACGGCGGTTACTACGAGGGCAATTGGGGAGATGCGCGAAGACGACGCGTTATCTAATGATTTTTTTGTCGAGTGCTTGGTGAAGCGGTTTTTTGTTATTGCCTGACGTTCGGCTTGTGGCATCGGCGAGCTCGTGGTGAAGTCCGCTCGTACATGGGGTCGAGCAGAGAAAGTTTTGCTGTGTTTTCCTGTAGGGTAGCTCTACTCGACCTTTGCCTTGATTTAGTACGTCAGGTTCAATGAGGCTCCAGATGGACGCCGACGTGCAGAGGATCAGGAGAGCACTAGAGTAAGACATTTTGCTTTTGCGGCGCCATTTCTGCGTGGGAGAAACCAAAACGACAATGTGTAACGGTATCCCTAAATGACGTGTTCTGTGCGCCTATAGGTCGCGAAAAGGATTGAATGGAAGGGAAGAGGTGACCGGAAATAGAAAGCTATCATGTGACGCAAGGAAGCTGGTGAGCTAGCTGAGGTCTTGGCTTGCACTTGCTTTTTTTCAGGGTCTCGAGCCATGGCGTGATGCGTTATACAAGACCCAATGGCTATGTGACGGTGACCCCGAAGATCCTCGGCGACGTAGAGGCTGACGGTGCATTTTGGAGGTGGGAGGGTGCGAGAAAAATTTCTTGGCGTTTGATAGTGGTTCTAGAAAGTGTGAGGACGGGAATGATGGCTTCGTGATAGTTCCTAGTCCCGGTACGAACGGCCCGGTGGACATGAGTGACACTCCAGGTCTAGAACCCGTAATTGGAAAGCATGATCTCTCACTGGTAGCTGAGAGAAACCTGGGGTAATCCGTTGGCTTGGCCAACGCACAGGTAATCCTAAGCAGACCAGTGTCAACATGGTGCTATCAATGTGAGTCGAGAACTTCAGATCGTTGCTAGCAATGGCAATTCTGTGGATCGAGCCTACCGCATTCAAATATACCGATCGCTGTTTTGTACAAGTTTTTGGACCCCCTTCAGTGGCTCCATCGGAATAGGCGTGCTGTACAGCCCTGGCACCCTCGAATTATGATATACCTTCTCACACCATTTGACTTCTTTCTCCGCCTTCTTGACCTCGTAGTATTTCCTCGCCGCAACAAGCGGCGTCATGCTTCCAAATCGAGCGGTATATCCCGTGTTTGGGCGAGTGTTATAGGGTACGCTCCTACAGATGCAATCTGCATACCCTCCAATCTCGCGATCCCACATGAATAGTTGTTTTGGCTCGAGCTGGCGGAATTGCCGGAGAAGCTTGAAGGTGTTGGACTGCAGAATGAGCATGCTCATCCAGTATATCAAGTAGCAAATGCCAGCGCCGAATGCGTGGAAGTCGAAAACGGGATCGAAGGTTCGGTCGTTACAGATATCGAGAAAGCCTTCCATGAAGCCCACGTCGACTTTATGGTATCGGGGACCGCTCCGTTCGAGGTCGGCGAACCATGCTTTCGCTCGGCCGGCTAGCTGCTGCGAATCGTCGATGAGTTTCTCGATATCTGCTGCCGGTGATCCAGCTGCTGCAAGCTTGTCAGTTCGCTCGAGAAGACGAGGTATGCAGATGCAGATGTCTAGCAAGGCCACGTAAGGGTCGACTCTCGCGGCCCTTGTCGTCACGGTAAGCCACTCGGGCGAGTCGAGCATGGAAGCCTTGCGCACATGGTAGCCAATGCTCAACTAGATTTTCGGGTCAAAAAATTTGGACGCTTAGCATGTGGTAAGGCACATACCGAGTTGTATCGTATGGCATGGAATATCTGCATGCTCAGCCTGCTGTTGAACGAAGACGGGCCACGCTCCTTTAGGAGATGGAGCAGTCCTTGCACATGGTAGAAGAATCCATGTCCTTGCGTAACTCCTACGAAGACCTAACGTCGCGCAATAAGCAACCGAAAGCGCCCGCGTCTTCATGAGGAAACCATACCTCATACAATGTAAGGAGATATGTTGCTAGAAGCGTTTCGTCTGCCAGCGCCTGAGTTGGCGATTTGATAGTTTTCATCATCTGCATGAGTGCAGTGCCATAGAGAGATCTCGACCTATGGATGAGAGGGTAGTTTCGATTGGCGACCGCAAGCTGCGCAGCAGACAAGGCATCAACTGCTGCGAGAAGAACCTGGCTGGTTGCTGGAAGGCTAGGTAGGGCAAGGATTACCGCTGATGGAGGCGGCAACGTTTGACCGTCCCATGTTGGCAAATAAAGCGCGAGAAAGGTTCCTAGATGCTGAACGCGTTCGACGGCTATCGGGCTGACCTGCTTAGGCACGAGAGCCTCGACAGGCCTAAGCTCTGAAGGCTGAAGCTGAACCACGGCTCCCGCCCGGCTTTCCGTCGGGCTCGAGCTATCCGGGCCCTGGTTTGCGTATCGATACCGGTTTTCGTCCTCTCTGATGATGGCAGGCCTCTCGGTCTTCTCATTAAATTCGTGGAGAATGAATGATTGCGCTGGCCGATAGCCGGGGCATTTTGTGCCGCGCCGAAGGCAGGTATTGCACTCCGGCTTTGCCTCGTCGCAGCGGACCTTGCGTTTGCGGCATTCGAAGCAGCCTGGTGAACGCTTCGGCATCGGAAAACGGAGCCGGGCAAAGCTCCTAAGAAATCAAATAAAAAGGAGACTTCTCCAGCACGCGGAGGTAGCGGAAAGCAATGGAAGACACGCTGAAAGCGGAGAACGATGTGGAGATATCATCTGTTTGAGCTCCGGACGGCATGATACTCCGGAACGATGAGGAGAGCGCCGAAAATAGTCTCGCGGGGACGGTGACGCTAGCAGTGACAGCCGCCAAGGAACGCCTCGTATTGCAACGGTGACCAATTGGAAAAGACGATAAATGCAAAGGCCCCATCTCCAGCAGTATCGGGCGATGCATATTGCGCTTTCCAGGTTTTTGGAAGGTCGATAGGGGAGAAAAGTTGCTTGAGGATGTCCGAGGAGCAGCATATGCTGGCTAGGCGGCTGCCGAACGCTGGAGAGATCGAGGAGACTACACTCTAGAAGGAAAAGAGAGGATTGAAATGATGAATAGAGGCAGACTCGCAATTGAGGATGTGCTATTGATGAAATGTGAGGATTGTGGTACCTAGCTGACTAGCGTGCGCACGTGATCGGAGAGAAGGCAGGAGCCAGGACCCAGCAAGACTGAGGCAGATCTCTTCGAGAGCGTCACAACAAGGTTAAAGGATAGCATCATGCTCAGTACACAAGTGCAGCCGGCCACATCTTATATCTTTGTTCCAATTGCCCAGCGCAACGTGGGCTCGCCCGTTCGAGAACCTAGCGCGAATACGAGTGCTGTTTTCGGAATGTTCTGCGAATCCTCCTGCGCCAAGGATAAATACACCACTCAACGCCGTGGGACGGAGCGCATCATCCTCCCGCTATGTTACGGGCATCGCGGCAAGGGCTATGGATAGGCGGTGACTGGAGATCAGCAATGCAGAGCTCATGCTGACTGCGTTTCTCCCAACAACGCGAAAGGTGGCAGCGAAGCACGGTGTAGAAACAGTAAAAATATCGTCTTTGAGGTAGTATCGTTGCCCAACGCCATGCAATGCGGTCGATGCAATGTGAGTCTTTGCTCGGATATTATACACGTAGCTTTACAAAATACATAAAGTGGACCTAAATCAAGGCCTCGCCCCTGAACATGGCTTCCCTAACTTCCTTTACGACATCGGCTCTGTCGCCAGGACCAACAAGCACGATACCTCTGCCTCTTCTGCCCATACGCCCTGTTCTACCCAGTCGGTGGATGAAATCGATAGTGGTATGTGGTACATCGTAGAGAATAACATGCCGGACCGCCACGGTATCGATACCTCTCGAGCCAAGATCTGTAGTGACGATGACTTTCGTGTTGGGGAGTTGCCGTTTGCTGGCATCAGCCTTGGAAACTTCCTTCTCTTCGCCCTCTTTGCCGTCTTTGACTTTTTCATTTCCGGTGAATGAACCAAGTATCTTCGCTTGACGAGACGGGTCGGTGTCTCGATGGAAAGCCACGGCATCGATGCCCTTCTTTACCAGATATTCAGCTACTTCTTCGGTATCCTCTCGTTCGTTCACAAAGACCAAGACGCGTTTCGTTGGTACCGCTTCCTTGCCTTCGGATGGATCGTACTCGGCGGCTGCCTTGCCGATCTGCCAAATGGTATCCGCGCACGCCAACATCTTGTTTCCACGGTACGGGTCCTTGTTTACGTCTACGACTCCAAGCTGAACTCGTCTGGGTATAGCATGTAGATTCGGCGTGACTAGTCGCTGCATGTCCGGATATTTGTCGGCCAGGTGCTTGTCTAGATACCGTGGAATTGTCGCAGAGCATAGCATGAGCTTCTTTAGTGATGGCGTGGCTTTCTCGAGGATCTCGGTGGTGCTAGGTTTGAAGGAGCGGTCGAAGAGCGAATCTGCCTCGTCAATGATGAGGTGAGTAACGCGAGCGAGGATGTTGGGATTGCTCTGCGCAATGCTGGCCAGAAGCGGGGGCGTGCTGATCACAATGTCTACGCCATTTTCATTAAAGAGACGGTTGCGGATGATAGTCGCCGAATTTTTAGCTGAAATGGGCGCGGCGCGGAATTTTACGGCATGGGAGAGGGATTTGGCGACGGCGCCGACTTGGGCGACGAGTTCGGCGGAAGGGACGAGGATGACGGCACGAGGGCGAGCTGGATCGACAGCTTTGTTTAACTTTGGAGTCTCTACCGCGAAGATGTCGTCCCTTCTCTTCTCCTCCATCTGAGCTGCTTCTTCTGCTTCTTTGCGCGCCGATTCCTCCCGTTCAAGCACCTCTTCGCGCTTAATGGCGTCAATGGTAGGGAGAAGGTAGGCTAGGGTTTTTCCGGAGCCGGTTTCCGCAGCGAGGAGGAACGATTCGGGGCCCATGTTCCCCGACGCGCTTTTCGTTCGTCGCTGCTTTTGCAGACCAAGCAGAGCTGGTATTGCAACTGCCTGAGCGGGAGTTGGTTGGCGGTATTCCAGCCCAGGCAGCGCATCCTTGACCGCTTCTTGTACGGTATCCATAAGCGGAAAGCTCTGGAAAGAATCGATTTCTGCTATCTTCCTTTTGATAGCGGATCTCGGCCCATAAGGTATCTCGTGCAACGAGCGCTGCATTTTGAGCGCATGGAACGGCTCCTGGGGAGCGCGCCTCTTCCCATCCGGTCTTCGACCAGAGGATCTGTCTGCCCTGAATTCTCCGTGCCTTGCTTCTCGCTCTCGCATGGGCGGAGCTTTTGTTCTGTTCAAGTGTGAGAAGGGCTCGCGCTGTCTCTTGGGCGGCTTTGCGTCCGGTGAAGGGCGAGGAGGCTGCGCGACGGTATCGGAGAGCACCATTCGAGACGGGCGAGGTCTTTCGTGTCCATGCTGCCCTGGGCGGGGTCGTGAAGGGGTGCCGCCTGCACGGCGGGCGGCTCGTTCGCGCTGTATCTGGGCATAGAAACGGGCCTGCTGGAGCTGGGGCGGCTGTCTAAGAAGGGCGCGCACTTCGCAGCGGGGGCAGGAGCGAGCGAATTGGCGCAGCATGGTATACATGGAATGGAGGAAGAAGAGGATGATCTATGACTTCTTCAGCAATGACGAACCCGCGTTCGCGAAAGCTTTGGCGCCACATCCGCGGCGGCGCTAGGCCAATCACGGCGCGGGTGGCGGTGCGGCTGGCTCTTGTTGCTATGGGCGACGACCCACCCGCCTCGCACCCCGGCCGTGTTGACGCGGATCGATCTCACAGGCGCCATTTGAGCAGCACATCCTCTTCTCCCTCACCTCTGCAACCCATCCAACAGCGCCTGCGCCCGGTTCGACGTTCACTTCCGCCTCCGTATTTAATCAGCGCGCATCCATACCAGCTGCGCGACCTCCTCGACGGAGCCGCGCCATTCTTCGCAAACATTCCTCGCCGACGCAAATAGCCTGCCTGCATCGACAGCTGTTGCCGCTGGCGCTGGCCGAGAACCATGTCGCGCAATGAGGCAGTATGTCCCCCGATCTCCCTCGCCATGAGCGCCTTGGAAGCCCTGCAATGCTGATGTTCGCGCGCCCAGGTGTCGCCGCTGCGCATAAACAAAACACCAACTGCCTCGCCCACCAAGGGCAGCGGCGTGTCGCGCCCGCTCTCCGAGATTGGCTCCACAGAGCGCAGGAGGAACTCTCCGAGCTTCAACCAATCGACCAAGGTATGCCCGCGCTGCATTCCAACCCTAGGTCCTGCGCGGCAGCTAACGTGGCCTAGAAGTTATTCCTAAACAAGGAGTCCTCGCCCTTCGACTCTTCTCCGTTTGCAAACAGTCCGCGTCTGTTTTGGAAGGAGCAGACTACCTCGCCCAAGGGCCGCTTTGGGTCGGAGAACGAGTACGAGCACGAGTCGTCCGTGTCGCTGTCGCCCAAGCGCAACTCCATCGAGAACCTGAAGAAGGCGTCTCGCGTCAAGAACAGCAGCATGTTCGCCCGCGAGCAGAAGAACGAGTACGACCCCACCTCAGTGCAGGCGCCCAATCGACCGCTGGCCGCTGGCCGTCCGTTGAGCACCCAGGTCCAAGGCAATGCGTTTGGTGGGAGCGGTCTGGCCGGGCTGCGTAAGCAGAACGAAGAACACCGTGGCCACCGCCGCGGCGAGAGCCTGAGCAAGATCCCCTTGCTAAGCCCCTCCAAGGGCTCTTCCAACGCACTCTCTGCGCCTTCTTCTCCCGCCAAAGATGCGCCGTCACCAGCCGAGGGCCGCATTTCCCCGAGCAAATCCGCCCTCGTTAGCCATGGGCGCTTCAACTCGACCGAATACAATCCAGACTCTAGCATGTGGTCAGAGGACGACGAAATGAAGCACCAGACCCCGCGCCCTTTGCGCCGCCATGCTAAGAGTGTGACCTTCGACGCTGCTCCCCCAACAATCAATGAGTACGAGATGGTCACGCCTGATCCTTCCTCAATCGCATCCGGCTCGCGGGAGGGTAGCTACGAGTCGGACGAGGAGCTAAGCTTCGACCAGGATGACAGCTTTGATGCGTCTCTGGAGGACACTGATAAGACGCCTGTTGTGCTTCCAGAGGACTGGCGTCACATGAGCCCAGAAGCCGCCAACGCATCGCTCACGGATCCTTACGACGATGTATTTGACGGGCACGAGAGCAGTCCGATGCCGAACGCGCGCCCTAACGGTGTAGCGAAGGCGAACCACTCGCGCCATGGCTCCACTACTTCAGACGGTGAATCGAGGCCTCTTCCTCCTCTGCCGGGCATGCAAGGACATGATGACCGTCGCCGGCGCGATTCTAGCGTTGGTCTTTCAGCTGCTGCCGAGCGTGCGTGCGGCCGTAGATCATTGCCCCAGCCTCCCCAAGCTGCCGGCATTTCCAAGGCTGATCTGCTGAACATGCGCGAAGGTTCCATGTCTTTAGAGGACAGGCTGCGTCTCATGAACTTTGACGAAGAGCGCGACACCAGCACGCCGACGCAGGAAAGTCAGGATAATAAGACTGGCCTCGGTATACAGGTACAGGTGGCAGAAGTCGATGACGCGACTGAGTCCGATCTTACGGTTGACGGACCCAAGGTTCCACGGATCTCTCGCGAGTCTATACTGCGAAAGGTCAAGAGCCGCAACTTCGACGAGTACGACAGCTACAATTACGACGCGGAGTCTAGCCCCGAGCGTAGCTATGGCGAGCTGGCTGATCTTGATCCGGATGTTCCAATTCCCTCTCGCGAGGCTTCTTCCAATTTCGACGAGGACCCCCGTGCGAACGCGCAGGACGAGGCCGACAGCGTGATCGACGCTTACTCGTTTGCTGAGACAACTGAGATGTACACCGAGGTATCGCAGCTAGAAGACCAGGAGCGCGAGTCTTCCGTCATTCGCCATGAGGTGAAAGAAGATGCCCGCGAAGATGACGACGCCAGCCAATACTCGTCTCAGCCCGAGGAGCAGCCTACCTCGCAGAGCACGATTGAAACCTCTGGCCCCCCAACGCCGATAGCATTCTACTCATCGCCAACCGCCGCTGAGAAGGAAGCGCGCCGAAAGGAACTGTTTGCTTCCTTCGACGACAACGAGGTTGACTTGCGGCTCGACCCGCTCAAGTCCTCATTTCAGACAGCAGCCAGCCCTCTTGACACAGCACCCAAGATGGATGCCATGAGGCAGTTCCTGCGACGACCCGAGACACCGGAGGCTGAGGAAGAAGCCGACGCCGAAGAGCCTGGCACTCCAGATTCAGTCATCCGACATCCCGTCGTCATTTCGCCGCCTGAACGTGACTCGCCCGCGATTCCAGAGAGGGAGTCGACTATCAAAGGTGCGGGTGGAAGGTTCAAGGCGCGGCCATCGCTCATTCCCGCTGATGTGGACATGGCCGCCGCTCGCCGACAGGTCAGCGGTGAACATCCCCCGCCTGTTCCAGAGCGTAGCCCTAAGCGCCAATCTCTTAGCCTAGATATCGGTCACGTCGAAGAAGAGGACTCACAAATGGGCCTCTCGAACAAGGAAAATTTGACCCTCGATCTGAACATTGCCGAAGACTCCAACGACCTCAGTTTCGGGCTTGACAGGGAGTTCGATAACATCATTGAAGCCCAGAAGGTAGACAGCCTATTTCCTTTGCCCTCCTTCGCCCAGTTTCCGACATCAAGCGCCGCGCAACAAGATGCCGCGAGTCACATGTCTGGCGAGGGCTTTGTGTATACGTATAGTCCCGCTAACGGATACGTCCGTGAACAGAAGGGATACCTCATGCGACAGAACACCAAAGTAGTCGTCGCTAGCAGCCGTCAGTTCAGCGACGAGAAACCGTCCGCGGATGCGCCAAAAGCTGCCGAGAAGGCTTCCAAGTCCGCTAACAGCAGCCCACGCAAGACAAGCGCAGAACGCAAGCCTGCTTGGACAACTGAACCCTGGAATGGTAAGATGAGGCGACGAAGCATTCGCACCACCTCGGGCGCGCGCCGTGGTGCTGCCGCAGGCCCTGCACCTCCCTTACCAGGTCAGGAATCCGCGGTTGCGGGTGGACTAGATTCTGTCGAGGAGCAAGCTGGTGACGAATTTGAAGATGGGCAAGAGCGTGGCAGGCTGTTTGTCAAGGTCGTAGGTGTGAAAGACCTGGACTTGCCGTTGCCGAAGAGTGAGTTGCCTTCTAGACTGTTCAGCACGATTTGTTTGCTCACATTACGTTACAGCCGAACGCACATGGTTTCAGCTCACCCTTGACAACGGTTTGCACTGTGTAACCACGTCCTGGTTGGAGCTTGGTCACACTGCTCCCATCGGGCAGGAGTTCGAGCTCGTAGTGCTGGATGATCTCGAGTTCCAACTTACCCTGCAGACCAAGCTGGAACCTCCGGCTCAGCCTCCGATCGCTGTAGCTCCAGCAAAGGCTGTCAATCACAAGAAGTCTCATTCGGCCTTCCGAAACCTCCTTTCCTCGCCAAAGAAGCGGAAGGAGCAAGAGCGCAAGCAGCAGGAAGAGGCCGAACGCCTCGCGCTCCAGCAACAGCAAGAAGCTCAGGCAAAGCGCAATCATCAAGCCACGGCATGGAACCTGCTCCATGACCTGGTCGGACCAGACGGCTCATTTGCACGTGCCTACGTATGCTTGAAGAACCACGAAAACCAAGCATATGGTCGTCCGCTCAACGTGGATATTCCGTGTTTCAATGAATGGGCCGTTGACGATACCGGCGCAAGCAGCGTGAAAAGCAAGCGTGGCGGCGTAGTCCGACGTCCACCATACCGAGTGGGCAAGCTCGCACTTCAGCTTCTCTATGTCCCCAAGCCGAAGAATGCAAAGGATGAAGACATGCCCAAGAGCATGAACGCTTGCGTACGCGAGCTTAGGGAGGCTGAGGAAATCAAGGATAAGTCTTGGGAGGGTCATCTAAGTCAACAAGGTGGCGATTGTCCCGTAAGTAAAACCTTCCGCTCCAGAGGTCCGGAGCTATACTAACTGTGTTCGTAGTACTGGCGTCGTCGCTTTTTCCGCCTTACAGGCACGAAGCTCACGGCATACCACGAAGCCACGCGACAGCCTCGCGCAACCATCAATCTTGCCAAAGCAACTAAGCTGATCGACGACAAGTCTTCGCTCCAGCAAGCACCGTCGACTAAGAACGGTGGACGCCGCAAGTCCGCTTTCGCGGAAGAAGAGGAAGGCTACATGTTCGTCGAAGAAGGGTTCCGGATCCGGTTCGCCAACGGCGAGGTCATTGACTTTTATGCCGATAGCGCGGAGCAGAAGAACGGCTGGATGAAGGTGCTCTCCGAGACTGTCGGCAAGGATATCGCTGGCGGCCGCGGCTGGGCAGACATGGTGCTTGAGAAGGAGCGGCGGGAGAAGATTCGCGCTCAGGCTGCTCCTCAGCTAGCGCAGGCGAAGGCACTCAGGGAGTCAGCCCACGCCAATGCGCAGCACCAACAACAGCGTCCCCGCTCACACGAAGGCACCGGCAGCAAGTCAATGCCGTCGAGCCCCGTGAAGCCACGCCACTCACGCACACAATCGCACGCTCCCGCACCACCGCCACCGATCGAGAAAGACCCGCGACATAAGGCAGCCACTGCGCCGCGTCAGCGCGACGCCCAAAGCAAGGCAGCACGAAGAGATCAGGTTCGATCGATGATTTTCTAAGCCTCTCCACTTAACCCATCATTACTTAACTTCATCATCGATACCCGATCTCCGACAGGGGATATTGGACCTTCACTTTGGCTTACGCTTTCTTTGCCTCCTAGATTCCCTTTCTGTCGCTTTCGAATCGACTAGGCTTTGCGGCCAGATTCGCAGCTTGGAGGGATGTGTTGCGTCGCAGGGGTGCTGCGCACTCGTGACGATAGCTGTTGGGGTTCATCTTCATTCTCTTCTCCGGCGTGCGCTTCCTTGTATAAAAAAAAAAATCTGAACTTGACCGACGCGTCGACTCCATCGGCTCTCCTTGTGTTTGGTTGATGGAGAGACAAAGTTGGCAGCCGGGTGAAGAGAGACAAGAACGTTTGCTGCTTACGTACTCTATTCTTCTTGTTTACTTCTTCGGGATCGGGGTTTTCTTTGTTGATCTTTCGTTTCGGCGTTGCCGGTGCCGGCATCAGATGAGATTATCCTCTGTTTAATGAACGATTGAAGATGATGCACGTATGCAGAGGGGACGGCAGGGCTAGGCGCGGAGTTTCCAAATATACACACTACTTCGAAAAGCACCTTGTGGTTGCACATACCTAGGTATGCAGGTGTTCATGTGATGGCTGTCGCGCGAAAGCGCCCCGGCGGGATCAACGTTTTCTCTCCTTGATTCTTCATCAACAAGGGTTTGGTATTGTTTGACTCTGTGTCGAGGGAGGTGGTTGAGAAGGACAGGACAGGACACCTCGCGAACGCGGTGGGCATGTTTGCCTCGATAGTGTATGCATTAATGTTCATGCGTGTCGGCGGTCCTTCGGGGTTGTTGGTCTTGTTCGGGGCTGGTTGTTCATTACCGCGTGCGACCTTGAGCTCGCGAGCAAACATTCTCACAGGATAGGACAAACTTGGTTCAGGCGGAAGCACGGAAGCACACACACTCTCTCTTCTCTCCGTCTTCACTTCTTTCGCTCCATCAATTAGCCGTCGCCAGTCATTTCAGACGTCAAGTTCAGCATTGGGGAATTCAGTGCTCTCAGCATAGACCATTTGCATTGTACTCCCTTTTTCCTAATCTCATGAGCCGCTCTCAGTGATAGATCAATTCTTCTCTTCAGTCCCCGTTTCCCATATAATGGGCATAGCCTGCTCGCATCCACCGCCACCTCTGGTCGAAATCGCTGGCTCGCGCAACAAGATTCTCATTCCCGCCGGGACCTCCTTCTCAGTCCACCCACCGCCTGAGCTTACTCGCCGCGGGCGTCGTAGCAGCCGCCGAGTACCAATCTACCATCGCGTCTCATCACCCTATTCCTCATCTGCCAACGATTATCGGCCAATAGGCAGACCACGCGAGCGTGGAAGAAGACCACCAACGTTGTCAGAAGACACAGAAAGCCAGATGAACTTCATGGATATGAGTCCGCCGGGAGGAGCAAGGACGCGGGGTGCGCCTGGTCCTGGGAGGGGGTATGGAGGCGGAGGAATGCCGATGGGAGGGAGGAGGCCGAGACCTGGCTCTGGACCAGGACCTGGACCTGGAATGGCAGGGGCGTATTTCGATCCAGGAGATGTGAGGGCTCGTTCGGCGCCGGATTTGCATGGGGGTTATCCGTATGCGGGGATGCGAACTCCGCGGCCACGTGTTAGAGGGATGGAATCGACGCTGGCAAGGGGTATGAGTCCTGGTGGCCCGGGTTATGTAGCAGGTCCAGGATATGGGGCCGGCGCGGGAGGTTTAGGTGGTGGCAATCCGTACGCGTATCCTCAGGGACGACTAGGGACGCCATTCCAAGGTCGGTCACAAACGCCGATGCAGATACAACCGCAACGTCGTCCATCCCTGCGTCCTCCGGGGCTCAATGAGGTTCCCATGGGGGCCTACGCGGCTGGCCATCCGGCTCCTCCTGTCCGCGCGAACACTGATCCTCCGACTTCGAAACGGCTCAACCGGACGCAACCTACGAACAAAAAGGTCGGACCATCTGGTCAGGAATGGATAGAAGGGGATCCATTCCTAGATGCTTGTACGTGTACGACAAACTGCAATTGTCGAAAGGGGCAACGAGTACTGTATCGGGCGCAAGCTCAGGATGGCGATGGACATAACGGGTTCGGGGAGATTCGGTATATTTTGAAAGATGATTTGGGAAGAGACTGCGGCGATCACTCGGCATGCAGAAACGGAAACCAAGAGGAAAAGAAGAGCGGTAAGACGAAAGGAAAGCTAGGGCTCAAGGAACCGAGCCCTGCATCGAAAGAGGACATCCAGCGAATGACTGAGGGTATTGAGGCGCTTCATGAAAAGATGGAGGGCTTAGGCCTGAACCAGCCAGGCGGATTCGGTGGCCCTTCTAGAATGCCGTTCGGAGGAACCGGTGCACATCCGGCAATGATGGAAAGTATGGATCCTCGCGTGCGTCCAGGGATGGGTGGTGATCCTTACGGAATGAGCGGGCCGGGTAGAATGCCGGTAGGTATGGGTGGGCCTATGGGAGGCAGACCAGACCGTATTGCCAGGATGGGCATGCGTGGACCGATGCCAGGCGAAATGGGCTACGAAGACGACATGCCGTTCTCAGAGTCGGCTTTCGGGATGGGGGATATGATGGATCCGATGGAGATGGGAGGACGACCAGGACGAATGATGGCAGGTAGGCGCTCGATGCCACCTGAGTTTATGCCGCCTCGCAGACCGCGAGGGAGGGGTGGCCCAAGGGGACCGCCGGGTTTAGGGATGGATATGGAAATGGGCGGGTTCGGCCGCGGTCTACCACCGATGGGCGGCCGAGGTATGGGCGGCCGACGTGCAAGATTTGGAGGGAGACGACGTCGGCCGGAGTTCGGTGATGAAGAATTGGACATGGAGATGGGCATGCGGGGAGGGCTGGGCGGTCGCGGAGGAGGACGTGAGGAGTATGGTGATATGGACGATGATGACGACGAAGCGGCATGGGAGGATGAGAACGGTTAGGCCTCCTAATCTGTGAAGTTATATGCCAAACACTGATAAGCAAGCTACAGACGGTGACGAGGGCCCGGGCATGCGGCAGAGTCCATCAGGGAGGCGCAGAGACGGCGGACGACCCCGAATGGGTCGAAATATGAGTGGGAGGGGAGGCACAGCAGGAAGGCAAGCGCGCGTTGAGGAGGACGATGACATCTGAGCGGAGTCACTCTGATGGAGCGTTGGTCCAGGCCCTTGAGTCTCGAGAGACGGCGGAGGGGGTTTCGTGTTTTGTTGCGTTCGGCGCCGGGCATGTAGCAATATGTGCGATTCGATTGCGTCACACCACCCCTGCCCCAGGACCTCGCGCTGGGGCCGTGAGGGGAGCGTCGTGCCGGCAGTCAGGAGACGTGGTCTGTGAGGCGGCGGCAGGAGACGGCGGCAGGAGAGGGCGGCTCGGCATCTGGCCGGATTGCGTGCAGAGGAGGTGGCCCATGCTGCTTCATGTCACGAACGCTGCCGGGAACGGGAGCCCCGGGGGAAACTGCGGGTGGACTGCCCAACTATCAGCGCACAGTGGCCGGTGGGGACTTCCTCATTCTGAGATCACCGGGAGTTCTCGGACAACATTCGGGTCCCCAAAGTGAACGCGGCACGCACAGCTCCACCAACTGACTATTCTGACGACGAGGCGGAAACTGTGCGAGAGGCACTTACAGCGCGTTCAGAGAGGAGGTGTAGAGTTCAACGGCCATTCATTCTTACCCTGATCGTGAGATCGTGTAGCCAAAGCCCTCTTGAGCCATGGCCTTCAGTCTAGGGATATAGGAGAAAGGAAACCGTACAAGTTGCCAGCTCGCTCGAGACTCAGACGGAGTGAGGCGTGTATGCATGCTGGCATCCATAGACGCCGACCCAGTCCGAGAAATGCATATATCCCACGTGCGCAAATCGCCCATCGTAGCACCAACCGTACATGCCGACCTGGAACTCCTCGCTCGAAACGCAGATGACAGAGGAAATCGACGGCATGGCTTTTGAAAGGAAAAAGGAAGGTAGGGTCGAGCAAGGAGAAAAGGTCGGCTCCTCACTAACATATCCGCTCAATCACCACTTCGGACCACTCCAATTCACCGAACTTCAACTCCCACTGAAGCTCTGCTAGCTCGTCGGCAGCCAAGTTCAACCTCATTATCCTCTACGGCGCAGTCCAGCCCATGCCGCTGCTGGACAGGCCAATGGCGAGGCTGAGGCGCTTACCCTGCTCGTTGAGGTGGAGGATCCTGCACTTCTTCTCGGCCCACCAGTTCTCGAAGTCGTTGATGTCGCTGATGGAGAGAGTTGTGCTGCGCTTGGCCTCGTACCACTCCGTATCCACCTTGCGGGCGGCGTGGCGGAGACGGGGAAGTGCCTCGGTGCGTAGGTGAGAAAGCTCCGTCGCGTAGTAGGCATCATGCGGCTCGAGAGGGATTGAGAAGGACCGCTCACGGGACCGCGCACGGTTGTCTGGGTATTGCAATTCAGACGGCGTCAGGCAGATAGGAGACACGGGAGACGTGACTTGCGACGCCGAAAGTGACGGAGACGCAGACTCCGAGTTGGGCGAAGCAGGAGAAGAGACGTCCGACAGGAAGACGCTGCTAGCATTGCTGGTCGTCCGCATCTTTGGCGGCGGCAGATCATCCATCTGGACGAAGAACTCGTCTTCCTCGAGCCTGTGGGGTGGGCGGGCACTGTCGAGTCCTTCAGTATGCTTGTCCAATCGCTCGAAGCCTAATCATGTTAGTGACCATGCACGAACCTACAACGGGCGGAAGGCACGTGCTCCACGCAACTGCCAATTGGATGCGTGTTCAGACGTCACACAAAGAGAGAGGCATTTACTAACCAGTCAGAGCTGCTGCGCCCGCATGTTGCATCGAGGCCAGGGTAGATTGGAGGGTTGCTGGGAGACGCTCCCAAAGGTCCTGGGGGATATACCACGCCGGCAGATGGGACGGGTTGTAGCTGAAGGCGTCTCCATCTCGGGGGCAGAGGGTGCGCGGCGACTCGATCTGGGGGGAGGACGGAATGGCCATGGAGGTGAAGCTCTTGCGGGTAGAGCTACGGCGCTGGTGGTTGCGGCCGTGCTGTGGAGAATGGTAGATGGGAGACGGAGAGGTAGCGACAGCCATTGTTGATGTTAGGTAGAGGTGGTGGGAGGCGATGCTGGGTTGCAGGTGATTGCTCGAAAGAGTGTCGGAGTTGGACCGAGTTGTGCTTGCTGTCACGACACTGCCGCTGCGTGCCGTCAAAGGAGGGTGCGCGAATATTTGTAGGCGAGGAGTGAGTGGACTTGAATGGCGTGCCGTGAGAGAGGGTCTGCTTTGGTGAAAGGATCGCGGGTGGAGGTGAGGATCGAGGCTTGGCGGGTCCTCGGAAACAGGAAATGATGCGGAGGTTACGCCGGGGTCGGGGGGAGCTTATATGTGCGTGATTCGCGGGCCTTCCATTAACGCCCAAGGGACAGATGGGAAAGTGCCAATTTCCCCATAAACGTGACGTCGCTTCCTCGCAGTTCGCTGATGGGAAAGTGCGATGTCGATGCCGGTGGGCGGGCAAGCGCCTGTTCCGCGTTAGAGAAGCACACCACCACAGCCCAGGAACAGCAGCATCCATCCGCAACGTCGGCCTGCCGGCGCAGCGCTCGAGACCGTGCCGGCCTAGACCGCTGAGTCGTGTTGCAGCGACCGGGGCACACGTGTTAGCAGCGTTGGCCCCGCGATGCGTGGCGGCGCGCGACACCAGCAGCCTCCTCGGCCGGCCGTGCCGGCCAGAGGGTACCTAGGTAGAGTGCTCTTTCTTACGTACCTACAGGACACAGTACGTCGAGCTCCGTATTGGGCTGGAACGAGCCGCGGCTGGGTTCCGGATCCGCCGCGCACGGGGCTGAAAGCGGCAGCCTTTGTCTTCGCTGAGCTACTCCGTGTGCTGTAGCCGTGCGGTGTCGTCAGGTGTGCGTGGGGTCGGAACGAGAGGGGTGCAGGGAAAGTCTAGTTAGAATGGTGAAGAACAGTAAACTATAAATAATGGGAATGGGCCCTACCCGACGCGACGCGCGTGTGCGCCATCATGAGAGGTTTTATGATATACGATGGTGTGATCGGCTTTCCCAACACCTTCCCCACCACGTCTGAAGCTTCCAGAACGTGTCGCGCCAACTGCCCAGCTGCTTGCCGTCGGCTTTGTTGATGGCTGGCCCTTGCTGACAGCCCCAGCAACCATCAATCATGCGATAGATACGAGTCGTTATTACAGCCGATCGGGGGCCAACGGGAATTGGTCAGTTGTCTTTATTCGGTCGAACCTACAGATACGAGGCGCCGGTGCTATATGCCTCGATAAGACTTGCACCACTCGTTGCTAACTTTTGAGCACGCCTCCCTTTTGTCCTGGCCACTATTCAATGTGCTATTTGCCAAAGACGGCGAGAAAAGAACTCGCCGAGCAAACCCGCCTCCATGCGTTTCCGCACATGGACCGCCCAGAGACTGACGCCCTAAACGCCGTGCGGATTCTTGGATTATTACTCCAACCTGATGCGCGTTGCGTATTAGCTCATGCGATCCACATATCTTGCGGAGGGGACCGGACCTCTGAATCAAGTGCACTCCAGACGCCGTGTAGACTATATCGCTCACTTCGCCCTTGTTGAGCTCAAACGCAGCCTCTTCGAATTCTTTCTGCATGTCGCCCCGGCCAAAGAAGCCCCTGAGCGTAGTCAGCAAATGCCCGAATGGCAACCTCCTGCGAGGGGCGCCTACAGGTCTCCCCCCTTTCGCGCGCTGCTGCAGTCGGATTCCGTTGTCGCCAGCTCGGAGAGAGACTTTCCCTCCGGGTCATTGGGGTTCGCCTCGTATTTCTTGATCACGCTGCGGTACTCCTCGATGAGGGCCGTTGCTTCGTCCTTGCTCCGCGTAATCCTCGGCTCACGCCAGCTAGCCGGTCGCCGACTGTCGCGGTGCTTTACAAGCAGATGTGCGCATCGGATCTTGCCATCCTGAGGCCCAAGATTGGCGGGCGCGACGCCCTTGGAGCTGTGGTATTTTGCCATGTACTCCTTCAGCTTCTCCGGGTCCGTGCCCGCGGGCGGTTCCCATCTCGAGTCTTTGGTCGCGGGGTGGAAGTAGTACGGCAGGTTCTTGGTGTTGGAGCGGCGCACCTCCCAGCCCTCGGGCAGGCCAGTCTGGTCGGCTGACTGCGCACAGTGTGAGTCGCATAGATGACTGTGAGGGGGCGGTGCGCGGCGCCAGTGACTGGGGAGCCTACCATCTTTGCTGTCTGGAGAGACGTGGAGAAATTGGAGGCCGAGAGAGTCTGTCAGGTAGGGGATGCTTTAGTTGTTCGAATCGATAGTTGGGATGTGGTAGAAAGAAGCTCGTGGCACGAGGTGCAGAGAGTGGCCGCTGGTTGGGACGATCGCCAGGAGCTCGACTGCGGGGTGGTGGCCCAGGTGGTTTGTGCTCCCGTAAACAAAGGCCCATATGGCGCTAGAGCGCCTGAGTCAGCCGGAAAGTGGCCGCTCTCGTTCACTCTTTGGTTCAAAGCTGCGACAGCCGCCTCAGTCTTCTTCCCACAGCAACCTCCTCGCCGCCGATAGCCACGCTTCAGGGCGAGTATTTCGACCAGAGCACATTCCGCATCCTCCCGCCCCCCACTAAGTCGAAATCCTTCGACCCGCGGAAAAGAAGGCGCAGCCACGATGGCATCTCCCTCCAGCTACGAAAACGACCAGAAGCAGGACGACAGCAAGAAGATTCTCTTCCGCTTCTGCTCAGAATGGTGAGTCGGCCGCCCGTGCGCAGTCACCCAGCGGCTAACGCTCCGCAGCTCCAACCTGCTGTTCCCCCGCGAAGACAAAGCCGAGAACAAGCTGCTATTCGCCTGCCGGACGTGCTCTTTCGCAGAGGAAGCGCCCTCTTCATGCGTCATGCGCCACGAAATCGCATCAACAGTCGGAGACACGGCCGGCGTCACCTCAGACATTGGGCAGGATCCTACGGTTGGTCTCTCCCGTTCACTTTCCCACACCAGCCTCGGCGAAGCATTTCCGACGCTTTGCACCATGTGCGGCCAGGACATTGTCTGCGAGGAATGCGGTGAGGAGTCGGCTCCGGGCCTGGTGCTCGAGACCGAAGATGAACACGAGCTGCACACGAATGCCCAGCTCGGAGTTGACAAGCAATCCTCAAAGAAATGAGCATTCTCGCACGTTGCTTCGTCGCTTGCCTGCTCGTCTTTGACGCTGCTTGCTGACTCTGCTCGCATCTAGTTGCCGCGCGTCCAGAAAGCGTGCCCCAGCTGCGGCGAGCACGACGTCGTGTTCTTCCAGTCCCAGCAGCGAACTGCTGACACTGGCATGGTGAGTCTCTCTTTCTTCTAACGCCACGCATGCTGACTTGTGTAGAAACTGTACTTTGTGTGTGTAACGTGCGGTCACGTCTGGCAGTGAAGCATCTTTGGCATTTAGACATTTTCTACGCGATGGAGCGTCTCACCGTGGAGCATTGGGCTGGAGTTTGGTGTCTTTCATAGCTCTATGATACGGTGTCCCGGGAAGGTATCCGATACCCATGGATATTGTACACTCGCGAATACACGTTTTATACGTCCGCCCCATGCCCGCCTGTACTCCTGAAAATGCAGCATCTCTTGGCCACGGCACCGGTTACACATGCATCGGCGCGAGCGATAATATCTTTGACCACTGCTTCTGCCTGAGCTCGCCTGCGACGACGCCGCTCACTCGCGTCCCAATGGGCTCGCCCGCCTTGTTCACCAGCACGCAGGCGTTGTCGTCGAACTTGACCACGCTGCCGTCCGGTCTCTGCCACTTCTTCGCCGTCCGCACCACCACCGCGTGTCGCACATCGCCGCGTCGGACCTTGCTCGCTGCGCTGATGGAGACGCTGCTGCCGGTCTCGGGGCCGAAGTTTCGCTGCTTCTTGACCACGACCACTATGCGATCGCCTGCATCCGTCAATACCCCTTCCCACCATGCCTTGTAGCCTTCACATACCAACTTTCGCCGGGCGCTTCGATCGCAGGACGTTGACACACTCGACTATGGCGGCGCCGGAATTGTCGATGCAATTGATGAGCGTCTAGATTGCCGTGCATGAGTGGCTTGTCTGAGTTTTACTGGAGGCGCTTGCCGTACCTTGAGCTGGATCATCCTGCCCGCCTTCCTTCGTCCTCTCAGACAGTACTGCCGTCTCTGGAGCGGCTGTTTGCTGGCTGCGCGCTGTCGGCGGCGGCGTCTAGGCACAAGTTTGCAGTGAATGTCGTCGGGAGCGTCGGCGGTTCCCGGCCTGCCGGCGCATTAGAGGCTAGAGGCTCTCGCTTACACGACCGCCTCGCCTCTCCTCCGCGTTGTTTCGCCCAGCCGATGCAGGAGCAGGGGCTACGCCAGGCCTATTTGCGATTCAGCCCAGCCTCAGTCTCACTCCATTGACCGCGTCTTGCGCTATTTCCAGCCTGTCCGCCTGCTGCTCTTCGGCGGCGCCGCTCCTTCCTTTCCTTTGCGCCGCTCTTTGGCGTCTCTTTGTCTGTCTGTCCTTCCTCCCGCTCGTGGTTTGTTTCCTCGCCGACAGAGTGGCAGAGTGCACCTGCATGGTCGCTCTCTAACCTACGTCACCCAACCTCCCCCTTTAACGTCGCCAGCTCCGCCCTGGCTGCACCTCCACGCGCCAACCGCTCTCTGGCAACATCAACCAGCGACTTCGATTGAAGCGACACGCGCGCGATCATGGCGCCGAAAGAGCAGGAGAAGAAGGGCGGTCTGACGCTGGAAAAGCTGGCCTCGTACGACGACGTGATAACGGATGCGCTGGTCGACAAGGTGGGTTTCTGTCCGGCGCACGCGGGCTAACGCGGTCGCGCGCATCTTGAAGAGCGCGTCAACTAACTGGATGCGCCATCTCAGGTCTACTACTGGACTACAATCCGGAAGAACCGTGGTGGGCGCTTTTCCGCATCGCGTGGGCTGCAGGAAGAAGAGATTGCCGACATGCTCCGCGAGCACATCATTCTTGACAGGGACCCCTACGAGGCGGTACAACACCTGTTGCGCTTGCCAGCTTTGCGCAAGTTCCTGGCTAGCCTGAAGGATGAGAAAGACCAGGAACAGTTCAAGCGGCATCTGCGGCGCTATGCCCTCATCTACATGCCAGACTCGCCGTTTGAGGTGACCACCACCAACCGATACACCATCACTGAGCATGAAGCGTCTATTACAGCGCGAAGAGACATCAAGCCACGCGAGGAGGTTAAGTACTTGACGGGGGTGCAAGTTGCCATGACCGAAGAGCAGGAGAAGAATCTGGAGCTGCTGCGCAAGGACTTTAGCCTGGTCATTTCCAGCAGGAAGAAGACTCGATCACTCTTTCTGGGCCCGGCGCGCTTCGCCAACCACGACTGCGACCCCAATGCTAAGCTTTCCACCACGGGCTACGATGGCATGCAGATCGTAGCCGTCAAAGCCATTGAATGCGGGGAGGAGATTACGGTTTCCTACGGCGAAGATTACTTTGGCGAAGACAACGAGGAGTGTCTGTGCCGGACGTGCGAGACCAGGGGGGTGAATGGTTGGGCCCCGTTCAAGAGGGTCGAAGACTCGGATGACGAGGAAGATGATGATGAGAAGCCCGCTGCAAAAGAGCAGACTCCTCAACCAGATGAAGGGTCCTATTCTTTCAGAAGGAAGCGCAAATACGATTCAACGCAGGAAGACACCTCGCGCGATTCAACTCCGCCAACCAAGCGCTCCAAAACCGAACCGAAGGGCAAGCTCCTATCCCCTTCTAAGCGGAGTGTGTCGGGGTCGTTACGAGGAACGGGTCTGAAGAAGCCTTACAGTCCCTCAGCGCTTCGACAAGAACTTCCAATCTCTAGCATTGAATATCCGACTACAAACCTCGTGCCTTCCTCGCAAGTCCTGCGCGACTTCCGCACCCAGCAGCGAGTCGGCTTGCTCAACGTAACGCTTGACGAGACATCATCGTCCCGCGATACCACCCCCCAGTCATCCATGGCAGCCGCCTCGCCGAAATCCTCACAGTCTACTGACGCCACGTCCGTCGACGAAGATCACCCTATGACGGGTACGAATCCCAAGATCAAAGTCGATCCTGAGACCATCCACGCGAAACCGACTTTAGGTGTTGCCACGATTAAGGATGAGATTACGTCTATCATCACCCCGGCATCCGCGCTATTTGCTGACGACACCACGTCCGAACTAAGTGAGCTGTCAGATGGCGAAGACTTTGATGACGAACTACTGGAGATCGTGAAGCACAAGCGACCAAAAGCAACCATCACTCGCCGGACTACGCGGTCGCGGTCGCGGAACGAGGTGCAGAACCGCGTTGGCACTCCTATCCCCGACTACACCACCGAAGAAGGCTGGGAAGAGAATGAGCGCAAGCCGGGCGACTACATGACATCAAAGTCCGTTCTCTCAGCGAAGGGCAGCAAATGGAGCGAGTGCCAGACCTGTGAGGAAGAATTCGTGCAGACAGACGGCTTCCGTGGCACGCGCAAGGAGTGCCCGCGATGCGAGCGCCACTCCAAGCTTTATGGGTTTGCCTGGCCCAAGACGGACAAGGAAGGCAAGTATGATAAGGAAGAGCGTGTACTTGATCATCGGACGATCCATCGTTTCGTGGATCCAGAGGAAGAGAAAGAGCTGAAGAAGGCAGGACAGAAGCGCAAGCTTAGGGAGTCGATTGTGCAGCGGTTCTCCACACCGCGATCGGGACGCGAGTCCTCGATGAGCGTGAGCATGGACCCGGAGAGTGGGCGCAAGAGGAGGCGGGTAAGGAAGACGATGTAAACCCTCCGCCATAAACGACAAGAGGTGGCTTCGGTGGAGTACGGAGCAATGGCGTACAGCGAACTAAAGCCTTCAACGGCCTTTTGATCCTTTCTGGCTACGGCATTGGCGTTTTTGGAGCGAGCGTGGCATATGGGGAGCATATGGAGGCGCGCTGCATACCCTCATAGTATCTTTTCTGGCATTATCCTCTTCTCGGGCGCGAGCATATTTTTTCCAACATCTCCATGATTTAGCAACTGTACGATAGAGCATGAGGTCTACCGAGCTTTTTGGGCGGGCATCTTTGAGCCTTTGGGCGCCTTCTTTTTTTTTGCCGCGAAGGATTTTGTACTATAGTAGCATATGCCGGATGATCTGGCTTGTTTTTGGTTATTTGCCAGATAATGCAAGATTTTCAAGATGTATATGATGGGTCCGGACATGATGGTTGGTAAGAGCGTGTATTCAGGGAGTAGTGTGTAATATGCTAATGAATCAGCGGTTAAAGGACGGGCTAACAGTCGCAGACCATAAACGAGGCGACTCGTATCTCATACAACTCAGAAACACCCCCTGATCTCGAACGGAGCATCTACGTGGTGCTCTCCTAGCGCCTTTCCTTTTCACTACATGCTGACCAGCTTCCCAGTCCACCGTTTCTCAGTGACTGCTCCACGCATGCATTCACCATGGTTTACCGGCGTCTAAGGTAAGTATCATGAACTCGATTCACTAACACTCCTCAAGGTGATCTCACCCCTTCCCTACATGAGCTGTTCCTACGCCCCTTGGTATCTCACAACAATCCTATCACAACCATCCCCCACAATCGTAACTTCAAGCTCACATCTACAACCTCGCATCGATCTGGCTGGTATAGCTCCTACCATGTCCAACACCCCAGATCTTCCAACAACCAGCAATGCGTCCGAATCCATACCCGATGACGTATGGTCCGCGGACGCCAATATGTCTCATCCCAGCATCTCAGTTTACAAGCTGGAAATGGGCCGGGAGTCTTCGCCACCTTCAGAAGAAGAACAAGATCCAGAGCCGGAACCACCAACAGCCCTCGCACCCGCAAACCCCTCTCCCACGTCCTCATCAACATCCCCCATCCAACCCACACCCTCTCCTCAAGCCCTATCCATCCTATCTTCCCTCCCACTCACCGCCGCCAATAACCCAACCCTCACCTGGCTCTTCAACAACCTGCCGCCAAACACGCAGATCTACTACCAGCAAACGACTCCCACAACGAGCACGCTGGTCATAACGCTCCAGACCTCCACTGGCGAATTCCTCCAAGAAGCGACGTTCTCCGTCGCGGATGACGGCGACATCCATATCGACGGACCGGGTTTTGGGCCGGGTCGCGACCCATGCTCTCAACACCGCAACGCTATCGCCTTCGTGGATTCCCTTGAAGTCGCGCACGTGTCCGCATTGCTGGATGCCGTTTGGCGTTGCGGATGAGGAGGAGATTGGGTTCTTGAACCGTAGTAGTGAAGAGGGCAAGGACGATGGGAGGTGGGAGAATGTGCTGCTGCTGAGGGAACTGCCGTTTGATGCGAGCAAGCCTGATAATGCGCCGGTGAGGACGCGGTGTGGACATGTTTTTGGGCGGTCGTATTTGGTGGAGAGTCTGGAGAGGGTGAATTGGCTGTGTCCGGTGTGTAGGACGGCGTTGGTGGATGGGGAGGCTTAATTGAGGTGGGCTAGGCGTAGTGTGGGTGGGATGAGAGTGAGGAAATGAGGAGTGGTTTGGTAGGGGAGCGGGATGGGGGCGGGCTGCTTTGCTTTGCCTTGCTTTGCTTCGCCTTGCTTTGCTTTGCTTTGGCGAAGATGTCCTCCTGGTTTTGGTTATGGGGCATTTAGGAGATGCAAATGGTATTGCCGTGAGAGTTTGCGCTCGTATGGTATGTGAGGGAATGGGTTTGCGAACCGCGTCCCACCTCACATTGCATTGTTTAGCATTGAAATTCCTCGATTGAAATGGAAAGAAGGCGTATCTTTTCAAGCTCGCATTACACAAAGACCGATAAGCGGATTGTTTGTTTCTTCCATTGAGTTTATTCTGACGTGCGTGCTAGTCTGCGTCATTCGCGATTTGCCCGTATTCCATTCCTGTACAGCGCGTGCAGGCCCGATACTCCGTCCTAGACGTTGTAAATGGACCAGGCCCATCTCAAGCAACAGCACCCGCGTTGTATGGGCCATGCACTTTCAGGGTTCTAGAAGACCTATCCTTAAGAGGTAAATTGCCTATGAGCAAACGCTATAACCCTAGAACCCCTAGATAAAGATACTCAAGACGGTGCTGCCTAACTCCAACTCGAAATTAAAGGCATGACCTCAATGACGCCCAAGCAGTTCCCAACCCTACTACTACCCTCCAGTAGCCTCTTAGATGTCCTCCAGGCCTTCTCCCCGGACCCATGCTCCTTTTACCCCGAGCTCTGAGGGAAAGGTGCGAAGTTCCTCCGACACTTCGGACACCTGGACCCGCATTTCTCCAAGCTCTCAATCAAGCAGTTTCGACCGAAGAGATGCCCACATGGGGTCCTCACAGGGTGGTTATTCGGCCTGCTCTCGTCGAATGGTAGAGCTCCCAACGCGGCCAGTATTGGATCTTCAGGCACCTCAGGCACGAACAACGGGTCATCGTAATCAGTCTCTCCAAACTATAGGATACACATTAGCAAATGCCTTGAACAGGAGGAGTCGAACACACGGTATTCCTTGCGTCTTTAACCCAGTAAAGGTTCCCAGAAAGGACCTGCCACAGTTGGAAAAGGGAAAGCAAGACGGGCCAGTAGCTGCACCGCGATATACGTACCTTGAGCCAGCAGTGCGGGCACTTGTTATCTTCCGGAGCAATGGCGCTTAGCTCTACTTGCTCGAGGGAACCAACGAAGGCGACTGCGTCGAACCTTGAAAATATCGGGGGCCCGAAGCCAAGGTCAGGAAGGGCAACTCCATGCGGGATATCCGGAAGATGCAGGGCTATGAGCTCTCCGCCGAGTTGGTTACTCAGCTGGTCTAATGTTGTTTGCACCTCGGGAGGCGGTGTGACTTCGAATGGGCTACCTACCGTTGCGGGTTGGGAAGTGGGCGCTTGTAGTCCGGCTGCTAGGGGTTGAGAGCCGCCAGGAGGAGGCATAGCGGACGGAAAATTGCCCCAGGCAAAGGTATACGGCATAGGGAGTAGACCTGTGGAGTCGGCGCCGCTAGCGACAGCCATTTCATTCATCAATTGGCTGAAGAGAGCTGGTAAGCCTGCGGGCAGTGGAGGTATGGGTGTGTTGCCTTGCAGCGCGGTCGGAGGAGTAGGCGGATTTGCGCCGGATGTTGGCGATTGAGAGTCCCCAGGAGGAGGTAGAGAGTTCAAGATATCCCCCGGGGTAGACAACTTGTATGCCGTCGGAGGGAAGGCTGTGACGTTGGCCTCGGTGCCGACAGGCGCCGCTTGAGGCATGCCGCCGAAGACATGATGTATCGGTCCGACCGTAGCAGATGAGGAACCTTGCATTGTGGTCGGGGGATCAGGCGCGTTTGTACTGGTTGTTGATGGCTGAGACGGCTTTGCAGAGCCTGCGATTGTAGCTTCACCGATATTTAGCGTACTTGCCGTTTCGGTCAAACCCGTGTTGCTGTCATCAAGGTCGTCGGACGCGATGAAGTCATCGAGCTCGTCGTCCTCATCATCTTGGTCAAAGGAGTCATTCTCATCTGCGGCGGCGGATTGCGTAACCATGGTGCCTTGTGCGGGCGGCGTCGCTTTGTTCGACTCACTTCCATGCAATAAAGGGGCAGCAACGGCAGTGCTAGCGCTCCCGAGCGCGCTCCACGGAGCGCTGTTCATGGGCGATTTGGCGGTACCAGACATGGCGGCAGTCGGGTCGCGGTTGCGAGGATGCAGACGACGAGGTGAGAGTAAATTACTAGTGGCAATTGTTGTAGAAGCGGTGAGAGTGAAAGAAGATTGGTGTTTGCCCCAAACCATAGCAAGCAAAGCAGGAGCGGACGCAATGTCGGCACACTGATAAAGAGAGAAACACTAGAAGATGCTTTCCGGATACTGCACACCTACGATTACGTTGCTTTTGTCTAAGAAATGCATTTCCTTTGCTGTCAGCACCGTACCATTCGATGCAGCAGGGCTTCGTTGTGCACAAACGTTGAAAGGTAACGCTCGATGTTAGGCGCCGCTATGACAGGCGGCAGCCGACCGGAGTAAGTGTGAACCTCGAGTACGAGATTCTTTTCAGAAGCAACCACCTCACTTGGAGGCGATCTGGTGCGCCTAACGACTACCCGTCTACACTGCCGCCGCCACCCAGCTGCTCATCAGCGTCACCACTAGATGGACTCTCCCCATCTTCGGAGAAGTCCTCCATATCCGGGTCTTCAGCAGAGTGATCACCTCCAGTTCTATCCGATGAGGTAAATGAAGAGTCCAGAGATGCAGATTCACTCTCTTCATAGTCCGGAGCTCTCATCGGCAGTGGAGGATATCCCACGCGGGGAGCGTCACCCTGCTGCCTATCCAGTAATTCGTACTTCGTCCCTGTCCAACATAGTTGGAGTAACTGATTCTTGGTATCATTTCGCTCGAAAATCGTCCCATGCCAGACATGATATTCCAAGATATGCTCAGTGATGAATGTGGCAGAGCCTCGAAGCTCCGAGCCATAGCTACCAGGACCTGCAGTGACGATTTTAAGAGAACGCAGTTCGGGGAATCGGTCCTGGTGAAGAGAAAGGAGGTCCTCGATTTGAGGACGATGGATCTTGTAGCCCGCGACGAAGACAACATCAATCAAGGATGGAGGAAGGCGATGGTAGAGACGATCGGCATCCGTCAATATTTCCCATTCTTGTTCGACTCCTTTCCCTGCTAGGTGGGGCCACATCGCAGCCGCGGTTTCAACCCTCCTCAAGCAGTGGAAATCAGCGAGAGAATCGATGGCCCAGGAGCCTTGGGATTCGTCGGGGACAGAGCACATGTATAAGCAGAGTTCTTCGAGAGTCTCCTTGTGCGCAGCTAAGAGCTGCAGCAACTCGTTTGTCGTGAGTCCATCTGGCCCTGAATGGGAGGCGCCCCTGGAGTAATGGAAGCTTTTGAGGATGCAACATGCGGAGAGTAGTGTTTGCATGTCTGCATAGGTGAAATTGCACCATTGAAGGACCATTCGGGTGAGGCGTAGTGACTCGACAGGCAAGCGTAGAGGGCTGGGAACGTGACCGTTGTCATTCGACGGCCGCCAAGATCCTGCACCATTTATTTCGAAGGTTTCCATTGCCTTCGACTGTATCAGGCCGTGGAAGAATGATAGTGGCCGTGAAAGATTTCCGTCGATAGCCTTAGCGCTGAACCTACGTAAGGTGCGGAGTGCATGGACAGGCAAGCCCCAAGGGAGCGCATCGGCATCGGTTGATCCTTCCAAAAACATCTCGTGCAAATTGGGGAGTAGGGCCATGAGAAGCACCACGTAGGGATCGTCGAGACCAACGCGCAGGAGCTGACAGAATTTGTCATCATAAGGGACGTCCTTGATGTCGAGACCAGCACCGTAAATATCGAGGCACCAGGAATCATCGAAGCGAGAATCCTGGTCGGAGTGACTGAGAACTTTCTCCATGATGCGACTCTTCTCCGAGAATGGTGGGATGGAACGTATCACCCCAACAGCTTTGGCGGCCTCCGTAAACGTACCGTAGTCGATATCGCTCGGTTCATCTCGCAACGGAAATATGAATGAGGTAGACGCAAACGCTGGATTCAAGTACTTGAGGGTACGCCACCATCTCAGATCCAAACGGTGTACATGCTTGGCAAGCTGTGGTCGATTCAGAAGTCGCTTCAGAAATGGTACAACAGATCTGTCGTACACGCGATGGTTGCTGTATTCGCGATATAGCTCCGGCTCTGTAGTATCATGCAAGCGTTTGCACGTGAGGGAGACATTGAGGAGATCCATCTGCGAAACGAAGGACGCTACGCTTAACAGAAGCTCCGGGCTGAGGTCGAGAAGGCCCGGCATTTCTGAGGGGTAAATGAAATGATCAGGGTGCTATGTTCGAGCGTATTCGTGTCTAAAGCGGCAGGCGGAATTGGAGACGAGCAGTCGGGCTGTATTATCGAGAGTAACGGTGCAAGGCGGCGTCCGACACGGCTTGATGCTCGATGTTTGGAGGGAGGAGAAGCAAGCGTGGGAGACGACTCGCGCATGTGACTCACGGATGTTGATGGCAGGTCTAACCCAATTTAGCTTAGCGATTCTACCCACAAAATCGACGTCGCGCTCAAAGACATATGTTGCACTCATGAATTAGGGTTAGGGCTTCAAACGACTTATCGCAACTCCATCTCATACACGAACTCAAACGCCGCAGAGCCGCGATTATAGACACGATTGCGGAATGTACGACCTGGACGGCAGCTTCGAGAGACAACAGCTGCGCTCTTGCCATTCTCAGTAGGTCCGCCACCACTAATGGCGCCGCCGATGAGCATTGGTATGCGCGCGCTTCTACTCGGCCTCCATCGCGTCATCCATCCGAGCCTAGAAAGCTTCACTCTCATTCTTATCCTCATCCTCATCCTGCGCTTCGACCACTTCAACCCAGTCCTACAGTGTCGTTTCACAAATATCCACATCAAGCTCCCGACCTTCACAAATCCACCCCACAAAGGTAAACTTCCTATCCGGATCCACATCGACGATAAGGTCTGCAAGGAGTTCCGAATGGATGACGCCGGCAACGACCATCTCCTTCAGCATGGCGTTCCGGCGCTTCATATGGGGACTGAGTGCCATATCGGGAGTTATGTTATTCCAAATACTGTGGGATGAGAAGGTCTTCTGTGCATCAAGCGCCGGGACCTCTATGCCCACCCGAGAGATTTAGGCAGCCACTGGAGGTGTCCAAAGGGACGAGAGCGTTGGATGATTCTGCCGTTGCGGTGATGTCAACCGTGATGCTTGCTTCGACGTGTGAGCGAGAGCCTTTGCGACACACCATAATCGTTCCATGCGGCAATGGGATGGGCTGAGCTGGCGTTCGAAAAAAAGTCCTCCGCCGCCCTTCGCAGAAGCCTGTAACCTAGGCGCGACACTTGGCCCACCGCCTGATGTGGCGCGCGGATTAGGACGGGATACGATGGAAGGGCTTCTTCTCGGCATAGGGGTGGGATTAGGGCAAGACTGCACGGCTGGGGTTAGCTACCCGCGAACATGGAGCAACTGTCACAAATGAGATTTGTGTATTGTATCTCTGATACACTTCCATGCCCTCGTGTGCAGTCTTCGGGGCTTCCCGCCTTTGCGGCCGTTATAGTGTACAAAACCTCTCATGAATGAGGGTGGCGCGGCTGACCGGTTGTCGCCAGCGCTGGTCGTAATATCGTTAGAGCACCCGAACGCCTGTTGCTTTCCTTCAAGCAGAGTGCCACCCCGGATAGTTTGTTCCCCGACCAGCGCGATCTCAACTCCTGAGTAGCGTCCCTGGCCGAATATCCTCGAAACGCCTGCTGTTCCTGATAAACCTATGCTTCCTCTCAGCCCCTCACTGCACCTCGTATATCTCCATCGCTCTCCGCACTTGCTTCAAGTTCGTTCTGTCTCCATATGCCGACTCGAGCAGCGCATTCCTCTCGTGCTGTCCGTTCGGCCTCGTGCGGCTGTCATCATAGCCCGCAACCACCTTTTCCATGTCCTCAAGGCTAGACCGGGCACCCCAAGAATTCAGTAACGCTCGATTCCGCTCTTCCAAGGTAGGTTCGAATGCTTTGTTGGCCCGGCGGTTGTACTCGTCGAGCTGCTGGGTGATGCTGAAGTCTATTCGGCGGTTGGCTTCGCCGAGGGTGAGGTGACGGTCCGGCTCCTCGAAGAGGCTCTCAGGAAGGAAGTATATTCCGACGGCTATCGCGGCCATGGCTGGGAGATACCTTGGTTGCGTGAGCAAGCAATTGAACGTAGCATCCTGTCGGTGCTTACCATCGTCCTATCCTTCCGAGCTTGGGGGCGGTTTCCGCTGTTGCTGCGAGCGCGGCGGCATTGTATGTGTGGAAGTTTGCTGGAATCGCTGCGGCGCGTGTCGCAGTTGAGAAGCGTTGTCGCATTGGCGGTGGCAAACGCATAGGCATCTTGCTCGATGTTGATTCAGGTAAGATGTTAAAGCTGATAGTATGCTTTGAGGTTTTGGTTTGGCCTGGTCGACTTGATGTGGCTTGTTGATGTCTCTATACGGACGACTGTAGTGGTCGGCTTCGGCAGATATATCTCGAAACGGACTTGTACGAGTTGCAGGAGGGTGGCGGCGATAGAGTGACTTGTGACACAGTGTACGTCGAATAAGTGGTCCCAGGCGCGTGGGGATGAGGAGAAATATAGACCTAAGTTGCGGGGAGGTGAGATGTCACGAGTGGACAATGCCACTGTCTCCCCACCGACCTCATCTCCGCATCGCAAAGTGTCAGCCCACGAATCACAGGACTGCTTTGTCCAACCGCTCTCGTGTTAGGCATCGCGTGACGGCCCAATCCGATACATTCTCGCGTCGCAGGCCGGCTCAAACAACTCCCAGGCGTGTGTGCCCATTTCGGGCGCTCTGGAGTTCGGCCGCTGTGAACAGAGTTGCTTCTCGGCCGCGCACGTATCGCAGTTATGAAGGTGGCATGCGTGCAGCGGGCGTGGAATTGAATAGGCTAAGGGCGGGAGTAGCCGAGGATTGGGTACTTCTCTGGGCTCCGGGGCGACGGAAGTAGGACAGGAGAGGATTGGCGGCCTCTGTGGTGCGGTTGTGAGGCGACGAGCCGAGAGGTGTGGTGAGTGTGGAGTGACCCGGCTGGCAAGAGTTGCCGAGGCGCGCGCCGGCCGTGCCACTCCGCGGCCCTCTAACCTGGATTTCCTAATCGCTTCACAACACCAGCAACAACACCCGCGGACTCATTCCTTCCACCATTGTTCGTAAGACTCCGCGAATGATATCGCTGCTATTGCAAACCCCGCCGAGCGCCGAAGTCCTTGAAATCGTGGGGAAGCCGACGATGGCAAGCGGGGACGGCAGTCTTCAATAGCACAACATCTCACTTCCCTATACAACGCCAAGATGAACGTATCGGGTCTCTCGGAATGATCGCTGGTTCGGCGCCGATTCGGCTTTGAAAGTTGCTGGGTTGCTCGACGCTTCGATCCGCGATTTGGCTCCTCCTAGGCAGTTATTCTTCTCGAATCCTCGATAAACACTCAAGAGTATAGGCTGCCACCAACGCACTCAGTCGTTTGGAATCACCCCTTCCCAAAACGCAGAATGGGCAATCTACGTCAGGCAGTAGATTCCAGGGGTCACATTATTGTCCCTCTTTGGAATTCCCAAGGGGCATCCTGATTAGTATGCCTACACTTGCAACTGAATTTTTCTGGCTTTTTGGAATGGCCTTTCCTATAAGTACTCAAAGTCTGTTCAAGGTATGAAAGAGAAAATATTTCAAGTCCATCTCCATTTCATTTTTGAACAAGACCGTTGAGGAGTATGATATGCAGAACAGCTTAGTGCCGACATTGGGAGATCAATTGCCCAGGCGAGGGAAATAAGGTTTAAGCACACGTCAGTAGGGTAAGTGAGATAAGCACGCGAGCTCAAGCCATCCCTTTTCGCGTATCAGGACGGCACGGTTGACGCCAGCGTGGTGGACGTAGATTCCATGTGGTTCGTGAGTAGACTTCGCGGAGGTGTCGACTGGCTGGACAGCGCGAGGCATATATGGCTTGACCGCATGGCCGAGGAGCAAACATGCGCGATCTGAAGCTCAAGGGTAGGATGCAGCAACCGGAGAGCTCGGGCAAATAAAGGAGGCCCAAGAGCTTGAACTCAAGACGCCTTGGGGAAGGAGAGCGTTCTTCGAGATTAAGGAGCTGTCTGAGCCGACATTGCAAACACTTAGCAAGAACATTGCGGACGCATTGCGTTTGATTACTACGAGAGAAATACGGAACCCAGAGAAGTCCAAGTAGTAACACGTCTTCTCTTCCTTTAGAGCAGCATGCGGTCGTCGTTCAGGAGGGCCTGAAGTTCAATCGCGGCACAGCGAACTCGTCTCCTCGAAAGCCCTCCATAGCTTCTGGAACAATAAACTATCAACAGCTCATGCGATATATGGATGCTTGTTGCCTACCTTTGGAGAGAAATTATTTACGTGCGGAGTGTTGTGGGGGAAGTCGGTCCGTGGCCTGGTTTTCCCGCCCATGGCCCCTAGCAAAATCACCATAAGTCATTCCCGGCCTGCATGCCCCTATTCTCTGACGCGTACATTTCCCCACCCTTCAAGACTATGCAGGCTTTTCTGCTGTCGACTTTTGCGACCGGTTCTCTCTGCCTCGAATACGATCTGCGCATCCGCAAATTTTTAGCGTATATATTTGCTTTAAATGTCAAAATATTCAAAAAGTCCTATGGTCTAGTGGTATGACGTTCGCTTCACACTGGTCACGTGGCCACGATAGATAAAATGCCAAAAAGATAGCCCCACTGGGATTCGAACCCAGGACCTATTCCGCTCAACGTGTGCTGTGATTTTTGTTAGCGCATGGTACAACGAACCGGAATTTTTTTTCGGAGAACCCACAAGGAAGCGTCATACCACTAGACCATGAGGCTGATGAATTTTTAATCATGTTTCCGTTAATTGACATATATATACACTATATATAGCAATGCCTATCATGCTTCTACCACCGTAGTTTTCTCTTAGCGTTCACGTAACTCGCCAATTCGCCCCGGGGGCGCAGCGTAGCGAGACGCGCTAGAACGCTTGGGGTTTAAAACCGTCCAACGTCAAGCGCCAAATATCCAGTGCGTTCAACCACGTTTTTCTCGTTTTGAGTCCGACGCTGCCTAAGTCATCGCAGAGCTAAACGATCTCAGGAAGGGTGCTCTGACCAGCGCTCAGTTGCAAGAGAGAGCTGCAAAACGACAAGATGGTACAGCCATTGTCGCAGATCTACGCTACCTTGAAACGCAAGGGTAGAATGGTGCCGGGATACAGAGTCATCAGTTCCGAGGAGCTCAGCAGCATCAGATATGTAAGATCACCGTAGTCCTTCCGTGTATTGGCTAATAACACTTCTTTAGGTCCTTGTTCGGGGCAAGGAACAAACTGTAAGACATAGTAGCAAAGCCTCCGAGCGAACTGATTGCTAATTCTCATAGAGCATTGCCTCCAGAGATAGACAATGGGAAATGGCGCTAGTAGAATTGATGCGCATCCCTGCACGGTACAACGACATGTACTCACACTGGACAGGGCATGGTTCTATTCTGCGGTTACAGCCGCGGTCACCCCAATTCTGGAGAGCGCCAGAGGCAAGCGTACAGCTTGTGGACCAAATCCATTGGATGCCTTAAGAAGAACCAACCTGCTGACTGCGACACTTTTCTTCGATGGGCATCGAACATCCGGGAGGGTGTCAGCTACTATTTTAGCGCGGCCCATCCTGTGGACTGCATCCTTGACATACCTAATCTTCTATGCTGTTTCATCGAAGGCCACGCCATCGCTGGGTGCTACGGTTCGGTTCGACCCGAGACTTCTTGACGACACGAAAGCGATGACAGTCGCATGCCGATCGGTACATACATAGTTGTCAGACCTAAGGATATCAGGGGTATTCAATAGCTCTATGACACATGAGGAGGTTATGGATGCTATTGAGCGCCATTGGTATGCTCACATTGAGAGACTAGACCCTTCCTATGCGCGGGTTGCGGGAAAGAAGAAGATGGCAGGAACCTCTCAAGCTCACACGCTCATTGGTTCAAGGTCCCTTGATGGTACAGAGATCTTAATACAGCCGCACAAGATGGCTCTGAATTCGTCACAAATCCGGCAGGGCTTGCGTTGGGTCAACAACCAAGGGACCATTTCGAAATCGATAACTTCATTCTCCCGAGTGGAGTGATGCCAGCAGACCCGAAGGACAAACGCTTCATATTTTTGTGAGTCTTCCAGCTTCATACTTTTACAGCTAAGATTATCACTAACATACCGATAGTACACCGCAGGGCGTGGATATATGCGACGCTTCTGGCCAATCCCTGGGACTTTCAGAGGCCACACGGCGAAAGGCATTGATGCCCTTGGTATCAACAGCGCAATCGAAGTCCAGTAATCGAGCAGTCACATTGCCGTTGCCCAGCATTATAATGTCTCTGACGGGACAGCCAAGCCTGAAGGCATTCCTCGCACTGTGGGAGCAGCAAACCGGTCTCTCTGTTGACAGAGCTCTCAATTCCGCCGTCTCCCAAGAGAGAGAGGCCATCTCTACATTTTCGGATACATCCTCGGTGGGACTATTTTATTTTGGCTTTATTTTTGTTTTTTTGCGCTTTTTCCGTGTGTATAAATAAACAAACGCCTGAAATGTCGGTGGGTCGTGTTTGATTTTTGGGATGATTTTTTGCGTTGATGGACCTTTCCCCGTTGCTTATGTTCTCCGCTGATCGTATTCTTCCCCCAGAACTCTACCTTCGCATTGATGTTCGCCTAGGAAAAGTAACTGAGCTTCTTCTGTTCATCGTTTGAAAAGTCAAGCGGCCAATTGATCTCATTTAGACCTGGCGCTTGGGATACGTCCTTTGTCAACCAGTCATAGAGTATTCGATCACTGTAGCAACCAGCTCGGACGTTCCTTTGACCGCATGTCCAAGGGACCCTCTTCTGCATCTTCACCGAAAGCAATATTGAACGACTCGAAGAATGCTGTGAGGACTGAAGGGCCCTTTATCTTTGGAGCGGAGCCTTGATTCCTTAAGCTCAGTATTCTAAAGCTGGCTATGGTCAGACGCGGGTTTGATTCGGCCCGGTGCCTCTACCGGGACATTCACGAAGTGTCGAACCGCCTACAGATACCTGGAGCATTGCCTCGGCTCTCTTTTGCCCTATCTATGAGGCAACACCAAGATCCTAAGGCAATCGCTTCTAGCCTTTGACAGAGCAGCCTTGCAGGGTTTTACAAGGAGCGCAAGCATGTTGAGCAGTGGACGACGGCTTCGGAGAAAGGCTATTCGAGCGTTCGGCAGGGGATATAGCAGTACGTCCGGTGCTTGATGAAGCCCGCCCGCCCTGGGCGGTGCGGAACCAGCCTATCTGTGTGAGTCCTTTCTTGGATGCCTCGAGTGCGGATAGCTAGCCAGAAGTCCTTCAGGGCAGGACCAAGACGCTGAATTCCAAAATGTACCGAAGCCGCCTATGGAAGTGTGGGAGACGGCGAGGAGTTGCGAGAAGGGGAGAAGAAATCTCTAGACATTCTTAGGGGGGATTTCAAGAATCTCCTCAAGGAGGGCTGGCACAGTCCGCTGATAGACCGGGTCGTGGATGCCATCGAGGTATTTCTCCAGGCGTATCGAGGAAAACTCCTTGTGTTCACGGAGTTTTGGTGCGCTCTTGACGTAATACGTAGTGGCGTACGCTCTATAGGCAAAAGGGCGTGATGTTCTTCGTTTCGACGCGATGGTCAGCGAGCCTCCCGACGGGAAACTACAACGGCCTTCCACGACAACTAAAAGAAGAGGATCATGGATCATGCTCGTGACAATCAAGACCCCGGGGGGGGGGGGGGGGGGGGGGGGGTACGCCTCGACTTCACGCCTTCATGCTGGCAGAGCTGGTCTTGCTCTTGAACCCCAAACAAGAATGGTATACGTATGGCATCTCCATTGCAAGGACTCCATAGAGGATAATATCCTTGCGACACAGGAGCGCAAGCGCACGAAGGCCACGACCCTTCTTGACCCTTCTTGACCCTCCGGACGAGATCGGAAAGCACATGAGAGAAGTAGGAGCATGCAATTCACAAAAATTCGCATCCATGGTGAGTTTGCATATGAGCATCTGAATAGCGTGATACTGATCCAAGTCTAAGCTCATCTTCGCCGCAAAATGCGTGACGGATCTCAAAGAGGAGATGGATCGCCGAAGGGAAAAGAGGGTGTTCAAAAGTAAAGAGAATGCGCAAAACTCCGACGACGAGGATGGGCAATACATGGATGAAGGAGATGGTCTAATAGACGAGGATGACGATGCTGAGCCTTCAATTCAGTCAGAAGGCCAGGATGACTCAAGCGTCCAGTTTGATGACATAGTCGAACCTCAGTACCTTTTCCAATCAGATGATAGGCTTTCATAGGATGAGGAAATGAGGGATGCGGCTGCGCTTTTGGACTAAGAGCCTTTTGACGGCAGCATGAAGCACAGAGAAGCGAGGTAAGACGCTGAGGCAGGAGGATAGGACGGCCATGGTGCCATCGGAGTAGCACGGCGTTTACGTCTCGAACGTCTAGTCTATCGCCGCACTGAAACTTTGCTTCTTCGTTCTGATACCGAATGGGCGGACAAAGGAGTTCCTTGGGTAGATGAGAGCGTTTCCGTAATCTAACGCTTAGGGTTTACTAGCCTTACCTGAATAGAACCTACAAGCCTACTGTTTCGTTAACCTCTTTATACCCTTATATATTTAAGGCCTTCTTAGAGCTAAGGTAGCCTTAGTAAAGACTTACTTAAAGAACTTTCTTTGGTACTAAGTATATTTCAAGGAGTCTCTTAATGATAATAAGTTGCATGCGCTTTTAGCCATAAAGACGCGTAAGTAAATGTCCCCCTTCCGTAACTCCTATGCTTGCGACCTCTTGGTATGAGAAGCTTACAGGATAGAGGCCTTCTGTATGCATATAACCCCTAGTAACCCGCCAAAGCAGTGAACGCCAGCCACTGTTGTCTGAAAAGAGAGCTATGAAATCCTTGCGTGCTCACAAATCCCGTAAAATAGTTTCGATCATCCTCATTTCAGCCTTGAACGAACGGATCATTTCGGTGACCGTCCTCTCGCCCTTCGCGGCCGTGCTCCCCTTGGCCCCCTTCACCCCTGCATCTCCCAGCGCGGTATCCTGGCCTTCTTTTTCATGCTCGCGCTTCCATGCTCAGTATTTATAGTACCTTTCTGGGGGGGAGCCGGTCTTCATCATGTGCTCACGCATTTCTCGGCACAATTCGATTGTCGGAGATTCCGTCAAATGCTCACCTTCCTGTAGCATGCGGGCGTAGAATTCCAGCTCGGTCGTCGAGACTTCGCGGATCTTCGAGTATAGAGCCCTCTTCTTAATGAACGTGTCTGGGAACTGGTTCCATAAGGGAAATTCCGGGCATTGTTGCCGCGCCTTCTTCCTCTGAGCTACGTCCTCTTCTTCATCGGCGTCATCGGCGGAACGTTTCTTCGCAACCAACGCGATATTTTCTGCTCTCTGCTTCTCCAAGACGCCCGGGAAGTTGACAGCGAAGTCTCGTTGCATGCGACCTACCCACGAATTCTTACCGAGACGGTCATACAATGAATCGAGGTCGATGTCCCCAGAATTCTACTGGTGGCCGCCCTTGGCGGTTCTGTACCATGCGGTCCTTGGTTTCGCGTCTCCCTTATCGGCCACCATAGAGATATGAAGCCATGCTTCGTCGTTATCTCGGGTGAACGCGACCAACATTCTTCGCGTGTCCTTGTTGACTTTGAATGACAGGTATCGAGTCTGTGAGAGACGTTAGCTCCACCCGATACAATTCGTAAGCTCCGTTGCGTACGGTCGTCATGGTGACTGTTTTCGCCGTAATTGAGACGATATCCTTGAAAGTGTTTGAGTAGACAGTCGGTTGAGGAAAGGGGTTTTGGGGCCGACGATATAATAAGTGATCTTCGACTAGCGCGATTTTCCGGTGAGAGAGACGGTATCCCGCAGTAAGCTCAGAAAAGGCGGGAAGGTTAGCGTGGTCCGGGAGTGAGAGAGAAATGTAATGTAGCTGAGCCGGCAGTGTGAAGACTGAGTTGAAAATTTTAGGAATGAGGGGAGCCTTACACGCCGGAATGCTCGAGACCAGCGATTTCAAGAAGGCGGCGTGCGAAGCTGTGAGAGCTCTCGAAGTGGTGCTGCACAAAAGTGGTACCTGGAGGGAGGAGATGGCGCTCGCTGTAGTTCCAAGGTTGTCCATATTTGGTCTGGTCACGTGGCAGACTAACTTCTCTCAGCCACGAAATAGCGCTTCAAATTTGGTCCACGACACATCTTTCTAAGACCCTGGATGTTTGCAAGCGAGTCGCAAGTCCTGAGCGTGTGTAATATCCGCGGTAGCGCGAGCAATCATTCGATTCTCTCAACCTCTTATGCATCATGCTCGAAAATAACGGAGCTAGAACCATCTGAATACCCAGGTCAAATATCTAAAGCAGTATTAAAACCAACAAGCTCATCCCAAACACGCAATATCTAAGTGCTCACATACCCCCCTCTCCGCCTCTCCCTAAAATGTCACAGCATCCTCCTTCACACCCTCCAACGACCCCCTTCCTCTAAAAACCTCCACCACCTCCGCCTGCTCACACAGCACAAACCTCTCTGTCTGCGTCCCAATCTCCGCAAGCCTCCTCCACCTCTCAAAATCCTCCTTCCTCCTCTTATCCCCCTTCGCCTCCTCGCTCTTCTCCCAATGGCCCCTCGAAAACGCAATCATAGTAGTAACCCGCCTCTCTTTGATGTCGTAGACAAGGGAGACAATAGTGCCCGTCTCTTCGAGCCAATTGCACTGCCACAGCTCCCCGGGGCGGATGCACTGCCACGTGCACGTCTGGTAGTTGCTGCGGCCCGCCATTGGCCCGCCGTGGATGGCGTAGACGCAGCGGGTGGGGGAGAAACACCATAGTTCGTAACGCCATTTCTCCGGTTCGCCTGTTTCTGAATTTTGCGCGGCGTAGTCGTAGATGAGGTGCGTGTCGCGGATGTCGGTGTCGAACGAGGGGTGGAGAGGGGTGTTTGTGAGGAACTGGGGGTAGGATGATGTAGAAGGCATAGTTGGGGGGAGAGTGTGGAAGACTTATGGGAGGGTAGGAAACAGGAGGAATTGAGATGGATCCTTGATGCTCTCGTCTCTTTCGTATTTAAGGAGGAAGAAGACATGTGAGGATTTTTAAAGTGGTGTGAAGATGAAGGCTAGAATTCCATGTTACGTCACCACCCACTCCGAAGTATATCCGCGATCCGGCGGTACCGAAGGACATCTATCCAAACAATCTTCTCTTTCTTGAGAACACGCCGGTCTTCTACGCTGTGCTGTGTAGCTCTTTGATATATACCTCTTTTGTTAAAACGGCGATTGGCCCCGTGTACCGACGCCTAAATACCTATATGTACTCTCAAAGCACCCCAAGTTGTCTGTCTACGAGGGCGCCAAATCCGAAATATATATATATGTACACTGGGTAGCTCACTTTGGCTGCGGCCTGCGCAGCGGATGGGCTTCTGTATTACTAATCTCTATTAGCAATCGCTTCGCCCTCAAGATATCATACTCACAATACGTATTTGTCCAAGCTGACAAGATCTGGCTCGGAGAAGACCAGATAGAAGTACTTTAGGGTCTCCGCCATCCAAAAGCTCTCACACTCATCCAGCTTCTCAGTCTCCTTCCCTTGCGGACACGTCACATCTGCAATTGCGGAGTTGGCAAACTCGGTCTGGGTGGCGTTCTGAATAGCGCTGAACATACGCCAAGCAGCATCCTGGAGGGTACGATCACCGGTTATGCGGTAGAGGATAAAGACAGATTCGATTGCTTCGGGACTGTATACTTGTCAGATCACCAACGGAGTGAGGAAGTCGGAGAGGTGACCAACCGAAGCAGAAATCTCCTGTCCCCAATTTTCGTAAATCCCGGCTCTAGACCGTCCTCGCGGATGATTTCGGGGGCGTCCATGGATCGTGCCCAGCCACTTTGATCCATGACTCCTCGGTGCCATCGCTCGGTACTATAGGAACAATCATCGGGGTCAGAACACGGGATTGCATGGAAGTTCTCTGGCATGACGCCCGTCGGCATCGAGTCGTAAGCCCAGATGCAGCCATCAACGAGCTTTCGTGCGATATCGAGCTCATCCGTGCGGTTGAAGATCTTGGCGCTGATGCCAACCATTCCTCCAGCGAAGCATGACAGATGCTGGCCTTCGGATTCCAAGTCGATGTAGCCTAACATGTTCTTTCGCGCAGAGCCGGAGACGAGTATGTCCTGGTTCTGAGGGTTCAATGGACGGAAGAACAGGTATTGCTTCGCAGCCGCAATAGCGCGCTCATATAGGGTTTTGTACTGGTCGACTATTCCTCCGAGGAGCATGTACTGCTTCGGGAAATACTCGTATAGGGAGTCCGACATACCGCCGAATGTAAAAGTTCGGTCGATATTGAATGCATTGTCCTCCGGACTGACTTTGACCGGGAAGAGGCCAGGAATGGCGGTATCGTTCTGGTGCTCCTCGAACTTGTTCGTTATTCTTTGGACCGCATCGTAGTATTTCGGATCTCCGGTCAGCTGCGAAAGACGCGTAAACTCTAGAGTTAAAGTGCCTAGCTCAGCGGTGAGCGCATGAGATGGTGACTGCTTGTAGTCTTTCAAGACGCCACTGAAAAGGTTAGCGGAGAACAGAGGGGAGGAAGACAGGATGTACTTTTCCCAGTCCCACCTCGTAATTGGCAAGCGGTTAGGGGTGTCAAATGCTCCGTACAGCATATCGCCCAACCTCGTCGCCTGGTTGAGCAGAACATGATGCACCCCATCGGTCAAGTCGTATGCGCTGAGCAAACCACCCAAATATCGAATTGTTGTTTCAAAAATGTTCAGAATAGGCTCCGCTGTAGTGCTAAAATCAATCTTCTTGACCGCCTTGAGCGCCGCCTTAAAATCATCTTCTAATCCCATTATAAGAAGTGTATCCAAAGAATCGACGAGAGTAGCGCCGCGTGCGCCAAATGCGTTTCTATATCGTCCTGTTACCGGAGTGACCTCATCCTGTAGCCAAGCGTGCTTCTTGTATCCTTCCCAAGAATGCAAGAAGGCTTCTTTTACCGCTGCCTGCCTGTGCAGTCTCTGCTCTTTATTGTGTACCGTCTCGACGCCGAAATCGTGCTGTATGCGAGGAATGGGGGACGGGGAACCCTTCGGGAGGGCAATCATGGACGAGACCGGGTAAAGCTGCGGGATATCCTTCCATTGTACTGGATGCTGAATCTGCGACGAAGATGTGCCGGTTGGAGGAGGAAATTCGTCTCGTAGCGTGAGTTGGCGGAAAGCGAGAACCAGGAGCGTTGCTGATAGACATAATACGATGAAACGACGATAGTACATTCCCATAGCGAGGGAGGAGAAAGTCTAAGAAGGGTATCTCATTTGTGTAGGCTAGGACAGAGTCCGAAAGACTGTCTATGACGGGGAAAGCCTGACAATTAGAAGGAACGACTAGGAAGGAAGGGAGGCAGCGAAGAAAGATGCAGCGGGTAAAGGGCTCGGATCGAGCAGGAACGGTGCAAATACACCCTTTGCAGACGAAAAGGAGACAGCAGAAACACGAAAGGTGAATGAAGGAGGGGGAATGGAAGATCCAAGGAAAGGAGAGGTGGGAGTCGGGGATAAACAGGCTGCGGACTGAACCATGGAAGCATCCCCGATGGCTGCATTATCGATAAGGAAGAATGGGAAGCGGCGACGCGTCGTCAGCACTAAGCTGGCAGGCACATCCCTGCGCAGATCCCTTGGCTGGAGCCATGGACCGGAGCCTCGAGGTGAGGCTCGCAGCGCCGTTCTGTTCGCGACCACTATTATTGTACCGCTATTGTGCCTCAACAGCCCCAGAATGGAGAAAAGCTTGCAAGTATTGGCGCCTGATTTGCCTATATAACTGACTTTTTTCTGTCTTTTTTATCCGCATCGCTTTACCACCTTGCAGTATCCACGCAATTTACCTTCCCAGCTCCCACAGGCAGTGCGCTTGCAGACAAACTACGATAGAGCACCGGATTCTCTTACCTAGGTACCTTGCGATCAGGACGTAGCAAGGCGCACTAGCATCATCCTAGCCTTCAGCCCCCACCATACACCCATAGCGAGACCACATATCCTCATTCAATATGAAATACAGCGGCCTTTATTTCATCTCCAACCCGGGAGCATCCCTGGATGCTTCGCTCAACACCGTTCGCTCCATCGTTGACGGCATCGAGTCCAACATGCGAACGGCGACACAGCAAGCCAAGTGGACGCTTAACCATCGGCTCCTCCGATCCACCGTACCTCCTCCCTCGAAGCAGAATGGCGACGACGCCAGACCACCACAGCCCCCTTCTTCGCAGCACCAGTACTCGTACCAGCATCTCCTCACCCTTTCGTATCTGAGCCAGAATCGAACATACAACTACATCCACACACCACCTTTGCAGAATTCGCAGAACCCTGGCGCCTCTCAAGACGCGCCGGCAGGCTCCTCGACGGGGACAGACATGGCAATACCTTCGCAGCAAGCGGACACCCATTATGATCTTCTCGTGACTCAGTGGGCACAGCTCTGGACTCCGCGACGGGTGCTTGATCTGCCCAACGGAATCACGTACACGGTCAGCAACTTCACCATATACGTTGGCGAACTGCGAGCTCAGCGCCAGGGGCCACAGTCCTCAGGGGTTCTCTCGCCCGGTGTTGTCGTCTGCATATCTACCACAGCCGGCGACCCTGTATGGGACGACGAGTCGGGCGTAGATGACTCCACATTCCCAGCGGCGAACGACGATGGATTCGACTACGGGGATTACGATCTAAGTTCTGCTCGGGATATGATCAGAGAGGTTTGGAGGATCATCAGGGAAGGCAAAGATTTCGGCAAAGCCGAGATTCGCGAGTCCTTCATGGACGAGAAAGACTTCTGTGCTGGCAAGGAGAGAGCGCGTGAGGCGGAGGTGCGGATGTGGTGTGAGGCGTTGAGGCAGAGGGGGTGAGTTCCAAGCACATGACTTGGAGCACACTCGTCCTTCACTCTTCCCTCGAGTTTTGGTGCGTTATTGATTGCTTGAGAAATAGGGAGGCAGTAGCCTCGATTCGACAGCTGGCATCACGCGGCGACGAAGCCCTTGCTTCTACCATTGCAACCGACCCTGAAGGCATTTACGACAGCCCCTCCACAATTGCAGCCGACGTCGAGAATCTTCAACCCAGCACTTCAACCATTGCAGCCCGCTTTGAGGATATCCAGCGTAGCCCCAGCTATGAAGTAGCTCTCGATGTCCGCGGTGCGGAAAGTCCTGACTCTCCAGCCACCCTGTCCGCGAACAGTCCCGAAGATACCTGGTATCCTCCCAACTATGGAGACCTAGCTCCCGATGACGGTGGTGCAGGAGGTCCCGACCCTCGGGCCACTCTGTTTGCACACCCAGAAGGACTTCCGGCCTCATCCCTCACCTACAACCCTCCCCAGCCCCAAGGTTGTTATATGTGCCGCCTCTATCGATTAGAGTGCGATGGCGTCCCGCCATTCACGCCCGAGCATCCATGCGCCAGGTGCCGAACGAAAAGACGGAAATGTCGCAAGTACATTCAGCACAAATACCAACAGCGTTGCTGTGATTGCATAAGGAATGGGGTGGACTGCGATGGCAAGGATCCTTTCACGGAGCCATGCTCAAGGTGCATCGCCCTGAACCTGCGGTGTTAGCTTCACCCGGGATCAAACGGCGGTTTCTTCAATTGCACGCCTTAGAAAGTGGTCGAGAGGACTTCAGGGCCCTTGGGGATAGATGGAAGGCTTCTCACGTTTTGCATAGCCTGTTCTTGATAACACGTAAATATGAATAATTCCTCTTTGGAACTCGCTGAAGCGCTTCATACTCCCTTTTCCACAAGTCAATACACGGATTCACAGACCACGATGCCAGTATCAGGTCGGAACAAGAAGCTATGATGAACGAGATGAATTATTCCCTTTCTACTTCTCGCATGACTTGCTGTCCTCATCCGCATTCATTCCCCCGCTCCCCACCTATCCTAACCTGGCTTATCCCTACAGGTATCTAGAACTACAGATCTAGCGATAGTGTTACCCATCGCTGCATTGACTTCCAAGGTGTGCTGATCGGCCCATCCCACTTAGCGCGAGCAACACAGTAGCATTGCAGTAGTGAAAACAAAAAAGAAATCAGAGAATCAAGGAAGAGTAGTAAAACAGAGTCGGGTTGGGGCAGTATTAAGGAGTGTGAATTGATGCGCACAAATGGTGTTTCCAAATTCGATTACAACAATTATATCAAAACAACACGAGGTGGCGCCATTTCAATCCCAAACCAGACCCAGGAGATGCAAAAGGGGAATATAAAAAGGAAAACATGGTGGGTAACCAAGAAAGCTACTAAACTGGTTAAGTGGAGCAAGTATCGCACATTCGAAAAGAAGATCCGAAAAAGCCAACGATTACTGCGCACCAACCTCCTCTTCAGCCCAGCCGGGAAGGCCACCGTCGCCTTGGATTGCGAGGCCGTAGCCGCCGTTTCCGCTGCCGAACCCGCCAATGCCGGAGCTTAGGCTGCCGAAGGAGTTCTGCTGAGGTGCCTGCGATTGCTGCACGGGCTGCGTGAACGGGCCTTGCGTGAAGACCGGTAGGCTGACGGCGCGAGAGTGCTGAGCGCGGGCGTTGAGGTTTGATGGGGCGAGCAGGCCACCGACTGTGGTGGCACCTGATTGGCTCGAGGTACCGTTGATGAGGCTGAAGCTCGACGTGCTATTGTGTGCTGTGTGCGACTGGTGCGGTTGTGGAGAAGGGTTAATGTCAGCGCCATAGAAAGCAGCCTGCGGAGAAGGGTACGCCTGCTGCTGTTGTTGCTGGGCTTGCTGTTGTTGCTGCTGGAGGTTCACCTCAGCCTGCTGTTGTTGTTGGCTTTGTTGAGCCTGTAGGTACATCATCAGAGGATTGTTGACGCCGGTGTTCAGGATACTCGCGGGTGTAGGCGCTTGGATACCGGGAAACTGTCCATTGGTGCTGCCACCTGAGCCAGGAGCGCCAGAGCCAGTTGGCGAAACGGAGGGCCCAGTGTTGCTGCGGTTGGGATGGAGACCGTTGATGGGCGAAGGAGACTGGACACCATCACTTCCAGCTTGCTGTGCCTGGCCCTGATTGGAGTTCATCTGTCGCGGCGGGTTACCGCAGCGGTCCTTCCCAAAGTTGACCTTGAATCGCTTGTACTCCTCCCGGCCTCGCACGGCCTCAATCGCCTTGATGGCATTGGCGATGTTGGTGAAGTTGACAAACGCACAGCTCTTCTCGCGCAGCGTGTTGACCAGCTCAATCTCACCATATTCAGAGAAGTCCTGCCTCAGGCGGTCCTCGGTCCATGACTCATCCAAGTTGCCAATGTAGACATTACGCGAGGCTCCGCCGCTCACAGCAAGAGCGATCGCCGGAGGGAGGGCGCCGGAGTGCTTTCCCCATCCAATCTTCAGGCGTCGGTTGTGGATCATTAGCCCTTGGAGGTTGCTCAGAGCGTAGAACGACGCTGCAGAAGTAGGGTCGATGAACGTCACGAAGCAGATGTGCTTGTCCGGGATGTATCGTATGTGGTGCAGGAGACCGCCGCGGACGACGTTGCAAATCTCTTCGATCGTCGTCTCAGGATGTATGTTTCCTAGGTACACTGTCCGGTTGCCCAGGTTGTTGACGCCGCCGGCGGATGTTGCAACTGCCGCGGCAGCGACCGACTGCTGTGCGAGGGCGTTGGAGATCATGTCCCGATCGGCCCCGTTCAGCACGTGGGCATATCCAGGCGCGATTCCAAGGTACTGCGCGGCGTTCTGCTGCTGAGTCTTCGAGACATACGCGCATCGATCTTTGCCGTAGTAGACGCGCCTTGGAGGCTGCCATTTCGGCTCTTGAGGAAGCTGCGCAACAGCCTTTATGGCATTTCCAATGGACAAGAAATGCACGAAGCCAATGGCCTTCTCCCGCACAATCTTTACGGTGTCGATCGGACCGAACTTGCTGAGATCCTCACGCAGCTCCTCCTCAGTGACGTCTTCTGGCAGATTACCAAGGTAAACGTTACGCGAAGCGCCTGACTGTTGCACGGCCAAGGCTACCGAGGTCGGTACCTGCGACGGTTTTCCCCACCCAATCTTGATGTCCTGGCCTCTGATCGACAACTTTTTCAAGATTGCATCAGAATGGAAATGGGTGGCGGAGCTGCTGTCCAGGAATGAGATGAACGCGCAGTTCTTGTCCGGCAGGAGTCTGACAGACTCGATCTGACCACTCCTCACATGACCAAGAATCTCTTCAGCAGACGTCTCGGGGGGAATGTTGCCTAGATAGACGGTCCTGCTAGTCCCAGATACTAGGCCCGGGGCAATGGGCAGAGACGAACCCAGTCCACCAAGACCCTGTGCACCAAATCCAGAATATCCTCCCGTGGGCGACTGCGGTCCACCAAAGAAGCCAGGGCCGTTTATACTCGTAGGAGAGACCAGGTTCTGGTAGAGCTGGGGCGAAAGCGGCTGCTGCATCTGCACCGGGCTGCCCATGTGGTTGGCCTGATTCTGTTGCTGATGTGACTGGTTCTGTCCGGCAAAATTCGCATACTGCTGGAATTGCGGCGACGCAAAAGCTGACGGAGACCCCGGCTGGAAGGGGCTGCCGAGGAGCAACTGCGACGGGAGCAAAGGTGTGAAGTTCATATCGAAGCCCGTACCAGGGGTCTGCAAGTCGGTGTTTTGGTTGCCCGGCGCGAGCCTGCCCGTGTTGATCGACGGGATGTTCGACCTCTCGGGATGTCTATCGGCGTAGCCGCCTGGCTGGTTGGTGTGGAATGCGCCGTGCGAAAAGCCGGTATGACCTCCGTTCATCTGCTTCTGGAAACTCGTCTGAAGGCGGGGTCCGCTGGGTGCGGTCGGAGCGCCGTCGTGGTGTTGCATTCCAAGAAGATGCGGGGGCAGGACGAAGCTGTCCCGCGCGCTTTGAGATAGGACAGCCGTGGCGAAGGTGTATTACTGCGTCCGGTCCTTCAAAGTACCGGACGGCGAATATGTAAGGCAGAAGATATACGTCCAACCTGTGATAAGGCAGTTGCTATTGGCGCGAAGTGAAGAAGGCCGATATTAGATCTCGTAAAGAGAAGGCTAATACAGGTCAGCCAAACGCCTTCGAAGGGCGTGCCGGTGGAGAAATCAGGGGCGAGACTCACTTCTGGCAATTCAATGGTAGGTCGAACTTGGGACAGAGTAGAAGGAGCCAAATCGAAGACGAACAAGGAGTCCAGCTGGCCGGTCGGTTGTCAATAACTAGGACAATACAGGAGCCAGCAACACGGTGGTGGAGTCCAGGCTGAGTCAGACGAATACGGATACAGTATCTCTGCCGAGAATAAGAGCTGCAGAGTCTTCCGGGGCGGTCGCAGAAGGGTCGAATTACGGGGTGGAGGACTGGAGTTCGGGGGAACTGGACCTCGGGGGCTTGTTTTGAAGATGCGAACGGGTTGAAAGAACGACCACAATAATAATGAACGGCGCAGAGAGGTGATGTTTGTCAGCGACCTCAATGCGAGAGAAGCAGAGATAATGAGCGGATGGGGTCGAAGAAGAGGGATCGTGGGCTGGCGGTCGGAGGTAGAGGATGGAGCCCTGGAGAAAAGCGAGAGAGAAGCGCCAGAGACAGGAGGCAGGCGCAAATGAGCATTGCCCGAAGCGGCCTAGCGCGCTTGCTTATTTTAAACGCGCGTGCCCCCATCCATCCTGAATCATCCAAACCGCCAACGCTCGCCGCGACCCTGCATGCAGGCCGCCTGAGATGAGGCTGCGAGACGCTTGTGCGATGTGGCGTCGCATTGCGTGCAGCTGGCATGCCTCTCCTGATCTCAGACGGACATCGCGTGGGCCGTGGACGCCGCAGACTGTGTCACTGTGGAAGCGGCTCCAACACCTTGCCCAGGCATGCGCCGGATAATTGCAGCGAACAATATTCTCGTTCCTGACTAGGGCTCGCTTCTGCGCATCCAGCAGCCCTGGAGCCGTCCAACACGCCGACACGGCTGGCGCATATCAGAATTGGATAGCGCTTGGCGGCCTGCGCTGGATGGGGACCGGAGGTGTGTGGCACCAGACCCAAAGATCCATCAGCGCGGCCGCTGTCAGGGGGGCCGCAGGCGGTTCGCGTCAAAGGAGCGCTGTTTCAAAGCCCACTTCACGTGGGACAGTGGCTCCGACGGCTTGTCATTGGCGCCGAAAGGACGTTTGGGCAAACGCTCAACCACAGCGGCATTCCTGCAGCGGTCAGCGTCGTATCCTCAATTTGCACCTAGCCGGAAAACGCATGGCGATTTGCTACCTAGGTGCTTCGAAATGCGTTTTATGGGAGAATCGAAATTTCGGGTGCTTTTGCAAATGGGCACCGTGCGCAGACAAGGGCCCTTCTCAAAATGGATTAGCGCCTTGGCATATAGACCTCAGATCCCGCCAGATCTGGCCGTTCCTCGCGTCTTATTCCACCACGCGCAGCCAATGTGCCATGTCGGAGTTGTATCCATCAATCGCCCAGTGCGCCGTCGTGGCCACGGCGCTGAAAGTCTTGCTCTTGCCCGCCTAGTACGTGAAATTCTAAATAATCAAATCATATACTAGCTTGCCTGCTGACTGTTGTCGCCAGCAAGTCCACCGACTTCGAAGTTCACCGCAACTGGCTCGCTCTGACCCACTCTCTGCCGGTCAAAGAATGGTATTACGAGGTGAGGACATCCGCAGAGCCTATGCAACCGAAGACTGCATACCAACATCTCCCTAGAAAACCTCAGAATGGACGCTAGACTATCCCCCCTTCTTCGCCTACTTTGAGTGGCTTCTTTCTCAAGTCGCGGCCTATTTCGAGCCCGGCCTGCTCAATGTCAAGGCTCTCGGATATGACAGCTGGCAGACAGTCTACTTCCAGCGCGCCACGGTCATCGTTTCAGAGCTGGTCCTGGTCTATGCCTTACACCTGTAAAAATGTTCCACCCAACACCGTGCGCTGCCCAGCTGACTGCTTTAGCTATGTCAAGAGCTCAAAATCGAAGGCGACTGCACACGCAGCTGCGCTCTCCGTACTTCTATCTCCGGGACTCTTGATCATCGACCATATCCACTTCCAGTACAATGGCTTCCTCTACGGCGTCCTCATTCTGTCTCTGGTGCTTGCCCGCAACAGCTCTACTCTTTTGTTGAGCGGGCTGTATTTCGCCGCACTTCTATGCTTCAAGCACATCTACCTATATCTTGCCCCCGCCTACTTTGTCTATCTCCTACGGGCATACTGCTTGGATGAGCAGCCATCGTTCCCTTACCTCCGCGTTCGATTTTTCAACTGCATCAAGCTAGGCGTTGGCGTTGTGTCAGTCTTTTCCATTGCCTTCGGACCATTCGCAGCGTGGGGCCAGCTCGAGCAAGTGTTTCGTCGACTATTCCCGTTCTCGAGAGGCCTGTGTCACGCTTATTGGGCGCCGAACATATGGGCCATGTACTCCTTCACTGATCGAGTCTTGATTTACTGTGGGTAATGTTTGACATACTGGTATGTCTGGCTGACTCTTACAGTGGCTCCACGTCTCGGATTACACGTCGATCGAGAGGCAATCAACAGCGTGACTCGAGGCCTGGTGGGAGACACGTCCTTTGCCGTGCTTCCCGATGTTGCACCCTTGACCTGCTTCCTTTTAACTCTCAGTTTCCAGATAGTATGTAGATGCCTCTTTGGTTTGCGTCCCGTCTGCTCACGTTGCTTAGCCCGCTCTCATTCGACTCCTTCTCCGGCCGACGTGGGAAACTTTTATCGGTGCTATCACGCTGTGTGGCTATGCATCCTTCCTTTTCGGCTGGCACGTTCATGAAAAGGCCATCCTCCTCGTCATCATACCTTTCAGTCTAGTGGCGTTGAGAGACCGTCGATATTTTGGCGCTTTCCGACCGCTAGCTGTCGCCGGTCATGTGTCTCTATTTCCTCTCCTCTTCACGGCAGCCGAATTCCCGGTGAAGACGGTCTACACCATTTTCTGGCTCATAGCTTTCTTGTCCTCCTTTGATCGCCTCGCCCCGGCGTAAGTATCCTGCGTGCCACAGCTGATACTCGCTGACCCCACATAGGTCACCGCATCGACGAGTCTTCCTCCTCGATCGCTTTTCCTCCGTCTACATCGCGTTATCGATACCCTTGATCGCTTATTGCTCACTAGTTCATGGCATAGTGTTTGGAGACAAGTACGAGTTCCTGCCGCTTATGTTTATTAGCTCCTACTCCGCCGTCGGGGTCGTCGGTAGCTGGATCGGCTTTTCTGTAGTGTACATGGACTCGTAGAGCAGAAACACAATCCAACACCCTGCTAGATTGAAGCAGGACATGTTTTGTGCATTTTTCTTCATTCGTCCCTACTTTGCCATTTCCGTGAGGTCTATAGCCCCTTCAATCCAAGATTGACATCCCGCCCGCCTCATGCCAGATATAACGATCACTCGAAGTGAGCATTTTCCACGCTTATTTGAAGTCGACGGAGTGCATGCGGAGCATGTTGAGTGCTCCGGGTCATTGCGGCGTCATCTTGCCCCGGTAAGGAAATATGGGAGGCAGGAGAGTGGACGACTTAGTATGCCATGGAGATGAGATAATTACCCCTGACTGCTCCTGATAGTGCAGAATATGTCCTTCGATTTAGAAATGATATCCATAAAGTTTATTTCTGCGTGCGTGGGCGAATGCGGCAAGAAAGGTGGATATGGCGTTGCGTTTGAGAAGGTGGGTCAGGCTGGTGTCTGGGGTGGCTCAAAGGCATGGAGCCGTCGTGTGTAGTGGTGACCTCACATGGCCCGCTCGGGACTCGATTCCGAAAATTTTAGACTTTTCCTGGCTTTTCCACTGGATTCTACACGATCCACGGATCAAAACGAGTCCGAATACGCTCGCGTCGCGAGTGCAGTGCTGCGCGTTGTGTGCGGGTGGAGGAGGAAGCCGTTTGGGTTGGTGCTTGCCGACCCTGGCTAGTTCCGAGCTACCTCCGCGCTCTCCAGGGCTGGGCATTTTTGCTGCTACCTTTGAGCCTCCATTCATCGCCTGCTTCTTACTTCTACCTCTCCACCACCCTCTCCACCGACCGTCTCCCCGCCACGCCCACAAACCGACCCCCATCTCGAAAGGACGCGCAGAGCGACCTCTAGACGCGTCTCGGAACGGAAATCGGATTGACCGCGGTGGACGACGACTTTTCCCAGGACCCCCTCCAGCGCTCGGTATAGCTTGAATTCCGCTGGGTCGCTCTCCGCAGGGCACATCGCCACCGTCCATCGCGAGAAGCGTCTCAATACACCCATCATCACGCGGAACCGTTACCGCGACAGTTCCGAAGCCTACGACGCGGACCACCAGACCTCGAGGATCCTCTAGATGAGCTAGGATCGAAGCCAACATGGTATGGGACGCGTTCTGAAAGCTATCTCTACTCGCCCAGCTAACAGCTTCAGGTGCAATTTAAACGCAAGACCGTCAAACCCGAATCGCTCCCCCCGTTCCTCGATGACAACACCGAGGTGCGCCCTTGCTCCCTACACAAACAAGAAGATGGATGCTAAGTGTGGTGGACAGGTCTGGGTAATTGACGCGACCGGAGAGGTTTTCACAGACTATGAGAAATATCTCAATCGGTACGTGTTCACTATTAGTGCGAACACACTGAGGTTACTAACCGACATGCAGGCGCGATTTCTACCTACAGGCAAGCCTTCCCCTCCCCCACATCCCACACGTCAACCTCGGACCAACTTCTGACTCGATTATAGAAGAATTTCACGTGCGAATCGACAGGTCATTCCGGCTACACATACTTCGAGGCCAGGGAGAGCGAGGTATGTTTAAGAGATGGCTTGGACGAGGGCCAGAGTGTAACAACGCCGCAGATGGAAGCTTCAAAGGAGATCGACAGCATATTTCCCGAGGGCTTGCGGTCCCGTGTGCTGGAATTCGTGCAATTCCGAAATACGGCGCGCATGGACGACTTGGGTAAGTCTGCCGTGAACCGCTTGAGTTTTGAACTATTACTAACACTACTTTTAGTCAACGCTGTTTTTGACGTATGTTCGTGCGCTCTTTTCCATTGCACAATACTAATACTTTGTACAGCATTTCCGCGAACATTACATGGTCGGCGACCGTGTGTCAATCGATACTGATAGCGGCCGCCGCTATGGCACGATCACCCAGATAACAGACAATTCCAGGCTCCACAATATCTTCAGTGGTCAATCTACGGATGATCAGTTCCGCTCCTTTACGTACATCATCACTACGGAAGATACCGGCGAAGAAGCCACACGATACAAAGCTTCAGAGCTTCAGCGCGATCGGAGGGTGTATTCAAAGCTCGTTCTGAAGCAGTTCCTGCGCAGCGCTGTTTCAAGAGAAGCATGGAACGGAGCGCCTTGGATGGTCAAAGACCACCTGGCGAAGCGCTACGATATCCCGACCAAGGTCCCTGAAGCAAAGACTCGAGATGCGATTATGGCGGCGAAGAAGGCAGCAAACGCCGCACATGCTAACAGTGCGACTTCTCCGGCAAATTCTCCAAACATGGTCCATGGACCAGATCCGAGAGGGCCCTATATGAATGGTGCGAGACCGCCGATGGCTGGTCCGGGGCAAACCACCTTTGTCAATTTCGCGGCAAACGCTCCTCCCCACTACCTGCAAGATTCCGTGCGTGGCATGATGCCGCCACCAATGAACGGAACTAGTCTTCCGCCGTTTCCATATTCTGGGCATCCACCTCTACCGCTCATACACGGACGACCGCCGATGCCACCGTTGCATCCCCCACCCCAGATACCAACAAATCTTCCCCCGCACCTTGCTCAGATAGCGCAGCATATGCCTCCACCGGGGTCAGGGCTACCCATCAGCCTCCCTTTCCAGAACAACTTCATGCAGTATCAGACTCTGGCGCCAACTAATCCTCCTCAACTGCCAGCCGTTCCTCTTGCGAAGCCTTTCGAACCAATCAAGTATCCCATTGAAGATCTAAGGATCAAGCAGCCACGCATCAGCGTCCAGCGACCGGCGCTAAAATTCTTCTCGGACGACGTTCCCGATGGTGCTGAAGCACCTCCGGATGAAAAGAAGACGGGTATCCTGATGAAGAGCATGGGCCCGCTATTATGCACGTGGGAGACACTCAACGTTCACGACACCATCTACATGCTTGATTCCTTCACGCTAGACGACTTCGTGGAAGCTATGCGCTTTTCTTCAGCGGAGGTAGAGTGCGAGCTGTTGACCGAGGTGCATTGCGCTGTCCTGAAGCAGTATGTCAACGACTCTGGCAAGCTCCAGGTACCTCTTCCCCACATTTCGGATGAAGATGAGTCTGGAGATGAAGAGTCCAGCAAGGAGACCACGCCAGAGCCAGAGCCCGAGCCTCCAGTCCGGACAACGCGCAGCAGCCTAAGGAAATCGGAGGCAAACATGATTATGAAGCAGCGCACTCCTACGCCCGAGCCACCAAAACAGCTCCACAAAGCCGCCGAGTTCCTTGCGGATTTTGACTGGGTCGAGCAGTGTGGGATCCGAAACTTCAGGGAGGGAGGATGGGAGGCGATCCTAGTTGGTCTGCTCCACCGTTTATCCTTCAATCCAACTCATAAAGACACCTGCGACGAGATCCTCGCCAAGCTCGTGCCTCCAGATGAAGTGCCTTTGGTGGAGAAGATTGCCTACAACTATGTTTATTTGGACGTAAACCTCCGAATAGCGGCGCTCGACATAGCATTACGCCTCACTGTAACTACCGAGCACTTCCGCGACCAGCTTGTTGCTGCTTCACAGGAGATGACGCGTCTCCGAAAGGAGAAGATTGATTTCCAGAAGAAGCGGAAAGAATTGTACGTGCATCATATTGCTTCCACGAAAGTCAACATTCTAACACGCAACAGAGCCGATGAACTATTCAAACTTGACATTGAGCGAAAGATTCATCTGCCTCTCAACACCCCAGCCTCTCCGGTGGAGTCAAAAGAGAATCAAGATGTCTCCATGACAGGCATGGACGAAGTCAAAGATTCGGAAGCTGAGAGCGAGTCTGCTGAAGAGCCACCAGCCGGCAACCGTAAGCTTCGCAAAACCGTGAAGCAGAATAAGCGCAAGCGGGAGAGCGAGGTTGCGAAGAAAGAGAAGGCGAAGAAGGCGAAGGCGGAAGCTGCGAAAACCAAACAGCAGAAAGAATGGGAAAAGCTTCTGGACGCCATCGAGAAGAAGAAGGAAGAACTTCGAACTTGCGAAGCCAATATCAACGAGCTGGATGACGATCTCCGGGAGACTCTGGTCCACCGGAGCAAGGTCCTCGGAAAGGACCGCTTCCTGAACAAGTACTACTGGTTCGAGCACAACGGCATGCCCTTTGGGGGTGTGCCAACAAGCTCTACAGCAGAATACGGTTACGCCAATGGTCGGGTCTGGGTCCAGGGGCCCGACGAGTACGAACTACAACCCAATTTGGAGGAGCCCGCTGTGTCGCAGGACATGGCAGAGTTTGGCTGGACGGTCCCGATGCGGAAAGAGAAGGAAGAAGGCTCGACTCATCTATCCACCTCTGCTGAGTGGGGCTATTACGACGACCCCTCTGATATCGACAAGCTCATGGGTTGGTTAGACGAGCGGGGTCTGCGAGAGAAAGCACTGCGCAAGGAGCTTCAAATCTTCCGTGATAGGATCGCCGAGTACATGGTCAAGATGAAGGAGCATCTTGATGAGACGGAGAAGTCGAAGGCCGAGGAGGAGGATAACGCACCACGGATATCGACCCGCAAGAAGACGTACGCCGAGAAGGACGTTACCAAGAGCCGCTGTCTCCTCTGGACGAACAGCATCATGCGGGACGAGGTTGGGCACAACCATTCTGAGGAATACGAGCCGCCCAAAAAGCAGAGGAAAGGCGTCGCCAAAGTCACTAAGGGCAAAGGGAGGAAGTGAGCCTAAATGCGGTCCTCGGACTCGTTCTCCGATCTGTTGGCTTTCTCACGATTTATGGCAACAATTACATGGCGTCCCCGGTGTTCCGAATATTTCCAACCTAGCATGTTACTCTACTCGATGAAGCATGTTACCGGTCTGCATTCTCTCGGAGTTGGGGTTCATATGGCGAAAAGATATAGAGGTCACCGTGTTTTACTAGCTATTCTCGGACCGCTCTGCTAACCTGGTGTAATGGGGTGTCTGATTAGTGTGCTACTCTCGATGGAGCGATGCGGCATCACTGCACGGTGCGTGGCAATGGCCAGCACCGCGATTTCTGAGCTATTCTCAAGCGCTCAGTATTTGTAGATATAACCATGTAGACAAGTTCAAGCTAGGGTCCTACCCAAATTCCCAGTCAGTGACATCCTGGATCAGCGCAAATCAAACATACTCGCTACAACATCGTCCCTCTGTTCTTCTCATTGAGCCTGGCCTTTGGCAGAAGGCTCATGACGTAATGCGTGTGTACCCCATTTTAGGCTTAGCGCTCACGTGATGTTATCAGAGCCGCAAAAGCGGAGGCCGCATTCACGCCGCAGTGTTCATCACACCCCACGCTATCTCATCACCACAGCCAATTCTGACACGTGCAACATCTCGGGCACGTACCAAACACTCTTTCGATTGGCTTTATATACCGCCGACGTACTCCGCGGGCTCCAGCCGCCACCTCACCATGGCCGCAAATGGCGCCGCCCGTAAGGGTGCGTTCGGTTGCACCGAGTCCCCTCATACCGCTACTAACATGCCACAGCGCCTGCACCCCCGGCCTCCTCTACGAAAGCGGGCTTCATAGATACTGGCTCAGTCAAGGACGGACTAGGCGAGAAAGAGAAGAAGCCTATCATTCTGAAGATCAAGAAGCCGACTCCAAAGCCCTCGTTACCGGGCAACTGGAAGGAGAGCGACGGTATCAGTATGTTTCTCCCTACGAACAGCGATTTCCACTTGTGTTTCGAACTACATTTTGTCTACCTAGTGCTGGAGCTAACCATCCGCTAGATACCGAGAACAAGACATCCACCCCCGCCAGCACCTCACCGATCGTCAACCCCCTAGAAGAGAAGACCCTCGCTGGATTCCAGACCGGCCGGCCTCTCGACGACAAAGTAGACGTTGTGCAATGCAAGCACTGCCGCCGACCTGTCCTCCGCGTCTCCTCCGCAACCCACATCCGCGAATGCCTGAATAAGAAGCAAGAGAAGCTAAAGAAGAAGAAGGAGGCCAAGGAAGCGAAGGATGCTGCGCTCCGAAAAGAGAAGGGTGAAGATGACGAGGGTGGTAAGAATGCCCGGAAATCTGCGGTTAAGGGTGCGGTTGTTGACGGCGAGGGAGCAAAGAAGGGAAAGAAGAGGAAGCTTGAAGGCGATACGGACAAACCCGGTGCGAAGAAAAAGAAGAAGGATGAACCGAAGCAGAAAGCCGCGAAACCTAAAGGACCTGTCGATGTAGAGAAGCAGTGCGGTGTTGCGCTACCAAATGGCGGCTTCTGTGCAAGGAGCTTGACCTGCAAGAGTCATTCTATGGGCCTGAAGAGGGCGGTGCCAGGACGCAGTTTGCCTTACGACATGCTACTAGCGCAGTATCAGAAGAAGAACCAGGCGAAGCAACAACGTGAGTATTTCCGTAGACTTGTAAGATACATGCGCTAACTATTTGTAGGTGCCGCAATCGATGCAAACGCTCCTCTTCCGGAGGACCTCGAACCATCTGGGGCAGTTGATTCGGACGAAGAGAAAGAAGCGATCATGGCTGCCCTTGCACGCCATCGTCCGCGACCGCTGGCAACCTTTACCCCCGTATCCCAGAAATCGAAGTACCAGTACATCCGCATGAAAGACATGCTCCGATCAGCCCTTGGTGCACCACCCGGCGGCTCCATCTACTCGGCCATGGCCCCTGGGTCAGAAAACCTCGGTACGGGGCGAAGCCTAGCGCTCGGCATGATGGGCGCGCCTGGTAACGCTACCGCGGAGAACTTCCCTGGAAGTGCCGGTGGTATGGGTGGTTTTGCAACACCGCTGAGCGCCGGGTTGGATGGCTCAGTCAATCCGGGTAGTAGAAGGCAGAGCTCGATCAGCATGGCCGCGCCTAGCAGTGCGGGACCGAGACAGATTCTTCCGGGACAGCTACCTGGTCCGGGTCCACAGCAGCGCAAGGGGAGTATGGCCAGCGTTGCAAGTGTTGGGCCCTCTTAAAATGGAGGCCCTGGGCTGGGATTCTGGCTGTCACTTGCGTGCACTCGACTTCTGGATGCTGCTCCAGGAGCAGCAGATGTCTGATCTGTTATTTATCACGGCGTTTTGGGAGTCGTTAATCTGCCTTTCAGGTGGGCGGCGGGATCTGGTGTGATATTGCACTTGGGCGGCGGTCTACAAGATACCCCTTATTTCCCATCATGGCTTCTGAATCCATTCTTCTATTCTGACCTTTCGCCCATTTTCTGGGCACCTTGAATTCAGCTACCCATCCTTCTTGTTCATGCATGTCCCTTACGTCCCTTTCGCATGTCCTCAGACACTCTACACCTCAACCCGGTAGCCTCACCTCCTCAATATCCCAGTAAACATGCCAACCCACATCCGTCTGATCTCCTTCCTCTCCCAGAATCAGCCCACGCCCTATCACTTGATGGTCCTCGTTGTTCCTGGTGCTATGTCTGACTGTCTCCCCTACATTCTTTGCCTCCTCTTCAAGTGCGCTCACTTGGGTTTCCAAGGTGTCCTGCGCGGCGGAGAAGGAGACGGCCCAGATATTCACGACTTCGACCGCACCACGGGTGGTGGAAGACGGGGTTAGGGTTACGGTGGCGTTGTGGGGGGATGGCAGCGTGAGGCTGTGGAGACTGGAGTGAGGAGGTTGGCTAGGGTTGCTAGCGGTGCAGGAGATGCTGTAGCTAGGCTTTATGGAGCTGCTGGATTGCGATTTGATGATGAGGTAGACGGTTCGCTGAGGAGGGTTGGGAGCCGAGGCCGAGGCAGAAGATTGGGGGATGTTGGATGGGGATGCCATGGTGGAGTTCAGGAGCGTGGTTGAGGGGTTGAAGGGACTTCAGGAGCAGTGACGGCTTATTTATTAGCTCTCGCTGGGTTTGGTGTTGGCGGTGTGCGGGCATAGCAAGCTTTGCTTCTCGCAGAGTGTGCTCGTGCTGGAACACATGACTTCGGCATACAGTGAGGCATTGTTGAAGATGACTGCCATAGAGCGTAAGATGCTGTGTGAATAGCGAGCCTGTGTACGATGAAGGCGTTTGCATCTTAGCATTTATAGAGTCTTGGATCCGTTGAATTCGGTGCCTCTAGCCTATCCGCACTCAACCGCCAACGCTCATGCCGCGCTCTAGACTAGCATCGCGGTATTGGGCCTGCTCCACACCACCTATATAGTCCACCAACGGACGAATCCGCACCTCTACAACATCAAACCAAACATAAGTCCAGTCTTCGAGCTTGACCATCACCTCTCCACACACTCCATCAGTTCCATGCTTCCACTCCGGCTTTAAAACCTTCCCATCCCTCTGCCTCACGGCGATGAGATCCTTGATCTGCTGCTGCTGCAGCTTCTCCTCCACGGCCTTCCGATCCTCGGACCAGCTCTCGATAGATACTATACAGTCGCCGGACTTCGGTCCTTCAATCTTGACGTCGAACTTTTCTACGGCCCTGGCAGTGGTGTGCGTCACCACAGTACTGACATAGACATTGTTGAGCTCGTCTTCTCGGTGATCGGAGGGCCAGCCGGCGGGGGTAATCTCGGCGATCTTGTAGGCCGGTTTGGTCTTCGTGGAGGACTGGAGTTTGAGGAGAATGTAGACCGGAGGAGGTACCATTGCTTGCTCTTGGCAGAAGTAGACGGGTGATGAGTTGGCTGTAGGCGAATCCGTGGGGGTACCGTCTACTAAGTCCAGTCCGCGCTGCTGGCAGTTCTGAGAAAGGAGAGTTTCTGGGGACTGCACAGTTTTTTATGCGAAGGCTCGCCGACAGGTTTTCCGCCTTTTGAAAATCCTTAATCGGTGAACAGGCGTCGATTGCTAGTAAATTTCCCCCATTTAACCCTCTAGCCCATGTGAAGACTTCAACGCCTTTACTATGCCATAACCATGCTCCGAGAACCAGCCAGTATTGCACGAAAAATCCGGAACTCCGCAAATATGCAAACACAGCGACTGCATCAAGCACCTGCGGCGAAAAAGCTCAGGAAGCTTCCGGCCGTCAGACCAGCCACGAGGCACAGCGACATGAAGCCTCCAGCAGCCTCGCGCTCGTCCGGGTCCACCCACTCGACGAAGCCCATCATGCAATTGCTCCCAAGATATCCGTTCGAAACGCCGAAAAGAAGCTGCACCACGATGAGGTAGAAGGCATCAGAGCTAATTTTCGCGCCTTTGCCGCCGATATTGCAGAGCAGGTACATGGGAATGAAAACAACTCGGCAGATGGCAAGGATGAAGAGCAGCCGAGGATGCGAGGTCATACTCAGGCCGGGTAGACCTGGAGCGACCCGGCCGATGAGATCTCCGATGTTCCAGAACAGGAAGGCAAGGGGTATGAAAGAGGATGGCCGGAAGAGGCGAGGCGCAGAGGCGGGCTCCCGGACGCTCAGAATCCGTTGAGTGAAGACGGGGAAGATCATTGTGACGGCGAAGGCGAGGAAAACAGCTCCAGCCATCCAGAAGAGCTTCTTCAGTAGTCTCAGCAAGGGAACAGTCTTGCGGCCAGTAGATGCACACCCCGTATCCACTTGGTCTTCATCCAAAGTGTGCTTGATGCGCTCTCGGGAGCTATGCCGCGACAGGAGGTACACGAACGCAACCAGGGCCATTGTAGAGATGACAGTAGCGGTCAGAAAGTAGGCGAAAGCCGAGGTACTGGATTCCTGGGGTGCACCTTTCTTGGTTTCCTTTTCTGGTACCGAGAGAACGGATATGATCTGGGCGACGCACGGCAGGACTCCCGCGATTCCTTGTCCAGTCATGATGCCCTGTGTGTACTCCTCCTGCCCAAAGCCAGACACGTATGCAAAAACGCCATTCTGGCACAAGGCGGTAGCTAAGCTAGCCCCGAAGACTACCAACATCAGAAACGCGAAGTATAGTCCTGCTGAGACGTCCAAAAAGAGGCGGGTTGACATTGCCAGCAGAGTGAAGACCCCAATGTTCAGAGCGAGGGATGCAATGATTCGCTTCGGGTAGGAGGCGCGGGCTTGGAGCTTCGTCAAGATAATCATGGAGCCTAGGTTGCCAACAGTAGACACCGAGAGCTCAGCGGACTGGAAGTTGCGCAGGAGCCGTTCGTCGGATTCGAAGCGCTTCTGGAAGTAGGGGGCCGCAGCTAGAAACATGTTCCTACAATACTGTTAGAGAGTGTACTATAGCTCAAAGACCCTGGCCATACCATGCCCACAGCATAGCAACCCCAAGCATCAGGAAGACGGAGTAGTCGATCCATGAGAACCCCGGCCCGATTCCATGCTCAATCCGCTCTCCATCTGGGCGCTCCGAGCCGCCTTCTAGGGGCTCATAGGATGCCCTTGAGGTCTCCCTCTCGAACACACGCCGTATCCGGTCCATGCTAGTAGATGAGTGGATGAGGTGGAGGTATCGGTGCCACGGATCGGCAACAAGGGAATGAGCGGAAGGGAAGGAGAGGACGTCGTGAGGGACGGCGGCGGAGAATTTAAGCTGGTGATGGACAGGCAGACATCTTTTTGACTCCCCGCAGCGTAGGACGAGTGACTAGACGGCGCAGATGACTGAGTTGTCGCGGACGCCTGAGCACCTGATGTCGCGCTCACTGCCCCGGGCTTGGCATGATTAGTCAGCGCCAGTCTCATCCCCGCGGTTGCCCCGCGAAAAGCTTCGAGCCATCTGCGCGCCGACCGCAACCTCTTCGCTTCGAGAGATACAGACAGATAGCTCTCGTCCACGTCGCCCGTTCTACCCGCTGCTATGGCGCCGAACCCGCCGCAGACACTGTCCGTCAAGCGGAAGCGCACCGAACCCCCGGTCGACTCCATAGTCGTGCAAGAACAGGACAAGAAGCGACTGAAAAGCGAAACGTACGCCTGGCGCCTCGTACAGAAAGCTGGTCCCAAGACAGTTCCTCAGGCGCTCCCGTCTCCTGCGCTCGAGGCACCTCGCTTCCTTCATTATCACTCCACGACCGGCAATCGCGTCATCTTGGAAGCCAAACCTAGAGTTGATAATCAAGGTGTTGGAGCGAGCAAGGAGGGCCAGGTTCCGACACTACCGGAGGTCAAGCAGCCGGAACCAGCCTCGCAAGCGGAAACTCCTCGCCCTCGAAAGCGTCCTGGTGCAGGTTCGGCACTGCACCATACGAGGCGGGCGCCTGCGGAAAAGAAGGTGGAGCAGAATGGCCCTTCAGAAGACGAGGTCCGCCAATTCGAGCAGTTTTCGGAGCAGGTCGAGAACGATGAGCTGAAAGCTTCCAAACCTCCGTCGAGTCCTTTGAAGTACAAACCCAAGGTCCCCGCCCTTCGCTACAAAGACCGGCATCCGGACAAGGCCGCGGCTCTTGGAATACACGACCCGGATGCTATGGATGTGGATGAATACGTGTACGATACCTACGTTCGGGAGATAGTTATGCCCGATGCGGACGGGAAGCTGCCCGAACCCCAGGGTACCGTTGGTTACATCGTTATCAACGAAGAGGACGAGGAATGGTGGAATGGGGACGATGAAAGCGATAGGGAGTTTGACACCGATGATGAAGATGAGAACGCCGAGGACTACTACGCCAACGACTACCCAGAGGATGAGCTCAGCTCCGATGACGAGTATGACCGGAACCTGTATCAGAAGAAATACCGTCATGGATCAGATAATGAAGATTTCAACTTGGACGACGAGGACGATGATGCTGGCGCTCGAAGCGACGAAGATGAAGATGACGAGCACTTTCGTCGCATTGCTCCGCCGTCCAGGCCAGGGTACTGGGGCCGGGTTGGGGAGTGATGAATTGAGCTTTTCGCGAGCGCTCTTGGTTATGTCGTGCCTGATAAATGACGGAGAGGTGCCGCATAGTAGAATATCAAGAGCTACAAGATACCCATTGCACTAGGCGGTTTGCACGAAAATAGGCTCGATAGATCTAGAAATACGGAAATGTCAGGCAACCCAATGGAATCCCTGCAACGGATCTTAGGCCTCCATTTTGGTATTGATTCAACCCTATCACAGCCTCACAAACTACCGGTCGGTACTCAGGAAGGAACCGGGCTGTGAAGGAACCCGCCGCCATGATCAGGTCATAGGCGCACACATACGAAGCTGAAGACTCCAGGATTGGGTTTGCGACTATGAAACTGATTGGCATGAAGAGTGCTCGCTCAGGGATTGTTCTACTCCACTGTAGTGACCAATGCTTCTGCTGACAGAATGGCCCTTAGACACGTGCAACGAAGCTAGTTAAACATGCGATATTTCCACTCCCATGTCACAGATTCCATCAGCCGTCCGAACGACTATTGGGCCACAAGTTGACCCTATCGACTGGACTTTAAGAGCTCGTCTACGACTCTCCCTCTGGCGTCCTCGCCCGGGAGACCCTAGTCAAAAGGCGAACGGTACCACCTCGTCAGAATCCTTGCCCAGTGGGGCTACTCAGAGAGACGAACCGTATGTCGAGTATATCTTCCAATTCATCCCCCTTTCACTCGTCGAATGTCTCCTTGCATAAGTCGTAAAGATATTTAGCGACGCGTAGAAGACTCGTCCGTATTAGTCGCTGCTGTCTGGAGGTCCGTCACTGAATCGACTAAGACCTTTTTGCCACCATGAGGGGCAGCTAATCATATGTTATTGCAATTTAGGAGTAGTTATCAATATGAAGATGAAGTTGGGAAAAACAACGAGAGTTTCACTCAATGAACGCGCTGGGCAGAAGCATACATAGCGTGGGCCGGAGATAACGGATTTAGACCCGACACATGCAAAACTACACCCAGCTGTGGAGACACTTAACTTTTTCCTCTACATCGTACATCAACCAACTCATCCCGACGAGAACCCCGATTTAAAGACTCTCATGGAGCATTTACGCACCGTGATTTACCTCCGGACCTAATGCGTTCCCGCGCAAGCACATGACCTTCAGCAAGCTCGGGATCGAGCGGGGCAGTAAGCGACTTCAGCATTCCAATTCAGTCACCCTTCATTACCTCTCTGGGATGAAAACCGGTCAGAGATCACGATCATCGCCACAATAAGCAAGCTGAATCATCTTCGTCTTCGCATGGCGCACGCTCCAGATGTTCAGCGGCACGCCTTCCAATTCGCGACACCACCTCTCACCACCGTCGTGCAACAAAATCCACCATGACTAGCCGCACAGAACGCCAAACAAGCCTTACCACCCAATAACACTTCGTTTCACTCCTTTCTCGTTTAACATTTCTGCATTGCGCTTATTCTTATGATCGCTCTAATTTTGCAGCCGTGATTCGACGCAGAGTGCTCAACCACGCTTATAGGCCGGTTACAGGATACGATCACTCCATTTCGAGGGCTCGCCTACGTTCGTACTACTGTGGCTTGAGCTGAAGAGATGGATGGTGAATGTGTGCTTCACGCCATGGAAATGAATAGAAAAGGTGGTTCGGAGAGGATGGGTTCCGGCGAGGTGGTCAGCGTATAATATCGGGGCGCATGCAGATCCTCCGCGTTGCATTCTGCGACCTGTTTCCTGGCTAACCAATTGTTACATCTCCATCCTACACCATTCCACAGTATCAATGTTGTACTGTTTCAGATCATAATCGCTGCTTTCACGCCAATCGTAATCGGCGAGCCTCGCACTGGCACCAATGGCACGCTCGCACCGTCCCGCATATGCCGATATTGACGTTGAGTCCGCTTATTCGAGCAGCTCAGTCGATTCCGATGATTCATGGTATACTCGGGATCACCACCTACGTGTACCCGTCAGGGTTCACTATGGACGCCATAACGGCTCTCCGCACCGCAGCCATCACGGTCAAAGGGACCGAGTTAGTGTTGTCTTTCCACCAGCTCCTCCGCCAGTGCCGGTCCCACCAGTGTTTGTGGAGCAGCCACGTGGTCGACCTGTGCAGGGAAGAAGCCAGAGAGCACGTTCAGTCGATCGGTACTATGAACGAGATATCTTCCTAGGCGGTCGCTCGACGGTCCCGAACCTTCACGTCGATATCCACAATCGCAATTCAGACGACCATGATCACTCCCATAGGAGCGAGTACGAGCACGGTGTGGGCTACGGCGCGTGGGGATACCCGCAACCCGCTCCGGCGCCGGTTCTATACGCTCCAGGCTATACCCCTGGCATTAGCCCGGCATATTCCCCCAGCGTCGTGAGTGATACAAGGGCTAGGGTCAATGACAGAATGTCGCTTGACCACGGAGAAGTAATGAATCAGCAAGTCTGGGTTGATGGTAGGCCACAAGATCCGTACGGACGAAGGCATCGGCACCACTACGATGACGGCTTCCTGGACCCTATCAATCTCGAGATCACGAACATTCAGAAGACCGCCGTGGACGACTATGTCCACCAACAACGTCTCGCAGATGATGCCAAGAATTCTGCCGTGCGTCAAGCGAAGCTGGACTGGAAGGATCACGTCGCCGAGATTGATGACGCGCGTGACAAGGGAGTCCGCAAATACAAGGATGATCTGTCGGAAAGGAAGAAAGCAGGCGAAGAAGCAGTGTTCACTTACAAGAAGGACCAGGCGGACAAGAAGGCGGAGCTCGACACCGCGAAGAAGAAGTGGGAAATCGACAAAGCGCAGGAAGAGCAGGAGGAGAAGAACAAGAAGAAGCAGTGGGAGGTGGATCAGGCGAAGAAGAAGCAAGAGAAGGAAGAGGAGGAGAAGAGACTTAAGGACGCGTGGAAGGCAGCCGAAGAGAAGAAAAAGAAAGAAGATAAGGAGAAGGAGGATAAGCTCAAAGCTGAGGTTGAAAAGGAGCTGTTGAAAGCAGGCTTCGGGCCGCGAACAGTGGAAGGCGCACTAGACCCGAAGAAGGCTCCGCCGCGGATCTCTAATGAATGGGCATATGCGGGTGGCTCATACCGCGGATACTCCGCCTTCGAGCCCTGGGAGGAAGGCGGAAGGAGATGGATCAGGGTCCATCGCCGGTACGTGATGCCCGACACACTGAATGTGTACGATCTCCCTTGGGAATGGGATCATGTAAGCGTCGCCTGTAACTCCGCTGACTGTTCGCAGTTGAAGACTAATATTCTTTAGGACGACAGCGATTATCTTATTATTCGGCGTCCGTTTGATGATCCAGGCATCGATCTTCGTATCCTCATCGAGCACACGAGGAAACATTGGTATAGCCGCAAACACGATGTTGCAATTGAAGCACCTAGCTGGGGGAGGAAGAGGTTTGTCCGAACCCATCGTCCACATACCTGGCTCTGAAATAATGCGGACTTCTAGGAGGTAACTTGTGGCTACTTTGAACACAGAAGTCCCAGCGTGGAGTAATTCGGGGTCTGACGCAAATGTTGGGGAGAGCGCTTTCTATTATTCTCCGCCGGGATTGTAATGCCTCTTTTCTTTCCTTTGCTGCGATTTTTCGAGTTAATGCGATTTCACAACTTCCAATGCTATCGCTTTGTAACGTCCGACCTTTTGCACCGTCGCTGGGCCCCACACAGCGTAGCATGAGGTCATGCCACATGTCGAAACTCCAGCTCCTACAATACCACTCCTTATTATGAACCGAAAGAGTAGTATCAAATCCTTCTTTGCCCCGCAATGGGCCAGTGGGGAATCTGGCAGGAGGGTTAGAGACGGAGGAAACACTAGCCTGAGGCCTTCAGGTGGCTAATGATACATCACTCATCTATTTCACAGCCGCCAGGATCTAGTCATTCGTCGCGATTTTGGTCGAATATAAAGCGGCTGTTGAGGCGGCAAAGTGGAGCGAGGGGAAAGACTGACTAACAGGGAGGGCCTGGGGGTGAAGTGCTAGAAGTGCGGCCTTGGGAGTGCGGCCTTGGGAAACATCACCCAGGAGGCCTTCAGTTGGTTGATGCTTCCCACAAATCCTTTCCCTTGAACTTAACAACACAATTCTAGAGCATTAATGACAAGTGTTGGATTGAACACAATCCTCTTGTGGATCATAGAGCGTGACTGGCACCAAGCTAGGATGTTCCATATGCTGTTCTGTGGAATGTGGGAGAACGCCACGATGTAAAGAGATCTAGGAGTCTATTCTCATGGACAATCCGTCCACTGCCTACTAGTAAGGCCAGAATTTCGAGGGTCTCCGGAAGTGGAGGGGTATCCTGGTATCAGCGTACCTAGTGGGACTCATTCCAGGAACCATCCAGGAACCAAAAAGCCGATAAAAGGACGTATCAGCCCGAAGTAGTAAGACAATATATGCGTCTGGCGACTCGATGAGTGGGGCTGATGCTCTGGTAGGGAACCAATAGTCATACAGGTCCTGTAAGGTTGCAAAAGACGGCAAAAAAAAAAAGGACACTCGAGCCCGATGCGGGGGTCGAACCCGCAACCTTGAGATTGCAATCGATCCGTTAAGACGTGAATACTAAGAGTCTCACGCTCTACCGATTGAGCTAACCGGGCTTCTGATGTGTTTGTTGACATTTTTGGAATGTGGAATAGTATATGTACAATTTTGAGAAGGAAGGAGCGACCAGCACAAGAAAAGAGCGACCCATGATGAGGTGCGGGTGATGCGTGAGTCAATTTTTACGTTGTGTGTGCCGTGCCGGCACTGTGCAGCAGGCATCACCGCCTCGGCTCGCGCTACCGAATAGAGACCGCTCGGAGCACATGTCAAGGCCTTCGACAACCGTGGTTCATAGTGATGGGCAAAGAGAACACCATGACCACTCAGGTGGAGTCAGGGGTAGCATCTCAGACATCACTTCCTTTACCCCTGAATTCACGCCCACCATGGAAGGATGGCAGGCATCACGCATTCGCTTGGCGGAGACGGACACCCCAAACTCGATGAGAAACACTGAGACGCACACGCAGCCCTGGAGACGTTGACCCATATTGTAGCGCTTTACTATTTAAAGCAGCATAGCCGCTCGCTCAGTGTAACTCTACAGTGGCTCAAGGCCGTGGAGGAAAGTAAGCCCTAGTACGCATTCCTCGGAAAATCGAGCCAGCTAGAGAATATCTTGCGAGAATAGCACCCCATGCTGTCCAGCGTCTTAGGCGCTTGGCAGTTATGCGGCTGGGTAAGGAACGACGCCGTTGGAGCAGTGTTGAAATATCGCATTTCAATCACGGATAAAAGCGCTATTGACTGTATTAGGAGTCTTGAGACACACGTAGCAGTGGTGGTGTGCAGATAGAGTTCTGGCAGAAGTCGCGAGCTTCAGACTTGGAGCGTGGCTTGGCAGGCGACGTCAGTCGCGGCTCGCATCCATCACCTCCGTATGGCGCCGCGCAGCCAGAGGCAGCAACATACCCACTGTGTAGGTACAAAAATACAGAATTAGCGGCGCTGTGCATCCCCCGCATTCAATCTCTGCAGGCACTTTGATCTCGGATAATTGCCAGAGAAATCGCCAGCTCACGGCGTCGGTGCGCGCTTCCTGTAGCTTTGTCGAGGCGCAGGGCCACCCGCACTGCCCCAAGGGTCCGTCCGTGCCTTCACTCTGCCTCAACCTCCTCAATCCACCAAACCCTCACCAAAGAACCCCAATCGCCGTCGCACATTCCGATCATTTACGCTCGCTGCCGTGCAATCCGACCGTCGCGGACCGCCGACCTCATCCCGCTCGCATCTCGAGACACCGGCCAAGCTGCGGAGGCTGTGCGGCGCATCGAGCAGTATCCCGCGGTTTTCTACATCACCACCACCACTGTCACCGCCGCACCCCCGAGCGCGCAACCAAACACCGCGGAAGAGAAGGAGCTGCACAATTCGGACATTCCGGATGAGGCTGGACGGATAACAGTGTAGTGTGGAGACAAGCGCCCGTATACCGTTAGGCCGCGATGGCCGGTCGGCCTCCTGGTGGACCGCCGAGTGACAATCTAATCGACTTCGACGACAACCAGCCTACATACTACTCCGGCGCGCGTCCGCCAGTAAACGACGAAGATCTCCTCCATCGCTATGACATAGATAATACGGACACACCGCAAGGTCGGCCCTCGGTATCATACGATGAGTTCGTGGGAGGGGCCAGGCCGACAGCAGGCCTTCCGGGAGGGCCTGGGGCGCCGCCTGCCGGGCAGACGCCGTATTCGGCGGGCGGAGCGAGGTTATATTCGCAAACATCAGATTTGAACAACTACCAGAGGTACTCTGATGCTGAGATACCCGTGGACGATGACCACTCCATGCAGGGATACTATGCATCTGGTGGGGGCTACGATACTCCCGCGGGGATGCGGCGCACGACCTCCAAGAAGGCGAACAGGAATAGTATTCTGAGCCTGGGTGGGGGTCTCACCGGCCGCGTTAAGAACATGTTCGGGAGAGGGCCGGAGTACTCGGAAATGGATCTGCCTTTGACAGAGCATGCCGCGCAGCAAGGTCGGACGGAGAGTGGCGGTTTCGATGAATCAAAGCAGGCCCCAAAGAAACGCCGTTCCGGGACATTCAAATTTGGGTTCGGGCGAGGAGCGCCAGATCCATCAACCCTAGGTCCCAGGATAATACACCTCAATAACCCGCCCGCGAACGCTGCGAACAAGTACGTCGACAACCACATCTCCACCACCAAATACAACGTCGTCACCTTCCTCCCGAAGTTTCTGTACGAACAGTTCTCAAAATACGCCAATCTCTTCTTTTTATTCACCGCTATTCTTCAACAGATTCCCGGCATTTCTCCCACGAAGCGATATACTACTATTGTTCCACTCGGCGTCGTCCTGTTCGTCTCTGCTGTCAAGGAATATGTCGAGGACCACAGGCGCAAACAATCAGATTCGACATTGAACAATTCCAAGGCGCAGGTGTTGAAGGGGTCCTCTTTCCAGGAATCTAAATGGATCAATGTCGCCGTAGGAGACATTGTTCGCGTGGAGTCGGAGCAGCCATTTCCTGCTGATCTTGTGCTGCTCGCCTCTTCAGAACCCGAAGGTCTCTGTTATATCGAAACCGCAAATCTAGACGGCGAGACCAACTTGAAGATCAAGCAAGCAATTCCAGAAACTGCGGACTTTGTCAGCCCAGCCGAACTCGCCCGTCTTGGAGGCAAACTCAAATCAGAACAGCCCAACAGCAGTTTGTACACCTACGAAGCGACATTGACGATTGCAGCCGGAGGAGGAGAAAAGGAATTACCTTTAGCGCCAGATCAGCTACTCTTGCGTGGAGCGACCCTCAGAAATACTCCATGGATCCACGGCGTCGTAGTGTTTACCGGTCATGAAACGAAGCTTATGCGAAACGCCACAGCTACGCCTATCAAGACCACCAACGTCGAAAAGATGGTGAACAGGCAGATTCTCATGCTTGTGGCCATTCTGATTGCGCTTAGCATCATTAGCTCCGTCGGCGACGTTATCGTCAGGACAACAAGAGGTGGGAACCTTGGCTATCTCGAATACGACACTTTCAACGGCGCGAAGCAGTTCTTCTCGGACCTGCTGACTTATTGGGTCCTCTACTCCAACTTGGTTCCCATCTCTCTGTTCGTCACGATCGAAATCGTGAAATACTATACCGGTAGTCTGATCGATGCTGATCTCGACATCTACTACGAGCCGACGGATACACCTGCCAACTGCCGTACTTCTTCGTTGGTTGAGGAGTTGGGCCAGATTGAATACATCTTCTCTGACAAGACCGGCACTTTAACGCAGAACATGATGGAGTTCAGGCAGTCCTCGATCGCAGGCATTCAGTACGCAGACGAGGTTCCCGAAGACAGACGAGCTACCTTCGAAGATGGTGTTGAGGTCGGCATCCACGACTTTGCCAAGCTAGAAGAGAATCGCAAGACCCACAGAAACAGGGACATAATCAACCACTTCCTGACTCTGCTCTCGACATGTCATACAGTCATTCCAGAAAGAGGTGGTGAGAAAGACACAATCAAGTATCAAGCAGCTTCACCCGACGAAGGCGCCTTGGTCGAAGGCGCTGTCACATTAGGGTACAAATTCCTCGCGCGAAAACCGCGATCTGTCACAATCGTCGTGGACGGCCGAGAACTGGAGTATGAGCTACTTGCCGTCTGCGAGTTCAACTCCACAAGGAAAAGGATGTCTACCATCTTCCGCACACCAGAGGGCAAGATCATATGTTATTGCAAAGGGGCAGATACTGTCATCCTTGAGCGACTTGCTAAAGACAACCCTTACGTGGAGGTCACCCTGACACACCTTGAAGAGTATGCCGCTGACGGTCTCCGCACACTTTGCCTGGCAATGCGCGAGATTCCTGAGAATGAATTTCAGGAATGGCACAGGATCTTCAATACCGCGCAGACCACCGTTAGCGGCAACCGTGCCGAGGAGCTTGACAAGGCTGCCGAGCTCATTGAACATGACTTCACTCTTCTCGGTGCAACCGCTATCGAAGACAAGCTTCAGGATGGGGTACCAGATACCATCGCAACGCTGCAAAGCGCAGGGATCAAGATCTGGGTGCTCACAGGCGATCGTCAAGAGACCGCTATCAATATCGGCATGAGCTGCAAGTTGATCAGCGAAGACATGAGCCTGCTCATCATAAACGAGGAGTCAAAGGAGGCCACAAGAGACAATATTCAGAAGAAGCTAAACGCCATCAACAGCCAGAGTCAGGGAGGAGCCGAGATGGACGTGCTTGCCCTTGTCATTGACGGCAAGTCACTCACCTACGCTTTGGAGCGCGACCTGGAGAAATTGTTCTTGGACCTCGCCGTCAAATGCAAGGCTGTCATCTGCTGTCGCGTGTCCCCGTTACAGAAAGCTCTGGTCGTCAAATTGGTCAAGCGTCATCTCAAAGCGATTCTTCTCGCGATCGGCGACGGCGCGAATGATGTCTCCATGATCCAGGCGGCGCACGTCGGAGTTGGTATAAGCGGTGTCGAAGGCCTCCAGGCCGCTCGAAGCGCAGATATCGCCATCGGTCAATTTCGCTACCTTCGCAAGCTCCTCTTGGTTCACGGCGCCTGGAGCTTTCAGCGGGTCAGCAAGGTTATCTTGTATTCCTTCTACAAGAACATTGCGCTGTTCATGACACAGTTTTGGTATTCTTTCCAGAACGCTTTCTCTGGGCAGATCATCTACGAGTCCTGGACGCTTACATTCTACAACGTCTTCTTCACGGCTGCTCCTCCCTTCGTCTTAGGTATCTTCGATCAGTTCGTCAGCGCTCGTCTCCTAGATCGCTATCCACAGCTCTACCGTCTCAGCCAGACGGGGGTTTTCTTCAGGATGCATTCTTTCTGGTCCTGGGTCGCAAACGGCTTCTATCACTCCCTTATCCTATATTTTGCCTCGCAAGCCTTCATACTCTGGGACTGGCCTCAGTGGGACGGTCAGAATGCCGGTCACTGGGTCTGGGGCACCTCGCTCTACACTGCGGCACTCGCAACGGTGCTGCTTAAGGCAGCGCTCATCACCAACATCTGGACCAAGTACACGGTCCTCGCAATCCCAGGGTCTATGGCCATTTGGTTCATACTTATACCCATCTACGCCACCGTTGCGCCCAAGCTCAACATTTCAACGGAATATATTGGCGTTATCCAGCGCATGTTCCCAGACCCAAGGTTCTGGGCGATGCTCTGCGTTCTGCCTCCACTATGCTTGATGAGAGACTTCGCCTGGAAGTACGCTAAGCGCATGTACTTCCCGCAGAGCTACCATCATGTGCAGGAGATTCAGAAATACAATATCCAAGACTACAGACCTCGGTATGTCCCCCCAAGCTTCCAGCTCCAGTTCTTTCGAGAGTTAACCATCGGAACAGCATGGAACAGTTCCAGAAAGCCATCCGCAAAGTGCGGCAAGTACAACGCATGCGCAAGCAGCGCGGCTACGCGTTTTCACAGACAGACGAGTCGCAAGCACGCGTTCTGCAAGCATACGACACGACACAGGTGAGAGATCGCTACGGCCACATGGCGAGTTCGAGGCGGTAGAAACGGGTGTAATGCGCATTCCACTCATATTGGGACTTTTCTCTCTTCGGCGTATTTTCATCCGCGGGAAAGGAACAGGGAATTGGAGTTTAAATTTTTGTCTGTGTTCTTGTACGGATGACACAATATTCATGGCGTAGCTCAAAATGGGCAGATGAACTGGTTTGGCAATGTATTTCTTGTAACAGGCATTAACATGGACATGTTCTACCTTTAAAATCGAGCGACATGCACTGACCGTATTCGTCCGAGGGCCCAAGTTTCCGGTCGGCGTCGGGCTTCCTGCTTACAAAGACTACTCCGAGTGCAGAATTGCCTTCTCGGCCCCCAAAGGCGAGCCGCCGCTACTGACAAACGCGCACCGCCGGCGCGGCGTCTTCAAGCTTGTGACTCAGCAACAATTTGCTTAACTCATCCCGAAGACTCAAGATAAGGCCTATGTCCGCGACGTATCCTCCGGTACCAACCCTACGCTAGCCCATTTTAACAAGGCTGCGCTGGTGGCGCTGGAGCCTATGCTTATACAAGGGTCGGCGTTTCGGTAGAATGGTCGATGGAGTGAATGTGCCTGCGTATGTTGGTATGTAGGAGCGGCAGCTATGGTACCGAGGAAGAGATATATAAAGGTGAGCCCGATGGGCAGCTTGGAAGGACAGAACAATCGCAGCCTTCCGTCCGGACAACCTACAATCAACATATCCCATCTATCTCTTAACTCCCATACGCAAACAAGATGTCCACCAAGACCATTGCTATCGTCGGTATCACGGGCAACCAGGTACGTTCTCTCCCCGCTCCCTCCATCGCCACAGAAGACTAACCAGCATCAGGGCTCCTCCGTCGCCAACGTCTTCCTTAACGAGCCCGGCTGGCACGTCCGTGGCATAACCCGTGATCCCAGCAAACCGTCATCCAAGACATGGACCGACAAAGGCGTCGAGCTCGTAGCCGGCGACCTCGACGACCTCTCAACTCTTAGGGCCGCATTCGCCAACGCCGACGTCATCTTCGGCGTAACCGACTTCTGGCAGCACATGAAAGATCCCGCCGTCCACAAACTGGCCGCTGAACGCAACATCACACCCAACGAAATCGCGTATGAGCGCGAAGTCGCTCAAGGCCGCAGCATCGTCGACGCCGCTGCTGCTAATGTTGAGACGATTGAACGGTTTGTACTGAGCACGGTCAATTCGAGCAAGGAGTGGAGCAAAGGGAAGATTACGTTTAATTTGCATTTTGATGCGAAGTGGGTAGCGGTTGAGTATTGTAGGGAGAAGTATCCGGAGCTGTGGAAGAAGACGAGTTTGCTGCAGCTGGGTGTGTTTGCGAGTAACTGGAAGCAAGGCATGGTGCCGAAGAAGCAGGATGATGGGACGTATAAGTTGAGTGTGCCGATGGGGGCGGATAGGAAGTTGCCGATGGTGGATCCGAATGAGGATACAGGTGGGTGCCCTTTCGCTTCTCTCCCGTATCCTGGTCACTAACACGACATCCAGGACACTTCGTCAAGGCACTCGTCGCGCTCCCCCCAGGCAAGAACCTCATGGGCGCCGGCTCCTACCTCACGTGGAACGAGTGGCTTGCCATGTGGTCGCGCCACAACAACGTGACTGCCACCTTCGAACGCCAGGATCCCAAGGAGCTGGAGCAGTATATGGGCACTGCCGGGCGCGAGCTCGCGGATATGTGGCAGTATATTGATGAGTTTGGGTATGATGGCGCCGATCCGAGTGTAGTTTATCCGTGGGATTTGGGCGTTGATGTGAAGTATACGACGATGGAGGAGTATATTAAGAGGCAGGATTGGAGCGAAGCGTTGTAGAGGTAAAAGAGGGGATGTTTTTGGAGTTCATAGCGGAGAGGTTGTAATGGAATGATCAAGTGGATGCATTTGCGCACACTTCTTGGACGAGCAGGCCGACCCTGACGCTAGAAGACAGTGAGGTTCTAATTCCAACTTAATTGAAGGGTAGACACTCAAACGCTATTCTCATGCAGAGAGGGATACGCATGTTGGTTTATCAGGAAGCTTACGTACACCTGCCATAAGGCAGGGCTGTGGAGAGGGAAACGGATACCGGTTCTAGCTTAGCGGATGCAAGCAACGGAAAGCGGGACGTGAATGCATGCAGCACGAATACTGCGCAGGACGACGAAAACCGAGATGAAGTCAAATCAACGTTGCCCCTGCACCATGGCCTCGAGGCTGGGTTGAGGTTTGGGGCATGGGGCATGGGTCGTTCCGAATCCGGTTAGCGGGAATCGTGAAATTCAACACTGGAGAACGAGCAGCCCTCTTCGTCCCCTTCCCACAACCACACCTGCTGTGTCCCATCACACATCGCTATAAGACTCGCCCCTTTCCCAGCCCCTTGTGCGATAAAGAGCAGCTTCTTCACAGCCAGAGCATCGAAGAGACTTTCGCGCACAGCCTCAAAAGCCCCCAGCGACAGAAGCCATTGCGACAAGAGCCTGCAGCACGTTCCTAAGCGCCAACGCCCTCTGCAATCCATGCTGCAACGACAGTGCCGGAGTCACGCCATCCATCTGTGTCCTCAATGGATATGATCGCCGTTTCTCTTTCAGCCTGGCCATTCGGAGGCGGTAAGGCAGGGCGCGATGCAGACGTGGCGTGCGAACCTGCGTCCTCCATCCTCGTATCGGAAGTTCGACACTCTTCTAGGCCAGCCGCCGACTTCCCGACTGCCTCGCCCTCGAGCCTGTCACCAAGCAATCGCACAGCCATGTGGTCACCGGGAGATTTTCGCCCAAAGCGGCATCTCAACTCCCGGACGGTGAACGACCGGCCGAACCACTGGCGGGGTAGCGTGGGAAGCGCCGCGACACGCGCCAAATATCAATCCGAGTCCGCTGCCTTCTACCATCGATGCATAGGCGCCGAACTGTCCAATTTCATATCGCAGAGTGGAGTGGGCGGCAAACGGACTGGACTCGCATACCAACTTCGGTAAGCTCCCACCTTGGATGTGGCTGGAGGGCTTAGCGGGGGATCACATCTCGGGATCCTGATAGCCCCCTCCACGCGAGCGATGCCGTGCTTGCGTTGGCTGCTTTCCAATCATCCTGGTACGTGTATTCTCGAACGGGGCCTTGGAATTGGGCGTGTGGCCGACCGTCTCTTCAATTTTCCCGTTCGGGCGTTCGCTCTGCCGCCGCGCCTTCGATTCCTATCTACTTCGTCACCGCGCGCCCCGCTCTTGCTTCTTGATAAGACTTCACTGCCCGTTATCCACGCGAATATCGCAAATATCAGCCGACTTTTCCATGGGAGGTCTTCTTTCCGTTTTGATATAAGGATCCGAGCTTTTTCGTTAGCATAGCCGGTCGCTTCACCGTACCTCTCGCTAACTATCTCCCCTCCTGCTGTGCAACTTGTCGAGCCCGCGCCCACGCCTCCCTCGGTAGAGCATCCGCTTTCCCACCTTTCTACCATTCTACTGCCTCTATTCTTCTGCTCTTTCTTCACCTGGACACCTCCTCTGCCTCCTCTGTCAGAATGCTCAACATACTATTGCTGCTGCTTGGTGCAGCCTTTGTGGCTAGCTCAGCCTTTCTATTTCTGTTCAAGCAAGGAAGACGCGATGTGATCTTGCATCGAATCCATATCCGACGTCGGCGGGCGTCGGGCTCGAACACCCCTCCTCGATCTCTATCGCCGGGAAAGAAGCAGCCGGAGGATATACCAACACCCGACTACTCGGATGCGTTTCCCCCATCACGCCGATTCACTCTCGCCGAGATTCCTGGCCTAGCATCGAAACTGGACAAGACCAAAGAGAAATTGGTTGCTCCGCCTGAGAAGAAAGAATGTGTACCCTTCACCACCGAAATCCGCGATGCGAAGGACACAATGTTCGTCCCGTGCGACTTCTCAGTAGCCGAGATCAAGGCCCTAGGAGACTTCCCGGATTATGCGATCCTAAGCGGCGTGCCTCTTCCCCAACCATACCCTGAATTTGACATCAAGAAAGCGAAGCCAAGGCCTTACAGGCCATTCCGATGGGCATACCACCAGACCATGTGTAAGTGAGTGCGAGGAAGTATTTTAATTAAGGGTTAATGTGCGACCAGCTCTCACGAAACTGGAGCCCGATTGGTGGCTTGAACTCGAGGACACGTACGAGCAACGCATCAAGCAGCGACAGGATCTATTCGCAAAGCACGGCAAGGCGGTCTTAGATGCGCTCCCCGGCTCAGAACTCGCTTGCAAGGAGTTGATGGAAATGGCTCTGCAATTCCTATGCGCACGTTACCCGCAATATTTCCGCCTCGACAAGGAGAAAATGGTATTCTACAACGGCATACTGAACACCGAATCCGATCTCAAGAACACGCCTCCCCTCCACGTCCTCCTGAACAACGTTCCTGAAGACTTTGCCATCACATTGCGAGATCCGGAGACTGGATACTATTCTTTCCGAGCGGGTATGATCTGCAGTGCGCTGGGCTGGAATGTCGCAACTAAGATTGGACTCAACCTTGCTGAGATCCACAAGCCGATACCTGATTATAAGGAGAAGATGCAGTTCTCGATGGACAGGTAGGTGTCACAGTGCTTAGAGAAGAGCTGCACAGGAGGTGCTAATTTTCGGGGCAGATATTTCACGAAGAAACCCACGGACAAAGCTATCCAGCGCGGATCCTGGGGCCTGGAAGTCGATCAGCCGCTCTATATGCCGCCCGGTGATCCCCATGAGAAGTACCGCGATGTTCAGATGGCCGATCTCGTGCTTTCGCGTTGCAACCTACGCGTTGACTGGCAGACCCTGCGGCGTCTCCCGCTCTCAGCCGCTATTGTGTTCAACTTCAAGGCGCTATTCACCCCGGTGGAGGCTTTCCGTGACGAGCCGTATATTCCTGCGCTGATCCTGAAGATTCTGAACGAGGGAAAGAAGAACTTGATGGAATACAAGAATACCTGGCATACAGAGCATGTTGTCAAGCCGGCGCTAGAGCAGTATGCGAGAGAACAGGTGGAGAAGGGGTGGGTGCCAAAGGATTGGGAACCGCATACGCTGGATGATAGTCCGTATTTCCCCGGGTGGGAAGAGAAGTGGCATCGTGAGCAAGGGTTCTGAGAGCCCATAAAATGATCGGGACACTATACTACTGGAGGTACACTTTCCTTTGCACATGTGTACGGCGCCAGAGGCTTTCATTTTTCATGCCATTTCGAGCAGCAGCATCAAATGGAGGGAAGCATGAAGCAGTCATCACCCAAAACATGCATGTTATGACATAGTACGATACCAACCTTATTTCAACTACAAGATTCGACTCTTTTCTCACTCGCTTTTGTGTTCGGTTAGGAGGCTCGACTCGCTCTCGTCGACTCGGCCAATGACATCAACCCCCAATGTAGGTTAGCGCTGACGCCACAACCTTCTTTCCCCACACTTTGGAGAAGCTCAGCCCCGGTTATCCGCCACATCCCACAGAGAGCTTTCCTCCCCTCGCGAAAAGACACGAACGTATGCTACCAACGATGATAAACTAGATGATTTGAAGCGTCTCAACCCATCAGCTTGCAAGAGGAGTCGGCTCTCTAGGAGACGGGGAAGCACCGGGGAGTGACTGCGTGGCAGCTACACTAGCAACGCCTATCCGTAGACCATGCCGAGGAGCTAAATAGCTCGTGCGACGGTCCATCGGGTATGAGGGGAGGGGTCGCAGCTCGGTTGAGCTCGACGGAAAGGTTCCGCTCGTCGCTGGTCTGACTATGGTCCTCAAATAACTACTTTGCGCACGATGCACTCCCACCCGGAACCCCGAGGCTTGCACGCCTTCCGTTGCGGAAGCTTACCTCCAGCTTCCCTGCTCCGTCTCTTTCATCCTCTTCTTGCTCTGCCCTCTGTGCTCTGTGCATTGTTCTCCCCCACCGTGCTTCTGGCCTCGTATACGTTAAAGACGGCCCGGAAAGATGGGCGGAACGCAGCCGTGGCCGCAGGTTCCTGTGGGGAATAAGGATCATACGCAGGCGGCTGTCGTCATCATTGGGGCGGGGATCTCTGGTATGTGGATTTTGGGGTTTCGAACTTTGTCTTTCTTGGGGGAGAAGGAAGGTTTTTAAGCTGATGTGATGTGGTTTAGGGATTTGTATGGCTATTGATCTCGTCAAGCGGAACCAATGCCACAACTTTATCATTGTGGAGAAGAGCTCTGGTGTGGGCGGGACGTGGTAGTAAGTTTCTTTCCACCATGAGGGTCGGCAGCGGGTGAGAGAAGAGATACTAACGGCAGGTAGTGATAACAAATACCCTGGCTGCTGCTGCGATGGTAGGTTCAGAAACCCTGGGGCCATCGGAAATCCACTGAGCTGATACATTGCAGTATGGAGCATGCTCTACTCCTACTCCTTCGAGCAAAACCCCGACTGGACGCGCGAATACCCTGGCCAGGAAGAAATCCTTGTACGTTCTCCTCTTCCCTCTTCCCTCCTCCCTTTACCTCCTGGCTAACCCCCTCTGCTAGGACTACCTTCGCAATGTAGCCCACAAATACCACCTTTACAAATACATCCGCTTCAACACGTCGGTCGACGCTGCAACATGGGACGCCTCCTCCTCGCGCTGGAAAGTCGATGTCAGTGTCACGGGCGGCAAGGACGCTGAGTCCAGCCCCGGCTATACGATTGAGTGCGATTTTTTGGTCAGTGCGGTGGGCCAGTTGAATCAGCCCATGTACCCGGATATCGAGGGGTTAGAGCGGTTTCGAGGGAAGGTTATGCACAGTGCTCGGTGGGATTGGAGTTACAGCATTGAGGGGAAGAAGGTTGGGGTTATTGGGAATGGCATGTCTCCTCCACCTACGGCTCCACCATCCTCTTAAACTAAATACTGACTTGGGACAATCCAGGCGCCACCGCCGCCCAAATCATCCCCGAGATCCTCCCCTCCACCAAAGACCTAGTAATCTACCAACGCACCCCCAACTGGATCATCCCCCGCGGCGACGGCCCCGTCTCCTCCCTCCGCCGCTTCCTCTACCGCTACCTACCACCCCTCCGATGGCGCGTGCGCGCCCAGCAAATGGACTACCGCGAGTCTTTCTACTCCGCCGTCACCGCGCCCGAGTCGCCCTTCGCCGACCAAATCCGCGAATGGTGCCAGGACACGATGAAAGCGCAAATCCCCAACCGTCCGGACCTGTGGGAGAAACTGGTCCCGGACTACGCGCCTGGCTGCAAGAGAGTGATTATCACGGACGACTACTACCCCGCTGTCGCCGACCCGAAGACCACGCTCGAAACGAACAAGATTGTCCGCATCACTGAGACGGGCGTCGAGGTCGAGGATGGCCACGGCGGCACCGTGCACCACGAGCATGATTTCCTTGTCCTGGCGACGGGCTTCCGCACCGTGGAGTTCCTCTTCCCGATCAAGATCACCGGCGCAGACGGCCAGGCGCTCTCGGATATCTGGGCTGGAGGCGCCTCGGCGCTGTACGGCACTACCGTGCCCTCGCTCCCGAATTTCGGCATGTTCTACGGGCCGAACACGAACCTGGGGCATAATTCGATTGTGCTGATGATCGAAGCGCAGAGCAGGTATTTGAACGAATTGGTGCGTGCGGTGCTAGATGCGCGGCACAGAGGGGAACGAATCGGCATCATGCCGAAGCAAAGTAAGACGGATGTCTTCAACGAGAAGATCCAGGCCATCCTTTCGAAATCCTCCTTCGCGGACCCGAAGTGCGGAAGCTGGTATAAGACGAAGGACGGGAAGATTACGCAGAACTGGAGCGGGACTGTGGTGGAATATCAGGAGGTGTTGAGTAAGGTTGACTGGGAGGATTTTGAGGTCACGGGTGGGAACCGTAGTGGGCAGAGTGCGAGCAAAGTGGTGTTTGGGGATGGGAAAAAGAAGACGCGGATTGGGCGGGTGAAGGAAGAGACGAGCGTGAGTAATTTGGGGTTGCTGGCGGGGGCTGTGAGTGTGGCTGCTGTGGGGGCGGCGTGGGTGTGGAGGGGGAAGTTGCCTAGGAGGCTGGGCTTGGGTTCGTCATAGGTGCGGAGTCTGAATGGTGTTGTTTGGTAAGGTAGTTACATGTATGTATGTTTGACTGAGGTATCTTGATTCGTTTCATGCTTGAGACTTCGTGGCTGCTTCCTAGTCATAGGCATTGCGTATCCTCGTGGCTGTCGTAAACGTTCGTGTATAGCAGACGTATATCCCGTTACTGCTGAGCATCGTTGGTCTGTCCATGCGCGCCTGGCGCAGCGTTGCCCCCTCCCTCGGATTCTTCATCTCTCTCATACCGGAATACCTGCACATTCCCCCACCGCACCCTCTTCCGCACTGGTATCAGTCTGACGGCCCGCATCCTGACCCACGCGTCTCTCATCTGCGCATTGGTTAACCCGGGCACGGGAGCCCTACATTTCGTCCTCACCTCGGCGTGCTCGAGTTCGTAAAGGGAGGGCTCGGAAGGACGCCATCGTGGGGGAACCGTTTGTGGAAAAGGATGAGAGGGAGAAGGAGCCGCAGACCTGTGCCGCTGTGGAGGCGGTGAGGATGGTGGTGAGGACGGAGGCGTAGGCTCATCATCATAATACGAGTCATCGGAATCGTCGTCGTCGTCTGCGTTCTCTGCAGCGCAGCGCTGGCGGTATCGGAAATGGCGTGGATGCGTATCGAGGAGGTGATTCAGTGCGAGGAGGAAGAGGATGGCGTACTGGTAGGCTATTGCCGAGGAAGAGGTAGCTTTGATGTTGAGTTTCGACGAACGGGCCATGGAACCTGCAGTAGCGGCTGCTCGTTGTCGTCTGGTTGAAGGCAAGGTCACAGGCTGGCTTCGACGTTTGTGCGTGATGATAAAGTGTGACAGTTGTGGCTTCGTGTGCGGTGCTTGTCAAGGCTTGTTGAGAACTCCCTGAAGGAGGGGTATTGAGGTTGGCTGTGGGTCATTGTGTGACGATAAGGTTGGTTGGTATGAGCGCTGCCCGATGTTGGTGCTGTGCCCAAGTTCGTCTGATGTCGTGAAGTCCATGTTTTCGTGAATTGCTATGTAGTGTGTTTGGGAGTCTTCGAAGTAGGAGTGTCCAGCAAACCATGCTTTCCACGTGAGACTGATATCCAACCGCATGATGGAGTTCTGATGCAGGAAAAACTGTGGGATTTAAGGGGTTGGCCCTAGCCTCGTCGACTTCCCTCTTCGAACCGAGTGGGCCATCCTACGAAGCCTAAACACACCCTCTGGCCTAGACATCTCAAACAGGAGGAATGCAGCTGATAACCCGAAAGCGGTCTACATATCTGTGGATCCGCATGGGATCCCTCGTCCCAAAGAGATCAATCTCCGGATGTAGGTGCTCGGAGCACTATGGGGTCACTGTCTGGTGCCTGGGCAGATGGCTAAGAGTCTCCAAAGCCTATCCCCTCGTGTTCTCTGACCGCATGCGTGTTCCCTCCAGGCTGTTAGCAGGGGGGTGTACACTACGCTGGGAAGGTGCTATCGAGTGCCATCAGCTTAGTGAGGCCGCCAGGCCAAAGGGTCTGTCCGCCCGTATCTGACTGTTACACAGCATAACCCCCAGGCAGCAGGTAAATGATAGAAGCGTGAGCCACTGCTCTGTTCCTGTGGCTGATGGTTGTTGAAATGGTTAGCAATATATCTTGGTCGGAGATCAATGAAGCGAAGACGAAGGCAATTTGGCCCTTGACCGCGGACCCGGCTGGCGTCTTTATCCAAACAGGCCAAGCGTCAAGGAAAATGGGCGTAAAGAAGAAACAGAGCAAGAAGGATGTTTGAACGGTGGTCGAAGCTGCCAGCGATAGAGTGACGGTTATGAGGGATGACGAGGCACCGTTTGCGTTCTGTTTCACGTTCCACGGCGTGTGGTGGGGCACCGCACCGCTAACCGCTGGTGTTGTGGGGGGAAGCAATCAGGGACAGGGCATATTTTTGGCATCGGAGAGTTTGTTGATGACTCCCGCACGCAATTGATGAAATATTGAAAAAGCAATAGCGGCCAGACGGCCTTGGAAGACCGGGATCGCACCAGGGCGTTTGCAGTAAAGAGCAGCGCGGTGTGCTCCGCGCTGTGGGATGAGGCATTGCTCTTCGCGCCGCTAGCGACAGTGGCTTCAGGAGTGGCAGCTTTCGAGGCCCGGAAGGCGGGGGAGACAGCTGCAGACCGACGCAGCCAAGGCGGTTGCTGCACGCGACTGCAGCTGGGAGAATTGCGACGAGGAATCGCGATGCGTCGCGCTGCCACTCGCTCGCGAAATCGATGACGATGGGCCCGGTGGTCGCAGGGCTGGCTGCGCATCTGGGCAGATGATGGGCAGCGCGCAGGAGCGGTGGATGGTGATTGCTGGAGCGCAGAGTGGTGGCGCCGTCCATCAGCAGACTGCTGGTCAACAGCTTCATCGCGCCGTGGGCCGCCTGTCCAGCCTCCAGCCGTGGGCGCGCGTGATTGGCCCGCGCGGTTTGGGTGCCCGAAACAGGCCCCCGGTGCCCATCAATCCAGGCCCCCTGCTCGCCGCCTGGTCCCTGTCCGCTCAAGCAGCCGTCTGAAACGAAGCACCTCCTGGCAGGCCGACGGAGCCAGGAGCCTTGAACCACTATTTCTTTTCTCACGCCCGCACTCTCGACCGCCCCAGCGACAGACGTCCCGCACGACCGCGCGCATATTCCTTACCACGGTAGCATTATACCTGTCGTCGGCTAGCATTCCTGTCAGAGACATGAAATAGCCCCCTCGCGTCTGTCTCCCGTTCCGCCAACCTTCCCTCCCGCGTCGCCGGGGAGCTTGAGCTGCCGTTGTACCACTTCTCCCACGCTTCGCCCTCTCCGTGTTGCAACGACAACGCGCACACCGCAGCAGCGCTACACCGGTTGCCTACCATGAAGAGAAAGTTTTCCTTCAATCTCGCGCCCGTGGTAAGTGCTCAATGGCCCTGCACTCGCCCACTGTTCCAGCACCCACTTCAATTGGTACCTAGGTGCTCTAGCTTACCCTTCCACAGAAGGTACCTCCGAAATCCGACGCGCATGCCAAACAGACGCCGGAGCCGACTCCAAAGCATTCCTCCTCGCACCGCAGACACCGCTCAAAAAGCAGCAGCATATCTACCCTGGACTCGCCCTACATAAACCGCCGGCTCCTCGACCCAAAGACTAACCAGGAGCTGCGTGCAGCATGCGCCCTCATCCTCCAGAACTTCAAGCCCTCCGATCATGACTTCGCCGACACCGATCCGAAGCTGGATTTCAACGGACCAGCCAGGCGGAGCGAACAGAGACCCCAGGTGCAGGTGCGCGCACCCACAGGCGCGCCAATCGAGGCGAGGAACGTGCACGATGCAAGGAGACACCATCACAGCCACAAGAGCGATCGCACTGATGCCACGGCGAAAACCTACCCTGACCTGCCCATGCAAGCAAATACGGGCAGGCGAAGAGCGGAGCACGCTGCGGACAAAGAGGCGGAACGAAGGAGACACGTCAAGTCTGCCACAGCGGAAGCTCCCAGAACAGCAACGATGCGCACCGAAACGACAGACTCTGACGATGCAAAAAGCATCGGAACGCCACTGTCTGCTTCAACCGATGCCCATCTGAACAATGGCTCAACTGCACCTACCTCCGCCGCCTTTACGTCATCGAGGAGCTCAAAGCGGACCTCTCGTCATTTTGAGAGTGCAGCCGCAGTCGCTGATGCTCAAGCTGCAGAGTGGATGCGTCAAGAGTTGGAGAAACGACGGCAACAGCTCGCTTCGCAACCCCAATCGGCATCGCAGGAAGCACACCGGCCGCCCAGTCGCGCAAGCAGCATCAAAGCTGGTATCAGAGAATACATCTTCCCTGCATCAGCCGCCTTGAGCCGGAGTCAGTCCCGTGAATCCCTACGCACCATGAACAGCCAATCATCGCAGGGTCAGCCAAAGCGCAGCGGCTCGTCTCACGGATGGAGAAGCTGGGGCTTGCAGCGCAAGTCGAGCTCCCGAAGTAACAGCAGACCAGTCACGTCCAATGGACATCTGGAGCGTCCGGAGCAGGAGAAGAAACCGGAACTGAACCTAAACAGAGAGCTGCCTCCACTTCCTAGTCTGGACACATGGAAGGACTCTGAACAACAGAGGAAAGAGCAACGCAAATCGCAAATACAGAGTGCCCACATCGCGACAGTGATGCGCTCTCAAGACAAGCAGCAGCAAGAGTACGCAGCAGCAGTCCGGCGGCACCATCGAAGAAGCGGATCCGACTCCTTAGCTGTGCGCTACGCAAATGCTCATCCGCAAGTTTCAGCCAGCGCTACACCCCGACCGGTATCAATGCAGAAGCGAACTGCTCCACACCTGGAGTCTTCCATGGACTTTGATCAAATGATGTCCGCCATGTCATCAACCCGTCACCTCGATGACCACCTCAAGTTCAGCATGAACGGTGGCCACGCACCGCAGCAGAGTGCGAGCGCCCTCTCCCGCTCTCCAAGCATCAAATTGAGCAGCGATGGCCGCTTGCAAGCACCCAATTTCTCGCGCAAGATCAGCACGGATGTAGCCCCCGCTTCGCGAGGCCGTGAGCACGCATACTCGAATGTGGTCCAGCTCCCGCCCAACACGCGAAAAGAAGAGCAGAAGTCGAAGCTGCGGAGAGTCCTCAGCGGGTGGATGCTCAAGAAAGAGCGCAAAGATGGCTGGATGCAGAGGATTGAGAAGGAGGGTGTCAAGGGTGGCGTTATGATTCAGGACGAAGCTGCGCTTCCTCCTGTCGTCCGATACTGAGTCTATTTTTCCTTTGTTGTTCCATTCCTGGATCTTCCCCAGAATGTCCGCATTCGCCACGCACACACGTTTTCTAACGGCCTAGTCGCGCCTTGCGCGTCACGAATGCATTGTAATGCGTAATGAGATGCGACGAGTTTACGACGGTGGGCGCTTTCTTGTTATTTGTTTGCGGCGGCACCGTTCAGCGGGTCTGGTTTTCGCTTCTTCATCAAGGCCTACGCCATTTTCTTTTTCTTTTGTACACAGGCCCACTTCCAAGCCAAACAAAAGCCGATATCTAATCCAACCTCGGCTCAGGCTCAGGTCATTCATTCATCAACCACATTCCCACAACACGTCTCTCCCAGTCTCTTCTCTATATTACTGTTCTTATGCCTTTTGACCTAATCTTAGCAACCATGAATGCGAAACCGAGCCGCGCCGCACGAGTCGTTCGTGCTGCGGGGATCACCTGTCAAACGCGGCATCCCGACGCTCCGGCGGCTAGAAACAACGGCGCCAGGGGTCCGGGGTCGGGGATGTTTCATGTGGAGTGTAGGATCTTAGGCTCGGCAGATTGGTCCCGAGCTGGGTGTGCGGATGGGCTTGTGAGAGGGTAGAGCGTGAAGGGGGATAGGGAGGGTGAGGTCATGTGAGTACGTGGTTTGGATGTAATCGGCAGAGGAGACGCATGCCGCTGACGGATCGAATGCTTCTCTTAGAGATGGGGACCAGTTTGTCAGGTTCGTCTTGAGGTTCTTGTGTATCTCCCCGCGTACAGATGTGCTGACACTGTCGTAGACTTATGATTGTTCCATACACATGCTCCTCATTCGTAGGCCATCGGCCCATGCTGCCTTCACAAATCCCTTCGCTTGGAGCGCCGTTCTTATACCGCACACCTCGCCCAAGCCCACAGGCTCTGCCAGGTTCTCCGGGAAGCGCTTTCCGACAGCACTCGTGCGACATCTAGTTGAGCTTATTGAGCACATGCCTCCGGACGGAAGTATTTCCCTTGTTTCCTTCTTGCCTAGTCAGCCATTACTCTTAGGGTCGAGGCAGGATAGGAGGATCAGATGCCTGGGCCCCGCCGTCGTCCTGTCATGCTGGCCTCCGCCTTTTCCGTATCGAACGAGAGGGCCAACATAGGCGGCTTGGCCGCGATGTCCGACGCGAAGACCGCAATGCCCCCGATGTAGGCAGAGCCGATTTTAGGTTTGTGCTGCAAGATGAGGAAGGCGGAATTTATATCAGCAGGAGATGCTGAAGGAGACGGCCAGCAAATAGTTTGGATATCAGCGGCGTGCCGTATACCTGGAATGGCTCTTCCTTCGTCTGTTTTCGCCGAGGTAGACTCGCCTGGATTGCTACTCGTGGCGAAGATCGCACCTTCCCTGCGTCAGGTGATTACGTACCACTATCGCGATTGGGTGACGCAACCGCGCGCACCCCGCCTCATCGATACATTTCTCCGACCCTCGCCACGGCATCGCTTCATGTCGTCAGCGTTATCAACCTGGCGATTCGTGCGCGTCTGCATCGCGGTGATACTGCGGTGCCAAGATGCGGTCCGACCCCGTTCACTTTCACCGATTTCCGATCACTCACCATCACTTTCACTCAAGCTGACAAGCCGGTCATACCTAGGTACAAACGCACGCGATTAGCCTGCAACTTTCATGAGACATTGGTGGTGGCTTGATTCCGCCAACTCTGTGTCGGCTCCCGGCCTCGTCTTATATCTTCTCCTCCTTCTGTCCAACCACCCGCCTCGTCATCTATGCGTTAGCAGCTTGCGGCGTGCTGTGCCGACAATTCGACTCGCTTCCGGTGGGATCTCCAATCCCATAGCTCTATCTTAGCGGACCTGGGTGCGACTCACACCTCACCACGAAAGCTTCCGTCTTCTCTGCCTTTGAGATAGGACAAGTAACCCACCGGGAGTGCTCTCCTAGTCGCAAGTGAAGTAGCAGCAGGCCAGTGGGACGCCGGACGGACATACCCTTGCATCACAACGCGGCAACATTCGACTGTAGGTTGCCCTTCTGCCTCTACTGATTGCTTGGTAACTTCCCTAAGCAGGAGCCAGAAGGTATTCCGACATTACTCGGGAGCAATACTAACCTTACGACATAGCAGGTCTCCATTAATCTCCGCCTTCCGGACGCGTCTCCCGGGGCAACGCCATATCGGGACCTTCTCCATCACTGCTTCTTTTTACGTCTCAATCAACCATCTCTGCGGATATGACCTTAGTTCCACCAGTTCACGCGCTTCTTCCAAGCTTCCCAACTTTCGCTCTGGCCAAGACTTTACCTGTCAGTCGATGACCGAGAAGATGTGCAAGGTCATCCAGTTCCAGTTTACTTGCCATCATTCCCTCAAGTTCCGCAAGTCGCGCTGTGGAGGCACCTATCACAAACCAACCCGGTCAAGCATCAAAGCGGCTTGTTGCGCTGAGGCATATATTATCCTTAAGGTGCCGCACAGCTGCGGAAAATGTCAGCAAGATGCATGGACCTCGTCATGGAAACGCAAGCTAGACAGAGCCACTAGTTTCCGGAACAGACTGATGGAGAAAGGGTCGCCAGGAGCCGCAGAAATATCAAGCTTGGTGAGCGAGCTGGAGAACGAGTACGCGAATGCTGCTTGGGATGTCAGGCAGCACTTCCCGCCAGCCAACCATAGGACGACGATTGAGAGGGTGAAGTTCAAGGAGAAGGTAGAAGGCGAGGTGCCAAAACCGCCAAAGTCCCCATTGAAACTAGAGATTTACCCCGAGGACGTGGTGGTGAAAGAAACAAAGAGGATGAAGACAGAAACAGAGGATGCCGATGATGATTATGTCCGGAGTACCGACCCCATGCACCCAATTACGACGGATTACTCCCATCCGTTGGACAACCTCGACGATAGCTGGGTCCTCGAATATCTCTCTTCTGAGGATCTGGAGGCTTCTGCTGCCATTGCTGACGGATTTGACTTTGCGTCCGATGGATGGGACTGGGGCGGCAGTGCGAACGTGAACGGCACTGCGGACACTGATGATTGGAGCAGTCACGAACCGTCACATGCAAACGGGTCGTCGGAGCTGACAGTTTGGGGACCGGATGCAGAAGCTACCCCATCATCAGCAGTAATCGGAATGAACGGGCTCCAAACGAAAGAAGACGTGCGGAAAGCACAAATCGAGGAAGCCATCAAAGCTTTCTGGGAAGTCGTAAACACAGACACAAAGGACCAACAACCTCAACACCCATCCACGCCAATCAAGCAACCCCCGAAGTCTCTGCTCGAGAGCCCGAGCGTACCACAAGAGTCTTCCAACTGTATGCCTGATTGTGACACAGATGCCTTCAAGAGCGATTCTGATGGATGTCCAGAATACCTATGGACGGACGGCCCCTCCGACGAGCCCTTCCAACATACCGCTTCCCCGCTCGCCCTCACCCTACCTCCGTCGCCGAATTCAACCCGTTCCAAGTTCGACAAGATGCGCCGACAGATCCATATCTACAAGGACACCAACAAGGAGAGATTCTACAGCAAATGGCTACAGATCTCGCGCATGGAAATACGACAGTTCGAAGGACCCGAATCGCAAGTGCTGGATCCGGCTCGCCTTCGGAATGCCAAAGCGACGAGCCAACAATGAGAAGAGGACGTTCGGATCTGAGTGAGGTGCAAAGGCTGTGCTTGCTTACGGATACACTGTGGGGGTTTCCAGTTTCTATTTGGTTCGAGATATAACCCGATCCAGGCACTCCTGTTTAGAATCCTGAGTTACTGCCCGAATCTTTGAGAATGTAGCAAGAATGAATCGAGACCATGGCATCCATTGCACTGGCATCATATAGCCGCAGCGCACATTCGAGCATATTTCACGCTCAGGCTATGGAAACTACTCCTGAGGGCCTTCAACAGGCGAAGACTACCTGCCCCGCCCTCTCTCCGAGGCATTTACGGATGTGTATAGTAACGTTTTACTATAATGACGTTCAATGTGCAAACGCATGCCAGGATTGCGGAGGTGATCATTTTCTCATTGTTGCGGGTCTAGTGCTTGCCTGAATGTTATGCTAATTTTATCCCTGACGGTATGCATGTTCGTGAAGCAATTCCTTCCATTTCGCGCCGTACACGTACCCATGCATCAATTGGGCAATTTGAGTGTCTCGATCCTGCAGCGTCTGGCCCGGAGAAACAAGGTCTGCTGGTGGCAATCCTGACCGTTGCGGCCGAACATTGGCCAGCCAGGAGGCCTTTTGAGCCCAAAGTCAAGTCAACTGCCGCCAAATACGGCAAATGACCAAATCAATCATGATTCGCCGGAGGGCCATCAGATCAGGCTGCGATCTCCTCTAGACCACGAACCGGACCCTTCGAACGCGCCCTGCGGTGCCCCATTAGCCAACCCACGCCATAATGGGATAGTAGCGCTTAGTAGTCTGAGCAGATTCAGTTCATGACCACCGCTCATTTCCGAACTGCCGTCCAGAGCCGCCGCTGGCTCCGATGATAGTGTCGAAGTATTGATTAGAGCCACCGCCATCGTAGCCTCCGCCCAGCGGACCCCTCCTGCTTTGGCTCTTACCGTTCTCCACAATCTGGCTTTTCTTGCCCAAATCCTTTGCGGCGGATACGGAGTTGGTGATAGAGGAGAGGAGCTGCACGAGCTGGACGTCAGAGGCCTCTTGTTGCGATTCGAGCGTAAACGCTTCGGCGTCTGGCGGGGCAAGAATGTTAATGCGGGCGAGCGTGGCGGATATGCTACGGAGGATGGAGTGGTTGAGCGGAAGTGGGTGGTCGGCGGTTGGGGCGGGGTTCAGGGGAAGTGAGGGGTCTGAGAGGTAGGACGGTGGGAGGGAGGCGAGGTAGATGCGGAGAAGGGTGATGCGGCGGCTAAGCATACGGATCGCGTTCATCTTCGCGGTGAGTGTGGAGAGGACTAACACCTGTTAGCTCTGCATGAGAAATGCCGTGACATTGCAACTTACGCTCGTCGTCTTCCGCAGTGAGCACAGCGGATTCGTCGATGGTTTCCTCCTTCGCTTTCTCCTTCTCCTTCTGTTTTCCCCGCGTCTTCTTGCCTTTCTCCTCCTCGACTTTGCTCGACTCAGCCGTAGCCTTTGGTACGGCGGCAGCCGATCCGTCAACGGCAGTTGCGTTACCGCCTCCTCGTGCTACGAAGTCCACACCAATCATCTCCGCCTCGCCAGTCTCCACACTGTACACTAGCTCACGAAACTTCAAGGCCTTGTTTTGCACTGCGCCATCGATGTCCATGGCCTTGTCGTTGGGGCCACCTGTTGCGCTCTCGTAGACCGACTCGTACAGAGTGAGGGGAAGTTTGCCGGCCGCTGTAGCTTCGGACTCGGCATCTGACGGATGGAATAGGCAGAGAATCGGCGATTCGGTGTACAGCTCTGATATCCGCGCGTGGATGGGCAGAATGTGCGATTGCGGGCCTGAAGCGGGGCCAAGTGTGAACCAACCGACAAGGTCGAGCTGCGGTTGCTTGTGGACGTCTTTGACTGTAGGAGTTGTCAGTACACTGCCTTATGGAGACTAGAGTAGCTACCGCCAGTATGCTAGAAACACTTACAGTCCTCCAGTCGCTTGCTGAACCACTCATCATCCAATACTACCTCGCCCGCCGCATTGGGTGTCAGCTTCGCCTGGAAGGCAACCTCCATTGTGACCTCCTGGCCATTTTGCTGCCCAAGTATAGCGCCAGCTACCGGTCCTGATTGTTGACGTAGCGTGTGTCGAGTTATACAATCTGATATTGTGAGGAGTACCAACGGATGGAGCTGTATGGTGGGGCTAGTATCGGAGGCGCGGGCGGTCGAGAGGAGTGGATTTGCGGAAGCTTCCGCCATGTTTGCGGTTGCCTTTGTATGTGCGGTTCGATTAGAAGTTTGAAGAAGGGGTGTAGTGGGGTACTGCGAGCTTGGTGTTGAAGTAGAAGTGAGCGTGGAAAGCTTGTGTAGGCAGATGGGCTTGGCGCGTGCTCAGTCGCGGCGGGGAAGCGGCGAAACAGATACTCCGGGCACGTGCTGACGCAATGCGGACTTTGATGGAAGGGGAAACTGATCGACATCCTCGTCAACCTCACCTCTTTCACTCGGAGTCTCTTTTCCATGCCTCCAAGATGTGGGGATGTGGTCGTCATCTTGACCTCGAAACGAGGCTCTAAGACCCCTTCCCCCAGGTATTAGCGGTGAGCTGGGTCGTCCAAATACCATGTAACTTCATATGCGGCCCGACACCCTGGACTGGCGCTATCACTAGGAGCGGCGACATTCTGAAAGATGATCATTCCCTCAACCTGGGTATGGACGTCCCATGTTGATTAAAGAGATAGCAGTGCAATCAAAGTGTCGTCTGCTGGGCGTCATGGTACAGTTCGCTTACGCGCTCGACGCATAGATACGACTCGCTCGGACAATTCGCCCGAGGGCGATCGAGAGACGATCTGGTACCTCTTCCAAGCAATCTGCGACACCCGAGATCTAACGGGGAGGAAGATGGAGAAGGATGAAATCGCCTCCTTGTGCCTTGCACAAGACACTTGGAAAGAAGATTTCGCTGCCCGATCTCAATTCCTAAGCTGCTACTTCTACCTTTTCCCTTGATTTGCGGATATACTGGTGCGAGGGTAGACGGGCTGCTTGAGGTCCCCCGCGACTCTCAACCTCGAAGTGGACGCCTGGACGATCAACCTGCGGTAGCGCACAACTACAACACAGGCTCAATCAAAGACTGATTGCTTCAGCGATTACTATACTAGCGTCCACCATAAAATTCCAGGTATCCAAATTTCCCGAATTCCTCCAGTCTAACCAACGGTACCGGAAAACCGAAAACTACCGAAACGGGCTCGACTTGGTATCTCTCATCATTCCCAAAAACAGAATCCTCAAGAAGGGCTTCCAGACGCCACCCTCGACCGGTTTTTGTTCCCTGGTGCCTCTAAATCTTATCTATCTCGTCGTTATCAAGCAAGGAAAGAGCGGCGAACCCAAATCCAAATCCAGCATTAGCAGAGTGTCGTACAGAACAAATAGGGGAAGACCTAAGCTTCCACGAGGACTTTTAGGACGAGCTTGCCGTCCTTGTCGACAGTCTTTCCAGCCAGTTCGAAAGCTTCTTTGGCTGCGGCAAGGCCCTTGAACCGATGGGTGACCATGTTATCAAGACTTGGTAGGTAGCCAGAGGAGAGGATCTTGATGCCGGTGGGATATGTATTCGCGTAGCGGAAGATGCCCACAATGTCGACTTCTTTCAGATGGGAGGCAGACATGGGGAGAGTCTGTATTGGAGTACCCATACCGACCATGACGAGCTTGCCACCAGGTCTTGTCGCCTGTTGGAGGTCAGTAGCTGATCTTTGAGTAAGAATAGATTCAGAACTCACATAGAGTCCGGCCTGCATACAGATCTCCTTTCCGGTGCAGTCGAACGTCACGTCAGCGCCTTCGAAGTCAAGATCATTCAAAGAAGCAATCTGGATGACATCACTGGCGAGATCTTTCGCGACCGCGAGCTTCTCCGCAGTCTCTGTCAGGTGTTTCCTCGGGGTGACAATGTAGCCCTTGTGCGCAAAGCCGTTTGCAAGAGCGTAGTTCACGCGACCGCTATCGATGTCCGCAATCACCACGGTTGTGGCGCCGGACAACTTAGCCATCGCCGCAACTAGCAAGCCAACGGTGCCCGCACCGAAGACAATGGCGGTGTCGCCTTGCTCTATTGTCGCTCTCCGAGCCGCATGGATTGCGACAGAGAGCGGCTCCAACAGAGCAGCAGACTCCAGCGACACGTGAGAGGGGAGCCTGAAATAAGGTTGTCAGCTTACTTGGCTTTTCGGTGGTTCATGCAAGACATACTTGTGGCACCATTTTGCAGGGTGGTTGATGCGCTCCTGGAGCGTGCCCTGGAAGTGAGGCACAGACTTGGCGCTACTTCGGAACCTCATGCCAGGGCAAAGGTTATATCGACCTCGCTGACATGACCGACAGTTGTCACACGGCACACCCACTTCCAATGCGACGCGCTCGCCAATCTGGAAGCCAGCCACAGCTTCACCGACTGCGACGACAATCCCCGCAGACTCGTGGCCCAAAGATAACGGCTGCACGGCCTGGAGATCGCCATTGCGGAACTTGTTATAGTAAGAGACGTCGCTGCCGCAAACGCCAGTGGCTTTGATAGCGATCTGGAGTTCATGGGGCCCCGGGTCTGTGATGGTTCGAGTTTCCTATTTGAACAATTAGCTTCCATCGTCAACACATAGAAAACCCCCACGAGGGTGGAATCGTGGGATTTTAGTCAACGGAACGGGACAAGCATACGAGCCGCAAATCCCTTGGCCCATGCAGGACAGACGCTACGACAGTGGTAGCTTTGGAGTAGTGCCTCGCTGGGATTGGATAGATATCCGCCAAAGCTGAAGGAGCCATTACGGAAGACTTTTGGGGGATTGGATTCACGGGAAGAGATTGGGAAGGAAGAGAGGAAGGGAGAGATAGCTAGCTGAGCACCCCACGGGAGGCGTGGAGAGGCGCTGTTATAACATGTTGGGACTACCCACGATCGACCGCGAGCTAGGCCTGCGTTCTCGTTTGTGCATCGGTGCGAGATAGTGAATCGCATGAAAAAAGTTCCCAAAGCAACCACGTCATTTGCTGGGGCGGGTCAATCTGGCGGTAGTACATGGTCTAGGGAATGCGCAGGGAGGACTACTCGGGATGGCTTGCTTCGCGTAGCCTTTTCTTTATCCCGTTACGCTGAAATATATATGAGGCTAGATCTCCATGTGGAGACTGACCGGGGTTGTGGGAGCTTGGGCCAGGATGGCATGGCAGGGCATGGGGCTAAGAGCTTCGACGCACTTTCTACCGGATCCGCAGCTTAGGAGCTCCGGTACATGAGGCGATTATACTGCAGCTGTACTAATAACATGCTGTCTGAGGTGGGCCGTTTCGTGTAGCCTGCCGTCTATCAACGCGCGACGGCGGCGTCTGTGAAACAGCGATAAGGCAGTATCGCCGTGGAGCCCGCATTCTTAGGCCTACGTTAGAGTGTAGTGCAGTTTGCCGGCTGGTAGCTGCAGAGGTCGCGCGTCCTTCTGCTGCTGCTGCAGTGGGCCCATTATTCCTGGGCAAAGCCGCAGGAAACGTTCAGGCTGATATGCGGGCTGGCCGGTCTCAAGTCTCTCGTTGGATGCAACTCCCCAGACCAGCACCTTGTTGACCACGCCCATCACGCCTCAATCTCGGGGCGTACGAAAATGAGCGGCAGGCGTGGGAAAAAGAGGGCGCGTCCGACTGGCTAGAATTAACCTTCTAGCCTCTTTTCGAGAACATTCGGAAGCGGGACCCCCGGTATTGCGTGCGCAGTGGAGCCCGGACCGCCAGATGTCAATATCAGATATACGGGCCTATACTCAGGGGCGAGGGCGCTCAACGGGTCGCCTCCAGAGCGAGTATGCTGGCCGGTAGTGCATGTCGACGGATCCGTAATGTGGTACCTTAGCTGGAGCTGGCGGACAGGGGATGGGCCGCTGGACGGCTTGCGACGGTCGGCCATGCGTCGCGGCACTGCTACCGAGGGAGGTTGACGAAATCTCGAGTGGCCGTACCGGCCTGCTGGGACGAACCAGGTGCAGGGCAAGCTTATCAGAGCATCACCACAGCGAGAGATGAACGAATGGCCGGCCCGGGCATAGCACTGCGCGGCGCCGCCGTCGGATGGTTGCTCTCGGCATTGACACATGTGTCTGCTGCATGCGCTCTTCGATCTAGAGTAGCGTGTAGAAGTAGCGCGCTGCAGTGCCGTCCCAGATCTGCCCAGCGCCGGTGGGTGGACGAGGTCGACCATCGCGACCGACTGATGATGCAGTTGGCGTGCGCCGTTAACAAGGAGCGTTGCGAGTAGTAGGCAAGGTCGATGGCGGCGCCGCAAGTTGTACAGTACCACAGAACGGCTCGCCCGACCACCTCTCCGATTGCCCGAATCGTGCTCATTTGATAGAGTGACGGGTGATGCCAGGGCCTGCGCCCTACACACGGGCCGGGAGAAGTGAGGTGCTGGTCTGTATGGCGGAGAACGCTGGTTGTTCCGAGCACGCCTTACTTGGAGCTAGGCGAAGTGAATTGGCCCTCCCTCTGGCCACTCTGGAGGCAGAAGACGCCCGGCCACGAAATGCAATCGAATAATGCCAGGCGCAGGCCAACTGATAAGGCACGTTTCTGAGATTTATATTGCAGGCATGGTCCCTACAGCCCCGATCAGCGCTACAGGCACGCTACAAGGCACGCTACAGGGACATCCGGGAAAGGTACCCTGTCCTCAAGCGACGAACGCACCCGACCCTTATGCATGCCCGACTCAATCCAGTAGGCGGTGAGCAAGCGCAAGTTTCCCACGCCTTCTGAAGACATGCGGCGGTTCCGCAAATTTGACTTTGAGTTTCGAATAAAACTCGGGACATTTAACCTCAGCTTGCCGCAGCGGTGAGCTCAGCGCCAGCAGCTCGACCTGGCTCGTCTCCCGCAGCACCGCGCAGCTCATCACCGGACCTTGATGCTGCGAGTCGAGTGTCGGCTGTCAGCTACCCTTTCGTCCTTCTTTTACGAAGCAGCGCCGGAGAGAAGGGTCCGTACCGGTCCTGATAATAAGACCGCCAGTTAAGTTCTTGCTTTCATCCACCGCCGAGCCACGTAGGGCAACACTGCTCCCCACTGGCTGCAACAGTTCCAGATCAACAGATATCTGCATGAGAGGGTCCTTCATCCGATCCCTTCAGAACGCCTCCAATCCCTGAGCGACAATGATGACGATACTTGGCGACAACTCTTATCCACCGAAGCGACTAAACCGACTGAACCCCAAGCGACATTATGTCCACATCGCACATTCGGAGTTAGTGCGTCGGGAGGCCGAATGAATGCCCCGTCGATTGGCTATCTCAGGTCTCTTTTGAGCAGCAAATTGGAGTTGGAGCGCTCTGCATGCAGCCAGCAGATCCCTGAACATGTGCGAAGCCGAAGAGCCGACGGTAAGCCGACTCAAGGGTAGGGCCAACCTCCCGCGGATTCGACGCCTTTCTGATTCGCGGCTCGAATCCGACCGATATCGCAGTTGAAGACGGTGAAGGTTGGAAGCACTTCAATTGCTTTATCAGGACCCACAAGCGACTAAATTTCGGAGCCACAAAACCTGACCGCTGCACTTCGATTGCGGAGCCGAAGACCCATTACCAGAAGCTTACAAACTGCTCTTGGTCCCGAAGCCTTGACCTTCCAGCCATTTCGCGATGATGGAGTTGACTTCCGCGGGCTTCTGCATCAAAGCCCAGTGCGTCGCGACGACTTCTGCCCTAGTCAGGCCCGGCAAAAAGACGTCCATATTCTTAGACATCTCAGGCTTGAGAACCGAGTCATGCGTAGCCTGAACGAAGAGGGTTGGGATCGAGATTGTCTTCTTGTCAAGCAGACTATGAGCGGTCAGCTGGTTCAGAGTCCAGTCGCGATTTGCCGCTCACGCAAGATCATCTTCGTAATTGATCCTCCTGGTGCGGTACCAGTTTACTGATATTCGTCAGTCGCGTTATTGTGGGGAGATACGCCACCTCGTCTTACGGGTACTTTCGATGCCGTGGCGACAATACTCCTTCACATAGTAGTCGAGAATCTGTAACCCTGTCAGCAACTGTCGGCATACCCCGAAGCTTCTGGCCCTCATCCCGTGCCGAAGAAGGATGAAGGAATGTCGGTAGCGACCGCATGACCTGGACGGATCCCGCGCTCTCGATAGAATCTGATGCATACAGAATTCCAGCCTCTCGAACTAGGCGTAGACATAGCGAGCCGGTAGGGTAGTGCGGTGCCGGTTGGTTTTCCTTTTTGGTGGCCAAACGCCCCACACGCGCTTCGACGTATAGGCAGCCGGCAGAATGAACGGAGACGCGAAAGCCCCGAGACTCACCTTTCCGTTCAAGAGCTTACTCTCACCAATAGCAGGGAGATTCTCGACAAGAACGCCCTTCCGCGAATCGAAACCGTATTCCCCGTTGGGGCCTTTGCCCCCGTATATCGCTTTGAGGAGTTGGCGAATCGACTGCTCGTCATTGACACTCTTCCCCACATCCCCAGAAGCGAGATGAAGCTGGTAGGCGAATTGGGGCAACGGGCCCTTGGCAAGATCCTCGGTGGAAACGTAGTCCTTATGAGGGGGTGAATACGGAGTGCAGATGGAGAAGACGTGAGTGACTAGTTCGGGATGCCTATCAACGTCAGTCTTCGCCCGCTCTTGGAAGGGTCTCCACGAGAGGGTGGCACCATTGAGCAGCCCGCCACACCACGAAGCCTCCCCTGGGTGCGCTGTTAGCAGGCAGGCTATACTGGATGATAGGATCTGCCTACCAGTCATGGCCTCCAAGCAGGATTTGCTCCGCACCCACTACTTTGGCAAGTTCCGCAATGTCGTCTGAAGCACGCTTTAGACTATAGAGAGAAATATCATCTGGTGCATCCTATACTCCAGACTTAGCCTTGTCGTTTTCCCATGGTGAAACAGGGAATGATCTCTCAAACCCCCACGAGTCCCGTGGGATGCGGGGGAGGCGTTCTGCACGAATGGTCGGAATAGTGAGACCTGAGTGAGGTGTGATATCATGAAGCAGATGAAAATGGAAAGACAAGCTTACCGTGGCCCCAAAGCCCATCAGATCCGGAGCCACAACACGAAAGCCCATATCCAGCAGCAGAGGGATTTGAAAGCGCCATCCTGCCGAGCAATCCGGCCAGCCGTGAATCTGCGGTGCGGATGCCTGGGTCAGCCTCTAGGAGGTATGCTCTCTCTCTCTCGCTCGCTCTTCATGGCAACTGCAGCAGCCATCTTTTATCCACCGGCTGATTATTTCATCGGATAGGATGCAATGAGGTACTCACCAAGAAGACAGTGGCTTTGGACCTGCCGCCCTGTGGCTCGCCGTAAAGATAGTGATAAGTTATTCCATCTCGCAGGCGATGGAATTTGTGGTCAATGCGCGGATCCTCCACGGGGTTGATTGGTTGCAGCGCCATGACGCAATGCACGAGCGCACCTTAGTCCTTCAGTCGTTATCGCAATGTTTAGCAAAAAGAGACACGGAAGATGAAAGGGCGCGCAAATAGATTGATCGAGACGTGGGAAGAGTCCTAAAAGTGAGGCGACAGAGTACAAGGGTGATTTGGCTTCGCTGTACCGCGCCTTCTCTGGTGCAGCTAGACCTCGGTGCCGAGGGCCTCCACTTTTCGTATTATGTGAACAGCCATAGTCTGCTGTCAGTGTTGTCAGTCTCGTATGAACCATTCTGCCCGTCTTCTCGCTGCTCGCCGCTCGCCCAGGCTCTTGCTAAATGCCACGTCCCACGATGGCATCAAGCTATAGAGCGTCTCTGATCTGGACTCATTAGGCAATTTGCATCCCGCTCTTCGTGGGGGCAATTATAATGCCTTCCGCTGTAGCGGTAGAATAGTAGAACTGATATGCGAGCCTGTTACCAAGATTGATGCAGCCAGCAGGCGGGCGTGCTGTCGGCCGCTGTGTTGCTATTTGCCGGCGTTCATGCAGGCGCACGGTATGACGGGCCAACAGCAGATTGCGTCTGCAGACCCAGCAGCTCGGAAAGGCATCTGCAATATTGCGACTCTTATCTCGCTCTTCCTGCAACCCCTCGAGAACAGCGGGATGATACAGCGAGCAGGACAGGGTCCGATAACCTTGCGGAAAGAGAAGGATCCGAAGTCAAGGTATTCAGGGGCACCATAACAATCTCGTAACAGCACAGGACGTTTTCCTGTCCAAAAGCCCACAGTGGGAGACAGTAAAGGCGGGAAGATGGAAAGGACGTCGCTTACGTCCCCGATTCTTAGAACTGCAGTTTGACCATGCTGCCTAGACGAGATACTTAGGAGGGTGGGCTTCGCCGAGCGACAATGCAGAATCGCCCTTCTCTGCACATTCCAATTATGGACTCGCAAGCTGAACAGTGCAGAGAGATAACCCAGCTAGTATCACAGTACGGGAATAAAGAAAACGCAGCCATCCCGAGGACACAGAAGGACAGCAGGGCGCTAACGGACCGAAGATCCAGGAGTATTCAAAGATCGGAACATTCAGTGCCTATTCCAATTCAGTAAATGACCGTATCCTCCGCGGCTTCAACTATCTCCTCGCCGTTCTCGTCCAGGGCCTCTTTGCTGGGTTCGTCAGCTGTAGCCTCATGAGTCGTAGCATTACTGTGCGACGCGTTGTCGGCTGCGCGCTCTTCGCTCACCGCCTCCTTCGCGAGGGGCTCTGCATGATCGTCCTGCTGTGCCTGGTCCCTGGGAACGGAGTCTCTGCCATCAGTAGGCCCACTATTGGCTGCGTCGGGCTGCTGCGGCGTGTCTGTGTTAGATCCCTTACCGGAAACGGGGGCGTCTGCATTGCGGTCGGCTTGCCCCTCGCGGGATGCGAGCCGTTCCCGCTCAGCATCGTCCTCCTGGCCACTCCCGTGGTCTTCCAGCTCTCGGCGAATGATTTCTTGTGCGTCGGCGATTTGGTCGCGTATGCGGTCGTTCTCGTCTGGGGTTGTCTCCCAGGGCTTATAGTACTATGCATAGTGTCAGCGTTCTGAATTTGAGACCCTGTGGTGTAGCGACCGCATGCAAATGTCAATACGTACCAGTCGCGGCTCTGATGTGGTCTGGAGGAAGTGGGCCATGGCAAGGAGATTGTCATGTCGTATCCGCACCTATACCATGTTAGCTATCGCCAGCAGATTGGACGGTAGAACGTACTGAGTTCGTTTCGAATTGCTTCTGCTCTTTCCAGCGCTGAGCTTTGCGCCTCGCCTGCCGCTCCAGCTTCCTCTGTTCGCTTTCCTCCTCTTCAAGCTTGCGCTGTGCTTGCTGTCTCTTTTCGATTTCCGAGCGGCGTTTCTGTACTGCGGTAGCAGAGTTCTGTGAGAGAGCGCCTAGGGCTGCGCCGAATAGCCTCCTCTCTCGACCTCGCTCTCGAACCTTCGGTGCAGGAGCGGATATTTTGGAATCATTTGGGGAATTTCGGCGGTCGGTAGATGCATCATCACCATTGAGACGCGGTCGTTTTGCATCTTGTTCGAAGACGGACGATTGTCGCCTCTTCAGACTGGTGGGCGACGAGGCTGTTGGTGGTGGAGACTCGGGATCCTGCTCGGGGAGCACTACTGCTGAAGCAATTGGGGCATCCATGGTCAACGGGGTTGATGACAGCGGGCCCTATAGATGAAGAGAATGTGCTAAACGCGTGTGTAGTGCTTCACTGCGCGTCCTCCGCCGCCAGAGAAAGTGAAAGTTGAGCTCGAAGCTAGTCGAAGCTTCCGCACGGAACACGAGTTCGCCCGAGGTTCAACCGTCTGAAGCTGACTAACCCGATCCACTTAAATTTCCCTCGCTCTCTACCTCACGAGTCTCCAACTTCACACTTCACACGAACCGAAAGCTCGAGTACTTCAGGACATCCTTTCTAGCATACCGTTTCCTACGAGCGAGAAGGCGCAAGCAACCCCTCCAAACCGCCACGATGTCCCGCCACCATCCGTAAGTCACCCCCGCCACAACTTCCTCCCCCCTCCCACAGCTACTGACGCCCCCTCTAGCGATCTCGTCATGTGCCGCAAGCAAGCTGGAATCTCTATCGGCCGCCTGTGCGACAAATGCGACGGTAAATGCCCCGTCTGCGACTCCTACGTGCGCCCCACAACCGTCGCCCGCATCTGCGACGAATGCTCCTTCGGAAACTACCAAAACAAGTGCGTCGTCTGCGGCGGCGAGGGAATCTCTGACGCTTACTACTGCTTCGAATGCACCCGGCTAGAGAAAGACCGCGACGGGTGTCCGAAGATCATAAATTTGGGGAGCAGCAGGACGGATCTGTTCTACCAGAAGAAGAATTTCAGGAATCATTAGTGAGGGTGTGGAGCAGCCGTACGTTCTGCAAACTTTCACCGGTCCAACTGGAGAGGGAAGGAGTCTCAGGTTCTGCATGATAAGTGCAGCGTCTGTTTTGCTGCGTGCAGGCTGCTAACCTGCTAATCTGCCATTTGCTTAAGCTGCTTTTGAGGGGAGGATGACGGCGTGGGTGTGGATTTGCACGGCGAGCGCATTTTATAGGAGAGATCTATATCTGCACATGCCGTCAGAGTTATCAAATTCAGGACTCGCGCTTGGAACAGGGGTGGCGAAAAGCAGAGCGGACTATGGATGGATTATGCATTGATTGCGGATTCAATAAGACGCTCGGGCGTGCAAGAGCGGGGATGATAACGTTCAAACTGGTTGGAGACGGTACTGTCCCCTTCAAAGCGGTTCCCCTTACTCCGCTAACTGCCCTCAAGTCGAAAGATACCCAGTACTTAGCATACACGACGAACTGCAGAGGAGCAAGATTGGGCTCATTTGCCTGGATAGATAGCAGATCAATCGAGAGCATTCAGGGAAAGACCATCCACGTCACTGTATGCACGTGAGACTCTTCCTCTTCTCCCACTGCCACATCACCTCGTACAAAACCCCTCCAAGATCCCCCACTAGACAAGGATACCGCACACCGAGTCCCTTCGGCGCTACCCTCCCCATGCCAGAACAGCGTACATACACCTCGCGTACACCTCCGACTTTGAGACGACAGCAAACAGGCACCTTGAACGAGATCTTAGGCAACACTACACAAGGGATCGCAAATAACCCCCCACCCTCCTCTTTCATGCCGGTAAATTGATCTTGTGGGAGGTCTTGTGTAAGGCGTCTCGCCTGCGAGGTAGGCTTGGCTGTCATCATTCAGCGACACAGCTTCAATAGGATAGCGACCTATATGTCCGGGATGGGTGCCAAACCCAAGCCCTATAGGATCACCAACATATCTCCGATAGCCCTAGCTAGATAGGCGAGTGATAGAGGAAGCCTCGCCTTCGAGAGAGTGCTGTAGCATAGACTCCTGCTCTGAATGTAGGTTCCTGAAGTGCTTCGAGGACACTTTGCGGTCCATCAGAGCTGATCGACCGCAGTCTATTTGTAAACTAAAGCCTACGATCATGATATGATTCATTGTGCTACCTGTTGCTGTCGGCCACGAGTAATGCGAGCCCAAGGAAGGAGCGGATATGTTTTACCCAATAGGATAAGCCATCCGAGGAGGAAGATGCCTTGCCAGCGCGAGAAGAAGCCGTACTGGTACAAGGCTCTCGGAGACACCGAACGTGCCTGTGCAAGCACCCGAAACGAGGGGAATAAACCAAAGGCAATAAACGAGGAAGTGAGAAGCTGGTACGTGGGTGTGGTGGGGGCGATAGCACTAGATAGGAATAAAGGAAATGTGGGAGGTCAACTTCAAGGGGTATCAGATACCGCCCACGCCTTGCCAAACGCCAAACCGACAACAGTGACAGAATTCAAAATAAACGCGGCGTTAGGAGCGATGAGGTGCACGCCTAAAAGCGGGCTGCGGCATTCCAATGCTCGTCTTCTTTCTTCTCATCTAGCCAACGTGTCATCGCTGGGCAGAGGGCGTTGCTAGAGGATGCGGTCAGTGTCGCGGAAGGGGATTGAGAGAAACCGCTGGATTGGTTCGGGCTGTCCTAGCATCGCATGCCTTAGAAAAGATAGCTATCGTAATGGGAATGTGACCATGTACCTGATGCCCAGTGTTGCCTGGATCTCGGAGGCTGTGACCTCCATCGCGGGGTTGGGGTTGATTCGGATCCGGGTTCGCCATGCGGTGATGGGCGTGCAAGGGTTGTCTCCCACGCTTGGAAGAGAAGGATAGGGACTTGGGGCCCCAAATGTCGAAGTAGGATTTTCCAACGGGCAAGGAGGAATGCTGTGGGTACTGGTCGTGCTGGGAAAGGGAGTCCTCGGCCTGGGAAATGATTCTGAGGAGCGTGCTTGCCAGGTGATGAAGACGATGGCAGTGCACTGACTTTATAGAAATCGAGTCGGCATCGTCGCCCCCAGTGAGTTTGCAGTGCGCGATTTGACCACAAATGAGCATAGTCGCCGTAATCCGGGCATCCATCGAGCAGATTCGTCAAGCAGCAGTTTGATTGGGCTCGGCCAGGTGACCAAGGTGACAGGAACCAGTGGGTTAGCAGCTGCGAGTGAGGCTCAACGTGCATCCTGTGTATATTCAATAGACATGTACGTGTCAAGGAAGGATTATCGCTGCACCGATTTCCCCGTTGGGCTTGTTGCAACCTCCACGTGAAGGCTTGAGCCTGCGTAACCCTCGTTAAGCAATGGCATCAACGTTAAGAAGAATAGTCATACAAGCACTATAGGCGTATACTCATCTTGTACGAAGTCTGGTATAGCCATTGGATTAAGTCGGTTCTGTCTAAGTATAACGGGTAGGCGCAGCACCCTGCAGACCATCGAATGAAGAGGGCTCCATCGTTGACTGCCATCGCCGTAGCACAGAGCCCCTCATCCGTCTCTAGACAAGGCGGGGATGCAGGGCTTTGCATAGTTCTGACCCATGGTCCGGCTTAGGGTTGGGACCCTTTAGGCTACGAATAGTGGGTACTTTATGAGAATTAGCTCCCGCGAGGCATAATTTGGGTGCGAGGGGGCCGTACTGCATGTAACCCGCTTCGCTGGTACCGTGTCTGCGTCTTGTCCGAGTATAGGAACTGGTAGCCAAGACGAATCATGTGGCCTCCGCGCGATCCTGATGCGCAGTTAATACTAGGAACATGCGCTATCAAGGCTCGGGTACCTGAACAAAAGTGGGTCCTTACCTCAGATCTGCTGTGAGGTACCGTCTGGATCGACGATACCCTTGGCTGTTGTTCAAGCGGGGGTGTGAGGCCACATTTGCGACATCCCGGCCAGTCTTCAGCGACAGCTCACAACGGACACAGTAGAGTTCGCAGGGGTCCGCGGCGTCTGCAGGGTCCGTGAGTCGTTGCGCAGATGTGTGGTACACACCATGGGATAGTGGCTCGGTTCTTCGCCAGAGTCTAATGGTTGCCGATAGTACCTCCGTGAGGGAGATGTTCAAGTTGGGCGTATGTATTTTGGCCGCGAAGCTTCTGGATTCGTCGTTCGGCCGTAGGGAAGACAGGCCTATAAGGCGCGTTCTAGCGTGCGATGGTGGAACGTCGTGTTAGCGTAATGTGACTCGCTGCAGTTTCTGCCAAATCCAGGATAGAGAAAGTGAAAGAAAGCTCTGCCGAGATAAGCATCTGCCGAGTGAGCCGCGTTTGCGTGCCTTGCTGCTGAGGAATAGCCGCAGCGGCCGCTTGGTGAAGAACCGTAAATCTGCTGGCAATGCCTTCACTCGCGAGCTACTGCAGGTAGTATGCCACGGTGATGTCCCCATAGAATTTTCTACCAACATCTTCATGACTTCTAATCCACTTTCGGAGCTGTGATTCTCCGAGACTGTCCCACCTGGGGTCCAAGAAGGCGGACACGTCTCCATTACTGGTGGTTTGCTGTCGATCTTGACGAAGGTTGCGGACAGTGCCTGGAATGTAGGACCGGATTTCAGAAACTGTTAGATCGAGCGGAAGCCCTTGGAAAAAGGGGATAGAGTATCGCGGATTTGACATGGGGCCGGGGGCCTTTGCGTGTTCAGTATCCGTGCGCAAATAAGGGCAATGACGCAAACAAACCTTGACCCGGTGGACAGTAGCTTTGACAGCTCCCTCAGTAGCAGCTTCGAAAGCATTTCCAAAATTAACCACGAATGTGTCGTCCACGGGCGGAGCTGCGATCCAGTTCCCACTCGCATCAAGCACTTCAAGTCCCTCCTCTTTGCCAACTTGATAAAGGAAAGTTAGCCAGCCACTGGAATCCTTATGGGCACCAACACCTTGCTGGGTATCATTGCACGGGTTTGGTGGGTACCGAACCAACTTAATACGGTGCTGAGGCCTAAGAGCAACGTGTTCGTCGTGCACACCTTCATGAGCCGACGTAGGCCGTGGAAAGAAGGCATCGAAAGTGCTCACAGGGATGCCGAAGGCTTCTTCAACAAGGTGTACAAAGCTATACGATAGCTCTTGCAGTGCATCATGATACCTTTCGTACTCTCGTCAGCCGCTCTTCCATTTTTGGCGGGTGAGCATGCGGTCTAACTCTGTGAACGCCTTGCGGAAGCCACGGACATAGCCCTCCGACGGCCATTGATTGGGGCCTCGAAGGTGCCAGTAAGGCTTTGAGAAATTCCTGCGCGTATCCGTTTGTGACGCCAACGGATCGTAAACGACTGGCAGCTCTGTAGCAAGGTCGAATTGTTCTCGGAGATCCTTCTCGCCCAATGTGGTTTCCTCAGCATAACCGCTATATCCTAAGAAATGAGGTGAGTTCAGTTTTGTGAGGGAGGCCTTCGCTTCCGCTGGCTGGTTAAACAGCGCAGGCAGCAGTGCAGCCAAATTTGAGATCGTCTGGGAAGGGACACCATGGTTTTTTATATAGAGAAACCCGACATTGAACAGAGCGTCATGAAGCTGCTCGAGGAGCGTCGCCTTCTGTTCCGGATCCTGTGCCATGGAAAGGTCCAGGACGGGTAAGCCGGTGCGCTCCGCCATGCAGGTGGGAGCTTAGCGTGCACGGTCGGAAAGAGGAGTGACAGGTGAAAAGTGACAATAGAGAGAATGAGTGAATGACCGCCTGTCTTACCGTGACAAGACCTGTCCTCGTGAGTGAAAGCCGGAGAGCGTGTCGCGAATGACGTGATGCCAGGGCACGACCCATCGGGATCAATCGGCCCGACAGCAGGCAGCTTCCCCGCCAGAGTCCCCTCCATAGCAGCAGGTACAAACAACTTAACGGCGCCAACTTACGCTCCACATAGGCCCCCATACACCCCGAATACTATTCACAGACATGGCATACAACTTTGTGAGATCGTACATAGACACCTTCCGCGAGCGAACTGCAGCTATCAGCCACACGTCGACCTTCCGTGAGACTGGTCAGATAACGCCGGAGGAGTTTGTCCTCGCGGGAGACTTCCTCGTCTTCAAGTTCCCTTCGTGGCAGTGGGCAGATGCCTCTTCACCGTCAAAACGCGTATCATACCTCCCCGAAGGAAAGCAGTTCCTCGTAACGCGAGGCGTGCCATGCAACCGCCGCCTTGACGACAACTTCGCTGGAGAAGCTGGCCAGGACGAGACTATTGTTCGGGATGGCTTTGCAGCCGGCGAGGGAGACGCTGATGATGACGGCTGGCTGAGAACCGGCGGCATGGGCGCCAGCCAAGAGGCGAAAGTGCGAGATGTGCGGACGGTGGACGAGAGCGGAAACCTCGGCGCTCCGGATGAGGAGGACGAGATCCCAGATATGGAAGACGATGACGACGACGAGGAGGCTATTATCCGGGAGCCACAGGGCGGTTCTAACACCTCAGCGTAGGCAGCCACAACGTCCTCCCTCTTTATACCTAGCTAACAAAACCAGGCCTATGCGAACATACACCCTCTACATATGCTATTCCGCCCACTACCGAACACCACGCCTATACCTCTCAGGCTACGGGTCGACATCCGTGCCGCTAAGGCCACAAGAAATGATGGAGGACATAGTCGGAGACTACAAGGACAAAACCGTCACAATCGAGGACTTTCCCTTCTTTGAGCACGCCCTCAAGACTGCTTCAGTACATCCTTGCAAACACGCCTCAGTCATGAAAGTACTCCTCGATCGCGCAGATGCAGCCCTAAAACTGCGGCTTGCCAAGCTCAAAGCTGGCAAAGACGTCGGCAAGGTAGACAGCGGAATGGAAGGCCTCGTCGACGACACCAAGCTGCTGAAGCTGACGGAGCGGGCGAAGAACGGGGATGGCGACGACAGCAAGGATGACTGGGAAGTCCTCGATGAAGGCAGCGAGGATGAAGAAGTTGCCATCCGGGTAGATCAGTATCTCGTCGTCTTCCTGAAGTTCATGGCCAGGTAAGCGACGATTACTCTCCAGGGTTAGTGCATATGCTAACACGCAACAGCGTCACGCCCGGCATAGAACACGATTTTACGATGGGTGTCTAGTTCACCTTCGCTCCTGTACCGGTTTTGGGATTTCTCCCCTTTGAGGGATTTGGCGTTTGACCGGACTCAAGGAATCATATTGGGCATTACGGATAGCGGGCGCTTGCACGGATATGGTGTGACATCGTATTTCTAGGTTTAGCTAGGCAGTAGAATGCAACGGAGGGCTATCATCGTCCAATGCGAGGGCAATCCGCAATCCGTCCCTCCCAAGGTGCAAAAAATGTACGTGCCACATACGGCGACCAAGCAGCTACAGAGCACCCATGACACAAGTATTCAATTCGTGACCCTATATTCTGGAGGTATGTACTCCAACCCCAACCCTTCAAACACCTTCCTCTCCGCATCCTCCGGTGTACCGTTCACGCCGTTCGGTCCCTCTAACTGCACTACCTCGCCTGTACTTCTGCTCCGTATACCGCTACTGTCAAACTTCCATCCTTTGATGTGTTTCGCGTACCGTCGAAGATCGCGCTGGAACGTCGTCCCTCCGCTCCAGCCCATGACCGCACAGCCCACTGTGCGCCACGGCGCGATGATGATATCGACGCGACGGTGAATGTTGGGGTTCTTCGCTTTAGAATTCGCAGCAAGATCCTGCTCGCGAGTTGGCCAGCGCGGGTCTTGCCAAACGACGAGCGCTTTATCAAGGGTATCGTAGCCCGCTCCGGAGGCTTTCGTCGTGCGGAACTGTAGCGTGTTCTGCCCTCTGTTGGTGTTATTCAAGCTTAGTGTCAGAGTGTGCGTGATCCATTCCGCATCCTCCAAGGACTCAACGATGTCCTTGATGAGGCCTGCCGTAGCTTCTAGCTGGGGATGCGAGACGATCATATCGACATCGCCAGAGGCTTGCTTTCCGCGTCTGTATCCGCCAACTATGGTGACGGTTATGCGCTCGTCTCGAAGTTTGACGGCGTGCTGCCGGGCGACCTCGGCGATCTGTTCGACCTCAGCCCGCGGGATCGGCACTAGAAATTCATCGTAATATTTCAAGCCGATTTGCTGCACTCTATCTAAGTCGGACCAGCCAAATTCGATAATATCGTCGAGCTCAGTCCAGTGATTATTATAGTAGAAATTGCGCGCAGTTTTTGCGCCGACGCCCCAGATGTTGTAGAATTCGCGGAGGACTTTCATGGCCTCGTCGTTTTCGAAGTCTTCGACTGCTTGGATTTTGCCGGTGTTTTTCCATTCGACGAAGAGAACGGCTGTCTTCTCGTCGCAGCCAGGCAGTAGTGCGATCTCGCGTGGATGTGTGAGCTTGTGGGGATACGCGGCTATGGATGCGATAATTGTGGAATAGGCGCGGACGCCTATCTCATCGTCGATCAGAGTTCTGGCTGTTCGTATCTTCTTCAGCTGTTCGATGAAATCTTCGTTCGGCCCGTTTGCTGGAGTAAAGCGCTGACAAGCGTATTTAATTCCTTTCTTGACCCAGTCTGGGAGTGGTGGGATATCGTTGTCCTCGCTTTCGTATTCGCTGGTACTCTGCTGCAGCAAATGGGCAGTTTGCGACGCAAAATTGCCCGCTTTCTGTGCCCTAGAGGCAAATGACCTGCCTTCGAATCGCCGAGAGCCATGGCCGCCGGTGCGGTGACGTTGGTAGGATGACTTTGGCTCGGTTGCAGACACGTCCGATTTCGCGCGTTCCAGGATGTCCTGCTCGGTGTGTGGGCGCGCAGCTAAGACAGTTTGTGAGGCTGCCTTTGGTGGGTTTGAGAAAACGGCCTTGATGGATTTGTACTTCGGCTCTGAAGGCCGCGGACGCTCTTGGACTCTGCCTTTATACACCAGGCGCTCGCCCAATGGAAGTAAATGACCCGCAGAGACGCAATCATCGAGCCAATCTACTCTAATAACCCAAATAATGTCGTCGGTGGAGTGATTCTCAAAGACCGGTGGGGTAATTAGAGCAGCCCTTTCTAGCTTCACAGGCGACGTCTCCGAGGTATCTCCTTTCAAAACTAGCAACTCATCCTCGGTCTCAGGCCCGCCCGCCGTTTCCTCTTCGGTGGTAGACCCTTCATCTGGCACGGTAATCGGTTTGCCAGCTGAACCAGACAGTTTTCTCCTCTTGCTAGGAGGTTCATCCGCCTCCACTGAACTACCCGGCCTCTTCGACTCCACCACTTCTTCGACCGTCAATTTCCGAGACCTCAATTCAAACGCGGCGCGTCTCTTGGACCCGACCTTCCCAATGAAGACCTTCGCTTTTGAGACATCCGCGGTTAGCGGTGCACCGTGTTGGCGCAACGTTCCCCTGACTTTGGCCTCCTCCTCATCTTTGAAATGCGCGCTGAACACCGCGATCGGTGGTATACCACCAAGATCGAGGCTGGTTGCTCTTGGCTCTGGTTCTGGCGAGGATGACTGCGCTGCCAGGGTTTGAGAGGAAGGGAGCTCGTCCATAATTTGATATGTACCACGTAGTAAGAAAGCAAGGGTAAGACTAGGGTGTGTCCAAAAACCGAGTCCGACGCCTTGGGAGAACAGGGTGATAGCAAGAGGAAAGACGACGCATCATCCAGAGAGACCAAAAGCAGCACGCCAAAAGACCGAAAGATAGAAAGCGGCGGAAGAAGTATCGCAGTAAAAAGCGATGACGACAGGGCGAGCTCGTGGAAGTCCAGTCGAAAGCGACGACTGGTCTTGGCGTGTTTGCTTTGTCTGCTTGATTAGTCATTCGCTGGTCCGCGGACCTGGCCAAAAGCCACCTCAATTTGTTTCCCGCTCTCTTTCTACCTGCGACATACTAGCTAGCATCTCACTCCAAGGAATTATCACCGCCTATTATGTTTCGGCTACTGCCCCGATTATATCGACTTCCTGTCGCTCGTTTCAGAATCCAGTAAGCACGAGCAACCTCGATATTAAAACGGCCGAACCCGTCTCTCCCATCAGAGCAATGCATGAACGGCATGGAAACACAGGATATTAATCAACTAGACCCGCATGGCACCATTACCAGGATGGCTGAGTTGAAATGTCGCGCCGTTGGAGGGAGTTCTAGCCACGACCTCCAAGTGACGACTGCCCTTGCATTCCCGCCCTTCCCACCACCAACCACCAACTTTCGCGCGTGTCGCGGCCGCGCAATCAGACCGCGCCAGCCAAGAATCCAGCCGCTACCATTTCTATCAACCTCATACGAGCTGGCAAGAATTCTGCAGTGTGTTGTTGATTGGGAAAAGACCGCATTTCTGAGCTGCCAAAAGTGTGGCTGTCACAGGCGCGACCGCGTGAGTATTGTATCGGTGTCTCTCCTTACCGCCGATCTTGCCCTTTCTCATATTTTCCGTCCCGATTGGTCTCATGGGTACTATCCAAGGGAGGAGGTAGCAAGTTCGAGATATAAGAGGGAGGGCGGCTCGAGATAAGAGACCTCAGGCGAGCCTGGGCCTCCCCGCTGGACACCCACCCTCCCTATTTCTCCTACATTTGTCCGCTCGTTGGGTCTTTCGTTTCTTCTTCATGCTGCTTCTCTCCTTCTTGAGGAAAGTCGTTCGTTCATCCAAGCACATTGCCCAAGGCCTCAAACCAGAATATAACCGCCTGCGCCCACCGCCCCATTTCGAGCTCACGCCTATCGAAGCTAAGATCCTCACGGCTGCTGCTTGAGAATCAGATCCAGACATGCGCCGCTTCATGTCCGTAGCCTTTCTGGCCCTTTTCACTGCTGTCTCCGCAATCCCCATCACGCCTGCTGCCCCAGAGCTGCAAAGGCGCGTCGAGCAGTTCAGACTCCATGGACTTGATGAGGTACGGCCGCTACTTTTCTGATAAACGCCCTTACTCACATTGACAGCACGAAATTGCCGCACGCCTCGCGCTCGAATCCGAAGCGGCTGAGTCACAGCCCCTCTTCTCCCGGCTGTCCACCAAGATGCACTCGCTCTTCCACCATTGCACCGAAGAGGAGGAGGAGGACGATGGCGATCTCTCAGGTGATATTGCCCCGGGCTCCCTCGAAGCGCCACAGATGCTGCCTCGCCCTGCCAGCATAGACGGCGAGACGCTGTCCAACAAGATCATCGCCTTGCTACGAAGAGAGGACGCTGAACAGAAAAGGTTCGCATATGAAGGGAAGGAGCTGGAGTTGCGCAGGCCGACGGGAATGAGGCATTGGGGTGCGGAGGATAAATGGAGGTTGTTCTGATGAGGCCCGTTTTGTTGCGCTTCTCACATGAGTGACTTGCGCTGTGGCCGTCTAACGATATATGTGTGAGGAGTACCATGCCATCTGGTAGATGCAATGCCTTTATGATCCCTTCACTGTCTTCGCTTCTTTGGGCTCTTTCAAATTCTTCAACCTGTCAATGGAGAGCATTACCACCGTCCTTACTGTCTACCTTCTTCACCGTCTTCCATACTGTCATTACCGTATACCAGCTTCACTAATACTAATCATTCTTCTTCTTGCCAAAGACACCGCATACATCATCACATCTCACACTTCACACAAATCGCTCGCCTCCCTTCACGATGGGGCCACCTCCAACCCTCGAGATCCCTCCCTCCTTGGACACCTTCCGGAAACACACATCCAAGTACACGGCTACCCATACACGCCACCAACCATGCCTTCCTTTTCCACAGCCACCACACTGAATCTAAATTCCCCGCCTTCGCAGAAGCTAACGCGCAGCCAAAAGCGCAGGCGGAAGCGAAAGCAAAAGAAAGAACAAAAGCGAAAAGCGAAACAAAGGCAAGAAACTACGCGGAAGCCCGATGACGGAGCCTTCGGCCACCTACCACACTGCATCTTCTGCAGGATCTCCGCATTCCACAAATTGCACACCAAAGAATGCTGCAATGAGCTCCAAAAGCGCTACAAGCGCTGCGTAGAAAAGCAGCCTCTTAAGACCATTAAGAAACACTGGGTCCCTATCAAGAGAATGTCAGTCTTCTTCCCGATATTCGGGGTATCAGAATACGTCATGGTCTGGGCCCTGCGATTCTGGGTGCTCTCGGGGTACGAGGAAAATGAGCATAGACTGCTGTACATGGCGATATTCTTTGCGGCGTGCGCACCGCTATCCGCCTGTCTAGGCTTCATCTCCGCAGGTCTCTACTACCTCTGGAAATGGAAGAAGGAAGATGAAAAACAAGCTCCCAAGGGAGCAGAAGCTGACACCTCGACCTGGACGGGAAGGTATGAGGATCTGGAAAGAGTGATCGTGCAGCCTGTCCAGCAGTCACCCACGGTCGTTGTTACACCAACGCGGCAGCCCGAGCCTGCGCTTACACGGCTATGGAAAGGTGTGAGTGGGAAGTGGCAGACGGGGTATGATGGGAGGGAGCAGCGGGCTGTGCTGTGGGATGCCGACATAGAGGGGAGCGAGATGAGGGATTGGAATGCACAGGCGCGTGAACAGCAAGAACAGAGATGGCCGGGGCCAAGAGAGGTAGCAGAGGACAATCATGGAACCGTGAGTAGGCTCACGACATGGCCAATTATACACCCTGGGGGTTCAGTGTATAACTGAAGGGAAAGGAGCTTTGATGGATGGATTATACATTACCTACCACACTGCTATCGTACATTCACATACCTCGTGCCGTCATCCCAGCCATAACCCACCCTGACCTGATATATCCCCACCGCCCACCCTGTTTTAACCAAGCCGGACTTTCTTCCAGATCCTAAGACACTCCTGTAAATCACCCACCACACTCCCCATCGGCTCACTAACCATGCCCCTCATAACAGCCAACACGCAGCTCGCTAACGCAAAGATAACCTGGTCCTCTTTAACGGCCAAGTAATGGCTCTTTGTCATGCCTCCTGATTGCGCCCAGCTCTTCCACAAATCTAGCATTATCGAAATCCTCTTCGCAAAAGACGTATCTTGCGCCATACCATAAAGTATCTGCTCCACCAGCACAAGCACCGTGACACCCTCAGAAAGCCGAAACTTATCAACAAGGTATTTAACGTGCGCATCAGCAACAACATCAATAGGCAGTCGTTGACTCTGCATCGCCTCCGCCATCTCCGACTCTCTCCTCTGATCCTCCCTCATCCTCCGTCTTCGAAAATCATTGTGAAAATCCGCCGCCTCGTGCTCCAGCCTCTTCCTGCGCGCTGCTTCCCGCTGCTCGGGCGGGAGTCGTGCCTCCTCCGTCATCTTGCGCCCTTGCTCCATGAACTTGACGTGCCGCTCGAAGCGCTCGGCTTCCTCGTCGTGCGGTAGGCGCCATGCGGGCACTTGCTCGTCCGTCATGGCGCCGAGCAGCACCATGACGCCGCAGGGGACGGTGTCGCGCCGCGCGAGGGAGAGGATGTCGTCGGGGACGGAGAACGACCAGAGGCCTCCTTGGGGCGCTTGGAAGGCGGTGGCGGCGCTGCAGAACCAGAAGCCGGCTGTTGAATCTGTGGAGCCGTTGATGGAGCGCAGGTGCAGTAGGGGAAGCTTTTTCTTCGCATCATCCTCCTTATATGCTTCTTGTATCCCTGTCGCCGATATCCTGACCCTGACCGCGGATCTCATATCCCCCTCTTCCACACCATCCGCGCTATCGTCATCTAAAAACCCACCCTTCTTGTCAACTTCATTCTGCTCTTCCGTCTTGCCTGGCGCCTCCAATTCATTCAGCGCAGCTAACACATCCACCTCTTTCCTCGGCGCACACGCCCGCACCCAATACGGCGGCAGGCTATCCCTACTCCTGCGATCCCATTCGCTTCTCCAATTCAGCGCCAGACTCAGTATTCCATCCGAATCATCGCTCATAGCCACACTCAACACCTCCTCACTCGACACAGGACTTAGTAGCAACTTCGTGCCCGCCGGTGTCCACAGCCCCGCGCCCCTCAAATCCGCCCATCCTTCTTTACTCGGCACGGCACCTCTATCCAACAGAAACGCTATCAGCGCCTCAAACTCAATCTCCGCCTGCGGCTGCGCCAGCTCATCATGATATTGCAGCCTATAACTCTTCACCCCAATAACCATCTCCTTCCAATTGAATATCGTCCAACTGCCTCCCTTCAAACTGCTCGGCCTCTCTCTCAGCCCAAAGTATTTCGGATCACCGCGATCTAGAGGAATTATACTGCGTCGCGGGATCTCGATCTCGACGATGCCGGAGAGCAGCGCGCTTCGTGTGATTGCGACGACGCCATTGCGGTGCAGCGTTTTCGTGATTTCGCGCAGCGTGAACAAGGACTTCAGGCAGGTGTATATAGTTGGAAGGACGCCGAGAACCGCTAAAGGAATACCGATGTAGGTTATGATGTCGACTGCGGACACACCCATGATGCCCGGCGGGGCATGGAAGAGGTTGAGAAAAGGTCCATGGTGGGTCGATGACTTTCCGCTATAATTGCGTGCAGTCTACCCCTGCATGGTGGCGGAGATTAGGGGTCAGGGGAGCGCGTCGGAGTACGGAAGCATGTGACCGTGTGGCGCTGATGCCAAATGGGCGAAGAACCGAACAAGATGATCCACGACGAGCAACGCAATGGCGGAACTAAATTTGAAGAAGACTATTATTGAAAGCTATGATTTGGATAAATTGAAGCGCATGGAAGGAAATGAAGGAAAAGGTATCGCAAAGCTTCGACTCACCAGCGCCAGCAGGTCACTCGCCACCCCTTTGCGCCTATCAGCCATGCTTAAATCATCACTACTTTTACTGCGCCAATACATCTCTTCACGAAGACTTCTTCGCCAGATTCAAGTGCCACTCCATGATCTTCTGGAAGATGCCCTTACCTCCAGTTTCAACCACATCGCCGTGACAGGGAATAATCCTCTCAAAGTCCCACTTGTCAATCCTCTCCACCGACTTCGCGTACCCCATCCTATCGCCCGAGCTAATCCCCCACCAAATCAACCTCTTCTGCCCATTCCCCCTTGTATTCGTCAGCGCGCCAAAGATCTTCGTCAGTATCCCACTCGTCGCGCTCACGCCAGTCTTGCTGAACTGCTCGGTCGGCGGGTAGTTGAAGATCAGGTCGGCTTGGATGAGCGTCTTGGTAGACTTGTGGTTGAAGACGAGCTCCTTGTTCTGGTGCGCGTACACGAACTCGTATTCGAATTCGGCATCGAAGTCGGCGTCGATGGAGGTGAGGGGCTTGGATTGCGAGAAGATGTAGGAGAAGGGGACGTCTTCGTTCTTCTGCTTTGCGCGCTTTTCGGGGAGGCCTTCGGGGCCCAGGACTTTTGCGTTGGGGTAGGCAGCGTGCCATGGGCCGAGGAAGATGTGGTGCTATATGCGTTGTTAGTCGATGCCGAATGAGCGGGAGCTAGAAAAGGCGTACTTCAGCGTCTAAGGCAGTTATGTACTTGACTTCTCCCATTTCGGAGACTTTGCGCTTGACGTCGTCTGTCAAAGCAACTGGCGAGAAGACGGCGAGGCTGCCATTCTGCATGCGCACTAGAAGTGATCAGCAATTGAAAGACGCAAAGTGAGTGTGCAACTTTACCGACAGTACCACGGCCGCCGATCTTTATCCTGCCGAATCGCCAGAATGGAACGGAGAACGTGGTGATTGTCCTTGGAACGACCTCTCGAATGACCATGACCTTCGCTGGGTCGCTCGGAACTAGTTTAGAAGTCATGTTGGATAATTGGGAGCTGCGGTACTAGACAGCGACAGCGAAGAGATGAATGATGGCCACAAAGGAAAGTGGTTAGTTTCGGAGATTTTCCCCGCCCGTTGAACTGCGGGTTAGTACGCAGAAGCAATGACGCAATTGGAAGCTGGATAGGTTTGTTCGGGCTGTCTGTTAGCAACTTGGGAGTATTCGAGAGTGTTTAAATGCTTCTGCAGTCTCGGCCGACACCGGTTAGAGCCTACAGTCGCCCAGACGCTGGCTCCATGATGTTTTGTCGCGAGAGATCATGTTGTGCTCGGGAATGCAAATAGCTGGGCCGCGGCTGTAGTGATTGGACGCCCCACCTGCTGTGTCAGCATGCACTCCAGCCAGCGTCATCGTACGAGCCCTATCACAAAGAATTCCAAATATTGGCATTCGTCCGTAAACAGCTTCGGATGGAGTAGAGAGATGGATTTGAGTTACGGCGGCAATGAATAATCCAAGCCACTATCTTTGGCCCGCCTCAAGCACACCCTTCAGCGATGCTCCAGCTTACCCAGGAACCACACTCTCGCAGCTGCTTTCGATCTTCCCACCCCTCCCATGGCGGGAGACTAGTCGCGAAGTTCTGAATTTCCTCCTTTGCGCAGGACCAGCGTGACATCTTCTAGGCTGTGGTTCCTTACAGTAATCGGCGATTTCGGACCGGATGCTGTGCGTGATGAGGCTCAGCCTCGACGCCGCGAATGAGCAATTCCGCCCCTTCCCGGGCCTCATTCGAAAGATAATATGTGGGAATCAACCCTTCCCCCACCTTTCTTCATCTGTCATTCTCTGCGCTGAGCTCGGCCAAGAGTCCTCCAACGTTCCGCCTCTTAGCGTCCTCGTCAAGCTTCATCTGGATGAATTTGCTCATCTCCTTAACCTTTTGAAGCGCGATATTGGTGCAGTTCAGGAGAGCAAGGGGGTTGACGGTCGCTCCGCCGTACTTCGCAACCTGGCAGACCTCCCCATGTCTGTTCATGGTGACAATTACTTCGCCCTGCCGTACCTGCTCTTCCGCAAAATTCGCATCCACCAAGAATATGTCGACTTCTTCGAAGTAGGAGAAGGTCACACAGAGCGGCTGATGTAAGATGGACAGCGGTATCGGTTCTCGCTCGCGGACGCTGAGGACAGTTGCTTTCTCTCCCTCTACTAGTACGTCTGGCCTGCGGAAGTGCTGTAATGCAGCCATGACTGCGATGCAGGACGCGTCAATCAGACCGCCGTCATGATCAATGATGTGGACGTCGGCTCGCAGTGCAAAGCATTTCAGGCCCGCGATAATGCACAAAGATTCGGTGTCGAGCGCGTTCGAACGGCGGATGGCTTTCTCAAGGATCCGCGAGAGGATGACTTCCGCGTCTGTGGGTCTATGGACTCAGTTAGGTGCTTCTGGCGCGGCAAGACACTTTGTGGCTGGAGTAAAGCGTACCGTCCAACTTCGAATGCTGGAGATGCCATTGGAGAGAACTCAGTAATGATCTGAAAGACGCCATCGAATTTCCGCTCCGGCAATGGTGTTGTCACGTCCACCGAAATCCTTGCAATGACTCTGGATGCTCTTAGCTAGCTGAACCATACACATAACTTATACTGCGCACCTTGTCTTCCCGAGCTGCACATCGGCGACACCGTATTCATCCCCGAATGTTAGTTCCAAAGGACGGAATGCGTCGAAAGCGCGTCCATCGAGCCGAATCTGTTCCTGCAGCGCTTGTTGGATGAAGGCGCGTTCATTGACCGATATCTCAGCTTCTCGAGGCATCTTGCCCCACCAAAGCAGCTGTGGTGTTCGGATAGGTGAGCTCTGCAGCTCTGCAGAGGGAAAAATACGGCGGGGTCGGAGAATACATTCACCGACAGTCTTGGCACTTGTGGGTTTCACGATCCCAGCTTGAGCTTGACCTTTACTTCTGCCCATCCCCGGCACTACCGCCATACTATCGCGCAAGACTCCCGAAACTCCAATCATCCAGGCCTATACTCCTGCCGCATCCCTCTGCCGCGATGACCACCGCACACAGGCCGACGTTTGATCCCGCTCGCGGCAAAGACGCCCAGCGCGGGCCCGCATACCATCAGCGACTCCTCCCAGCGCACACATTTCTGAAGCATAGACAACCAGGCCAGGGCGGCGAAGCCGAGCCAACTAAGCGCGATCTTCGTGCGGAGCTCTTGGAGGCTGAAGCGCGTCACTTTGCGAAGAAGAACGGTACCTATGTCCCGGATGCGGAACCTAGCACGGAGGCCGGCCCTACGTCGAAGCGACCGATCGATGCCGTTTCTGCAACAGAAGACGGCAATCAAGACGACGCAGATCAAAAGCGGCGGCGGATAGAAATGCTGGAACAATATAGGGAGGTGGACGCGGACGACAGCAGTGAGAGCAGCGAGAGCAGCGACGAAGAGTACGTATTTACGTGCCTCAAGAAGACTGTACCCGCTAACTGATAGCAGGGACGATGATGAAGACGAAACAGTGGCCCTCATGCGCGAGTTAGAGAAGATCAAAAAGGAGCGGGCCGAAGCCAAAGCCAAAGAGGTACGCAATCATGTCCATTTGCTCCAGTAGAACGCTAACGTCTTGCAGGAAGCGGAACGTGCGGCAGAAGAGCAGGAGCAGCGCGAAATCGACATAGCACGCGGCAACCCACTCCTCAACGCGCGCGACTTCACCATGAAGCGCCGTTGGGACGACGATGTAGTCTTCAAGAACCAAGCACGCGGGACCGAGGACCGGAACAAGAAGAAAGAGTTCATCAACGATATGCTGCGCTCAGACTTCCACAAGAAATTCATGGTGAGTAGTGCTCTTTAGAGAGAAACAAGTTCGATGATATCCTTGCCGGCTCGACAACGAATAGGGCTTTGGTTCCTTCCAGGAGGAGCTAACCTTATTCACAAGCTTGAGTTCTTTAACCGGCGGGCAAGGATGCGTTTTTGAACTGTTCAGCTCTGTACCGCCACGTGAGAAATGCTGACGAGTCGCGTAGTCGAAGTACATCCGATGAGGTCAATGGCACTCCTACATCCGCTCATCGTGCATTTCCTGGCGTTTATTGTCCCTTGGCGTACGGAACAATCGAGTTCACGTGGGTTTCTGCCGCGAGCGTGGGATACCCCAGAGTTTGACAAGTGGGAGCCGGTGACGCAACTACCTAGGCGCTTAGGTAGACCCTTATCTACGATCGACAATCCACTACCCTTTTGGGAACTCAGCTATCTTTTCGTTTCCACCACATGCCCCGGTCGGAGAATACATTCCATCTCGTCTCAATCTCCCGCTCGCAGTGTGACAACAACTATTCTGCTCAACCGCAACGCATCGCGTTCCATCTTCGATGAAGTGGAAATCAGGTGGAGGGGGGGTTCTCATAGTCGTAGATAACTATCGAGACTCTACCCTGTCAAAGGCCTGCTCTTCGGCATTGATTTCCATCAATAGCAGGCCCGAAAGCGATAGCGATCCCCCAAGGTTCCAGAAGCTGAAGAGTTTGGATCTAGGCCAAGAGGGGCTAGACCGAGCCCTATAGGGGTCTTGGGGGGTGAACGATCAACGTGGGAGCTTACTCTTAACAAGTACTGTGACGACATATGGCTTGAGCTCTTCATCGGTGGTATGCGTATCTCTTCTTGGGACCGTAGATGGTAGGTATGTGAAGGATATATAGAGGTCCCTCCCATTATACTTCTTATAGTTCCACAAGCTTTAATCCTCAACCACCAAGACAAGCTTTCTAACTAACGTCTCTTTCCTTAACCACATTCAACAACCAACACACAAGTACAATGGCAGGGTACGGCAACCGCAACGCCCCCGACCTCACCACCGAGGAGTCGGACCACCTCGGCCCCCAACACAGCGAAACCCGCTTCGGCCGCGACGACTCGCACGCCTACTCCAACCCACACGAGAAATACGGCTCCGCCGCCACAGCCGGCGCGGGCTTCGGCAACAAGAGCGCGCCCGACAATACTGAGAACTACGATAACAGCGACCTCCGCTTTGGGAGCCATCAGGACACCGCGCCGTATAGCGGGAGTACTCAGCATGGGAGCGGTACTGTGGGTGGCGCGGGGTATGGGAATAAGACGGGCGGGTTTGCGGAGAGCAAGGGTAAGTTATGTTCTTGGTGAGAAGAGAGTAAGAGCGTGGGAGTGTGGGCTGATGTGTGATAGATTCGACGCTGGGGAAACTTATGGAGAAGGCGGGGCATGTGATGCATAATGAGGGGTTGGCGGAGAAGGGGAGAACGAAGAGGGAGGCGCAGGGGTTTGGGCAGGGTGAGTCATAAGGGATACGTTGACCGGCGGAGTTGTAAAAAACTAGGCATGCTTGGATTGGATTAGATTGCTCGTGATACCTCTCTGTACAGTTGGAAATTATATCAACGATGGATGATTCTTCTGCTCATGATTGTTTGGGTCGATAAATGGGGCTCATGTGGAAGGGTGTTTTGAAGAAATCCAAACAAGATTAACATTTATGATCCTCCTACAGATGCATCATGCCAACCCAGAAAAAGGGTATAAGAAAGCGGTGTAACAGTACAAAGAAGGTAAAAGAAGTAAGAGTCGGACCTCCAGCTCCGCTCAAGAAGCAAATGCAAAAGAAGACCAACACCCAGCGATTCTCATTACGAGACGTCCAATCCTAGCTTCCGGATGTGCTAGACCCTTTGTTATCATTGATCGTAAGCCGTTTATGCAATGAACTTAAGAGCCCTCTTCGACGCCGGCACTTCGGGCACGGCATCATCAGGCGGGAACTCCTTGTCCTGGCAGATGGACGAAGCTTGGCTCCAGTTGACCTGTTCCATGGTGCCGTCCTGGGCAAACTTGAATTCGCCGCCGTCTTCGAGCCAGATATGCACCTATACACTCATCAGTTAAAGGTACAATTCAGGTTGGGAGGGAGATGCTCACATTAGCAGTATAATCCCCCTTGTACTCGCCCGACATAGCTGTCGCCCTGCAAAACACGCGCTGTCCCGGCTTCAACGCCGTAGAAACCGAATACGCAAGCTGCACGCCCTTCTCCTGGGTGCTCTCCTCGGTAGACGACCGTGAGTATTCATACTTGAGCGTCGTGGTTGAGGAGGCGCCTAGGTCGAGGATCTTGCCGGACAGCTCGATGGCGTTGGACCAGCCGAAGGTGTGGGTGGCGGTCTGCGAGTACTTCTTTGACGTAGTGCGCGTTTCCGTCTTGGTGAAAGTGAAGGTCTCGTTGGAGTCGGTGTTGGCGTTGGTGTGATCGGCGTAGTCGAGGATGACGGTTTGGAGACCCTTCATTTGCGCGTTGAGTTGGTCGGGGGTTTCTTTCTGTGGGCGTGTGTTAGTTAGGCTGGTAGGGAGATGAATTAGTGGGAAGCATAACGTACGAAGACCATGTCCTCAACAGTAATCTTGTCGATCTTGCTCTTCAGGAAGAGAAGGCCCAGACCGTCAATGACTTCACCAGAACGACCGAAAGCACCGAGCAAGATGCCGGAAGCCGTCTTCGACTCATAAGTATCCTGGCCATCAGTATCCTTTCCGACGTCGAGCTCAGCACCGCCCTTAGTGCGGATATACACGCGGCCCAAGGACTCGCCCTTGCCGTTACCCCATGTCTTGACCTGCGAGATACCGTCCGTGGACGAGTCCCAGTCAAGACGAGCATGCTTCTTGTTCTTGTCGACCTTGCCGAGCTGGCCGCTGTTGGTGCCGTCGCTGTAGTAGAACTGTATGGCCTCGACCTCCTTTTTGGAAGCCCAGACCTCGATGCCCGTCATGACAGTGCCGTCGAGGTACTTGGTGTGGCAGTAGGGACTACCGCCCTGGCCGCCGACGTACTGGACGTCTTGCCATGGACCTTGCGCGCAGTCGTCGGCGGCGGAGAGCCCGAAGAAAAGAGCGGCGGCGCCAAGGAAGAGCGCCCTGGCGTTGAAGAACATGGTGAGGGGTGGAATGGGGAAAAGACCTGGCGTTTGAACGAATGGAAGTGCTAGTTATATAGCGAGTAGCGAATGCAAGATGGTAAAAGAGTGACTGTGCCAGGTAGATGGAGAGCTAAGGAAAGAAGAGGAAGTGATGTGCTGCTGCCGATGGAGTCTTTGTGGACGGCCTTGCTGTCTCCGTTATATAGATATTCCAGCGGAAAACATCGAGGTCCGTAGACATCTTGGCTTGGAGTGTCGAAACAAACGAAACGAGTGGCAGTCTAGGGGGAATCCTACGGTTGACGCATGAATGAAGGCTCCCAATTTCCGGCGATCTGTGTGGGTCGGAATGGGCTTAAGCTTAACTACAAGCCTATGCGATGTCAGGAGGTATTTTGGGACTTAACCTTAGTGATCCTTCGAGGAGTCTGTGAGATGAATGGATGCTGTGTAACCCTGGGGCCGCTGTTACGCCAATATATCGTGATGTACATGGTTCTTACTCTTCTATGGCAACCACTACTAATGGGCTATCGTCGTTCCTGAGAAGGGCGCCCTACATGGAGGGAGCGGTAGGGTTGGTTCTCTTGTCCCAAGGAGCCTCGAAAGCAGTTCCAAGCATTCTGCTTCCTCCCATCGGATGCCCAGCGTAAGGGACCTTCTCCGTCAGGATTGGCCTTCCCGTCCAGAACTCCGCACGAGGACCTGCGCTGCCAAGTATTTGGCTCTTTGAAGCAAAAGGGTAGACGTTGTTACGGGATGATTCCACTACGCAAGGAACACAGCCTCGCCACCACGAACTGTCACTCCTGAGCGTTTCCTCTCTTTTCGCCAATCAAGAGGCATCGCCAGGCGGACCGACTCCGCAGTCCGTTTCACGATCTTCAGGACGCCAACCGCACCACGACCGAAGAGGGCAAGTAAGCGAACTCCGGTGGACTGAGCCTCATACCTTAATCTCTGGTCACACGAAAGTCCGAATGCGCCTTCCTTCTCGAGATGTAGCTGTTGGTAGTCCGGGGCCCGAGTTGGAGCGTTTTTCTGGCCATGAGCGCACGCACGAGAATGCGGCTCTGAGCTGGAGCTCCTTTCCTGATTCGGAAACGCTTGGGGTTTCAGACGCGGCAGACACGAGGGGTGCGCGTCGACATCACCTCCCGCACCCCACGCAGCCGGCCCCGATGAGGGGTTAGTAGTCCTGTAATCGAAATGGACTTTGTTGGTAATTGTGATTTGCGCTCTCAGGACACGGGCTGACGGCGTGCAGTGGACGAGGCTCCTGGGCGGCTCGTCGCAGAAGAGGCAGGCCGCGGCGAACGATCCCCAACAGCGTCTGGCACGCTTCAAGCAGCGGTACAACAACGTCCTGGTGCGGGAGCTCTCTGCCTTTTGTGAGATACTGTCTAGACTGACATGGCGGCAGCAAACATGGCAGAAAACCGATTCGCTGGCGCAGGACCGCGAGGCCCTGGGCAACATCCGGCGGGGGTTCCAGGGCCTTACCAAGATGCTCGACGACGAATCCCGCCTCCCAGCACCGCACCTCTGCCTGAGCTTCGCCGCTGCCCAGCAGATATACACGGCCGTCTCCAAGATCGCAGCGACCTCGCACGATGAGGGCATGGTCCGAGATGCCGTGCAGTTCTACAATGCGCTTATCGATAGCGAGGAGGAGGATTTCCTGGAGAACGACGTGTTCGCCGTGTCGCTGATGAACTTCATCGGCCGGTCCATAGGGTCGGGCAGCATGGGCGTCGGAGAGGACATCGAGGCCGACATCGTGGAGCTGCTGTTCGGCATCTCTGCGAAGATCAGGTTGCAGCCCGAGATTCTGCCCGTCTGGTTCACCACCGCGTCCGCAGACGCGAACGGGCGGGTCGTGAATCAGAAAGTGGACTTCGCGGGTGTCACGCAGAAGGAGGATTTCCCCCTGTGCTACCAGCTCATCGACCGGGTCCATCACGAAGGTCGAATAGGAGAATTTGCCCGCATGGGTCTTCTGTACATCTTCGAGTCGGCATCCAAGGCCATCACCCTGGAGCAATGGATAGTCAACAGCGACCTCCCTACGCTCATGGCGACCGGTCTCGGGGCGTTATACAGTCAGCTCAGCAGGTCTGACACTCCGCCAATCGGAAATGCTCCAACTGACACTTTCAGGAAACTGTCGATTCTGCATCCGCAGGAGAGCCTACCGCTCATCTTGCAGCTTTCAGACTATGCAGAAATGCGGCCGAACGCGCAAGCAGAGAGTCTCTTCTCAGAAGACTTTCAAAATCACATGGTCACTTTCCTCTCATACCTTACGTTCTGGCAGGATGTGCTTGAACACTGCAATTCCCTCGACGTCAGGCATACTTTGATTGATCATTTCCAGGTCCTATTCCTTCAGCAGTTACTGTTGGTCAACCCCATAATTCATCTTCCGAGACCCAGTACTAACATCGGCAGATACCCCTCGCTCCTAGAGTCTTCTGATGTCGACGGCGGCTCCTCCGTGGCTGTGCTCACGTATCTACGACGCATCCTCGACGCACTGGACCATCCAGAGCTAGTGCATATGATTCTGCATTATCTACTCAATCTCTCCGACTACTCCGCTACCTCTCCCAGAGCTCCTCGCTCTCCGGCGGCGTTGAAGCGGCGGCAGTCGCTGATGCTCCTAAATGCTCCGAAGGAGGAAGATGACCGGCTCAATCCTTCGCTGTTCAATCTGGTCGACCTGGTTGTGGGCAACACGGATTCGCGGAATCCGCAGACCGTCATTGCGGCTTTGAAACTGACTACCGTCCTTCTCGGAAAGAACCACGGTTACGCCCTGAACTCTATGGTTAAGATCATGACTGTTAACAACAAACAACCTCACCGAACCATCGGCGCCTTGAATGTCGAGCTGGAAACATACCTCAACCTGGCAATCAGCCTTGCGGGCGAAAGCGCCGTCGATGAAGCATACGAGAGCCATCTGAAAGATAAGCTGAGCCTGTTAGAAAATCACCCATGCTCTCTGAAGGCCCTTGCTCTCCCAACAACGCCGTTGCAGAGCCCCGGCTACTTTGACTCAGATGTCGGCCCACGCGACGTTCCCCCACATTATTTATTACCCGAGGACCCACTGTTCAAGACGCTCGTCGAGCTCCTACTCAGGTTCCTGACTAATGATATCGAGACGAATCTCGCTCTTACGGAAGCTATTATCACACTTGGGAGTTGTTCGCAGCTACGCCTCGAAGGATGGCTGTCGGTCGAACCTACGGACTACCATTTCCTGGACGTTATTCCAGAGCCCATGGACCTTTCTAACCCGGGGCTGCGCGAGATGCACAGAGCAAGCCGGCAGCCGACATGGGATCCTGCTGCTACACCACAGCTGCTTGCATGCTTGCAACAGCTTCAGACACAGGTCGAAGCGCTACGAGCCGATATCCAAGATTGGGACGAGCATGTTGCCAATCGGAAAGATGCATTCCGCTTCCACGAAGAAATGAACGAGGCAATGAAGTCATCTACGCCGCAGCCTAAGCCCGCACGCCCGTCTACAGAAGTACAGCCCGGTTCATGGACTCCGCAAGTGCCCAAGCATATCAAGGAGGCGTCTGCCACGCCATCCAGAGCGCAAACCCCCAGAGGAAGAAAGGAAGGCGCAGACCTGCGACACACCCCAACGGCTTCTCCCGCACCTTCCAGGCTCGGCGGCCCAACCCTTGTCGGATCGCCCTCCCGCGGCATGTCACCACTACCCGCACCACAAGCATCAAAACGCCAGACTACACTCTTCACAGACATCGATGCTAATCTAGCATCCGTAAGGCACTCTGACTTCCTGAGACGCCGCATCCGTTTCCGTAGGCCGGCCGGCTCGCAGACGGTGGAAGTCATGTTGTCCAAATACCAGCCGCCTCCGAGAGAAGATGACGATGCGACGACTGGTGCGGAGAGCGAAAAGGAGAAGGATGATGTACGAGAGGCAAGTTTACTACATATCATTACGAATGTAATAATTTTACAGGAGTTCGTGCTGGAGCTGGTAGCGCTCATGCAGGTTAGAGCGAGTCTGTTTAGTGAGATTAAGTTTGCTTGAGCTTGGTTTCGGTCTTTTAAAGCATGCAGACAGTGGTGGAAGGCGTATTCGGTAGTAAAGGCAATATACCCCCTTTGCATTGCTGAATCGAGTCCCTTCCAGCGTCTTTGTAACGTTCAGTTCGCCAGCCAAAAGCGTTGAAGCAATTTAGGCTGCTTCTATACAACTTTGAAAGGGAGTGACTGCTAACACCTAAGGCTCGAGGCTGTGTAGTGGGATAAGTGAATCAACATCTGCATCCTAAGAGTGTCCAGTGATAAGGAAGCTGCATGCCGTTAGAGCCGTCGTTCACCACGTGGGCCTAGCGCAAGGCCCGTGCACATCCTAGGAAAGAGCTCGGCTCGACGAACGTCATTCTAAGGTCTCACAAGCAACATCTTTGCAGCTTTCGAATCACCCCCGCCCCGATCCATGGCCGCGCCAAAAATCCACAGCTGCAGCCCAGAAATGCCATCGCTATTATAACAACAATTGCACGACCTCGATAACTGCATTCATAGTTCCAACGCGCGCCAACCATGGCGTCGAGCTCGACGGAGACAACGCCTCTGATATCGTCCATGTCTCATGCTCCATCCGCAGGCAAGCCGATAGCACCGAAGCCACAGCGAACAGTCACATTCAATCCCACCGTCATCTCGAGCAGCCCAAAAGAGGCTCCGCGATCGTCTTCGTATGTCGGCACTTCTTCCTCCGTCACAACCGTTCCCACCAGCCATGGCGGGCAGCCAATGCTCTCGACGCTCAATAACAAGCTACGGAGAAGGAATAGCTCGGGCGCGCCCATCCTACCTCCCCACGTACCGGCTCCAAAGATTGGCCCGCAGAGAACCACCAGGACTGCACAGAAGCTTAAGCTTCTGCCGGATCCGGAACATGGCGAGGAAGACCAGGATGAGGAGAGCGGGCGGGATGTCTATGTGCAGTATACTCGGATAAAAGATCCTACGGCGAGAAGGGATGCTGCAAGGCTTGGGAAAGCGGATCGAGAGCGGTTACCGCGGGTGACGGCATACTGCACCGCCGCATCGTACAAAATGGACGAGCTGATGCGGTTCTTGAAGGGAAAGGCACGGATACGGGGCGCTCATCCAAAGAGATTCGACGAGTGCATATACTCGCCATATAATTACGGGAGAAAAGGGCCAGAGGATGTCACAAGCACCTCCGTACCCGATGGGTTTTCAGAGGAGCGACCGCGAAGATTCTCGGACAGCGCGATTGAAGTCAGGGCACAGAACGAAAGGAGACGGGAGGACCTCATAGGTCTACATTCTGATGGCGATGCACCGTCTCTAGAAAACGGAGAGAGCTCGGAACGGTTACAGCGGCCTGGACCGATGCATGCAGACTCAGATCCGTCGATGGAGACGCCGGATTTCGATACGCAGGTCCACACCCCCGAGGTTTTCCTTTTCGAATACGGCACCGTCGTGGTATGGGGCATGACGCTGCAGGAAGAGAAGAAATTCCTGAAAGAGATTGCAAAGTTCGAGGTCGATAAGCTCGGTAAGGACGAGGTCGAAACGGAGGAATTTAACTTTTACTACACGCGTGAATACCAGGCTCGAATATACAACGACTTCATAAGCTTACGGGATAAGAAGAACTATATGATCAAGCTCGCCATCAGCCACGGCCTCTCACAGAGCGTCAAGACGTCGCTTTTCGAGGACCTCGTGGATAACACCATCGACGACACGAAGGACATTCCCGCGCAGATCGCGAGCTCGGGGAAGATCAACCTTAACAAGAAGCAGATCAACATGCAGATCGGGGAGCTATTCATCTTGCGCATCAGCATACATCTGCAGGGCTCGGTGCTCGACGCGCCAGAGCTTATGTGGGCGGAGCCGCAGCTGGACCCCGTATACCAGGCTGTGAGAAGCTATCTAGAGATGGACCAGCGGGTCCAGTTGCTGACGGAGAGACTAAATGTCATTGGTGATCTCCTTGCGGTGCTCAAGGACCAGCTCACCGTCACACATGTAAGTCTAAGCGATCGCTTCAATTGGAGACTCGGTAACTAACCAGCCTATAGGGAGAACTCCTCGAATGGATCGTCATCATCCTCATCTTCGCCGAAGTCGTCGTAGCCGCCATTAATATCTTCGTCGACCTGCATGCCGCCGACTAGCCCTCTTTTGTTCCCACCATATTGTACATACACCCTCCTTGCTTTTCGCCTGTAAATTCATCATAGCGTGGGAGGGATACTTGAATTCTTGTACCACAGCAGTGTAGACTCGTGTAATTCGGCGCTTCTGGCGTTCCAAAAGGCATACTGGAGGCGCGATTGCGATAATGTAGCGAAGGCCACCAGGAGTAGCTTTACTCCGTCCGACTTGTGTTGTTTCTGCTTTCATCTCACAGCTTTTCTCTCTTTCTCTCTCTTCCCACGCCACACCCTTCTACAACCCACTCCGGACCTGCCGGTATCCACCCCAGAACCGCTTCTCCCTCTCCACCAGCACCCTGTCCTTCCTGTCTTCCTCCCCCTCCCGGACAACCCCAACCCTCCCCTCACCAGCCCCCACAGCGCACACAACAACACCCAATCTCGTCTTCCTCTCCGTCCCGCCTCCCACAATCCACCTCTTCTCTCCCCCACCACCAGTCTTCAACCCCATCCTCTCCTTTCCAGCTCCCCGCCCCCGCTGGACCCCACAGACCTTCTGCATCTTCCGCACCCCCGCCGCCTCCCTGGCTCCCATCACCTGCCAGCTCCTCGCGCCCTCGTAGCCGCGCATAAGCGCGTAGTCGTCGTGGATCCGTGCGTTGATGCCGGCGAGCCCGCGCTGGCGCTGGGCGATCTCTTTCTTGCTGAGCGGGCGCTTGCGGCCGCGCCGTCCGGCGGCAGCGGCTTTCCATAGCGGGAGCACGTCGTTGAGTAGCGCGGAACGCGCTTGCTGGGGGTAGGTGGAGAGTTCTGTGCCGTCGCCGAGGAGGAGTGGCGGGCGGGGAGAGAGAGTGCCGGTGCGTGGTGAGGTGGTCATGTTGGATGCTGGCCAGCAGCAAGGGTGCAGTAGGAGATGTGATGATGTAGATGCTGGCCTGCAGCAAGATGTGGAGATGTGGATGTTGTAGGATGGTAGGATGGTAGAGAGATGTTGTGGGGATAAGGAGAGGATGGAAGAAGGGGGCGGGAGACAGCATTTTGTGAGGTACGGGGACAATAGGATGCTGAATAGGGATTGCTATTATCTGGTGGATGTTGCGTGGATAAGGAGGTTGCTATTGTATGTATTCAGCGCGGAGTAGGGCGGAGGGTTGTTGGGGTTAGAGTGAAGTGAAAGGTAGGGAGTGGTGGTATTGTACGACAGCACAATAGCGTGGGAGGTAGAAATTGAGAAATGGATCATGGAAATCGGAGCCTGGTGTGCTGCAGCACCTAATCCGCATTCCGCACAGACAGTGTGGTGGAAGATAGGACTAGTTAGGTAACGGGGAGCCTGATGTACCTCAGTACCCTATCGACTGTCCGCTGTCTACAATGTTCTCCCAGTGCAATTATGTGCAGTTATCTACTACTAGTCAAAAACAAGCTACCCCATGTCGCCACATTATTCGCTTCTCAGCTATTTTGCGGTTAGGAACGTTATACAGAAGACGGTGGGAACGTACGCTGCGGCGTCCGTACCTGTTTGCTCTACGGTGTACTCTGGGGAGCTTCCTTTCAAGATCTTCAATAGCCGGGAAAACCAAGGTAATGCTAACACGTTTCTTTTAGATAAAAAAGTCTTCGTCTTCCTCTTCCTCGGACTCTGACCTGTCCGAATACTCTTCCGGCGACTTTCCCTTCCTTAAGTCACAAGCGATGCGTGTCTTTACGCTATCGTAGTGCGGCGATTTCGGATCCTTGCATGCAGCGAGCAGGCACTCTGTCCATTGGGCACGCGGCAGGTCGAGCAACACTTCAAGCCGGGCCTGAAGAGGACTCGCTTGTGATGAGAATGTCCATTCCCAGTTGCAGGCGATTATAGAGCCCCTGCTCTTCAGTTTCCTACAGGCTGGGCGAATGATTTCGAGGAAACTGAAAAGATATGCTGGCCTGATCTCTCTCAGGTCAAATGTGACTTTGGGGAAATTTTTCGTCTGCGGAAAGGGAGCGTCAAGCAAGAAACGAGAGACCCAGTTAGCGTAAGGTTGCGGTATCTTCGTACCGCTCACATGATGGGGATAAATCGGGAAGATGATTGTGCTAAGGTAGTCGGTTGGGGCGAGACCAAGGTCGAAGAAGTCGCTGGTGAGCCTGCGACCTCGGGAAGCCCTACCTGCATCTACGACGGCGGGTACGATTCTGTAGAAAACGGCTCCTGCTTCTTCAGCGGCTTCTTGTCCAACAAACTCGGGCAAGACGAAATGAGGCCAACTATTTGCGTAGGAGTTCCACGGGTCATAATTCGGGCCATACTTCTGGAGTTCATCATTCCAGCAGAGCTCGTAGATAAGATCTCGGATCTCGCGCGGTAGCTTCTCGTTAATCGCATGCGCGAGCGTGGGCGACTCCGCCTTGGAGCAGGAAACCGCGGCGTCTTCCAAGAGCCTGGAGGAGTAATAAATTAGGTTCGCTTCAATTCATGTAGACGCCAGCTTGGCATACTTGTCTGCGGAATCGAGCGCTTCTTTCGCATCGTCCTGGTGTTTCCACAGTTCTTTCAACTGGGCCTCCAACCGGGCCCTTTCCGCTATAATCTTATCTAGTCTTCATAAAGCGTTAGCTTGCGAGCTGGCAGCACTCTTAGAAATTACCCACTTCGCCTTCGCTTCATTGTGCTTGGATTTGACTCTGCACAAGTTTTGGTTAGGTAGAAGTTGGCATCTTGTGTTGTAAATGTGGTGACTGACTTGCAGAGACGTTGTCGTGACGCCACGCGTTCTTCTTCCAGAGTCAAAGGACCGTATTGCGCCATTGTCTCTGAGTGAGCAAGGGCGCGAGGGAGCTTAAAGGTACAGGTTGTTTAATGTGTCGAAGGGTGTTGAAGGGGATGTTGGGAGGCTAGAGAACGGGCGAGGTCAGCCCCGCACCTTCTCCCGCCGAGAACGCAGAGTGTTATGAAGTACAACAATCTGTTCTACGAGCGGTACGATTATTGGCATGAATTACGAATCAATCACACCATTTCCGAGACACTTCAGACGAATTGTGTAAGCGCGTATGAATTCACGTTACTATGGAAATAGCAAGCATCCTTCGCAACGCGCTAAACCAGAGACATAAACTCCAAGACATATACTATGTTACCGAACTTTGCTTGCTCGGGAAGCTAGTTTCCTTTGCTTTGCAATATCAGCCTGCATCAGAAAGATTGCCCTCCCAGATTATAGGGGCCGTAGGCCAGGTAAGCCTCCTCTTCCATCGTATGGGAATACCAGCAGTCGGGGAAATAGGTACAGGAGTACCCCCATCGGCATGGATCGGGGGTTCGCATTTCGCGGAAGCTGAACTCATGAAGATAATCATCGAGATAGTGGAGCGTGAAAAGGTTCCCCCCAAGGTTCGTGTACCTCCTAGCAAGACAGTGCTTCCACGACCAAAGCTGGAACGGAAATCCCCTCCTCTGTATTTTTTCCACTGTTGGATGAAAGTCGAGGTCGCCAGAGAGAAGCACGAAGCCGGCTTTAATTCCGGCTGCTTGGTCATCAGCTGCCTGTTCGACCATGTCGGCGACGATATTTGTGTCAACTCTTTTTTCTTTCCCAGTCACTCCCTGTCGATCGTATGTCTCCACATGCACATTGTGGGCCCTCATAGCATCCCAAAGCGAATCGCTGTTGGGAGGGGTGGACCCATACAAGTTAACATAGACCTCAAAGGGCTCTCCGTCGGGCGCGAACATGGATTCCCTGTGGAGGACCTTCCCTAGTTTACCAAAGTCGATTCGCCAGAACGGGTCAATGGCAGCGCCGGTCTGTTCGGCATGTGCCTTTTTCCCTTCGATGAAAATGTTGGAATTGTCAATGTAGATGCGTAAGACTCGCTTCTGCGGGCTGGACGGGGCCACGTTGGTAGAAGAAGGGGACATGGTCGCGTTCAGAGCATGCGAAGTGATGGGTCTTTGGCGTACGTCAAGCAGAAACCTGTGTCAACACTATTAGAGAAGGAACAAACGTGTTTGGAGAGGCGAGCGACAGAAAAACGAAAGCGGCTGAGTGATGAAGGGTGGCGAAAGGGCGATCGGCATTCAAGTACCTCTGGATTGAAATTTTCGCAAATATTTGTAAACGAGAAGTCGAAGAACTTAGCCTCGGCTCCGTTATGGTCTTAATTCGCCTGGGAGAGTCTTCCCACTGACTGAAGTGAAGAGTAGGAGCGTTGAAGTCGTTCAGATGGGGGGGGAAAGACACGATGGGTTGAGTTCTCCGAGGAGATGAGGTAAAATTTGTAGGGCAAAGAGGAGGATATAACCAAGATCTTCTGCTAGAGGCAGACCTCGTTAGGTCATTTGACCTCTTCGGCGTTGATTCTCTCTTATGTACTTGGCTACGCCATCAGGCTGAGCCATCTAGCTGTCGTCCCACTACACCTCCAACCGTCATTGGTAGCCTCGCTACCGCGCCCCATAAGCAGAAGCGCTTCAGTGGTTTTGAGGCATACTAAATTTACGTATTATAGAGGTTCCGTGGCTAGGAAGATTGCAGTTGCAAGCCCTATTGGGTGCCCGCCGTCGCCCTCTTCTGTTGCAATAGAAAAGAAATTCAAATGTCGCCAACAAGTTGCCGGTATTTCAGCCTTTACATGCAGAGAGGCCCAAGAAATGAGCGTGGGGCTAGACTCAAGAGCTATGGCGCCCATGGCTACAGCCTACTCGATGTTAAAAATGGATTTTGCAGCCCATTTCCTATCATTGGAAACTATTACCTATGGAGCCCGGTTTTCACATTGATATACCAGGGTCCGAAATGCTATTTATAATGAGAAGTGTGGGACAGGCTCAGGGTTTTCTGACTATAGAACACAGGCTTTGCTCTTCCTACTACTCCACAGCCCCTGAGGAGCATCTACACACTTGACTACTGGCTGAATATGTTACTCCGTACTCCAGACGACTCTGGTGCTCACCCATTGCTCAATCCTGGATGATCAGTGCTCATGTCTGCTAACTCAATCAGTACACCGTTTAAAGACAGGTGTGACGCTAGACAAATTGGATTGAAGGCTGTTGGACGATAAGAATCTCATTTTTACAGGGAGCCCTCTACTGCAATAGGTAACGCAACTCTTTCGAGAGCGTCAGAAGCTAAGAAATGAGCATGGAAATAGAAAGATGGGGCATTCCTCTTTGCTATAAGCTTGTTCGAACTTACATGCAGCTGAGTAATGAAGTAAAAGCACACTGCCACCACCGCGAGAAAGTATGCGTCCTTCGATCTATTTAATGATGAGACGCACCTGATCTGCAAATCGGAACGGATTCGGCAGCAATAGAAGGACCACCTGACACTCGTTTGAGCACGACGATACTAGAGGCAAGTAACGCCCAAGGAACCGCCAGCTTCACGAAACAAGGTGATCATGCTCCCGACGCGCAGCTGCTCGCAGGTCCCTAGATCGATACACACCACTCCGTTTGCGGTCGGGCTGCTCTTCTGCCGCTCGTTGACCCTCCCTTACACCACTATCCCAGCATTCCTCCCTTCTTCTACCGTCCCGCCTTGCCTCTTCATTTCAGCCTTGGTCTCCTTCTCATGTTTCCGCTTCACCAGCATCAACATCACACTATTATACAGCAGAAACAACGCAGCCGCCACCACCGAACTCACCGCCGTAACAATAATCGTCGCTTTCGCAGTGACAGAGTATTGACCTAATACGCACAATCAGTATCTCTGCAATCTCCACAGAAAGCCACTGTGTGCTGCCTGCTTACCATCCTGCGCAGAGTAAATATTAACCAGCGTAGAAATCAACCCCGCGATACTATTCATCAATGCGGGGAGAAATATCCGATTGATCACCCAGACATAGTTCTTCCGATGCGTCCACCACAGCCAAAGGCATCCGATGACGCCGACCCCGCACGCGAAGGCGGCGACGTAGAGGAGCGGCACGTTGCGCACTGTCTCGAGAGCGTGGGCTTTCAGCGCTGAATTGGCTTCCTTGTCTAGATCTTCGTCTGTCTGGAGCTTGTTGAATGTCGCGGGGAAGACGATGTAGCCTGCGAGGAGGATCCAGGTGAAGAAGGAGGCGAGGATGTTGTGCAGCCTGGGGACGTTGTCGAGCTCGAGGAGCATGTCGATGTAGCGCGTTTGCGCTGTGGTTCGGCGTCGTTGGAGGCCTGGTCGTGAGGGCTTGCTGGTATCTCTCGTCGAGGCAGTGGGCCTGCTGTGCTGCTTGTCTGAGGGGTTGCGCTTTATTTGCGAGGGTGCTCGTTGTGGTTCTTGGATTCGCGTAGATAGCGTGCGCGTCGGACTCGGCTTCGTGGGTGACAAAATGGTCACGCTGTCTTTCCTTTCCACATCCTCCTTCTGCTTGGTGTCGGCTGTCCCTTGGGAGCTCCTCGACTCCTGCACCGTGGGCAGCTTTCCTGGACCGCCTTTCGTCGAGGAGGAAAAGAACGCCATGTTGAAAGTCACATTCAACGGTTTGACGGATTTCGAGAAAAGACTGAGCAACGTAGACTTGAGAGAAGAACAACTACTTCAACTCTCGCTTCAAAACCAAGAACAACAGCCCTACCGTCCCATCACCTACATATACACGCCATTCCGCAAGGTCGGCACTATTTCGCCCCTCTCCCAGCTTGCAGGTCTCAAAACCGGTTGTTCCTGACCAACCGCCCTCTCTCGCCACCAGATTCCCCGGATAACGGCCGCTTCGGCCCATTGACAGCTGCCACGAGCTGTCGGCTATCGGGAGTCGGGCCTTGTTTCGTGATGGCGAAGTCCTGCGGTGGTGTTTGGCGGTTGGTGGTTGGCGGGCTGTGGATGCAGGGATGAGGGCGTCGATCGCTTGCGTCATTGCGCTGGGCCTGCGAAGTCATGCATCTTTGGGGGAAGGAGATACCGAGGGAGGAGAACTATAGGTTAGCGGTGGCTTGAGGTTTGAAGCAGGTTTGTGTAACATCAGAAAGAAAAGCTGTGAAGATACAAGATCGATGCCGCCCCAGACCTGACCAAGCCCATACACGTGACACTTACTCCTCCGGTCCAAACCCAATCTCCAGTTATACACCAAGCCCTCAGCTATCCACCTCATCTCCCCAGCCTTGTGATCGATCTGTCCTCTGGCAGCCACACGCGCCAGGCTTGCGAACAAAACCGCAGCCGCAGCACCACCGTGTCCTATTAATCTACTTCGCGTGACTGGGCGGGGGCCCGACCCCGGCAGGTTAATCTGGAAGGCCGGAAAAATTTTGCGGCAGCGTCTCAACTTGCCGCTCCAGGCAAGCTTCGAGAAGAAGAGGACAGAGAAGCATGAACGCTTTTGCTAAGACGTGAAATTGAAATTGGAGGATGTGGGTATATGTATATAGGAAGGGAGCTATGCTGTGTGAATAAAAGTTTGAAGCCGTCCTCTCCTCTGCAGGTCTCAGGCTTTGTTTGCTTGCTTTCTTCGAACTTTTTCTGAGGTTCTGCTATTGCTGCAATTGTTGCTTCATAGAGTAGTGTTACCTGCATTTCTTCTCAATTGAACGAACGCAAGGAGGATAGCAATCCACCATGAGACTCCTCACCCTCCTCTCCCCCGCGCTCCTCGCCGCAACCGCCTTCGCCTCTGAATCCGACGTCCCATCCTCCGTCTCCAGCGGCGAAGTTCCCTCCCCCGCAACGCCGTCCTCGTCCGCCGCACCGGAGGAGCCCACCCCTATCGGCCAACTGTACACCGCGCAATGGAAAGACGCCGATATCCCGGCGTCCCAACGCAAATGCGTCTCAAAATCCACCTACAAAGCCGGCATCTACAAGCTCGGTGAAATGTATCCTGCGCTGAAGACCTGGGCGCCGCAGCTCAAGGTCTTCTACCACAAGCAGCACTACGAGGGCACCTGGGAAGGGGTTGATCATCATGGGACGGATAGGGAGCTGCTGAAGATGGACTATGAGGAGCTGCCGTTTGGAGTGCGGGAGTGGATTACGCGGAATCCGAAGCAGAGGCATTATAGTGTGCAGGATGAGGTGGTTTTCTTTGCGCCGGGCGCGATTTATCCGGTGTTACCGCTGTGGGTGGAGGAGCCCGAGGGTGAGACGATTGGAGAGTGTGAAGGTATGTATAGTATAATTCGTGGGGGAGAGATGTGGTATGGAGAGCTAGGGCTAATGCGTGAGCAGGTGTCTTTGAGGATCTTGAGAATTACTCGCCGACGACCAAGGATGGTGTTGTGCTCGGGAAGGTGTCGCATGAGGCCAAGGGCAAGCACGAAGTCGAATTCACCGTCGAAGCGTTCCAGATCAAGCAGACAGCCGGGGACCAGAAGCGCGACGAGTTGTAGATTCCACAATCGTAGATCCACCTCTCTTCATCCAAAATCAGCTATCCGGGTATCCAGCGGGGCGTTCATAGAGAATAATTCAAGCATCCTTTTTGTTCTTCCGCTCCAGAGCCTTCCTCTTCCTTAGCCTCCTCGTGTTTTTCGCATGCATAATCGCAGATACCATGTTGAAGAAGAATATAACGCAGAAGATAAACGCGATCAAGGCCAGCACGGCGGCCACGCTAACGATGGAGAAGACGACGAAGCCGTAGCATGTGCGGCGGAAGAGGTCGTTGCCTTGCAAGGGGTCCACGCCTGCGCCGACCTGCATCGCGGACAGCACCAGGGAGAAGAAAACGAAGACGACGAGGACCCAGCTGAATTTGCGCTGGAAGAATGCGACGTAGCGATTGTAGCCGTAGAGGTAGCCTCGGACGAAATGCGTGTGCGCGTAGCGTATGCGGTAGATGGAATTGATCCTGCCCAGGCGCAGATCGCCGAAATGGTACCGCTTGTTGACCTGATCGAGCGCGTTCACGTCGACATGCTTAACGAAGTCGGTGACAAACTCCTTCCACCAATGCCAGGTGATAAAGCTGGGCAGGAGGTTCATTTCATGAGCCATTTTGTGATCGACCGGCGTCGTCAGCAACCACACGTAGGAGAGGAGGAAGCCGCACGCCGCGCCGTGCAAGTATGGGTTGTCGCAAATCCACTGCTGCCAGAATTCGTAGCCTAGCATCCATTCCGGCAGCGGCTTCAGCATCAGCTTGTTTGAAAACTTGAGCAGGTGCAGATCGTGGTTCTGCGCATACACAACTTCAAACCCCTCCATCTTGTATCGGTGCAGCGGTCGGGCGCGCATCGGCCGTCCGGCCATCCAGAGGTGCCCATGGATGCGGTTCAGACGCGTGAGATCCAGATCGTATTCTAGGAAGCTCTTGATGTCGTCATTCGCTAGGTAGCAATTGTTATTTTTACCGGCTATCGTAGGCAACGAGTCGAGCGGTGTGAGTGGGAGGTTGCTTGCGCTGTCGAGAGTGGGCTGCTGACTGGTATCGCCGTTTGATGCTGATACTGTGGATTGGGACAATGATCGAGGGAGAGATGGCTTGGGAGGAATAGGGCGGGCGGTGAAGGGAGGCCTCAGGGCAAGGTCCTGTAATCGTCGTGGTCAGCGGGGTGTCGTTCTCATAGTAGCTCTCAGCTTGCATGCCAGGGGAAGCTTCAGCATACCGTCTTCTCGTTCTCGGCCATAGCGAACGTGCGCGGATGATCGCGAATACGCGCTCGTGTCCGGCCATGGGGGGAGCAGATCGGTTTTTGTCTGCAGCACGAGGCTGAGCATCGCACGCGGGTGCCCCATGATGCGGGAAGCCGGCCAGGCACCAAACAGGGGAGCGAATCGATGTGGGGGCTGAATTGCTTGCTTTCCGGAACGGATCGGATGGGAATATCTCATTTTCCATCCGAAACTGCACGATTGATTGGATGCTCGTAAGCCACTTGCTATTAATGTCTCGAAAGGGAGTCTCAGCTCACATCACCCAAGAATTCACGTGGGCAGGATCGCGTTGAGGGAGAAACTTGGATGGTAATTTATACGAAGATACGACCGTGACTCCATCCGGTTTTCCTCCTCTAATACCACCATTACCAATCGCATTTTGGGCTATCCGATGCAGAAACCATGCCATGCCCACTATGCGCCGAAGCTTGCCAATCCTCCAAATGCCGCAACGATGCCAGCAATTACTTGACGTAGTTTGCCGGGAAACTGCCTCTCTGGCCTCGCAACTCGCCTTCCCACCAGTCTTGCGAGCTATTTGTCTTCTTCACCACCCGGATGCGGTCTCCCTCCCGGAAGCTAAGGTCACCCTCGCTGTGGGCGTCAAAGTCGTACATGGCTGTGACATACTCTCCGTGGAACGATCCAATCTTCTTTGGGGGTGGGGGTGGTGGTGGCTTCTTCTTCGCTGCTAGATTCGGAGACATGGCTGCTCCCGCGGAGCTCGATGAAGTCGTTGAAGCGATGCGTGGCCTACCGAAGTAGTCATCGTGACCATTCGTGCCAGTCGTGTTGGACGAAGCGTACGACGCAGCCGAAGTACGCCGGCCTAGGGGCTCCAAGGAAGGGCTCAAGCCGGGTGAGTGGGAGCCGATCCTCGGCGTTAAAGTATTGAGAGAGCCGTTTGAAGGCTTGCTTGCCAAGTTAACGGGCGGCTGACCATTCTCTGCATGCGGTGGCAGATTGTAACCAGGTCTTGGTGTCCTCACCGGCAGAGTGTTGACGGATTCGTTGCTGCTGACTCTCCTGCCGGGCATGACCTTGTTCCTGATTCCCAGCCCGGTCACCGTCTCTCCCTTGTCGGGCAGCCTCATAGGGTTATGAATCGCCTTGCCAGTCCTCAACATCTCAAGACTATTTTCAATCTCCTTTCGCAGTGGAGTAAACGCAGCATCCCAGATAGGTATGACTTCGTCAGGCTCAGGAGGCGGGTCAGGGTATCCCTGCTCGTGAGAGTACTGGTTCAGAACTGTGTAGAGATTTCCAATCAAGTTGTTCTGAAGTACGATCTGGTTCGCGAGTAGGTGGGGGAGGAGCGAGAAGGTGGCGGCATTGAGTCTAGGCAATTGGGTGCGAAGGGCCTCGTCTGCGTACTGGTACTCGTGGGTGGCCTTGGCGAGATCGGCCTCGTGCTTGTTCAAGGCAATGTTGTCGCGATCGGAGCGTGTCTTCTTCTTCTGGAGGGTTTCGGCGCGGCCCTTGTATCGCTCGTAGTCCACCTAGAGGCAGGCTTATTAGTAGTCGTCTTGCCATATTGGCAGCTATCCCTCACCTTTTTGTCCTCGCGCTTCTTGATTGCCTTCTTCATAGGCTTGAGCGAGTCCCTGGCTAACTTGGCCGGTATGATGAGCTTCTTCTCAATATCCTTGACTTCCTCCATCATGTCCGTCTTGAGCTCCGCAAAGGCTTCCTGCAGCTTAACGCAGCGCTCCAAGGTCGCCGGTGGGGTGTCCGCATGGTCGCGGGAGCCGAATTCTCCCCCCTTTGCGCCTAATGGTTTGTATAGGCTGTGCATGTGCTCGATGGAAGCGAGCTGGTGGTTGAGGATGTTGGTCCACGCGTCGCGCCATTGCTTTGCGGCCTCTTCGATCTGCGAGGGTTAGTGAGGGAGTCCATGTCGATTGTAAAGACGGATCTGTGAGTGAGCATGGGGAATAGGTGATGGGATTGTTCGCGAGGGGATGGGTCTCTGGCAGGGCGCACCCATCTGGCCGACCCCACCGGTTCCTGCTATTCACGCCGCCTGGCAATTCACGCTCGAATGGCAGGAGCAACACGTACCCTTTCCAGCATCTGGTCGGAATCATTGAAGTCGCGCAGCATGCCCTCAATGTCGGCTTCGTTGGGCGTCCGGGGCAGGAAGCGCCCAAAGGTCCGCTGCATGCGCTGCATGGCGGCGGCGGCGGCTGGCTGCAATTGCGGGCGACGTGAGGTGATAGCAGGTGGAGAGAGGTGTTCCTAGGTAGTCTAAATGTAAAGGAGCAGCGAGGCTAGCTGGCGCGGTGACAAGGCGCACGGAGTCCGCGTCTAACGGCCAACGGCGGCGATGGTGAAAGCTCGTGAGCAAACGGCGGGCATGGGGGCGCAGTAGCAGGCAGCAAGGCCCCGCGTTTCATCGCTCTGTTGTGCTGCTCACCCGGGGCTGAGTGGAACTGCTGCGGCTGCACGAGGCTCAAGTCGCATCCTTCGGCGCGACATTATTCGGTGGCGGGCTGTGCAATGGGTGCGCTTGCGCCTGGGCGGGAAAGGCCAGCTCGACCGTCGTGGGCCGTCAACGGGTCATGTGCTTTGGCGTTTAGGCCCGCCGCTGGGCTTGTCTACGTCGCGTCAACCCCTCCTCAACACCGCTTTTGGCACCATTGACGCCGCCCTCATGTCCTTCGACGGATCCACGACGCGTCGCAATCGCTTCCTGGCGCGATGACCGCACAGTTTCGCAGCACTCCACGACTCACCGCCATCCCCGCATCGCAGAACACCGCACCCGTCACCGAATTCCGATGCCTCTTCACGCACGATGTACGCCGGAAACAGAAGCGCTGGCAAGATGGCTACCTCAAGTTCCACACCTTCAATAACCGTGTCATGGTCTATGACACGTCGAGGAATTTTCTGGGCGATACATACTGGAAGGAGAGCAATGAGGTCCAAGAAGGCGACGCGCTCACGCTCGACAAGGGAGTCATGGTGGAGGTAGCAGATGCAATAGGCGTTACGCAGACGGACTTGACACCGCTCTTTGAGAAGAAGACGAAGGAGTCACCCCAGAGAAGCAATGCCGCACCCGCACAGCGACCGCCGTCCAAGCCCGCCCTTCCTGCGAATAACCCCCTCCGAGCCGGCTCTCAGTTGCGCCACAAATCTCTAAATACCCTGCTTGGGACACCCAGAGGCCCAATTGGCAAGGCAGTGCCTATAAAGTCGCCATTCGAGACAAAGCAACGCAAGGAGAACCGCTTTGCGGACGAGAGGGCCACCAAGAGGCAGAGGCTGTCCCATGAGCCTACACATCAGACAGCATCTAGTCCAGTGAGAGATGACGATGCCGCACCGAAAACAAATCTGCCACTGTGGGCGCGGACATCGGATGCGAAGGTCGCCCGGGCACCGCCGAAACCAATACGTCGCGGTGCTGCAGTCATCGCTCTGGACTCTGAGACCGACAATATCTCATCCGACATCACCCTGCCAAGCACTCCTCCCGGAATGAGCAAACCGAGGCCTAAGCCTAAAGCTACTTCGGCATCACTCAGCGACCAGGAAGTGGTAAGACAACCTCGCCCTCATACGACTCCCAAGTTGCCAAAAGGCAAGGTACCTGTTCCTCAGGTCAAGGCACAAGAGACGCCTCGACCACCGCCACAACCATCGTCCCCGCCCGTCAGTGCTTCAAATCGTCTTTCCAATGTCGACTTTGCCGTCCAGCCTGTACGGCAAATGCAAAAGGCGCCGCAGCAGGAATCGCGGAAGCAACCATTAAATGAACCGCAAAAGGAGCTGTCTCCGTCTCAGTCGCCGCCTCGAAACCCTAAAGCAAGGTCTCTACGTTTAGCCGCGGGTGTCAAACGCGGGATCTTGCTATGTCAAGCAGTGCCCCGACCGCGCGCGAAGGCACCGCCCACTGAGCCGATAGCGCGCCCGTTGAAAGTGGGGGCGAAGGCAAAGAAGAATCATGTTGGCAGGCCATCAACAGATGATCCTATTTCCTTGCTCACAGATGACGACGTCTTTGAGTTGCAGAATGATCCATCGGGATCTAGGGCCCTCTCCAATGAGGCGAAGGATCAGCAGACACCATCAGCAGCTACAATGGGAGAATCGGAGGATGTTGGAGTCGCGCAACACTCACCCAACCCATCATTCGATGCGTTCGACGATTTGGAACTTATACACGGCCTCATGGATCAACAGTTGATAGTCACGCCGCCCCCTCCAAGACCAATGTCTTCGCCACCACCGGAGGCAGCAGACCTAACGCCAGCTCCGGCTAAGAAAGCATCCAGCAGGAAGAAGAGAGGACATGAGGAGCTACCAGCTGTGGATCCTGTACCAAAAACTAAGAAGCCCAAAGCGGCGGTGGCGAAAGAACCCTCAGAGAAGCCGCAACCAAAGAAGAAACGAGCCCAAAAATCGCAAGCCCCTCGGAAAGGCTCACCTACTGTTGTACCTGCCGAAGCGCCTGCAAAGCAGCGACGGCAAGACGAACCCATATCGCTCATAGAACCATCAGAAGAACCCTCGCGCGACATATCCACCTCTATGTCTCCTAAAAAGGTCGCCCTCTCCACAGGCGGCTTCCAGAAGAAAGGCAAGCGTGCTCAACCCGGTCCCGTCAATGCCGAAGCCCCCGGACCGCGACCTATCACTATCGCATTACCACCGCATCCACTTCGCGCAAACAAATCCGGGCCCTTAATGAGCACTACTGAGCTCTCCGCTCTTCTACAAAAAACCCATAAACCCGTCAGGGTTGAGGACGACCCGATTGAGGATGGCACACAAGCAGACAAGAACCTTTCGCCAAATAGGAGTTTCCGGCGCTCCAGGAGTGAGAATGACGCTCCAATACCGTCCACGAGCGACGACTGGGCAAAACGCAATCTACCCAAGGCGTCTAAATCCGATAACGATGCCACTACCGCTGTGCAAGCACACCCAGAACCTCCGAAACCAAAGGCTGGCGGGTTAGCGGCCTTGATCAAGAAGACAGATCCACGGCGCAAATTCCAGCGGACACAGAGCCTGAATGTGAATACAAACGTGCCTACGGTTGAGGAAGTGGAAGTGGTAACACCACCAGCGGATGATGATGTTGGACCGTGGAGTACGGAGGCTTTTGACCTATTCGATTGGAGACCACCGGCGAAGGGAGACGAGGATGCGGGCATTGGATTATTTGTCGACAAGAGGTAGCTGATCTGTGGACGCACCGAAGGTGCTCCTAGACGACACGATTGAATGGACATATTCTTTTACTTCGCCAGACTTCTTCAGGGACATGAGGCGAAGTGCATTGCCTTTTCGTCTGTGGCGCAGAGCGATTGAGCATCATAGAAAGTAGGTAAGTCACGAAGCCATGGTTCTGCGCCTGATCTGATTTGCTTCGGAGCGCTCGAGACGAGCATGCGATGTCCGCCCTATAATTTGAACACTTGCCGTCGCCGTTGCCCTTTTACGCCTACATAAGGTTGGCCACGTTGTTTTTTTGTTGTTTTTTTTGATCCCGTCACTCCCAGTCTGCATCATGCCTACTTCTCCTTGTTCGGGGCAGAACATGATCGTCTTAAACTTCTCTCTGCGAAAGCCCGTCTGGCAAACTTGTCGATCTTTAGTCCAAGGCCTCTAGTTTCCATATCGCTTTGGTGGTCGCCTTTCTCGTTCCCCATCGCACGTACGCACATAGCTGCTCTATACTCGCCGCCTTTGGTATCTCCCGACATAGAGTCTATTGCATGCTCGTTCTGGTCCCAGATCCGCGAACACATGATCATTGTTCAGGACGGATTTCAAGACGAAGGCTGGGCACTCAGTGGTCTCTACCTGGACCCGGACGACGCTCCACATGAAGGCAGGCCGCGAGAATATGTAGTTGAGGGCATCGCAGCCAGGTCAACGGCTGTTCTGGACGAACAAGGAAGGCGGATCATAGACGTAGCTGCGGAGCGATTTCGAGTTCCCAACCATGGTTTCCACCGTGAGGTATTTCGATCCGGGATCCAACAGGCGCATCAGCTGGTTCCTTACAGCTTGTGGATGCGTGCTTCGAGGAGCGGCGAACAGGGAACAGAACATACTCCTCCATTCCGACAGATTCTGAGCAGGAATCAACCTCTCATTTTCTCTTTTTTCATCGTCGTTCATGCATTCGACTCTGGCTTCCTGCCACCTTCCTTCCAAACATAACACCGTCCGCCTAAACTCTTGTCGACATGCCCGCCCAACCATCGCCGAACGCTATTCCGATCTTTGGGTCTGCAGATCATAACATCTCCACTAGTCCCTTTCTAGTGCGTCTTAAATCCGTCCTCGCTCGAGCGTATTATCCCCCAACGGGGTCCCATAGCTCTAGCGGCTTCAATGTTGTAGGTACACGGCTCCGCATCGGTTCTGAGTCGTCTGCTTTTTAAACTCCCGGTCATCAAGCACCCATAGATCTCTTGAGCGGCCTACATTGCAGACTCGACTGGCCAAAGCCATCATGCGAAAACGCTGCAACTTTTCACCGGGCGGAGGGGAAACATTCTTGGTTAAGTTTCCCCTTTGGGGAGAGATCCCATAGCTTGCGGCTCTTGTGCATTCTGCTCCTAGCTCCGGAATAAGCTTTGCGAAGTTGTTATTTTTGACTGGAGGCGGCGCCATCGTTTGGATAACATATCGCTTGTGGTCTCAAGTCATCGACTCCAGGCCTGGTGCTTTTTAGTCCCCGGAGCTAGAAGACACATAGTGGCAGGTATTTGCAGTTTTTGGAAACGGGCTTTGAGAAATGGGAGAGGCGGGAGACGGGACATGCGCCTCCATCATGGCATTTTGGGCCTAGAGTTCATTGCATGTTGGGGTGATTGTGTCTTCTCGTCTCGGAGCGTAGGTTGCCCTCGTGGCTGTTTTCGAGGAGAAAAGACAGCGCAATCCGGAATCGAGCGCCTCTTTTTAGACTGCCAGATACCCAGACACTTTTTTGTCAGATATGATTGCTGGAGATGTCACCGGCCCATTCCAGGTTAGCCATGTTGGATTTGGATACGATCTCCGGCAGTGGCGAGAAGCAAGAGCAGTCAGACTGCGAGCTTCAAGACTTTGAACGATAACTTCTGGTCCACAGTCTCTCCGGACGCTTGAGTCGTCCCTCAAGTCGCTTTAGGAGAAGTGCAGAGCATATTTTGTACGCCTCTTGAGTTGGTTTTGAGCGACGATCCCGCATGTCGTACTATTCGCTGGTTATCCTGGTTCTAGATTATAGCATTGTACGGTAACCTTTAGGAGAAAAATGGGACCTCGGGGTGAACGGGAAGCTGCGTCTCCGGACATGGGGCTACTGTATTTGGGTTTGAGAGATTCGCTGTGTCCATAGGTCGTCGCATCGCATGTCGTGAGTCGGATCTCTAGGAGAAAGAGACGGAGAGGCGGGTCCATTTCGATTGTTTGGCGCTAGTTCTGGAGCGACAGGCGCGTGGATGATCTTTCTACCCGTTTTATGGTCTCCATGGTTTACTTTGAGGGTGTAAGCTTTTCGCGTCCTGGGAAGACAAGGAGCCATATGGTGTTGGATGGCCACACTTGGGTTCCTGGGCATGATAGTTTCCGCTCAGCGCTTTGAGGAGCTGCCCACACGCCCATACAAGTAGCCTACAAAAGACTCGACTACGGCGCTCCACAAGGAGTGGAGGCGAGGAGAGGCAGGACATCGGTTGCCGAGATTATTATTTTTTGAAGCAAGAAACGCCATCGGCGTCGTCATACAAGCTTTCGACTTCCATCTATAGGGTGTCGAGAACCATTCTCCTTGACAAGCGGAGCAGAACATGGGATATATGGCTCGCTGTTTAACGTTCCAGTCATGCTCTAGTTGCATCGACGCTTCTCTACACGAGTATTCGGACGCATGCAGTCTGGGAAGCGCAATTTTGGACACCGCCTCCAGTAACTGGGGGGGGTTAGAGAGAGACGCAGGCACGACATTTCTGCTTTGCTCAGCTCTTTTTCGAGCAAAAAACATTATAGGACTCTTGCTCGAATGATTTCGGTTTCCAGGCATATTAAACCGGTCGGGCTTTTATTAGTCAGGAAAACAGGGTCATCAGTGGTTTGAAAGCAAAGTTTTGCATCCGGACATGTTCTCATGTATTGGAGCTTTCTGAAAGATCGCGGCTCTCATGGGACGAGGTCCATGTCGATTGTAGCGACTAACTTCGACGAGTGGGGAAGCGGGCAGGCATATAATGAACAGCATGGTCGTTGTGAAAGCAGGAGACTCCATGTGGACTGTGACCGGCTCGTTTGGACTTCCAGGCATTCTGCGGCGCAGGCAATTCTTTTCGTCCAGGAAGCGGAGCCATGCGCGGATATGGACCGACCTTTTAGAATTCGGAGCATCACTTGAGTTATCAAGGAGTTATCAAGGGTTTGAGCGAGCCTCTTAAGCGGATGTCTAGAAAGAATAGAGGCTCAGAGGCGCGGCATGAGCACGCCATCGTAAGCTCTTTCGAACGAGGGACTCCATCGTGTGGATGCCTCGCCACCGTTTTTTATCTCCGGGTGAGGAACTTCCTAAGGGAGCTTCTTCCACGCTGCCAACTCCATCACTACGTGTATGTTCCCTTTTGATATTCAGACATAAACGCCGGCTTTGGAGGTTTGCGAAGAGTTTCCAGGCCCATACTACCCTTGCAATATCTGTTTTGAACACCGATATGGGTGGACACGGAAGAAAGAGGCAAGGGAGAAGGGCAGCATCGGCCTTTGGCTTAGTCACTTTAAGGCAGGACAGCCATCGGCCGAGAGTCCGAAGCTTTCGGGGTGGAAACATGACCGGTATTGTTGCATTCTTCATGTCGGAAGTCTAAGCCCATCTCGATCGGGCCGCTTCTTTAGTTCCCAGTCATACAAGTTCGTGATTAGTTATTGCATTACAAGAATCTGGAGGCTCATCAAGAGGATTGTCGATGATTTCGGAATCGCGGTTGGGCCCGGCAGAAGGAGCGATCGTGGGAGGCACTGGTGCGGTCTTGCTCGGAAGTTAGGCTTCTCATGCTTTGTTTGAGCGGTGATTTGGTTCCGCACATCGACACTTGCGAGCTTTGGTCTCTCAGAGAAAGGCAGCCGCATGGGGTGGAGAGGCCGCGAACTCTCATGTCCAGACACGGTCTCAGATCTGACTCTTTCTGGAGAGGCTCGTGAGGGTATATGCTCGTGCCACAATGTTTCAAGCTCTCCAGAAGCTGACTGTATCGTGCGCTGTCGCTAAGTCAGGCGCTGTATGGATGGTACGGGCTCGAATGCTCCCATTTTTAGACGTCGGTTTCGACGGGATTGAAGATTTTGTGGAGAAACGGCCTTGCGTGCGAATTTTTGTTCGCGCTTTCTGCTCCCGGATGTATGGCAGCAACTATCCAAGCGCCCGAAGCCTCACTGCCGGACATGGCACCCATTTACCGCCCATTCGGGAGTCCGTAGCCGCCCTCGTTCCTCACATGAAGCGGGTGTCGCATCGTTTTAGTCCTTCAAGCAACATTCCATGGTGCGAAACTTCCTAGCCTTCCGCAGCATGCGCTTATACTGTTACCATTTGAGCATCCACTCCATGCTAAGGTCAATATGCCATTTCGTGCTCGACGGACCGCAGACCCCTTGATGGGCAAGGGAAGGCAAGCGACCAAGGTCATGAGAAGTCAATGTCGGATTTTTAAGAGGCAGAAGCCAGCCATATGCTGAGATTGGCGTTTGCTTTAGAGACCTGTAGAAGGCCGTGGTATTCTGGATGTCCAGAAAAGCAGGGGCATTTATACCCACTTCTTCGGTTGCACTAGCAGCTCCTTCTCTCCAACATGGTTGCAGGTAATCCAGTTTTTGCTTTCCCGAGAGCGCGGCCCATTCAACGTTGTTTTGTGAAACTTTGGTGCCAATCTGTCCGAACTTGAGGCTCCCGGAGCCCGTCTCCATGTCTTCGGCCATTTTTTTTTAGCTCTTTTACACTCACTCTGGGAACTCGGATGGAAGGAATATAGCACTTCCACAAGCCCATTTTAGGCTTTCTTCAGCAGTTGTCAAGGGCAAGATCCAGCCATGTCAATAACCCACATCCTATTCCGGAAGCGCGAGAAAGCCGAATGATGCATCGTAGATGAGCAAGCATACATTCGGAAGAGGAGCCCGTTGTTCTGCCCCCCCATTTTCATCCAGACCGCCACTTTCGCCAACATACATCGTGCGAGAAATTGGGGGAGTTTTTTTTTTTTTGATTCTGAAGACCCGGCCGCATAGTTTGAAGGGAACCGACCTTCAAGGCATTGGAACGCTTGATAGAAGTCTCTCGAGTCCTTCTCCATATACATAATTGGAATAAACTTCGGTTCCGTATGTGGTGGTGTGCGGGAATCCACGAAGTTCATATGAAGCTTCCGACACGCTTTTCGAGGCAAGAACCAACCATCCTAGGACCCAGCGACTGGATTTAGAGGTAGAAGCGGACTAACGGGGAGTGTACGGGTGAAAGAGGTAGAAGAAGGGAGGCGTATTTATACTGCATCTCCTCATATCGGAGTGCTAGTGCTCTCTTTCTCCGCCATGAAACAGCCGAATGTCGAATCTTTCGACTCGCCGAAACTTGACCATGTGTGGTATGATCCAGGCCTTTGGGAGCGTCATCAGGAGGCGAGAGAGCGCTCGAACCGCGCTCCATGATTCTTGGTCGGGTTGGTCTTCGTCTCGGTTCCCTCCTGAACTCGGATAGATCGCAGGGGAGCACATCCCAGAACGCCATGCTACTTTTTGAATAAGTTTTGAGAAGACTGGACCTAGCCATCAATCTTGATGAACCTATCTGTTAGTCCTTGGCCGCGGGAGAGGAAGAGAAAGCGTACAGATACTCCAGCACGTAGAAGCAGTCTTCTATACCCGCTCTTGCGGGCAGTGAAGCCCATACTCCTTCTCGTCCCCACAATACGGCCCACAGCTGCTTGTTTTGGGCCCCCAGGCCTGGCTCTCCATAGTTGCCATTTGAGATTCTTTTGGCTCCTAAAGTCGTTTCGCGCAACGTGGACTCTTCCCGTTCTTCTCCATAGTCAGCTCCCCTACTGTCTTCTCGTTCCACACGCTCTCGTCACCCGAAGAGCAGTCCGCAGAAACCATTATTTCCGCATGTCCTCGATTTGGAAACGCAGGGCCAGCATACGCGCTGCCCGGAAATCTTTCCGCAAACGGTCGAGCGACCATAGCTGGGTTTTTCGTATGCTTTTAGATGCATAGAACTGCCTGTGTCTTAAAATGATACTTCCTCCAGCCCCCTTTTATTTCGCAGGAGAAAGGGCTAGTAGATGTCGCAGAGCCCAGGCGCAGAGAAGCATTCGTGGAAATGCATAGCTTTTTAGTCGTGCTAGGCCTACTCCGCCCTCCTCGAAGATTATGTGTTGAGAGTGTCGACTTCGGTTCGCCACACCCATGAATTGGGCTACGAGGTATTTTCGAATCAGGGACATCGACATTGACCCGTTCTCTTCCAGTCCATGGGTTTCCTTTGGGCCAAATTTGTTTCCGAGACGGACACATTCAGATTCGGGTGCGGAAGGAGGCAAATCCACAGCCCATAACGTCGTTGAGTCACGTTTTTAAAGGCAGAGAAACAGCCATGCTGTTGCGGGATCTCACCTTTAGTTAAAGAGGGCTATCGAGAGGAATGTGTGGAGGGAAGCTGGCGGAAGGGAGGTGCGTATTTATACACTTTTGCCGTCCTGGCTGTATGACTAAGGGGTCGATGGTAGAGCAGGCGACTCCGAGTCGGGCAACGCAAAGAGATCCCACGACTTACAAAACAGACGAAAAATGTGGCGCCGGACCACCGTAGACTGAACGTATTACGATTACTACTATAAGTGTACCTCTTGACAGAGGTTATTCTATCGTCCGGATACGGGACATGCGTTCCCCATATAACTTCATCCCTTTAGCGTAACTCGTCTCCTTTTCAATATATGTACACCAATCCTTCTCCCATTCTTCTCCCCAACTCCTTATTTTCTAACCTCGGCCAACAAATACGGCCCAATAACCACACAAGCCTTCCAAATCAGCAAAAAGCTCTCCACAAACAACACATACGGTGCTCTCCACACGGGCCCATCCCACATCCTGCACCAAACGGCATAAAATGCGACCGCGAAAAAGTGATATACCAGCACGCTCGGCGTCCTGATCAAGCCCGCCAGCAGCCCGCACGGCTCTGAAACGCACGTCCCGCCACGCTGGAAGTAGCGGAAGCATCCATTCTGGAGCGCAGTGAGTGCGGAATCGTCGGCGGCGAATAGCGAGTACAAGGCCATAGCGAGGATGTTGATGACGGAGGAACCGTTCTTGCGCTCCCAGTGGAAGCGCGAGATCTGCTTGAGGACGACGTCGGTGGACTCGAAAGTGGGCACACGTTCCGGGGAGAGGAGTTGGGAGAGGAGCAGCACGTCGTTGAAAGCGACGGTCATGCCGCCGCCGGTTAGCGGGTGCCGCATGTTCATCGCATCGCCTAGTATCATCAGGCCCGGTGTCTTCTGTGTAGCTGGCGGGAGGAAGGAGTTCGGCATGGAACGGAACTTTCCGCTTTCGATTGCTCTCCTCAAAGAAGGTTGTACGCAGTCTGGCACTGCGGGTAGCGCTACGTTGAGGAGGTGGTTCTTTATGCCGCCGGCTTTGGGGGACGCGGAGGGGAGGTTTTCGGGGACGTCGATTAGGATGCGCGTCTCATGGGTGCCGATTTGGTAAATGAGGATCGGTGGTGCGTCGGAAAGGATTACGTGCCCGTGATTTGGCATGGGGAGTTCCGCATCGATCAATTCGAGCCCGAAGAACTTTGACCGCACTTCAGGTGCGCGCGGGAGATATGTCTTCCTGAATTTGCTTGCGTAGCCATCGCTTATCAGCGTCAGAGCGCCGAAATAGTAATCTTGCTTTCCCGCGGTGTGGCATTCCACGCCCAGAATCTGGTCAGTGTATCCGCTCTTCACCACGTCCGTAACTGTGGTTTCTACGACTGTGACGTTCGGTGTCGCCCGCGCGGCAGCACGCAGCTTCTGGATGAAGCGGCCATGGTGGAAGGAGCGGCCTTCAGGAGGGTTGGAGGGCGTGGAGTCTGGCGTGAGGTTTGCGGGATAGGGGATGTGGACGGGCTCGCGGTGGTAGGTTACTTGGTAGCCGTAGCAGGGGACGGCGTCGATGTCTTCTAGGCACTCTATTCAATTGTCAGCACGTCTGCCCCACCGTTCTTTTCATCCATCCTGCTCCGTCCGTAGTGTGAGAATGGAAGGATGTACACACCTCTCAACCCCAGCTTCTCCAGCGCATAAACGCCACCCGGCTGCAGCAGCTCGCCCACGATGCGATCCGGCTCTTTCAAACTCCTCTCCAGCAGTATCACACTCCGCCCCTGCTTGCCAAACGCAGCGGCCGCCGCGCATCCTACAATGCCAGCGCCCACAATCACAATGTCTGCCTCATGGTGCTCGCGCCGCCGCACGTCGCGGTAGTCGTTCGTCGCTATTGCCTCGAGCGAGCGGTTCGTTTTCGGCATGCCCTTGGCCAGGAGAGTGGTAGAGGAAGTCGTGGTGGCGGTCGAGGGCTCAACCGTGGTCGTGGTGGTTGTGGACATATTGGCGGGTGATAAAGCCTGCTGAAAGGAAATGGAGGCACAAGGGAACGGAGAAATTAGCCCTGCACACGATAAACGACAGCCCAGAGCGAGCACATGCGACCAAAGGACTACAGCACGAACAAGCAGGCCGCAATTGCAGAAGTGGCGATCTTAAAGAGGGCGACTGTGATCCAAAATCGGGGGCGGCACCTCACCGCCTCCCTCGGTTCTGCCAGGGGTCGGCCAATCGCATCGTTCAGTGGTACGATGGACGCGTGAAAGTCATTTCATCCAGTAGAATTTCACCCCTCTCGAACCATCATCTGGCGTTTTTGCTGGATAGCTTTTCGCACATGCGAGTAGCTGAAAGATGCAGTCGTGCGTGAATTGAAGAGTCTGTCTTGGCGAGCAAGCCATGCTACGCTACAAAAAAAGCTGCGTGGGCCGAGCGGCGCGTGCTATAATAGAAATTACGGAAATATGCAATATGCTGTTGGTAAAGAGGGATAGGAAATGAATATGCAGAGAGGCGCGTAACGTCGTCCACCGCCCATTTTTGTGTTTTCAGACCCAGTCCAAGTGATGCATGACGCGCCAAGTCCTCCAGTACCCAACCTCCGAAGTCCGCCACCTCCGCCGCGTCATCCCAAGCCCATCGTTCAGCCACGCGGCACCCTCCTCTTCCAAACGAAACAAAACGAAACGAAACGGGGACACGCGTGATGAAACCGGTAAATGCATTGAAACGCAGCCTCGAAAAGTCCGATGATACGCCATCCGCGGTGCAAGATGCCCCAAGCGCCCAGTGCTCACCCCCGATGCAGAGGCTGAGCTGAACAAGAGAACCAAACGAAATGCGGAAAACTCGATGCGAGAGCGGGAGACACCGCTGCCAAGGGAAATTGCAGCCCGTCAGCGAAACGCAAAAGCCAAGATTGACGTCGTTACAAGGCCACGCCTGGCTGGTTTGGCGTTGCCTGCGGATGCGGAGATGGCAACGGCGAAGGGACTTCCACGATGGTCGGCTGGCTGAGGTTGAGCTGATTCGGACGCTTCGAGGCGTCGTTTTTTGATCCATCGGGTTTCTGGCCGGGATTCAGCTGGGAATACCGGTAGTAGGCATCGTAGAATTCGCTGAAGCGAGGATCGTTCGTTTGGTTGCTTTGCGATGACCCGGGTGCGAGGAGGGAGCTCGAAGCGCTTGGTCGGCGGCTTGGTTCCTTGCTTGCAGCGGCAACAGTGGAATTGCGGCTCGAGTTTTCGGGGAAGGAGTAATTGTAGGCGGAGCCGCTCGAAGTCGTGCGTTTGTGGTGGCCCTGGTATGTCGATGTTCTCTTGTCACTATATATGCTGCTTGCGCTGCTCAGGTCTCGTTGGTGGGATGGCTGATACGTTTGTGGTAGAAGACGGACGGGCGACGACGGTCGTTCAGTTGGCATATTGTCTTTACAAAAGTCAGGATTGCTCGTGACGTTGATTGCTTGAATGCTAAATATCACAGCACCAAGGAAAGTCTACCTACTCGACTGCTCGGCTCGGACACCCGGCTCGTGGAACGTGGGGAAGGGAGACCGAGCATCGTCCTGGAATGCCCTCTGTGGCATGGAAGGAGGCTTGGCTACGGGAGCACGGCCTGGGGAGGGCGGAGCGCTGTGGTTTGGCGAGTGCGCGGGTGATGGGTCGTTGAAAGAGGCGGCTTGCGATTTCGCGGGATCTTCAGCGGAGACAAGGGAAGCTCGGAGCCCTTCTGGCATCGGGATCTGTGGCGGAACTGGAGCATAGTGTTCAGGTTTGAAGCTAGGCGATCGAGGTGAGAGACGTCCGTCACTCTCGCCGCTATCCGAGCCCCCAAAGGTAGGTGAGTGCGGAGGGCGCGCTAGAACTGGCGAAGGGGGCACGGTCAAGTTCATATTGACGGCGGCGTTGTGATTGATCCTTCCATTCAATTCCGCCTCAGATGGTCGCAGCTTCATCATGTTCGGTGGTGACTTCCTTCTCGGAGGAGAGTGCGAGGGCAAGGTTTCCGAATCGCGGTTATTGGTGTGAGCCAGAGGCAAGCTGGTGACACTGCTTGCCATGGAATGCGTTTGGATCTTTGGTGAGTTGAAGCCGCCGATCAGAGTTGTCGATGACATTGCCGGGCTTTCGGCGATCGATCCAGCTCTTGATGTAGGGCGAGATTGCGGGATACCGGCGTAAAACCCAGCTTCTATGGCTCGAATGCCGAACAAGTCCCCTTCGTCCTTCTCCCGCTGATTCAACTCCATCTGTTCCTCTCTGGGTCCCGATTCCTCATTATGCTGCTTGGTAAACTTCTTCAATCTGATGCTGGTGTAAGTGTGTCTCCGATGACAATGAATGAGTTAGGCTTACTTTCTGCGGTCATACAGGAGCTTGATTGCACCAGCGATTAGAGTGAGGACGAGGAGCGACACGAAGACCACACTGTTATGGTCAATACAAAGTGCATAACCAGGTCAAGCGGGTACGTACGTGTACTTGTAGGCCAACTGCAAATCGCCGAACCAGTTCCCCATTATGATTACTTTTTATTCTTTTCCTGGAGAGTGAACGAGAGACTGGAGCACCTGGCTCCGACTGAGGACGACAGCGACGAATGATATGGAGCGAGAGTGTTCCGACAACTGGCGCTGAGCTGAAACGACGAAACGCGCTTCCTGTATGTGATATCTAAATCTGCGTCTTGAGGCGTCCAAAACGGTGATGACGACGGAGGGAGCTGTTGCAGAGTTCCCAAAAAGGCCGAAGACCTGGCGCGCCCGGAGACAAAGAGTTTCAGCTATAGGCAGAATATACCCCTGCAAGAACGAACGATCTGCCGGTGTGAACGAATGACCACCCCAGTGGCAGGCAAGTAACGAGCGCTAATAACGAAGGGATGTGTGAGAGGAACACACGGTTGAAAAGAACGACTGCTGGCGGCAGAAGCACACACCTGGGAGAAGTGGGCACGAAGTGGTGTGAAGGGGGAAGAGGCACAGGTAAAGAGGCAAAGCTGTGCCTTACGCGCAGACCACTACTGTCTGGCGCCATGCGGACAGTGGATGTCGGCACGTTTGGCCCATGGGCGCTTTGGGTTCTCACGATCTAAAAGCGGAACGAAAGGCTGGATCTCAATGCTCGTCCGCGAAGCGAGCACCGTCAGCGAATCAGGCATGGCTGTGTAAATGGACCACTCCTAAATTGGAAGGCTGTTTTGCATGGTCCTAGCCCTTTTCGTCCGGAGAGTGTTTGAGAGGCCTGTCCCGGACCTCCGCTACTGTGCGGCGGCTCCAGAGCTTTGTCGTGTCCGTCAGATTAGTTCAAAGCTTCCTCAGAAAGGAGTGAAATTCTCTCAGAGTCTGGAAAGGACGTTGCATCGAGGGGATAATCAGCCGTCTCTTTCGTAAGGCAGCCTTTAAAATTCTGCAGCGTTAAATTGATCGGCCGCAACCAATGCGAGGCCCAACGGAACCTGGTCGGCAATCTGTGAAGACGGCATGGGTGGCTAAACAGCAGGCGGCTTTCCTTGGAAGGCTGGAGGCGTATGATTCGTGTTCTCGAACGGCGTGGCCCCTGAAAACGTGCGGGGATGGAAGCAGGAACAGGCAAGGCGGTTGTCCGGACGCAGCCACTGTATCCGCTTTACGGTTCTTGGCAGGGGAGAAACACACCACGTCCGAGGCGCAGGATTCGAGAAAACGTAAAAGGAGAGCGAAGCGCGACTGTCATCCATGGATGGCCAGTAACCCTCAGCACGAGGCCGTCTCGTGATCTCTCCTGCCGAGGCGTTCTCGTACAACCTGCTTTCGTCGCATTCGTGACTCGTCGAACCAATGCTGCTCGTCGACCTGACTCTGCGCTGTTTTTGGCTCGGAAGGAGAGGGAATTGGCCCCGAGACCGAAGGAGCAATTGACGATGCTTGATATGAAAAGGCGAGAGGTGGCACGACTTCTTCGTGCGTATCCAACTGCAGACACTCTGGCTGTCGCACACGCTTACCCGGATAGAGTGATGACAGCTGTGACTAGTTCCGTGGACGCGTTGGACCAACGCTGCAGCCGATTCCTCTGCTCCTGCGCCCGTCACACAAGCTCGCGACCGGTGCGCATGTGTGAGCATCCGATGAGCCGAGCATGTTCGACCTAGTCCGGAAGAGCGCGGCCGACACCTAGCCGCGGGGACGGGGACGGGCCACGATAGCTTCTTATAGTATACGAAGATCCGTTGGTTTCCGACCGAACGGTTCCCCTTCTTCATCTCGTCTTTCTCTCCGTCCAGGTTGCTGTGCCTGTACAGTACAAGACACATAGCACCGAGAAGCCGTCCTCTCGATCAGACGGGTATGCAACTTCGAAGCCTTTGGCCTTGCGAACCGATGACCAAATCCAATGGTAGTCTAGCGCCAACGTAATGAAGCCTCACGACCTTAGCGAGCAGGTCTGGCGTCAAGTGGGCGTCTGTGGGCGTCTGTAGGCGTCACGGCCGTCGCGTCCCCCAACACACGACTCGACGCTCCTGAACTGTGAGCAAAAGTAACAAAGCTACGCCTACCCCTGCAGTAGCACTCACGGTGCTCGCCCACACCATCTGCGTATCCACTGCATGGACGAGAGCTGCCGAAATCCGTCTTATTAGCAGGTGAACCATGCTCCGCCAGGCATGAACTTTGGAATTGCTGCAAGCGAACCGTGCGGGATGGTAGCCTCGGGGGCGTTCGAAGAAAAAGCAGGCAAGGTGGCGCCGCGGAGGATGTGCTCGCCCGTGCTCGCTCAGCCTCGCGTCGCTCTCGTTTGCTGAAAGGAGGAATTTAGGGCTTGCTTTTTTGCTGCCTTGCCGTCCGATGGCGTGCAGGAGGCATGCACGTTTCCTTGGTTGGGGAGCTTGATGATGCTGATGCTGATGCTGATGCTTTTTCCGTCCCTCGTGAGGGAATTTTTGCTCACGGCCGGCGTCACGCCTTCAAAAGACGGAAGAAGCAGTCATATGTTTCAGCCGTCGCTTAGAGGTCCGGGGAGGATGAGTTGTCCAAGGCATTGTGCCGGGGAAACGCGCGCGTGAGGCTCTTGGCAAAAACTCGCGATGCCTTTCGTCATCGACTGCCCCACACGCAGACCTCACCTCAACCTCGACCCACAATTGCACCACTTTCAAGCCTCATCGCTTCTTCTTACGCTAAATATCCGCCATGGCTGCCGAGAAGAAGCCAAAAGTCCTCAACGTTGAGCCGTTAGTTAGTCTGCCACCATACGATGAGCTGAGCGCGTTTTGATGTCCTTCAGAACTACAAGGACGCGAAATGGGCGACGCTGGTAAAGTATGTCGTTTAGTATTCCCCAATTCGGGGGGCTCACTGGCTCAACTTCCTCAGAACCACGTACACGGACCCCGAGGGCGTGCAACGAGACTGGGAGTCCGCAGAGCGCCTCACCCGCCCCAAGGGCTCTGACATCGACGGTGTCGGGGTTGTAGCTATCCTGCAAGATCCTGCGAAGCCTCAAGACCCTCCGCGGATTCTTCTCCAGAAGCAATGGCGCCCGCCCGTCAACGCCACGGTGATCGAGGTTCCCGCCGGATTGATCGACCCCAAGGAGTCACCCGAGGTATGTGCGGTACGAGAGCTCAAGGAGGAGACGGGATATGTTGGCGAGGTTGTCAATGACGGCTTTGGTGTAAGCCCGGTGATGTTCAATGGTAAGGCCACTGGTCGCGCGTTCGGCACACTAAATGGTAGCGTCTGTTCGAATACACATTAACCTTCCTCCAGATCCCGGTTTTTGCAATACCAATCTCCGCATGATCCATGTTACCGTCGACCTTTCTCTCCCTGAGAACCAAAACCCAAAGCCCGAACTCGAAGACAACGAATTCATCGAGACCTTCTCCGTGTCCTTCAAAGACCTATGGGATGAGTGCAGGAAGCTGGAGCAAGAGGGCTATGCAATAGATGCGAGGGTGGGCACGCTTGCCGAGGGTGTTGAATGCGCCAAGCGGTGGAAATTGTGGTGAGGAGGAAGAATACACCCGCACAGTGAGATGAGCCAACGCGTTGAGCAGCGTCCCACGGCGGATCGTGAGTCAATATTCACTTCGATCGGAGACAGGTTAACCCGGTATAGTCGTCAGGGAGGTATACCTCTCGAAGCTGTCTCGGCGTCCTGGCAGCTGATTGTTAAAACCAAAATATACGAAGCGAATTCAACGACGGCTTCTCCGCCCTCCTTGGGCGACTTTCCAACCACAGTCACCATGTCCACACTTGCTGATATTGAAAGAACGAATTCAAGTCCCGTTCGGAGCAATTCGACGATTTTGCGCCGTCCTACGTTCTGCCAAACACGGTCAGGAGTTGTCAACCTCGGCACTAAAAATCATTCGTGGGAATAACCCTAAGACAATAGCACAGGGAGGCTAGTTCCTTCGAGCGTAGTTTGGGCTGAATTTCTAGGCAGAACGCATACTTGACACAGACTAAAGAGTCCTACAGACCAGCTTCACGCTGCGCCGTAAGCCAGACAGACACACGGGATGGGCCGTTACTTGATCTTCCTCTGACAGCTTGAATAGGATCTCTAGAGCTCCTCCAACCATGCGGAACATTATCGCCATAATGCGCCGCCCGGACTCATTCCGAGAGGGCCCGGTCGTTCGGCAGCTCCGTCACTGCTGTGTCGGGCGTGTCCTTTCTGACACGTATCCCCCAATTATCCAGTGGCTGAGAGTGAGTGCTTCGGCGGTTACGTGTTTGCGAGGCGCATTGCGCTGCCTCAGCGCTGGTTGTGGTGGGGGGCCAAAGCCCAGCCCGACGCTCACCCTCCCTCCGCTCGCCCCAGGTAAGACGGACATGCCGGTGCAGCCCGCCACATTGGCTGACTCTATAGACTTCCACTCCCAGATGTATAGCAAGGAATTCATCCTGGTTGCAGGCATTGCTTGAGTTTGGGTACGTGGACACGCCAACGTGCCCAAATATATTGGAGGGATCGTCGTCCTAATGGGTATTTCGTAGGGCCGCAAGTGCCAGCGGGCGGCGAAGGACGAACAGCTAACCAAAACTTCTATCATCTGTCCTCTACTCTTGGAAAGATGGGTCCGCCTTCAGTGCAACCATGTCATGCACTGCCCCTAGGTGTGTGTGCATCCCGCGCAGCGTGCTCCCGTCCCGAGGGCGGAGAGCTCCCACAGGTCAGGATCGGTTCGACCTTGAGTGTTGCCTCACTTTACCCTAGAAGGAGCAGCCACTCGACGCTGACCTGCACCGCCAAACCGATGGCTCTGTCGGGCAGCTATCCAAAGAATCTAGGCACCATGGCCATGATAAGAGAATGGGTTGGGCGCGGCGTTTTCATAATATGCATCGTGCTTGTCGGTCTACTATCAGAGACACTGGGCTCCAGGCAGCTGCGATGTAAAAATACTTCAGCTAAGAGAGGGTCTGAGCGGCAGGTGGTTTCCAGGAGAATGGTTCAAGACGATGGTGTGCTGGCTGGCCTCCAAGCGCTCATGGTGGCCATTCGTTCAGAATTGAGATCAGGTCACAATCAACGTTGCCCGCACGTATCAGCCTATCTTCAAGGAGAACATTCGGTCACTCAACCAGGAATTTAAAAAAAGTAAGGCTGAACCACCCCCTAATGCAAGACCCCGGCCTCTCCTTTTTCCTTCCGTGGCACAGCCTACCCGATGCTTCTCGATGGAGGAGAAACCTGCGTTCGTGGAAGGCGGAAAGGGCAAGTGTACTTCGGACGAGTAGTTACACGGGGCATGTCAACCCGCGCAGAGTCTTGTTGCCGCAGAACCCAATGTAAGCCTGAGTTGGATTGGACTTGAAGCATACAGGTGGACCGGATGAAGCAAACCCCAATGTGTCGACACGTAGGCGAACACCCCAGCTGCCAACGCGCCCTCGCACAACCGCGCACAACACATCGGCCAGCGCCTTGACGAGAAAGAAGAAGGGGAGGTGGAGATGGCGGCGGAGCTGAATGGGTTAAAAGAAACGTCGACGTCAAGCGGACATCGAGGATAGGTCTCAAAAGTCCGACTCTGCCAACTACCACATACTCGTCCATCCTTTAATAACAATCTCGCGGATCTGATCATGCCGAACGCTCAACCCACCAGTTCCGACTCTGCCCATTCTGTCAGAACCGCCAGTGACACCGGAGAACAACCCGGAAATCGCACTCCCATTGGCGACAGCCAACCTGCTTCGAGCTACCATAGCGGCAATCCCCCGACCACCAGCGACCATAGCACCAAGGGCAACAACGCCAGTAGCACCCCCGTGGATGGTCACAGCGCCGACCGCCCACCCGATTCAATATCGCGGAGCGCTGCTTCAACATCCTCGACCGAACAGCTCCTCTCTCCGCGGGTCGTCACCGTCATCAATGGTTCGTTGTTTCACCACCCCACTACCTATTCTAAATAACCGCCCATTTAGGCTCAAAGGACTTTCCCATGTACGCAGTACCAAGCCGTTCAAGCTCGATGGAAGTCCTTCTCAGTGACAGCGACTGGGATGACGATGGAACGCATTGAATGGGTGTATTGAGATGGCCGACGACGCGGAACCGAGTATCGGCAAGATTGCGGACGCTCTTTACGGTCTGGGCCCGATTGGAGAAACGCTCCTTACACGTAATGTGGAAAGCCGGTGAAACAGACGCTCTTTACATTATGAGAACATAGCGAGACGGACGGTCTTTGCAACGGAACAGACATTCTTTTCGGCACGGGAATTCGATAGAACGACGCTCATTGCAATGCAGAGGCCCGGTCAAGAGGCTGCTTCACGCCGCGGACTTGTTAAGGAACGTCTGTGTATTCGAGGCGGAGATATCCACGAGTCAATCATTAAGTTTTCTTCCTACAAGGCCATAATCTACCAGATCCTCCACTGACTTGAGACATCACTGAGAGCCACCACCCTTGACAGTGCCCGTCTTCGTACCTTGGCCCGACCAGAAGAGCCCTTCATTCAGTATCCAACCCCTCGCCGGCGCCGTCGCCAAGAAGAACCTCCATGGAGCTCGACCGACTCAAGGTAGGGCGGCGCATTGGGCGTTCGAACGAGCCTAGATTACATTGTTAGCTTGAAGACTCAGTGGTGAGTCGAGGCTGCAACTAACCGTTGATGGCAACGGCCTCCCTAGGGGAGAGTTGGGCCCCAGAGGAGCTGGCTGCTGAAGGTGTAGCAGATGAATCGAGCTCGCTGGACGTGTTCCCGTGGACAGCATTGCCAGTGCGGGGATTCCCATCACCAGTGTCGGGTTTCGCGCTGGCGTGATTGCGTTCGCTTGCCATAGTGAGTTCGCCGATTTCGAATGATGCCGAATTGAACGAAGCAGGTCTCTGGGATGGCTATCTGATCTCCGCGTTGGAACCTCTCTTTATGCTTCTTCACCCTCAGCATCAACAAGTCGACTTGCATGTCATCGGCCCAACGCCGCGCCCTTCAGCACTGGATGCGACCAATGCTATAGCATATTCAAACCTTTCGGCAGCATCCCGAAGTTATGAAACCCGGAATGAGGGTAAGTACCGCCCACGGTTTCGGTTGCCTCATCTGAACTTCGCCGGTATTTTTGAAGGTTGGATATGATTGCACGATCTGCTTCGGGGCAGCCTTGCTCTGCGACGTCCCGCTGGGAACGGTTACGTTGTGACCCACGAGCTCGCCTGAGGTTGAAGCTCGTTTCTGATTGGCTAGACGTCCCTGTCGGCTGAGGGCACGCCGACAGTTTTGAAGGCCGGTTGTGATTGGTTTGTCATATGCATGGCACTTGGGTGCGCTGCATGGCTGAGCGCTCGCCGAAGAGTTTGAAAACCGTTTCTGATTGGCTTCCTGTATGCAGGACTTGATCACGTGCGTTCCTAAACGTCTGGGTTGGAAGTCTTATAAGATCCACCCGGCGCTTCCTCCCATTTTCACCTTTCCCTTCTCCTCGCTCAGCGCTCGCGCGGCCTCGATCGATATGGTAAGTTAACTCGCCAATATTCTCGCATACACAAGCAAGGCTGAGTGAAGCACAGAATCCGATGCAAGACTCCCTCTGGCATGGGGAGTCGACCGGACCGAACCGTTCCCTCCAACCTATTTTGCCTACTTCTACAACAATGGCGAATGCTCGAATTGAGGAATATGCATCCTCCGCTGCGGTATTTGGCCCTAACGCACCCGGACCAACGACCCGCGACGCTATAGTCCCTCGACGGCCTGTGAGTCCCAGTCCTCTGATTTGATCCAGATGACGAGCTCAGCTAACATCATCGAAGAGACGGGGAGGTCGCCGCAGGAAGGATGTGGTTCGCAAACCTCCATACGCTCTCATAGACCCGGCGACTCGGCGTCAGAATACTGCGGTGGTGAGGCAACTAGGAGCCTGTCTCCGCTGCCACCAGAAGAAGATTCCCGTAGGTCTTTCTTCCCTCTGAAAGAGCTAGGCCGTGCTAAGAATATGCGCAGTGTCACGTTAATCCCCTGGACGTGTTTGGACGCTGCCTCACGTGTGCGTTCCCTGATATCCAGTGTCTGCGTCCAGGGGTTGACAAGAGAGCTTCATTGTTGATCCCTCAGCCCATGCTTGATAAGCAAGATGCCTACGTAGCGGCAGTTGAAACATTTGACCTGCGCAATTTCCGAAGTAGAAAATGGAGGGTTAAGTTGAAGAAGAGTGACGGCAGAGAATATTTCCGGGACCAGTTCACGCAGGACACACTCATTCGAATGGCCATGGCTTACGAGTTGGTAAATTCAGACAATATCACAAGGGGAGCTATTACTCTTGCATATGAATACGCATACAACCAACAGGTACGTACTCGCCAGGTTGCAGTACACAGCTCTCACTTCGCTCTTCCTAATCCGTAAATCTAGGCAAATAAAGAGGGCAGCCTCTTCAAGCTCGTCCTTTATATTTGGCTTGTAGTCCGGGGCCCCAGAGACTCCTTTGCCTTGTCAGATTATGATGCGCTTGGCCTGGTGGCTCAACTAAACGAGCTGTTAACGGTGAATGATGCGCAAAGTATCTCGGCTTTCTATCTAGCACTTTTCGTGCTTTTGCAACCTTTCCAAGAGTCAAGATGGATGTATGTATGGATTCCGATCTCTATTCCTCTAAAAAATAATGGAAAGAGCTAACGGCAGTCACTTTAGGGGCCGGTACTATTGGTCGGCCCTTGTACCTGTCTTTGAAACATGCCGGACACTCAAGAGTGGGCCAAGCTCACACTTGCGAATACAGGATTTGGCTGATATGTTGCGGTCTCAGCTACACGGGTTTTTGCAGCTTTACATGGAATAGCTTAACTTGGAAAAGCTTGACATGGAAGAGCTTGACATGGAATGACGTACGACGCAGAGACTACATTCCGAGTCCAGATGATTTACACAAGTACAGGAGCATCTCTAACGCAATGACCGCTGTGCAGATATATATAAATCAACCATGATGCCATCCTTCCCTCATCTTCGCAGCATCCACATTCCCTCTCCTGTACTTTACCGTCACCATGCCGCGTGTAGCGCAGTGCTTCCACGTCCGTCCCCATATATCAATAACGCCAGCATCAAGCGCCGAAAAAGCTCTACACAGCAACAAGGTCTTCAAGGAAAATGAAGCAACACTCCGTCCGAAGAACCTCCAGCATGCCCACGAAACAGCTTCAAAGCTCCCCAAGAACTCGATCCCAAAAAATACCATGATCATGTCTCACCGGTCTTAGAACCCGAGCGTCTTCCATGCGCATAGCCTTGTTTAGAGGAAAGGCAGTGGAGGATGCAACGTCTGCAATCTGAAGGTGCATCCATCCAATACGCTACAGTTAAGACAGAGAGAATGGGTATACTAATCGGAACACGCAACTACAGGGTATAAATCATGATGAATTAAGCAGCTCCACCACCGCGGATACTATCGGTGCTTTCTATGCTCTATTGGGAAATCCTCACAAACAGCTCCACCCACCAGACTCCGCACCACATCCCGCCAAAAGCAGGATATACCAAACCTCACAATCACCAAAAGTACACTACCCTTCCCCCAGAAACGCAAATCCCCCCTTCACACCAACCCCCACCACGGCATCTTCGACACCCTCACCTCCCCGCTCGTCCCCGTCTCCCCACTCACAGGCCCCCGCGTACTCGTCGGCCCAATCCTCGAATCCGTCTCTCCACTCACAGACGCCCGCGTACTCGTCCCCTCAATCCTCGAATCCGATATCTTAGGCTCCAACCACGACCACGACGCTGTACTCAACGCTGCCGACCCCGTCGCACGTCCATCCGGCCACAAGACGCTCGGCGTGTAGTCCGCCAAGGGATGCTGCTGCTGGCCGTTTACAAAACGCGGGAACCAGAGCAGAGGCGCGAGAACGATGCCTGCGACGCCGTTCTGTGGGAAGGGCTTGGTGAGCGTGTATGTGGCTATTTGGCCCGGGTGGCGCGCGGGGCCGGGGGAGGTATAGGGCCAGGAGGGGGGGAGCTGGGAGAGGAGGTCTGCTGGGTTGGGGGTGCTGGTGTTTGTGCTGGTGGTGCTGGTGGTGCTGGGAGGTGGCTCTGATGCGGGTGGTGTGGTTGATGGGGATGTTGATAGCGATGTTGAGGTTGATGATAAATTCAAAGACGACGCGCACCCAGGTCCATCACTGGAGGACCAGCCAGTCGGCGCCATCAGCCCCGGCGACGAGAAAAAATACGTCGACCACGTAGTGATGTGCCAGATATTCGACCTGATGAAGACTTTAGCAGCGTCGGTCGAGTTAGCATCCCGGACCAGGTCGAGGACCGCGAGCAGGAGCAGGTAGACGGACGGGTTTGGCGTCTGGCAGAAGTCGAGCATGGTATCTGACCAGCGGTGCTGGCGGAAATGCGCGCTCTCGAGACACGCTTTGCAGCAGTAGAAGTCTATGTCACTAGTTCGGCGGAAACGTCAGCGTCAGTATGAAAACCGAACAAACAAGGAAAAGCCGCAGTGCAATGCACGGGTATAGGACAGGACAGACATACTATGAAGGTTGATGGAGAGTCGTGTTGCAAAACTTTTCTTGGAACTCGTGGTCTACGCTCCAGGGCGGATGTGAGCCGACGTTGAGATTGTCGTAGATCATTTGTATGTTTAGAAACATGACGCCGCAGGGTGCCGACTGGATGCAGTCTGTGGAGTTTTGGCCGCTGCGGATTGTGCATCTTTCTTGCGGGGCTGTTGTCGTGCTTGAGGGCCGAGATAGAATAGGCCCATTCGGATGCCTCAACGCAAGCTCAGATCTAGAAGTCGTACCAATCGCGGTCGTCGTAACCACGTCGTCCATATCCCTCCTCGGTTTCGCACCCCCTACGCTCCCTTCCAAATCTTCAGCATTACCACTGAGGCCTCGCGTCCGAGCAACAAGGGTAGTAATCCGGGTCTCGAGCACCGTCCTGCTAGAAGGATCCCCAGCCATCGTGGAGGAGGCGTAAAGGAGCGCCAGAAGGAGGAGAAGGGGGAGCTTCATGGTGGATGAATGTGGGGCCGCGGAGGAGCCTGAATAGCAAAGACGTATTCGACGGGTATGGCGCTGATACATGAATAGGAGAGTCGTGCGGTTTTGTGGCGGATGCGTAATTGAGGCAAACGACGCTGTATCCGGAATCGGCGACAGGTCACGGAGAGCACATTGTTGTGTTTACGTGTTTTACTGCTTGCTTGGAGGTAACTTGCCTAGTTTAGGGCCTAGTTACCTTTTGCTGAAGCCTCGGGCCTCTACCGCTGCTCAGGGGCGGGAAAGGTGCGCACGCTGTTGCCCACGGTGGCATAGCAGTCTCAGAGCGGCGGTCCTGCGCGGCGCGCATGACGCTGAACATTCGAGGCCAACACATGAATCCCAAGACATGTGAATGCACCTGGAATACCGAGTCGAAGACATGTTGCAACGTGAATGAAGAGATGGGGACATGCTCCAACGAGCCATTCTTCACAAAGCGCGATGACATAATCCGCCATTCTCCGCAGCGGGAGACAGCGCACGAGACTCCGCGAAACACGTTCGCTCCTCAAATGAGTAATTCAGCTAGCCGCGGAAGGCGCGGCTTGGAAGAGTAATACCAAATAACTGGGGTATTAACCATACCTAGATACAAAAGGCGAGCGAGCAAGCCTGTCGCCCGTCATCTGAGACAGTAAGCCGCGGAAGCGAAGAGAAAAATTTCTGTGAAGAATTTGTAAAGTGTGTGAGCAGATTAGAGTAAGACACGCTGTCGAAAGGATGAGGAGGCGGAAATGAGGTGATGACGGACGGCCGAATCTGCGAATCAGGAAAGTGGTAAGCCGGTGGAGCCGAAGACAAGAGGATACCAAATAGATGCAATAGAATGAGAAAAGGGGTCGACAATCTATGAAGGAAGATGGCTAGAGGAAAGTAATGCAGACAGAGGACAGAGGGAAGGAAAAAAGGAGTAGCATGCAAGGTATCACAACCTGAAAAAAAGAGACCAGCCTCGGACCATGCAAGCAGAGACGAGAAATGAGAACCCTAATCCCCCTCTTTAGAAAATTTCCAAGCCCTCGAAATCCACACACAAGTTCCTGTGGCTCGCGCTGGGCATCCCATGCCGCCGGTCATACATGCTTGTCCCAAAATTCGCAGGCCTGGACGCATACACGCCCACCCTCACAGCCTTATCCTCAACGCCCCAAAAGAACCATGTAACCTCTCTCAACTTCTTCCACCCGCTCACTTCGTCCTCGTACCAGACCCACAGCGCATACCCGATGCGCTCAATCTTGACGCGCAGGTCGCTACGACGTGCATGATGCGGAGGCAAGGCTGTGAGAGCCCAGTCCGCGCCGTCCGATGTCGCGACCACTGATGTGGCGTGGCACGCGCCATTGCAGAACTCAAGGCCGACCTTGACCCATTTGGACACTGGTGCAGGAGGCATGTATGGAGGTGGAGCTCCACGTTGTCTCTGTGTAACAGAGCTGGGCTGTTGCCCCGCACTCTGCGCATTCGAAATCGGCAGCGGGGGTGAATTCGGATTGGCGAGCGTAGACGCGCCATTGCTGGTGCTGGTCGGCGGAGAGGATGTTGATGTTGACGTCGCGTCGTTCGCGGTCTCGGGGGGTGTTATTATCGCAACTCGGCCTGGAGGTGCTCCTGCGAATATCACCAGTCCTCCCTGATCCCATTCTAGCTCCCAATCGGCTGATACTGTGACTTCGGCGGCTATGAAGGGGTTGCGCAGTGCGGTATAGAGTATGGGCGCGGTGGACGTGTCTCGCGAGGGCGGCTTTCTCCACAGATCGGTATTGGGCGGCGCTGCGAGGTTAAAGGACCCCATATACTCCGGCAGACCTGCGTCATTGGGCAGGTTCAGGGCCGTGAAGGACGAACTATCTGGCGGCATGGCCTTTTGTATCGGAAACGAGGGACTTGTGTGCTGTGCCGTGCTCGAGGATATGCGCCGGTCCTTCGGCGTGGAAGCTCTATCCAACACCAAGCTCGCGAGCGCTCGCAGCGCAGTATATGTATAGCTCGTAGGTTCGGTAATGTATGTCTTGTCCCCGCCAGAGATGCCGACTGGTGTTGGGTGTCAAGTTTGTACGACCTAATAGGTCCGAGGGTCATCCGTTCCGTTCGTGAGAGTCGCGCGCAAGGATCCGCATGTAAGATGCTGACACGCGCAGCAATTTCCCTCCACCAGATCTGCAAAAAAGATCGCGGAGGGCCGCTTGGGGCTAATTAAGCCTAATCCCTCGTCAGATTGTTCGTGGCCCCAATGCATATGTTTCGTCGGCGGCACACCCATTGCGGGCACTGATTTCGACAGTTGCACGCGTGCTGGCGCGGAGTAGTTGCTTACCAGAGAGATTGATAAAACGGAGATGGCCTGGCCTAGAGGCGTATGTGTCTTAAGCTCTCCACCAGTTTCGCAGGACAACAGCGTCGAGAAAAAACCCGTTGATACCGACGCTTCCAGGATATAAATATTTCTTCAGGGCGAAAGCGCGGTCAGACCCTTGGCTCGCTCCCATCCAAGCTGAACATTTTCCGCCACCGCGCAGCAGACGGGCCATGGGCTGCCATGCGTCGCCATCATGGCATGGAAGCATCATGTCCCTGAAATCGTGCGGCCGTCATCCTGGAGAGCCCTTGAGATGGCGAGAGAGCATTTGTCAATGTCGACGGAATGCTGCCGGCGCCCAGCAGGGCGACGGGAGATGCAAAATACCTGTCGGTGCATGCTGCCGCTTTCCGCTACGTGGCAGTCCATCCTGAGCGTAGAGACGCCCCTTCAATCTGGATTCATGCTCGTCGAGATGCGAGTAGTGAATCTTTCAGGCCTGGTGCAGAGTCGCGGTCGAATTGGCGTTGGCTGATTCCCTCCTGCTGTGCGAGAGGTGAGCTGTCGCTGTTCGGACAGGGCCCAGAAGACGTTGCTTGATGTTTCGCAGCGCAGCAAGGGGGTATGCAACCTGCTCATCATAGATGATTCCCGCCCCGCGATTGGAGGGTATACCCGCGGTCCTGCGAATCATCGCTATTACGTATGCGGGACACGTCCGAAGACGGCCGAAACGCAACCAACACCACCGCACCGCTTGCCGCGACTGCACGAACAACAGGTGAGCGCAATGTAGGTGTGGACTGAGTTGTATGGGGCGTTGCAAGCGCTGATAAGGAAAACGTAGCTTCCCCTTTGTCTCGCATTGCAGTCTGCAGCTGCTCTTCTCTCGATCCTGATCTGGGAGGAGGAGAAGAGCGCTTTGTGCGACGAGAATGCGAGGAAGGTTTCGAATCGAATCGGCGGAGTCTTCTCCCGGACCATGGTTGGGCTGCCATTGCTCGTCCTTTTATTTAGCGCCGATGCAGCCTGCTGTTGTACTTGTGTGCCGTGTTCGAGCAACTATCCGCTGCGTTGGCCGGGCAAACCCTTGCAGATCCGCGAGAACAGATTTAGATACTCGAAAGAACAGATGATCTCCATTAGGTATGGCTTCGGACGGCCGACATATGGTCAGATGGTCGATGGTTCGCCGTCGTGGAACTGAAAAGCAGGCGGATTGTCTCGACCCGATGAGCCTGCGGTCGCACTGTTGGATTGCTCTTCCTCTCAAGTCATCGTGACCTTGCCCAAAGGAAGTACAAGATGCGACTCTCGCTTGGTAAGACCATGGTGTCTGCTTCCACTGCGACAATAATGCCGAGATCATACTCATCCGAGTGTACGTCGGGCAGCGTAACTGGCAGTACGACTCGGGAAAGAATGAGACACCACGCATGACGTCCGTAAGAATGCAAGCCTAATCCAAGGAATGGTCGCTTTCGAGGGCTAGGCGAAGTCTGCCACCCGCGGCGCCCCGTCGGATCGATGCCCCCTATTCCACGTTACGAGATTTCAGCGCTGCCATAGGATCTTCGGGACGTCTGCATATCAAGCCCAAGGGCATGGTTGCCGGACTCGGCTTGCCTCAACGTCGGGCTCCAGTCACTTCATCATTCGCCCCTGCGGAGTGGACGTGCCTGATGCCGCGCCGGTAGTTTACTGCCACACACTCGTCGCCAGGGCCTCTTCAACGCTCATTGGTATAAAGCTCTGCTCTTCAGCCCGTTGGCGATCCACGTGGCGCTGTACTCCGTAGACTAGGGCCGCATGGTTTGGCCAACAAGACCTCAGCCCCGAGCCAGCTCACAGCGAGCGAGGGAGATCTTCGATGCTTCACTGTCGCGGTCCCTCGCACAACGCATTTGCTGTCTGATACTCTGAACGCAGCCTCCCGGGCGCTTGCAGTGGTCTGACGTCGGCGGTATTCTCGCAGGATCAGGACCGAAGTGTTTGAGGGGGCCGGCTTGCAGTAGCGCTGGCAATGGCGTGGTTGAGACTTGGTCTTATTGAGAGTTCACAACATGATAATCCTAAGCGGCGGTCTACTGGGTTCGTTAGCCACAACGGTTGCAAATATGAGTGCAGAGAGGATGCCAGCAGTGTAAAGTGTGCTGAGATAGCCGCTGTTGTGCACCGCAGGGTCGGAAAGCTACTTACACTTGACTTGGGGTGGAGCAAGGCGAAATCTTTGATACTGGGGACGCATCTAAGCATTCATGGATACTATCATGGCCCGGGCGGACCAGAAGTAGGACAAGCCTAGGTTTACTGTTAGCCACTCCCTGCAGTTCGCCTTCAGATGATTTCCATGAATCATGCATATCTCCTCCGCCATGGAGCCCTCACTGTAGCATTGTTGGCGGGGAGTCGACGCAGGAGCGAGTGGTCTGGAAATCGAAAATTGGATTGTGGGAGGAGTGGGATGATGGATGGCCGAGACATGGCTTGCTAGGTCCGGTCAGTTGCGAAGCTTCAAGTCAAAATCTCGCTGTCAGGTGCTGAGTGGTTCTCTGGAGGGAGCTAGTCGTGGCATGGGCAAGAGCTGGACAGCGGTCAGTAAGACGGAAGGAGCGAGTTGCATACGGCCCATCACCACGGGCGCTCAATCACCGTTAAGAAGCGGCGGAAAATGGCTTTAAACCGTGGACGCCTGCTGCACACGTCCTGTTTTACTACTGATACAATGCGAGACGCTCGCCTGTTTTGGCCAGTACAATCCCCAGGAGGCAGGCATACCGGCATTCCTTACTGTCGCTGCGGAGCCGCGCCATCGGGCAGGCGTGCTGTTGATATGGCCACGGGAATCTGCGTTCCTGCCGCGAGTGGTAATCGCCCAGAGAGCTGCCACCAGTCCTCAAAGGAATACACCTCTCCTATGCTTCAACCTGCTTCCAAGTTCCGCCGATGCTGTAGCCGAGCTGCCCTTGACGGCGAACGGGCTGATGGCCCCAGGCTGGTGTCAGAAGCGTTACCTGTGCCTCATATGGAGTTTGCCGTGAAGATTGCCCGCGCCAGATTGTTGCAGGTAACCGAGTTCAAGTATATATATTGCGCATGACAGTCAATGTTCGGTGCGCTCTGGAAACAGCTACTTATCCGCCATAGCGACGCACGCCGCAGAGAGACACCCTCATGCGATGAACAACTGTCACTGCCGGCCTGGTCGCGTAAGGCGAGGCTATTTATCGAGATGATGCTGAAGCGCACGAAATGACGCTGGACGGACCGCGGAAGAACAGCCACTGCTGCCGAATGAGCCGGTAAACGCGAGCCAGATTGGACCAGCGGCACGTCTCTTGCGAGATGCAGCAGATCTACAAGCAGATGAATTCCTTTTTCAACTGTCACCTGCAGAGCACTTGCAGAGAGTCTAAGACACATCATGCCATTCAATGCCAAGCCTAGAGACGCTATCACGCCGGGACGCACTACAAGGTCCTTGCGTGCTTTCGATCTGCATTAGTGCTTCCCATCTGCTTCTTCTGCACTGACGCTCGTTTGTGGCAGCATGCGTCAATGCGGTCCACTTCGCTACTGTGTAAGCACTGCCTTCACATGCTGGTAGGCGCCATCGCCACAAGCACGCTCTGGTGCGGCTTTATGCCCTGCGGCTTACACGTTTTCATCGGCGTCGCGCCCAATGCTTGAGGAGCGAGTACCATTGAGAGCAAAAGGAGCACGGGATAGCTTGCATTGAGGGGAATCCAGAATGGACCCGGTTTGCGAAGAAATTGCTTCACCTGCCTATTCAGATTCGGCGTGGCTGGAAACCTTCCTGTAGGCGATAGGTGCCTGCAGCATCTACTTAACATCTCAATCTGTACGAGCCCAGATCGAACAGTCTGTATGTCTCACGGCATTCGTGTGGTGCTCAGCGTGCAGGTCATGCGTGAGGCTTATAGCCAGACATATGAAGCTGAAGGGGTTTGGCCAGATCTCCAGGATCGTGGAAATGAAGGAACCGCACGCTCTGTGGAAACGTCCGTCGGACAAGCACCGATCCTGGTTCAGGGAATCCGCATAGAGGACCTCTTTGCCGAGTGCTCCGTATTGAATCTTGATCGAGCAGAGTGGCCAGAAGGAGCTGGGCAGGCCAAAGTGCCGAGTGCAGGGGGGCTCATTGGCCGGCCTTTTGCGAGTAAACCCGGAATGAGGCCAATGAGGCCAATTAATTCCCGAGGAGCAAAGATTGAACTGCATGGGCAATGTGAAGGGAAAACTTGGCTCATGCAGAAATCCAATCAAAAGTCGATACAGGCAGCCCTCCCGCAGTCATCTCCACCCCGCACATGCTCCGCTCTCACGCTTTGCGGTACACACTTATCCGGCGCCGCAGCCGATCGGATGTCGCGCAGAGATTGAGGCCCTCGTTTCGCAATAAATCGGTAAACGATGTTTCAGGTCGGTATTTCAATTGCTTTAGGCTCTCAGCAAAGTGTGGAGCCGTGTGTGGACGGATAGACTTTTCATACGAATCCCAGGTCTGGAGCTCGACGATGAGGTAGCCGCCAGACACGAGCGACGATCCGCACCGTCGAAAGAATGCCACTAGCCCCTCGTCGAGGTGTTCAAGGTGAATCCACTTGATCACGCTTAAAGCCAGGATCACATCGTAAGGGCCCGAGATGGCTGGGTCCGTCGACACGACGCAGTCCGCAGCGATAAAGCGCACATGGGGCCACTTGGACGTGGAAGGCGCGGCTGCCGGATTGCGGCCATATCGCAGCACGGCGGACATTGGGAAATAGTCCACAATGCGCTCGGAGTCGTCTGTGGGAGGGCGAACACGTGAAGCGCGGAGTGCTAGCAGCTCTTCGGCCTGGCTAACTAGATTGGGGTCGATATCGATGCCGACGACTTGGAGCGCTCCGAAGTCGAAGGCTTTGGATCGATAATATCAGCGGAGGCCGTGTTATAATCGCTTGGAGCACTGACAGGGGGATCCCATCACCGTTAAGAAACTTACCCAGCTGGCAGCCGACGGTTCCGTCATTGCATCCTACGTCCAAGCAGCGCTTTCCCTTGAACGCAAACCCTAGGCGGTCGATCAAGGTCAGCCGCACATCACGCACATGTATGGATGGCGGAGAACCGGGAGCATGGTTTGGACCGTGGTAGTCTGGCCTGGTTAGCCTCGCTCGCGAGGGTGAATTGCCGGACGGGCTGGCGGTTCCTGATGAAAGAAGAATGAAATTTGAATGAGATCTTACCGGCGTAATTCCCCCATTTGGTGGACATGGATGGCGACGAGCGCCAGGTGGTCGATCGTCGGAGGTTTTAGGACTGCCGCGAGCGGAGAGGGGTTACCGGGAAGGAGGTGAGGAGCTTGATGTGGCGTGGCGAGCAGAGGCGGGCGATGGGTGGTCGATAGCGGCGCGCGGGCGGTGATTCGCCGAGCGAGGCAGTGGCGGTGAGTAGTGGTTCGCGTAAACGGGCAGGTGGTCGCTAGCCCAATCTCAATTTCGACTGCGTGCGCCCCCGCAACGGCGCCCTCTTGTCTGTCAACTCACCGACGTCGACGATGCAGAGCAGTGCGCCGCGTGCGAGCGTGGAGAGACGGGCGACGGCACTGTCCCGCCGGCAGCAGCACCGAGGCACAGCGGCGGCGGCGGCGGTGGGCACGGGGCGGTGGAGCGCGCGATACCCGGACAGCGCGTACCTGCGCCTGGAACGGTCAATCAAAATATCTACCTACCTGAAGAATCAATATCGTCTGCGCTAGCGTGTGACTGCGGACTGCAGCGGCCAGGATGGCTGTGTAACGGGGCTGTCTGCTGCGATGGCGCCGGGCGGGCGACGCTGGCCACCGTAGAGACATAGTGGACGCGGGCGAGGTGGTACAGAGCAGGCAGCGCGCGGTGCCTGTGAGAAGTAATGAGTGCTTCTCCCAACGGCCCCGGCTGAAAGCGGAAAGCACCACCGGCCGCGCCTTCCCCAGACACCGCGCAGGGCAATGCCTGTGGCCGCACTTCTGGCAGAAGGCTCCTCCATCCCATCCATCCCATCCATCCCGCTCCCTCCCATCCCATGACAGCCGCCATCGCCATCGCCATCGCCAGCGCCCTCTACCATGTGCGCCGTGTCGGTGCCCGTTCGCCCGCCCTCCGTTTCATCGCGCTGCAGCCGCACTGCACCGTCTGGTCGAGACAGGCCGTCAGCCACAGCGGGCCCTGCTGCCATTCGCGCATTCCGTGTCGCTGCGATTGCTGGGTGGTCCGTCACCCAGGATTTGGCTGCGAGCGCCGCCGTTGAAGGCCTCCCTTATGTCTACCACTAGCCTGGGTTATGGTCTACCGCGGAGACAGGGAGACGTGGCTCCATCCCCGTAAACGGCATCGCAGCGACCAGGCCGCTGCGCCCGCGCCACTACGACCGTTTAGCCGCGAGCACGCCGGCCCTTGATTCGCGCGCCCGCGCTGCTCCATTGCTGCTTTCCTGGATCGCGCCCACCGGCAGTTGCCCGAAAGCGCTCATCCCATCCGCCCACCGCGCAAAACGGGCAGCCTGCCCTGCCCTCGTTCTCGAACCGGACTCCTCCACGCCCAATACACAGTACGCCCTGATGCCCATGCTGTGTGCGGCCTGCCCCCTCGGTCGTCGGCCTCCCAGCCCCAATGTTACGCTGGAGGTGACAGCGCAATCTAGCATCACTCGCTGATATTGGCCGCTACCGGGGACGGCTGTGCGACCGCCCGCCTGCTGTTTCTCTGCGAAACTTGGGCCATGTTTGCCCTGGCTTTAGCCGATCAATTTCTATTCGGTTCAGAGCGCAGCGGCGGCAGCTAACTCCCACGCCTATAAGCGGGCGCTGGCCGGATAGGCTGCGTGCAACACCAATCGCGGCGCCTGGCGTCCTCTGCCTGCATATTATCATCCCGACCGGCCTTTTTAGGACCGCAACGACAGCTCACTGCGATGCGTGGACTCGGGTGCTTGGCGGGTGTGTGACTCCAGGGTGCCAGTTCTGAGTTGATTGATACCATGTATCGGTCGCCGGCCCTACCCTCGTCAGAATCCTCTGCTCCCCGGTCGCAGGTCTTAGCACCTCCACCTGGCGTCGACTTAACGGCGATCTCTGCTGGGGTCTACAAAACTATAAACCCGCGCCACTCGAGGCATTCCTCACTGACGTTGTGTTTCGACCCGTTGCACCATTGCACCACTCACTCCCTGGCTCTCCGCCCGACGTCCACACCTCCCAATGCGGCTTCCTGCAGCACTCTGGGAACAAATAATAATACACGCATGCCCCAACCACCAGCTGCTCCGCCGCTGCATCCGCCAAATCCACCTCGCTCAACCTCAAATATGACCGAGACTCAGAAGCTGCCCGTCTTCTCGTCACCTGGCTTTCTCGACTATCCTCATCGGCGACTACCTCCGCCTGTCCAGCTTAAGCCGTTGGAAATCCCGCTCGATGCTGTACCACCACGGTCGGATTACCCGTTCCGCTCGCCCATCAACCAACTGCCATCCATCCAGCCCGGACCTCCTCGACATGACCAACACCAACACCAGCCGTCATCGCTCTCTAGACCACCAGCAGCACCAGTCGAGAAGCTGTTGCACTCCAACCCTTACACTCCTCCAAGATCGGACCCGCCCTACTCTCCTCAGCAATACGGTCCATCAATATCACCCCGCTCCGAGTTCGACAGCAGAGGGCCAAGGAGACTGACCGAGCAGCGCTACCCTTACGAAGATTCTCGGCCCGTCCACCACCCTCCGCATCACGAGCAGTCATACTCGTCCCTTGCATCTCCGGTGGAACCTTCGCAGCAGCGGGGATACGCTCCAATTCCGTCACCGGGCTACACACCGAGTTATGCATCGAGCAACACTCCATTCCGGGGATCCGTGGGCTCGCGCTCGCACTCACACCGGGGCTCTGTACCTAACTCCTTGGGACCCTTAACGTACCCCGAGCCTCCGACCGCTGGCCCTCCTCCCCGGCAGGAGCCTCGGGCTGTCCCTCTCCCTGGGTCCGTACCGCAGCCTGTCTACAACGAGCAACTGTAAGCATACCGGAAGACCTGAATCAGGAAGTCAAGTCCCGGCTGACCTAGTGCAGGAATCTTAACTATGAGCTCCGCGTGCGACAACAGCCTATCGCAGCGCGCGCATGCGGCTTCGGCGAAAGAGACCGCCGAGTGATCGATCCCCCACCAATCATCCAACTCCTAGTCACCGACCCCAAGACCGGCGTTGCAGAGCAGGAAGAGCTGCGGTACTCGCTGAATGTTGTGCATTGCACCCTATGGAATGCGGAGGGCACCAGCGAGGAGACGGCGCTCATCCAGCCTGATCGACGGACGACGCGGAGGCTTATGGGTCAGCTGGTGGCATCGCCCTCAGTGGCCAAGGACGAACATGACGTCGAGGGTTGCTTTTTCTGTTTCCCCGATCTCTCGTGCCGCACCCACGGCAGATACCGCCTCCGGTTCATTCTGATGCGCATCGACCCGATGAACCTCCACGTTGGCGGCTTCTCACCAATCCTGACGGAAGTGCTGAGCGAGGTGTTCACGGTGTACACAGCCAAGGACTTCCCTGGCATGCGGCCAAGTAGTGCTCTCACCCGCGCACTAAAGCTACAAGGATGTAATATTCAAGTTAAGAAGGGCAACGAGAAGGCTTTGGCCCGCAAAAGGCTTACGGCAAGCCAAGATCACGATGACGGCGGCGACGACGACGAAGCAAAACGACGGCGCAAGGACTAATTGATCGCTCCTCGAAGCTCTCCAGGAGCCACTGTCATCCCTCCCAAGGTTTCGGTTACCATATGATTAGGACACGGATTCGCGTTTAGAGCACCGGGCGGCATGACTGATATTTTGGATACCTGAAGCATTTCTCAGATATCGATTAGCATTCTCACGACCAACGAATGACATATTTACTTTCCCCCTCATGGCTGGCGACAGAGGCGTTTCTGAGCGCAGGTTCGCAGACTCCAGCACATGAAGTGCTGGTTTGGGAGGCTCCTGGGGGCGGCTACGGTGTAATGCATTTAACAGAGCATCAGAAGCACGATACCAATTGATAGCTGTACTTTGCAGATAATGACAATCAAAAGGGGCATTTTGCAGCGGTGAACGCGATAGAGCGATGGAACAATGGAGTGAGGTTGAAATTGACTGTGGAAGGAAGATGATGGTCGCAAGCCTCGCAATTTAGTGACGGCCTTAGCGCTCGGCTGCCCCACCAGAGTTCGGCGCGCGCCTTGTTACAAATTTCTCTGGCGTCGGTGAGCTCTTTTCTTCTCTCCCCTTCCCCAACCGCAACCCGGACACCACAAGCAACCATGAAGTACGTGCTCGTGTCGGGCGGCGTCATCAGCGGCGTGGGGAAGGTAAGCGACATGCAGCCACGTTTTGATCGCAGAGACTGACCGCGGAGCGCTGCAGGGCATCATAGGTATGCGGCTCGAGTCGCCCGAAGCCTGAGCGCGTTCCGTGCTGAGCTCACGCGTCATAGCCTCCTCGACGGGTCTGTTGCTCAAGACCATTGGGCTGAAGATAAGTGCAGCGGCTAGAACACGCGCTCTGCCCTCGTGCTGACCTGACGATACGTCTCATCGATCAAGGTCGACCCGTACCTCAATGTCGACGCGGGGACTATGAACCCGAAGGAGTATGGCAATGCACCACTCTTTATTCTATCGCAGCCATTGAGCAGCAAGCAGGCATGGCGAAGTCTTCGTTCTCTCCGACGGCGGCGAAGTCGACCTCGATCTCGGCAACTACGAGCGCTACCTGAACATCACCCTCACCCGCGACAACAATATCACGACCGGCAAGATATACCAGCACGTCATCCAGCGCGAGCGCCGCGGCGACTATCTGGGCAAGACGGTGCAGGTCGTGCCGCACATCACCGATGCGATCCAGGACTGGATCGAGAAGGTCGCGCGGATACCCGTGGATGACACTGGCGAGGTGCCGGATGTGTGCATAATCGAGCTTGGTGGCACCGTCGGCGATATCGAGAGTATGCCCTTCATTGAGGCTATGACGCAGCTGCGCCGCCGAGCGGGCAAGAACAATTTTCTGCAGGTCCACGTCTCGTACGTGCCAGTCATCAATGGGGAGCAGAAGACGAAGCCTACGCAGCAGGCCATCAAGGCTGTGAGGAGCGCTGGTCTGGTTCCAGATTTGGTGAGCCAATCCGCCGAGAAGGTGGCGCGAGCTAACACGCCATAGATCGCCTGCCGCTGCGAGCGTGCTCTCGATCCAGCCGCGATCGAGAAGATTGCCCACTTTTGCCAGGTCGATCTTGAGCAGGTTGTCATGGTCAAGGACATGCCATCCATCTACCAGGTCCCCATGCTTCTCGAACAGCAAGGCCTGATCCCTCTTGTCCGGAACATACTTCAGCTGGACAGCCTAGCTCTTTCTCCCGCCTTGACAAAGAAGGGACGGAAGACATGGGTGCAGTGGAAGTCCTTGACTGCCTCCCACAGCCGGTACCACGAGACAGTGTCTATAGCGCTCGTAGGCAAGTACATCGAGCTCCACGACTCCTACCTCTCTGTTATCAAATCCCTGGAGCATTCCTCCATGCGTTGCGGCCGGCAATTGGAACTCCGTTGGGTGGACTCAGAGCACCTAGAACAGCAGACACGAGTGAGTAAGCCCGCCGAATTTCACAAAGCCTGGCATGAGGTATGCACCGCAGACGGCATCCTCGTCCCCGGAGGCTTTGGCCAGCGCGGCACCGAGGGCATGATCCAAGCTGCGAAGTGGGCACGCGAGAACAAGGTCCCATACCTGGGTATCTGCCTCGGTATGCAAATCGCCGTCATCGAATACGCGCGCCACATCTGCAACCTCGCAGCCGCCACCTCGGAAGAATTCAACGGCGAAGCCGCCGAAAAACTCATTATGTTCATGCCCGAAGTCGACAAGAAGACCATGGGCGCCACCATGCGTCTCGGCCTGCGCCCCACCTTCTTCCAGCCTGGCAGCGAGTGGTCGCGTCTGCGAGCCCTCTACGCTGGCAAAGACGAGATCCTCGAGCGTCACCGCCACCGCTACGAAGTCAATCCCGCGTACATCGAGACGCTTGAACAAGGCGGGCTGAGCTTTGTGGGCAAGGACGACGCGGGTGTGCGCATGGAGATTGTCGAGATCAAGGACCATCCGTGGTTTGTCGGTGTGCAGTTCCATCCCGAGTATCTGTCCCGCGTGCTCGATCCGAGCAGGCCTTATTTGGGCTTCGTGGCTGCCAGCTCCGGTCTGTTGGAGGAGATCACGAAGGAGTACCAGAACGGGAATGGTGCGATGGGCGCGGAAGGTATTACGAATGGTATGAATGGGCTGAGGATGAATGGCGAGACGGGACTCTTCTAAGCCCTGCTCCCCCGTGTGGTCGTGTGTTTAGTCCGTAGAGGGAGGGGACAACAAAGTTAGTGGAAGGGGAATTGTGGTGGGGAAAAGGGTATTATGTGAGCAGATGTGGTTGAGCTGACGCGGATTTGTCTCAGTTTCTTGGAGTCACGGCGGCGCTTTGACGGACGCGTTATTGGTACGGTCACATACTAGAAAAGCCTCTTTGCTGGCACTGAAGAGGCATGCTGTTATTCTTAAAGCCCCAAATGAGAGCTCGATAGAATATCAAATATACACAGGCTCTCTCACATTCGTCTTTCGTTCCACCACCATCACCACCATCACTATCCGAAGTCTTCGTCCATACGAGGCTAAGCCTGATAAGAAAACATCACAGATGGGAGTCAGAAGAACTTGATCATACTACAGCGATGCAGGACAAGGGGAAGAGCATAAGGCATGCGACGAGGTCGCAACATCAATTGAGAAATCAGTCCTATTCTCATTATCCAAACGCGCCAGACCACCCCTCCGCTCCCAACACCGAAGAGTAGAATCATCAATGCGTCCAGCGAGTGGGCAGCCATAGACCGATATCCCGCTCTGCAAAAAGAACCGCCCCACAAGCAAGTCGACCGGAGGATTTCACGCGGCCGCTGCAAGATATACATAAACAAGCAGCAACATACACCAGACCCTAAACACGGCCCCCAGCCCCTCATGCCTGCCCTTGCGCCCTAGGATCTCTGTTATTGCCGGAGCGAGGCGACGGCTTACGCCCGAGTCTGCTTCTTAGCCGTGCCAATATGCGTATTGTGCACCTTTGTCGCAAACTTGAGACTTGTGATAGTCTCCTGGAGATGGGCTTGCAGCGGGGACACCATGACGAACATGAGCGTCTTTGAGTTGCCGCCGAGCGAGTATTGGAGGAGGTATGTCAACTACCACAAATATTAGCCCCATCTCATTTACCTCAAGAGTGTGAGGAAAATCCAAGCGTAGCTTACCTTAGAATTCCGATACGGGATATGACTCCCTTCCTTCGCCGACCCAAGGGCATTGATAACGTCGCCCAGGCAGCTAAGAGACTTATTGATATTTTGCGTCTCCTTCAAGCGTGCACCCTCTGCCTTACTATGCTCAAGCCTCTCAGATCCCGCGAGATCGACTAGGTTCAGTGTGCCCTCGCTCTTCTCGCCCGTAATGCTATTCTCGCCCACCAGTTTGAGGATGAACACCGAATGTGAACGCGAGGACCGCATATTCGCCTTTGTGGCAGCGACGCTTCGATTCTTGCTGGCAGTCTTAAGGATCTCCTCGACGCGGTGCGGGCCATCCAGACCGACACTGACGGCGTTCTCCAGAGTGGTCTGTTTCTTCGCAGGATCATGCCGTACTTCGACTTTCTTCTTGTCGATGTCTTCTGAGCGCCCGAGCAGGTCATTGTATGTCTCGTTGTAGACCTCGACGAAGGAGCCTTCCATCTTGTATCGCCAACCTTTCTCTTCAAGACGTGTTGCTTCCGCGTATATTTGTGCGGTGGCGAGCGGGATCATACCATCTGCAGAAGACATGGTGTAGGTCTTTCCAGAACCGGTCTGGCCATAACAGAAGATGCAGACGTTGTAGCCATCTAGCGCGCTTTGCACGAGCTGGCTGATCTCCTCAAAAACTTCAGCATTCTGTGACAAGGGGCCAAAGACACGGTCGAAAGCATAAGAGTATGTCTGGGTGGTATTGGTGCCAAGCGCGCTCTGCTTCTCGGGACCCTGTACGGCGACCTCTTTGCTGTCTGTATCAGCGTCCGGGAATGCGATTTTTGCAGGTTCGGTCTCTGAATCGTGCGTCGGTCGGACACGGCACATGACTCTGATGTTGCCCTTGAGCTCCTGCACCTGGTTGTGTAGCTTGCGGCGGAGGGTCTCTTCCTGGCGTAGCTTCTCATTAGCTACCTCAGCGGCTTCGATAGCATCCTGCATTCGGCGATGGAGGTCATTGAAGGCTTGCGACTGCGCCTGGCTATCCGATTCCAGGAAGTTGATCTTCTCCTTCATCGCCTTGTTGGCGGCCTCTAGGGTAAAGTTGTGTGTTGTAGCCTCCGCGAGTTGGCTTTGTAGGCCGTGCTTCAGTATCCTCTCTCGATCTAGTTCCGCTTTCACATTCGTCAATTCCCCCTGGATCAGCTGCGCCTCGCGTTGCTTGGTATCCACCTCCAACCCCGCAGTCTTCATCTTCAGGGCAAACTCTGTCTGCGCCTCTTGAACCTCCCGTAGCCTCTTGCTTCGCTCTTCTTCAAGCTCGGTTCTCCATCTTTTCTCCAGATCAGCTAGCTCTTCGCTGTGCAGCTTGAGGAGCTTCTCGATCTGGGTCTCGAACTCCTTCTGTACCTTGTCTGCCGCTTCCTCGTTCTCTCTTTTGGACCGCTCGGCATCTTTTCGATAGCGGCTTTCGAGGTCTTCTAAATCGTTTCGATGTTTCCGGCGGAGGTCGTCGGCTTCAAAAGAATGGCTTCGTCGGGTCGATTCCAATTCCATGTTTGTGGTCGATAGGAGGCTTCTTAAATCCTTTAGCTCCGTTTTATGGTCGTCAATGAGCGTCCGGTACTGCGCGCAAGTAGCCTCCAATTCGCCATCTAGAGCATGAAGGGTTAGCGATGCTCACAAGTATAGAGACAGAGCTGGGGGAACACTGTTGTGAGCGTCAACGGTGTCGGAAAGTGCACACGTACTCCTAGTCTCATAGAGCTTAATCGTGTCCTTGAGATTACTCTGCTGAGATATATCGACCTCTATTTTCTCCTTAAACTCAGTAAATTTGGCCTCGAGGTCCGCGAATCTCGTATCGTCGTACAACACTGGACAACGATCGTTAGTGAACCTATTCAGAAAAGGCGTAATGATAGTCTTCGGAGTGGGGGCCCTGGCGGGAGTCCTTGGAATCGACGGCGGAGGAGCCATCTGCCGGTTGGGTGTAGCTCGTGGAATTAAGGAAACAGCTTGAGACTTCAAGGAAATATCCGGGTCCTTGCCAGAAGTCATTCCACGTCCCATACCACGATAGCGAGCCTTGGCAGTAGAGGCACCTAATGTGAGCGCCCCCATGCCATTGAGCAGCTCGTCGCAGTCGGTATCGGCGGGCTCTTCTGGCGCTGGACTGGTCGGAAGAAGAGACGAAGGAGACGAGATTGAGCGCGTCGTTGACAGTTGAGGAAGCCTCCTAGGAGGCACATTGAGGGAGTACACGCGCGATTTTGGTGCTCGAGACGAATTTTTCGGTACTTTGAACGTATCCCGGCTTTCCTTCGGGTTCGTAGAAATAAGAAAAGGTTGCACACCTTTGGGCTCTGGTCGGTCCTCTTCCTCGTGCTGAGCCATCGAGGTAGCGGGACGAGCTCCTTGATGATGCGACTTGCTGCGGCTGTGGCCGTACGCAGACTTTGGCCTCGCGCCATAGCCGTTCGCGCTCGGCACCCTTGAACCAGGGCCAACGCTGCCGCCGAACGAGTTCGCAGATATGTGTCTCGATGTCTTGTTCGAGGGTACGCGCGAAGTGGAGGCTGAAAAGCCACGCGAGCCGTTCGCAGCGATGCTCTTGACAACATTGTTGACGGGGCGTGAACTGGGTGGAGCAGCGAGCACCGACCCGTAGGGCTCACCGGCGCGTTCCCTTAGAGTCTTCCGTTTCGCGTCCGGCTCGGGCACTGCAGCTGTTAGCGGCCTTTCCGGCATGGGATTTGCAGCGACCCTACGGCCTGATGGCTTATGCTTGATGCTGCCAGTGGGCGGCGGGCCCATCGCCCCGCGGGCATTTGTGGCGGACTCGGTCAATTCGGTGAGGCCATTCGATCGCGGCGAGGAGGGCATTGCTATCTTCGATGCTATCTTTGTCGGCGGTCTCAGGCCGGAAGGCTTCATCGAGCCCTAGAGCGCAACCTCAGTTAGACTTGTGATGCCGCGATCCTCATTCATCTGGAGGCGTACCTGGTTCTCTGTGGTAGGATCCATGAATCCCTTGTCCGATATGCAAGCGCCAAAGAGCGAAGAATATCACCAAAACATGCTATGTCGCACAGCGAGAGGCAAAGGCGACGTCGACGTCGGTGATGATGGCGGGTGTCGAATGTTTGGGGGATTGGGTTGTGTAAACAGTCCAGATCCCTGTCGTTGCTTAGGCGCTTTGGGCTTAGCGCCTTGTGGCTGGTGCATCACGTCCGCCACATTCCTTCTCCCATCCTCGCTAGGGTCATTGCGGAAAGCAGCCACATCTCTAAGCCGGCATCTCGCAAGTGTAAAAGCAACTGGAACCCTTTCCGGATTTCCTATAAATTCAGTCATCATTCGACTTGATAGCTCCTTCTTGAAGTCGCCAGATCCAGTTTCTTGTCCAGGCCATTTCCCCCATCTGTCCCGCGATCCCCAGCAAGCGCTCGTATAAGCATTGTACTCCGATCTCTGCTACGCTATCATAGCAGAACACCCGCTTCCTGGTTGAAGAAATTGGCTGCTATGTACCAAGCATAAGCTGACGTGGAGCGAAGTGCGCAATCGGCTCAATCTCACACTGTCCTTTCCTATCTATCAGTATCAGGCGGCCCGAGAGAGGCCTAGATCTTGACCCAAATTCCTCGACACCCTCACCCTTCGACGTTGAACCCGTGACGTTCTATACATGGAAATGCTGTAGGGATCGGCACTTTGTCGGATGACTCGACGTGCGACGGACCGCACCCACGGCCGCGTCTGCGAAACGGCGAACCACACCGGGCGACAAGTGTCACATGCCAGTGTCGACTTGACATGCTGCGCACAGTGTTCCAGAAGCTTGGGCTTATCGATATGTACAGGAGGGTCATCTATGAGGTCGCGGAATACGGATAAGGGTGAGGGTTGCTGCAAGGTCCGGCTGCTGATGGGATAATCGATGGACGAGGGCCAGGATTAGGCGGCATGAGCGGAGGTGTGCTGAGGGTCGATACGCACAGTGATAGGCTGGGCTCCCACAATCGTGCAGATTCTGGATGGCCGGCCTCTGTGCTAACCGCCGTGGTACGCGGGGAGGCGTGTGGCTGCACAGAAAACGGCCACAGCTTCGAGATGGTCTCGAGCACGCCGTCACGCCCTGGAAGCTTCATCATTCAGCCCACGCGCATTATGCAGGGCACGGTTTGTGAGCTGCGTCGATGAATGGCAATCAGCGCAAACAGCCATCAGGGTTTGCTCTGTGGCCGCGCCGTCGAGGGTCGTTTTGTGCGACGAGCGAGGCCAGTCCAATTGGAGAGCACCCGACAACCCACCCGCCCCAGAAGCGATGCGTAGAATCGTGGTGGTGATGTCTAGAGGCTTGGCCGGTGCTGCGCTGCTAGGACGAAGGCGTGCTAGGGGCGTGCATTCATCCAGTGCCATAAGAGGGCCCCTGTCCTCTTGTGTGGCAGCTCCCATTCCGCCCAGTGCTGCCAACGAAGCACCCGACTCGAGGGCATTAGCTGGTATCCCACGACTGTATATTGCTGCGCTTCGTTGCGCTTTGCGATCGCAGACATCTCGACGGCGCCTTGACGGAGCAGCTGGTTGCTGTGCGGGGGATTGGTGCTGAATGTGAAAGGCGCCCGTCCCGTGCACGCTCATTTCCCGTGCTTAGCGAGACCTCCAGCCTCATCCAGCACCGGTTCTGACCTCCTTCTCCCGCTTCTTGCGCGTCGACGACACCTACCTCCCCCTCCGCGACCGCTGCGATTGCCGTTCCCATCTCGAGCGCCTTCAGTCCAATTCGTCGACGGGTTGTTGTGTTTGCAAAAGGGCAGTAGCGCTTGCGCCGGCTGGGCCCTCCCGCCCCCCCCACGAGGCAGCTTCACCACGCGACAACGCAAGGAGCAACCAGCATCATCAACACCACGCCCGCATCGCGGCACATTTCCGCGCCGCCTGCTGCTCAAACATGAGCCACGAGGCCCCTGCTGACGCCCCTGGACGGCCCTCGACAGAGAAGCCTGCCAGCGCCGCCTCGCCAGAACAGCCAAACGGCACCGGTATGTCGCTGCCGCTACAGCGCGATGAGACGCGGGGCCCACATGCAATGAGCGAATTGCTAACTCCACTCAGCAGCCAATGCAACCCTCGCCCCCAACTCGATAGTTCCCCCGCCGCGCTCGTCATCTCGAGGGCCGCCGTCCACCGAAGATTTGCGACGAACCCCGTCGAAAGCAACAGGAGAAGGTGAAGGCAGCGCTGCTTCCGAAGGCGAGCCCAAGAAGAAGCGATCCTTTTTAAACATCCCCCGTTCCAATTCGCAGTCCAAGTCGAACGAAGAACAGACCCCCACCGGAACCGGCCTAAGTGGAGCAACTGTGGCCGACTCTGAGAGCGTTGGGCGAGGCTCCAAGCGGAGCTTCTTGGGCAAGCGGCGGGCGGGGAGCGTGGCCAGCAGCAAGCGCTCACAGCAGCCTGCGACGTCGGAGAAGGTGGAGCAGCCACCGCCAGTCCCTTCTATGGAGCATCGCGAAGGCTCCGCGAAGAGTAAGACGAGAAAAGCTGGCGGACTGCTATCGTGCCTGCCTTGCTTTGCACCCAGAGACGCCCGTGCAACGGGCGAAGAAGCTCCGGAGAATGTCAAGCAGGCCGGTAAGGCGAAGCCTGTTCGGACCTCGCAGCCTACACCTGTGAAGAAACCCGATACAACTGCTGCTGAGTCAAGCACCGCAGATTCAAAGGAGCCATTGGATGAGAAGGCGGCAAGTGAGACGTATGGTGCAGAAAAGCCTAGCCACGGCGACGGTACGACTGAGAGACCCTCACACGAGACTCCTCCCAAGATCGTGACAAGAAGTTCGTCTAAGAAGCAATCCCCAGATCAACCGCTGCCTCCTCTACCAGACCAGGCGGGAACTTTACAGACCGGCCATCCCCAGATCAACATCCAAACGCCGACTCCCGGAACGACACCTGTACAGCCAAGACCGTCTCATGAACAACAGCAAATAATACATGACCGGACAGACGCGCAGGAGGAGAAGGACCAGGACATTGAGATGAAGGACGTGCCTCTCGCATCGACTGACGTGCGTCATGAGGGAGATGAGAGCTCTAGCGAGACGCAAAATGAGATTCCGCCGAAAGTGGATCTGCCTCCCCCGCCACCGCTTGAACAAAGACAAAACGCGGTCCGCGATCAGACGTCAGAAACAAGTTTATCCGAACCCCAACAGAAGTACCTTCTAGGTCCCATAAGACCAGAATTCAAGGGGAAAAAGTGTCTTGTTCTTGACTTGGATGAGACTCTGGTGCACAGCAGCTTTAAGGTAAGCACAATCGATTGATCCATTCGATTAGATTGCTGACACACGCACAGATCCTTGCTCAGGCCGACTTCACCATTCCCGTGGAGATCGAAGGGCAGTACCACAATGTGTACGTGATCAAGCGACCGGGCGTGGATCAGTTCATGAAGAGGGTTGGCGAGCTTTATGAAGTCGTTGTTTTCACAGCCTCTGTCTCGAAGGTACATCATCAACAGAAAAAACCTGTGAACTAGGCTGACTGTCTTCAGTATGGTGATCCCCTTCTCGACCAGCTGGATATTCATGGAGTGGTACATCACAGGCTCTTCCGAGAAAGTTGTTACAACCACCAGGGTAATTACGTGAAGGTAAGAAGAAGCTTTGCCAAGCGTTTCAAACTCAGACCTGACCAACTCAGGACCTATCCCAAATCGGTCGTGACCTGAAGGACACCATCATCATTGACAACTCGCCCACATCGTACATCTTCCACCCGCAACACGCCGTCCCAATCAGCAGCTGGTTCTCTGATGCTCACGATAATGAACTTCTCGATCTGATACCCGTCCTCGAGGACCTCGCCGGGTCCCAGGTCAGCGATGTTAGTTTGGTACTAGATGTCGCGCTGTAAAGGGTCCGACCGGCCATTCCCACCCTCACCTCCACCTTCGATTCCGACATATATTTACTCCCCCTTCTTGCCCTTTCCGCGCCTCGGGGATCGGTCTCGTTCCTATTCGATTCAGAAGAGAGCATCTCCTAGGGTTCTCCTTCTAGACTGTACTTTTGTAATCGATTTGTAATCTGCATAATGGGGACCGGCCGTATGCATGCAGCGTCGTTGAGGGATTAGTTGGAAGCATATATTTCTTTCGACGTGTCTTCCTTTGCTGTCTGCTGCGGGCGCTTCTCTCTCCTTTCCTCCCCTCCACCTCTTTAACGGATACCTTCCTCCTCTAAGCCTGGCTCCCACGCTACCGGTCGCGCAGATTGTTCATACAAAAGTACCCTCCTTTCTCGTCCCTGTACCTTGGGTACATCCATCTTCTCACTCCTCGTTTCAGCTCAAAAGAGTGTGGCTGCAAAAGGAGCAGGACCGGTGTTGGACGGATGGAACGGACTGGGAATATTAATACTGGCATTGCTACGTCCTGCGAGGACATTACTACCAACTGCATTTCCTTTGTACACACAATTTTCTTTTCATTGAATTTGCGCTTGACATAGCATTGCTGGCGGGAGCAAATCATCGTCCGTACTTGTGCTGCTGGAGCAGGCTTGCTGCATTGCAGACAAGTGTGCCGTGGCCCTGACCTGGATCGGGCCCTTCCATTCACGTTCCATGTTTTATTCGGGATCTTTTTCCTTCCGGCGGTGGGGGAGTTTTCAGCAGGGAGGAGGTGGCATTGGCTGCTTGTGGGGATGCGAGGTGGAACTTGAAGAAGTGGTCCGACTGAGAGCGGGTAGGATGGAGATGTAGATAGAGAATACACATTTGGAATTCAATTACCCGGGCGCCAATGCCAGAATTCGATGCGTGACGTCTGACAGCGGAGCGACACGTAGACGCGCCGTTTTCCACCCGAAAAGTTCGGAACACGTCAAACCTAGGAATGACGCCCGTGGCCGAAGTCTTGGCGCACGACCAGAATTTCACATGCTTGCACTCAGTGAAACATGACTCGCCGCTCGGTCTTCCACTCATCCCGCGAATGCGGCAGAGATACACCGATACATAGACGTAGCGTCTGCCGCGCCTGCAGCTCCCTTCTTTCGGACATTTATTCTCAGCTGTTCTACGGTTGCGAATATATATCACGCTCATCCATGGACCGGTAGCACCACGTTCGCCTCCACGTCAACCCAGGCATCATGGAGAAATATTCGCAGTTCCGGGACAAAGGTACGCGCCGCGCTCCATCGCGTCACCAGCACCTGTCGCGGTATTAGTATCACGCGCTGACAGAATACATGTACAGGCACCGCGATTGCGCCCTTCCTCCCCGTCCCCACACCGTCCGCCAGCGCCGTCTGGACGCCGATCCACATATTCCTCTTCATCGTCCGCGCGCCCGCCGTCTTCTTCTTCTCGCTCTTCTACTTCGGCTTCCTCGAGTTCCTGCCCGTCGGCTCTTTCGTCAAGAAATGCGTGCTCTGGGTGATCCTCGCAGTCCCGGGCGTCTGGTGGGTGGACTTACAAGTCGATGGCGTCAAGAGGGGCAAGCTAGCGGAGAAGCAAAACCACTTGCCGCATCCGGGGACGATCATTGCGAGCAGCTTCACGAGTCCGCTGGATCCACTCTATTTGGCGGGGATATTTTGCCCTGTGTTTACGAGGAGTTGGCCTGGGGAACGGAGGGTGGAGCGGATTACGCTCTTTAGGGCTATTGCGCTGGCGTTTTCAAAGCCACAGCTCGAACCGCCGAAGGAGGCGAATTTGGTTACGTTGAAGGAACTTGGAGAGCAGTATCCGCGGTCGATTATCTGCGTGTTTCCAGAGTGCACGACTACGAATGGGAGGGGCATTCTACCGTTCAGCCCCAGTCTCCTGACTGCAGACCCGAGAACGAAGATCTACCCCGTAAATCTGCGATACACCCCCGGCGATATCACCACGCCTGTACCGGGCCATGTGCTCAGCTGGATATGGAAGCTGCTCTCGAAACCGACGCACTATATGCGGGTGCGAATTGCGAGGCATATGTACAACAATGCTGCGCTGGATTCGCCGGCTGCGAGGGCGACCAAGAGCACGGCGACGGATATCGGCTTTAATACGAATATCTTTGATAGTCCGCATATGAGGAATGGGGGCGGAGATGAGGAAGCAACGGTCATTGAGGGGGTCGAGCAGAGGGTGCTGGATCGGGTGGCGGAGGATTTGGCGAGGTTGGGAAGGGTGAAGAGGGTGGGTTTGGGGGTGCCGGAGAAGATCGAATTTGTGAAGGTTTGGACCAAGAGGAGACGGTAAATGGAGAAGAGAGTACGACTCAATGTCAATGCGTAGCGGGGAGTCTGGCAGGCCATGTGGAAATATTTCAGCGATAGATATGGCGGTGCACTCCTGAGCGTGGAGAGTGGACCATTTACTTACGGCTTCTATATCCGAGGAGTGCACAATCCAGCATACGGATGCATGTCTACCATCTGCTGTGCGCATGTCTTCTTGTCCCATTGAAACCTACCTAGGTAGACTTCTATAAAATTGAAAAGCCAAAGTGAAGCATTTCAATGTCGACTGCTACCCGAATAAAGGGCCGTAAGGTACATAGAATCGTACGCTTGGAAAGGCTTCGTTTTACTCTGCACGAGGTGAAGTGTTGCTGTAGGAATTCATTCGGCGTTTGGGGATCGTCACCCCACAAACGTAAGTTGCAGTCCCTTGCCCCTGCACTATTAGCCCTGCACAAAACTACGCTTTTCCACAAACGCAGCTTCCGCCTTGCATAAACAACTCACTCTCGCGTTGACGTACCTACGTAGCCCACGGGCAACTTATTCCTCAACAACACCCCGCTGCTCGATCACTCTACTACAGCAGGTCTCCTCTTCGCCGATACGAAATCAAGCCTCAGATCCCGTCATGACCGACTCGGATAATGCCCCGCACATCGAGCTCGACGCCGCGGCGACAAATAGCGACCGGACGCACGATTTGGAGAAGAAAGACCACAAGCCGAGAGACAGCAAAGGCTGGGACGGCAAGCTGAGGGTGGACAAGAGCATGCTAGTGGACGGGCCCCCGGACCTGGGCGCAGAGAGCGAACCGGAAGTGTCAGAAGATGAAGGACCACCGCCGGAGCAGCTTGCGGCTGACGAAGATCTGCTGGATGACGTGCCAGAGGATGAGGATGAAATAGAGCTGGTGCACATGCGGATCTCCAGTATACCCGCGTTGAGGTTAGAGAGGTTCAATAAGCTCAAGGTAACCGCCCGCCTGCCGCGTGCTTTTGACCGTCACTGATTAATTACCCATAGCGGCTCTGCCTCCGCCAGAACCAAATATGCGACGTCGAAATACCGGACGAGATCGCGCCGTCATTGCAGGAGCTAGACCTGTACGATAACCTAATATCGCACATCCGAGGCTTCGACGCCTTCACCGAACTCACGTCGCTCGACCTTTCCTTCAACAAGATCAAGCACATCAAGCGCCTCAATCACCTGACGAAGCTGCGCGACCTATACTTTGTACAGAATAAAATTAGCTCGATCGAGGGTGTACAAGGGCTGAGCAACCTGCGGCAGATCGAGCTGGGCGCCAACAGGATCCGGGTAGGATGATGTCTCTAGTAGTCGCATAGGCGAAGCTGACCTCTAGGCAGGAAATACAAAATCTCGAGACCCTCACGGGCCTGGAGCAGCTATGGCTAGGCAAGAACAAGATCACCGAGCTTAAAGGCCTCGACACATTGACGAACCTCAAAATCCTCTCCATCCAGTCGAACCGCCTCACCTTCATCGCCGGTCTTTCGAACCTTAAGAACTTGGAAGAGCTGCACATATCTCATAATGCTATCAAGGAGCTCTCGGGCCTCGAAGAGAACACTAACCTCCAGGTTATCGATATAAGCGCCAACCCGATCGAGCACCTGACGGGCCTCAAGCAGCTCAAGCATCTGCAGGAGCTGTGGGCGAGCAACTGCCAGCTAAGCAGTTTCGAGGAGATTGAGAAGGAGTTGCGCGACAAGGAAGAGCTGGAGACGGTATACTTTGAAGGCAATCCGTTGCAGAGGGCTCAGATGGCTCTGTATCGGAATAAGGTCAAGCTGGCCTTGCCGCAAGTCAAACAGATCGATGCTAGTAAGTCAACTCGCTTCGCACTCCACATGTGTTGGCGCACTAACAGGTAGGCAGCGTTTGTAAGAGTGAGCTAGATAACTGGTCGCTCTGTATCATTAGGTGTTATCGATCAGGCGACTTAGTTGTGCGCCCCTGGCTCGGCTCAGGCTCGTTTTCATCTTCTGCAGAGCTATTATTGGCATTGGGGTTCAACATTGCATTTGCATGGCGAAAGGGGAGGCGGCAGCAAGAGCCATTGACGTATGATCTGGCATTGCGAGGCGTTCACCGGGAATCCATAGCATGAGGTTACGAGTAACGAACCAACGCCTCCTAATGTCGCCACAAAATGGAATCGCACAATCACTTTTCGATCGCATTCATACCCACACATAGCAATACTTCCCGCGGATGTGTACATCACATCCCTTTCCTTGTCCTACCATACGCATGGTTCGACAGGGTCTTCCAGAAGCAGGGCACGAACCAATGATCAAGCACCTTCCCGCTGTCTCAAGCTGTCTCTCTTCAACACCTGAGCGAAAGTTGCCCCATGAGGAATTTTGATGCCGCGTTGGGCCGCGTTCGCGACCGAGGTGCTGGTTCGCTTCGATGTCGCTGATTTTGTCGGCGGGATTTGGCACGCCTTGTGGGACTGGTGGGAATGCTGTGCGTCGCGGAGTACAGTACATGTCGCTATAGTGATGCGCGAAGGAAGATATTGCGCGATTCTGGCGTCACTCCGTGTTAGGGAATTGAAATGGCGGGTTTTGAGAATCGCATCGCTCCTTCTTCCGGAGGTAACCAACGGCAAGAGCGGGAGAAGCACTCATCGCCGTCTTCGTATCCCTACCCGCTCCTTAACTCTATTTCAACTCCACCAAATGACTCCCATCTCGACCCTTCATCACCTCTCGCTGGCTCCGCATGCATAAGGTTGCTCTGCGCTCCCCCTCAGATGATCGACTGACTCGCACTCGCCACGCGTACGATACCTTTAAGGTTCGTACCGTTGCTCCCGTACACACACACAGAGCATAGCGTACGCCAGCCTATACATGTGGCGCTCTTGTTCGGCCGACAAGCATGCCGTGGCCATCTGGTTGTGGCGCACTCATTCAACCGACGAGCATTCCGTGGCCAATTGATGGTAGCGCACTCCGGCCGCCGGGTTTCTGGACGAGCGACGGAGATGAGTAGGATCTGGGGGCTAACGAGCGGGACACGACTCGACTCTTTAGCGACCCAGTCCTCAAATTCTGGAATGCGAACTTTGGAAAGGGATACCCTTCTCTTCATTCTTCTCAGGACAGCAACGGTAGATCTCCTGTCTTTGGATTAACCGGTCTGTTGCTCACGAGACGAATAGAACAGGCGGTGAATGCATGCAGACCTGGACAATTCACGATCACGTGTAGGTTGACGTCGTCCCCTGCATGCCCAGGCTGTCGCTCTCGCGCAGATTTCCACTTATCGAACGATCGCCCACGTCCGGATTTACAAACTCTAAATCTCGCCTTCATGAAGCTCGCTAGACGCAACGTCCTCGCATCCATCCGACGATTCGTGCCTTCGTGTTACCCCTCGCGCTGTGGCTGCCTCGAGATTCCAAGCCTGCGTGTGGGGTACCTGCGTATTCCTGCGTGCTTACGCGCGTTCCTCCGCTCCGTTTACGGTACGGCGCGCTGTCATTCATGAAACCCCCAGGATACAATCTACCCAAAATTGCCGAATCTCAGCCGGCCTCCTCCAAATATAAGTCGAATATTTTGCGTCTGGGTTTTCTGACGATAACCACGAAGCAGAGTTCCGATATGTCCGAAGGAGCAATCGGTTGACGGGCCCCACATGACGATCTGAGGATAGCCAGGTGGTCCTCTTGAAACCTCACCTTGACTTCTTAGGGAAAGCTATGCGAAGATCAAAAGGTGGTTCAAGTTCAGCCCTGACCCACCCCACATTACGCCAGTCCTGAAGCAGGCCAACATCCGCACCAGAACGGCGAGCCGAAAGTTAACTCGGATGGCGGCATGTGACCCTGACTTCGGTTCGCAGATACCTAGGGTTCGGCCGATCTCGATTCTCGTATGATACCTTGCGGAACCATGGGATTCTCAAAGTCTCTTGGACCGGGCTGGCCCGGGAAAGTCTGGAATGATGACGGCTTCCCAATATCGGAATGTGCCCAGCGACCACCACTTCGGAGCGAGCAACGAGTATCAAACAAACAAGAGCGATGATAGGCACATCTTTCACGCTGTTGCATGCCCGCCTTAACCATCGTCCTCCGCAAAACTTCGGTCCTCCTTGCTTTGAGGGATAGTACACACGCTATCACTTGCATGTGGAGCGACGTCCGCTGTTGAGCGAGCGCGCCCAGAGTTCTGAATTATAAGGTTTGAGATTTTGGATCTCGACCTATCGTCAAGAGCTAGTTATACCCATTCAGGGCATTTTCGCCCAGGATTTGTGGGGTCCTTGAGCCGGACCTTATTACTCCGCTGCTGTACCGAACGGCGCCCTCCTGCATTGATGGTCTTTAGCCTAATCCAAATTGGCCGCAAGTTCTGTGACGACAAACCTGCAACGCTCAGAAACCGGAGTTCAGCCACGTCCACACCACCTCTGACGACATGGTCAACGTGAAAGACCTTGAGCTCGATCACTTGCAGTACAATCTAACGCCATGGGTCAATGATCACCACGGAAAGAGACCGGCCACTCGAGTAGGCGGAGGCATAGATCACGCATGGACCTGCATTAACGCGTCTAATCGAGCGAGGAACGCCATGGTTTAGCGGTGGATCCTCTCAAACCCTACTCGACCGCCGTTCCCTGCGTCGTATCTGGGTGGCCAATCCCAAAGGCTTGACTTTTGCTTAATTAACTTTCCGAGCATGCAGGGCTGAGAAACATCTGCTGAGTGACACTTGCGACAGCGGTAGACAAGAAAGCTTGTGTGCGCTAGGAGGTACCTGAGATGAACCGGACGGTTGCCACAATCCGCCCAGCTTTTAGGCCGTCAGCCCATGAAACTAATCCAGTGGCAGCATACTCGCTTCCAGGACGCTTCCGGGAGATCCCCTAGCTTGTCTGCTCTGATATAGTTCCATAAGACCCTTAGGTAGGGCAGATCCGAACTCTTCATTCCATTCTATGCATCTTCACTTTTCATAATCATTGTATCCATCATGGCGATGAGTACTGCGGAAGAGGCAAATCGCGACGCCTGCACTGGTGTCGCGACGGCCTTTACTATCGTCTCAAGTGAGTTCTCTGTAACTCTTGTCGGGCCGATGTTGAGATGTTGATGTACATCTAGTTGTCATTGTGGGTCTTCGAGTGTACGCACGCACAGTCGTCGTTCGGAACTTTGGCAAGGACGATTGGGCTATGCTCGGGGCATTGGTAAATCTCCCCTCCCTCCGCAAGGATGCTCTGCTAACCAAAGCAGTTGTTCACCATCGCCTATCTCGTCGCGATCTTCGTTCTCCGTGCCAATGGCATGGGCTTCAGCGGCGCAGTCTTGAGTTTGGACCAAATGACGGTCCTCATCAAGACTACTTTGGCTATCGAGATCATGTACTATGTACTCATCTTCTGCGTCAAAGTATCGATCCTGTTCTTCTATCTTCGCATTGGTATGGCCCGCACATCGCAGCGCGAATCTGTGCTAACGTCTCCTCTAGCCGCCAACAAGAGCTTTGAGCTTGGATGCAAAGCAACGATATACTTCCTCGCGGTTTTCACTGTTGTCTGTGTGATCGCGTGCGTAACACAATGTGTTCCGCTCCATAAGATGTGGGACTTCCTCGGCGTAGTGCAAGGCCACTGTATCAATACCACAGCGCTCTTTTATTGTAAGTGCCTACATGTGCCTCGCCTCCTCAGGCTGTGAACTAACCCGCCGCAGCAACTAGTGCGATCAACATCATAACCGATATCTGGATCATTGCCCTCCCTATCAAAACACTTTGGTCCATCCAACGCCCTACTCACGAGAAGTTCGCCCTCATCTTCGTCTTCAGCCTGGGCATCTTCTCCTGCATCGCCTCCATCGTACGCCTCCACTCGATCCGTATCTACACCCAGTCTCCCGACCCCTTCTACGACAGCGTGCCCATCAACCTCTGGTCCATGATCGAAGTCAACATCGGCATCTGGTGCGCATCGATCCCCGCGCTGAAGGCTCTCATCACGCACCGCCGCCGCGGCGATACACAAGCAAGCGGCGCATACAAGTACCACAGCCGGGATAAGAGCGGAGCTAAGATCTCAGGAGGTATGATTGGCGGGAGCGGCGGGAGCTCTAGCGCAAGGTCACAGGGCATGCCGGTGGATATATACGATTTGAAGACCTTTGAGGAGACGGGTAGTGTACAGAGCCCGCAGCAGGCGGTGCGGAAGAAGAGCAATGTGGATAGCGAGTGGAGTGCGGATTCGCAGGAGCGCATTATTGAGCATGCTAGGGTTTGAGGGAGGGACTGTGACGCTGCTGTACGGATAGCTGGGATTTGGGCGTCTGGTCCTATTGGGAGTCTTTCTGCGTTGCTCTTCAGCCTTTTCCAACGTCCATGAGGCTTTCAGGGGTTCAGAGAGACCGCTGCGGCCAAGACGGGTATGCTTTTCTCCGCGGGGGGAATATAGATGAATTCACAGGCACACCCGGTGCGCAGCCGGGTAATCTCCGTCGTCCTGGGCTGCACAACCCGTTCCCCAACAGCAGCGCTCATTGTCGTCATTTCGCTTCAGTTCAGATGCTGCAGTCTCCATCCACACCCCAAACCAAACCCTGCGCATCGGAGATCGCTCCGAAGCTGCATCTATCACCCCCAGATTTCCTGCCCCAGTACTGTAGCACTCTGATACCTCGGCCCCACAATCCTAACTTCCTAGTGCTTACCTCCCTCCTTGCTGCAGGTATGGACGAGACATTCACACCTGGGCATTTCCACGCCTATCACCAACAACTAGATCATCAATCAGATAGGAGGGGTTTTGCGACTGGGAGGTAGCAAGTCTGGTACCGAATGCATGGCGCACGTCGTTGGTCACTGATACCAGATACCAAGAAGCTGCGGTGAACGGACCGCGACGCTCCGCGTGCGCCCCGCACTTCATATGTATGTATGGTGCAAGTGCGTGCAGCGCACCGCACCTTGCAGTGTGAGCTGCAGGTTGGAGCGTGCGTGCAGCTTGCGGTGCGGTGCGGTGCAGATGAGAAATGGCGGGAAGCTACTGGTGGGTTGGAAATGCTTGCCAAGGAATGGAGTGTTTGGGTGTGAACGCGGATACAGAGGAGTACTGCTGCGCTGCGGAGAACTACCTAGGTACGTAAGAGGTTGGAAAGGATCTGCCTGTTATGGTGGGTAGACTACTAGGTTGCTCTCTCTGCTGATTGTTGATTGCTTCGAAGGACTACGCCGGTGTCCTGAGGATAAGGACAGGGGTGGAATGCTGCTGTTCGGAGCTGGCTCGATCGTGATGATTGAGCAGGAGGGAGAGCGTTGTGATATAGAGCTCAGCACTGGGACGGTTCGAGAGGTGGTGGTAGTTGAAGACGTTGTTGGCAATTTCGCCTTGCGTCTCCTTCCGCGCCCTTCATGTCGCTTTGGTGTTGAGGATGAATCTGTACACGTTGGACATAGCCTTTTCGTCTTAGCGCAGTAATTGGGAATATAAACCTGCCTCCTCTCCTATTAACAGTGAGTTCACGCCAGGCTAGAAGTGACGTGGAGCAGGCTCTCTTACCGAATGTATGAGATCCGCAGGGTATGGATCTTTTGCGCTGCTAGCCCTGGAGAGGTTAGGGTGTAGAGCCAACGCTAATGAATTGGATTGGGTTTAGCGCAGAGTGGGGCCACGGTTTGATGTTGGGAAGCTCGACTCAGTTTCATCTCTTCAACACCTTACTCCTTGGTTGCATTATCATTCCTCACTCTTAACGAGAGATATGGCCTAAATGGCGTGCTGCTTGCAGCATGTTGCAAACCACTACCGGCCATTGGTACGTTGCAATGAGCAGGAACAAACATTCCCAAGACGAGACATCCAAGGATAGGGAAGCCTTCCGCATACCAGTCGGCCTGGCTATCGTGCCTTTTGACTTTTGGCTATCAGTATTCGATCAGATGGCGCTTCTGATGGCTTCGCCCAGCGTTCTGCCTCGTGGGTGAAATCCGTAGCGTTCTGGAGGCGAGATGCGCTATTGGTCACTGCCCACTCTGCCTCGCAATCGGCCTGCAGCCCATCAAAGCTAGGCATTCTCAGCCTGGCCGATATATCAACCCGTCGCGTTGCCGTTCCTTCTTTTCCTCATTTGCGTCGGTTTCATCTTTGGCATCCTGGCACCTATTGTCGAGCCGCTACATTGATCAATAGCGACGTCCAACTGAATCATGGCCGATCCTTTGACAGCCTTCGGTGCAGCTGCCGGCGCCGTTCAGATTGCCGACGTAGCCTTACGAGCTAGTGGCGAGGCATACGGATTCCTTGCGGCGGTCAAGGACGCAGGCAAGGATGTTCAAGCTCTGAGAGATAGTATGTATTCTTCGCGTTCCAGCTCGGTGATGTCCCATTCGGCCGTCCATACCGCACGACAGCATTTAATTAGCTCACAGCCTTGTGCGGCGTAGAGTCAAATATTCGCAGTCTACGAAACTACGTCAGCAAATTCAGCAAGTCGAAGAATGCTAGAGAGGAATTCGAGGTGCTCCCGGAAGCCATTACCGGGACGCTGATGCGCTTCCACGATGATATGGTCTACCTGAAATCCGTTCTCCCACGGAAACCATCGCCAACTCTCGCACAGAAGGTTCGATGGGCGTATAACAGACATAGGGTTGCCAGCGCGATAAAAAGGCTGAACGACCGTAAGACTGACCTGAACATTGCGCTAGCAATCACTGGGCGGTAAGTATAGTATCCGCCTCAAGTTTAGGTTCCAAACAAGAGACCACTAATTTCAGTCTCAGTCAGCATGATCTAAATCTTCGACAAGATACCGCAGAGTTGAGCGCAACTCTGGTGAGAACTAAAGATAAGATTATGGGACAACAAGAGTTATACCGGTCCGCGATATCCGGACAAACCGCATCGATAAACGAACATGTCGGAAAATACGAAAGAGACCATGCTGAACTGGTTCACCATGTACTGCAGGTGAAGAATAGGGTCAATGACGTGCAAGCGTCCTTAGATCAACGGCACGCTTCTGCTCACGAGCCCACAGCGAGCGATCATGTCCGCGCTAGGGTCATGATGGCAATCCATGAAAACGAGAATGCATTTACCACCTCAGGCTTCGGGGTCCCTCACGAAGCAAGTCGGTCACCGCAAACCACGCATGCCATGCAAGCTGATCTTCTGGATATCCGATCAACCACTACCATATCTGCGTCTAGCACTGACGTACTGACGAAAATTTTTCGCTCAGAGCTTCGCTCCAATCTCATGGCAATTATCGAGCAGACCTTTGAAATCTGCGAGGCGCGTCGTGAATCGAGGCTTTCTCGCATAGAGGCTATGGTGGATCAAATCAGTACCGATCTTGGCGGCTATATCCTGGCTCTTCATCATTCAAGGGAGTCCGAAAGCAGTTCGAGAAATAGTCCGCAATTTCATGGTCAGCAACTCGCTTCCATGGTTCCAACGGACCCGGGTCTATCGAAATCAAGGAGAAAAGTCAATGGGAATTGTCCACTGGCACAGGTTGCCACTCCCGGTCGGCCAGTAGACATGTTAACCACCTTGAGGCGCTCTTGGTTTACGAAATGGCGAATTGGTTCTGTCCAGATTGAGATCGAAAGCAGGATCCATCGAAAATATGGTTCCCCTAAATGCGATTCGTCAACTTCCATATACATACATTTCCGTCCAAGCCAAGCATGGATACGCCTACCTGGATTGTCAATCCTCTCGAGTGTGCCATCCTATCAGGGAGGAATCCTCCAATTTGCGCCTATCATTGCCACTTTCCCGATCATATCATGGCCACATCCGGTTTTTGACGCCATCACAGAAGGCAATGTACAAGAAGTCCAGCGATTGCTCGAGTCAGGTGTAATACACCCGAGATCTCAAAGCGAGGCTGGCGACACCCTACTACACGTGAGTACTCGCTTCCTTAACAACACAGGGAAGGGCAAGTGCCGCACGCCATCCGCAGCCATATGCCCCACGGAGAAGTGCATCCTCTGTTCGGCCGGCCTGTTTTGACTACCTTCTTGGAAATTAGAATGTCGTTACCTGCTGACACGATGTATATAGAGGGCTGCCCTCTTTGCAAAGCCAGAGTTATGCAAGCTACTGCTTGCGTACGGTCTCACTTGGGATCAAACTGACCGGTAAGCTCATTGTAGAGATGTCGTGTCACATGTACTGAAACTCGTTACCAGGGTCGGATACACGCCAGTACGCGCGGCGGCATCTTCAATCTTCCTCTCAAGCAGGCTACACTCTCCTTCCACATTGCAGGATGCCGACACAATCCAGACGCTAGAACTCATCGCAGAGTCTGGGGTTGACTTGGGCGATGTTTGTGGCGACCTCCTCAGTACGACCCAACGATTACGCCTGGATGAGACGTGGATTGGGCGATGGCAAAGATACTTCGAATGCATGAACTATCTCATCACACGGCATTCTATCGACGCATGGCAGCTACACTTCACTTACTGGGATAGTGTGTGGTGGCTACCGACGGAGATCAACGTAGAAAACCTGAGCGGAGCTCTAGGAGCTGGTCTCGACCCGAACCTGTTGTTGCTAGGACCCATGAGGCGACTTCTGGTCCAGGCAATGTACGGAATGCGCTGGCTAAAAGCCTATAAGAAGAACGAGGACGAAAGAAGCCGCATTTCTGAGATCAAAATCAATGCAGAACGCACCCTAAGCGGACCGGAAGTATCGGCTCCTTTGGCTCACCAGCTCGAAGATCTCACCGTCCCTTGGTCCTTAGTTAAGCTCCTGATAGCAGCTGGCGCGGACATCTACTCGTTCAACCCAAAGTATTTTGACAGAGCTCCCTCTTGGCATTATCTCTATACCCCCTGTGGGTATGCCTATGTATGGGGCATCGAGAAAGAATGGGAAACTGCACTCCGAGAGTGTGGACTTGACCCAGACGGAGTCTATCGGGAAAACGTCCGGCGATTGAGAGAGGCGCATAGATTACATGGGGCTAAGCGATCAGGTATCGATGAGAGTGTCCTGGAATTGCCCTTTCCAGACGGGTTGCGCTGTCGGCCTTGCCATCGAAAGAGGTGTCTTAGGAAACATGGCTATTGGCTATTCGAGAGGCCACTGCATGGCACCTAGGCCAAGCGACCGGGCCACGATATTCCACTCATCCGGACCATACCACGAGTCATAAAACGATGGGCACGAAGAGATACGGATTTCAATCATTCCGATGAGAAGGCAGCCAGAGCATACAGAGGTGTTGACTCCTTTTCTTGACTTTAAACATCTACTCTGTACCGCGAACTAGCGTCCTCTCTCGTCCCTTGCCGCAGTCCGGGTAATACTACCAGAATGCCAGAGAGCCGACGGTGATATTCATCGCTTTTACGTGGTGAGAAACGAGGACTGTAGGAGTCCGGATTGTGGCTAAAATAGAACCCAGATTGAATCATTTGCGCCCTCGTTAAGAAAACGCGGACTTAGAGGCAGCCTTCATCAAACGACAGGAATTACCTTCAGATCTTATGTCCATCCCTTACCAATAAAGAAACAAAACAGGGGACGAATCGAGATTGACTCCCCCAAGATACGAAACACTACTGAGCGCATTGCTGTCGCCTAGGAAGATCCACTACGGCAACAAAAGCTCGGGGACTCTACTCTGTCCCAGCCAAATGCCCACTTTGGCTGAGATAGTCAAGAGAACGCCACAGAGAGGACTCACAACAATACTCTACCTGCTCATGTCCTTATTGTCGTGTCTATCTTCTAGTGAAAGGGAAAAGCTAGACGACATCGTCCACCTGCTACGAATCATCATCGGCAGGTACGAAGATATCAGTCACATCGAAAGCGAAATGTTGGGTCTAGAAAGAGAGCGTTACTGGAACCTCATTCCCCTCGGCCGGCATCCGCTAATTCGAGAATACTCTGAAGGCCTTGACAACCTATCCTCTCTACGTCTTGTAGACGTGTGGCAACTTCGCTTCAATTGGTTGGAGAAGTTTGCGTGTTTACTGTCCCCTATTGCCCTGCACATAATGGAAGCCGCTTGAGACGGGGCCTACCGACCCAACAATCTTTATGGCCTTCTGGTACGGCCCTTTCTCCAGCAACGCGGAAGGTCCAATACCCAAGTGAGCCAGCTGCACTTCCAAATGGCGATTCCGGCCTCGAAGAAGCGACTGACATCACCCATTGCTGGGTTGTGCGCCGTGGCCTGGAACAGTATGCCTAGACGGCATTGTGACTTTCTGTCTTGTCGATTTTCTGCGGTTGCCATGACTGGGATCGCTTTGACTGTTGCGTATCGCGTTCATATAGGCTTGAGGAACTTCTCCCATCCTCTGGCCGGTATCAAAGATTTCGAGTTTCGAAAATAAAGATGTACGAGAGCATCGGCTTCGGCATGGACAGAGGTAGACTCGGTCCGTTTCCAGCGGATAATTACCCCACCCAGCAATATAGACAAGACGCAATCTCCTATTCCACTATCCACGCACGCTCGTTAACCCATTTTAGTAGGTCGATTAGCCTAGAGGCACTTGGCGCACCAATTACTGGGCCTGCGTTGTACAAATGTACCAGGGTCGAAAGCACGACTTATAACCCTTCCGCGTCGCGACGATTTCACGTCTGCGCGCAACATCGACTCACAACGATTCGACGCCACTTGATCGATATGGCTTCATATTTGGTGCGGCTTTGCGTCGCTGGTTTTGTCGGATTCGCTTCTGCGCTTTCGTCGTGTCCTGGCCTTTCTGTGAGCCATGACGGAACACCTGCCGGACAATTTAAGAACGTTAGCGGAGGTGAGCACTAAGATACCTCCTAGGAAGTCTGAGGGACTAACGATATGTGCAGTGCAAATGTACCACACGTACCCTCCAAGTACCAGCTCCACCAATGGCACCAATGCGATCATCTACGTTTCAGATATCTATGGTGTCCCACTCTTACAGAACAAGCTGTATATTATTCGCACCCTCACTGAAGTTCTCCGCACTAACATAATCGCAGCCTTGCCGACTCTCTCGCCCGGGCGAACTACACAGTCATAATGCCGGATCTCTTCAACGGCGACGCCATCCCCGTGAGCTCGCCAGAAGGACCCGCGCTGAACCTTACAGAATGGCGAACGCGCCATGCGCCAGCTGAAATTGATCGCATCGTTGGCTTGACGCTTGACTACATGCGCAACGAGCTCGGCTTCAAGAGGGTCGGCGGTGTGGGATACTGCTTCGGCGGAAAGTACGTTCCACGCTTCCTCGCGCAAGGGAAGGGCGTCGATGTTGGGTTCATTGCGCATCCGAGTAGCTTGGAAACGGTGGAGATTCAGGGCATTGCTGGGCCGATTAGTATTGCTGCTGGAGGTGAGATGGCCTTTATTTTGGCATATACTAAAAATACTGACAATACTGACTGGTTACAGAGCTGGATGCCGCGTTCAATGTCACCGGAAGGCATACTGCTGAAGACATCTTGCAGAAGAAGAACGCGACCTATCAGACGAATTTGTACTCTGGGGCTCCGCACGGCTTCGCCGTGCGACCGGATCTGAGCAATGCGCGCCAGAAGTATGCGAAGGAGGCTGCGTTTGTACAGGCGGTTTCGTGGTTTGATGCTTGGCTTTGAGGATTCAAGGATTCAAGGGCTGCTGGGAGGTACGAGTCGTTGTAAGAAGTCCATCGAGAAGCATGGAGACGCTCTCGAGTGAGCCAACTGACTCTAGTCAATATAGAAAACGTAAAGCCTGGTACACTCTTATATATTCTACTAAAGTTTCGTTGGCCTTTACTCTCGGGACACGTCACTCACGCAAGCGCGTCCGCGGTTATTACAACCGGGCCTCGAGATCTCACGACATCCAGTCGACCCAATCTGCCTTCACAGCAGTCGTCTCGTCGTACATCCACATGCAGAATGCTATCTGCGCCATGGAAGTGAAGACGCAGAGCAATTCAACCACCCACGTCTTCGTATGCCAGTATCTGAATGCGAGTCCGCCCAAAGCCGTGATCATAATACTTGCCAACAATTGAAGGCCAATCATCAGCCACAGGCCCCGCCATTCTGCAATCATGAATACAGCAAAATAGAGGCAGATGAGGACGGCATAGCACTCCAAGCCATCCGTGAGCATCTGTCCTAGCTCCTTCCTTGGCCATAACCCCTTTAAAGAGCTTCTTATGCTGACTATACCCCTAGCAATACTGTGGATTCGTGCCGGATCGGAGACACCCCATGGTACAGCCGTGATGACAGCTTGCACTATGATCCAAGGCACAAGCAACATCACGGTGTATGCCATATAGACCGGTACGGGACTGACGACGCATAGCTTGATCAGAATAAAGAGGATCGGAACGATGGCCAGTGAGCTAACCAGCTGTTGAGACCGGCGTTCCGGCTGACCAAAGGCGGAAGCTATCTCGGACGACAGCTCCTGAGTTGCGGTAGCACCAGCAGGATCTTTTGGGAATTTCGCACCACGGAAGATAATAATTGCGGCGCAAAAGTCCGAGAATGATCCTACGTGACCCCTGTTCCTGATGTATAGCCAGAGAATGAGGAGCGCTTCTAGTGTCGCGAACGGAACGACCAGTCGCCATGCCCACGTTAGGTGGTACCTGTGCCAAAGCGAACCCTTTCCCTGCATTAGGATAGACAATGCCACCGAGGCTAGTGTGGCAAATGCGCTAGCCCTGGAAAACACTTCAGGTATCTTGAAGTCCCAGCCCGGAAAAGATGGCTCGGTTTCCGTAAGGTCGATGTCATTGACGACTTCTGCAGTCTCTGGGTGGGACTGAAATGAGAAGCCAATCCAGTTTGGCGTCCGGTTGGTGTCGTACTCCGTTCTCTTATATCGAATACTCCATGAATCACCACCCCACTCCAAGAGAAATAACCCGGATTCCATGTCATCGACTTTGGGCTCGAGATATTGGTTAATACCTTTCTCGCAGCCTCTCTGGGGAGAAATGCCGACTCGTTGCGTATTCCGGAGTGTTCGGTACCCCGAATCGACGACGTATTTCGCCTCGCGCAGCCATGCATATGATTTGGTGCCACATTCCCACCCATTCAAATCCTGAGCCCATGCTTGGTAACCCCAGCCGTATCCATACTCTTCCGGAACACACAGATGGCGCTCGGTTAGGCACCACCTGCTTTCGCAGATGTCGGATCCTCGGGGTGCTGCCACGAAATAGAGTGACAACTGAATGCTGGAGAGCGCGTCTCGGTGAAAAGCAGTTAGATGAAAATGGGTAGTCGATTCATTGGGCCACTGGGTGTCGGTGATTTCGAGGCGAGCCGGGAATGAGAAGTCGACATTGCACTTAGGCGGCTGCTTGAAGTCAACGCTAGTGCGCAATGTACCATCTAGAGACAAGTCGATCAGCACAAGGTGTCATGGATGAATGTCCACTACCAGTGTGTTTGAAACGTACTTAGCCTCCTTCGCGCAATTGATGTTGCTAATCGCCAGTCTCGTGCGACGGCGGCATCCGCAAGGTGGAAGAGGAGCAAGAACCATAGAATACCGGGGAGCAGCCACCCATTCATCGTAGTATCCAAGCGCAGAAGTTAAGGATGAGACTCAGCGGTTGGCTGGGTTGAGGGTTTTGTAGGCATCTCAGCCGAGGCGCTGGCACAGGCCCGCCAGCCACACTGGAACTCAGCCTCCACCTGAGCACAAACACTCAACGCTCGAGGAAAGAAAACAAAATATCCAAGCCGCGGCACCCCGGTTTTGTAAGGCGTAGATGGTGGCCTAGAAAAAGTAAATCGCCTCGCTCTTTGCTTCTATGTAGTTGAGAAGAAAACACAAGTGCCAAATAAGAGAAGGCATCGAAGAGTATCATTGACAGGAAAGAGGGCTGACAGATAGAGCCATATACCTGAGAAATATCTGTGACCTCGGCCTCGAACGAACTCGGGAAATAAGACGGTGCGCAGACCGTGGCTACCGCTGCCAACGATTTGAAGGGCGTTATATTTAGGAGAGTTGTCGGATGTACGTAGTAGTCCATCATCCGATATCCTGGGATCAACAGTGTGTATGAAGTCCTGAAGGTAGCTAAACGTAGCTAAATGTGAGCTCACCGTTGTTATTATACCAGTCCTGAGCGGTACAGGTTATCATTTCGGTCGAGTTCCTCTGACTTATCGCGTCGTGCACAGCCGTTGTCGGTTAGTGCTAAAATCAACAATCTCTACCCGGGTGGCGTGCACGTGGGCGGAGGGCAGTAGACGATTCAAAACCACATATGAACTCGCCTCAAGAGGCGCTAGCGGGTTATGCCATCTTGCCTGCATTCTCGCACCAGGTTGAAGATAAGGTTATCAAGCTGGCTAAACGTAGCCGAACCTGCCTTAGTCTGGACATATAACGAAGTTGGATAGGTTCCAGCAACGCACAACAAATGCCTCTTCGAGAAATCCGTCGGATAACCTGCCCAGCCATCAGTCCACCATCCGATGCTCTGGGATCTACGGAGGTAGCTAAACGAAGCTAGCGCGACCTCGGCTCTGTACCCCGCCTCGTAGCTTTCCACCACGTTCCCCATCTACTCCACTCCACTGACTCTCTCGCACGACCAACGGTACCATCACAAGTCAACTGATCCATTAGCCCTTCGCGTACATTCCAGTTTCTCAAGCCGAGGCCCAATGCCGTCCGACCGACATGCCGAGTGCTCTCTTATCCGCGCGCGAGCGGTACCCAAACACGAGATGGGACGTGGTGTGACTTGATACTAAGTGGAAGATGCAGCATAGCGGGTCCGGATCCGTCGTCGTCGTCTCTCCACCGGCGAAAAAAAGCTTCTAAATCCTTCAAGAGCTAGGCTAAGGGAAGCTTGAGAGATAACCCCGCAGCTCGTCCCAGTCTTCGATTCAAAAGCCCCTCGGAACCCACACTTCTTCTTCACTTCCATTGTCTTAATTGACCCCAATTGCACCCGAAAACGCACAATTTTCCACAATGTCCCTCCCTAAGACGCAAAAAGCCGCCGTCAAGGTAGGCCAAGGCGACGCCTCCAAAGTCGAGGTCAAAGAGATCCCCGTGCCCTCCCCGAACTCCGACCAAATCCTCGTCAAGATAAACTACAGCGGTCTCTGCGCCTCCGACAAGTCCCTCCTGCACGACGAATGGTCCTCCACCGGGCTGACCCAGCTCCCCGTCACGCAAGGCATCGCAGGCCACGAAGGCGCGGGAACCGTCGTCGCCATCGGATCCGACGTGCAAGATCTCTGGTCCCTCGGCGACCGCGCGGGCATAAAATGGATCGCGAGTGTTTGCCGCAAGTGCGAGTTCTGCACCAACGGGCGGGATGAGTGTCATTGCCCTAAGCAGCTGAATAGCGGGTTTAGCATTGCGGGGACTTTCCAGGAGTATGTGCTGACGGATGCGAGGTATGCGACGAGGCTGCCCGAGGGGGTTAAAGATGAGGAGGCGGGGCCGATTATGTGTGGAGGCGTGACAGCGTACGTTGCGTGTAAGAGAAGTGCGGTGAGGCCGGGGCAGTGGCTTGTTCTGCCTGGTGCTGGAGGCGGTGCGTTTTCAATCCTCGCTCCTGAAGCAAAGAGGAGCTGGAAGCTAACAGCGAACAGGTCTCGGACATCTCGCAGTTCAATACGCGAAAGCGATGGGCATGCGCGTCATCGCCATTGACGGAGGGGACGCTAAGCGCGATCTCTGCCTCAAGCTTGGCGCTGAGAAGTTCATCGACTTTACCAAAACCAAGGACATCCCCGCCGAAGTGACGAAAATCACAACATATGGCGCGCACGGAGTCGTTGTGACAGCGGCCACAAAAGCCGGATACGAAATGGCGCCGCATCTGCTACGTCCGGGAGGTACCATGGTCTGCGTGGGGTTGCCCAAGGATGCGAGTGTGATCGCTGGTGCACCTCCGATCATGATGTGTCTGAAGAGGTTAAATGTTGTGGGCAGTGTCGTTGGGACGTTGAAGGATGTTGAGGAGGTAAGTCTAAGTTTGATCCTCACTCAAAAAGGCAGTACGCTGAACTGTATGTAGTGCCTTGACTTTACGGCTCGCGGGCTTGTCCATCCCATCCTAACGCACGGCGGTCTGGAGGACATCAACCGTTTCTGCGACGATATGAATGCCGGAAAGCTGCCCGGCCGCGCTGTGATCAAGATTGCGGCATCATAAAGAGCTGCTGTATCGGCCTCTTGTCGTGTACATGCTGAGCAGTTAGCGTCCACGAAATGTAGATAAGAATGGTGTACCTCTCGCGCGGTGTCACTGCTACCCTGATGTGTGTGTAAGCAGTAAATCGCAGGGCCAGGATGAGCAGGCCGGAACGGGTAGATCAGGATACTATATCCATTCTCTACTTATTTTGGACTTTGCAGTCTCAGAGTAGTGAGGAGTTGAACCTCAAGCCCTTGCAGTATAAGAGCATTATCATATACACGTACAGTCTTCTTTCAAGCGCATGCCGAAAACTGTACGTCCCAACCATTTCCCCAGATATGATTCCCGGAACGCCACGCTAAGAACGATACATACCTCAACTCACCATGCAGTAATGTCTCCCACTTCGGCCTCACCGAAAGTGCTGGTTTTCGTCGCAGCCATGCCGGAGTCTACCATATTAACGCTATCGACGTTCGGACTTCGCTCCATGATAAGTGGAAGAACTTCGTTCAAGAAGCCAAGAAGATGCCTGTTAACCTGCTCAAATTCCAGTAAGAAGGCATCATGGCCATCAGGAGAGTCGATAGTCTTCAGTATAGCGTTCGGGATATGCGCGGCCAGTTCCTGCTGCTCTGCAAACGTGAAGAGGCCGTCGGATTGAATGCCAAGAACGAGCGTCGGCTGCTCAATGAGCGAAAGCGCATGTTGGAGAGCTGATATGGGGTCGAGGGTATCGGGATCGGTGCCTTCAGGGTAGCGATGGCGGGAAATATCGTGGGTATCTAGCTTGCGGGTTATGGCGATATAGCAATTCGCGTCAAAACGCTTTATAAATTTTTCTCCCTGATAGCGCAGATACGATTGCGCGGAGAAGTAGTGAGGTGTATGACGCTTCTTCGAATGGCCGTTAGCATTCGTAACTACTGCTTCTGTCGGCCGAGGTGTGGAGGGGTTGGAAGCGTTCTTGAATTCGAGGTCCGCTTGACTTGCTGCATTGGATAAAGCGGCAGCGCTGTTTGTCCGCGATGGCCGGGGAGATCTGGCATTCTTATGGCCATCGTTGTGGATCGCCCAGTGCTGATGCGACGGGTGAGAAGGTGTGTTCGGGCGGGGGATTATATTAATGTTCTGCTTTTTCGACAGATCGGGAGTGTTGCGTCCGAAACGCGATTCAAACGAGTCTCGGCTACGATATGTGAGAAGAGCAGACATGCGTGCTGCTCCAAGTCCTGTCGAAGGGGGATCCTCAAACGTATAGTATCCATCATCGTATTTCGGATCGGAGTAGATGCTCTGCCGTTGTGCCTCGCCCCAGCTAATCCCCCAAGCACTGTATCGAGCGGACGTAGCAATCGGGATGATACTCTTGACATAGTCTCTCCCGAAGTAGGCAAACTCTAGAACAAGCATGCCACCCATGGAGCCTCCGATGACCACAGCGATTTGCCGCACGCCAAGATCGTCAAGGACGAGCTTGAAGATGCTGCGCCTGTCAGTATTGTCCACATTGAGGGCTAGGTTTGTCAGTGACACTCACTTGACATCGTCCCTGACTGTTGTCAAGGGAAACTCAGGCCCATACAAACCCAGGGAAGGGTCACCATCTTTGGCCGTGACTGGGCTTGCGCTGCCGTACGGGCTGCCCAGGCTGTTGATGCACACAACGAAGAATCTCGAAATATCAAATGCTTTCCCGGGTCCCCCGAGGAGCGGGCCCCACCAGTCTCCTACATCAGCGCTCCCGGTGAGCGCATGACATATCACCATCGCATTGTCTCGGCCTGGTGCCAGGGTGCCGTAGGTCTTGTACGCGACGGGAACATTATGGAGCACGACGCCGGATTCGAGGGTGACCTGCGGGATGATGGCGATGTTCTGATCGGGGATCAACTGGGCAAACGGGTTCTCGGGTTGCGAGGTGACTCTTCCTGCATGAGCGTCAGCATACTGAATGTTTGTCGCGGCGGCGAGGACAAAAATTTGGACAAAAAAACATACGGTACTTGGGAGTGCCATTGACGGTGGCGCCGTTCGTCTGGGGAGCCGTCATTATGCCGGGCGTCATGTGTGAGGAAGGTCGGAGGTGTAGTTCTTGCGCGTGGAGAGGTGGGGAGTGTCCATACTGCAGGGAGTCATGACTTTGGAGATTCATATTCACTCCCGGCACGGTCTAGCGACTTTCGCAAGTCTTGGCGCGATGACGTGCTTCCAAGCGCTAGCCGATTGGTCCGACGAGCGCCTGCGACCCTTCAACCTCCTCTCACTCACGACAGCAAAACCTTAGACACGCCACCGTATTCGTCGGCAAACGAAGCATTGGCCAGTCCTCTTTTACTGTGTTCAAAGATCACTCGAGTTGAGCACCGGCCCACGTCTTCCTATCGCGAATCAGGAGCCAGCACCTCCGCCCTTAAACTTCTGTCCCATCCCCCGATCGTTTAGAAGCAGAACGGGTATCTGCGCATAGGCTACGGTCTCGCACAACACGGACTTAGGTGGCTATTGCGTTTGGTGCCCAGACCGTGAACAGGATCCTCCCCGACGCCAAAGCTATTGACCGCACGCCTAAGCAATGATTGTTCTTCGCCTTGTCAGAAGGTCTGTCACTCTGCACTCAATGTTGGTAAACGACGTCTCGTGAGAAACGATGAAGGTAAGTACAGGTAAGACCCGTCGGCAAACATCGAATCCAGACAAACAGCTTATGTCGAGTTTGTTTGCATTCACACTCCTTCTCGCCGCCTCCAACCCCTATATTCTCTTTTGTTCCAGAGGTCTCTAATATCTTTACCCCAAATGGGCACCTTGCATATGCAGACTAGGCCCTGTATCCAGCCTTATGGAAATTCCCGTCGTCGAAAGTCTCCACTTCCCCGGACAGAGCTCTCTTTAGCAATCGCTCTTGACTACTGTCCAAGCCTAGGACACGTTTCACGCGATTGCATGCAAGATAGAGCGGCAAACAACGCGATTGCGACCGACCGTGCAATGCTACACCAGCCAGAATAGCTTCAGATCTCGGTTGCAAACTCGAGACCAACCGAAACATGACGTCCAACAGTAGTCAAGCTAACGATATTGCTGCGAGTGCATTATGCAGCGCCAAGTATAAAGGAAGCGCAACCGGCTGAGGAGGAAGCCTCTATCAAGAAACCAGAGTAAAACCTTCTTGTTTCGACTGCATCTTGTCATCTCTCGCGTGTACCAGGTTCCAGAGACCTCCGCTGGATAGACTGCGCGCAATGGCTTGCATTGGCGAACAAAACTTGGAGCATCTTCAATATCCACAATTCCCGGATGTCATCTCTCCATCCTTTACTCGAGCTCGGCGCCCGGCGCTAATTCCACCGACTTCATCGCTTTCTCTCGCTGAGGCCGACGAGCTCGTCCGGACGAGAATCCATCAACCCCTCTTCCCTCCTCCTGATCCGCTTCTTCTTGAAAATATCAGACCCGCATCCCCGGCCAATTCTACCAAAACCGCAAGCCGGGTCGCTGAAGCGCGACGATCCCGCGAGAACTCACCCACATCCAATTACAACCACTCAGCGGATACACCTGCCATTCCGCCAGCGCTCGCGCGTGACCCTCGCCGTCGCAATGCGTGGCTCAAAGCTCGCGCTCAATATGCGCGCGATCGCGAGCTCCGCAGAGTCGTGACCGATCCAAATATGGAAAGTTCTCCCGAACCGGAGGCCATCACCAAAAACGCGCCAGCTGACTTCGGGCCCAAGCGTAAGCGTTCCGCTTTCGTTAAGGAACAAGAGCTGAAATGCTTGATTGAAGATCGAGTCGGGACGCCACATATCAGCGAACTGCAAGCCGATGATGATGTGAGCGCCCAGCTGAACGTGGAGGAACTGAAGGTGGGAGGAGAGGTGGCGGCGCTGGATACAGCCGGAATTCCTTTGAAGCAACTCGGTACCGATGGTGTTACACCTATTCCAGAAGAAATTGAAAAGAGGAATTGACGGTGGCGGGGTGGAATCTTGCTTTTTCCAGTGTCTTTTGTCTTTCGGCGTTTAGTGGAAAAGGAGGACTTTAGCGGTTGCGGATCTCTCTTTGTCTCCTGTCCTGCTAGACCAGTATATAGCTTCCCAGTTAAACTCGTTCGTACGTTGTTCTGCGACCAATCTGAACATATAAGTTCTGTCTCTCGTCTCGTTCTATGCGATACCAGCCTCACTTACAGCCTTTCCATAGCGACCGCTCCAATTCTGGACCCTAAGCGCTTCGATGCCCTTCCGGTATATCATGGATATGTAGTCTAGCTGTATTTCCCAGCTATCGTCAGTGCATTTCAAGGTTATCTACCTAGCACCTAGGTATGGTGTGCACAGACTCTACGCTAGACGCCACAAGTGGCTAGAGCGTGGCGCGAGCTCAATCCAAGCACTGCATCGTGCACGGCATCCGAACCTCCATCAATCCATCAGAAAATGCCATGCGAAAGGTTGTAGTAACCGGACTTGGGCTCGTGACGCCCTTGGGAATAGGTGTGCTTGAGCTCGCTTGTAACCGATCTCGTCACTGACTTCCGAAGGCGTCCGTCGAACATGGCAACGGCTCCTGGACGGACAGTGCGGCATCGTGTCCATCAAGAATAGGAGCCCAGAATTTGCAGTTCTGCCTAGCCAAGTCGCTGGTGTAGTGCCTGAGGGTAAGAAGAAGGATGGGAGGTGGAATGCGAAGGAATGGTTGAATCCGGGGGTATGCAGGCCAAGACGTGCGCTATGAGGAGAAGCTTATGGTCCGCAGGACGAGCGCAAGATGGCTCGGTTCGCACAGTATGCCATGGTGGCATCTACGGAAGCTCTGAGCGATGCTGGTTGGGCTCCCAAGGCAGAGGATGATCTTGAGGCTACAGTATGATGAGAAATGATGTGCAATGTTCTGAAGCTGACCGTTGTATAGGGCGTGTATATGGGCTCGGGCATCGGGAGCCTGGACGATGTGTACGATACTACGGTTGCGTACGAGAAAGGTGTAAGACGTGTCCAAGGCGACGGTGTGCTTAAGCTAACGCCAGCACAGGGATACAAAAAGGTGTCGCCTTTGTTCGTACCTCGACTCCTCATCAACCTCGCGGCAGGCCATGTTTCCATGCGATATGGCTTCAAAGTAAGTCTTCAGAATCACCCATAAGATCGCAGGCGCTTATAGTACAGGGACCGAATCACGCAGCAACCACAGCCTGCACGACTGGTGCTCACAGCATCGGAGATGCCGCTCGGCTCATTCAGTTTGGAGACGCTGATGTCATGATTGCCGGCGGCGCGGAATCATGCATCCACCCTCTTGCCATCTCAGGGTTTGCGAGAGCCAGAAGCTTAGCTACCGACTGGAACGACAGACCGACTGAATCCAGCCGACCTTTCGATAGGGAAAGGGCGGGCTTCGTCATCGGGGAAGGAGCTGGGGTTGTTGTGTTAGAGGTAACTATATACTTCTATACGCGCATGTACCCAACTAGGAGTGCTGACCGAAGTAGGAACTCGAGCACGCAAAGCAGCGAGGTGCGAGAATCTATGCCGAAGTTGCTGGCTACGGTCTCTCCAGCGATGCGTACCACATGACTGCACCTCGCGAAGATGGCCACGGACCATATCTCGCGATGAAGCATGCTCTGCGCCATGCTGGTCTCAAGCCCAGCTCTATCGACTACATTAATGCTCATGCTACAAGTACGCCTCTCGGCGATGCGGCTGAGAATCGAGCCGTTAAAAATCTATTGCTCGGAGAAGAGGGGAAGACGACAGCTTCTGAGATCAACATGAGCAGCACTAAGGGTGCGATCGGACATCTATTGGGGGCGGCAGGCAGCGTTGAAGCAGTCTTCACGATACTGGCGTTGCACAATGTAAGTGGTTGGGGAGGCTGTAGGGCGAATGCTGACAGAAGTAGAACACTCTCCCGCCAACACTCAACCTTAACCATCCAGGCGACCCACCAGAAGACTTCGACTGTAATTATGTCGCCAACACTGCCCAGCAGAAAGACGTCCATGTCGCATTGTCTAACAGCTTCGGGTTCGGAGGCACCAATGCCTCGCTCTGTTTCAGCAAAATGTAATATACGCAATGTAAAAGTACGCCGTTGTATTCTCAGCTTTTCTTGCTTAGCATTCGTTTTAGCGTTACCTAGGTAGTTCAGAGCTGCATGAGCACGTTTCCAGCACTTTGTAATGCGGCCTTGTCATAGGTACATCACGAAGCTACCCCGCCAAAAAGCCGAGAGATAAACACGGTTTTAGCGCTGGACTGGACCTCTTCAACCCCCACTACGTGCCAGCTTGGTGCTCATATAAGAGCAAAGTAGCGCCCCGCGGCCTTTTCGTTCGTCCGCTGTCGGACGTCTGGCTTATTGTCAGACCTGTCGTCCCTTCCTTACTGCGTCCCTTGTCTACCTAGGTACGCCGAGACATCCCCGGTTCGATGGCAGAATCACGCGAGTCACGCCCGTCCTCAGGCGGCATGGAGGAGATGGAAATAGGGGAGCAATCTCTACTCAAGAATTGGTCGAATAAGGCTTCGATGTACCATTCGCGGGTTCCCTATCTCAAGAAGCTTCCCTTTCCGGCGCTTGCCATCATCGCCACTCTCGTAATCGTCAATCTTTTGGTCTGGGCTGCTGTAGGTATTGTACTGGTGAGCTACCTAATACCTTGGCCTTGCGAATATGAACTAACCTTCTAAAGCATTGGCATACCCCTCTAATATCAACTGCAATCCTCTCTTACACCCTCGGCCTCCGCCATGCTCTGGACGCCGATCACATCTCCGCCATCGACCTCATGACTCGGCGCCTGATAGCCGCCGGCCAACGCCCCGTAACAGTGGGCATGTTCTTCTCCCTAGGCCATTCAACCATCGTCATCGTCACATCTCTCGTAGTGGCCGGCACCGCAGCCGCCGTGTCCTCCAAATTCGACAACTTTTCCCGCATAGGCGGCATCATCGGAACGTCCGTATCCGCGGCCTTCCTCCTTCTCCTAGGTGTGATGAACCTCTACATTCTCTACAAGCTCGTCGTGCAGATGAAGAAAATGATCGCATCCGAGCCGGGCTCAGAGCACGAGCAGTTCAAAATCCAAGGCGGTGGCTGCCTCTTTCCGATCCTGCAGCGGCTGTTTAAACTGATCGACCGGCCGTGGAAAATGTACCCACTTGGTGTGCTGTTTGGTCTGGGCTTCGACACCTCGTCCGAGATTGCTATCCTCGGTATCTCTTCGATCCAGGCTGCGAAGGGAACCACTATCTGGCTGATATTGCTCTTCCCGCTGCTGTTCACGGCGGGCATGTGTCTCCTGGATACAACTGACGGCGCGCTGATGATGAGCCTGTACACGAGCACACAGCTAGCTCGTGATCCGATCGCCATCTGCTACTACAGCATTGTCCTGACCGTCATCACCGTCATCGTTGCAACCGTCATTGGCGTCGTCCAGTTCCTGAACCTCGCACTCAATGTCGCGGAGCCGAGCGGCCCGTTCTGGGATGGCGTAGAGCGGTTGGGGGAAAGCTGGGACATCGTCGGTACGTTGCTTCTAGTCTTCCTGGTAATCCAAAACTGACATGTATGCAGGCGGAGCAATATGCGGTGCCTTTGTAGTCTTTGGCGGTCTCAGCGTCATCTTGTATAAGCCCTGGAGACGGCGTATTGACAAGAAGAGGCTGCGCAATGCTACCTTTGAACCGCTGCCGCCAAACACGTATACGGATGCGGAAACCGACGAGGATCGGGAAGATGGATCGAAGCAAGTCAAGGACGGAGTAAAGGGAGCGGATGTTGACATCGAGCCGGTCGAGGCCACTGATGCCGCGGGTCCAGCTGGCCCGGCTGTGAATAGAAGATGACCGGGACAAGGACATGATACCGCAGGCCGCTACGTGAAGAAGCACCCCGAAAAGAGTGACAATGGTATGTCTGTAACAGCACGCAGCGAATTGGATTGAATGTACAAATACAATGAGAAGCCCAGAACATTCAATAAGAACCACAGTATATAAACCGCATACAGCTCCTCCCTGGGCTCCAAAGTATCCCCCACACCTCCAAAGCAAAGCCCAACATATCCCACCCATACCCACAACTCATCTCCCAAAGCCAAATCTCACACCAACAATTCTATCGCTAACACAGCAGCACCCCACTCACTCTCCTTACCAAGCCACCAACCATGTGTAACCTATACCCCGGAGTCCGCTACAGCTGCGGCTGCGTACGAAATGGCCCGTTCTGGGGTGAAGCGTGCCGTTTATACACGGATGCAGTAGGACGACGAATGCAGAATGTGGGGAGAGGGCCTACAGACTACTCGGCCTGCACCGTCCGTCTGCCCGCGTACCACGTCGCCGGCTATCCGTGTCCTGCGCATAGATAATGATAAGGTCAAGCAGGGCAGGGTTTAGAGCAAGAGCGAAGCGCAGGACGCTCTGTTCTAGGGCTTAAGAGGGGAGTAGGGTACTTATTTAGCCTTGGTGCAGACACTGCGTTGGAATGGGTATGTTTTGAACTGAGCGGGATAAGGGGCGTGGCGCTGGGTTAGAGGACTTAGTTAGCTTCAGTGCAGGGCACTGGTTTAGAATAGATAGGTACCTTGGACTCCTGAAGATGCCGATCGTCCGCCTGAAGTGCTTTCGCCCTACTCTCTAATATCAAAGCCCTGACTGCCCTTTGATCTCTCTATCTTTCGATTAGTGCTGTTGTAATCCCTCGCGACTGGGTTCGGTATATTGAGCGAGAGAAATTTCCCATGCGAAAACAAAAATTGGGAAACTCATATCATTCCCTTCCATTCACTGCTCAGTGAAGGAGCGCGAGTTCGACTCCGTAAAGTCCACTCCCGAAGGCCTTCAACTGATGAACTGATGGAGGTGATTAGGAAGTGCTAGGCTTCGGAATGAGGCGATGCACCGGCGCTGGAGAAATCTCGTTAAAAAAAAGCAAAGCCCAGTTGATGAAACGGCGCGAGAGACGTGTAAGCCATCCGGATGGAGTCAAATCGACCTTGCTAGTCGACGTACCGCAGTGTATTTGAAAAAGGGAATAGGGACTGAGTACCTCCCGTCCTGTGACTGTTAGAACATCCCATTCCGCGCTGCATCCTCACCTGGCTTCGACTTTCGCGCGGGGAATTGTGTGAAGAATAAGTACGCTCGTCCCCGTTTTCCGCTACTTCACAGGTTTCTCTGCTCGATGAACAGAAACTGCCAAAGCAACAACAGTCGAATGATGAAGCCGAAGCATCAATATATTTACATCCAAAAAAAAGAAGTACCCAAACCTAAGCATATGGGCTCCCTCATTACCATGGATCAGGAATAGCTGGGTCCAAAAATCGTTATTCTACAGTAGTTTGGTATCATCCAGAAAAAAACACCGCACAACCTATTAACCGTTTACCAAGACAGAAAGACGGGGGAAAGCCAACTCATGTCTATATATATCAACGCCGTGAGATGCCCGCGTGCGTTCAGTGCGCATGTACATGCCCCACCTGTGTCAGGAGGGGTAATAGCATCCCGATCAGGACGGTGGCGATGTCGGATTTGGAGAGCACGTTCTTGCCCCCGTGGTGCTCTATGTAGCCATTGGCTGTGGGCTCGTCATGGGAGCCAGAGGTTGCTTCGGTCATGGAGTGCATCGCCACATACCTGTCTAGTTAGTATAAGTTTGATAAATGAAGGAGGTGGTACTCACAAGAAAGTTCCTCCGGAGAAGAGCAACACCCATCCAGTCGTCCAAGCCAAGCCATCGTCTCCGCCCAGGCGGTTGCGTCCAAGCATGTGAACGATGGCCCAAGTTGCAACGGCGCCTGCCGGCGCCGCCAAGCTGAAGAAGACGAGATGAGTCCGTGCGGTGCGTTTGGACAGGCCTTGTTTCAGCAGGACCGAAGTCAGCCCGAACGCTGCTGGTGCTTTGTGAAGCATGATGGCCAGAAAGATGACGAGCGAGAGGGAGGATGACGGGGCGTGCGAAGAAGCGCCTAGCGCTATTCCGTCGGCGCACGCATGAATGATGAGTCCAATTGTAGTTGCTGAAGACCGGGGCGGGGTCGGTGGGAGCGGCGTGGGAGGTTCTGGAGGCGGAGAGACATGATTCATTCCGTCTAGACTTATTGCGGAGGAGTTGTGCGGTCCTCGATGTAGGTTGGAGAGCGAGATGTGCAGGGACTGGTACTTGGGTCTCGAGGGAGAGAGCGCTTCCGGCACGTGGTCCACGAGGAACATCAGAATGAAGCCAAGGATCAAGGCTACTCCGATGTAGGCGTGCGGCCCGCCCTCCTCTTCCTCGTGATGGGGATGGTCTTCCTCCTCTTCGTCTGGCCCATGCACGCGCGTGTGCCCCTCCCTGTGGCCTTCAGTCGAATCGTCATCGCCGCCCTTCTGCTGCGGTCGGTTGTCTTCCTTCTGTTTCTCCTTGTACGGCTTTTCCTTGGGGTCCTCCTTCTTGTCCGCGGCGCGCTCTGCTTGCTTCGCCGGCTGCTCCTGCGGTGTCCTCTCCACGATGATGTCGACAGCGGGAGCTTTTATTGCGCCCGCTCTTAGAAAGCTTGTGTCCACTGCCTCGGACCGCTCCGTGGGCGAGAACTCGGTGGGCTGCTTCAAGCCCTTCTGCTGGCCGTGCACGGAGGGGATCGTGGGCTGCAAATGCGCAAGCGCACGCGCATGGCTCTTCTCGGCCGCGCTGTACATGGTCTCAATGCCCTCCGGTATGATGACGATGAGCGAGGTGCCCACGAGCACGCCGGTGCCCAGGAACGATATGATGCGGAGCTGGCGCGGCGAGAGGGTAAAGGAGAGCGGGAGGATGCCGGCGAGGAAGGAGCTGCCGCTGTTAGCCTCTGCTTGTGCGCAAGGCAGATGTCTAGAAGAGAAGATCGAGACTCACGCAATCCCCATGATGGTGCTCAGAGCGAGCAGCATAAACAGCCCGTCCCACATGTTGGGCGGTGGATGCGATGCTGAACGGGACAAGTGCCGAAGACAAAATTACGCCGAGGTATGCAACAAGGGAAAAGACTACCTGACCATTAGTCGCTGCTGCCCATATCCATGCCGTGGTGCTGGGGATGGCGGGTACGGGGAAGGAGATGTGTGGTGGGCGGAAAAGACAGTCTGGTCAACACTTTCATGCGGCCGTCAGGGCGTCCTGCCGGGGTGCGACCGTAGGGCTGGGCTGGCCCGGCGGCGCTAAGAACGCGTGGGTCGTCGCGACGCTGCGCCTTCACCTACACCGCGAGGACGCGCTTTTGCCTCCATTTCTTCGGCCTCATTCTAGTCGCATCCTCATCCCGAGCACAGATTTAGCTTTTGTACGCGACAGCCCCCCGACTCGCCGAGACAGTCCGCAACTCGCGCTGCGCAAACCTTCCGCCATGGATCTTGACGAATGCAAGCTCCCCGCTCAAACCACCAATGTAGACGTCGCGCTTACAATAGATCTAGGGATCACGAACTCCAATGAGTGCTTCGAGATCAACCTCACCCGGCCGTCGAGCGGGGCAGGCGAGCCCGAGCGCATCTTCAGCGAGTCCTTCAACCCGCGCTTCACCTACCCCATCATCAACGAGGCGGAGTCAATCGTCGGATACAAGGACCCCAGGATAGAGCTCGACTTCCGCGCAAACGATATGAAGCCGTCGTTGAAGATTCAGTTCGAAGCGAAGCTGGAGCTCAAGGGCGTGCTGCCGGACGAGCAACAGGTGGATCTCGAGAACGTCTTCAAGGACTACTTTCCCGCGTGTACGTCTTTCTCTACTTAAAAGAAGGCCCCGTACTAACCGCATATAGCTATATTCAATCCCACCGAAGCTTCAGATGACACCAGCTCCGCGACCGATGCGACCTCCACATCATGGGAACCGCCAGGGAAACTCATGCACAGCTTCACTCTGCACGGGAAGAAGTACGAGATATGGAGCGCAAACATGGCCGATCCAGCGGCCAAGCGGCTGTTCCAGAATATGCAGATACTCACGTTGTTATTCATCGAGGGCGCAGAGCGGCTGGAACTAAACGAGCAGTGGTCGCTGGAGCGTTGGACACTCTACCTGCTGTACGAGGTGACGCCCATCGAGGAGGAATGCTCTCCGTACACTTTAGCTGGATTCTCCACCTCGTACCGCTACTGGATCTTCCCGACCTTCGACGTAATGCGCTATACCAAATCGCTCCCATCACCACCGGAGAGCACCAACGGCGAAGCGGGTTCATACACCGGTCCCCATCTCACCCAGGATCCGGAGACGTACCTATTCAACGAGCACATCGACCCCCTGGAGACACCCTCGCGGGATAGAATCTCGCAGTTCGTCATCCTACCTCCATACCAAGGCCAGTCTCTTGGCGCCCGGTTATACGAGACGATATTCGGAGATCTGGTCAAGAAGCCTTACGTCTACGAGATTCCAGTCGAGGACCCAAGCGAGGCTTTCGATGCCATGCGAGACTACAGCGACATCATCTACCTCCGGAAAATGCCCGCCTTCCAATCCCTATCGCTGCCCTCAACACTACCGCCGGAAAGCCTCAGGAAAGATGCGCCAATCCCGCGCGACCAGATACTGGGCAACGGTGTAGATCTAGAAGCCCTCCGCCACGAAGCCAAGATCGTCCCGCGCCAGTTCAACCGCATGGTCGAGCTGCACCTGCTCTCCACAATACCATCCAGCAACCGCAACAAGGCCCGTATCACCCGCAAAGACAAGTCGAGCAACGAGAACGACCGCAAGTACTACTTCTGGCGCCTGGCTCTGAAGGCTCGAGTGTACCAGCAGAACGCCGACGTGCTGGAGCAGCTGGAAGACGCAACGGAGCGCGTGGACAAGCTGGAAGAGACGGTGGACAGCATGCAGAAAGAGTACGAGGAGCGGTTACAGGGGATCGAGAAGAGGGCGAAGTGGAACGTGGGCGAAATCCAAAATGGGGACAGCAGTAGGAGTAAGCGGAAGCGGGTGGTCGTGGAGGATGATGAGGATGAGTGGGAGGATATGGAGGACGCGTCGGTGGCTAGCTCGAAGAAGATGAAGGTTTGAGCGAAGCTGCTCATGGCGTTTCGGGTGTTGAGAGTCTGAGGCTTGTACCCTAGGTTGTCGCCAGTAGGGTTACGGATACCAAACATGGTTTTTTTTCCTTCTTGAAGGTTCAATTTTACTAGCTCTGCACGAAAAGTGCCCTTCCTCCTATTGAAGACATAGTTCCCACTGATCAACTTGTCCAGAATATGCCGTTTCGTCCTTGATCGGTCGGTCGGTCGCGCCGCGGGTATACATTCCCTTATTTTTCTAGGCTACGCCTATACCGACGACTTACCATTACACTTTGAAGCCCTCTAGCTTCGCTTATCGTTCGTCCAAGATGCTCTCTCTACTCACTTGATTCGCATACCCACGTTCCTTCGCGGTTTGCTCGCGGCTGTGGATAGCACACTGGAGGGCTCCAGGCTGGGCTTTCCCCTGCTCGACTACCTCGACTTACCGCATTTTGTATAGCGTCCCGAAGGCCTCCAGGCCTGCCTATCCCTATCCTGATTCGCGATTGCGACACCCCGCCAGCCAAGCAACGTATAGGGTTCTGAAGGCCTCCAGGATCGTGGATCCCTTCTCCATCTTGGTAGACCACTCTACACCCGACTCGATACCCGGAAGGTACTTTTCACCTCCTTCCACCGACGGCGGTGCTGATCCGTCGGGAGCTCGCGGTCCCCGTAGTGCAACCATCCTAACTAGGACTTCATTGTAGCCCGCAAATCACGGCTTGCATCGCCTATTCTGACATTCTACAGAGAGCTATCCATAGGAAGTGCTTTTTGTTTAACACCCGCCAAGCAACATCAGCTGCAGTCGGTTGTACTTTCCTTTCCCACTCCTTCAGTACCACAGAAAGCTCATCTCAGCAGTAAAACTTTCGCATCCAGAACGGCTCCACCTACCCAACGTTGTCATATACTCGGCCATAGTCCGCACATTCTTCTCTTTTGCTATCATCAAAGACAACACACTTGCCATTTCCCAGGGCTTCACGTATGCTCAGACACGCCTACACTCTAAGAAATCCTGCCGACAAGCTCCTCCGGGAGATTCATATAAGGATAGGGCCGTGTCCTTTCCTATAATATGCTTATCTTCTCGGCCTCCGCTTCACCACGCTGGGCCAACTCAGAAGCTTCGCCATCCATCAGCCCACAGACGTAGCAATACGATACTAGGGTGTAGTCCTCTCCACTCTGTCGTAGAACAACGGGATATCCAGATTTCGGCAACACACACAAAACATCGTTAGCTTGGATGTCGACCCTAGCAACCCCCATATAGCCTTTCGACGTGAAAAAAGCGCTCACGTGCTGGGAATGGCCTCCAAATGGTGACCTGGTCCAGAAGGCGGCTGGCAAACCTTCTGTCACCGACAGCGACTCCCGGGCCAATTCCCAGTCCATGTCGCCTTGCTCTTCTATGCCGAAGATTCTGTCTATGTGCGCGCCGGCTTTCACGATAGCCCTCCGAGTGTGTTTGGTGTCGTGGTACTCTGTCCGCTTATTCGGGTCCTCGACCTTGAGATAGCGCCTGAGCAGGTGTCTGGCCATGAATTGAAATTCCGCTTTCCCCGAACCGGTGGTGGTAAGCGGTTCTATGTTCTGCGGATCTTTGGCGACATTCAAGCCTGCGAAGAACGTATACAGGACAGCAAGCACATGCGAAATCCCTGTGACATACCGTTTTGGAGGGGTAATGACCTCGGACCAGAGGTCGTCTGGCTTGGCCCCAAACAAGAATTGGAGGCTGGATGCGATGGAGTCCTCCGGCGAATTTTGGTCATCCACCCAGATGTCTTGCACGACGTCTACTCTGACACAGTGAGTGCTCAGTGCCTCCTCCCGGGAGACAGGGCTTCCTTTGTTGTATGTATCCAAGCCACGATCGGCTCCGAATCTAAAACGGCCGAGAGGAGATAAAGGCGCGCGTCCGCTCGTCGACAGATAGGCCCAGTCCACAGCCCAGGACGGCAGCGCGTGCTCTCTAGTCTCCGGCCTACACCCGGCGAAGAGAAGCAGATCAGTCCAGTCTTTTGTCTCATTATACAGCTGTCTTGACGCCTGTGCGAACAGATCGCCGATCGGTATTGCATAGTCGACCTCCAACCCATATTTGACCATGCCCAGAAGACTGTAGATCTTGTCGCGTGGGTTGAAGCAAGCTCGGTCCTTTGCATGCCGCAATAACTCCAGGAGCTTTTCCATTTCATCCGTGGCAGTGTCAGCAATCAATTCCTGGCAATAGCTGATGGTACGGTATTGCGTCTCCCGGAGGCCGCGATTTGTGAGAAAGTTCCATCCGCTTTGAGACATCCAGGCGGGTTTCTGCAGCGGCAAGTCTTCTCGCAGGCGCAGTAATAGAGAATCGTATGCGAGCAACTCCTGATGCTCAATGTAATTTTCCCCCGACCAGAATAGAACTGCGTTGGCTAAGGCGATCTCTTGCAATGTCCAGGCTCGGAGCCAATACGGATTGTACATCCACAGACCCTTGAGAGCAAAAGACAGTAATCCGCTGCACTGAGCCTCGTCTGAAAAGTCGAACTCGGTCGGTTCGTACTGCTCGTCGAACGTGCTCATTTCCTCCATAGTTGCTTCCCACGCAGCAACGTACCAGGCGACGTAGCTATACTCCTCACCATCTTCGGGTTCTGCGGCCACTCTCCTAGTGAAACTCAAAGCAGCGTCATGCGCCGGGCCTCCAGGTCCAAGCCAAGCATGCACAGCATAAGCCTGGGTGTATATGCGCCCCATCATGGCAACTTGCCAGGACTTCTCTGTATTATCTTCCTGGTTGATGCAGATCGCATCGATCCACAACGAGCCGGCGGATTCTTCGTGTTGGCAGAGTTGGTGCAAGGCTTCCCCAAGATTCCGAGTAACCTGGAATGTACGCCTGTCTAGCACGATGGTGTGTGGGTTTTCCCAGCCGCCCCAGACGTATGACAGCGCCCAATAATAGGGATTGTCTTGCAAAGAGACTGTCCGCGAGGTACACACGATCTTTTCTGGGTGTGTTTCTGAGGGGATAGATACTGAAAGGAGACGTATTTCTTGGCTCGATTCTTCCAATGGTTTATATCGATGCCTGAGGCTTGCCAGCCTTGCGGAGCGCTGCGGGGCAGGGTGGATGATCTTTTCTCGGGGGTGCTGGGTGTTTTGTTCTTCTGGAAAGGGTCTTTTTAACCCTCTCGTGTTGGGCATGTCTAGCAATGCGTGCGGTCGTTCTCTATTAAAACCTAAGTTGTAATAATGGGTGTGAATGCTTAGCCGTAGGCCGCTGCGGAGCGTGTACACGCGCGTTTAAAAGGAACCTTAGGAAGCGCATTACAACGGATACGAGGTCGTCGCGACGTAGCAGATAAGCTAAGTATGTGCAGCATAAGCCTAGGTGTATATACAGCCCGTTATAGCAACTTAGTAGGACTTCTCTTTGTTATCTTCTTAATAGATGCTACTTGGTCGAGCCTAAGGAGCGACTCTACTAAGTTCCCCCTTTAGCAGATCTTCGGCTCCCCTAGGTTCTGTTAGTCCTAAGATTTATTTCTACTAATTCCCTTTAGAACGTAAACACTACTAATTAAGCCCTGTTAAACTATTAAAAGACAGTGTTAGATTATCTTCTGTTCTAGTGTAGTACCACGAGCCGCTAAGGAGAAAACAAACGAGCTACTACTATGTTTTATTAGCTAGCGCACGTCCCTACCTAGCGCACAGTTTCTAGAAAATCTTACCCCTCTCTAACTTTATAACTATTAGAGCTATACTAATAAAACTTAATATATAAGCTTTATATAGTATAAACTTTAATATTATAAAATAAAATTTTAAAAAAACTTACTAATTCTAGTTTTATTAGTACTATAATTTTTAAGTACTTTATTAATACTCTTTAAATATTTTAAGAATAAATAGTTAAATCTACTTTTAAAATTAGTTTTATTTAAATTTATAGTTTATAGATAGTATATATAATTTAAAATTTAAGTTAATATACTTTATTATTACGTTAACT